GTGCGAATGACATGAATGAATTCGGTGGTGCCGTTGGATGACTACTAGAATTATTGTCTTCGGCGACTTTTCTTTGGAATAGTAAACCGTGAGGTGTCGCAAACACAGACTCGACCTCGAAGGGCAGAGGAACCACATGGCTATTGCCCTCCAGGAAAAATATATGGGCTTGAGATTTAAGAACAACAACCAATGCCCGCGACGCGGCTTTGCTAGGTCCTTTTCTTCCAGCCCCTGACTCTGTAGTTCTGACTGGCGGTGCGTCGGGTAACTGACTTGCATGATTGTTCGACTTCTGTGATGCGGCAGACGCAGACTTGTCATTGGAACGTTTGACTTTGCCCACGGCAAAATTTGTCAATAGGACATGCTTGATATCTTCCTTTTCCAGGTCCAGACGAAAGACTCTTTTAATAACTCCAGCCCGGGACCAGACCACGGAGCTCTTTGTCCATACTAGCTCATCCTCCACTGCACCGCCGCCCGGGCTAGTATCGACGGATGTCGTCCATGAGTAGAGATTTTCTGACGGATCGGGGGGGAGGAGATTTTCAGCAACGAGAAACGGGATGGCCGAGGATTCGTGTAGGCCTAAAGACCGGACTGTAGACATTATCGGCGCGGTTTGTTAGGGACTGCGGGGAGAAGAGGAACAGGCAATAGGCGCCATTGTCGGATTGTTTGTGAGGCTCGATCCAAAGGCAATACCAGCAGTGGGAGTATACTACTGATAGCGATCTCAGAACGGCCGCGAAAGAAGGAATGGGTGCTGCGTCGGGGTTGTCGAGCTGGAGCTGGAGCTCTGGAAGGGACGCGGTGGACGCGGACTGGAGAGCGTAAATAAGAAATGCTGGACGGCGGCTTTTTTCTTCCTCTCCGCAACAACACCCCAACTTCGCCCTCTCCTCGGGTCTTCCCTCTCCCTTTCTCGATCAACGCGCTCTTTTCGCATAAGCTTAAGAGTTCTGGTACCGACAATTTAACTGATACGGGCTACTTTGTCGGTTGGCATTCTAAATACATCTTGCTGAGCTTGACGCCTCGTATGAGCTGTTGCCAACGGGCTGCGATCAACGTTAAGTATCAGACACCATGCCCTCCTTCCCCTCTCGACCGCTCGTTAGAGCTCGGGATGATGGCTTACAGCTAAGGTATACTTTGTAACTTGCGACTGATGCTCGTGCCTTGGACTAACTTGGATTTTCCGATTGCAGCTACCAACTCCCTCACCGCGTTTACGCCGCTCAAGGCTACCCAATTATTGCCCCTAATGGATCCTCTGTTGTTGTCTATGGCTATGAGGATGGATTGAAGGTCATTTGGAGGGGAGGACGCCCGTTTTCGAACCAAAAACCACAGCCCCCGAAAGAGGAGAAGCCGCCAAAGCCTAGTCGTAACAATGATGACGCTATCATGATTATTGACTCCGATGATGAGAGTGTGGCCGATACGGGGAAAGATGAGGTCTCGGAGATTGATCCGGGGTATCTGTTTGAGGAGGAGGACCCCGAAGTCGACCCTGCCCATCCTTATGAAACTGTTCTACGCCAAGTCGACATACCCCTTGGAAGCAGGGTCATCGGGCTTGCTGTTCCGCGGGTTCTTCGTGAAAGCGCGCGGTCACCCCTCGATCCGTTTCCCGCAGTTCTTAATAAATTTATCGTCGTCTCCGCAGTCTGTGCAGACTACTCGACTCGTGTTGTCACGCTGCCCTTGACTCCTCCCCATCCAACTCAAACTGCGATAGGTGCGTGGGGCCTCCAGACGTTCTCGATCAGCGGTGGCATCGCGCATGAGGAGGTTCCACGAGGTGTGAGTATCACATTTACTTATCAGGAGGGCTCGCAACAGGACGTCAGCAGCGAGGGAAGATGGGATATTCTGGTCGCGACACATTCCGCGGAATCTTCTGGCCTACTCGTAATTCATCGAATCCCGATTGCAGATGACGGAACTCTATTCGCAGAGGACATTGAGTCGAGGCGACGATATTTACCGGCACCGGCACAGAACATAGCTTTCAACCCATCAAGCTACCCTGCTGCGCGGCATTCGACCCTGCTGGTCTCATTTCATTCTGGGTGCGTTAAAGTGTACTCCTGTTTCTCCACAAAGCCATCGAAGTCGTCGCGAAGGGCGGCCGGAGCTCAAGGCGACTATGAGACCTCCGAGACCGAGGGGAAATGGCTGATCACCCTTTACCCTGGCTTTGAGCAGTCACACTCTAGCCTTGCACCGCGTAAAACGATTACTGATGCCGAATGGGTGCTTGGCGGACGCGCCATAATGGTTCTCATGGCCGACGGCGATTGGGGAGTATGGGATCTTGAAGGGGCCGGACCTGGGACGGCCAAAGGTCCTCTCCAGCGACAGTCAAGCGTGCAAGGAGTGTCGGGTGGAGCTTTGACTGCTTTTTCAGTTAGTGGTCGTATCCTCAGTTTTCAATCTGGAGGAAGATCGGAGGGCGGTGCACCGGCTGTTGAACAGCGCCCGAAATTCGCTCCGATGACCCCTTCCACAAAACGTTTGCGCGAGGATACCCTACTGAAAGGGACTGCGACTGGGTCGTCTACTTCATCGTTGCGTGGCGGCATTTCTGTATACCAGACGAATACATCGCAGGACGCTCTACCGGATGAATCGGTTCTCGTTCGACACGGAAATCAAAGTACCACCATACCCAGTCTTCTGACTCTGTGGAGAAGCGCCGTACGGGCGACGGGAACTCTGGATGCATCCAATCGTTGCCGGGTAACCCCGATCCAAGATATTGCGCTCATGGGTGAGCCCTTGAAAGGGATCGGCCACATTCCCGTCGTATCTCGTCAATCTCGTCCGGAGGACCAGGCGTTCGACATCCTGGTTGCTGCGGAGCATCGCCTTGTGATCCTAGCGCCGAAGCTGACAGAACCCGAAGCCGGCCCTACTCGAACGTCGGTTACCGAGCCACCTACAGTTGAAGCAGATCAACTTCGGCTGCGCCGAGGAGAGCTCGACGTGGACGGGATGGACCGCTTACTTAGCGGAATGGCTGGCAGTCGCTCGCTTCGCATAGGAAGTCCCATCAAGCGGACGCGGGTTTTTACATGATGTACGTGACAAATAATATTGCGAAATGAGTTGCCCAGAGATACCCGCATGATGATATTTGATCTTTATTTTTTACACAACCACCCTCTGATATAGGAACATTCGCGCTGTAAGGTGGAGCGCAAGGCGAGGATCGTGCCTTGAAATGCCTCTCGAGGTATAAGCTCTGTATCGGCTGCGATATATCGATGGGGACGCTCTACTACTTCATGCGTCCCGCCCATACCACGGCCTGGTCTCTTCTGATGGAACGGGACCGGGCAGCATATGCATGTGGCGTGGACATTCCGATTTCTATCTACCTAGTAGTTTTATACAGTAGCTGTAGTTGTAAACATTACACAGGAGTTACATAATCACGCCATGGCGGGGGATAGAGAGCGATATCGCAATCGCCGGAGTCGCGGAATTCAGCAGGATCCAGAAATCTCCAAATAATCCGCGACTTTAAATCCAACCTCAACTCCGACTTCAACCTCATCTTTAATTAATTCCCGTCCCTCCTCCTTGACTCATTGACTCACAAAATGGCTCTCTTATCAGAGCCGCAACCAAGAATGGGTACCACAATTCTCTATCACCTCCATCTCCACCTGTATCGCGAAAACATAACCTAACACTCATCCTCGTTCAAGTCTGGGCCTCCCTAATAACAAACCTCTCCTACCTCCCTGGCCTCCTAACGCTGCACCACTCCCTCCGCCGCACACAAACAGCCTACCCCTTCGTCGCCCTCTACACACCCACCTTCCCAGAGTCCGGCCTCTCCGCGCTGACCGCGCGCGGAATCCGCACCCTCGCCGTCCCCGCCATAAAACCTGCAACAACAAACCGGAAATACGACGCCGATCCGCGCTTCGCAGAGACATGGAATAAACTCGTCGTATTCTCGCTAGAGGATGTCTTTGATCGCGTGGTGCTGCTGGACGGGGATATGCTTGTTAGGAAGAATATAGATGAATTGATGGAGATACCGCTCGACGGGGACGCAAACGAACATGAAGACGGGGAAGACGAGCATGATGGGCTGGGCTCTGGGAGGAGGGTCTTTGCGGCAAGTCATGCTTGTGCTTGTAATCCCATGAAGAAGGCGCATTATCCAGCTCATTGGTATCACCACCTCTCTTTTTTCAATTCCTACCGTCCCTTGCCCTTCCGTCTCCTCCCTTGCCCAAAATCACCCCGCCATACCAGACTCGCTCTCAGGCTAATATAAATGGAATTGATGTAACCAGGACCCCCCAAAACTGCGCCTTCACGACACAACACAAAACACCCACAATAGCTCAATCCACCGGCGCACCCAGCACTGCCGGCGTCGGGATGCTAAACAGCGGCCTGCTAGTGGTAAAGCCGAGCCTAGCGACATTCGGCGCAATAGAGACACTACTGAATATGCCCGAGAAGGTCAACAGTTATACATTCCCAGACCAGGAGCTACTCTCCGAGGCGTTCACGGGCCGATGGGTGCCGTTGCCGTATGTGTATAATGCGCTTAAAACAATGAGGGCCGGAGATGTGCATGGGGCGATTTGGAGGGACGGGGAGGTGAAGAATGTACATTATATCTTCGCGGTGAAGCCGTGGCAGGAGGAGCCACCAAGTAAAGAGGGTAGAAAACAAGAAGGGGAGGGAGATATGTTGAATGAGTGGTGGTGGGAGATGAATTGGGAGAGGCAGAGGTGGGAGAAGGAGAAGGGGATTGAAGACGGTTATTGATTGATTGACACGGATAGATTTATCTTATCTAGTTACTGATGAAGGCGCGCGGGATAGATAGATAGTTTATGACATGTACATTGACGATGATGAAGCCAAAGAGCAGGCTGTATGCTGCGCTAGATTGACATGGCAGACGGAATAGAGGCATGAATGCATGTGCAAGTAACGCGCACTTAATCCAGGTACGCTTATCCGTTGTAGCCCAGGCCTTCCAATTCCTTGCGCACTGATTCCTCTGTGTGGATCTTTTTCATCTGCGTATCCTCCAACTTCTCACCGCCGGCAAGGCGCATCTTCAGGTCGTCGATTGCACGAATCTTCTTCAGCAGGCCGCGAATCTTCTTATCGTGCACGCTAGGGACGCCATCATCGACAGGGGTAGGCTCCGGAATAGGAGCGGGAGCGGGAGCTGCCTTGGTCGCGCCGTTGGGTTGCTGCTTCTGCTGCTGTCCGTTCTTACGGCCATCCTTAGGCCGACCGTTCTCGGTCTTCTTCTCTCCGCGGGCCGGGCTGCGCTCATTGACTTCTTCTTCCTGGCCCTCCTTGAGCTTGCGAGCCTCACGCTTCTTCTTGTTTCTCGCCGCAGACTTGGATAGCTTCTCTGACTGGTCCGCACCAGGTGGCAGGGCAACACCTCCTCCGGGAGCGGCTCCCGGGGGAAGGAATTCTTCAACCGGCTCGGCACCTGGCACACCACGTCTGCGAGATCGGGCCTGGCCGTTCAGAGCACCACCTGTCGCGGTGCCTTCGGGGACATAGGCAGATCCACCCTGGTCTTCACGGCGGAAGGCCAGAGGGGTGGATTGTCCACGGGCACCTGGGGGTCGGTATGCGCCGGCGGGCTTAACAGGAGCTTTCCTAGTGCTGAGATAGGCCACTGCCGAAGCGTGCGGGGTGGGCAGAGGGTTGAACGGGTCGCCTAGTGGGTGCTGAATGGTGGATTGGGGGCGCCAGACGACATCGTAAAGCTCGTTGATGTCCTCGTTGTACAGCAGTGCTCCGCTGACGTGCCACAAGCGGAGACCGTTGTCTACTCGCAGACGGGGACTGGTGGTGGCAGTCAGGATGGTCTGGCCATCAGGCGACCAGGCGCAAACACTCGAGTTCGCCGCCTCCACCGTAGTAATCTTGTTGTAGTTCTTCTCCATATCGTAGATGTCCATCTGACCAGCCATGTTTCCAAAACCGGCCACGAGGACGAAGCGACCATGGGGAGAAAACAGGATCGTGTTTCGGGGGGTCAATGGGAAACTGTGCTTGGGAACACCGCGAACATTGAAGATAGTCGTCTTGGAGGGAATGGTACCGTAGACGACACCGAACTCCGTGGAGGTGGGAGACCAACTCACGTCGTGGATCGGGCCCTCTCTGTCTGTTTGAATATTAGCATACCGTCAAACAAATGAATAACGCGTTCTACGTACCCAGATGCACCCGAGAATCAAATTGACCGGTCGAGCTCAGCAGGTAAAGAGTAGTCTCTCCGTAGTAACTCTTGCCGGTTTTATCGACATCAGTCTGCGCAAGGACAATCAAGCTGGTGCCAGATGCGTTCCATTTCAATTGAACCTTATCACCCTTAAAGAACGTCTTCTGCGATACCGGTGATCCAAACTGAGGCACCAAAAACACCTTGACGGCAGCGGGTTGTCCCTAGAACAGCTATTAGTCCAGGCAAAGCTTCAAAAAGAATTCACGATATAACGCACCTTGCGCTCAGGAATGAAAACCGCAACGGATTGATTCTGGCCTTGCGAAAGCGCAAAATCTGCCACCCCCTCCACGCGCAGCTTATTCCAGACCTTAGATAGGTTATCGCTTTGATAAAACTGGACCTCGTTGGTGACGACGCGGGCGCACAATTTCTCATCGGCGGTGTACTGGATATTCCAGCCGGTCTGTGACTTTTGGACATACTGTCCCACAATCCGTTCCTCCGTCTCTAGCACGTGCCAGACCTTCAGGTTCTTGACAGCATCGCCATTGGCATCCTTGGACGGACGCTGCCACGTAATCAGGTATGTTCCGAGGGGCGAGAATCCCAGTTCGAAAACGTTGTCGGCGGGGATCGTGGAAACGGCATGTCCGACGGAAGGATCAATAATGGTGACCCTGGTACGATGTTAACCATGCATTCTTCTCTTCAAAGTATAAGGAGCGCAGGGGTGCATACTTCTCGGGAGATGCCCAAGCGAAATATCGGCCACAGGGAGAATATGCGCTGCAACGAAGGTTCCCCTCCGGTCTAGAAAAGATCAATCAGTCAGTGATATGTTCGCCCGGTTGGCAGTGTCGCGACAAGAAAAAACATACCTCTCAAACCCCGCCAAGGGCTCGTACACAGGAGACGCATCCACGATGCCAACTCCCTTGACCGTGCGGTCTGCAGCAGATTAGCAATTGTTCGCACACGACTCCACCTAAGGCAGCAACCAAAGTGGGGAGAGGAATGCCTACAAGCAAGTTGTGTAGGAGCAGCCATGTTGAGTGATTCAACAGTTTCAATCACAAAAACCCAAAGTTCTGATTGTAGCGAAACGCGCACAGGATCGACGTGGCTCTAGAATGAGCTGTGGATAAGCTGAAGTTAGGCTCCCCGCCAATGAGTAAACACGAGCAAAGAGGATAACGCGATCGTAGAGTATCGAGCGGTATAGATAGACGATGAATATCGCTATCGACGAGACGGCGGCCGAAATCAAGTGCTGTAGTTCTGCGTGACGAGCTGCTGGTTGTTTTGTCCAAGGCGACGCACAAAGAACGAGGTCAAAGACGACGGAACTTGGCAGGTTGGAACTCTTGTCAAGTCTCCAGTCCAAGTTGTTTCAGATCAGAATGATGCTTGACAAGTCAATGCCAGCAGGGAACAGGACAGGACGACTGTAGGAGGGGGTGGTGAATGGGAGATGGAAGAGTGAAGAAGAGAAGAAGAGAGGCAGACTGTGACTGAGCGGCGGACGCAGAAAAAGCGGCAAATGTTCCCAATTCGGCAAGTCTGCGAACGCCGAACTTGAAACATCAGATTCTACAAGAGTACAGATCATTTTGTTTTCTTTTTTTCGCATAATTTAAGTTTCGAGTTTTTTTTTTGGCGTATTTTCTTGAAATCGAAGCTTTCCACGCTACGGCTAGTACCTGGACGGTAGTCTCTGAGTATCGCGGGCGGCTTGAAGGGCGTGCCGTACTTTTGCCACCCGAAAGGCATCTTTTATCTTTTCATATCAATTGTGCACAACTTGATTGCTGACTTTATCCTACAAAATAAAAGAAATCACCAACCTTTTCGGAAGAAGAGCCGCCTCCCATGAGCGTCAAGTCTCGACCCTCTCGACCCTCTCTTCGGGGGTGAAACAAAAACATTTAGACTCCAATCCGATAAGCAGTAAACCATTGCGAACGCCTGCGTCACATAAGAAGTAGTAATCGTAGTCATACCGCTACCCACAACCACAGTCTTCAATACCGCTCGTCGTGAGGGTCCTCAATGCCGGGAGTAGCCAGTCGCGGAGTTCTCGCAGTCGTGTCAACGACATCGGCATCGTAGGTCATCCCATCGACCATACGTGCATCCTGAATCGGCTCCGGGGTGGCAGATGTACTCCCGGGCGGGGCAAGGGTATTCTGCTGCATAGGGTGGCCGCTGTCACTCAGATGAGGCGAGTAAGGCGCCATGGGGGTAGCCCGGCTACGGCTCGGGCTACCGATTGAGCTCGGCCGGCCACTGGAGGACGTCCGGTTGAGTCCGGAATGTGAGATCGGGCCACTCATGGTACTTGCGCCCTCTCCGAAGCCGACCAGACTGGCATCTCCTTCGTCGCTGATGTTGCCGACGCTGGACACGTCGTCGGCCTCGCTCATCTTATCAGCATCAAAAGCGTCGCTACCACTGGCCCAGGTGGTGCGAGCGCCTACGCTGCCCGTTGCGCTGGCGCTGCCTACCGTGCTCCTCTCCTTCATGCCGGAGGCCGTGTCAAAGTAGCCCGGTGTGTATGCAACAGAGGGAGCGGTGGTGGGGTGTCCTGCGCCGCCGGCTCGTGCAGTAGCAACCCGCTCTAGACCGGCTAGGCGGGAGATGCGGTCGGCGCGCTCAGCCTCCAGGGTGGTGGTTGAGCTCATGGATGTGTTGGAGGAGTGGTGCGCATGGTGCCCGTGGGGGTGGGGCTGGCCCTGGTGGCCGTCCTTGATGGCGGTGGTGGACAAGGCGGAGAGAGAGGTGGTGGTTGAGTTGGGAGTTCCCCTATCGTCATCGCGCTGTCAGTCAATTTCACAGACGGGAAGGTCAGGGAGGTGGTCATACGGTCCCATATCCGATGGAGTTACCGGGTCGGAAGGGGGAGGGGGGAGATTGATCAAGGTAGGGGTGGTCATTTTGCTGTATGCAAGACAAGAGGTGCGGCGGGTGTTTGAGATTCGATGTAGAGCAGATCTGCTCGACGGCGGGGATATGGAAGCCGACTTAGCAGAGCTTGAACTACCTATGGTTGGGCAGGAGATCAGGCTGAAGAAGTAGGGTAGAGATTGGGAGTGGGAATCAATCCACAAGGTCTTGGGAGACGGCAAGATGAGTTTCCAGGACGGAAAGCGATAGAAGAGGCCCGGCCGAAAGAACCAGAGCCAGGCCCAGCGGTATGGAAGTCTGCAGCTGTGCAGTCGGCTTGCGCAGGCCGCTGGTTTAGAGTTTCTGTTGCGCAGACGAAGGGCGGTGCAGGCACGCGGGTCGTCAGCAAGTCGTCGGTGCAACTGTTTAAAGATTCCGAGCAGGAGACTTCTGGACAGACGTTCCAGGGCGCTCCTTTATATCGCGACTGGACACAGCATTATTCACTGCACTTGGAGGTCCACAGTCCACAGCTGGTGGTATTATCGCAGATGATGACGTCATCGCGTTAGAGATTCGGCAACGCCTCACTTTCCCTGAAGCATGCAAATCACTGGAGCTTGCTTCACTGCAGGCATATTGTATGGCTGTACCGAATAATTGACAGTGGGCCGGGAACGGCAGCCTTCACAGAATGATGCTGATTGTGGTCCAGTTATGCATCACGATCCCGAGTATATATATAACACACGAGTCTCATACCTAAGCAAATATGCATGGAAAATGCAAAAACGTTATTATACCAAGAGTGTAAGGCAAAAGTCGTCCTTCCAGTTGCTCTCAAAAAAAAAAAAAAAAAAAAAAAAAAAAAAAAAAAGCCAAGCCCATACTCTATCAGTAGGGTGTATTTAAATTCTACACTATTTACATACTAACCCCGCAAGGGTCCAGCCTGTCCTTACTGAGCAAAAACAACCTCATCAAACAAAACATGCCCTGTCGCGCTGCTCCCCGAGAATGTACAAGCTGCAATGATATTCAGTACATCTTCACTGGTCTTGGGCATGTATCCGCCCTTCAGCTCAGTCCACTCGTTCGGTGTATCAACAATGTTGGCAATCGCACCGGTTGTCGCATTATTTCCGCCGTAGACATACACAGAGCAGTAGTTTGCGGCTCCGGCTCCACGGGTACGGGTTTGCAGAGAGACGGTGTAGTTTATGCCTGGGGAGAGACCGGAAAGCTTTTGCGAGGCGGTGTTGCCTCTGTTGCCGACGGCAGTCTGGAGGTTGCTGCCTTATTAGCTGCGAGCTTATATCTGGGAATAACCGGGGAAGTACAGGTAGTAGTCGCCGGAGTAGGGGGTGTACTCGGCATCGGACGTTTCAACGACAGCAACATTAGGGGCGGAGGCGAACCAGGGCGAGAGGGAGCCAGATTCGAAGCCTCCGTTTGCGAGGAGATTGACAGACATGATGGAGATGACTCGCCTACAGGGAGGACAGAAGATGAGGTGAAATCCTGTAAAACAAGGAAGACTGGCGACTTTATACTGTCTAATTGAAGAAATACCTGAAACACGATCAAGAAAGCGATTGTTTAATTGGAGCAGTTCGGCTGGACCCGATCCTTAGTGGCGGGCGAGAGAGAACATCCACAAATTAGAACCTGACGAACACCTCCAGTTGCGACGTTGGGGCCAGTTTTTGGACTTGTCCGTGATGTTTGGGCTGCCGGTGGCACAGTATCACATTCTTGTTATTTCCTCCAACTTGGAATCCTTGATCATCCCATTCGGAATATCGACTATAATACGGGCAAGTTCAGTTCTCATAAGCACTATAAAGTTAGACAAAACCATAGATCCACAGACCAAAAACAGGAAACAGGAAACTCACTGCATTAGCCGCACATACGACGGACTCATCAGTCGGTCCTGCTTAGACCAATGCCCATCAGCAGGCAACTCACAGCTCCCCAGATTCCTCTTCACACTGAACGACACCTGCTTCTTGTCTTTCACCCCGTCGTCGTGGCGGTGGCCTTCCCCACCCAAAAGAAGCCCCATTTCCGACGTCCTCATCGCCCAAAGCAAGTTATAGTGCGCATCCGCAAACCCATCATCATCCAACTGCCATTCCATCACCCTAGCATCCGTGGAAACCTCGTAATCCGTTTCCGCAATAAGCATGCCCTTCCTTCCGATATATAGAACCGTCCTGATCCGCGCTTCCACAAAGGCATGGCTGGACACAGCACAGCAATGAACCAGCGCCGGAGCGTGAGCCGGAGCGTGAGTGGGAGCGCGCCCTGAAACCAACGAACCATGTCCATTCGGAGTAACAACTCCCCTGCAAGAACCCAGCACGAAGAACCTCTCAAGCCCGTCCTTGAGCACAACCGGTTTACCCTTTGCCATGCGCCGCAGATGGCACACGATGCGGTTCTTATCGTGAATTGTCAAGGCCACACAGGGGCATAGGTCTATGACGCCCGCCTCGGTCCAGCAGAATTCCCTGTAGATCATGGGCCCGGTGTATGTCGGGTGCGCGAATGTTTCGCGGCGGTGCAGTTTCATGCATTTTGCGCAGTATCGGACGCGTTTATCCTGGAGGCGGCGGAGAAATTGTTGTCTTGTCTTGCCGAGCTTGATGATGCCGTCTGGGTAGAGATGAGGGAGTCGGAGCTGGTAGAGGCGTGGGAAGCGGAAGAGCTCGTTCTCGAAGACGTGGTTGAAGATGAAGTGGAAGGATTTGCAGGTTAGAGCGAGGCTGGCTTGGTCGATGAGTGGGAGGTATTGGAAGATCTCGACTAGGAGTTTGTTGGGGAGGGCTGTGAGGGACGGCTTGGTGCGTGAAGGACGGTGGAGAAGACCGAGGAGCTTTTTGAAGAGGGCGGCCCCGAAGTTGGGAGTTGGAATGAGGCCTGTTAGCTCGATCATCCTCTTGTGTTGGGCGCAGCGTGGGCGTTGGGCATGGTTGCTGGATAGGCCATGTTTGGGAGAGTGGGATTTATCGAATGAAAGATGATGACAGGTTGAGTTTTACAGAATCCGTGGTCCAGACACCGTGTGAGTGAATCAGACTTTTTCTTGTTTGTGTAGAGAAACAGTAGTGGGCTGGACCGTGAGCAAGTTTGCATGAGCAGATTATACATTCTATAGCAAACTCTAGACCACACTAGAGGAAGTAACCCAAGGAAACCCCGCCGGTGTCAATAGCTGCTCACACGGCACATCAAAAAACATATTTCCCAGCTCAGGAAAGGCAGTGTATATGACATCTTCACCAATCGGACTCATATATTGAGAAGCAGTCAAATCTACCGGGTTCAAATGTTGCACCACGGGCTCGAGAACTGCAGCAGCTTTCGAACAAACAGCGCTCCTCGAAGCATTGTTAACAAGTAGCTCTACGCACCGGAGAAGAAGAATTATCGTTTCTGGTCTCGCCTGGCCATCCAGCTGTCCATTTCCGTGTAGCACAAGCAGCGTAGTGATGGAGAAAAACGCATAGAAGGAGCCCAGCCCGTCGACGTACCACCGGTATGAGCGGAATATAGGCTCCGAGTAAAGCTTTTCGAAATTAGACAGGATGATGGTTGCTGCGTGCTCGCATCGATCTGAACTTTGTTTGTATCTGTTGTCTGAGAGCCATGGCCTATGGAGAAGAACGGTAAGATGGTTGGTGTAGTTGGCGAGAATGTAGTAGTGAGCCTGGTGATAAGGCTCCAGTTCCGCGAGTGGTCTTGATGTGAAGCGTGTAAAATGACATTGTTGCTCATAGGAAATCTTTGCACCAAGGGCGTCTGCTTTTGCACGGTCGTCCGGGGATGTGAGTTGGCAGATTTCGAAGGCGAGATTATATAAACGGAATTTATATAGTAGATAGGTCATTTTTGTTGGAGCGTCGCCTTTACTAGGGAGATTCCTGTAAGTGTCGAGCGTCAAGTCATCATCCTCAATGTCAGCCGGCAATTCCACATGAGAGTCAATGCGGAAAGGCATGAGATTCCCGAGACAGGTATTCTGGATGGTATACAGCATCTGCAACGCAGCCCAGCATCGTCGACGCTCCTCGGCCTCGATGCGGTTGACGTTGAGTCGTGCTGGGTCAACTGCACAACCGATAGCAATAGCAATATGGAGAGCTGTACCGAGGAGAGACCAGGCCGGGCCTTGGGAATGGTTGATCGCGTAGATGAGCAGAACTAGACACTGAACCGTGCAGAGATTGTGACGGAACATGAAGTTGTCAGCGACAAGACAGCGCATGGCCGCGCCCCTGTATTTGGCTGAGAGACTGCGAATATTAGCCCCGGGCGATGGGTCGCGGCCGAGATGCATAAGTAGAGGGTTGCTTTCGTCCAGTGCAGTGACCGAGAGGCTGAGAATGACGAAGAGAAGGGCAAGGCAGGGCAATGAGATGCTTTTCGGATTCTGCCTGAACTCGTCATACGTAGCATGAAAGGTCGGGTCATGAAGGATGTGGAATATCGGCGAGAATACTTCGAAGTATACTGCCTTGAGCTCTTCCAGTTGTGGCAGAGGAGGGAGCATATCTAGCAGCTCGTCCGAGACAGCACTTGCGCCGGCCTGTTCGAAGAAAGGAAACCCGGTCGGACACCCAGAGGTCGTCTCATGCATTGCATCAATGAGCTCGGAATCACCGAGTCCATTTGAAGGTATGAACCGGACATGATTCGATGGTGAGACAACTAGACGGCCTGATTGTTGGTTGGGGACGGTCTGGCTTGGACGTTCTCCGGTGGCAATCTGTGAAGCGGGGGAGCTCGACTCTGGAGACGGCAGCCGAGCTTCATTTCGCTGGTCTAGCAGCGCTGTTGTCACTGCAATATTCCGTCTCAGGAGGTCCTCCAAAGAAGAAACATTTGTCGCATCCGGCGATCGAGCTGCTGCCTCGTAGGGATCCTGGCGGCGGAAGCGACAGCTTGAGGCATAACCACGACGAGAGCAGGTATCGCAGGGGGCATTATAACCAGAGGTGATGCATCTGATCTTGCGCTGGCGACAATTCTCGCAGCTGAGAGGAAGGCGTCTCGACGACATGTTTTGAGGGTAAATTGGAGAAAAGAATGGGGGACTGGGGAGGACTGGTTTATAGGACGAATACCGTGCGGGGTTTACATTCGGCATTATCCGCTTATGCAATGTATTAATACTATAAAACTATTCAATACTATCAAATATTCAATTACAATACAAAATAATCAATATGCCTTTTGCATAGGCGTTACAATCTCCAACTCCTCGACTCCCTGCGTGATTCTCTGCGTGAGCTCATGGGCAGCCATATTCGGCACCAGCAGCTCCCTCCGTCCAGCTTTGTGAACTCGTCCGTTGATGATAATCACATTAAGCCTTTGATGATTCTGTAAGATGGTGATATCGTCCAGCGGATCCCCATCGACTAGAACGCAATCTGCGAAGTTTCCTGCTTTGATCTGGCCCATCTCGTGCGACCTCATGAACAGTTTTGCTACGCCGTATGTCGCTGCAATTATGGCTTCATGCGGTGTAAAGCCAAGGAATTTGGTGAAATGCTCGAGATCCCGGGCATATGTTCCATGAGGTGTCCAGGCAAAGCCGTAGTCCCTAAAGATATCAGTAACAGCCTACGTTGAAAGGAAAGGTGATATACCCGCCAGGCAGGACTACGATTCCACGTCGGTGCATTTCCCGCAGTCCACGGATCGCAGCTTCAAGTTCTTTCTTATATCCAACCTTCTCAGCGACTTCTGTGGCATATCCAAATGCACTTGCCTCGTAAAGCGTGGCATAGAGCCAGTTGAGCGCAGGGACAACCACATGCTGTGACCTTTTCTTCTCCAGCATGTCCATCCCTGCTTTCGTTAGAATTGCCCTTGGGGAGGAATCTATGTCCTCACCTTCTTCATCAATATAGGATCCATGATATATGATTTCTACCCCATGCTCAATGCACTGTCTGACGGAATCTCGAGCCCGAGCATGGGCGCAGAGCCTGATTCCAAGCTTATGGGCCTCATCTACACATGCCTTTGTCTCTTCGTCACTGAAATAGCAGTCCATTGCATCGCGGATCTCAGTTATCTGCCTCAATCAGCTTCATATGCACATGCTCTGTAATTGAAATGTGGTTAATACCGATTCTCCAGACATCGACAGCTTGACCTGGTCGACACCCAACTCAACATGTTCGCGGATTCTGTGTTCATCAGAAATTATAGCAGATCTCAATAGGAGAGAACGTACACCTGACGCATTTCATCCGGCCCGTCGGCGTATGCAGTAATCCCAGGCACCAAGTCACCATCTCGTCGAGCCATCTCTTGACTATTGGCAAGATACCGCGGCCCTGGTATATCTCCAGCATTGATCGCATCACGGACAACCACATCTAGTCGCTTCTTTGCGGACGCAGCACCAAAGCACCTAATACGGTCAGTACATTCTTTTGAATGATATGGACAAGCCATACATGGTATACCCAGAGTCAATGAAACTCCGGGCACTCCGCGCCGTCAAGAGCGTGTGCTCTTCGATGCCCAACTCGCCCAACCGGCCGAGATCCCCCCCATTCCAGCTCAGATGGGTATGTGCATCTCCGAGACCGGGAATCAAAGTACGGCCGTTGCCATAGAATACTCGGACCTTGGGGTCTTTGATTAGGTCTTCTTTTCCAGGGACCTCGCCGACATGCGTGAACCGCTCTCCTGCTGCACGTAAGCATGAGTTAGCAGTATGAGTGGAAGAATGTACCTGTGATTAGTACATCTCCATGATAAGGAGCTTTCCCGGTTGCATCGATTATCTGAATGTCGGTAATCAAGACCTTTGACTCTGGATGTGTTCCTGCAATGCTGTATGATTTTGGTTGCAGTTTCTCGTCGAACTTAAGTTTATCTATGTATGCGACATTCCGAGGTGGTCCGTTGTAAGGCTCGAGTGGGTAGTCTGGAGATGTCCACGATAACTCAGACATATTGAATAAATCTGAGTATACCCAGGGAAAGTGGCGAATCCAGAGAAACCCATGTCAGACGAGGAGTATATATACAGCATAAGTCTGACAATTGGCCTCACACCCCCTCCGATGTGCACTATAAGCCAGGAACTTCTATTATGCAGCCGTGGAGTCGCGGTGCGGGCACCAATCGTGTCATTCTTGATTGACCATCGCCGCGCATCTCCGCTGTTCGCCGCTCTCCATCCACCGTCGATCCAATTTGCCCTCCGCATTTCTCCATATACTGAGCTTCCTCGGTGACCTTGACAACATGCGGGAGAACATTCACAATGGGCTGGTTAACACACCGCCGTCCAGCGCTACCCACTCACTCAGAGAAGAATGCGGCCTACAGTGAACATGTCGAAGATATCACCCCATCACCAACACAGCTGCAGACTCGCACATTCCTAGACCGGGAATACCCCAGTCAAGACCCCTCAACTGCAGACTCAGACCTCCCCTACATCGACCCGGCAGTCCTCTCCCTCGTGGAAAAGTCCTGGAATTCAGCTTTAACTGCAGACAAATCACACAATACAGATACAAGTCCGCCATTCCCACCCGCCTGGATTGTAATCGATAATATCGTCTACGACTGCACAGATTTCCAACACCACCACCCCGGCGGCTCCGTTGTGATTCGCAGCTTCGTGGGGCAGGACTGCTCATGGCAGTTTTGGAGGTTTCATGGCAAAGAACAGATGAAGAGGGCTGGAACAGGATTGAGGATTGGGAGGACGAGCGGAGTGAGGAATCGATTTACGGAGACTCCGAGATATGTTGGGTCGAGCAGTTTGGATGATTGGTGATTATCTGATGCGTGTTAATAGACTATGAATGTTGTATACTAAGATACTTGGTATTTACAAAGACCATCGATACTGGAGATCGGGTATATCGGTAGACTACCAGCTCAATACTACTTAGAATAGAATAAGCATACCACGTTCATATCCATCTGCCGCGAGTCAGCGTGACCAGTAGACGGAGATGCGCGGAGTGAGGCCGAGATGGAGATTCGCAATTGCAGTGGAGAACAGGCGGGGTCATATTTGACAATTCCATTCGATTATTATTTAAGAGGGCCAGCTGCACTGGAAAACATTCCAACAGAGTAACACAGACAATGGCTTCCCCTCAGTTCAATTACTGCGCCTACGTCGACCCCAGCTCCGGGGGAGACCGCATCGGCCACCTCGACCTGCAGTCAGAACACATTCAACCACTGTCATTCACGTCCGGCACGCGAATCAACAACCTATACCAGGTCATCGAAGCCGGCGAAGCCAACATCCTCCCCGCGCGTGAAGACCCAATCCTTCTATCCCAGGTCAAACTGCTCCCCACCATCTCCGGCCGCGACATCCTGGCCGTGGGCAAGAACTACGCCGAACACGCCAAAGAATTCAACTCATCGGGCTTCGACTCTTCAGACAAAGTCGACCAGCCCAGCGCGCCAGTGATCTTCACAAAACGGGCAACGTCCATCATCGCGCACGGCGAGGATGTGCTCCTCCATCCGGAATTCACGCAGACGCCCGACTACGAGGGCGAAATTGGCGTCATCATCGGCAAGGCTGGGTATAAAATTCCCGAGTCGCAGGCGATGGACTATGTCTGGGGATACACCATCATCAACGACTTCACGGCTCGTGAGAGACAGCGGGACCACAAGCAGTTCTATATCGGCAAGTCACCGGATACTTACTGCCCCATTGGGCCTGTTGCTGTGCCCAAGGAGAGACTGCCGGAGAATCTGCGTCTACAGACGTTCGTCAATGGCGAGGAGCGGCAGAATGCTACAATAGATCAATTGATATTCAGCATCCCGAACTTGATTTCGACGCTGTCCCAGGGGCAGACGATTCAGCCTGGGGATACGATCGCAACAGGGACCCCGTATGGCGTGGGCTTTGGGTTCAGACCGATGAAGTTCCTCAAACCTGGCGATGAGGTGAAAGTCTCAGTTACTGGGCTGGGAGCACTCGTCAACCACATGGCAAGCCTAGATGCAATCAACCCAACGATCGAACGCATCAACACCACCTCCTCAATCCCAGTCTCCAACCAGAAGACCAGAAGTAGCAACGGCCTCGTCAACATCGGTACGAAGAGCCTCTTCTACCAATTCCGAGGCCAGCCCGACGCCGACCCCGTCATCTTCATCCACGGCCTAGGAGGTTCCTCTACCTACTTCACCCCTCTGGTCGAGAAACTATCCAAAACACACGCCTGCCATCTAACAGACCTCGAAGGCCACGGCCTCTCTCCAACAAACGGGCTCAGCAGCCTCACAATCTCCTCCCTGGCATCCGACATCCGAACCCTCTACACGACTGTCTCAACCCAGTCTGAAAAGCCAGTAACCATAATTGCCCACTCAATGGGCTGTCTCGTCGCCCTCAAACTCGCCCTTGACTCCTCATTCCCAGCCTCAATCTCAAACCTCATCCTCCTGGGTCCCCCTCCTTCGCCCCTCCCGGCAGCAGCAAGCAACGCAACCTACGCCCGTGCCGAAACAGTGCGCAGGGACGGCATGCTGGCAGTCACAGACGCGATCGTCAACGCAGGCCTTTCGCAGCGTACAAAGTCTGAAAACTCGCTTGCTGTAACGGCTACTAGGCTATCGCTGCTTGGTCAGGATGCAGAGGGGTATGCGAAGGCTTGTATGGCGCTTGCGCGGTCGGCTGAGGAAACTTTGAATGTAGAGGGGGTGGCGGGGAGTAGGACGTTGATGGTGACGGGGACGGATGATGCGGTTAGTCCGCCTACTTTGTGTGAGAAGTATGCGCAGAGAATTGGAAGTGGGAAGGGACAAGCGAAGGTGGTGGTGTTGGAGGGTGTAGGGCATTGGCATTTGTTTGAGGATTTGGCGAAGACTACAGCGGCGGTTTATGAGTTTATGGGCATAGACTAGGAGGTGGGCGTTTCCTGCATTAACAGCCTTTGACCATTAATTTAAATGGTATATACAGAATCCCCGAAACAGTAATATATACACTTTAGAAACTAAGCAACCCACTCAACAAACCTCTTAAGAAGACTCTTCTCACCCCCCTCCTCAAGGGTATAAGTATCCGTCTCCAGATCCACCTCATGCAGCTTTACAAACTTGGTCCGCTTAATGATCTTCCACCCTACAAACATAATCAACATAATTGGCAATTCCACATAAAAGCTCACGAAACTGACACCGTCAAATCTCGGGCTGAAGCAGGTCCACCCTTGGACGAGCACGATTACGATGTTGAGAATTACGCAAACCCAGGGACCAACCGGGTACGTGAAGTTACGGAAGGGCAGGAGGTGCGTCTTATTCTGGGCCTTCATTGCGCGTCGGAACCGGATTGAGGTGATGCCGATGGAGATCCAGGAGAGTTGGTTGGAGACGCCGACGATACTGTTATTTTATTAGTGTATACTCCAAAGATAGTGCTGGGTTGGGACGTACTTCTGCAGCCAAGTCCAAAGCTGACCCGCGCCGATCTTGCTCGAGCCGAAGCAGAGTCCGCTGACGATTCCAGTGGCTAGGACTGCGACCCAGGGGACTTGGTTCCCGTTTAACCGGGCGAAGACCTTGGGCGCGTGTCCGGATACGGCGAGGGTGTAGAGGAGGCGGACGCCTGCGAAGAGGGCGTGATTACCGGCTGATAGAACGGAGGTTAGGATGACGGCGTTCATGACGCTGCCGGCGGCTTTGGCGCCGGTCATTTGGAAGATAAGGGTGAAGGGGGAGGTTTTGACGTCGCCTTCTGAGAGGTCTGGGAAGTTGTATGGGAGATTGAGGCCGATGATTAGGGTGGATAGAATGTAGAAGATGAGGATTCGCCAGAACACGTTGAGGACGACCTTTGGGAGAGTCCTTGCTGGGTCTTTGGTTTCTCCCGCAGTGATGGCGATGGACTCGGTGCCGCCGTCTGCAAGGGTCAACATGATTCTTCTTCTTCTTCAACTGGAGGGTCTTACAGGCGAATGCTGCGGTGACGAAGACAGATGCGAAACCGCCAATTCCATCGACAAAGGGCGCGCCTGGGATGTGCCAGTTCTCGCCGCCGATGTAGTGGCCGGATTCATTGCCGCCGCAGTTGACGACTATTCCAAGGATGATGAAGACCTACGCGTATTAGTATGGAATGTAGTATGACTGTAGTATGATGGAGTATACTCACGACGATGGTGATAACCTTGAGCACACTCATCCAGTACTCGACCTAAGCAATTAGCATATAGTCTAGAGAAGGAACGAGAACTCACCTCTCCATAAACATGCACCGCAAACAGGTTCAGCGCAATCAAAACAGCCCAGAAGATCAAACTGAAAGCCCATCCAGGAAAGTTGTCGGACCAATACTGGAGCACCAGCTGCAGAGCAACCAGATCCGCCGCGGTGGAAACAGCATCATTGAACCAGTAGTTCCAGGTCAGAGCAAACCCAAATGCGTCGTCGACGAACCTCCTACACAGAATTAGTAACGAAAGGTAAAGCGATATAGTAGACTATACGCACCCTGCAAAAGTACAGAAGCTCCCCGCGACAGGCACAAACGCAGCCATCTCGCCCAGACTGAGCATCGTCACAAAGATAATACCGCCGCAGATGGCATAGGCGATGAGCATCGAGGCCGGCCCACCGGTAGCCAGCGAGCTGCCCGTACCCAGGAACAGGCCGGTTCCGATGGTGCCCCCGATCGCGATCATCTGGACCTGGCGGGCGGAGAGGCCGCGGTTGAGGCGGTCCTGGTGCACATGGCTGGCCTCGGAGGGCGCTGGCCCTGGGGCGACGGAGGGCTGCTTGTCGGCCATTCTGACGCTGCTGCCATATGGAGGACGAGTCAAAGAGAAAATCGCAAGCCGAAGCTTTTGCCCAGCGGAGACTGCGTGATCGGAGCTGACGATTGCGTCTTCGGTTTCCTGCTGTCATCGTTTCCTTTTTCCTTTTTTTTTTGCCTTTTTTTTTTTTTCGTGAATTTTGCCCCGGATCCAACGTTACATTCACCCCACTTGCGGCCTTCGCCGATGCTGATCCGCCTCGTGTATATCCGCACTATAAATATATGTACAGTGTACTGCAGGGTTTGCTGTGCTCTGTAGATTCGTTATTGTTTTCGAACACATAGCTGTGTATTAACCGAATGAGTAGAGCTCAGTGTGTCTTTCACCGCAGCAAGACCAAGCCATACAGTGGAGTCGCTAATAAGAACGTCGTTCGATGTCGATGCGACACCGCTGTGCGAGTTGGGAGTATGTAGTTTAATAAATCGGTCAGTGTAGTATGTTGCAGTTGTAGAAAGGAGATGCATCCCAAACAGCTGCAAGATCGAACGGGTTTAGGAAGGCTCATCCAGGCTCTGGTCTTCAACATCGTCGGCGAATGACTGGGGATGTTTGCGATATTGTTAACACTGGAGGACATAGATTGTTAGTAAAAAGCCGACATTAATAGAAGACCTATAACGTTTTGGATCTGGTAGGGCACTACCTGGACTGTGATAATTGTGGTGAAGTAGATAGAGCGGCCTTTGGAGGCCAGGCTGACTGACTGAGAGATGTAAGGAAACTGGTTGAACAAACATGTCAGCATTTGCCTCTTGTTAATATTGCATTATTACATGGCTTAGATACTGACAATTCACACAATGGTGGTTGCTCTTTGATTTTGAAATCTGATAAGCACTTTGTGTGACTGCAATTGCCTGGATTTCAATCCTGCTTATTATGACACTTCACTTTGCACCTCAACGCGTGCATTTTTGAATAAAACAATATGAAAAATAAATGACAGCCCTAAAGTAGCCAATAGAGAACGTGCCCGGCGGTAGAAGTGGATCGTGCCTTTGCGCAGTTTATTGATATTGGACACAGGCAGGATAAGTGAATAGCTGAACTCGGTAAACACCGCAAAAGCAGTAGAAAGAAATCGAAATTGAATTTGAAAACACTTTCATCTCAGTATATGCTGTTACTACTGCTTTCTTTCCAAACGTCTTCTAATCTTATGATACCCGGTTCAGCCCTGGAATCGAAGCAACATGGCAGGCTCTCAGCCTAGCTGTGCCAACAATTCCGAGTGCCAGAAAGGTGGAAAATGTGCATGCACAAATTGCCGTCTTGTTCTTGTATGTTGCCCCGTTTGTGTTGGTAAATATGGATTCGACTGACGTCCTATAGTACTGCAGCGCGGCCTGCCAGAAAAGCCACTGGAAATTCCATAGGATTGATTGCAGATCAGAGCTGAACAAATCGAAATGGTTTCCTGCCTGGGTTACAGAAAATCGATCCCCCAAGAATCAGCCCCCATTCGGACCGGATAAGGATTTCATGGGGGACATGCCTGCGTTTGATCTGCTGAAACTTGGGGACAACGAAGGGAAAGACTATCACGGACATTTGCGTATCTTGCTTGCCGGTGAGCGTGGATTCTTGCTTACTACAGTATACTTGTTCTCAACTGATGATGCATGTCCTTCTGTATAGCATCTGGAGACCTTCGCAACGTGGTGAAGACAGTCACAGACCTTCCGGACGATTTCAACGGCAGTCTGGAAATCACGATAAACGACCACGACGCCGATGTAGTCTGCCGGAATGTCCTTTTGCTTCTCATTTCTTTAGTTGCTGGAGATGACGAAGAGGTAATCGAATGCATGATTCATGTGTGGTACTCAGCGTTCCTCCGCGAGTCCGATATCGACCTGCTCAGTCAATTCCGCCCACTCATCGAGGAAGTCTGCAAAGACTACGAGAATTCTGGCTGCAGCCACCCCACCGGAAGACAGTGGACTTTTGGGAAATGCGGTCTCGTTCCCGTCCTGAAGAAAGAGTCTTGGGATCGCCTTTTGTCTTTCCTGGAAGCACCTTTTGGCTACACGCCCACCCTTGCCCACAAAGCGAGAACCCTGGCCACGAAAGTGAAATCGCGCAAGGACTGCCGTGAGCGATATCTGTACAGCCAGCCTCCTGCCCACAGAGTGGCGCACGAGAAGTTCTGGGACGATGGAATGCTTCTCCCCTTTGGGGCCTCGCGCGAGGAGTTCTGCATTCCTAACCCGTAAGTGAACCCTCATTATCTGCAAGCTTGCCCTTCGACACTGAAAAAATTTGCAGGACCTTTTACCAGCACTGGGCACAGTGGCCTATGAAAGACGATGCCAACCCCTTGGCTGGATGGCCCTCCGAAGAAGTCTTTGCGACATACACTGGACCCGCAACGGCTGATGTCTACGGAAAGCTGTACTTCTACCTTTATGGAATGTTCAAAACTTTCCGATACAAGCTCAGAACCTCAAAGATCCTCATCGAGCTACCGGAGGACTGCGTCACGCCTCTTCCGACAATACTCGAAGACAGCTGCTTTGATCGGATTGATGTAAGCTGACCCTATGTTGTCGGGACATTGCTAATAATGACTGTCTATGCGTAGACCTCCAACCTCGCAGATTCTGGCATGTTTGGCATTGGGCGCACCCTCCAGCTGATGATGCCTTTATTGAAACAACCGTCTGACAATCCCCACGCCACACTCATCACCCTGTTCATGGGCGCCGTAGGGCGGACAATCAATGATTCGGACCGAGAACGTGAGATTGGACCACAAAGCGAAGGATGGAGACTTTTGAGGCAGTATATGCCCGATTTTAAACGCCATGTGCTTACACTATCGCACCCGGAATGCGGGAGACTCAATGCAGCGATACAGCTAGTGGCGAACCACGATATTGTTTTTGACCGGTGAGACTTGCGACAATAGTCAATGGTTTGAAGCGAGCATCACAACGAAGGCTAACTCCTATTAGGTACATGGAGAATCACAATTTCACTGAGGCTGGTGAGTCCGTCGGTGCTGTGGTAAAAAAAGATCATACCATTGTCGACAAATGGCCGTTTCAGGTGAAGCTGCGACCTGGTCAGCCTGGCGCACAGGAGGAGTTCGATCGTCTCCTGAGGGATAAGTGTCTTGGTCAGGAATGTTTTATCGAATGGAAGAGAGTCGCCAAAACTATGGCTGACAAGAATGAGAAGCCTTCTGGTATGCCGAAAGTTGGTAAATTGGCCATTTGAATATGATGACTGGAAAACAGTGCGAGACATCCTGGTTGGGTTGTTCAACAACACATTGGCAGTTCTGATATTGTTTGTTTTGAATCCATGCATTGTGCTTTTCCATGTGTCTGTTTTATGCAGCCTATAGGGCAGACAATGACAGTTTTGCGACTAGGGATTTCCCCCCGACTCTATAGCTCTGGTCTTCCCTGCTCCAGTAGGTCCTCTGTCGCCCAGCTTTCCCCCCTAAGATGAGAGATATAAGGATTTCTATCCGACAGACCAGTTATTCTGCTGCGTCCCAAGATGCTGCCCTCCCTATCAAGTGCCTCAGCAACAACAAACACTCGACCAGCTTCCGAAGACAAGTCAAGAGATGTATGAAACTCGGTCTCAAAGCTAGTCCTCTTCTTCTCACCCAGGTACTTGCGCTCTGCCCCCGTCTCTCCATGAACGAGATAGAACCGCCAGACATCAGTCTCCGTATCCCCATTCCAGGAAACATAAACAGCCACCTCACCACTTGAATCCCCCAGCGCAAGAACCGCAACACCCTCCCCAGAATACCCGGTCCAGGCGCTTCGAAACCCGCGATAGCTCTGCACCCGATTATTCGGATACGAATCAAGGTAAGCATGGAAGAGAACCTCCCCACCCTGGCTAAACTCCGTAACTGCACCCGCCTGGCCCCAGTTGACAAAGACATTCCCTCCAGGCAGAAACTGCGCATTACCCTGCGAGTTCGCGACGAGGGGATCAGGTGGCCAGAATGTCTGGATCTCGCTCACTGTCCCAGCGGTATGGTTTAGCTCTACATATCTCGCTCTGGAGAATCCGCCAATCCCATGGCCGGGCTCTAACTGCGAGTGATCCGCGTTGTCAAAGAAAGAGATGCGCTCGATTTCTCCGTTCTCAGAGGTATACCGGATCCGCGCATCGTGCTGGAATGCGAATTCCACGTTAGAAGGGACCTCGAAGTCTGACCCGTGTGAGCCGCCTAGTTGCCAGATGACCTCGCCTGAAGTGCCGTTTATTTTGAAGATGGCGGCGTAGTTTCGTGCTGAGATTAGGTAGTTGCCGTCTCTGTCCTTTGCAGCGCTGTTGAGGTGGAAGTAGTCCCAGGCGTCTTCGGAGTTGAACGAGTTGAAGGGACCGGTTGGTTCAAGGGGGAGGGCGCTGTCTGATGCTTATTAGACTTGCTTATATTTATGGATATGGGTGACATACACTTGGGGCTGATATGGTCCAGGCTAAACCATTCAAACAACAGCTCCCCAGTTTCAATATCGATCTCTGTCCAGGTCAGCTCCGTCCAGTCATCCTACAAGATATATGATTCTGAATACTAACCTTGAAACCCACTGCTAAGAATCCACTCCTGGCCCTCTTCACCCCCAAACTCGCCCAGATCAAACGGAACAGGCACTGGTGTCTCAATAAGGACACTCCGCCCACCATCCACAACCTCAAACTCATGAACAGAAACCAGCCGATGTCCAGCCGCGCGTAAGACCTTCACCGTTTCATAACTCTCATCCAAAACCGCCTGGTTCCCGTACATGCGACCATGCGATCCGCTCAACAGCCCCTGCGCGGCCTTGAGAACAGGCTTGCCATTGATAACCGTAGGCCCGAAATTCGCTATGTACCCGGCTAAATAACTGATTCCGGACCAGACGAGGTCGCCATCGTCGCGGAAAATATAGGCGCCTGGCTGTAAGGGGCCGACGCTGTCTGGGTCGAATCCTGGGTAAGCAGTTATGAAGATGTAGCCGTCTTCAGTGGTGGATTTGGCGGGGACGGTGATGTTTAGTCGTGGGGGTGAGAGGTCTGGGCGCGAGAGATATTGCCAGTCTGCTAGGACGTAGGGCAGGGTGGCGAAGAGCGAAATGGCTTTTATTAGCTGCATTTTGCGTGTTACGGAGGAGAGAAGTTCATTTGAGGCGGGAAATCCATTTATATGTGAAATAATAGCTAAGCACTAGCCTGGATGATGTATTCTGGGTCATCTCCAATTCATCAAGCCCGCCATTGCATACAACAGAGGGAATATCACGCCATATTGAGGCCTGTTCGTATGCCCATTTGTTATATTGCTGACAACCTAATATTATCCCTTCAACTGCTCTAAATCAACTTGAGACTGTAGAGCCTTCGATTGCGTACTGCCGGGTACCTCTTAAGTCCTGTTTGACATAGCGCCACCAAGTCTTGTTATGCGTTCCACATAACGGACAATATTCAAATGTCTTTCTTGGATTAGGAAGTTGTATCCTCCACACCCCAGTACAGGAGGGGCAGTTATAACTTGTCGACTCGGCGTAACGACGGTGTTGTAGAAGATCAGCCGCGAATCCTGGAGCCTCCTCTAGAACGGCTTTGAAATTATCTTTCTTCAGTAGCTTATCGAGATATTCTAAGCATATGCTCACAATAAGATCGCGAAGGCCTCGATCTGTAGGGAGTGTCGTCGAATACGCATCTAAGATCGTGGCAGGGAAGTCGTCCATTTTCCAACAGGTCTTTAAAGCAGAAGCAAATTTTCGCCTTGCGTGTTCCTTGAGTCTTGGCACATCATATTTATCTGCGACCTGATAGACGCCGACGTGAAATGGCATCGGCGAGATCTGGCATCGTTCCCTGCTGATGGGCTCGTAGTCGAAGCCGTACATGAAGTGGATCATGGCTACTACAGCTTCCGGGTCATCGCCCTCGAGCCTGATCATGTTTTCTCTTGTCTCCTACAGTAACTACTCGTCAGCTATCGGGCTATTGTGGATGGGGTTGATTTAACTTACTTTCCAATTATGGTTGAATAGACGAGAGAAGTACGTTGACTGCCCGCAGATAACCAGCTTGTGCACTTTAAACTCTTGGGCTGCGCTGATTATCGTCAGATCCGAGAATCTTGAACTGGAGAAACATCTGATATAGTTAGTATTACAGAGTCTTCGTTTGACAGGGGAGTGGACTTACTCTTGGATGCTCGAGATAAGGCATCCATCGTTCATATTCTTAGATTCCTTCATCTCAGGCTTTTTAATTGTCGGTTGTTTGTTGGCCATTCTGATCGGTTTGGATTTTACTAGACGGCAGGACATCCGTTCTGTTTAAACGTGCCTGACATAGTTCAAGTGGCTCAGGCCACATACCCTATTCCTTTGGATATCCAATGGCCCTTCCGCACCTTCCCTTGCCACCAGGTCACACCCTCAATGGACTCTAAGCACAAAGTTATGACGAGTCGGGTCATTCTTGATGTCATTAAAGGTTGACCATATCAACAACTTTCAAAACCAGAGTTGGACAGGGTCGATCGGAAAGTACAGCCGATAGACATGAAAAAGTCTATTTGTTTATAATTTAGCCTGCAAGGTATAGCCAGACGCTGCTGCCGGAAACTCTAAGAATGGCTGGATGACCGGATCCTCCAGACTCTCCAGATAGATGCACACCGCAATGCACTCCTGTCGTACCCGCCCCTCAACCCACGGTTGATACTGTGACAGCGAGCACATGACTCCCATCCAATATGCCAATATAACCAGGCCGCGCGGATCGCGGTCTCGGCAGATATTCACAAACTGTGGAGAGATCCTCCCCATCCAGTTTGTAACATGCGGCGCATTCTGTGCGCTTGCCTCTAGCTCCATACATGGACTTAGAAGCTTGATGGGGAACCAATATACACAGTTGTCCTCGTTTGATTCATCGTTGATCCCGCACAGATCTGCGAGTTCGGGGTGTAGACCCTCTCGTCCGTGCGTGATATCAAAGCGGAACAATTGATTCTCCCAGTCGCGGTTGTGTCCAAAGGCCGTTCCCCAGATACTACCGGGGATGTACTTTTTCGCCATCTTCAGAATACAAGCCAGTCCGCCCTGGACAGCTAGCCAGTTTAGGTCGCTGGGTTCGCCGGTAAACACCCAGGAATCTTTGATTTCGAATCTTAGGGGGGCGAGTGATGTGATTCCCATGAGCATGCACGCGGATAGGAGCCCGCTTACGTTCTTCTCGTTGACGCTTTGCTGTAGTTCCTGGGAGTATAATCGGAGAGCCCGTTGCCAGAAGTACGCTTCGGCGATTTCTCGTGATTCGTTATTTGGAGATATGCGGTTCATGTGGAGGATTCCACATCCGACGACCGTATACATTAGATATGGATTCTAGTTACGATTAGCATTCGGACTGTAGTATAAGTGGCAACTTACATCGAATGCAACATGAATCATATCCCCCCTCATTACCTTTTGAATCGACGGGGTAGCCACTGAATTTGACGAGTATTTTAGGTAGAAATCCATCGAAGTCACCGCGATGTTGACGACCTCGTCATAGTCGCCAATGGTGCGAGGAGCAAACGCGAGGTCCGCACCCACCGCATCCCGAACTCTGTTCACCATGTCGGAAATGGAAAACGAGACAAGCGTTCGGTCTGGCTGTGAGCTGGAACTTAACGGACTGCTGCTCGTTCGAGACGAGGCTGGCGATGGTGGGTAGACGCATTCAGCCCCATAGTTCTCACATCTTCGACAGGCGGGTTTTCGCTCGTCGCACTGGACTTGGTTAACATCTAAACAGATATTATATCTTTTTGGAGGGTTACCTTGACCCTCCTCGACTTGCAAACAGTACACCCATTGCGAGACTTTTTATGTGCCCGCCGGGCGTGATAAGGCCCCGTTTGAGGCCGATCAGGCAGATCCACCTGGAATGTTGTCTGGAATCCACGCGTTGCGAGAGCCATAATGGCAGCTTTACTTCACCCTGACCCAACCTTCAGGTTTCCGCTTGGCAGCTTCAAAAAATAGGCTGTATATACTAGCGTATCGGCTCTCCACCTGGGAGGCTCTTTGCCTAAATAATGACATTGACAGCTGAATTGTGAAGGAATGTGGGTGCAGCTGGAATACGAGCGCATCGCCACGATTGCCCAACACGTGATGCTGAGTATCTGCCTCAGGCAGAACATTCTGTCATTGTACTTCGTATTCTGTGAGATTGACCCATGGGTATTACAGGAGCTGGAAGGAAGGGAAAGTCGACAGAATATGATAGGCGAGCATTTGGCCAATTATTCCACTTGACACCTGGTGGCGGTTGAGGCTGAGGCTGACTGGGCGTCGGGCACATGAGGATAGGGCTGTGCTGGGTTTAGTCAAGCCTTAATTATATTTTGGTATCATACCTACATAGGAAAGGGCGATGAATGCCCGGCTTCCTGCCTCCAGGATCTACACAGGAGCTGCATCAGAGGGAGGAGCGCCTGTAAAGCAAGGAAAGAGCGAGGGAATCATCGCACCTGCCATGTATTGTTGGACATACTTCACTGTAATGGGAAGGAGCGACTGTTAACATTTGCAGAGGAAAGAGCGGCCCAGGTATAATGAACCTTCCTTTTACAGTACTCAAGATATTATAGGAAGGAGCGATGGGCTGCATCACACCTTCCCTACTTTGTTAAAGCTATGCACTCTGTTAGGAAGGAACGACCTGCCACGCCCTTTCCGATTCTAATACAGATATTGCAGTGGAAGGAAGGGGCGACGAGACCGGGTCAATAGGGAAGGAGCAACTGTCATGCGCCTTTTTGTAGAATAAATAACCCCGAGATCTACAAAAATGCAAGTATCCATCTGAAAATATACTTTGTATTGCTGAATGTGACTAGATTATTTCTGGTCCAGATCGGACTGCACAGCTGAGTCCGCGCCCTGGGAGTTCTCTTCCGTTGGCTTGGCCTCAGGATGCTCCGGCACCAGAAACACCACCCAAGACGTGGTAGGAATGCAAATCGCAAACATGACAAAAGCAACAATCAAGTTCACCATGGGCGATATCTGCGCCGCCCCAATTCCAAACGCCAAGCAAGACCCAACGCTCTCGAAACACCGCACAATCCCAACAGTCAGGGTTAGCGTCTCCAGATCGTCGTTGAACACGCCCAGTATCCAATAGACGAACATGTAATGCGACTCGTTCATAAACCGGAAGAGCACGTTTACCGCGAATCCGCGTCCAAAGTTGGGCTGCGCCCAGTCAATAGTTGGCTGTGTGTCTTCGTATAGTTTCTCGTTGGACACCTGCCATGCAAACAGGGCGAGCATGACCACTGCAAATGTGAACCAAGTAATCCGGGCCAGCTGCGGTCGACTGAAGTATTTCAGATCAAAGAACCATCCCCAGAACATGTTTGCTGCAGTCGCTGCGATGGCCGATGTGAGAGAGCCCAATGTCCGTGCCCGAACACTGAAGTAGTTCGTCAGGTAGATGCCCTGGTATGTGTTGTTCCAGTTGAACCCGACCAGAATGGGCAGCAAGAGGAGAATATGCTTCTTCTTCAGCTGTGCCCAGAGCTTCTTGAATTCGCCTAGGACGGCTTTCTGTTTGGTTGGGTCAGGGATTCCTGTTCCGTCGGCACGGATGACTTTGGATGGATGCGAGACGAGGAAAGCGAGAGGGAGACCAAGGCATTGCAGCGCAATGAGCACAAGATAGGTCGAGTATCCGACCTTCCCTCGCTCTCCTTGCTTGACGTTGAGAGATAGTTGGATTGAGGAGCCGATAAGTTGTCCTAGTTCTCGAAGTCCGAGCCAGATTCCAGCTACATTCGTTAGCATTGCACGCGCTCTTCGACAGAATATGTAGAATCTTACTATATTTCCCTCGATCTGCGACACCACCGTATCCAAGGGCAATGGCGCCTTCTGATGACCATAAAGCAGACGCTGCAATCCCACAGGTGGCGCCACCAAAGAGAACGAACCATTCGGTGCCGTATCTGTTGTTGACGTATAGAGATGCCGAGTAAGGTGCATACCCCAAGGTTCCAAGGATGAGAACCCGTCGCAGGCCGTAGCGATTGGCAAGGATGGCAAACAAGGGACACCCAAAGACCATAATACCAAAGGTGAGACTGTTGGCGCCGTTGACCAGGTAGGGCTTCTGTTGCCCGCCGGCTCCGGTATCTGTCCCTGTCAGTCACCACGTCCACTCCCAAATTTAAGCATAATAACCTACTATTTAGAGCATTCCAAATCCCAGGCTGAGTGAATGAAATCAATCCAACGATAATCACATTAAAAAGAGCGCTGCGATACCATCTCGTTACGCGCGACACCGGTTTCTGCACTGGCTGGTCGGTGCTGTGCTCAGGGTCAGAGTCGGCCTGGACAGCCACCTGCGAGTGTCCCATCCTGTGTGATGTGATTTTTCAACGGTCGGCATTCCAAGATCGACGGAAACTGCTCCTATATATATGCAAATTTCGGAGTATCTCCGCTGAATTATCTGGCAGGGTTGCAGCCATCGCGTGTTTTGCGGCGGTGGTTCATATTCCCCGTCAAATCACGCAATAACGGCGCCCATTGGCAGGGAGAACTGTTATAGTTGTGTTGCAAGACTGTTAGCTTGAATTTTGCGAGCTAGAAGAAAACTAAACATCGAAGTGGATGTTGAGAATGCGCTTGGCAAATGGCGTGATTGATTTGAAGATGCTCGGCGAAATCTCTGCTTAAAGACCCAGTCTACGATAAGACTGAGATAGAAAGGTAGTGTTAACATTGTTATCAGCCCATGGATTTGTATTTTCGAATTAAGAAATAAAACCAACGGATTTCCACAATAATAAGCCGCTCATGTGCGAAGGACATACTGAGAGCGAGAGGCACTTCGCAGGACCCTGGATCAGTTCCATATTTTGTATGCCCCATAGGCTGGTCTAGACATTACTGAACCTTAGCCCTAAGTCCTAAACAATCCATCAGAAAAGGCTGAATAGCGGATAACTACTGCATTGAAGATGACACTGAAAACTAGGTAAACGATAACAAAGTGGCCCCAATCCATCCTCATATACACTCGATAACTGAGTTAGTCATTCTGTGAAGCAACCACCTAATCAAGTATCCCTAATCAATACGCGGCAAGGCAAGCCCCAATAGAGCCATGCCCACATACATCGCACACGAAACCCAAAGCGGGACGCCCGAAGTGACGTCCCCGAAGGTCGCAATGAACGGGGCAGATATAGAAACGAGTCGACCGCACGCCATGAGCAGTCCACACCCGACGCCGCGGTGTTTCGTAGCTAGACAAGCGGGTGTATACCTGACGGGGAATTAGTACTAGGCAGTCAAAGCAAGAGAGTGGGTTCATACGCGTAAACAACCGCGTATACTGCATTAAGCCAGAAGTTGATCATGCATGAGAAGCCGATGTTCTGCGGCTCCGTGCGCACTTTCGTAAAGAGTCCGGCGAAGATGGCACAAATACAACCTGTTATGAATAGTGTGCCTTGATAGCGGAGCCTTCGGAGCTGGACGAAGTATGCGCTTAGCAGGGGCCCCGGGATTCCTACTACGGAGGAGATGGCGAGGTCTCGGTATGTTTGGTAGTTACTGCCATCACCCAGGTTGGCGCCGTGGGCTTCGAGGTAATAGGGCAGGAAGACGTTGTAGAGGGGGTAGCTGCACGGATATAATCAGTATATCATTTCCAAGTATGCGAATGGTAGGGGTCATACCAAATTCCGACAAACGCCCATAGTAATATCATGATTCCCATTAGGCGGATGTTCTTCCACCCATAAAATAACTCTCGAATTGATACGACTTCCTGAAGCCATGTCAGCTTCTCTTCCCGGTTTGGAGGTATATTACTGAAGTGTTGGGGCTCCGCAGTATATTCAGCTTTGTTCTTGGAGCTGATCAGGTTCAAAGCCCTCACAGCATCGTCAACCCTGCCTTGGTTGACGAGCCACTTTGGCGACTCGTGCATTCCAAGGATAAATGAGCGCACAATAGACATGCTCAAACATAAACCGCCAAGAACTATATCGATGTATCGCCAGCCCATGTTGTCAGATCGGAAACATGTCTCTGGAGTGGTTCCATTGGGACAGCAGAATGCGACGACGAGAGGCCATGCTGGTAGAGGTAGTTAGTATACGAATTCAGTCATTCCCCTTGGGTGCTTAATGATTCGGGGGAGTACAAATAAGAGCGGTGATGGCACTCCCAAGGCCCCAGACACATGCAAGGCCAGTGAGAAGAAATGTCCATTTACGGGGCAGAGACTCGGCAAGCACAGTTAGATCGATGGCCACTACTATGTGTCAGTATCTCACTGAAGGATCGGAACATATGTTATGTGCATACGGTTACCACCTCCAAACAACCCGCAAAGAGAGGTCCAGACATTCAACGCTGCCCAGTTCGGAGACGAAGCCGCCAGTAGGGTCACGATGGAGACGCCAAAGATCGATAGCTGCCATACCAACTTGCGGCCTATCATGTCTGCAAGAAGCCCGCAGGTAACGGCGCCCACAAAGAGGCCTGCGTACAGGGAAGCCGATAGGAGGGTTTGATACTTGGGGCCGAACTCCTTTGCAGAATTTGGCATAATAATTGTGATTGATATCAGGAGCATCTGACCAGGTTAGAAGAAGCGCAGTAGCTAGGGCGTACTATACCTGGTCGACAAGGAAGCCAAATCCGCACGAAAAGAGTAGTTGCCACTGGTATCGACCCATCCCAATGGCATCGATGGCCTGGTCAACAACCACCTCGTTGCTGGCTAGGACGTCGACGGTGCCCTGGGCCACGCTTTTCACGGGTTCAAGGGCTTCCATATTGTCGGATTTCTTGTCGTCCATGTTTGGAGAAGTCGAGGTTTGAGTCTGTCACCTACTCTACAGTGGTCCCTGCTTTATTTAACCAAAAAGATACGGCCACCCCGAATCTTACAGCCACTTGCCTATCATACCCCTCACAATTATCCTTATCATGATGGCTTAATTACCCCAGACCCAGTCATTCGGTGTCCACGCGGGGACGGGGAGCCGCCGGGCCAAACGGGGAGCATTCCGCCAGCACTACGCATATTCTGTTATCACAACTCCAATATCCTTTCTCTTTAGAGTAATGGTAAGTGTAGGAATCTATACTCTTGCGCCAACCCCGCATGCTCTCATTAAATTGGTTCACATCCGGTCCCTCTCCTATTGGCACAACAATGAACAACCGGCCGTTTATGGGCCGGCTGATAAGTAAACAGCAATTTCTGCTCCATCAAACAATGGCCCTAGATACCAGTACGAGAACGGTTAGCCTTCATACCGGAGTCTGGCCTTGCATTTAAGGCAGTATGGACTGCTTGATGCAGCAAGAGACCCTGCTTGTTCCGTTCACAGATGTTTATCGAGAAGGGTAGATCCATACTTGATAAGTAACCTGACATTCTTGGATGATCCAGAGTGGTCTTCCTGTAGTGTGGTCTACATGCATGTCAGTGTCAGCCCTAGACCACCCCTTGCGTCTGCCGCTTCCGGCACGACCCATCCGCTTCCGCTGGGGAACAATACATAAAACCAGCCAGTTCACGAGCCGTATACCCAATCCATAGACTTTCTATCTGCTGCCCGCCCCAATTGCTTGCTATACTTGAGTTCGCCATGAAGCTCATTCTCCTGACTGCCAGCTGGCTGGCTTTGGCTGCCGCAACGCCCATCAAGCCTTCAGCTTCTGCAACTCCTACACCAACCTCAGCAAGTACAGGTACTCAACCGGAGACTACAGCCGCTAAACTCGAGAGTACAACCACAGCTGCAGAAGCTGCGCAGACTTCGGTTGAAATATCGGAGACTCCCAAGGCGGATCTGGATAATCTGTGCACGGCAGGGGGTAAGCTATACGAGGCCCTACGCAGCGGAGAGTACTAACTTGCATTCAGACACAAAGTCCGAGTATGATTCAACCCTCAGTCTCTCGATCATTCTATCATTGGGGAAACTAGAAGAATGTGCAGGAAATACCCTCGGCGACAAGCCTATCAGTGGAGTTCTTGGTGGTGTGGGCAGTCTTCTTGGAGGTGGCAAGGACGACTAGAGATTTTGATTGAAGGATACAATTGAACTGCTGCTTAATGTAATAGACTAATAGATTTTTAATACTGAGCAACTCAATGACCAAATTACTATTCATTCTTGCCGTCTACAATATATTCACTTCCCAATGACGAATGATTAGTAATCCCGGCTTGCTTCTCCGACTCAAACCGTGAATTGATCATCTCTAAACGCCACACCCATGCATCATCACTAGAGTCCATGGATGCATCAAGACCGCCGAAGCGGGCTCGTCAAGCATGCGAACAATGCCGGTGAGTGAATCGTCGCCTCAACAGGACCGCACTGACAGTCGCAGACGGAAGAAATCGCGGTGTCCCGGGGAGCGCCCGGCCTGTTCATACTGCCAGAGGCTGGGCCAAACTTGCGAATATGCCGGTGACGAAGAGCCAGATTATACCAGAAAGATGGTATGCACACCCGTCACATCTGGTTAAACTCGCTTCTGATTGTTCAGGAACAACGAGTCGAGGGGATTGAAGGGAAACTCGAGGCCTTGATTGAATGCTTCAGTAACCGGAATCCGCCGTTGACCCCCTCGCCCACGACGACATTTCAACCCAGGCAGCAATATCCCGTCGGGATTGCTAACACTCCGTTGATGTGAGACTGTCTGGATTTTCGCTGACAGGAGACTGACTTGTCCAGGCAACATAGCTCAGTCGCGCAAGGTGCATTGCAACTATTTAAGACTTACTGCAATTTCCAGCCTCTACCTCTGTTCAACTGCCAGTACTTCCCTGCGTCGGGTGAGGGCCGCGATGAGGAACTCCTCCTTGCTATGCGAGCCTTGGGGCTGCGCTTTAGCGGCAATGGCATAGCGGACCCGGAGACACGCCGGCAGATCAAGGAGTGGGCAGAAAGATCCAGGTGCATGGTAATGACTCGTGTTATGGAGGGGTCAGTGGAACTCTCCACCTTGCAGACATTGTGCATTTTGACATTCATCGACTACACCTCCGGTCACACCATGCGGTCCGGCGCAAACCTCCGCCTGGCAACGTACATCCTTCAAAACCTGAAATTCGGAAGCGCCGAACTGGCCAATCTGGAGAATGAGCGAGATGAACGCCAGCTACTGCGCTGGAGCATCCATATGCTGGGGAATCTCACTGGCGAGCCAAGTCCGAGGCTTACGTTTGGCAATAAGAAAGATCTTGGAGTTGCTGTGTGTGCTATCCAGCTTAGCGAAGTCTGGGGACTCGCACAGAGCTATGCTGCTAGTCCCGTTACTGCTGACTCTCCTCCTCCTTGGGCGCCCCAGTCTGACTATTCGCGGATCACATTCCGACACACAGAGTATGAAAGTGTCACCCCGCTGAAATACCGTCTCCACGAAACACGTCTCGACGAGTTGACAGGCCCAGACCTTCAACAGCGAAGAGACTTCTGGGGGCACTGTCTATTCTTCCAGATGGTCTTCCATGCCATTCCCTGTCTTCTCAACCATCCCCTTCTACTCTCTGCGCGTTTACGCAACTTCCGCTATACAATGCCACAATCATTTCTGCGACACTCTTATGAGCAAATAACTCTACATGCAGGATGGATTCTACACTTTATTGAGCTACTGGAGGCGAAAGGCTATGAAGTATCAGATCCAACACTTGGACAATGCGCTGTCATCGTCGCTACAATCTATCTCCAACATAGCTTTGTTGAGGATCTCTTCTTCCGCGAAAAGGCCCAGTCTGGGTATGCCAAATGCCTAAGTTTCCTCCAGCGCATGGCCCTCCGATGGCCAAACATCGAGAGGCAAGTCGAAAACCTTCGCCAACTGCGGAGCAGCATTTCTGCAGGAGACGTACAGAATTCTCAGCAGACCTGGTCTGTCAATGTCCATCTGCTCCGAGATATCCTGATATCGGCCCCGCCCAAGCAAACAGCGACGGACTTCCTTGGACCCGGTCTGGCGATGGAAAGTGCACTTCATACAGAGTCCTGCACCCCAGACCCAGAGTTCGGACTGATCGGGTCTGCTGGTATTTCCGGTCATAAGACGGTGGCGAGGAATCTGGTCACTTACTACCCTCCTGAGCAGGTTCTACAGCCCACACCCCCTGATATGTCGGCGTTACTAGGCGAGCCAGGGGGGTTAACTGGAGCTCCGGATAACGCGTTTTTGCAGGCACAGGATTATGGACGGTTTATTGACAACTGGCTGGATCTACCCACGTACAGCTAGGCAACATATGTCCCAGTATATAATGTATATAACCTCGAATGTACATTCTCTACCAGGCCAATGGGCTTTTACCCCCAGCGTTAGCCTGACAGTCCAACTTTCGACAAAAGTCCACCTCCTCGTTCAACTGGCTCTCCATATCCAGGACCGGCGTCGCAGGCCATATTTCCTTCCCTTCTTTCTCCTCTGCCTCATGGTGTCCCACCACCAGGTCTTTCACAGTCCTCTGGAAAAACAACGGCCCCTTTTCATGCTGCGGATGCAAGTTCCCATGCACATATACCCCGACGTTCAAGTTCTTCTGCGCCGCATTACACAGATCCTTGTCTTCCTTTAGCACCTGCTTGAATATCTTGTTGATACCATCAAACGCCTCATCAGTGGCATCTTTGTGCCGGTACACCTCGTACTCCATATGTGTCTGCGACGGCGAGACCGGAACGCACCGCATGATGTAAAAGAAATCCTTCGACACGGTCATGGACGCGTTGGGGAAGTAGAATGTGCTGATGATGCCCATGCCTTCCCGGTCGGGGTGGTCGGTGTTGTAGTGCTGGATATGCCCGGCTTTTGTCTCGACCCAGTATTTTCCTAGGTCGGTGTATTGCACGATGCCTGGGTGTCCGGTTGGGCAGTGGTAGCACTAGAGCATTATCAGCAACTGTACCATAAAGCAGGTTGGTTCAAGGGCTGTCTTACCTCGTTGTAGTTGTCAGCTAATGTCTTCCAGTTGTAGTCACCAACCATATCCCACATATGGTCGAACTTGTATTCGGAAAAGTGGAATGGCTTGAGACGCGGCTGCTCGTCGACGCCGGCAAAGTCGTCTTCCCATGGTATAGGCGTTTCTGAAGCGTCGAGGTTCACCCAGATGAAACCTAGCTTGTCGACGTGGACGTGGATAGGGAAGAGTCCGTTTTTTTCTTTCTCGAATCCTTCGAGTTCCTGGTATCGCGGTGCTTTTGCGAGTTTACCGTTAAGTCCATATGACCAGCCTGTATACTCAGTTAAGCACACCGCAGGTTAAAAGGAAAGGGCCATACCATGATATTGACACGACAAGATACTCGCCTTACCCGTCTGCTCCTGCACAACGGGATAAGCACGATGCCGACAGACATTATGGAAGCCGTTGATCTTCCCCTGGCGATCTCGAATGAGGAAAAATGCGAAGCCGGCTTCTTGCAGCTGCAGGTATGTCCCTTGCTCCGGGAATCGTACTTCATGTGTGACGAGCACCCACTTTCTAGAGTAGATGGCCCGACGTTCGAGGCTGTACATGGCTTCTGAGCGGTACCATGATGAAGGTAGATTTGGCTGGGTGGCGTTGGAGTTGTCCTTTGGTTTCGCTGGTTGTCCGTATCCGAAGAGGCGATTCATTGTAGCAGCAGCAGCAGCAGCAGCAGTGGTGGTATGGGGTGGTATGCAATTCAACTCTATTGCAATTCCCAGGATATTATCGCCAGTGATTTCATTTTATCGCCTCCATTCTGACCTCTTTGCCCCTCCTTTGCCTCTGGATACTTGCCGGCATCTTTGGTTATCCGGGGACGGAACGCGCCCCGGGTCCGTCCATGGAATGAGTCCCGTCGGGGAGCGATCCGGATGGATTATTGAAAAGTCTCAGGCTTATTCTGTGATTGCTATACTTCCTCCAATCTTCTATTCGCTGAAACTCCAAACGATAAGAATGGCTCAGAAATCCGATCCCATCCTTATCATCGGAGCTGGCGTGTTCGGCCTCTCAACCGCCCTCGAACTGACCAAGAGAGGATACACCAACATCACAGTCCTCGACCGCCACGTCCCTCCAGTCGTCGATGGAAGCAGCGTAGACATCTCGCGCATTATCCGCGCTGACTATGCCGACCCAATCTACGCCCAGATGGCCCTCGAAGCCTACAAGGGCTGGACGAGCACCTATTCCGACTTCTACCACCAGTCGGGCTTCATCCTGCTCTCTGAAACTGCAAACAACAAATACCTCCAGAGTTCGAAGCAGAACATCATCGACAAAGGAGGCCATGTCGATGACTTCTCCGATATCAGCCAGATGCGCAGCCTCTATCCAAGCATCGAGGCCCGCCTCCCCGCCGCCGAGGGCTACCACAACCCTGTAGGCGGATGGGCAGACGCGGCAGGCAGCATCGGTCATCTCGCGTCTGAATGCAGCGTCGCAGGTGTATCCTTTATAACAGGCCGTCGGGGCACAGTCCACTCCCTCCGCAGATCCTCGAACCGCGTTGTCGGCGTTAATCTCGCAGACGGATCCCACCTCCTCGCAGCCCAGGTCATTCTCGCCACAGGCGCCTGGTCAAACCGCCTCCTCGATCTCCGCCATACAGCATCCTCCTCTGGCCAGCCTGTTGGCTTCATCCAGCTCACGTCTGAAGAGGCGGACAAGTTCGCTAAAGTGCCTGTCATGATCAACATGACAACCGGTGTATTCTCCTTCCCGCCTACACCGGGAACCAATATCCTTAAACTCGCCCGGCATGGCTACGGATTCGCTACGGAGGTGCGTTCTGAAGCAACAGGGACTGTGATCTCTGGACCTAGACGTGATGGCAGCAATGCAGCGTCTGGGTATCTCCCTGATGATGCGGATGCTGCGCTCCGTGACGGTCTGCGTGCGTTCTTCCCTAGTCTTGGTGAGAGGACGTGGATGAATCGGAGACTGTGTTGGTATACGGATACGCCGACTGGGGATTTTATTATTGACCGTCATCCGGAATTAGAGGGGTTGTTTGTTGCTACCGGTGGTGCTGGGCAGTAAGTTCTTTTCCTACCCTATCCTCCACTGCAATGTTTATTAATCCTGGTAGTGCCTTTAAATTCCTCCCCGTGCTTGGAAAGTATGTTGCGGATTGCTTTGAGAACCGTGCATCGAGTGAACTTCGCCAGAAATGGAGGTTGAGGATGCCGAATGGGTCGGGGGCTGTTATGGCTGGAGATGGGAGTCGTGGGGGGCCGCCTCTGAGGAAATTGTCTGTTCAGGAGCAGTCGAAGTTGTAAATGTGTAAAACATGCATGTGTATATAGAGATAGAATTCGAAGCTGTGGTTTAATTGCTATGTACACCTTCTGCCCGGCTTGTACTTAGGCGACTGCGGACAGTAACAAGTTGGTGCAGGTGTTGGCCTTGGGATTCTTTGTCATAACATTAATAATTAGAGCTATTTCTTAGTCGATGCATCAATTCCAATTGTCTCAAATGTGCAGCAGGTGACATCCTCGTATTCCATGCATCTTGTTGAAACGTGCAAGGCGTTTCGGATGTGCCGAGGGTGTAATACCGACGGCATTCAAGTACCGAGTATTCCAAGTCCAGTGGTATTTATTATAGAATATATCTGCCGATAGAGACCATCCGAGATGCGAGGTTGAAAAATACAAAGAGTAGTAGGAAGTGGTGGTATGTATATATATATATTGTCGACAACCCAACACAACCACAACAAAACACCATTACTTTAACTCAAATTCAATCACATTTCAAATCCGCAATGAAGTGGAACTCTATTATTGCACCTCTCAGCTACAGCTGCCTTGCTCTTGCAGCAGGAAACGGCCCTTACGATGCTGTATGCCCATCCACCCTATTCCTATACTGCATAATAACCATACCAGTCGCACTCAGCAGACCCTTCCCTCCCCAAACACACCATCTACATGCCCAACACCCCTCCAGAGAATATAACACTCCCAGTCCTCATCTGGGGAAACGGCGCATGCTCCGCCAACGGCACCCTCTTCGGCAACTTCCTCACCAACGTCGCCTCCTACGGCTTCATGGCCATCGCCTCGGGCGCGCCAAACGGGCACGGCACAACAGATGTCCAGCTCATGAAAGACGCATTGGACTGGGTTAAGAAGAAGGCCGGGACGGCGGGGACGAGGTACAAGAATGTCGATACCACGAGGCTCGCAGTTGCGGGCCAGAGCTGTGGCGGGCTCGAGACGTACCAGATGCGAGATGATCCGAGGGTGCACTATCTGGGGATTTTCAACTCGGGGTTCTTCGATCTGGGACTAATAGGGGGGATTATTGGGATGCCGGATGAGGGGCCGGAGACGATTGAGGAGGTGAAGAAACCTGTGTTTTATTTTCTGGGTGGGGAGGAAGACATTGCTTATAAGAATGTGAGTGTTGCGTCTAGGTTATGAGGCAGGGCTAATTTAATGATAATAGGGCATGGCTGATTATGCAGCTCTAACTGGGGTGCCGAAGTGGGTGGGAAACTTCCCTGTTGGGCATATGGGGACTTATGCGCAGCCTGAAGGGGGTGCGTTTGCGGTGGCTGCTGTGAACTGGCTGTCGTGGGTCTTAAAGGAGGATTCTACTAAGGAGAAATGGTTTACTGGTGGTGGTGCGCAGAAGGCTGGCTGGGAGGAAGTTGATAGTGAGGGTTTGGACGGTCTTTTGACATACTGAATATTATCTTATGGCCTGCCTCAGTATGCAGTTAATGACTACTGCTGAGTAATTCTGTTTCCATAGTCTAGTGGTTAGGACGGCGGTCTCATAGTCTGACGATTCCTCTCAAGGAGTTGCAATCCGCAAGCACGAGTTCGATTCTCGTTGGAAGCATTTTAAGTTTTTTTTTTATTTGGCCCACTTATCCTACCTAGGAAAGATCAAGAGATAGGAAACTCCAAGTCTCCAACGAGATAGTGGTCTGACGAATAATAGCCAAGGCCCTATCACCCCCGCATTTCGATACGATCCTTCAGTGACTCCAATTCTAGTCCTGTTGGAGATGCCTCATTCCTGGACTCTGCATGATCATGCGCGGCGTCGACTATCGCTACCAGCATGACGGATCCTATTACGCGTGCTCGCACCGGATGCTGGACTTGTCGTGCGCGGAGAGTCAAATGTGACGGCAAGTACTGCTCCCTGATAGTGTAACAGAAGCTGATAAGCCTCCTGAAGAGACGCATCCTGTATGCCGTCGCTGTACACGAACAAAGTCTTCCTGTGGATACGGCATTAGACTAACGTGGCACGAAGAGTCTATTGCTCGAGGAGTCTGTCATGGCAGATCGACTAAGCACAGCCCTAGCAGGAAGAACTTCAACCAGCCAAATAGCTCCCATCGAAAGGGAGATGCAAGAGAGCCATCTTCTAATCAAGCCTGTGCGTGGGCGTTTCTGAATACATCGGTCACTGACCTCGAGATTTACTTCAATCTCCGGCATGATAGTCAGATAGAAGACTTGATAAAGGGACCGCCGCCAACGATAAGCACACTTCCAATGAGCCGATCAAAACACGACCCCACGTTGATGTCGTACTTTGAACGCATCATCTGCAGCAGCTCTACCCTAGTCGACAACGCGCACTGCAATCCATACCGTTATTTGATCTTGCCCATGGCGCTGGCCTCAGACGGGCTGTACCATGCTACTCTGGCAATTGCTGCGAATACTCTGCGACTGTCGAATCCTTCATATCGTGTTCCGGCTCTAGAGCACCACCACCACGCCCTAGGATATCTACGTTATTTACTAGGCAAAGACAGATGGACCGACAGAGAACTGGACGAGATGACGGGACTCGTCCTGATGTTATGCTGGTTCGAGGTATTCTCCGTCATAAATATGCCTCATTTCGTAACTAATACCACGTCCAGATCTCCGACAACAGCTGTTCCTCCTGGGTAACCCATCTAAACGGATACCAGGAACTGCTTCGCGCACGACAGCATCGGCAAGCAACAAGATCTCACTCTCAATCAGTCCATAGTGAACAGCTCTCTAGCTTCTTCAACCGGTATTTCGCATTCCACTTTGTACTGGCGAGGACTGCGTTTCGGCTGGATGACTCGGTGTTTGCACAGCCGATGCTGGGGCTGACGAACGATGATATGTCGGAAGAGAGTGAAGCTGATATCATTGACCCGTACATGGGACTGAGTCACTCCTTATTGCTGCTCATTAATCAAGTTGCCCAGATTGCCTGGGACAATAGGGGCAGTGGGAGTGATATTCTACAACTCAAAGAGCGTCTAGAGAACTTACACCAGATTCCACCGCCGTTAGACAACAACGCAGAGGCAGATACAGAGTGCGTCGCCATCGCAGAAGCAAATCAACTCGGGGCATTACTTCTCCTGTATGAAGTCTGTACTGGAAAAGACACGAAAAATGACAGAGGGAGCTCCCGGTGTCTTCCAATCCTGGATCTAGGCGGAAAGGCTCACTGTGTCAAGCGCATTTTATCACTCATATTGGAGAAGAAAACGAGCATGATGCGCACGGCGGTCCTGCCGCTCTGGCCGCTGTTCTTGGCTGGTTGCTGTGCTCCTACCGATGTAGAGAGGGTGATTGTGATGCAGTTGTTTGAGGAGTTGGAAGGGATACGGAGGCTTGGGGTAAGCTTCCAGTACTGTCTATGCCATACAAGCTAACGATCTAGAATATTGCACCGGCGATGGAGGTGGTGCAGATGGTCTGGCGACAGCGGGATTTGGCTGCACAGGACGAGAGGAAAAAGAGTGATAGAGGCCTGACACGGTTTGAATGGGAGCGTGCTATGGCGATGCTGGGGGATTGGAAGCTGAGCCTTACATAGTCTGACTTAACAATGATCAATTACAGCTTAGCCATCTGTCTTCACCCCTCTATCTGTAATAAAGCTGGATATCGAGAGAGGCCGTGATAGGGAAGATTCGGCTACAAACTAGGGCTAGAGGTACGATGATATCGACGATCTCTGCTAATGAGTGAAACATCCTACAGATGGATCATGGAAATCAGTTTAAACTCCAAGAGATTGTAATGGACTGCTCCACTCGTTCCGACCTTCCTGCACTGTGGGCCGTTGGAGACAACTGACTCGCTATCACTGCAATCAATAAGTGTATCGAAACCCCTTCTTCTCCTTATCAGTCAGATCTGAGAAAGCCGATTCCTCTGGTATCTCTGTATCTCCATATCCCTCCTGTATCCGGTCTCTCCTCCGGTTCTCCCACCAACAGAGCAGTCCATACGCCCCGATGGAGAAAATCGCCACAACCAAACACGCAAGAAGTCCCTCATACCCCTTTGAATAGGTTGGTGCATCGTCTTCCTGAAATGCCTGCGGGCCGATAATATTTCCCACGCAGTAGGCGAGGAAGAATATCGCATTCATGGTCAATTTCTTGGAGTGGCCGCTTGTATTCGCCATGGGCAGCGAAGTCGACAGCACATAGGGCGCCCAGTAGGTATAGAAGACGTAGTACGCAGCTAGCAGTCCGTTTTTGTTCTCCCTGGGCAGTTTCCACATGAGGATAGCGCAGACCATCGGGACTAGATCTGCGATGGCGATAATGGCGCATCGCGAGTTGGGGATGTATGCGACAACGAATCCTAGGATGATCTGCCAGACCGTCGCCAGGACACCGGTTGGGATACCCAGGACTGTCGTGACGAGTCGCGAATAGCCCAGTCCATTGACGATAATTGCGGAGAATGTCACCAGGCCGCCGTTTGGGATGTTCTGGGCCAGCGAGAAGAGTGCTAGCAGCCACGTCTTTGGGTCGAGGAGACACTCGCGCACTTGGTACCATTTGATCGTCTTATCTTCCATTCCGGTGTTATTGTCCTTGACGCGCTCGAGACAGACGAATTTCTCGCGGTCGGAGAAGTACCAGCACTGCACTGGCGAGTCTGGCAGGAATACCCACAGCACAGCGGCCCAGAGCATTGAGAATCCGCCCAGCACAAGGAAGAGGAGCCTCCATGGACTGAGGGAAGTGTTTGTCTGCCCGATGCCGTAGCTGACCAGGCCTGCGAATACAGACGAGAGCTGGTTGAACCAGAATGCGACGCGGATGGGCTGCTCGCTGGTCTTCCACCACATGACGGTGAGGATACTGGAGATGGGGAACGCAGTGGCCTCGAGCATCCCCATGATAAATCGCACAGTCGCGAGGCCGGCGAAGTTCTGCGTCGCCGCCGTGCAGAGCATCAGCACCGCCCAGCCGAAGACCATGGCGGCGTAGAGCCTTGCGACAGGGAGGCGTTGGATGAGCAGTGCGGAGGGATACTCGAAGACTAGATAACCAAAATAGAAGATGGAGCCGACCCAGGAGTACTGGCTTCCTGAGAGATTGGTGTCTGCTTCCATCCCGTAGATTGCTGCGTTGGAGATGATGACTTTGTCGACTGCGGCGAGCACGACGGTGGTCATGATCAAGGGGATCAGGATGAGGTCGATCTTCCATAGTACACGACGAGCTTCTTCTGGAGACACGGGGGTGCTTGCTATGGCTGTATCAAGACGAGCGAGGAATTGGGCGGCGACATCGCGTCGGTTGAGGATCTCGCCTGGCTGTGTGTCGTCCTGGTCATGCTTTGCACTGTCTTTTGTGTCTGCCATATTGATACAGTGATACACAGTAATATCGAGTGAAGTTGGAGGTAGACACGTATAAATGTGCAGACCAAGACCCCAGATAACCCATCCCTGCCTAGTCTGTTATCTGCTGCAATGACTCGCTGTCTCTCCATCTGCACGGGGGGAAGGTCGGAACGAGCAATGATAGCCAGATCAACACCCCTCACTCAGTCTCGCCCGGGGGAGTCCTCCAATCGTATCTCTCGCATCTTTTGAATCTCCAATCTGGTAAATATAAGAACGGCCGGGAATCCTGAAGTCACTCCCCATACACAGCACCATGTCTCCCCACAAGCTAGACGGCCTGAGCATCAAGATCGCCATCGGTACGCACAGCTACCTATAACTAGACATACTGTATACTAATAAGTTAGACCGCGGCGGCACATTCACAGACTGCCTCGGTATAGTCCCCGGCCGCGACGACATCGTCGTGAAACTCCTCTCGCAAGACCCAGCAAACTACGCCGACGCGCCCATCGAGGGGATAAGGCGGATTCTCGAGCAGGCAACAGGAAAATCCCTCCCTCGCGATGAAAAGCTCTCGCTCGCCGATTTCGCGTCCAGCAGTATCCGCATGGGCACGACGGTTGCCACGAATGCGCTGCTTGAGCGGAAGGGTGAGCGGCATGCGTTGCTGATTACCAGGGGCTTCAAGGATGCACTGCGTATTGGGACACAGTCGAGGCCGAAGCTGTTTGCGTTGAATATTCAGCGGCCGGATGTGTTGTATGAGGATGTGGTTGAGGTTGATGAGAGGGTGACTGTGGAGGATTACCAGCAGAATCCATCACCGGATAAAGAGGAGCTGCAGCGGGCTTTGGAGGCGGATTGCGATTTGAGAAAAGGAGTCAGTGGCGAGGTTATCAGAGTGCTTGAGGCCCTGGATGAAGACAAGACAAGGAAGAGTCTGCAGAATCTATATGACAAGGGATATCGCTCGGTTGCGGTGTGCTTGGTCCATGCGTATACATTTCAAGACCATGAACTGGCTATCGAGCGCATCGCAAAGGAGATTGGCTTCACGCAAATTTCGCTCTCTAGTCAGCTCCTGCCCATGATCAAGATGACCTCGCGTGGTGCTTCAGCTACTGCAGATGCGTATTTGACGCCTGTCATTCAGCGATATATCCAGGGATTCCGAGAGGGCTTCAAAGATGGTCTGCGCTCAGCGGACACGCGATGTGAATTTATGCAGAGCGATGGGGGCTTGGCTACATTTGATAAGTATGCTATTCCATATTATGCCTCTGTTCAAGTCTAATGGGACAGGTTTAATGGCCTTCGCGCCATCTTATCCGGCCCTGCTGGAGGAGTCGTCGGCTATGCTGGAACATCCTTCGACGAGACAGAGCGAAAGCCTGTTATAGGGTAGGAGATGTCATACCAATACATGTTCATATTAATGACATTTATAGATTCGACATGGGCGGCACCAGCACCGACGTGTCTCGCTACGATGGAAAGCTGGAGCACACCTTTGAGAACACAATATCTGGGGTGACGGTGATGGCACCGCAGCTCGATATCAACACCGTCGCAGCAGGCGGAGGAAGTATTCTCTTCTGGCGTCACGGTCTATTTGTTGTCGGGCCTGAGTCTGCAGGTGCTCATCCAGGGCCTGCGTGCTATCGCAAGGGCGGCCCTTTAACCGTGACGGACGCAAATCTGCTTCTTGGGAGACTGCTGCCAGATTACTTTCCTAAGATCTTTGGTCCGCATGAGAACCAGCCTCTGGATGTTGAGATTGTTCGACAGAAGTTCACCGAGTTGGCCGGCCAGATTAATGCAGAAACAGGACAGAATAAAACGCCAGAAGAGATTGCCCTTGGGTACATCCAGGTTGCTAATGAGTCCATGGCAAAACCTATCCGGGCTTTGACGGAGGCTCGTGGCTTTGATACTTCAGCGCATAATCTGGCATGCTTTGGCGGTGCTGGTGGTCAACATGCATGTGCCATAGCATCGTCCTTGTCAATTGGCACTGTGATTGTCCATAGATACTCGTCTATCCTGTCGGCATACGGAATGGCCCTCGCTGATGTCGTCCATGAAGCCCAAGAGCCAGCATCGGGTGTATTCACAGCGGAAGTCATGCAATCCGTCAATAACCGCATCAAGGCACTCAAGGACAAAGTATCCACGGCGCTGACAACAGATGGTATCGACGAAAGTGAGATATCTCATGAAGTTTACCTGCACCTCCGCTATCAAGGCACGGACAACGCACTCATGGTCCTACAACCCGACAACGGCGACTTCATTGCAGAGTTCGTCAAGGAACACCACCGTGAATTCTCCTTTACATTCCCTGGCCGAAGTATTCTTATTGAAGATATCCGCGTGCGGGGTGTGGGAAAAGCAACGTCCGTCCCTCCGGAAGCACCACAGCAGGAACTAACAACAATAGTTAAAAAGCCAATTGCGCGTGAAAAGAAGGATGACTCGACAGTGGTATATTTCTCCGGAACTGGCCAGGCAGATACTCCTGTGTTCTTCCTCGAGAACCTGGAGCCAGGCAGTCTGATCGAAGGACCGGCGATGGTCATCGACAAGACACAGACTGTTGTCGTCGAACCAAACGCCACAGCTACTATCCTGTCTCGCCATGTTATTTTGGACGTACAGTCGTCGAAGAAGCAAACTGCCGATACCACCGTCGTCGACCCTATAAAACTGTCTATTTTCGGCCATCGCTTCATGTCCGTTGCAGACCAGATGAGCCGTATGTTCCAGAAGACGTCGGTGTCGACGAATATCAAAGAGCGACTGGATTTCTCATGCGCTGTATTTTCGCCAGACGGGAAGCTAGTAGCGAATGCACCGAATGTACCTGTACATTTAGGGAGTAAGTTACCTGCCACGGATTTTAACGGTGCTAATAGTTGCAGGCATGGAGTATGCGGTGCGGTACCAGCACCAGCAATATAGTGGGAATCTACGCCCTGGCGACCATATACTCACCAATCATCCCTTAGCTGGAGGGACGCATCTTCCAGATATTACCATCATCACCCCGGTATGGAATGCAGAGGGGACGCAAATCATCTTCTACGTGGCATCCCGCGGACATCACGGTAAGCTGCCCAAGTATTTACTAGATAGACGATTCTAACGTCAACAGCTGAAATCGGCGGAATCGCCCCGGGCTCTATGCCATCAAACAGCAAAATGCTATACGAAGAAGGCGCCATGACAATGGGCTTCAAAATCGTATCCCAAGACCGCTTCGACGAGGATATCGTACGAAAATTCCTCTACGACGAACCAGCATCGTATCCCAAATGCAGCGGCACACGGACATACAATGACAACGTATCAGACTTAAAAGCTGCCATCGCAGCAAACCACAAGGGAGCAAAGCTCCTCGAAGGCCTCGTCGCAGAAAACACCCTGCAAGTCGTGCACTTCTACATGGACGCCATCAAACGCACTGCTGAAATCGCCGTGCGGGACCTCCTCAAATCAATCGGATTGAATAATCCAGGCAAATCTCTCCGCTTCTCAGACTTCATGGACGACGGCACCGAAATCAAGCTCGAGATCCGAATCGATCCTGCCTCTGGCTCGGCAGATTTCGATTTCACAGGGACAGGATATGAGACGTTTAACTGTCTTAATGCGCCCAAAGCCATTGCGCACTCGGCGATCATATACGTCCTGCGCGCGCTGATCGATGTTGATATACCACTGAATGAAGGCTGTCTTGCACCTGTGAATGTAATCATCCCCGAAGGGACATTGATTAACCCTTCAGGCCACGCAGCCGTATGTGCAGGGAACCCTATTACCTCGCAGCGGATTACGGATGTTGTGCTTGGGGCTTTCAACGCGTGTGCTGCGTCTCAGGGGTGCTGCAACATTATATCCTTTGGCATGGGTGGTCTTGATGAGAACGGCGTTGATGTCCCTGGCTTTGGCGTTGGGGAGACGATCTGTGGTGGCTCGGGGGCTGGGCCGTCATGGCATGGAACGTCTGGCGTGCATGTGCATATGACGAATACGAGGATTACAGATGCTGAGGTGTATGAGCTGCGATATCCGGTTATCCTGCGGCAGTTTTCGATCCGGCGGGGGTCTGGTGGGCGTGGTAGGTATCGTGGTGGGGATGGGGTGATTAGGGAATTGGAGTTTCGGATGCCATTGTCTGTTTCTATGCTTAGTGAGAGGAGAGTTTATAGACCGTATGGACTGGAAGGTGGTGAGGCTGGCCAGGTGGGTTTGAATTTGTATGTGAAGAAGGAGCAGGATGGGACGGAGCGGACGATCAATATTGGGGGGAAGATGGAGCTGCATGTGCAGTCCGGCGAGCGCATCTTGATTCATACGTAAGTACAGTCTATTGATTGCAGAAGGGATTGCTGACGAGGATAGACCTGGAGGAGGTGGATGGGGAGCTGAGGGGGAGGATTTGGCCCAAACGTATACAACTACGGTGAATGCGTTCCAGCCTCGAGGGAGTGTGCATGCATTCAGTGCCACGGCAGAGGCAGCTTCATAGGCTACATAACATCTTGGTATCTGTAGCTGGATGCGCATTCGATGGTTGCTCGTATTCGCTCCACAGTCGATCCCTGTTCAGGGGTTCTAAAAGAGGAGGTTGTCTCGAATAGCTTATAACTTGAATTACTCTCCGACTATCTGTTGTAGCCACAAAATAATGGAGTCTGCCAAATTACCATTTATCGTTAATGATGTATGGTGTATCATAATTGCCATTCTTGCTGAGGCACGTGTACCAGAAGGTATATCCGAAGAGCCAACAGATTGGACCTGGAGGGTCAAGACACTTTCCACGCTGCTCCCTGGCCTACAAGATTTGATAGCTATAAGCAGTGCTTCCAAACAGCTCAGAGAGTTGCTTGCACCGCGCATATTCAAGACCCTGTACCTATACAACACGGCCAAGAGTGCGCGGGCAGTACAAGCCATTGCACAGGGCAGACACTCAGCCTGTGTCAAAGAATTGCACTACATTGGCATCACTGACGAGGGTTAGTTTACCTTTCTTATTTCCAACTAAGTTAATGATCTGTAGGAAACTCGCCAGAGAATGTATACCCGGCAGAGATCGACAACGTCCTGTCGAATCTGGCCCGGTTTCCAGCTCTTCACCACCTCAGCGTGGACTTCCCAACCTTTCGCGGGGAACGTGATATCTTCGAGGAGTATTTCCTGGAAAGTTACGAATATATGTCTGCCCAGGAGAAGAAAAATTCTTGGTACCGGCTGATGACGGCCAGTATGAACGCCATCGCATCCAGCTATGCCGGTAAAACACAACTGCCTTCATTTGAAATGCACCACCTCAACATCCTCAACGTGAGAACATTCTCCACAGATGCCTGCAGAAACTTTCTGTCGCAGCTCAAGTGTTTTTCGTTGTCGACGAAGTTCCGCGACGCGGATCTAGCCTGTTGCATCAAAACCATGGAGGGCTATATCACCTTCGCAGAGTACCTAGGACCAAGACTCCTAGAGAAGCTGACTTCCGTGGAGGAATTCACCTTCGATCCCTCATGCTATTTTACACTGGGTGCTTTGAAGAAGTATCCAGGACACCATTATAACATTGGAGACAAGTACTTTGGCTACGAGCTCGACATCGGCCTCGCCAACGCCAACATGCCGAATCTGCGTAAATTGACACTGCGAAACATCAACGTCTGCCCGGAGATGCGATATTTCATTATCCGGCATCTGGATACACTCGAATATGTGGAGTTGCATGAGTGTTACGCAAACAATGAAGCCTTCCTGTCAGACGCAGAGCAAGAAGATAATCACGCCGCAGAGAACGACCCGGAACGAATCATCTGGCATAGCCTGTTTACACGGCTTACACAGGAGCTTGAACAACGAAAGGCGGACTCGTTGCCTATGCGTCTGAGAGAGTTCAGAGTGTCTTTCGAGAAACCAAAGCTGGCAATGCGTGGCTTTGATTGTCACTGGGTTGACCCTGGTCGTCTTGCGCGCGCCGAGGCAAAGGAAAAGGCTGAGCCAGGGGCGAAGGTGTTTTTTTATTCTCGTCTGTTCCCGGATTATGGATGCCTGATGGATGCGAAACCGACGACGTTGGTGCATTTCTTGCGAGGGTATGATGAGCAGTGTTTTCGCGGGTTGCAGGCTGCTATCAAGGCGATTGAGAATGATGTACGTTAGATGACTATTATGCAGCAGTAGTTTTTTGAACATGCGTGTAAGCAGCCATACCATAGATGGACCTGTCAATTGGACCGATCTGCAGGGACATGCATTCCTAATTAGGGCATCGGACCCTGTAACCATAGAACATGTTCAGCTTCATGTTCTGTAACGCATGTAGTATAACAGATTATGCGACCAACGTTGCAATCTACAGATACCTTGCGTCTCAATGAATAATGACAATGTATATGCATTCAATTAATGAACTACAGCTTGCTTTCTGGAGCCTTGGGAATGCTAAACTTGGAGATATCATCAGAGGTCTTCCCATCAATCGCCAGCTCAGCCAACACTCGCCCAAACGTCGGCGCAAACTTGAACGCATGTCCACCACCCAGGCCAACAAGCACGTCCCGATGCTTCTCCAGGGGACTGATAATAAACTGCCTCTCCGGTGTAATCGCATACTGACACGTAACCGTCCTCAGCGTCTGGCCCTTGCCAGGAATAAAACTGCCCATCAACCCCTCCAGCTCCTCCAACAAGTCCTTCGAGTGCACAAACGACCGCTTATCAGGATCCATCCGGTTATACGAGACATCTCGACCAGCCTTGATAGTCGGCTCCCCGAACGCAGGAAACCCGTAGAAGAAGTGCTCCCCGGCATACGCCCACACAGGGAACTTCTCCCCCTCATACTCCTCGGGATTCTGCGGTTTGAAGTACGTTACCTGCTCCTGCATCACATCAAGCGGGATCTCAGCGCCGAGCGGCGCAAGGAGCTTATTCGCCCACGCATCAGCGGTGATAATCACCTTTCCAACCGAATACCGACCGCGCGACGTTTCAATTATCGCCCCGCCCTTTGCCTGCGGGATAACACGCTCAACACGCGTATTCTCCTTCAACACAGCCCCCAAAGCCCGCGCAGCATACTGCATCGCCGCAACAGACTTACTCGCATGCACGAGCCCCATATCAGCCGTATAAACCGTCTCCGCACCCTCAGGGAGGGTAAACTGCGGCCACCGCGCTTTAACTTGCGCGGGGGTAAGCAGTTCATACGGCTGCCCGTTCGCATCGAGACTCCCCGTCCAGTCGCGCGCCTTATTGGGGGAATCCCTGGGGAAGACGATAATGCCGCCTGTGATGTGTAGCCATTTCTGGCCTGTGCGGCGCTCCAGCTCAGCCCAGTCCCGGTAGGAGGACTGCGCGAGCTTGACGTACTCGGGCGCGCCGTAGGAGGTGCGTACGATCCGCGATGTATCGTGTGATGCGCCCCGGACGTGTCCGAATTCGAATTGTTCCAGCCCGAGCACTTTGGCGCCTTTTGCGGCGGAGTGGTATGCGGCGCCGCTGCCGAGGGCGCCCAGGCCGATGACGGCGATGTCGTAGTCCATTTAATAACAGTTATTGCGAGTTCAGATATATAGGAAAAGAATTGGTGGAAGATGGAGTGTAGGTCTGCAGGGGGGAGGGGTGCTTATGAGTATGAGGGGCACGGAGATAACGGGTCAGGAGCCGTCTTCGATATATCTTCAAACGATTAAAGCTTTCACAAATGCATCCTTGGGTCAATCAGGAGCTGCTGTCCTATTCGAGGTCCATCGTCCTGTCTTTCCCCGCAACTTCGCGGGTCCGTCCCGACTCCCCGCCGGGGACGGGGCGCTTCCGGGTGTACTTGACTCCATAGAGTGTTGTTATCCTGATAATGATGGGACTCCAGTATACTTTAGCTGATAGGACAGAATAGTATGTCATATCCGTAATAACTTGGGTGGCCAATGGACAACGTTTCGTTATTCTAGCGATAAACACAGCAATAATTTATCTACCTCTATCCGTATTATCGGGTCATGAAGCTATATATTCATTTCCCCAGGGCATGCAAGGTCAGTCTGCGATATGCATCCACTGCATCAATCAACTCCGACACCTTCAGAGACTCCGCCTCAGTGTGCGCCACATGGATTGTCCCAGGACCCCAGAGATACCGTTTATGATTTCCCTTCAGGCCTGGAACATCCGTGCCATAACTCACAACCGTCGTCTCGAACCCAGGAACATCGCAATTTAACGTCACCGGCCCAGCCTTGTTGTCCTTATACGCCAGTTCAAACTCGTACCCCGTACTATGCAGAGTATCATATATCTTCTTCTGCAACTCCTCAACAGTTCCATCCGCAACCCGGAACAGCACCTGCGCTTCTGCATGGAAAGGGATAACATTCGACGCAACCCCGGCGTCAATCCGCCCAATATTCATCGTCGTCTCCCCTAACAGCTCTGACCGCGGCAGCTCCAGTTTATGTCTAATCGCCTCAAGTCCAGCGAGGAGTTTTTCTGTCGCTGAATCCCCGAGCTCTGGGTATCCAGAGTGCGCGGCCTTCCCTGACGCTTTGATATTGACAGACAGAACCCCCTTATGTCCCTTGGGCAGTTTCCCCTCAGTCGGCTCCCCGAAAATTACACTCTCCCATTTCAAGCCGAGCTCGTTTGACTTGAGGATACCGCAGCCGTCGACTTCTTCGCCGACGACGAAGAGGAGTGAGATGTCGCCTGGTGAGACGAGGTTCTCGGTCTGGAGCTCCTCAGCTGCGACGATCATTGCCGCGACGCAGGCCTTTGCGTCGACTGTGCCCCGGCCGTGGATTTCGGTGTTGTTGTTTTTGAGTGTGTACGGCCAGTATGGGGGGACCTGTGCCGTCAATACTTATGTCTCGGGTCCAGTGGTTGTTCCATTAAAGTGTACTTACGACGTCAATATGGGTCGTCAGACAGACCCTGGTGTCGCGGCTGTCCTTGAGGTAGGCAAGGACATTGAATCGCTCTGGGTCTGGGTGCGACGACAGATACTGCCTTTCTACCTCGAAGCCCTTGCTGTCGAGGTATTTGACGAGGAAGTGGCCGACTTCTGCTTCATTGCCGGATATTGACTCGATGGAGCAGATGTCCCTGTGGAGGGATATGACTGGTTTGTTTAACGACATGTTTAGCAATGTATTTACTTATTGATTGAATTAGATTGGAGCGCGCGGGGGGTGATGATTTATAGCTCAGCGCATGTTAGTTAAATTACGGTGACTCCCTTACGTTGCAGTCAGTTACGACTGTACTTCGGTTACAGAACCAATATAAATCAAGGAAGCACAGAGTATAACATAACCAGGCAACGTTGCATTAGGGGTCCAGGCCGATCTGCCCCACGGGCAAGTTGGAGATGCAGACGAGGCGGGGTTCATACTTTCGGACCAAAGGATCTTACAATAATCACAGAAGCCCTGTTTATTTTTTGTCACTTTCATAATTTCAGCACTCGAGTCGTAATATGGCAGGAATTGAATCCATCGACGGCGGCGCAAAATGGTACACCTGCCGCGAGCGCATGATACTCGGAGAAGCGCCCATTTTCAGGGCCAGTGACTCGACGCTGCACTGGGTTGATCCGCTCTCGGAACCTGCGAGGCTATATATTCTGCAGCTTGATGACTCGGGGTCTCCAGTTGGAGAGGCGCGGGTTCTTGAGCTCGAGGATAGTGTGACGGTGGTGTGCTTCCGGAAGGACAAACCTGGGTACATCGCTGCATACTACCAAGGGGTTTGCTTTATTGATGAGGAGACAGGAAAGATTGAGGTCGTCAAGGAGATTATCCCAACGGACCAGCGTGATATTCTCCGATTTAATGATGGAGGGGTCGACGCCAAGGGTCGATTCTGGCTGGCCGAGATTGATAAAAAGGCCATCGCGCTGGGGGCTGGTGCATCTTTGGATGGTTATGGGACACCGATAGGACGTCTTTGGAGATATGACCCCGATGGAAGTCTACATTTGATGATTGAGGGCGGAATTATCTCTGGGAATGGAATTGCCTGGAGTCCAGATAATAAAACCAGTATGTTTCTATCCTGTTATTTTGACTGCCACAGAGAACTGGCCTAACTGTGCAGTGTACTTCAACGACTCCACGGCCTTCCTTGTCTGGGCGTACGACTTTGACCTGGAAACAGGAGATATATCCAACAGGCGCTTGCTGGTTGACCGTCGCACGTCCTTTGGCGAGCCGGATGGGATGGTTGTAGAGTAAGTCACACCTTGAGTTGCAGTGTTCTAGCTAATTCATATAGCACCGCTGGAAACATCTGGATTGCCATGTTCGGCTCGAACCGTGTAATGGTATTCGGCCGTGATGGACGCCAACTGAAGGGCATCACGTTCTCTGCTCGAAATGTCACTTGCACTACCTGGGGAGGGAAGGATTTTGACACGTTGTACGTGGCCAGTGCCAGGGACCGACGCCCGAATGCAAGTATAGACGATGAAGGAGGGCATATGTTTCGGTTTAAACCGACAGATGCCAAAGGACAGGCAAAGTACGAGTTTGATGGTTAAATTATCAGAATGAGTCTTAGATAAAGTTAGGAAGTAGAACTAAAAATATACATTGGGTATCATTAGAGTCACATTATTCGTTAAAGTAAATCAAAATAAAACTCATGCAAGCTCATGGCGCACACCGCGATGCCTATCATGCCCCCCATTCGACGCGTCCAGTTCTTCCAATATCAGCACCGGCTCCTCCTTCGTGGTGCCGTAATATGGAAAGTCTGGTTGAGTAGATCCAGAGGTGTGTACTATCATTTCATTCCGTTCTCGATCCCCTTTTACCTTCCGTGACCGCCAGAACCAGAGTCCTACAGCAGCCACTACCGCGAATCCCCTGACGCCAACACCCACTCCTATCCCTATTCTAGCACTCGTGGATAGTTGGCCAGATGAGGCCTCCGTGCCGTCAGGAGTAGAGGTCTCTGTAGTGCTTGGACTAGGCGTCGACGTGGTGCCAGTCTCACGAGCAATAGAAGGGGTCGAGGATGTTGGTGGAACGAAAAGACTCGAGTCGCTGGACTCCAGCGCAACAGTTATAGGCGGAGCCCACATGGTAACGGGCCCAATAACCCGCGTCGACGTTGTCTCCTGCCGAACGGGCACGATGGTCGAGCTGCGCTTTGAGAATGTGCTTGTGCACCCGGCGTACGTGTCTGAACCGCCGTCGCCGTAGTTAAGTACGTCGGTGGAATAGCTGAAGTCACTGAAGTGGATGTTAGTGGACAGGGTGTGTTTCAGTCTCGGTGGACGTACGAGGGACAGCAGATGGCTGTTGTTACCGGTCCATCAATAGCAACGTCGGCGGAAGTATAGCCTATAGGGCACCAGCCAGGACTGTAGATGAGGGAGCCCTGCATCCGGCCGACATGATCGAACCCAGAAGGGAAGCAGGAGGATGCAAAGGTAACAGCATTCTGGATGATAAGACCGGATTCGACGTTATTTGCGCCCTCAGGCTCGAAGGTCCAAGAGGTTGAGCATGGTGAAGGTGGTGTAAAAATAACATCCATGGAAAATTGAGTAGTCATTCCGTTGATGACCACCATGTTGACGTCTTCTATCTGTGAAGTAGTCTTCTGGAGGGTTGTAGCGGTAGACGGCGATATCGTCAAGTTGACGGGTTCTGCCCCTGAGGCCATCTGTATCCAAAGCAAAGACAAAAGCAATTCTAGTCGGTACTTTCAGCGGTCAGTCAAGGCCTATCAAGATATGTGATCTCGCGCTGGACAATCGCGTCAGTCACTAGCAGGGGTCTGCTGCGACTTGACTGTGCCGCAGTGTCCATGTGAATCCCACGCATCAGCATTTTACTCCTGTATAGAGCAATAAAAGCCCCGTATTTTGTTAGTTCTATTGCCATTGTACCCGTATGAATATAAAACTGTATGCATTCAAATCGAGATAGAAGGAGTACCGAGTGGGAAGAGAGTCCCCTGCTGAGGCTGTCGTGGAAGCGCTGGATAGCGCAGTGGCGTTTCCTTCGACTCTCGGCGTCGCCATTCTGTGTCGCTATTCGCAGATGAATATAGTTATCTGCGGCTAACAAAAAGCAAAGCCATGAGCCTCTGGGCCAAGCCTCAACAAGCGCCGAACTCATCCGTATTTCCCTTTCTTGCCCCCTCGGATTGTTAATCGCTCGCTGTTCCTTCCACTGTCGCCCTGGAAATCACCATCAGACATGCGAAGAACTGCTAAGATATTTGGCTTTCCAAGACCATTGAATTTATTCCCCATGAGTCGTACGCGGAGACCGATCAGATTAAAACCTGTCGTTCAGGTGGTAATAGCCTTGTTGGGGCTGTTCTCCCTTCTCAACTTATTTGCCAAATACCGTGCGTGCAACCACCTTGAAACGATCGATAAGGATGTTATTTCGCAATATTGACAATATAACAGCCCACGTCCAGAGTAATAATGCACTCCCCACGGTTGGTAAAGTCATGATGATTTATGGCGACAATCCTGTCTACCGTCGCGCAGTCGAGACACACCGGGACCACTGTGACAGATTGGGCTATCCACTCTTCCTCCTGCAGACAGAGATTCTGGATGGAGTATGGAATAAGCTGGCCTACCTTTCCTCTCTCATCGTTCAGGAGCTGGAAAAGCCAGAGAAAGAACGACTCGAATGGTTATTGTACGTGGCGCAAAAGTGCAGAAAGCACATTCAACTAACAGCAACAGCTGGATTGACAGTGACTCCATCCTCATGAACCCGAATATGCGATTGGAGACTTTCCTCCCTCCTGCCCATCTATCCGACGTCCATATTGTCCTCACAAAAGACTGGAACGGGATGAACGCAGGCGTCTTCCCCATCCGCGTGCATCCATGGTCTATTAAGCTTCTCTCGGCAGCAATTGCCCTCCCGATCCTGAAACCTGGCATCAAACTCTTCTGGGAAGAGCAGTCTGCCCTGGTTAGTGTGCTCGAGAAGGAGTATTTTGCCCAGTCGGCCGTCTATGTTCCACTGCGCTGGTTCAATGCGTACATGCGTTCGGCCGACGGAGAGAGCTTAAACCCTGACTCGGTGGAAGACCTGCAGGTGCATCCGGGTGACCTGCTTGTTCACTTTCCTGGGACTCCAAGGGATCGTTTCAATGAGACTTTAAGCCCGTACCTGGCCATTGCGGAGCAGCATCGCAGTGACTGGGAACTCCCGGTAGAGGAGACCGTCTATCCAGCTGAAACTGCAGACTTCTGGCGGAAGTATGCTCTGGAGAGGGGGATCGAGTCGCCGATTATAGAATATATAGAGGAACCGCTGTATGAATGAATCGAATCCGATAGATAGTTGCATAGATGTATGTCGCAGGTTCGCTATTTCGGGCATTGATCGCCCACTACCTGAATCACGAATTTATACCCATGACTGTTAGTACCTGATTGATATACGGGGATCTTTCAGTGGAGGCAATAGACCGCGGTTTTTGGCAAATCGCCGAGGTATGTGCGGTTACTTGCGCGGCAGTTATCATGAAAATGGGCCATGGATACGGGTTACTTGTTCGCTTCCAGTTTCGCTTCTGGGAATTTATGACGTATGGAGCTATCTCGTAGGGAGGATTATCACTGGTGTCACGGCGAGAGCCGATGTAGAATTCGGCGAGAGCCGATATCACGAGTAAAAGGATGGACGCTAGATAACTGCAGCAATGTCTCCAACAAATCCAAGTACTTTATGCAGCAGGAACCCTAAACTGATAAGGTTGCAGTTATTCTGCAGTTATTCTGCTGCATTCCGCAGTACTTCCGCAGTCATTCCGCAGAGATTCCTGGTCAGATAAGATGGTACGGATTCGTATATTTAACGCCAGACGATAACAGGCCAGTTCGGCAAGATAGTTGGAGACAATTGGCCTGATAGCCGACTGTCCCCAAGAATCCAGACAACAGGCGAGTGGCGCAACATGCCCATCCTGATAGGCAAGCAGATACCCACATCGGCTGCACGAGTCAATGATAACGGCGGGAACAATGCGGAGATTCCGTCTTCCAGTCAACTCTTTATCTTTATTTCCCCGCAGAATGCCGATCATGCATGGTTCCCTTGGTGTCTGGGGTTTAAGGGCTCCCATCCCGGTTGACTGATGCTTGTTTCTACCCCCAATCTCATATCCAAATCATTCACAATGGAGAAATCACACAGCGCCGGGGAGGCCCCAGACCTCCAAAAGGAGGGCATCTTCCCTGTCACGAAGCAGGGGACCAATGGAGTCGACCTGGGGGAGGTCTTGGAGCTTGAACTGGACCCTAAGGAGGCCAGCAGAGTGCGCTGGAAGCTGGATTTAATGTACACAGCCAACTCCCTGCTCTATTCAGTACTAACAGATGCAGCCTCCTCCCATTGATGTGCTTCGCCTACTTCCTGCAGTTTGTCGACAAGTTGATTCTCAGCCAAGCGACGCTCTTCAACCTGCGTGAAGACTTGGTTCGTTCTTCCCCAGCCTTTTTTCATCAGCCCTTCGCCTGTCTAATCCGAATAGAACTTGCAAGGAAACCAGTACTCGTGGACCTCGGCCGTCTTCTACTTTGGCTATCTCTCGTGGAGCTGGCCTAGCTCGTATCTCCTCGTCCGACTCCCAATTGGGAAGTACCTTGGAACTACAATGTTTGTTTCCCCTATGCTTTATATCAAAGTATCAAGCTGACAGAACAGCTTCCTCTGGGGCGGAATCCTGATGTGCCACGCAGCAAGCAAGAACTTCGCCGGCCTCATGACAGCGAGGTTCTTCCTAGGCGTAGGAGAGGCGGCAGTTGCCCCTGGCTTCTCACTGATCGTCGGAATGTTCTATACAAGAAAGGAGCAGCCTCTACGGTACGCCAACCCCCTATTCTACAAGGCTGCAAGCTAACCAACCAGACAATCCTTATGGTACTTCGGAAACTGCCTCGGCGCCCTACTAGGAGGTCTAATCGGATACGGCATCGGACATATCAACGCGCCCGGCGTAAACCGGTGGCAACTGCTTTTTCTTATTCTCGGAGCTATCACATCAGCCTTTGGCATCGTGGTCTTTGCGCTTCTCCCTGACTCCCCCGCGCATGCGATCTTTTTGACCAAGGCCGAGCGGACTATTGCACTGCGTCGCACGCTGGAGAACAAAACCGGTGTTATGGATACCAGGGAATTCCGATGGGACCAGGCGAGACAAGCAGTCGCGGATCCACAGACTTGGTTCCTGGTTCTATTTACCGTTTGTGTGAATTTCGCCAATGGCGGTCTTACCAGTGTACGTCTCTATCAACTGTGACTATGGCAGTCCAATGCTAATTGTATAGTTCCTGGCTATCCTCATCAACGGCTTCGGGTTTGGAACGTTCCAGTCTCTCCTCCTGCAGATGCCTAGCGGTGGTGTCGAGATTATTACCCTGATCATCACGTCTACGGTAGCTACACTCGTCCGTTCGACTCGTATTGCCATGCTGGTGTGCTGCACTGCAGTGTCAGTTGTGGGTATGGCGATGGTTTGGAAGATTGATCCGGAGGAGAAGGCGGCCAGACTTGTTGGGCTGTCTCTGGGAATTGCGTATGCCATGAATATCCCGATATCGATGAGTTTGATGTCGTCGAATGTCGCCAGTTTCACGAAGCGGAGTGTTGTCAGTGCCATGATCTTTATGGCGTACTGTGTGGGTAATATTGTTGGTCCACAGTTCTTTATTGAGTCTGAGGCGCCATCCTACCCGGTATGTCCATTAACATACTGTATTATTACTGTCCACGCTAACGGTTTGCAGACTGGGATAAAGGCTTCCATGTCTGGTCTGGTACTGGGTATTTTCTGGCTAGGGTGCCTGTTTGCGTATTACGCTTGGGAAAATAAACGCCGCGACAGAGTGCATGGTCGTCCGTCGGATATTTCTACCGTCGATGAAATGCAGGATGAGCTGTCGAATAAGACAGACAGGGAGATTCCGAGTTTCCGATATGTCCTGTAAGAGGTCGCTGGGACCCTACCTCAGTACACATCTAGTATGAGACATGACCATCAACACGATCTATCCAGGATGGATTTTTTTTTTTTTTTTTTTTTTTTTTTTTTAATATAGAATTAAACTGTAGACTCCCTCACCACAGACGCACTCTTATTCCCATCCTCCACCTCCACCTCCATATCCTCACCCCCCTTCCCCCTCCGATCCTGCACAAACGCCAACCCCAGGGCAGTAAGCGAATGCAGCACCGCAAAGCCCGCAGCGCCATAATTCCCCTTCACCACACCCGGCTGATCCACAGTCTTAAACAGCCCCAACGGAATCGTCGCATCCGCAACATAAGCCCACACATTCAACCCGCCACTCGCAAATGCCCTCGTCGCCGGGTCTCCGGAGAGTGTATCCTGCGTCCACGCCCAGAACATGGAGCTGCTTGCCTGGCAGAAGCCTGAGAGGTAATAGAGTGTCCACCGTCCTGCGCGGTGGGCGGGGAAAACGGGTGTGCTGCCCAGTGTGAGGAAGATTATGGCTGCGGATGTACTCCCGAGGACGAGGAGGGGCCAGCGCCGGCCGTGGAGGAGGGTGTCGCTTGTCCAGGCCATGCTGAGGGTTATTATTACGATTATGGCTTGGATGGGCGTTGTATAGTTGTCTGCAAGGGTGAGTACGTATTTGCTTTCGGGTTTTGGGGGTGGGGTAGGTACTTATTTGTGCGACGGTGTATGAGCCTGGCTCTATCTCGTTCCATGCTTTTAGCCAGTAGGACATGGATAGCAGTGGTTGTTGGCAGACACAGTTGCAGCTGGGGTTGTTAGTTACAAGATGGCGCATCAGTGAAATACGTACAACGAGATTAACCAAAGGAGCCACTGTAAATAAGTTAGAGCTGCGATGATTGCCTATTGGAGGGACATACGATATCCAAGGTGAAAAGCCATCTTTTGACCTGTTTCATGGTAAATTTGCCCTGTCTGACTCGTCCTTCTTTTGGGTTTCGGTTTCGGGCGATTTCGATTTCCTGTAGAATGTTAGAGAAGCAAGTGATAGGTTTGGATGCATACCCTAGCTGTAAAGAGACGATCTGGCTTCTGGCGAGCTGGGACGTCTGGATAGAATAGGATCTGAGGTAGGATGACGCCGATTGATATAACACCTATGGGAGGATAGGTATAAGACCACGAATGATGTTATAGATAACATACCATCAATAATAAACAACCACCGCCACCCAGCTTTCCCATGTACACCGTTCAGCCCATTATACGCCGCAGCCTGAAGATAACTTGAAAACATGGGCCCGATCGCGGTTGTCATGTTGATGATAGCGATGCGCCGCGACAATTCCTCCTTCTGGTACCTCGCACCGCAGAGGTACATCATCGCTGAGAAGTGGCCGGTCTCGAATACGGCCAGTATTGCTCGCAGGACGTACATATGAACTGGTCTTGTCATTGAGGATTGCGCGAAGGTGATAATCGTCCATCCGACTTCGAGGAAGGGAATGAACCAGCGCGGGTTTGTGCGAGTGAGCAGGAGGTTTACTGGCCATATTGCAATTATCTATCGTGTGATTTAGCCATGTTTCCAGATATTCTCATGGTTAGTGTGGGTATTACTTACATTTGCAACTGCATATGCGGTGTTGGCGTAGTTCATTTCCTGTTGCTTGTTAGGGCTGGTCACTCAATATTGTGTGTACGCACATTCCCATACAGGGAGAGCTCTTCCTTCATCCCACTGACAAACGCATTCTGGAGGTTTGATCTGGAAAGAAGTTAGAAATTAGAGATTGGTAGTGGGATTAAGGTCATACTTGTCCAAGTACTTGATGAACGTGCCCAGGCAGCCAAAGGTCATAAGGGTGAGGTCCATCTTCAATATCAATTTCCTTTCCTGTTCAAATATTAACAAAGCCCAATTATAGAAAAGTCGCCTTTATACTTCAACTGGCTTGTCCCATGAATCCCACAGGATTCTCCGCCAGGAAGGCTTTCTTTTTGCCATCTCCGTTGTTCGCTCTCCCTGGCCGTGCGGGCCATCGGCATTCACAACGGAAGACATTATCAGATTGGAAACATTAACTAAACATCACAGAATGAGCTTTTAGAGCGTAGGTATTGAGTATTTACATAACAAGGACTCGTCAGGAATGGCTAAATGAATCATAACCCACTCCAATGGCGAGATCAGTGGTGCTGACGGCAGACAGCCCTACGATGGTGCAACCGGCTACGGCTCGCATCCTTGCATCCTGCTGTTGAAGCCTACTTATTACCCTTGGTCTTCAGCTCTGTGTGCTCTCCTGAAGGCTTATCGTCGTTCCACTATGGGGTCCATCGCGCCCCAAGATCCGTTCGCAGACACAGCATCTTTGATAGAAATATTCGATATACCCAATAGCCGCCGTGTCCACGACAAGGTGTTCCCTTTTGGAATTAAAGTTAAAGATGGGGAGAGCTTCACAGATGTGGATGCCGCCATTAAGCATCTCGAGCCTCTTGTAGAGGAGGGCATATTCAACTCCCTCCTGACTCAGCGTAAACCCTCAGCCCGCGTCTCCCGAGTGCAATAGCTGATAATAGCAGATGGGGCGATACTTTTCCGTGGTCTCCCTATTCACAATGCAGAAGATCTATCGAAATTTACAAAGGCGTTCAAGCTCCCACAACCGCATCAAGAGGTCGGTCTGTCAGGCAAGAGAAGCACTCTAGGAGGGAACGTTAAGACGGCCAATGAGGAGCCTCCTAATGTGAAGTTCTACTACCATAATGAGTATGGTCGGAGTGCCCACTTCCCGGGAATTGTTTTCTTCTTTTCTCAGAAGGTTCCTGAGCAGGGTATGTCGATGCAAGTCACGGTCGGTATGTGCTGACAGGGACTAGGTGGACAGACGCCTCTTCTATCGACGGTGGAGCTATATGATAGACTTCGAGAGGAGGTTCCACAATTTGTTGACACTCTGATTGAAAAGGGTATATTACTTTCGATATACAAGTACAGCCAATATTGACGAAGACAGGAATAATCGGCCGGCAATACTACCCAGCAAAAGAGGACCCCGAGTCGCTCACCATCGGCTGGAACTGGCAAGACTCATACGGATTCACCATAAAACAAGACGACTCTCTCGCAACAAAACGCCACAAAGTCGAACAAGTGCTCAAAACCCATCTCCAGGCAGAAGCCGAATGGCAGCCCAACGGCGCGCTGCATGTCCTCCAGCGGCTTCCCGCTTTCAGGCAGATTGCATCGACCGGTCAGATCGTACCGTTCAATGGACTCGGTGGTGTCTATGGACGGCAGCGAGATAGAAAGGCTCTTGCGCCGCCATGGAGGGGAATTGACGGCGGGGTTCATCTCCCGACTACGTATGGCGATGGGTCTGAGATTCCGAAGGAGTATTTGGAGAGATTATTGGATATTTCGGATGATATTGGGTTTCTTGTTCCCTGGGAAGAGGGGGATGTGGCATTGGTAGATAATTATACTGTTCAGGTATGTCTCTCAGGTAATATGGTAGCTTGCCCTAATGCCTATAGCATGCGAGGACGCCTTGGGTTGGGGAGCGGTCTTTGCTGGTTAGTCTGTGGGACGGACATGAGAAGTTCATTTCTGTTTGAGACTTCAGTCAGAAAGACAATTAGGGTACAGCTAAGCCATATGAGGAGAATTCAAAGCGTCTACACTAGGATAGACCTATCTCAATTTCTTGTCCTGCTCGAAATCAACCTTCATCTGCGCCGCAAATTCGTCATCTAATAGAACCCTTAACCCAGCTACAGCAAGGCCCTTGGCAACCCCCATGCTGATATCATGAGACTCGTCTGTTTTGGCAGCATCGCGGAATTCCTCAGTGTGCATCCCTGTTCCGCTGGGCGTGGGAATGAAATGCAGGCCGTGGAATGAAGGGATCTCGTAGCTGACGTTCCCTGTTTCCGTCAGTAATGTGGAATGCATTCGAAAGATGACCTACCCATGTCAGTGCTAAATGTGCCGACGTCCCTTAGTTGCAGGTCGCAGTAGTACTCTCGCCCTAGGGTGCCCATATACCGAGTGAACTCAGAGCCTAGGCTTTCATTCGGACGCATATCGGCATACGCGTCCATACTAGACATATGAGCTTTCTTGCTATCAGACTTGATAAAGAGATACTCACTCTGGGACAATATCGACAGTACACCCAGTCGCCAACGCAGCGCCACGACAACAGTTCTCAACCTTAGTCCGCAAACTCTCCATGTCACTCAACGTCGCCGATCGAACAGTACATTTGATGGCCCCTTTATCAGGGATTATATTTGTCGTCGTCCCCCCATCCGAAACAATGATATTGATCCGGTCAGTCAGCTTGATATGCTGTCTGAGCAATCCCACCGCCGAATAAGTCAGGGCAGTCGCATCGAGCGCGTTCAAGCCTAGCCACGGCGTCTGGCCCGCATGCGTCGGTTTGCCGTGAAATTTGGCCGAGAATCCCACAGCTGCCAGACATGTCCCGTACGCGACGCCGGCTGAGCGAGCGCTGATATGTGGCAGATGCGACAGGGGGTGGCTCATGAGCGCGGCGTCTGTCTCTGTGAATGCGCCTGCGTTGATAAGCTTCACTTTCCCTCCCCCTCCTTCTTCAGCGGGACAGCCTAGGAGACGGACTCGGCCGGGGTAGTTGCTCTCCTTCAGGGCTGCGACTGCGGCTAGGAATGCGGCGATGGCAGTCACTGCGATGAGGTTGTGGCCGCAGCCGTGTCCGATCTCGGGGAGGGCATCGTACTCGGCACAGAAGGTGACCAGCCGGCCGCCCTGGCCGTATTCGGCGAGGAAGGACGTGTCTAGACCGTAGGCTTTGGGGGTGACGGTGAGGCCGATATTGAGAGTGGTGAGGAAGTTGCAGATTTCGCTGTGGGCTTTGTATTCGGCATACGTGAGCTCGGGGGTTTCGTGGATCTTCTAGGTTAGTATCGTCTTGCACTAGAAGAAGGGCGCCTACTGTAATGCTGAGGTCGCGAAGACCTGGACTGGCTTGATCAATGGACCTTGAGACTGTATCTTCCGTCATGGTGACTTGGAGGTTAGATGGGCTATCTGTAGGGGAGATGCCTCTTATAAACCAGAAGTCAAGCTGCACCCTAAACGCGCATCAGCCCTTTAATGATCTGATTCGTGGTGGGAATGTTGATGCGCGCAATACAAGCTGATTGGCGCGATCTTACTAGACTCCTGTCCACACATCCAGTCTCCGGGGTATTCCTCTCTGATCCATTCCATCTGCCATACACCCCCAGAAACTCATATAGGTGTTCAAAATTTGCTGCTCTCAACCAACCACCAGGCATCAGCTCGAGATCACGGATTGGTCCGTTTGTATAAGCCAAACATTACCGGACCCCGCACCGGAGTAAACTCTTCGGATCCGAGCCCACCTGGAACTCGATCAACGTGCCTAGCGGGGCTGGATGCGTGGCTCCAGTGCGGTCACCGCGGCTTATCCTGTTGTTACAAGGTGTGGACAGCCATTCTAATAGAAATATACCGCGATGCGACATGAGATGACGTCAATTGTGGACTTGTTATTCTACATCTTCTAGGGCTACAGTTCGGACGATAGGAGATTAAGATAGATGTAACAAAGAAAAGTCTCAACTCCTCCAGTTTCGCACTAGAATGGTAATATCAAGGTAATTTTCCTATAACAAACCCAACCCTAAACCAATCACAACAAAACCAGCAGCAAGCGGGGCAGCTAAGACTCGGCCAGCACCATTGCCAGGGCCCTCCTCTGTGTCATTTTCAGAATCCTGGGAGCCGTCAGAGTTTGCATTTGTATCACTGCTAGGTCCGTCATGACTCGTACTTTCTGGGATGCCTGAACTGGTAGGACTCGGGGTTGCACTAGGAGTCGCACTACTTGTACCGTTCACCTCTGTCGCAGGGTCCTGCGGGAAATCATAGCCATGGCAGGGATTTCGATCATTGTCTGCCACTGCTCCCCATAGTTGGTACAGCGTATCGTTGCAGGCGAGTTTTGATGTGTAGCCGGTGTCGACCAGTCCCAGGTCCTTCATTTTGGGGAGATAGACACTAGAAATTCAGCTGTTAGTATATCCTCGAACAGCAGTAGATATTGCCGACTCACGAGTGTATCTCTTGCCAGAGGTAGAAATGTCTCGCGGTTTTAATAGTGGAATAGATATCCAAGGGGGCTCTCGCGTTGATTGTGGCGCCAACGTTTGTCTCGCCTAGGGCGCCCATCGATAGTCTATGAAAGAGTTAGAATTGGCTGCCTTTCGAATATTGGTTCGAGACAAACCCAGAGACGCCCCCGTAGACCTCGAGCGTTCCAGTCAGGGTGTGCATCTTAGGAGCATCAAAGTCAAGCGTCTCACCCCCCTCTTGGATGTTGATGCGAAGTCCCTGGCTGCCGTCGTTCGCAGACTGATCTGCGTATCCGACTACTTCCAGATTTGGGACGGAGACACTGAAATTCAGTCAGTATGAGCGAGTGTCAGCGCGTGCAGCAATCGAACCTGTTTACTGTTCCTGCCACCTCGAAGTGATTCGTCTCTTCCAGCGACGGCAGGTCCACGGCGATGTACGGGAATTTAGTGTCAGGATAGATACCACAGTCCGTCGAGCCGCAGAAGTGAATCTCCTTCGCGACGGTTCTCAGCGACTCGAAGTTTGTGCTGTAGTCATGTCAGAGAAATTGCACTCCTGGTGCATGGAGCATACCTCGTCCAGCTGCCCAAGACCAACACGTTCTCTGCCTCCACTAGAGACCCTAGGTCAGCCTCTCCCTTGTCCTTCTTCTGGACGAGCTCAAGATCGCCAATGCTCTCAAGATTCGGGAGGTGCACATCGCCAGATATCCCTTGGAGGTGAATGGCATCGATAGTTACGAGATCGTACAGCTCGAACAGGCCCAGCCCTTCGGCGCCATCCTCAACGGTGGAAATGTTGCCGTGGACTTCGGTTACGCCGTCGAGCGCGACGTCGCCTTGGTAGCCGGACTGGATTTCAATATGTCCGTTGAGGATCGTGCAGCCTTTGAATGCATCCAGCTATTCAGGGCCGGTCAGGCTCAGCGATTCGCCGCCGTCGGCGGTGTTGCATTCTTTTGCGGCACCTGATCAAGTTAGACATGTTATCGAAGGAGTGAAGAATAAATACCAAGAGATGGAGCAACGACCAAGGCCGCTAATAAAGGGATCTGGGTTTTCATCGCTGGTGACTGTCGATGGTGAATGCAGGATGCGAAGACGGGAACATCCATTAATATAAGCAAACACATGCACTGCCCGGTTCAAGGCTAGAGACAGTGAGTCCCCAAAGCTGTATCGCGTTAGACTACACTCGACGGACTGTCTTGGCCCTGTTGGTGTCTGTCCGTAATCACGAGCGGAAAGCCCTATAGGGTCCCATCCAGCGCTGGGCTGGTGGTTATAAATGGCCTGATTCGCCCCGTTTCAGAACAGAACAGATTTATCTTGGCGCTCACTGCGTCCAGGGACTGTCTAAACTGCAACCCTGTTGGTGTTCCTGGTGATCATCCTCATTTTGGGGCCAATCCTCCCGTGAGGCTGTGCGTGTCAGCATACAGAGGCAAGATTAGGGTCCGAGTACAGACCAGGTGAAGACAGTTTAATTATTAAGGTCGACGTCTGATGAATTTATTTGACTGCAATGTGGGAAAAGGCCTGTTTATCGAGTTTACTATATATATATATATATATATATCCATTGTCGTAACGCTGCCTTGGCTGCTGATATGACTCCCTGAATTTCCCCGAAATTTCCCTATTTTCTTCCCTTAATGCCCAGTCCTATGATCACTCATCGGTCTGTCAAGGGATGCAAGTGATGTTTGAATCCTGAAATCGCTTTCCAGAACTTCCTGCACGTTGGATTCTGGAATGTCAATCATCTCCACGTTTAGGATCACCCCGCATAGCCAGAGCACCAGTCACGCAATTATGAGTCTTCCCACACCGTTTGAAGGGGCGAGACAGCTGAATTCCAGCCCTGTCGGTGCAAGTTCCGGTCTGATTCTCTCCGACTCTGCCTGACTCTGGCGCACGTTACACAGATCGACATTCCTCGTGCCCAGCGCTTCAAGATGGTTATGATCTTCGCACTAGCAGAGCAAGCCTTTGCCAATTCAGTCAAGAATGCCGGGAGCGAATCCTGTTTCTTTCTCCCCTGGCCACTCGGAGTTGCTCTGCTGGGCTGGAGTGGTCGGCTTTGACGTGGGCCGATACTCGCACGTCACCCAAAGATGCCGTGCAATCGAAGCAATGCAGCTGCTTTCCTTCTTGAAGCCTGTTAACCTGTGTTAACCCCACTTGATCTCCTCCTTTTATGTCCTCCCCTCCCCGGACATTTTCTCCAGGTTTTCGTTCCGCACGCCATCCCCATCCCCGGGCAACTTGAGAAAAATGGCGGAGGCAGAAAAGAAACAGCTTGAGGCCCTGGAGGTCGTGCGCGATCGCGCCCCAGAAGCTGATGCCTTTATCCAGGAAATGGAGAGCAAACTGGCCGCCGCAGGAGGGCTGGAGACGGGCTTCTTCCACGTCCAGTTCAGCAACCCGCAGCACTTCACCTGGCTGCTTGTCGCATTCGCCAGTATGGGAGGTCTGCTGTCGGGTCTTGACCAGAGTCTCATCTCCGGCGCAAACTTGTATCTTCCCAAGGATCTGGGCCTGGACGATAGACAGAATAGTCTGGTGAATGCGGGCATGCCGTTAGGTGCTGTTGGTGGAGCGTTGATTCTGTCGCCCTGCAATGAGTATTTTGGTCGGAAGTGGGCGATTATCATATCCTTGGTTCTGTATACAATTGGTGCTGCGCTGGAGGCTGGGTCGATTAATTATGGTATGCTGGTTGCTTCGTTTGGAGTACTATTGCTAACAGACCAGGCATGATAATTGCATCGCGTGTCATTCTGGGTCTCGGTGTCGGTCTCGAGGGTGGTACAGTTCCTGTTTACGTCGCAGAAACTGTTGAACGTCGCATTCGCGGTAACCTGGTCTCGCTGTACCAGTTCAATATTGCCCTGGGCGAGGTCCTTGGATATGCCGTCGCTGCGATCTTCCTGCATGTTCCCGGTAACTGGCGGTACATCCTGGGGTCGTCCCTCCTCTTTTCGACCATCATGTTTGCAGGGTGAGCACCAATACAGAAGTAGTGGTACTGTTCTAACCCTGCTAGCATGCTGTTCCTCCCTGAAAGTCCGCGGTGGCTCGTGCATAAAGGCCGTACTCTCGACGCATACAAGGTCTGGAAGCGCATCCGCGGCATCGACACCCCCGACGCAAGGGACGAGTTCTTCGTCCTGACTGGCTCTGTCCGGCAAGAAGAGAACGAGGTGAATGAAGGCGCGCAGAACAAGCGATTCCCGTGGATGGACTTTTTAACGTGCGTTCCCGCTCTACCAAGCTGCCATCGCTAACCACCTTATAGTGTCCCCCGCGCTCGTCGCTCGCTTATTTATGCAAATATCATGATCATGCTTGGCCAGCTAACTGGCATCAACGCGATTATGTATTTCATGAGTGTGCTCATGTCTCAAATTGGGTTCAATGATGAAAACGCCAACTATATGTCGCTTGTTGGGGGCGGATCCCTTCTTCTGGGAACAATTCCGGCTATTTTCTTGATGGAATCATTCGGTCGGCGGTTCTGGGCTATTGTAACCCTTCCAGGCTTCTTCATTGGGTTGGTCTTGATTGGCATCAGCTACAGGTTTGATGTTGAGACGGACCTTATGACGGTTGAGGGTCTGTACCTCACCGGGCTGATCTTGTATCAGGGGTTCTTTGGCTCCTATGCCTGTTTAACATGGGGTATGTTACTACTACAATGCTTCATCGTACTAGATATTAATTATACCAGTGGTCCCCTCAGAAGTCTACCCAACTTACCTCCGCAGCTACGGCATGACAACATCCGATGCCCTCCTCTTCCTCATGTCATTTATCGTAACATACAACTTCACCGCAATGCAACAAGCCATGGGCAAGACTGGTCTCGCACTGGGCTTCTACGGCGGCATTGCAGTCGTCGGTGAAATCTACCAGATCTTCTTTATGCCTGAGACGAAGGACAAGACGCTCGAAGAGATCGAGGAGGTGTTTTCGCGGCCCACGAGGGAGATTGTGAGGGAGAACTGGGCGGGCGTTAAGCAGAATTGCAACGATTTGGTGCGAGGGAGGTGGAAGAAGGTGTTTGTTGAGCAGAGGAGGATGAGGCCGACTGTGCAGGAGGCCGAGTTGAAAGTTATGTCTTAGATTTATTATGAGTCGACGAGTTAGATTAGGTGATGATACATTGATATTACGGTCCTCGTTTATCTCCGCGTGATATACAAAGTACGTCCTGTTACGCAAGACTTGCTTAGGTATCTCAGCAACGTAAGCGACCATTTGGGACCCTCTTTTGCCCTATCTTAATTTCAATTTCACCCGGAGAAGGGCACAGACTGCAGCCACGTCTCCCCTGAATCCAGGCAGCAAGCGATGCCTGGATTTCGAGTCTGCAGCTCCACAATTCTGCAGAATAGTCGTAAGGCTGATTCTGCCTTATCCAGGCCCCACCTTTTCTCCTCGTATTGTCACCCTCAACGTCTATTAGGATCGCTCAATAATGAGTCAACCGTCAGGGCCAAGACGCTCTGGCCACGGTGGTCCTGGCCCACCAATGACTGATCGTCTTTCGCGAAGGAGCGTGCGTTGGGAATGGAAGGTTGTCGAAGCCTGGGCAAATGGGTAATCGTTGTTTGCTGGAATGATACCAGTATTAATATTTAGGGCTCGTGGCACAACGGCCTGTGGCTGGTTCTGCCACAATTCAATCCAACCCAATATGAATTCTAAACCCGTTGTGGACGAGCAGAGAGAGGCGCAGCCAGATAGTGAGATGGCTGCTGAAGGCGGGCCTGATAAGGCTGAAGACATCAAGCTTCCTTTCTTCCCCAGCTATATGGTACGCCTGAACTAGACATGAGTATGGCTGAACTAATGCCGGACAGAGGATTCTCTCGTACGGTACTGGGAATTATGGGTGGCTTCTTATGATAGTCGGCCTTGGATGCGCCATGGGGTCTGGTGTCGTGAGTTTATGTTAACTAACTATGGCTGATAGAACTGACAACTGCAGGCTCTCCCCTTGATGAATATTATATTTGGAGATATCACGAAAGACTTTAGCGAATACTTTCTCCCCGGGTCTGGTGTCACAGAGTCCGAGTTCAAGGCTGCAGTCAGCAAGAATTCGTATGTACTGCCTCAAGCACAGTATACACTCCAGCTAACATTTTAGACTCTTTATTGTGTACCTGTTCATTGGAAAGTTCGTTCTAACATATATCTTCACGGTATGCACGTCCCCCACTCCTACAACTGCAACTAACAAGTCAGATATCCTTCCGAGTAATCAGTCTCAAAGCCTCATCCGCCATTCGCCTCGAATACATGCGCGCCCTGTTCGCTCAACCAGTCAGCAAACTGGACGAAATCTCCGTTGGCACCGTCACAAACACCATAACAGGCCTGTCCAATACCCTCCAGGAGAGCATGTCCGACCGCCTCGCCATCCTCTTCCAATCCATCGCCATCCTCGTCGCAGCATACGCAATCGCCTTCAGATACTCGTGGGCCCTGACACTCGTTGTCAGCTCCGCCATGCTCTTCATGGGCCTGTGTCTGACAGTTGCAGCTCCGATGCTGATTAAAGGGAACCGCGGTGTTGAACTCGCCGACGAGAAGCACGCTGCTGTCGCGGCGGATGTCTTCAGTTCTATCCGGACTGTGTTCTCGCTTGGTGCCGAGGCGTCTCTTGCCCGTAAGTATGGGGAATGGGCTGAAGAGGCGAGGAGGAGAGCTACAAAGCTAGCGCCTGTTATGGGTGTTCATCTAGGCCTGATGTTTTTCTCCATGTATGCGAGCTTCGCGCTGGCGTTCTGGTTTGGGCTGAAGCTTTATCGCGAGGGGAATATTCCTGATGTCGGTGTTGTTATTACGTGGGTATCCTTGCTCTACATATGATGGTACTGCATGGTTAACTGAAGGATAGTGTTTTCTTCTCCGTCCTGATAGTGACGACCGTGCTGGGCAGCATTTTCGCACCGTTTATGGTTATCACCAAGGCTGTTAGTGCGTCGGGGTCTTTCTTCTCTATTATTGACTCTGAACGGAGACCGGTTGATGGGATCAGGATGTCTAGTCGGTCTGATATCGTCTTCAGCGATGTCACCTTTGCGTATCCAACCCGGCCTGAGGTATCTGTGCTTAAGTCTTTCAGTGTTTGCTTCCAACGGGGGAAGGTAACTGCCCTAGTTGGACCTTCGGGGTCTGGTAAGAGTACCATTGTCGCATTGCTCGAGAGATGGTATGATCTCAGTGCATCATATGAGAAGGAAGATGTTGTAAAGCCCACAGCTACAGGGAGTATCGAGGTGAACGGGCACAATATCAACGAGCTGGATTTGAAATGGTGGAGAACACAGATCGGGCTGGTCCAGCAGGAGCCGTTCCTATTCCATGATACAGTCTATAATAATGTCTGCTTTGGGCTTATTGGGTCTGAATGGGATGGGGAGTCGGAGCAGGTCAAGAGGAAGCTTGTCATTGCGGCATGCAAGGAAGCTTTTGCTGATGAATTTGTGCAGCGACTACCATTGGTATGAACGCCTTCATTTACTTCTTCTATACTGACTGTTTCAGGGCTACGAGACTATCGTCGGCGAAGGGGGCATCACATTGAGTGGTGGTCAGCGCCAGCGCCTAGCCATTGCGCGAGCCATTGTCAGCCAGCCCACAATTTTAGTTCTGGACGAAGCAACCAGCGCAATTGATGTTCGTGGGGAGAAAATAGTGCAGGCAGCCTTGGATCATGTTTCCAGGGACCGGACAACAATCACCATTGCGCATCGACTGTCGACCGTCCGGAATGCAGACCACATTGTCGTAATTAAGGACGGGACGAAGTGCGAAGAGGGAACCCATGACGAGCTTCTCTCCATGAATGGTGTATACCATGACCTTGTCCATGCCCAGCAGCTTGTGCCACTGACTGAACAGAACGATCCCGTCACGGAGGAAGTAGAGGCCGAAGTCTACGATTCCATGCCTCTGGAAGGCGAACCCGTAAGCAATAATAATCAGACGACGGAGGCAAAAGCGAAGAAGATAGGGGCATTCCGGAATTTTGGTATCGTGATGTACGAGCAGCGCAGATACTCGTGGCTTTACGGCATCGTCCTGGTGGCTGCCGGTGCTGGCGGAGGTACGAGTCCCATTCCCATACAAGAAACCCGTTTGACCGTTAGCAGCTGGATACGCCGTACAGAGTTTCCTGTTTGCAAAACTCGTTGAGGCCTTTCAGTTCACTGGAAAGCAACTGGAAGATGCTGCCAACTTTTGGGCCCTGATGTTCTTCATCCTGGCGTTGTGTGTGATGGCTGTTTATTTCACGCTGGGCTTTAGCTCGACTATCTTTTCCTCTGTACGTACCTATTGTCTTGGTACATACCGTTCGAGGGCTAACTCGTATAGTTTGTTGCTGCTGTCTATCGCAAAGACTATTTCCGGAGTCTGTTACGCCAACCCATCCCCTTCTTCGACCAGGACGCAAACGCCTCAGGAAGTCTCGGCGGACGCCTCTCCAGCGACATCCGCCAGCTGCAGGAATTATTCTCGACAAACGGAATATTCCCCCTGATATCCATTTTCACCGTCATTGGCTGCGTCGCCGTGTCATTCGCCTTCGGGTGGAAGCTCGCGGCAGTCACATTCTTTGCAGCGCTGCCCTTTATCTTTGGAGCTGCGTACATCCGAATTCGATACGAACTGGAGTTTGAGGGATTAAACGCAAAGGTCTATGCAGAGAGCTCCAAGTTCGCGGCGGAGGCTATACGCGCTTTTCGGACTGTCAGTGCCCTTACGATGGAGGGCCATATCCTGGATAAGTATTCGGATTTGCTGGCGGAGCAACGACAGATGGCTCTTCGTAAGGCGTACTTTGCTGCTTTGGTAATTTCTCTCTCGAGTACTGTGGATTTCTGCGCTATGGCCTTGACCTTCTGGTAAGATTTCTATTTAACAGTTGGCCGTTGCTAACGTGTCAAGGTATGGAGGCCAGCTCCTCGTAACAAAGGAGTACGACCTGGTAGCCTTTTTCGTTGTTTATATCGCCATCATCCAAGGAGGACAGACAGCTGGCCAGTTCTTCAGTTTTGCTCCCAATATCGCACAGGCCATGGCATCTGCCGGCCGCATTCTGCAGATGCGCACACTCAATGAAAGGACCACTACGTCTAACAACGCTCAAATCCCGGACTCTCCGGATATCCAATTCAAACAGGTCTCGTTCAAGTACGCCTCTCGCGAAAGTCCAGTCTTCGCGGACCTGGATTTCACAGTTGAGAGCGGCCAGTTCGCTGCTCTCGTCGGGCCCTCTGGCTGCGGCAAATCGACCGTTGCGTCGCTACTCGAGCGGTTTTACGAACCTACCCAGGGAAGTATCTTATTTGGAAAGACGCCGATCGATTCCATGGATCTATCCTCCTACCGTAAAAGTTTATCTCTTGTCGCCCAAGAATCGAAGTTGTTCAGCGGGTCCATACGCGAGAACCTGTTACTCGGCATAGAGGACGATACATCGGAAACAGTAGAAGAACGCATGATTGAAGCAGCCAAGGACGCTGAGATCCACGAGTTCATCAACTCCCTCCCAGATGGATACGCCACGCAGCTGGGAGCAAACGCACAGACATCCCTCAGCGGCGGCCAGAAGCAGCGTCTGTGCATTGCGCGAGCACTGCTGCGGAATCCACGACTTCTTATCCTCGACGAAGCTACTTCAAGTCTGGACTCCCAGTCGGAGAAGTTGATCCAGCAGGCTATCGAACGGTTAGCCGGGAAAGGCGAGCTGACTATCCTTGCGATCGCGCACAGACTGGCTACGATTCAGCAGGCAGATGTCATTTTTGTGTTTGGGGAGGGTGCGCCTGGGCAGGGATCAAGGATTGTAGAAAGGGGGACGCATCATGAGCTGTTAAGAAATCGGGGGGCTTATTGGCAGATGGTATGTTACTTGTGGTTCCTTATAGTGCTTTGCTAACTGTGAATAGTGCCAGGCTCAAGCGTTGGATCGGTAGTGGTCCTTCCTCAAGCTATATGACCTTTTATGAATGACGTCGATGCAGATGTCTTGATGTATACTAGTTTTCTCCTCTCTAGGTGACTGGCCGCAGTGATGGATTCTGATACTACTTAGCTGAATGCCACTCATATAAGATTGATTGCCAGTGCCACCCCACGGAGAATGTGAGGTCGCTAGTCTAATCGGAATAATTCAAAGGTCTATTCGCCGAGGGAATTTCCCATAGACCTGGGGTAAGCTGACAGTATAGGACTGGCTATATGTGAGCACAGTGAAATCGGGCGTGTGCGTATGCGTATACGCTACCATCCTACCAGATACGGCTCGCGAAAACATACATAGTAAGCCCCATTTCTAGTCTGCGATGTAAAGTGCAGCTAAGGTCAACATGATTGATGCCATAGTTACAATGTTCCCTGCCAGCCTGGGGCTTGCGCTGTCCTTTGCCGCTGTACTCCTAGGCTTGGTATATTCGTTCCGCAACCCCCAGGCATATCCTCTAGTCAATGGAAAACGCCGATTTGAGTTCCGGGCAGTCCACGCACAAGGACGGTTTCTGTCTAATGCTCGCGGTCTGATTCAACGGGGCCTCGCTCAGGTATGCTACCATCCATATAAAGCTGTCCATGATCCATAATTCAATACTTATCAATTCATCTAGTGGCCTGTCTTCAGAATACTAACCGACAACGGATACAAGCTCGTGCTGAGTCCAAAATATGCGAATGAAATCCGGTCTCGCGAAGACCTGAACTTTGTCAAGGCTGCTGTGGACAGGTTCCATGCTGAGATACCTGGGTTCGAGGTATTTAAGCAGGCTACGAGGGCCGATGATATTCTGCAGGATGCGATCAGGACGAAGATGACGCAAAGCCTTGGTATTATTTAATCTATGATATCGTTGAATGCGACTGACTGAAGAAAGGCAACGTCACGAAACCTCTATCACAAGAAATGGCCGCTGCCCTGCAGACCAACTGGACTGATTCGCCTGGTAGGTTTAGCAGAAATATAACAGATCAAGGCTGACTGTTTTAGAATGGCACACCATCACGTTAAAACCGACAATCCTCAATATCATCGCCCAGATCTCATCCCGAGTCTTCCTCGGTGGCTACCTCTGCCGGAACCCAGACTGGCTCCGGATAACAGTTGACTACACAGTTGACTCCTTCACAGCTGCAGATGCACTGCGCTTGTGGCCGGCACTATTAAGGCCTATAGTTGCTCCTTTCATCCCATCCTGCCGTAAGATCCGGGCTCAGATCCAAGAAGCCCGAGATATCATCCTCCCCGTGCTAGAGCAGCGGAAGAAAGATAAACAAGCTGCCATTGACCGGGGAGATATTCCAGAAGAGTATAATGATGCTATGGAATGGATGGAGCGGAGCGCCAAGGGGCGGCCTTACGATGCTGCGATTGCACAACTGACGTTCTCCGTAGCGGCGATTCATACCACGTCTGACATGCTTGTGCAGGTACTGTATGATATCTGTGCATATGACGGGCTGACTGAGGAGTTGCGAGCGGAGGTCACCGCCGTGCTGAAGCCGGATGGCTGTACGAAGACTGCGCTGCATAAATTGAAGTTAATGGATAGTGTGATGAAGGAAAGTCAGAGACTCAAGCCAAGTCAGATTAGTATGTTCATTTCTTGTTTTTTATATTTCATACACTGACGTTGTTCAGTCTCCATGCAGCGCCTGGCGGAGAAAAGGATCAAGCTCGCAGATGGCACAGTAATTCCTAAGAACACCCTACTCTACGTCTCGTCTGAACGGATGTGGGATGAGAGCATCTACCCAGACCCTGATAAATTCGACCCGTACCGGTTTCTCCGGCTGCGAAATACCCCTGGGCATGAGGCTTCTGCGCAGCTTATAACACCAACACCGGAGCATCTGGGGTTCGGTCTAGGGAAGCATGCCTGTCCAGGGCGGTTCTTTGCTGCTAATGAGATGAAGGTCGCACTTTGCTATATTTTGCTGAAGTATGATATTAAGATGGCGGCGGGGTGGGAGAGTCCACCGCCAACTAGGAGAGAGGTGGTCCTCCTGGCAGACCCAAGGGGTGAAATGGTTATTCGAAGGAGAGAAGCTGGTATTGAGGTGGATGCATAGACTGATGATTGGATAAAAGGTCCATCTACAATTCGAAGGAAGCATATGGGCTGCCTAAGCACGCCATTACCATCAGGTACTACAAGGCAAGAATGGTTAAAATATGCATCCAATTGCAAGCATATCCATGACATTGAGCTGAAAACACAGCCAACTTCATATAACTTCTTCCAATACTGTGATGCAACTCGGACGTTTGTCCCAAACAAGAGAACAGTCAGTCAACACGAACTAGCCCTTTCCGGAACAATCCAGCGCTCCAATCAGCATCGCGTATCCAGAATGCAGGCTGGGGCCATCAGCCACTCCACATTGATCAGCACCAAATCTTAACAGATCGGGTGAATTGCAGCGCCAGCTAAAGGGCCTGGGGCAGGGCTGAGTGCAGAACTATGCGTAAACACCGTCATTCCTTGGCTGCGTGATATTTGGGCATCACTGCCTCTCTGCACTATATAAGGGGGTCTCCCACTGCTCATTGTAGCTACAATTAAGCCGTTATACAACATCATGAAGCTTCAAACATCCCTCCTTTTAACATCGCTGTCTCTCCCCGGTGCTCTCTCGGGCTTCCTGGGCCCGATCTATCCAGCTCCGAGAGACCTATCAAGCCGCAACAGTCACGTCGCGGCGAGCTGGAGGAACCTCTCAGCCAGTCTGGACAACGCCCTGCACCGGTCGAACAACACTCTATCCAAGCTACGAGACACCACCTTTTCAATTGGACTGTTCTCGACTCGTGATGCAGGTGCCGAGACCCTGCAGTACCATTATGCCTCTCCCGAAATCGTGCAGGCGAAGAATGGCACACACAAGGTCGACGGTGACAGCATCTACCGCGTTGCCAGCGTGTCCAAGCTGTTCACCGTGCTTGCAGCCCTAGTCGAGCTCGACGGTCAAGACTGGGAGCTCCCTCTGTCGGCAATATTCCCAGAATTCGCACAGTACCTCCGCGAGCACTCCGACACCCTCGACCCGGTGTACGACAATCAGTGGGATGCCATCACGCCTAAAGCCCTAGCATCCCACATGGGTGGCATCGCCCAGTATGGTGCGCCCTGGATCGGGGATTTGTACTTGAGCAATCAGATTCTCAACACCTCGTTGCCCGACATAGGCCTCCCCCCTATCGGCGAAAACGATCGCTTTAGCTTGCCTCCCTGTGCAACTCTCGAAGGTCTTGCTGGAGCTTGTTCACCAGGCGACTACGCTGAGGGTGTCGCGGGCAGCGCCCCCATCTTCCTCCCCTGGGCCAGCCCAGTATACTCGAACAATGGCCTGACCCTGCTCGGAGCGGCCATTGCCAATCTCACCGGCAAGTCGCTCGACCAGGTCTTCCAGGACAGCGTCTTTGACCCGCTCGACCTGAATTCAACCTACTCCGTGATCCCCCCCAAGTCCGAGCTCCACCGATCCGTCGTCGCTGGTCCCTTTGAAGCCGGCTTCGGGCTCGAGAACGGTATATCCAAGTCCTCCGGCGGTATCTTCTCGACCCTCAACGACCTCGCCAAGTTCGGCACCGGCATTCTCAACTCAACCCTGCTCTCACCCACCGAGACCCGGCGCTGGATGAAGCCCGTTTCCCATACATCCAGCCTGCACATCTCCATCGGTGCACCCTGGGAGATCTACCGCTACGAACACCCAGGAACCGGTCTCGTCACCGACATCTACACCAAGCTCGGCGACTCCGGCTCATACGGTGGCCTCACAGCCATCCTCCCAGACTTCGACGCCGGATTCAGCGTCATTACCGCCAGCACCGCAGACACCCGAAGCGAAAACACCTTCTTCCTGATCCAGCAGATCGTTGACGCCATCTTGCCCGCATTAACAAAACAAGCTGGTGTCGAACTCGAGCGGAAATACGTAGGCACCTATACCTCCACTACCCCCGGCCTCAACAGCTCCATCACATTCAAAGCCGTCGGAGGAGCCCTACCTGGTCTCCAGATCTCGTCTTGGGTCAGCAATGGCACAGACCTCAGCCCGCAGATTAAGACCCTTTTCCGCTCCCCAGGCTTCCAACAACCGTACAGCCTGCGACCTGCCATTTCTCCTGCTGGGGACGCGGGCAAGATCGTGTTTCGACCGGCGACTGCGGTGGTGAAACCTATTGAGCCGCGTGATCCGTCGAATCTGTTTACTAGCTTTTATTATGCCGATGACTGGGCGTTTTTGGGGCAGACGAGTTATGCGTTGCAGTATTTGTCGGAGTTCGTGTTTGATATAAATAAGGATGGAAGTGTAGGCAGCGTCACCATTCCGGCTTGGAGGGTGGAGTTGGAGAAGCAGTGATTCTGTATTGGATTTCTGGATTGTATTACCTGCGTGATAGATAGCGTTTCGAATGTTACTGCATGTTTAGCCTGTCCTTCCTGGTATCAGCAAGCTTGCCATCGTACTTGCGGTTGGGGTGGACTACCTGACGATATCATCTTGACTCAGGGCAACAGTGACTACTCTCCTCCTCTCATGTTAATGCTTCACTATGGCTTCGAACGGTAGATGGATTGAAAAGATTGAAATTCAAGATGTAATACAGCGAGATTGGTATTTTTCTAGAGAACTAGATTCATGTCTATCACTGCTGGCCATCACTCATAACGCATATCTTCCTCGGTCTCGTAATTAAACAAAATATAAGTTAAAACAGAGGCATCGAAATCTTCGCCCCATAGTCAACATTATCCTGCGCCGACTCGATCCTCTTCCCACTCGTTCCAAACACCCTATCCCACAGCCTCGTCTGCTTGCCATAGTTATAACTACTCTTCCACCCGCGTCGATGATGCAAATCATGATCCTCAATAACGAGCTCAGCATCAAAAAACCTCAACACAAACGTCAACGGGTTCGGCACAGCAGCATGAATCCGCAACCCACTGTGTCCCGCAATCTCGGCAAACATGACATACTGCGAGCAGAAGAACCACTCATAGAACCCCATGGGGAACCCGAGGGCCTTCATGCTGAAGAACGTCATTAGCGGAATCCCCGCGATGTCGAAGAACTCCTGCTCGTGGTCCGCGTAGATCGTGAGCAGCGGGTTCGGGTGCTTGGTGAGGTGGTGCCGACGGTGGTACTTCCACAGCCCGTCCATCTCGTGCATGAGGCGGTGGTACCAGTAGAACCAGAAGTCGAGGACAATGCCGTACATGCCTGCTTGGAAGGGGAGGAGCAGGAAGTTCATTTCCGCGGGGCTGCGAGAGGTGTTGTAGGAGAGGTAGACCATGAATAGAGGGCGGATGGATCCGGCCAGGATAACGGAGGTTAGTGTCTTTTGGACACCGGCGTCGGGGACGCCGTCGCGCTCGTGCTGGTCGCCGTCGAGGAAGCCGTATTTGTGGCCCAGGGCGCGGAGGGAGCGGATCTCGCGGGTGGTTGAGATGCGCGAGGCGTAGTAGTAGTAGAAGTAGGCGATCACAGGGCCGAAGTTCCAGCCGGTGAAGCGGATGAAGAGTTCGTGCAGGGCGAGTGTGAGGCCCGTGTAGAAGACGATCCAGCGGTGGAGGTACCAGTCGGACATGTATGGGATTTTCTCGGTCTTCTGGTGTACTGGGACCTCCTTGTCCAGGTCGACGTGGTGGACGTCGACGAAATCGAGGATCTTGTGCCAGATGGTCCACTGGCTCTTGTCCTGGCGGCGCCAGGTGGACTTCATGGAGTCGCGGGGGTTGGGATGGCTCATTTTGGCGGTTGAGAATGGCTGAGTTCAGGCAGGATCTGGGGACCGGGGACGGGGTTGTTATATATCAGTTGCCCCACGATCCAGATATCAACTTCAACTCTTCATATGAAGAAATCCGATCTAATACCGCCAATCATGCTGCCGTATTTCAATAGATGACCCACCTCGGCTGTCCAGTCATCGCAAGGCCTTCCGAAAAGGGAAAAGGGTGCGAGCCCCAGCTGCCGAGGCACTTATTTTGCCATAACCATGGAAATGGGAAACATGTTCTAATTATTCTGGAATGTCTAATTGTTGGGCAGTTGTCCCTCCTTGTGGTGGCGGATATACTGTTGATTAGATCTGAGCCCTGGCTATATATTTTGACCGGTATTGCCAATACATACAGACTCAACCACGCAAAATGTATTCAAATATGTTATTGACTTTCAGTAACTCAATCCATTTCAACACAATATGCAGCGATGCAATGTGTTTGTTCTAAGGAGTAATCAAACTGTACATGCCTGCACGCGCAAAGTGCTAGGCAACAGGACGAGTTCGTAATGCCCGTCCTCTGTTCTCTATGGTCAGTCTCACCCACTATACGAGGCACGTGGAGCTGGATTGTAGAAACGACGTCATGTTATAGAATATTCTACGCCAACACTATCTCTCCTCACCTCAGGATATAATGGCAGCATGTGACGCTGGCTATCGAATTAATCTGGAATTGTGTAGTCGTCCCTTCCAATCGATGACTCGGCATGTTATGTTCTCGTAGTTGCATATACGTGGGCAACCTGTTGCCTGGGAATTATAGTGGTAAAGCTGGCAGGGGTATTGCTGATAAATTTACAGAATGATATCAAATGTGATACACCGTAGAGTAAGATTAAGAGGGGGAGGGGGATTGTTTATGAAAATTTCATCGATTGGGTCTGTATTTGGAACGGCAGAAGTCGAGCGATTAGAGTGTCGCAGTCAATTGTTGAGTTGCCCATACTAATTCTGGCCTGGATGTAGAAGGTGTATATAGTTTTGACTGGCAAAATATTGTCATCTTAACCCATAGGTCGGCACAACTGTCTACTTGGCAACGCCAGTTCCGTTTAGATAGAAACATTAAGGAAGGGTAAGGTATGCTTGTTTATATATTTAGTGCACGGAGTTGGAGTCGATGCGAGTATAATCCACCTCGCTCCATATGTTGACATAGCTTCCTGATATGAGGCAAGCATACCTGGCGATCACATCATATACGTCCACTACCGTCAGTTGTTTGCGGCTCCTAGCATAGCTGACTGCTAACATAATCCGCCAAAATAGACTAGTTGGAGTATGCTATCAGAGCAAGATACAGAGTTGGAGACGTTGAAGATGCCATTTTGGTGGTGGTTGCGTTATCGAAAATTTCTAATTTATCAACCGGAGCTGCAACAATTATCAATTACTTCTATTGCATTCTTTGCAGGTAATATAAAAGAAACATGACAGTTCCAGGAAAGTCGACAGCCGTCGCACAGTCGACACCCATTTCGTCTCTTGAAGATGTCCCCGACAAGCCAGTCTCATGGCGACATCGCCTCAAGCGAGTCTTGTGGGATACATTTGACTACTCGCCAGAGGAGAGGAGGTTCATTTTCAAAATCGACTTTTTTATTCTGTACGAACCTCGTCTGAAATCGTTGAGTGCATTCTAACAAGTAAAGAACATGGGCCAGCTTCTCGTACTTTTCCAAGAACCTGAACCAGAACAATCTATGTTAGTTGGCGGCATTAGAGGCTAGATTAAATTGCTAATTGTTAGCAAACGCATATGTCTCGGGAATGAAAGAAGAACTCAACGTCGTTGGAAATCAGTACCAAACATTCACCACCATGTGGACTATGTACGTCTCCCATCCCTGAAGAGAGTAATACTAACAAAACAGTGGCTACGTGATCTCTCAGATCCCCTCGCAGATGATATGCACTCGCGGTATTACGCTCCTTCTCTACCACAATTCAATTCTAATGCTATCCCAGTCCGCCTCTCCCTCTGGTGCCCCTCCTGGGAATGTATCTGGGTAATCGTAACCTTCGCATCGGCAGCCGTCAAAACGCCCCAACAGCTCTATGCCTGCCGTTTCCTTGTCGGTCTGGCAGAAGGAACATTCTACCCGGCCGTGCACACAGTTCTAGGCGGGTGGTATACGAAGCGCGAACTCGCCAAGCGGGCATGCATCTTCTTCGGCTCGGCGTTTGTGGGGAGTATGTTTAGTGGGTATTTGGTATGTTTTCTCCTCACTAAATATAAAATTCATCTAAAGGGTTATGTATTGATGTACCTTTAGCAAGCAGCTCTGTACACCGGCATGAACGGCGTCAATGGACTATCCGGCTGGCGATGGCTGTTTATCTTCGATGGCGTTATTACCTTTCCCATGGCAGTTTGGGGCTATCTTGCTCTGCCGGATCTACCGAGTAACACGAGAGTTCCGTGGTTGAAGCCCGAAGAGAAGGAACTTGCCCTTGAGAGGATGCGCAAGGCTGGGAAGAGTCTGGATGAACCGGTTACCTGGAAGGGGACGAAGAGAGTGCTTTCGCGGTGGCATTTTTGGGTTTATACGGCCTATTATACGTATGTCTCCAGTTCACGAGTTTTAGCAATGGATAGATATACTAACGAATGCTGGCAGGTTCTTCATCTGCAGCGAGAATATCGGCGGGTACATGAATCTCTGGCTGAAAAGTCTGAATCGGTACTCTGTGCCGCAGATAAACACATACCCCACTGTGATCAACGCGATAACGATTATAACGAGCTTGATATATGGCTGGACGAGCGATGGCTTTCAGATCCGCTATCCAATAGTGTTTTTCTCGCTGACGGTGTGCTTCTTCGCGGCGATGAATCTGGCCATCTGGGACGGAGTTCCATTTGGGTTGAAGTGGGCGAGTTATTATCTTACTGGGTGAGTTATCTTATACATCTGATGAAGGATACAGACTGATAGGTTTAGATTCGCGCAAGGGTCTGGGCCTGTGTTCTTAGTAAGTATGCCGGCATTTATACAGAAGCATACTAATAAGCCAGACAATGGTGAACGAGATCTGCGCAGGAGACAGTCTCGAGCGAAAGATCATCCTAGGATCAACAAACTCCATAGCGTGAGTTCATCGCTATTCTGTACTGACTGTCGCTAACTGGCACTGGTAGATATGCATTCAATGCCTGGATCCCCCTGATCTCATACAATACAAACTACGCCCCCAGATTCTTGGTTGGGAATTCCGTGACGGTGGGGTTGATTGTTTGTGCAGCTTGTACACTGGGCCTCGCTGTATACCTGCAGCGCAGAGATGAGCGGAGTAGCCATGTTGAGAGCGAGTTTGAAGAGGGTGTACAAGCACAGGTATAGGTGGGCCCAGGATGTATAGAGTGAGGCTGCGGGCTGCTGCTCCTTAACGTATACAATACAGTTAGCAGAAAAATAACAACCAATGGATTCTACAATAGCACTATGTTAATCATGTACCGGGAAACGGTGCCGGAGGTTGGAAAGCTGCTGCTCGCGTTCGGATTGGATGCTACGAAAATAGAATCCGCCTGTCAAATATACAGCATCGGAAATGACGTCGTTACTGATTAATGAATCAGAAAGGATTCAATGGTGGTGGCCGCCCCCCTACCATTATGCGCTTGCACGTTTGCTTTTCATGACAAGTCTCCGATATTTTTGGGACATAACCAGGAGAAAAGCTTGACGGGGATTTCAGCCAGCGAACCACGAGCGGTTGCGAGGAATCGTGGATCCTTCAGGAATAGACGTTGAATAAGACCAAGATAGCAGGGTCTAGGCTCCCATATTCGAGGCAGTCGCAGGATGGACAAAACAGCCCAAGGAAAGGGGGCATTAGGTAACGGCGTTCTGCAGTTTCTGTCAGAGAATGGCCACTACCAGAAAGAATCAAGAACAAGCTGGATCTGACCTGGCCAATCAACGGCCGACCTGATGCGAATGCGAAATACGAAATGCGAAGGTGGAACCGGGCTGAGCTTAACGAAAACGAGAGCGAACGCGCCCTGACTGGCCTTGGCGGAGGCGGTGCTATAAAATATCAGAGTATATATAAGTATATAGCACTACAACGCTTGATTCGACTGAATTCAAATCACATCCAGACAACATGGCCAGCGACAACAACATCTACGGGTACAATCCCTCCATCCCGGCTGCAGTGATCTTCATCATCCTGTTCGGTGCTTCCACGGGCTTCCACTGCTACCAATTGATCAAAGCCCGCGCTCTATACTTTATTCCTTTTCTCATCGGGGGAGCTTGTATGTATCCCTCCCTTATCAATCTGGTCAATACTAATTCCATGAAGTCCAAGTTCTAGGCTATATTTTCCGTGCCGCCAGCCACAACGACACCAGCTCAATCCCCAAATATGCCCTCCAGACGGTCCTCATCCTTCTCGCTCCAGCCCTCTACGCAGCGTCAATCTACATGGTCCTGGGCCGGCTGATGATCCACCTCGACGCGCAAAAGCTCAGTCTCGTACGAGTCTCCTGGATGACCAAGATCTTCGTTACCGGGGATGTCATTTCCTTCCTGATGCAGTGCGGCGGTATGCTTCAAACCCATCTACCGGTCTCTTTTATATAGACTAACAAATGTAGGTGGCGGGCTCATGTCCGGCGACAACCCCGACAGCCGCAAAACCGGCGAAACAATCACCATCGCCGGTCTGATCGTGCAGATTGTCTTCTTCGGTTTCTTCCTGATAACATCCATCATCTTCCACATCCGGATCAATAAGGCCCCCACGCTGCCATCGCGCGAAGAAATTGCGTCCTGGCGCCGCGGAAACATCACGGCGCGCAACTGGGTGACTCTGCTCTTTGCGCTGTATGCGGTGTCTGTTCTTATCCTGGTGCGCTCGGTGTTTCGGCTGGTGGAGTTTATTGATGGGTATGGCGGGTATTTGATGACGCATGAGGTGTTTATTTATGTGTTTGATGCGGTGCTGATGGTGGTTGTTATGGGGGTGTTGAATTATTGGCACCCTTGTTTTGTTATTCGTGGGGGGAAGGGATATAGGGACTTTGACAGTGTGCCGCTGAGGTAGACTTTCTGGTTATTTTATAGATGGGATGCAATGCTGGTGTTGGTTCTATAAACTAGACAGGGAAATATCGATTTAAGCGAAATGTATATATTATGATCACGATGTTATAGAGTATTCACCAATTTCTTGTCTGCGTGGGATGTTATCAGATAATCAGATCAGCCCCACAGCGGGCGGACAGCTCACAATGACGAAATAACGAATAATTATTTAACCCCATAAATCTTCCCATAAATCTTTCGTAATTCATCTCTACAATTCTCATCATTCGCAATGGCCAGACTCACCCTCAAGTCCACCCAGAAGCTGCTCTCGGGCTTCGAGATCCCGGTCCTGGGCTATGGTGTACGTATCCTACAATTCATAACTAACACCCACTGACGATTCAGGTCTACAAAACGTGCGTCCCCGTTCTCTTCATCTCCTAACCCGTCTAATTAAACCAGCCCAACGACCGTCGCCGAAAGCGTGACCGTCGAAGCCCTCAAGCTCGGCTACAGACATGTACAAACCCATTGTATACAATCACTCCAAAAAAGCAACATACTGACAGCTAAAGATCGACTCGGCGGCCGCATACAAGAACGAAAAAGAAGTGACCGCTGCAATTTCCCACGCCGGAATCCCACGGTCGCAGGTCTTCCTCACCACCAAGATCCCCCCGCACGCCAACGGATACGAGAATGCCAAGCAGAGTATCGAGGATAGTCTGAAGCAGGCGGGGACGGATTATTTTGATTTGTACTCTCCCACTATCTATGTTTAGGTGAAGGAGCGGGCTAATTTGTTATGCTTGTAGGATATTAATCCACGCCCCCTACGGTGGAAAAGAAGGCCGACTCGGCGCGTGGAAAGCGCTCGTCGAGGCCCAAAAAGCGGGTAAAACGCGTTCGATCGGCGTCTCGAATTACGGAGTCCACCATCTTGACGAGCTCGAGAAGTACATCTCCTCCGGTGGCGGGGGACAAATCGATGTTGGGCAGTATGAGCTGCATCCGTGGCTGGCGAGGCCGGATATTGTGGACTGGCTGAAGAAGAGAGGATCGGTTGTGCAGGCCTATTCGCCGCTTGTGAGGAATACCAAGGCCGATGATCCTGTGTTGAAAGAGTTGGGGAGGAAGTATGGCAAGACAACGGCGCAGGTGCTGATTCGGTGGAGTCTGCAGAAGGTATGTCCCTCTTAATAGTCTAGGTGAGGGTGAGCTGACTGTATAGGGCTTCGTTCCTCTTCCGAAATCGGTGACTCCTTCGCGTATCAAGGAGAATGCGGAGGTGTTTGACTTTGAGTTGAGTGAGAAGGACATGGCGAAGCTGGAGACGGGCAAGTATGAGCCTTGTGCTTGGGATCCTACTGTTGAGAGGGACGCGTCGCCATCGCTGTAACTGTCTGAAGGTATATTTAGCCTAAGGATTGAAAAGAATTTATAAATGACCTATTGGCATAAATGCTTTGTGCTATTACTATTTGACTTATCAATAACAACCAGAGACTCACTATGGAAAGATAGCAGTTACGACGCAAGACCCAAACCAGGTCTGAAATCCAACACACCCAGCTGCCTCAACAACCTCTCCAATTTCCCCTTCGCCTCATACCCAATGCCAATAACCCGTCCATCCGCCTCACTGTCGACCTGCAAGCCCCCCAAATACGCAGCCCCAATATCCCTAATCTTCGGAATAAGACTATACCCATTCGCCTCCAGGATCTCTTGCGGAAGATGATAAAGCACCTCGAGCAAATCACTAACTATACTCTGATGCTCCATCTGATTCTCCAACGGGTTACCAAACTGCTGGAGGAGATTTGACCGGATATATAAGCTCGTGACGAAGATATTTGCGATTTGCACGTCGTGGCCATGTGTTGCGGTGCTTGGGCGGGAGAGGCCGCCTCGCCAGCGGAGCTCTGGGGGGAGATTATCCAGACATGTCTGGATGCGAGAGAGGCTGATGGTGAGGACTTTGGAGGAGGGGTGGTAGAAGCGGTCTGCTTGTGCGACGTGCCAGGAGTGGAATATGCCGCGGAGATGGAGTAGACCAGGGACGTAGTTGACGTTATCAGAGTGGCAGGGAAGCATGCTTGTGTCTGGGGATGGGTCTAACTCGTTGTCTGTGTATGGGCTGGGCTGGTTGACGGTATTGCTGCCGATGACGAGACGGCCGAGTACGGGTTGTCCGAAGATGTCGAGGTTTCTTGCTAGTTAGATTGGGTTTTAAGAGGTGGTTAGGGTCATACATCATGGTGATTTCAAGGAGGCAATACAGCCTCTTTAAGAGCTCTTTCTCCAAGATAGAGATCTGGTCTAGCTTGTAGTTGAGGAGGTATCTCGTCCCCGTCACTGCCTCGTTAAGAACCCGATGGTTCCAGGGGTTGGACATGTCACTGTGAACCATCGCCGCACAGGCGAGATTATATTTGGCAGCGCACCAGTCAAGCGAGTATGGCCCGTCTACTGGAAGAAGGTTGTATGTTTCAATTAGGTTGATGCATCGTTCCAGAGTAATTGGGTAGTACTCTTCGAATGATTTCCGCCGGAGGGTCGCGCATGTTGCGCAGAGAACGCTAATAACAACACCGCAGAAGACGGGGTTACTGGCGTCGCCATTGTTTAGTCTGCTGAGAAACTGTCGACGATGCAGAATAGGTGCCAGGGGGTGGATATGGTCGAACCAGTCGTCGAGGACGCTGTGTATCAGGGATTCGGGTGCAAGGAGGGAGAGAATTGCTGGCACTGGTGACTGTAGGGGTGGCTGTGATAGGGATGGAGTACCAGAATCACTGGCAGCGAAATTGCTTGTACCAGCTGGCAAGGAAGTATTGGATTGAAGATGGGAATGCCGATTAGGAGGTCCTCGCTTCCTTCGAGGCCTGTCTGAGGTACAAGGAACCCCTAAGAACCGACACCCATCGCAGACCTCTCCATCAGCAAAACGACATTTTACACGCCGATTGCGACAGGTATCACACGCATTCTGGTTTCGGGTATGCTTTTTACCTTGCATGTTGAGGCACTGGCTTTGAGAGTGGAGAGGAAGAACCTCGCATTTATCTCGCTTAAACGTCGCTTAAATAGCCCCGGATCCAGCACACCGGATTGACCCCGCAGACTGCCAGTGGAGAAGTTGTCCTTGAGTACATGGCCTCTACCTATTGAGAAATAGCTTCTTTATGGTATGACACCGGCTGCTCGGCTTTTGCTCCAACCCTCGCAAGACCAGCAGGGGCGTCTTGTCCGTCGAACAGCACGGCGATTTCTTCGAGGGTTGGACCTCGCGTTTCCACGAAGAAGAAATATATCGCCAGACACTCGATCACCAGGATGGCGATGTACACGAAGTAGAACTTCCACTGGAGTGCTTCTAACCCAAGTGGGTTCACGTACTGGTTGTAGATCCCCGCGAGCGCGGTAACAGACGTACAGAGCGTTAGTCCCTTTGCTCGGATATTAAACGGTAATATCTCAACAGTATATGCAACCGTCAGTCCGGGCCAAGCTGCGCCGGCTGTACCGTAGAAGAGGAAGATCATGGCCAGCACGGCTCGTCCTGCTGGTGCCGACCCTGTCTGGTCATAGACAGCGCTGCATGCCGTCCAGACACTGAACGAGATTAGCATTCCAACGCCGGCGAATAGGAACAGTGTTTTGCGTCCGAATCGGTCGACGAGGAATGCAGCGGTAAGAGAAACGACGAGACACCAGATCGTCAGGCCGCCGTTGATCTTGGCTTGGTCGAGGGAGCCGGTGATGCCGATGGTGTTGAGGACTTGGGCGAGGTAGTACGAGACGAGTCCGTTTCCACTGCACTGCGAGAATATGCCTGTCATAACGATCAAGAGACATCGTTTTCGATTCCCTTTGGTGCGGACGAGTTCCTTCCATCCTGTCTGTGCGGCTTCTTGCTCGAGACGCAGCGTCTCCCGGATCTCTGCAAACTCCCACTGTACAAACTCGTCGTCCTTATCCCCATTGCCGTGGTATTTCCCAAGAACGTCCAATGCTTTATCCAACTTGCCTTTACTGATTAGCCAACGCGGCGACTCAGGAAGAAACCATATTCCTAGCAGCTGGATCCCAGGCATAAGCGCCTGCAATGCAGTCGGCAACTGCCACTGCACATCGCCGTGTAGATTCTCCAATGTCCCAAACGCTGACCACGCGGCGACAATAGCGCCGAGATACCAGAGTGTGTTATAGATAGTTGTGATCTTCCCTCTATGATCCGGATGGGCGACCTCCGTGATAAGAAGCGGACAGGCACCGTTGCACATGCCAGACCCGATACCAACGACAATTCGTCCGGCGAGGTACATCCCATCTGGATGAGCCTCTGGAGGGAAGGTCTGCACCAGAGCACCCAGGACAATCACCGCTGAGCCGACGGCAGTTCCGATGCGCCGTCCCAGTCCGTCGGTTATATAGGGGGCGATGAGAAAGACGGCGAAGGTACCGATGCCTGGAAGGGCGCCAAAGAGGCCGAGTCGGCTGCCTCGGGGATCGTTGAAGTCTGGATGGTTAGCACCGGTATTTGGGATGTTGATGTGACTCAAACGTACACGCAGCCCAGGTGTCCATAGTCTGGAGACCATTCAGCAGACTAGCGTCGTACCCTAGACTGGTAGAGGCGAGGAATAGGATGACCATCTTTAGGTACAGCCATCGTAGGTTCGTCTGTTGATACCACGGGAGGGGGTTGGAAGCCCCACTATGGATGGTTGCAGGAGTGAGTGTTTCGTTGTGGGCCATGCTTGCAATGATGAAAGGGTTCAACAGATTGAGGCTGTTCGAGGTATACATAGTCCTTATATAGAACCCTCGGTTATTTTCATGGTGTGGTTACCCCAGATCCCCGATATAAACACCCCAGATGGGCAGTACCGAGTTCGTTCATGAACTGGCTGTTGCTTCTCGCTTCATCCAGCCTACTCCCTAGTTACTTGAGTGGCGTTTATGAACCAGTAGGGATGCATTATTGCTTTAGCTTCATGCAGTGAGCTTCCGAGGTTTAAACGCGGTTATTCCTCAGAAGAGTATATCCGATGTTTATGCGAGGGTCCACCATTGGTTGGCGAGAGCAAAGTAAGCTCCAAAAAAAGCAGAGGGAAACCACGTCAGTCACCATATTCTCTTCTTAAATGGAGATACGCCAGATGATGTGCCTTCTAAGGACATCCGGAATACTTAAACCCGACATCTGACAACTGTCTACACTTCCAACCACGAAACAAACACCTGCTGTTCAAGTAAAAATGTCAATCCCTCACCTCCGACACACAGACAACGGCATTCACCTCATCGTCAAAGATAAACCTGTCCTTCTCCTCCCAGGCGAACTCCACAACTCCTCCCTGAGTTCCGCACGATACATGTCCCCAATATGGGCGCAGATGAAAGCCCAATCCATAAACACCCTGCTCGGCGCCGTAACGTGGGAGCTTATCGAGCCGGTCGAGGGGAAGTTCGACTTCTCCGAGCTGGACCAGATTATCCTCGATGCCAGAGCTCATGGGATATATCTTGTGTTGCTGTGGTTCGGGAGCTATAAGAATGGGATCTCGACGTATGCTCCGGGATGGGTGAAGAGGGATGTAGAGCGATTTCCGAGGGTGCATGTTTGGGATGCGGAAAAGGGGGCGAAGAGGACAATTGAGATGATTAGTCCGTTCTCTGAGGAGGGGTGGAAGGCTGATGCGCGTGCCTTTGGGAAGTTGATGGCCCATCTCAAGGAGGTGGACGGCGAGTATAGCACAGTCGTGATGGTGCAAGTGCAGAACGAAACTGGGCTTCTGGGGGATTCAAGGGACAGGTCGAGACTCGCAGATAAAACATTCAATTCTGGAGTCCCCAATGATCTCCTGGCATATCTCTCATCAAAGGGCAATTTACACCCCCGATTCATCGAACGATACGGAAATGCCCTTCCCAAAGCAGACTCAATCACCGAAACCAACATGCACTCCTGGTCCAGCATATTCGGCCCAGGAACACACGCCGACGAGGCATTCATGGCCTACCACATCTCCACATACGTCGGCCATGTCGCCGAAGCAGGGAAATCCGCATACCCTATCCCGTTATATACAAACACCTGGCTGAACTTCGACGACCCCTTTGTTCTCGATTTGCACGGGTTCCCTATCGTGGTTGGTGGAGGTGCAAGACCAGGGATTTACCCCTCTGGTGGACCGTGTCCCCATGTTAGTGATATCTGGCGGTTTAATGCACCTGCATTGGATTTTCTAGCGCCGGATCTTTACTTTCATGACTACCAGCTCGTGTGTGGCGATTATACAACCCCGGCGTCGAACCCGCTGTTCGTCCCGGAGCAGCGCAGAGACGAGCATGGTGCGAGAAGGGTGTGGCTTGCGTATGCGACGTATGGCGCTCTAGGGACTGCACCGTTTGGAGTTGATACTGGGGCGGAGATTATTGGGAAGGAGTATAAACTGCTCTCCCAAACAGCGAGGTTTCTGCTGAATGCAAGCCCGGAGCAGCGCATGGGGTTCTTTTTTGACGAGATACCTGAGAATGGAGGGGCGAAGGGGCGCAGTAAGTGGACAAAAGCGTTTGGTAGCCTTGAGGTCATTGTCGAGAGGGCGTTTGTGTTTGGGAAGCCGGGTCCTGGGGGCGGGATGGTTATCCAGCTGGGTGGGCTGGATTCGTATAAATTTCTGGTTGTAGGTAGGGGTTTCCAGGTCAGGTTTCGTGGGTTGAGTGAGAAGGTGACCTTTACTGGGATTTTGGATGCGAGGGAGAAGGAGGCGGATGAGAAGACTGGGGAGTTGAGGACGTTGAGGACCCTGAATGGTGACGAGACGCGCAGTGGGGAGTTTTTGATCATGCCGAATGATGATCCTGACTATGGAGGCTTTCCAATTGCTGTTACGATCCCGGCCAGGACTTGCATTGCAGAGGTCGAAGCATATACTGTCTGCGAGAGGATGGTGTAGGGTTGGTTATGGATTAGACTGTCATTCTAGAGTACAATTATACTACACATTACAGATACGCATATCATGTCACTATACCCTGGACTATTATCTAGCACCCCCATCAGACCCCCTCGCAAACTTGGCAATCAACCCAGAAACCTCCCCAGGCTTCCCTTCCATGGGCAGATGTCCAGCACCTACAATCCAAAGCCCGCTCGGTGCCCAATCCACAACACGCTCGGGATGGATAGTCTGCGCAAACACACTCTTGTAGTCTTTAAGGATTGGGTCCTTGTCACCGAAAACATGAATAACCTCGGTCTCGTCGTCATATTGTTTAAGATTCCAGAACCGCCTCACCTGGTCTCCCTGTGCAGAGAAACGGGCTTGAACGTTTAGAGAGTCAAAGTGGCTTGGGCCTGCGAGACCTTCGAGGACTTTCCAAATGTAGGTCTGACGCAGTGTAAACAGGACGAATCGAGGCAGGGATGGGATGCTGTGGCTGAATCGCTCGATACTGGATTTTGATGCGCGTGGTAGGCCTTTGTATGGTGCAGTATAGGCTGCGATATCTTCTTTGGAGAGATGGGGAGCGAGGAAGCGAAGGACGGCGGATTGGGGGAGGAAACCGTGCAGCAGGCCAGTGGTGCAATACCAGATGCGGTTGAGGAGGCGGTAGTGTAGGGAAGTATCGCTGAGACGGGGTGGGAAGAAGCTGTTCAACAGGAAGAGGCTATCGCAGGTATTTGATGGCAGTCGGGGGAGGGTGCAGAGAGCGATACACCTGTATCATTAGTAGACACGATAAATAGTGACAGGGAACATACCCGCCCCAGTCGTGCGCTGCAATTATTGCATTCTCAAGCTCAGTAACTTCAAAGAACTTCACTACAGTGTATATATGCAGTTCCAATGTCATCGATTGAGGACGCAGGATCTTGTCGCTTCGGCCGTGGCCCAGCCAGTCGATGGCGTAGACGTCGTGTCCTTGTTCGAGCAGCGAGGGAAACACCTACACCATTAGATAGGACAATAAATAGTAAGAGGATATTACATTTCTCCACAAATAGCTCCAGCTCAGATTACCATGTAAGAAGACAATCGGCCGGTGAGTTCTCCGTCCGTCCTGGAGAACGCTGCTGTAGCTAGGTCGTAGATGGATATACCGCACTGTGGCTCCACAGACGGCGAATTCATGGGTATCGTGTGCCCACGGAGCACCCTCCATCCATCCTTTGCTGTCCTTCTCGACGGGGAATGTTTCATCTTGCTTGAATCGATAGGAACCGTCGAGCTGGGAATGGGCGAGGGTGTCCGATCGGGATCGATACTGTTCGGTGTTTTGGGCAAGGCGTGACCAACCGGTGGGCGTGATAAGATTAATGGAGTTTTTAATAGCAGAAGGGAGCAAGGACAGAGCCACCTTGGACACATAAAGTGGAACCAGAATGGCTGCTACGACGATGCGGCTTATAGCAAAGGAAAGCAGGATGGAGCTCAGATAGCCTGTAACAGTCATGACTCCAGTGGAGACAGCCTCCATGTTGCAGACCGCAGACTTGACAATGCTGTCGAAGCTGATATTGATATGGAGTGGCATTTTGATGTTGATGTTGTGAAAGAGAACACGAGGGGACTTTGTTATATGGCGGATTCATGACGTCAGCCAGGAACCCTAATGACAACCTTCATACGAAGCTCTCTTCACATGAATTAACAGAGCTATTATAAGACATGTCATAATGCCTTCTGTAACCCCTCATGCCTCACCACCCATCCGTCTTCTGGAAACCCAGGAGCATAGCCCTCAGACCCATCCCACCCCGCAGCCATATACGCCACTGCTCAGTCAGATATGCTAATAAATTCTTGACAAGAAAACAGCAGATAGTAACTTGGCTTACCTGCTAGTAGGAATCCTGCATTACCAGGCATGAACGGCGGTGGTGTTCCCCCTATACAGTTAGCAGCAGTCTCTAGGAATAGCGACAACCTACCATCGCCTCCGCGAACAGCAAATCCTAACCGAAAATTAGCAGAATACTTGATATACAGTCGGTGCACCATACCCGCATCATCAAAAATCCAATACTCATACGCCGTCAAATGATAAATCGCCCGATCCGGGTTCCCAATCCTCGCCGAGTTAATCGCAAGAACTGGCCTTCCCCAGCCGCGAATATTCTCATCTGTCCAGATTTCCCAGACCTTATCTGCTGTTTTCTTTGCAATATCAGAGTCAACAGCTGGTGTGTCGGGGAGTATACCCTGCAGCATAATCAAGCTCCGCGGATCGCCTGTCAACTCTGAGTCTTCCCACCAGGAACTGTTCAGCCCTTCGTAAACGGCGTAAAGACCATCGACCTGGGGCGGGGGCGCGAGGTTCTTTGCTACGGTTGTCCATTTTTCAGGAACAGGCTGGTCGAGCTTCGCTTTCCACTCTCGCGCGACGTCCAGACCGTAGCGCCAGTATGCTATCTACAGATGGTCAGCGAAACCCAAACTCATCAAGTGAGCCGTACCTCGTAGGCCAGATTCAGGGTATCGGCTGGGGGTGTATTCTCCGTGACTCCGTATGATCTGGAATTGTTAGCGAGGTCGAGTATATACTTTAGTATTCCTTACGGAGGTCCCAGATCATAGTATCCCGAACTTTCATTCTTCCATGCATATGATGCCATATAGTCTGCTGTTGCTGTTAAAACGGGATCCCATTTCCGCAATGTCTTTGTCGTCGGTGATGCCTGGTATGCCAATTGAGCGAGGTACATCGGGTGTGGCTGCAAATATCAGTAGTTGTTTCTGAGAGATTGAACTGGATTTACCTGCTGCCATAGTAGAAGCCCATTTATACCTCCAGGAGAACTAACGCCTGTATTAGTCTCCGTCATCTTCGGCCATCTACAATAATCAGTATCTTCCTAAATAATGTGCAGAGGCAGATAATGTACCTGGCACCCTCCCATCCCATCACTTCCGCCCTGGCCAAAGACGACGGAAGAAGCGACTCATAAACACCGGGGAAAACATCATCAAAGAACTCCTGCCGACCCCAGGTCGCCCAATGCGCGTTATGCCATACCACCATCTCCATGTGGAATTTGCCTTGCCTGTCAGTATGCTAGCAGAGCTGGTGTGGGGGATACTCACCATACCACCCGTTATTCATCAGTCCGCTCTCCTGGGGAGATTGTCCGGTTGCTGCACTGTTCACGCGGACGTGGTACTGCGAGAGAATTATCCGGCGCTGGAGTTCGTCTGCTTTAGGGTTTGTAGAGGAGGTTAGATCGACGAAGCCGCCTTTGCTCCAGTATTTGTTCCATCCAGCGGTGTTTCTCTTTTGGATTTTAGTGGGATGATCGGGGATCTGCTTTTCGGGGGAGAACAGTGCTGTAAATGATATGGTTGATGATCGTGTCTGCGGTTTAAGCCTGTATTGATGCTTTGCTAGGCCTGCTGCTTTCTGATTCTGGAGTAATTGAAGAGGAGAGTGAGATGGCCAGCGCAGGTTTGTGAAGTAGTTTGTCTCCTGTAGTTCGTGGTATATATGCGCCGTGTCCCTGTTCCTGCTGGGAATGATGGACGTGGTATGGTTATCAGCAAAGTCATAGACTCCCACAAATACTTCATACTTGTAGTCAGTCGAGTGAATGGGCGGATACGGGAAGTCCAGTTCCACAGTCAATGCACCTGTTTCCACAAGCCGTGATTCGATATTGAACGCCACAGAGTCAGAGTCAAAGTCTCCCTGTGTGACCACTTTGACGTGTTCACCGTCGACCTTGAATGTTGAAGTTATCACCCCATTCCAAAGGTCCAATTCCTGTCGCGGATCTATGATGTCAGACGCTGCCAGTGTGGAATTTCTGTATCTCAGCCCTATCCGCCCAAGGTTTATGCGGTTCGGATTCCCAATGAGCCACTGGGACACTTCAGGGAGGTCTGGGTCGGGTATATCGTAGGATACATTGCGGCCGTGGGTTAGCATTGGTACGCCGGTGTAGTCGTCGAGCTGCTCTCTGGACGGCATTAATACTGGTCAAGTTTGAGTATGAATAACGTACCCATCCGTCGGTAGCGAGTCATTGTGCCATGCCCAGCTAGAAAGTGTATTAAATGGGAGGAATGTCTACAAATTAGCAATGCAACGCAATACTATACAGATGGAAGTCTACCTGCATTCCAGTATTATCCACGTTAAAGGCAAAATTGCCGTTCCCGACCTGCAAAGGGGTTGTTTCATTGTCAATTAGGCTCGTGCGGACGACATTATATTGGGAGACTATTGTCTGCCTGCAAATGTGAGCTTCGTATACAGAAGAGGTCTCTATATTTACCTGTCAATGCGACCCGCAACGAGAGCTGGCAGCCCCAGATATACAATATTTAAGCCGCGCATACTGACCGACGAACACGTACACGACACGATGGAGCTGTTTGGGGCAGCTCCTTTTATTTAATCTCGGAGTAATTGCCCCGACGATCTGGGGTAATGAACCCCGCCTGTATACACTAAGTAAAGTAGTCCTAATTAATGCACCAATGCCATCGAACAGATCTAATGCAATGGCTGGATTTTTATCAACGACCAATAGCTCATTCATCATAGTCAGTCCAATCGTCAAGCGTAAAGTCAGGATCTTCTCCTCCCAGCCAAGTCTCCCGCAGGGCATATGTTCCCGCTGGGATACGCTCACGGATACCACGCACTTCCTTCAGACGTGGATACAGACCACTATTGACACCGTGCTCTAGATTCTCAAGCTGACCGTCCCTCTCGGGATCTTTCCCCTTCTCATAGCCACGAATTGTAAGAGAGTGTAGTTTCTGAGGCAGCTCGTCAATAAGGTCGAGGCTCTCGGATTTGGAGCCCGGTCCAGCTCCCTTCACTAGCACAAAGAACATCTCCACGCCAACATCAAGACAGGTCAGGGCTGTAAAGTCCTTGAGCGAGCCGTGGTTACCGAGAGACCATGGCGGACTCTGCAGCCAACGAGATACCGGCCGCGATGAGCCATCGTTCTGAAACTGGTAGTCGCAATCAAGTTCTAACGTTTCAAGCGTCTTCTTGTGGTTCAGGATGCCGCCAATAAACCACGGAGTGTTGAATGTATAGGGATCCTCACTTTCGTGTGCTCGCCGCCCAACATGGCCATACTTACCACCAAGTTCCGCGAGAGGCATGTAGTCAACGTACCCACTTGTGTATGTAAATTCGCGAAGTTTTCTTGGAGCACAGATCAGCCGGACGAGCACGCCTGTCCCGACTAGCGATCGGTGAAGCCTTATGTTTTGGATGTTGTTGCGTCCAAGGTGGTGCCTGAAATATGATTCATCAAAGTCCTTCATACCATCGACGCTGATGGCTTGGAGGTTGGGAAGGTCTTGAGTTATGTCGAGGCAACTTCGTATGTCGCATGGCGAGTACCACTTGCTGCTCAGGTATGGGCGTGGGAGGAATTCGATGCTACGCACTTCCTGCAGATATAGGCCGCCTGGTTCCAGGCCCCAATTTGACTCGGCGGACTCATCATCCGACGAAGTGACGGAATTAAGGAACCTATCGAGTGGGAATGCAACTGTACGATACCCAAGGTGGTGCTCAGATGGATCCACGATACCATCGTCTACGATAAAGGGAGCACCCAGGACCAGGGACTCCAGTTCCGGGCAAACACTCATCAGTAGCACTGCGATCGCCTGGCCTATGAATACCGCTCGATCGGTATTATTCCTGTTGTTCCCGTCAGTAATTGCCTAAAATCAGCAACGGAAACGTACGCGTAAAAGGACGAGCGATGCCCAGGGGGACTAATATCAATCTTCTTCTGCAGCACCATATTCAGGAGTGCATCCTTCGTCAGGAATACATCGTCATCATATCGCAGAGACGGAAGTCGTCCAACTGCCTTTTTAACGAGATCCAAATCGCTGGCACTAAGCGATCGTAGACAGTCCGCATTCTCGACCTTGCGGTACGCGCTGGAGTGGACAGGCTGGCGGTCGATTTCCAGGTGTCGCACGTATGTGCCCAGATATGGCTTCCGTAGGATTGAAAGCAGGATTTCAAACGCAGGATTCAGATGCTCGTCCTTGCGGATCCTGATGCGTCGATACCGGCGACGTTTCGCGAGATCGGGCGCGCAGACTTGATGCATCCGGCGAAACTGGATAGAGAGCGCGGCGACATCTTTGCTGCTTGAGAGGTTGATGATAATAAGAAGCAATATCTCATCCGGTAGACGTTGTAAATGAGGCATGTTGAGGTTGTAAGTCGTGGTTGAGTTGGTGTTTGTTGATGGTGAAGTTATTCGCGACGGCGCTTGGTGCCTCAGGCAGCAATACTGGTTGCTCCTTCACGGCTCTCTAGGCGTTTCGTTTCAAGGCTACTAGGCTATCAAAATGCCAATTACAATATGTAACATGTTGAGTGTCATTTGTACCATCTAGCTGATGTAATTGTACGAAAAGGGAGGATATAATTCATGTTCCACAATGGGTATATAGCCGCATGCTGCATTTGAAACTAAATACAGGGAAATGCATCAATGAATGGAGGCTTGTGATAGATATCCCTGTGACGATCTAGCCTGAGCACAGGGACAATATCCATATTAGGCCCCGAATAACTGACTCAGTGACCATACCTCCATCTCGGTTCCGGGAGGTACAGGAATAGGAAACGTCGACCGAGTTACATCATTTGAGATTGACGGAAAGTATCTGATACTCCAGTGTAGGCCCTTCATAGAGTATGGCCATGAATTAATCGGCACGAAAATGCCAAATCAACAAACGTGATCTCCCCGAGCCAGGTTAGATTGTCCCTGATGCACCCGACAATTGGCATACACTTAGAGCTCCCAAGCTCGTCTTCACATTACCGAAATACATCTTCTATCGAATCATATGACTGAAGAAATTCAGGGACGTCATCAAATGGATGCAACGACGTGGCTTGGATATTACCATACAGGCCTACAGACCGTTTTCCAAGCGGCATAAATCTATTGAACACGTAATGATATCGCGTTGAATTATGTAAATGTCTAGATTAAGTCTACAGGCACAGCTATATTTGTTTCTTCACGGTAATACCTTTTAAACATCAGTGGCTTGCAGATGTTGCTTGATTTGTTCTAGGTGGAGATGAGTTAGGGCAACCGCCGGTCTTGACCAGCATACTAATAAGTGTAAAACTATGTTTATATTAATATTTATAACAGATCACAGGTTATTACTTTTCCTTGGATTAAACACCGTATTTAGAAAGCTGGATTGGCTGTGCTTCCATATTTATTTACTGGGTGTACGTAAACGTCCGAGTATTTGGAACAGGCAGTCTGACCCCGAGAGGAGCAATGTATTTTATTTGCTATTTATAATAGTGACGCTTACCTCGACTAAAGCGAGACTCAGAGGGTTTATGCTGGCCTTCCTCCTTCCGGTAGGAGAGTGGGCAGAGAACTCAACCTGGTTTAATGCCGCGAATATTCATAAGCCAATATTAATTACCCGACTGTAACTTTGAAACGCAATGATGGTCCATCTCGTACTGACGTAAAGCAGACTTCGTTAGAGAATAAATTTGGTAAATCACCACCATGCCAAGGCTCAACAATATCGTCGTCGCCTGGACACTCCGACTCAGGCCCAGAGGGGGTCTGATCGTCGCCCGCTGCAGCCTACCCCGGCCAGAGCACCGACATCGGTGGATCTGTTTCTGCACTGCACCTCCTGGCCCTATAGCATTGACTCGACGACGGAGGACAGTGAGCAGGTTCCATTCAACCGCTGGCATTCCGCCCCCGTGGCCCCAGCGTGGAGACCGCGGTCCCACCTGGTCAGAGCGCCTCAATCTGACGTACTGGCGTCTGGCACCTCGTCCTGCCAGGAATCAGGGTACGATCGAGACAGATTCCTGGCAGGGGAATCCAAGCACAACCCTGTGTATCATCAGGGGAAGCATTATCAACGAACGAGGTTCTAATTATGTAAAGCGCTAGCGTAGGAACATAACCAGGAGGTTGGCATTATCTAACTTGGCCCGGTCTTAAAAAATTGGAGTAGCTCTTATATCTCAGTCCTTAACCTGTTCAAATGTAATTAACCTGCTCAGCGCGGGATATGCCGGAAGCAATATGCATACCAACATAGCGTCCCCCCTCGGACATCCAGTGCAACGACATAAAACACCAGTGTCAGAAAAGCCGGAATGACCACATGCAGACATCCGACCACCAGCTGTGATATCATGGCGTCGTTAGTAAACTTTGGACAGGCGGCTTGCGTGGTGACGGTTGGCCTCGACGCAGGCCCCGCCAGGAACTGTCGCCGGTATCATAGGTTATCGAGGATTGGGAAGCGTTAGCCCGCCGTAGTGCGACGCAGGTCATAGACGATCCGGTCTCCAGGCGAGCAAATGCACCATTCACGCTGACCTCTGTCAATGCGTGGCTATGCATGGCGGAGATTGCGAATGCTCGGCGGAGTTGCACTGGACGGCGAGGCGATCGGCGATGACTTGAGGCTGTTGGCCAATGCAACCCCTGTATAGCCCGTGTGAGGCAAGGGTGCCGGCCCTGTTGGGAAAGGATGGAAGGAATGATAGTCTACTGGAGCAGGCGGGGAGGAGGAGAGGGGGGGTAGGGGGGTATGGGGGCAGTCCGACCCCGCGGTGGAGACTCCTGCAGTGGGGGATTTTCTTGCGCCAGGCTATTTCGCATTCGATATTCATGCATCTCGCATAATCAAAATCGCACCAGGCCATTGGGCCCGGGGCTCTGATCCCCGCCCATCCAGCCCAATCCAGACTCCTGTGCTCCGGCCGAGGCATGCTAGGCGGCCCTAACAGCGCCCGTATTCTGGTTACGCCAGGGATTGATCTCTGCGCGGTATTTTGGCTGTATATACGTTTTGATACTGTACGAGCCGCTAGTGACGCATGGCCATTGGGGTGCCATACAGGCCACGGGCTGTTGCTTCAGATGCTATTCGATCGGCCCTCACTCAGCTGTCTATAGGCCATTGGGGGCCACGATGCATGACGCCATTCGGAACCTTCGCGGACTGTGCGCCGTGGAACAGGATTGCCTTGATTCAGAGGAGGTGGTGTGGAATTGGTGGTGTGGAACTGGGTGTGAGAAAGCTATTTAAGGGGGGTCCAGGACAGCCCATCGACCTCAATCCAACTTCTCCTCTCAATTCCCACGTACTACTCTTTAGACAGAAACACAGTTAGAATCATAAACCATGGCCGCCACCCAAGTCATCTCCGAGAACGTCCACCTCGCCGGTGCCCGCAACGCCCTGAGCAAGGAGGCATGCATGAAGATGTACGACGAATGGGCCTCGTCCTACAACAGCGACCTCGCCGATGCGTCCCAGAACTACGTTGGCCCTATCCTGACAGCCCAGACTGCCATCCAATACAACACCAACCCGCGGGCCGTCGTGCTCGATGCCGGGTGCGGCACCGGCCTGGTCGGCGAAGCCCTAGCCAAGAGCCACAAGCTGGTCATTGACGGCGCCGACTTGTCCCCTCCCATGCTCAAGATCTGCAAGGACACCGGCGTCTACCGCGACACACTGCTCGTCGACCTGACAAAGGCCATCGACCGACCTGACGCGTCGTACGACCTCATCACCTGCTGCGGCACTTTCACACGCGGTCACGTCGGCCCTGACCCAGCACTCCGGGAATTCATCCGCCTCCTCAAGCCCAGCGGTGTCATCGTCGCCACGGTCCTGCACGAGATCTGGCTGTCCGGCGGCTACAAGGCCGAAGTCGACAAGATCGAGTCAGAGGGGCTGGCCAAGGTGCTCAGCACGGACGTGAAGGACTACCGCGCGGGCGCGGGCGACAAGGCCGTCTTCCTTGTCCTGAAGAAGTCTGCTTGAATGATCTGGATATGATGTGATGCTTCTAGACGCGGACGGAGTGATGGAGGCGATTTGATCTGCTTTACCTAACCTACATTTAGGATGCGCCCGTTCTGAATATATGATGATATGATTTCCCCGATGCGACTGTTTACCCCCCCAATGCGACTTCTGCCCGTGCAATCTCTTGCCTCGATCCGTATCGGACTGCAGCCCGTAGGCACTCGAGTAGATGGTCCAACTGTAGCTTCTGTAGTGTGAGTGGGCTGCGTAGTACGGCCTGTTACTATATCCGCTGTAGTATAGACATGTCGTGACCTACATTTCAAAAGTACCAAGTAGTTAGCCAATAAGAAGTTCTTAAAATTTTCTGAAACCAGCTACTCGAATACGAAATTCCATATTATTATTTCCATTCGGCAATCCCTGCCAGATGCCGCGCCAGGCGAGTTATTTACAGGGTAGAGCAATATGACAATGATATTATAGCAATACTAAAACAATACTATAAGCAAGGATACGCTGTAACAGCCTCAGCAAGCAGCCGATTCGTCCCTGCTCAGAACCCAGTCGGCCAAGGCCTCTGCTTTGCCTGGCTCCTCCATCTCAGCGCTCAACGTCTGCAGCCAAGACCAGATCGCCTCGCTGTCGGGGAAGCGCTCATATCTCTCCCCAGACCAGGACTCACTTCGTATGCGCTGTGAGAGATCAGGCTGTGCCCTGAGCTGGGCGTACCGGTGCGATAAGAGTGAAACATCCTGGCGCGTGAACTTCGCTGTCGCCTTATCAAACAGCGGTACCAGATCCCAGACGAGCTCCTTGATCCTGGCCTTGCGCTTCGCCGGTGCCCTGGTGTACTCTTCATGAAGGGCGCGAAAGCTGCGCATCAGATTGCCTTCCTGCGTTTCCTTGCTAGTCTCAATAAGAGCCCCCAGCCATGCCACCAACTCCTTCCCCAGCGCCTCGCGCCCATTTGCCTCGGCGAAGCAGTGGTTGCATGGCATGTTGTTCATCAGCCTTTCCGTGACAGTATTATCGTCCCAGGTGGAATACATGTCATATTGGTTCTGGGCATCAATATCCATCGGCTGCCATCGCGGCCAACGCCCGCCGAATCTAAAGGCACGGATCTCCTTCCACTGCGCACAGCCAGGACAGCGAACTCTATACTGCGTCCAGGGCATATCCACCGCACCTTCTCTCCAAATCGTAAACACGGGGGAATTCACCTCCGGCCGCTTGCTGTCCATAACTTCCGAAATCCTAGGGAAGTACCGGTCCACATTCAGGCCGTAGTACTTGACCCTCCCTCGCACCATCGGAACCTTCGCCGTTCCAATATTATCATTCTTTCTCCCACAGGTCCCCTTAAACTCTCCCCTCTGGAATCGACACTCCAGACACCGCCGCAGATGCCTCTTCGACCCAGTCCGCACCCGCTCAATCGCCTGCCTCTCGCGGTCTAATATCTCTCCCTCCTGCTCATCAGACATAGTCTGGTACTCGTCATAAGTCATGTCATAGAACTCCTCAAACCCCATCTCGCGAAATTCCTCAAGTCGCTTCGTAAGATGCGAAGCAAGCGATATCGTCCCGGGGGCCTGGCCCCGGCGCCGACCCCAGACCTGGCTCATGGCCACGCCATACCGTTGTCGCATCTTTGCCTCCTCGTCGGCGATTGAACCACAATCATCCCCGTGCAACTCCTTCTTTTCTTTCTTCTTCTTTCGGTCTTTCTTGTCCTCCTTCCTCCTCTGCCTAGACAGCGTTGGTTCCCATGATGTAACCGCATCCGCAGCCGGAGACCCAGAAACAGGTTTGCGATAGGCGAGTCTCGAGAGCGCCTGATTAGCGAAGTTCTGCTGAGGGAGAAGGCGCATGCAACTACTGCATGCCCAACGATTCGCTTCCCATTCTGGACTGAGTCGGTCTGGGTCGAGGGTGCCGAAGCGGGAGAAATGAATAGGTGGTCCACCGATGGATTCGTCGCATTCGAGGGCGAGGAGGCGTTCGAGGAAGTGTATTCTTTTTGGATTGACTGTTTCCCGGAAGTGTCTGTTTGTTTGGCTGAGTGAGATGAGGGCGATGGGGTCTAGTTGGCGGATTATCGCGCATTCGAGTTCGGCTGGGAGGGTTTGCAGGGGGAATGCTGCGGACGCCATGATGGTCTGGTCTTGGGACTGGGAATATGGTTGAGAGATGGATCTATGTTGAAGGGTATCTTTAAGTATTGAAGGTGAAAGAGTGGCTCATGGCTTACGATCATCGCCACATTGACGGCTTGGGGCTGTGAGGCCAACGCTGCAGCCAGTCAGCATTCAGCAATTGTTGCATATTCGATGATCAATTATATTTAGTGTTGCCTAAGCTTGAGTCACAAGTGTTGGGGGAATTCAGGGCTGTTTATTGGCGTTGGTACAGTAAGGAATGAGTTAGGGCTCTGTCCCAATTGGGTTCCCGACGACTGATTATACTGATGATACTGTCTTTACATACCCTCTTTATACACCCACTATTCGCCTTCATAGAATACTTTTATCTCCATGGTTTAACCGGTCGCATTGCACTGGATGTATATTCAAAGACACATATCACGGGTAAATAGGCTTACAGTACAATCCACCTACACAGGCTCATCGCGTAAACAAAACAACTGCTCTATTTCTATATGGGTCTATACTATCTGATTTAAAATTTCTATTGAAGTATGGAGAGGAAATGAACGACAGCAGACAGTTAAAACGGTTACGCCTTCTTATAATCGGCAAGGACGTTCTCAGCAATCTTCAACGCCATCCCATAAAACACCGTCATAACATGAGACGAAAGCTGCGTGGGAGGAATAGAGCCGTCAATAACCCGCAGTCCTTGCGTTCCATACACCTTCGCCGTAGCGTCAACAACACCTCCAAGCTCACGAGCCATCATAGAACACGTCCCAATCGCATGCCAGTTCGGTCGGAAGACATCAGTCACATACTCGGCCCATTGATCTAGACTTGCATCGGCCGGCACTTCAGCACCTGGGGTAACCTCGCCAGCGAAATATTTCTTCATCTCCCCGGTACTCTGCAACCTCCGCGCGAGTCTCGTCGCAGCAGCCTGGCCGAGAACATCAAGTTCATTGCGGTACAACTTCGGGTCATTAGCGTAGTGCCACATATACGGATCGCTGCTGAGAATATGCGTCGAACCCCGGGCAAAGGGGATCAAATCCCAGATATCAAACTTGATATCCCCCTCTGTATCCAAGAACAGTTCTGCATACGCAACATCCTCATCAAGCAACCAGCTGCGATACTCCTCATACTGCATCTTCAGCGCAGACGCGTTATGGAACCCACCTAGCGCCACCGTCTCCTCGGCCCACTCGTCAAGCTTTGTATTAAGCAATTCAATCGCACGGGTGGAGTCCTCGCCAAAGACTTCGGTGAAGTTGGCAAAGTACGCAGCCTGGCCCTGGCCGAACCCAGCCTGGGAACTGCGAGCGCGCACACTCGTCGTGGTCTGGTCCTGCATATTGAGACCGACAGGGAGATCGATGATCTGCGAGACATTGGCGGATTCAAGGACCGATTTGAGGCCGATACCGGAGTATTCCAGGATCAAGGGCGAGATTGCGGATCCCGCAGCAAGCAGGACTTCGTGTCTGGCGTGGGCGTTGAAGTTGACGGATCTGTGGGTACCGAAATTGACACCCACGGCTTTGGGACGGGTCGAGATTGAATCTGCGTCAAAGAGGATCTTGCCCACGACTTGTCCCGTGAGGATCTTCAGGTTGGGCCGTGTATAGCTGGGGAGCAGCCACTCACGGGCCGCGTCGGCGCGGGTCTGATCTTCGCGTAGACTATTCTGGATCATGGACACCCCGCGCGGGCGTCCGCAGTGGAAGTCCACCTGGGTCGGGATCCCGAGATCGGACGTGGTGTTCATGAGCGCCTTCATGAGAGGGGACCACGGCTTGCCGTTGTCTCTGGGCCCGGCCTGCACGGTGCCGTTGAAGCCGTGGCAGGATGGGTCGAAGGAATGTCCTGCTTCAATCTGAGCAGCATCTGGTGCGCGGGATTTCTCAGCATTGTTCATGTACGGCAGGATGCTATCCCACGTCCAGCCGACCATCCCGAAGACCTTCTCCCAGGAGTCGATTTGGGCTTTGTCTGGGCGGGTCCAGGAGGCGCCGTTGACGAGAGTTGAACCTCCCAGTCCCTTGCCGGATACGACGGCGGCGGTGCGGTTGTTGATCTGCTCGACGGTGAGGTAGTTCTGGTCGCCGCTGCTGCCGAAGACCTGGCCGTAGCTGTTTGCGTCCTCGATGATGGGACCAGCGTTCGACTCGTAGAATCCTTTTTCGATGACGAGGACGTCGATATTAGGGTTCTCCGTCAGTTTGGCAGCGACAGTAAGGCCGGTCAAGCCGCCGCCTGCGATGATGTAGTCAAAGGTCTTGCCAGCCACGTCGTTGGGGTTGCTGAGGAGACTGGCCTGGACGTCAATCTCCTCAGCCGGGGAATAGGCCTGGACAAGGGCCGCCAGTGGCAGAGCAAAGCAAATGAGCTTCATCGTGGTGCCTTGTCATGCAACAAGATGAAGGATTATGATGAGGTTGTCTACCAACGGAAACAAGGTACGGCTATGGGGGACGACGCTTTATATACTTGTAGATCTATGTCCTGTGGAACACTGCTCCCGGAGTTTGTCATCCTTCGTGGTACTTCCAGCTCCTAGATCGGTCCTAGTGTTACTCCCTCTTTCTTGCACCCCACGCACGTGTGGTTAAGGTCCTCGATCAGGCCGGTAGAAGCTGGTTGGAAACAGTGGGCCTTGTTCGGTGAATAATCTGCAGAACACATAGTTCCGAGATAAGCAAGGACATGACGTTATTGGCCATAGATCTAGTGTCAGTCTATCTCGGAGTTAAGAGATGAACAGAGTCAGGCCCTGATCGCCAATGTAGAGGGACCTTGGCGGTATGGTGGCTTGGTAGGTTCAGAGTCCATACCAGACTCCTGCTGGCCCGCTGCTTCTCCACCAGCACTCGGGATCGACATATAGCCTACGCCTAAAGGTATATGGTTAGCAGCTGCCTAACTCGACATCCAGACCGAACTGCTGAACAATCCCAGCTATCCAAGTCTTGGCTGCCAATCCAGCCTCGAACCGGTGGACATTCTCGGCATCCCGAGTCTTCTGTTCGGCATCCCGAGTCGGCCTCCCCTCCCTACATCACGGAGCTCATGCCTCCGTACGAAATTCGGTTCTGTTGCTAATTTTCATGGTTTCCATAGATGGAATCGGTGTACTGTATTGCTGTTGCTTGGCGGCTTGGCTTGAACGTGGCTTTGCTCGCTCCGCTCATACGCAGTTCCACGACATGGTCCACTCGTGAAACAATTGCAGCCTACCAAGATATGGAATATTCAGTTGCCTTCGGGTGATTATGATATCGAGGTGGTCTAGCCTCCAGCCTGCCTGGCTTGATAACTTTGCATACTACGGCCGTGTCTAGGATATCGCATCGCGCAATCTCACTGAAACTCGTCACATTCTCATCTCGTCATGATGTATTTCTCTTTTGTGATAGGCATTCTGCTCAGCGGTTATGCCATGGCATCGAGGCTCTATGCAGCGTCGTATGCGGGCACAGTGACAGAGTTGCGTCTATCCAAACCTGGCTTACACTATCACCTTGCGGCTGTTTCCCACACCAACGAATGTGGTACCAGCCCGTCATGGCTCATGGTCGACAGAGCGAATGGCATTCTGTACTGCCTGGATGAAGCTGTTGACTTTGCCAACGCTACCCTAAGCTCACTCAAGATGAACTCAAATGGGTCGTTGGCAACGGTTCAGCAGCTCCAGACCGTTGCTGGTCCTGTTTCTTCAACGTTCTATACACCAGCTCATGCACCAGATCGCCAATTTCTTGCTCTTGCTCACTAGTAAGCACCTCAGCTTCATCTAAGACCAGCTTTATAACAGCTTTATGTTCATTTAGCTCTGGATCCGCCATCACGACCTACTCTGTTGATCCCATCGAAGGGACCTTCAACCGCTCTCAGACATTGACATTCACAATGTCGAACCCGGGCCCAGTGTCTGACAGACAGGACGTTCCGCATATTCATGAAGTTCTAGTCGACCCTACTGGAAGGTTCCTCCTTGCTCCTGACCTAGGTTCCGACCTCGTCCGCATTTTCCATATCAATCCAACGACCGGCCGCTTAATGGAGCAGCAGCCCCTGGTTACATCGCCAGGATCAGGACCGAGGCATGGTGCCTTTTGGTTTCCTCAAATGGCAGGGACAAATATATCAGAGAATTCCCGGTTCTATCTAGTGTCGGAGCTCGATAACTACCTCAGGGGATACGATGTGACTTATTCGCCTAATGGAACCATGCTCTTCTCCCAGTTCTATGAATGCAATACGTATGGGGGAGTCACTCCTCCAGCTGGTTCAACGGCTGCGGAAATTGCCATCTCAGTATGCTCTTATCTTATACCTTCCAAGAGATCAGGCTTGCTGACACTCTCCTTTTTATCAGCCCAGTAATGACCGCCTCCTTGTCTCGAACCGCGGCGACAACACCTTTGGGCATGGCAACGACTCCATTGCTATCTTCTCTCTTCCAGATTCAATGGAAGATGAAATCTCTTTCCTTGGTTTATATCCAGCTTATGGTTCCTCCCCGCGCCACTTTGAGTTCTCGCCAGATGGGGATATGTTAGCGGTGGCACTGCAGAACAGTCACCAGGTAGCGATCATCGGGTGGGATGCAAAGCGCGGTGCTCCTGGTTCTCTCCTTGCGGATGTCACACTGGACGGGGAGATACCTACTGTTGTTTGGGGTTTGGGTTTGGATGATGGTATGTAAAATATATATATCATAAGCGTTACCATGCCCCCAGGCTTAGGCAGCGTGAAATCAACGAAAATATTCCTATCACCGGAATATGGCTATGATATTTCAGATTATGTGTCAAGCCCTTCATTATGTCAAACTCTTCACCATCAGTAGGTAAGATGTTGGTACCAGAAGCAACGATCGCGCGGGCGAGAGAATACTATTTGGACCCGGTTCAAGTAGGTGATAATATACGGGTAGTAGTGTACATATAGTAAGACTTTCGGTCTTGGCACCCCCCGGAGTCTCGCCCACGTCTGAAGTTATCTTCTTCATGCTAGAACAATTGAAAATGCCAATTAAAAGTTTGACGGCATTTCTCAGGAGCTTGCTCCAGAATTGAATGTTTCGCATATTTTGTGCAGGCGTTGTGTTCTCTTTCTTTTCAGAGTTTATCTATATTTCCTCTATTTAAAAGATCAATAGCTGCTAAAAATTCAATATCTACCATGAAAGATGTCCTCGAAGGGATTCAACAAGGTCTTCACTGCTTATACTGACTGACTCGAATGTTGCCAATATATGCTGATCAGGACGTACCAACGTCGCCTGGCCTTCCTTTAGACGCATCAATTTGAGCCACTCTGGCTGATCAAGCTGAAGCTCAAAGTCGACGCCCAGAACAGCAGTCTCAATCTTGAGAGCACTATTCACAGCTGTCGGGAGCAGCTCTCGCGCTTCTGCAATGCAGGTCTTCCATTGTTCAGCCCAGGCAGAGTCCACGACGATCGTGAAAGCGTTCAACGGACAGAGATCCAGCGTGGAGTATTCCTTCTCCTTTACCTGCTCCGCTGATAGTTCAGATACATACGAAGAGTCCACCGGTGGTAAAAGTATGCTTGACTTCAAAGATCCAACCGGCCGAATCCACGCATGAGGGAGCCGGGCTCCAGGCACACAGACAGGATTAAAGACAGACGCATGGCCTGGAATCTCTGTATCCCCGTATACATATCCAATATGCAGATTGAGATTATCAAAATGTTCTCGCTGCCCCTCAATACCCTTGTTAATCTCCACCATAGCCTGAGGGTCTTGGATATTGCGATACAGATTCTGCCTTGCGACATCGACGTTCTCGTCTGTTGTACCTAGCGCCTTGAGGAGACCGAATATCTCTTTTCCATTTTTGACGCTCTGGTTCGAGTTCACGAGTGCTACCTGGCGGCGGTCGGTTTGGTAGGTGTTTAGTATGGCGTCGCCGGCCCAGCCTTGATGGACGGCTGCGAGTTTGTAGGCGAGGTTGTGGACATCGCCTAGACCGGAGTTTAGGCCCAGTCCTCCTGTTGGTGGGAATGCGTGTGCAGCGTCTCCGGCTCTGATCGTGTTAGATGGCTTCGGAGTGATAGATGATGCATACGTACAAGAAGACTCGACCGACGAGGTATTCATTTGCTACCTTTCTGCTCAGAATCCACGGCCGATACGAAAGGACGTCGTATTTAACATCTTTGCCGATAGCTGCGTTTATGGTCTTGCGACAGAGTGCTTCGTCCCATGAGTCTACAGGGTGTTTCTTCGACTAGTCCTGTTAGCAGTGCCGTGATAGTAAACAGAATAAGAATACTTACGTCGAAATTGCAAATCAGCACCAGATCGCCAGACAGATCATATCCGATAATGAAGCCGGATGTTTCAGGGTCCATGATCCAGTGCAGCATGCCTACGCGATCGCCGATGACTGGTCGCAGGTCGGCGTTGAAGTGGATGGTCATCATTGTTTCGACTGACTCGTCAGTATCTACATCCATAGTAGAAAAGCACAGGGCTGAGACTTACATGAATCCTCCCCCTCGCTCTCCACACCCAGGAATCGTCTAACAGCGCTTTTGGCGCCATCGCAGGCTACCACATGCGTCGACTTGATAACATACTCGCGACCGGAACTGCGGTCTTCCACAGTTGTGAGTACGTAGTTGTCAAACTGCTCATGTTAGTGTTTATCCTGGTAAGATAATATACTAGTAGACACTACCTGCTCCAAGCGGACGAACGAGTGGTTCTTCCGAATCGCACCGAGCGGCTTCTGGGCCAGCTCCCTCGCCACCAGCTCCTCGAATGCTGGCTGGGGAATATTGTGGATCATCTATTGACATTAGATTGTAGTCAAGATTATATTCAAGGAAACCTACCGCAGGCGTTGCATCCAAAACTCCAGGATCCATGCGTTCATAGGGCAGTCGTCCAACCTGCTTCCCGCTAAGGTTCGTGATGAAATTGACCCAGTGGGCGTCTTCACGGCACGACCCAAGACTTCGGATCTCGTTTACATCGATACCAAATTGGCGACATAACTCTAGAGACCGAGGAGAGAGCGCATGAGCTTTTGGCGCAGCCAGTCTGGTGGGATAGCGTTCGACGATGAGGGTTCGGACTGTTGGGTCTTAGTATAATTATAGCTGGGTCTGTAGTAGACTGCACACCGTTTAGCTGAGCAAGCATGTATGCCAGGAGTAGGCCTGATGGACCACCGCCGACAATGAGTATAGGGACTTCATCGTCGAAGGACTCGTCGACTTTTGATGGAGACATTGCCCCGCGATGCCCCTGAATGGAACTTGTTGCCCTATATACGAGCAGGGCTGCGCAAGGAAGTTTATAAATGGACTCCAAGGATACAGTTACGGAGCCACGGATCACTGCAGATAACAATTAGGTTTATAGCAGATTAAAAGGTCCTGCCATGGGGATTCCCAGGCCCTTCGCGCTGCACTGAGCTGGTGCGAGCTGCGTGGGGGCTGATTCGTTTCCCCACGAAGTGGGAGATGTCCCACTTATTCCCACTTATTCCCCCTGTCTGACACTGCCAGATGCAGCTAAACCAGTTAGCGCTGTTAATAATGTTGGAGGTGCAGGTGGGGATCATTTCCCACTTATATCCCATGTCCCTTTCCCACTCAGTCTGGACGCGAGGCCAGTCAAACACCAGCATAATGTCGAATGTTGACTGCCAAAAGGAGGAATTAAGCGGGCCAAGACGATTCAAGTGCTCCAAATGTGGAAAGAGGTATACAAAGCTGGAGCATGTCAAGGTACGTATCTCTACAGTTATTCTACATTGCTGACCAAAGTAGAGACATGAACGGTCCCGTAAGTCTTGGATACCTGGTGAGAAACGTATACTGACGAGGTAGACTCGAATTCGAAGCCGTATCGCTGCAACGACTGTGGCAGACAGTTTGGTCGGCAGGATGTACTGTTCAGACACGCAAAGCTCCATCTCGACAAGAAGCTGCCTGCAGTGTCTACAACGGCAACACCACAAGATCAACCATTGTTGAGCCAGGATACTCCTAACCAGCCAGTATCGACGGCGAGTCCAGATGTGGCATTTCCGACCGCGCATATACCGAGAGCGGATGCTGCACCTCACACCACGTTTGAGGACTCGGACGAGCTGCTCAGGTGGCTGATGACTGGATATAGTGAGACCGATGCATTGCATTTACCTGGATTTCCCGATTTCGACAACTTCATCCTTCCTACTGATACTGGATACTTGGGAGATAGCACGCCGCTCGACAATCGGCCACCGGAAGCAATCGGCGTTCAACAACTCTTCAGACAACTGGACGACATGTCCAAGCGTCTGAGTTCTGATATTGACAATTGTGGAATCACGTCGGACTTTCTAGATGCCTGTCTGCATGAGTTCTTTGAGCGAGTGTCGCCTGCTTTCCCGGTCATCCATGCGCCGACCTTCTCATCCCAAAGAACGATTCCCCCTCTGCTGCTGAATATGGTTGCCCTAGGATCCCTGTTTGTCTGTCTGCCTAATGCCACTCGAAAAGGCGAACTTCTATGGCGCCTAGGATATACTGCAGTAGCGACTTCCTGGCGAACGCTTATCAGCCTCCGCCGGCCGCATGATAGATGCGATGGTGTGCAGGTGGTACTTACAGCTTTACTGGGCCAGACATATGCTCTGTTATCGTCAAATACAGAAATCCGAACGACGGCCTTTGTGTTCCACGGTCTCGGTTTCTACTGGGCCCGGACCTGCGGAATGTACTCCGTCCGGGACACGCAGACGTATATACCGGGCCCCAATGCCTCGGAAGAGGATAAGAGAATGCTTTGGGAAATGTGGGCTTCGTCAGAAGTCCAGCGTAGAGCTGTTCTGGGACATTATATTCTTGACGGACTGATCTCGCAGGCATCTGGGTCGCCGACGAGTGCCCGTCATCTCATTAACCAGATAGGAACTGCATGCTCTGATGAAGTGTTTTCGGCGACGACGGTCGAACAGTGGATAGCTGCCATTTCGAAATCTGAAACGGTCAATATGCCCATGTCGAAGGTCTGCACGGCCCTGTTCGATCCTGGGTATAGCGATGCACCGCTCAAGCTATCGTCCTTCTCACTATCGGCCCTTGTCGAGGCCCTGCAGTCACTGGTTGGGGAATCCAACGAGGTCACAGAGGGCACATTCGGCGTTGTCTCGCGAGAGCAGATAATCAGAGCACTACTAACTTTGTATAGAGTGCACGTATCATTTGCCCTGGCCTCCGAGAAGAAAGTGATACGTTGGCACAACGTCTGCATGGAGATCGCGGCGCCTTCGACGGCACTCTACCTCGCCCTGTCCGAGAGATATAACATCATCCCACTGCCTGGGGGAATATCATCCAACGGCTCAACGCAGGTGATAAATCTAGAAGACTGGGCCGGGAGCGCAGATGCTATTCGTGCACTTCTCCATGCTGTAGCCATCACCCGGCTCGTCCATCATGCTCCTCTTGCGCATTCTCAGGCGCCGTTCCTGCCACTGGCTATTTTCTCTGCTGCCATGGTCTTTAGCGCCATTTGCTTGTTTGGGTCGAGTACACTGGAGATACCATCCTCGCCGCGCTGGGAGTATGTCTGGGCGGACGGAGCACCATGTCAAGGAGATGAATTCCTTGTTGATCTTAAAGCGAAGAGCAAGGGAACAAGCACTTCGAATCTTGTCAACGAGTTGAACTTCCTCCAGCTCGCACTCAAAACCGTTACATCGTTCTGGGGGATATCCGCCGAGATGGAGAGGGTGGTTGGGCATTTGGCTGTTCTTGCGCATGAGAGGCATTCAGCTTCCAGGACGAGTATTTGATTCTTGATTTTGATGAGAGGCTCTCCGCAAGGATGTACTGCTCTGCAGAATATGACTCTTATCTAAACAGTGTTTCCCCGTTGCAACACACTCTGGGCATAGACAAAACCCGCCCACATGCTCATATCTGGGATTGTCATCACAGACTGCGCAGTAAATGCGCTCTCCATATTCATTAATCAATACTCTGCAACTGGAACACTCAAACTCCCCAGTAGATCGCTTCCGCAGGTCCCAGTTCAGCGGATACGGTCCAAACTCCGAATACTCCAGCCCAGGTGCCACCACTGCCGCTGGAGAAATATTGGCTGTCAACGGGTCGTCAAACAGTCCCCGTATTGCTGTCACGGTATCACGCTGGGAGGACTTTCCCTCCGAATTAAACACCCACTGGTCAGCGACAGACCGCGCTGTTCGACCGGCCGACGTGGCATGATCTATGGTGTTACTGCCTCTGGCGAGCAAGGCGGCAACAACATGCTGGTGTCCATTGACCGTTGCATAGAATAGTGGAGTGCGCCCCTCGCTGTCTGGTGTATTTATAGCCTGCTGACAACTGCAGCGGATATAGCGTCCTGAAGAGCCTGCTGGAGCATTTTGTGGAATCGGACGATATTTGCAATTGCCGGATTCCACATCGGGTCCATCGTCCAAGAGAGCCAGTACCATATCCAGCCAGCCTCTCTCTGCAGCCAGCGTCAGTGGTGTCCGGCCGCTCAGGTCCTTTATGTGAGGATCGGCCCCTTCTCTCAAGAGGACCTTTGCCAGGTCGACGCGGGCATTCATGGCGGCCACCATCAACGCGGTTATCCCGCAATCATCCACGGTGTTGACAGGGACACCGTTCTCAAGCAAGGTCATGACCAGGTCGTGATTGTTCTGTCGGACAGCCAATGACAGAAGCGTGAGCCCCTTTTTGTATTCAGGCTCACACAGCAATGGGTCCGCGCCCAGCTCCACCAGAAGCAGAGCTATATCCCCTTCAAAGCTTCGCAGAGCGCAATCCAGCGCAGTAAAGCCATAGCTGTCATCATCCACGTCTGCTCCAGACGCCACGAGCCGCCTCACAACTGCAGCGTGCCCGCCCCACGCGGCCATTACGAGTGGCGTTTCTCCCCACGGCAAGACGTAGTAGATATCAGCACCGCTTTCCAGTAGCATCCGGACGATCTCATCCTCACCACACTGCGCAGCCAGAGGTAAAGGAGCATATTGCCGAGGCGTTTGAGACTCATTCGGACACGCCCCGGCATCCAACAAGAACCGTACTGTCTCTATTTGGCTGTGCCTAATTGCTGTGCGCAGTGGCGTATTGTGCCGATCTGGGCCGATGATATCTACACCGCGATTCACCAGAGCTTCACCACGTCAAGATTACCGCACTCCACTGCGTAACTTAGTGGTGACATCCCGAGATCATCGGACTCGTCGAAGAGCTCGCCAGGAACACTTTCCAACAGTCTCTCAACAACTGCGGCATCGCACCGTCCCGCAGCGTAGCAGAATGCCGTCCGCTCCCAACCATCCTTGACCGAGACATCTGCCCCTTGTTCATACAGAAACATAACAAGATCATTGTCACCATTCCTAGCAGCCGCGGTTAGAGCCGTTACGTCTTCCCTTCCTGACCAGTTAATGTCAACCCCGGCATCCAGCAGGACTCGAATGACTTCTCCATGGCCATTTTCCGCTGCCAGCACCAGGGCATTGTAAAACTGATACTCATTTTTCGCCTTCAGCTGCATTGTCAACTCGATTCCGCGTGAAATCAGAAATTTGACCATCTCAGTCTGGCCGTGCTTCGCAGCCGCAAAGAGAGGCGTCGTTTCCGGGTCGTGGACGATGTTATCGCCGCCTGCAGCGAGGAGGCACTTGAGGATGTCGATGCGGCCGTGTTTGCCTGTCCAGTGTGAGGCGGCGGCGCAACGCTGATCAATCGCCCAGCGGTAAATGAGCGGCTGGAAAATCCCATGGAATCGGCGGCAGGTTTGGAGGAGTGAGTTCGCGTCATTAATTGCTTTAGAATCGAGGCTTTGCCATAGGCTGTGGAGGAGCTCGGTCGGGAGGTCTGCGAGGCCCATCGTCTGGAAGCTCTGTCATATATTAAAAATCTTTATTAGTACAGTCGATTCGAGGGGGGTTGCAGGCTCTTTATAATCTGAAAGTGGGGATCCGAATTTTAGCTACTTTATGAGTTGACTTTGGCTTCCCTCAGTGCGTTGCTCGTGTTGAAGCTGGACGGGATGACTCCCTCGTCAACAGACAAATGAGAAGCCACAGAATACGATATTGGCTTTCGCACAGCCTCTGATTCACTACTATACCGCATTTATAGATTACATGCTGAAGCAGATACCCTGTTGATTCATGATTATATATACCTTACCTTAATCCAAGTCCAGCAACTCCCTGTCTTTCAATATAATATAAGAGGATATCCAATTCACACGCCTGTAAGTTTACCGGTACTGAAACTGGGCCTTTCTCTCTTTCTCTCCTCTATAATTCTGCTTTGCTATGTACTATAAGGGAAAAGTGACTCCCCACAGGGCAGACTTGATATGTGATAATGTCATTGGAGACTTAGCCTAGTATGACTAGAGGCCGGACTATGTTGGGCTTTTCCAACCCATGTTCTATTATCCATACTCGTCGCCTAGTAGGAGCATGTGAGAAGGCTTTTGATATATTTTATCAGCCTTGTGTTGGACAAGATTCGGGATCGAAGTTTGCAAGCAGTAGACTCTATTTTCTATTATTCCTGCTAAGTGAAGTCTTCTGCCGTTTATACAGTTGCCGTCTTATGCCATCAGTTGAGTGTTTTCAACAGGAAGCTGAGAATATCGTGAATTTTGATTTCAACATGCAGCTCTCTTCCCGAAGCTAAATCTTGGATCATCCCGATAATAGTGTCTGTGAGTACGGCAACGCTATTCTTTCACACTCACTGATTATTGCCACTCTAGAGCTGACTGCCTACTTACATGATTGTTCCTTGCCAGGATCAAACTAAGTCCTCCTGGTGCTATCTTTTGGATTGGTCGAGGCTATGTCCGATCATGTAGTAGGGGGATAGGCAATGCATCATAACCACATGTGCTTTGACCCCATGGGCTCATAGGTTGTGATGGATGCAAGCCCAACCCGATATAACGTATAGCAAACAGCGAGTTGCTGAGGTTTATTCCGTCCTAGGTGTTTCTGGCACATCCCATGTCCGTTTCATCTTGTGCTTCGTATTTCGAAATTCGACCCATAAAATCTCGATACCATAATCATCTGTTATCCTCCTGAAGTATTCAGGTTGCTGTACTGATGCGATACGAGGGTCCGGTTCTCCTTGGAGGTGCTCAGTCCTTACTAGACTATGGACTATGGTTTAGTCTGCGGTAGATTTCAGGCGGGAGTTGATTGATATGGGTGCTACACCAGAAATCTGCGAGAGAGCATGGCATGACTGCTGACTGACCTGGAGAATCGCAAGTGGTCGCGCTGGAGACCAGTGGCCGCCCTTTGAGCGTTTGCTGAAGTTGCTAAAAAGTATCCAACATCTTTTAGAACCCAAGAAGTCACAAACTTGTCAGCATCTTCCACATTCTCGAGACATTTTCGTACGTCAGAAACTCGGTAACAAATTGTGGGTTTGAGTGAGAAATTTCCCAATCCTGTCTCAAAGCTTTTCTCCGAAAGCTCGAGCACTCTGGCGGATGTCTTGACTCGTACAAGCCTTGATGTCACAGGGTTGACGTAGACTGCTCTATTGCCTACCACCTCCTCTTGAGAGTTTCCATCCGGACCGACTTCTAAGCCCTTCTCACCTAACGACATGTTTTTCCATGGCCAATGGTAACAGAGGCAGCAGCATACACAAGACACTACCAGGCCTGCACCTACATTGACAGTTAGGTATCACCGCTTATACTAGTAGGTCGTATACTTACATTGCGCAGCACGTTGCTCACAAAAATGGCGCCGTGCAGCTTTCGGATTCCCCATTGCTGGACCAGAAATAACTTCCGTTATCCTAGATTCTGGTGCGAGAAGAAATAGCGTCGTCACTATGCGGTTCCAGGAGGCATATATGGGCGCGGCGGGGTACTTACTCTATCTCATGATGTCAAATGTCAGCCTCCCCAGATCAGATGCCGTCAGCCTGAAGCAGGAGACGACTGGCATTCTACATGTGACTCCAAGACCTTATCGTCAGTTTAGCCAATTAATATGCAGCCCTTTCTATTCCATGAGTCCAAAACTTAGAAAGACCTATATTATGGTTATCGAGTGATTAGCCAGTAATATTGCATGTTTCCGTTTGCAATATCTCAATAATGGTACATGATGCAGTTCACCCCATAATCCATAGTTCCCAGACCTTGAGCCTCATGATTACACATGTCTTCTCTTGGTTCGATACATGGAACAGAGTATCGCACCACAGATTGTCCCACTTCAAACCTAGACTAACTAGAATCTACACACTCTGTGGTTACCATGGTACAATTCAGCCAAATCTTGAATAAGCTTTTTGCATTGCTCTAGATTTTTAGAGCATGTCATATGGGCCACGAGATGTTTTTCCAGCTACACTTGCACTCCAGCTGTGCCTACAACCTGCAGTTCTTCAGAACAATCAAGCACTTTGCACAAGCGAGATACCACTCATGGCCCCAACAAGCGGCGTGTGCTTTTCTAATAGCTCCGCTATCGCAGATTCCACCACAAAGAATTTCATCTCTGGAGTTACTGTGTAAGATATCTACTCCCAGGTGTCTTACTATCGCATGCTGATTACTCTGCAGTCTCGTATCCCTGTTTGGACGTGATGCCACGAATCGCTTCCTATCCCAATCAGTCAGCATATTTGATTGGTTAATCTTTGCATTGGCACCATTGGGGGTACCGACCGCTATTTTTGCCGTCATCCGCACCTCTCGAATGCAGTTCCTCAAGCGGATGGTTGGATTGGCCGAGGATAAGGTCTCTGATGTCGAAAAGGACCTTATGTCTTCGACTTCTGATGATGTGTCTGAAATCTGGGATGGAGAAAAGGTTGTCCGAGTCATTCGTCCGTCTACAGTCTCGGAGCTCTTCTTTGCCGGCCTAAACGGGAATGCCATGGAAGAGCCATATGGGATCTATTCCTCGCAAGAAGCAAAGTGCCGTGATGGAGTCCTGGAGACAAAGCGTATGTGTGAGTTTGTTTTGAAGAATATATGTGATAACCAATTGTGCAGATGAATGGTCGGTTGACCACGATAACACGGAACTTCAGCTTTGGGACAAACATCCTGAGTCGCAGCCAACAATCGACTCGGGAGGCGATATGGCTTACCCGCCAAATATGATGCTCAATTTGGGACCCTATAACCGGCTGCCATCACTCTGGACCACTACTATTCTGGGTATTTTCTTGGAAGCCGCTGTGCTCATGGTGGCAAGCCTCACAACCTTCCACCCTACCTTGGCCAAATGTTTCAAGTCCCGGCACTGGCCGTTTTACCTTTTCGCTATCGGTGGCGCTCTACTATTTGTCGGCCTCGTAGCATGTGCAGCGGCAATCGATGGAGCAACGCGAGATGTCATCTGGAAGCCTAGATGCCCGAATGTGGCAGTTATGTGGCTTCAAAGAGCCTCTGATACTGATGGGAATACCTCGTATGTTATCGCTAAAAGGATCAAAACCGACTTTATCACCTCCCACCGTCCGCATGGTGTACAGCCACTTGTGAAATTTTCACCTCTAATCATAAGCTCGATTACCATTGGATTCCTCATGCAAGCAATCGGCCTGTCGACAATGCATTGGCCACCTCAGGTGATCCAGTTTATTGCCACCATAGTCATGTTCGTTTGTAGGAGTTACCTGCGCCGGCAAGACTCGCCAGATCGCGTCAAGAAGATACAAACCGGCTGTTGTGAAGACTGGATTGCGAAGATGTTTGTTCTCAACCCGGAGAATCTATGGTCAGAGCCGTCATCGGACGATCCCGACGTTCATTGGAAGTTGGAAGCTCTCGAAATTGGCAACCAAGACTCACGTTTCGGCGAATCCAAGTGTGCGCAGAACCTGCTGCAGACGCGCCGCTTTCTAGCCAACATGACCCAGAATGGCGGCCATCCTAGGCTTCTAGCATCATCCCTTGCTTCAGCCATCGACAACGTCATTCAGGCGACATCTCAATTCAAGATCTGGAAAGACGTCGAGAGTTGGTCCTGGAATGTTGGACTTCGCGTGGACGATGGGATTCCTGAGGAAGTTAAACTCACAATTCAGGGGACCGAGAAAGAACTGCATGCAGATGAAAAGGCCCTCGAGGCTCTTATATCATTGCTCCCCTCTAGTATCATTACCCGGCAACGCACTGCATGTCCAAGGAGAGGTCTATTGTTTGTGGGCCCCGGTGATCCACGGATTGCAGAGGACTTGCGAGAGTTTGGGCATGTCAATGACCTTGGTCTTTACCAAGTGCCCCCGGTAGACCAGTCGCAGGACCTCAGAATATCAGTTGACCGAGATATGATCCCTGGGATTGAAGAAGAATTCTTGGAGACAGCTCGTAGCTGGGCTGAGGGTGAGACGGTCACGTTCGACACAAAGAGGATTTCAGAGCCCAGTGAAGTTGTTGGTGGTCGAGATGCCGCTCTAACCAGGATATCAACTCAATCGCCAGGTGAACTGTTTGCGCAGCATATATTTGTCTGTTTCATGTGGATCATTGCACGGGAGCTTGGTGAAAAAGGAAAGAAGGTTGACCCAGGGGAGACAAAAAAGCAAAGCGCAGTTACAGGAAACCTTAAGCGGTCCTGGTTGAAGATCTTGATGCGAAAGATTGAGCTGACCAGACTTGGAAATATGGATTTCGCAACTTTCGCCGTCATTCCGCCACTGTCCCACTACCGTCTACTGGATCGAGACGATTTACACTCTTCAAGGCGAAACTTTGTGTCGCATCAGCCTTCATCAGTGGGTGTATCTCCATCTCGCATGCAGTATAGTCCGAATGACGGTATATCTAGTCAACTTGAAAAGTTCATACAACGGTGTCCATGATCCTATCCAAGCCTTTCGGCCTATATAATGGCCGCAGTCTGTCAAGAGTGTGGCATTTATCTACCTCTTGAACATCATCCATCTACGTCTGTAGGATGTTTTTCCGGCTACTACGCGTGCTCTAGCTTAGCCACTTTCAGTAATGAACGGACGCAAAGATCAAACAGAGCCTTTTCAATCCCATCCTCAGCTTCAACTCCATAGGCAACGCCGAGAAAATCCCTCCCAGAGGTGACACCTGCCTCTCAAAGCAATACTGCCTCTGAGCGGGAGCATTCGCAGTCAACACAATCCGCAAATTCGAACCAGCAAGCAAACGCGCCAAGGCGATGACCCGGCTTCGTCGAAAGCACAAGCTCGAATGGTTCCATGCGGTACTGGGGGGTATTTGGGAATGTGGTCAAGCGGTCTTCCTGGTATTCCACCTTACCAAGGGTCTGCACCTGCGCGTCGCGGTTTCCCTGGCTTAATACGTGTCCAGAGCAAGCAAATATACAGAGATGACTGGACAACACAACATCTTTACATTCTCTGCTATTCTACTGAGATCGTGAGATAATGAATGGATCAGACCTGGAAGGTTGAGTGAAGAAGGTGCCTATACCTTTTCAAATATGGTCTTGGGTCGTGACGCGCTTCAGAATTTTCCTGTTGGCAGGTAGGGTTAAATCTGACCGACAGTCCAGACGAGTGGATATATGAAGGGCCAATGTATGCGTTGCCTTCGCACCCTGCTACTCGACCCTTGAACCCTACCTACCGATCAAAAAACTACGGCCGCCAAGGATGTTGCCTGTCTCGTTCTAGTAGGTGACCAGTGCTGCCCTGAAGTCACGCGACCTGGATAGGCAAGGTAAGCTTATGCGGTAAGTGGGTAAGTAGTAGGGGTAAGGGTCGCGTGATACTTACCTTAGTTACGCGTGAGTGGGTAACCGGGGTGATTAGCTAAGATACTGTTTATTCTTTATACTGGATATAGAGTTCAGAGCTCCCTACTAAATACTATAATAAGGTTATTAATTAGTAGACTAATTTAATAATTATGATTGGCTGTCCTACCAAGGCTGGTTTCTTATTACTGTTCTAACGGTCGTAATATTATGGCTTAACTGCGGCTGTGCTATTGGCTAAGTAACTACATGTGATTCCAGTTCTTCGTTCTCTTAACGGATAATGCAGGTAACATATGCTTGAATATATGTCATACTGTTTAAGGCCTAGAATAGTGTCTCTAGCCTGATTGGCCAGATTCTCTTTTAACCTTTTAAGACTGGGGATTAGTGCGGAGGCTCAGACAGAGTTAGGCCTTTTATTTGAGGCTGAGTGCCTAAAGTGTGTAGATAGTCTAGCTATAATTTTAATCTAATTATCTTACTAAAGAAATCAATACAGGCTCGCTAGTACTAATTATAGATAAGTATTCAAATAAAAAGGATGCCAGTAATAGAGAGATATATCTTAAGATTTACTAGTACTAATATAAAGGGAATTCCTATTTCAAGAAATGATAGATGGCCCGGTTGTCACCTAATAAATCCAAATAACTCTGACAGCTTTCCTCACAAGTGGACATTCATGTCGCCTTTGACCGACTGCTCATGATTCAGCCTCTTTTACAGTCTATGCTGTCTTTTATATTCGATTTAAATAAGCCAAGCCCACGCCTCCTTCCGGGTGTGCCTGTCATCCCATACCTTGCGCCTAATTATCTTGAGCGAGTTTATACTGGTGTGCTGGGTAAGCTTATTGGTGTTTACCTGTGCTAACCTTCCGAAGGTCGGGGTTACTTACGTACTGTTAATGACAATGGATCCATCAGGTTGCATCTACCTTTGGTCGTGGCGGATGATGGCGTTTTGGGTATATTTGTTCCTGCATGTGCATTAGAAGAGCACGGTGTTTGCCCTAATTTAGCGGCTCAGGCTGTTGGTAAAATGTGGCGCAACAGTGTTATTGCAAGTCGGACTGTTTTTTGGTGGAGTGGCCGTAGCATTTGTCTCCCCGCCTCGCGCGTGTCCCCTTCTATAATGCCATCACGACCAACAGCCCAACGATCGCAGAGCAGGTCGGCGCTGAAACTTTTATCGACGCCTGGGCATTAGTTGCGCCGGGTAGTCCTGCGTTGGCCGCGAAATTTGCGGAAACCGCAAGCTCTATCGGCCACGGCAGTGAATCGGTTTACGCGGTAAAGTTACTGGCCGCCATGGAGGCCGAGGCGTTTGTTTGGAAAGACGTCAATCGTCTTTTGGATGTAGGTCTCAATTTTGTGCCTGCCGATTCACTTGTTGCTCGGCATAAAGATCCGACTGATGAATGAGGTCCTCCAGATTATATGAAACTGCTGTATAGTAGATAGCATTAAGCTAGGTCTTAACTTCCCTGAACAGACCATGTGTTCCTAGAACCAAGAATATCACTTCCTGAGAATGGTCAGATAAGCCCTTGGAGTTGAATGTTCATAAGCTGGCCAGTTTGGCACCCAGGATCCACAAGAAGAAAGTTTTCCAAGAGTGATATCCCGCAGAATAGCGAGAACCATTCACTCGAGATAAAAAAGAACTAAATCCTTCTTTCTCACTTAACTAAGTTCTAATAAGATTTATTTTATTTTAGTGGTATTGTGGTTATTTAAATAATTAAATGTTAAATAACACATTAGGGTGGCCGGTTGACCCGTGGTAACCAGCTGGCCTGTGATTTATGTTATACCTTGTGATTCTCAGGCTAGAACATTCGGAACACTCTGTATCCACAAACTTTACCTACAGAGCGTAATGGTGATGCAATGTAAGTATATGTAGAACCCACGCAGCATAAAATAATTTGATGTAGGATAGTTACTTAAGGAAAAGCGGCACAAAGAGACATCGCGCCGTCTGCTTATAAAAACACCGAGGATCTTGGCAAATAATTTACTACGCCGCTGAAGTGTTTAGATGACAATATAACTGCGCAAAGATTGACCCGAGAAGGGCCTAGCTAGTAAGTACTGCAGGACAGGTGCCCAAACAAAGGAGATATTAATATTATGATTGCCAGGTAGTCGTGGCTTTATTGATTTAGAAACTTTTCCGTGCGTGGAACACCTTGCAGAATTGGCAATGAGTACTCATGGGTGGCACATAACCGTTAGCAATTCAGTGAACGCTGTGAGGCTTAAGTGAACCCCTTAGCAGTTAACGGATCCTAAGCTAAGTTACAAATAGATGGCTGAAATTTTACCAAGAATGGTAACTGCGACACACTTCGCTAGTTACCAACGACTGGCAATCGCCCCTATTAAAGAGATAATCGATTGCGGTAGCGAAAACCCTAGGGGTAAGAAACTTGAAGCCTGGAAAAAGCGGAAGATCCAACAGCTCCACTATGTACAGCTTGCGGTATGATCCTACTGAGATTGTACTATCGAGTTACTGACAATGTAAGGCAACTGTTATGCTCGCAGTTGACGTGCAATGTCTCTCTTGGCCCACAGAGGATCGTCATTGGACGGCCCGTGCCTTCTGGTACTGGTGTACAGTCCTCGATGTGTTTGCTATTGGGATGTCTTCTCAACAACTCAGCATTCTGCAGTACCTTGAGTCTTGCGAAGTGCATCACAACTTACTCTTGGATATGATTGCCAAAGACAGCAAGGAAGGAAAGCATACAGACTCAAACATGGTCTATGTATGGGAATGTCCGATGATGCTGTTAGTCCATTCAATGATTTTGTTCATTGTTGCAGTGAGTGTGCATGTATCTTATCCCTTGATAAATGGCCCTAGGTGGGGATTTGATTCGAAGGTAAGCAACCTATCACCAACGGAGCGGGATAGTTACTGATAATGCATCCTCAGATTGCAAGTGTATATCTTGTGGCATTGGGGATGAACTTTTTCAATCTTTTATATTGCTCCTACTGGATATACAAAAAAATGCCAATATTTTAAGACAGTCTTTTATGTATGCTAGAGTGTTTCTGGTTAATATCATTCCTCGTGTTGTATATTGCCAGCAGGGAGTGAGTGAGCAATTGAGTGCAATGGGACAGGTTACCTGATTCGTGTTACAAGGCTGTCTTTAGCTTCCCTTTCCAAACCAGTTGAAGAAACAAGTGTGTAACTGAACCATCGTCAACGGATGATGGACGTTATGCGGCATACAGAATATCTATACTAAAAAAAAATAAGAGGTGCTTGTGTCAACTTTTAACCCCAAATTATCCACATCCTAGTAGGCCATGATTACAATTCACGATAGCTAAGGAATGACCCTGATTTAAATAATACTGCCTAGGACAATTACAAGATTTTCTGTTAATTGTATTATGAATGTTTCTATCTGCTGATCCCTTGGGTATCACGTTTAAATGAGAATTAACAACACTGAGAACTATTCACTAGAAGGTTGGGCAAAAATCAGCCGCGCATGTGGATGTATATAGTATCACTGTTTCACAGACTAAGTCGTAGCGAATATGTGGCTCAACGAATTGAATACTAAAAGAGTCTGACTTTCGTTATACTCACAGTAGACGAAACATTTGTATGTCTTAGTAACTTGTGGGTACCCGCCGAGGAGCAAGAGCTGAGTAAAGCCTGGAGAGCACAGAGTGGCCCCAGTGTTGTTTTTGAAGAGTATCTTTGCATCATCTATAAACTCTGAAAATCCTGACAGTGAGTCGCCCTGTATGAATATTCTTTATCAATTTCTGCTCAGGTATAACGGTTGAGTCGCAGGTTTTCATGATCTCCATCCCACGCGTCAAAAATCCATCACCACAATCTATATGCCTCCTTCTAAAGAAGCACGAGTTCAAATGGCGATTCTAGCCTATTAAAAGTAACAGCCTTAATAAAACACGGCATCTTTCTAGTAGTTCTATTGCTCATATTCAACATATTGAGAAAGCCGCGCAAATAGCAATGCAAATTAGCCTTCTTTTACAGCAAAAAAATCACGGCCTTACACGCTGAAGGCGGGCGAAAATGTCAGTAAAGGGCAAGAATGCGCGCTGAACTACACAATGGCCGCCTTCTTCATGTACAGGAAGGTCAAAAACGCGGTCAGCAGCTTGACACGTAGCTTAATAAGCAACCTGAGGAATCTACTCCGGTGCCTCGTCGACGATCTCCGCAACGCTGGAGGGGTTGTGGGACAGTTGGACAGACAATTCGAAATTGCCCTAGGGAATATCTGTCATTCTATATATTAATATAGCCAATCTAAATGGCGCTGTTGGTTAGGAAGCCTCGAATATGAATGGTTGCGTTGAAAATCCGCGGTTCGGTGGTTGGAAACGTTAAACTCTGCGGAGAAGCAGATGATGTCAAGGTGATACATGAGACTTAAGAGATTGTTACTCTTTTCTGCGGTTACTCCTTGGATAACATTGAACAAGCCTGACAGACCATTCAAGTTCCTTTTGGCACGGGAGCATTGGAGTCTCATACAGATTCTCATTTGACTTTCACTCGTACAACTCTGAATTAAAGGTGTCATCACTCTGCCTAGGTAGAAGTTATACCACGAACACTCTCGAAATTCCGCTCAATTGATTGCTGTATGTCATAAATATTTAAGTTTAAAATAGGCTGGGCTCGTTGATAATGTGGCATGACACCTCCATGTTTAGCATTGGCCCTACTTATTAACACAGTGACGCAATGGCATGGTGTTAGTATATCAGGTAGTCAGAATGACTGTCAGCCAGCACATTTTGTTGGTTCTCTCACATCTGAACCTGCCTTCCCTAACGGCCCTATACCTTATCATATACCTTATCTCGCACAGAGACTTCGATACTCAATGATTGCAACGATGCTCATCCTTGCATGCTTATGCATCTTGGCGCCCACTTTATACCTGATATATAAGCCATCTCTATCTTTAATAGAGTATTTACAACGTCGATGGCCAGATGTTCTCTGGCACGTTGCGACCCCATCAAAAATCATTGCACTCACAATTGATGATAGCCCAACTGAGTGCACTGACGAGATTATGGAGATTTTGAAAACCTACGAAGCAACTGCAACTTTCTTCATTATAGGATCGTACATTACTGGACGCGAGTCGACACTCAGGAATTTAATCCGTAATGGAAATGAGCTGGGGAACCATGCAATGTTCAGCGAACCATCGCGATCATTAAGTGATGCCTCCTTGGCCTACCAACTCCAGTCTGTGGAGGAACTCATCGATACGGCATACGCTGCAGTTCATACTGAGCCTCCTCCAAGATATTTCCGACCAGGGTCAGGCTTTTTTAGCAGTAGGATGCTCAATTTGGTAGGCGGAATGGGATATCGAATGGTACTTGGCAGCATTTACCCATATGATCCTCAAATACCCTTCTGGAGAATCAATGCGAGCCACATTCTAAGCATGTTGCACCCTGGGGCCATTGTTATTTGCCATGATAGGAGTTGGACGATTCCGATGCTTAGAGACGTTCTGCCTAAAATCCGGCAGAAAGGTTATCGCATAGTTACTATCACGGATTTGCTCAAAGAATGTAAGCTGTGAGGTTAATGATGGCGTAACTAAATTACAGACTAAGACACTGTTGCCTAGTAAACGTGTACAAGAGACCAACTAACCATATGGTGAGTAGGGAGGGTTCGATTCATACAGGGTGTTCCGGGGTTAAGAACCCGTAAAGAATAAAGCATTTCTCTGAGATTGACTGCTAATCATGAGGGGCGTAAAAGGAGGAGGGTATAAGGCTACCGAGCTTCAACAATCTCAATGAGAGGCCTCCCCTCTTTTATCTGCGGCGCCGTACTCTGAGTCAATTTTGACACAAACTGAAGTTAGCACATTGTTAGATTTCCTTTATACCCCATGGGCTGGGAGGGTGAACAGGATGTTAACAACAAGTTAGGAGCGATGTGGCTCTCCAGTGTACTTATTCAGTCAAGTACAATTATATGCACTCAAACTGCTAGTAAGTCCGATATAATTTACCTGACGCAAGTGAACCTTTCGCAGACCAAAACACACCAAGATTTTGTAGTGGATTAGCTCCCCATGTATCGGGTCACCAGGTCCCCTTTAGCCAAGTCTGACGTAGCTTTTGGTAAGTGTTTGTCCATGTCGTTCCAGTTCCAGATTCAAAGCTTTAATATTACTTTGTTTATTACTGCTGCTTGTTAATGTACTGTACTGGACTAGCGTTCTCTAGGCGGGTCTGGTTATAGTTTATTTCGATGTTGTCATTCAATATAGTAGGGAGGTAAGGTGTTTTCACCACCGGTTACCAAAGACCGAAAAGTCTTATATAAAATCATTTCTCCCGGAATCATATGGTTGACGTTAGGCCTTTGGCCAGAAGAGGGATATTAAGGGACAAAAGACTTGCATCAAGCCCAAGTCCCTAAGCAAACGTAATATCGAGCATACTGACAATAATAATATACTCCCCTTTCCTAGCGTATTAGCTACGTATCCAATGAAGTATGGTTATGAATCGTTTCCAATATAGGTTGGCAGTCCTAGGAATAGAAACTCCGCACAGGCTTTTCGGGCGTGACGCTTAACACTATCCTAGCATTCATTCCACACTCGCTCTTCGACCATGGACATTGGTGGTACCATTCCAGCGCCAGAGTGATCATCAGGTAGTATGAATAAGGGAAACCTAAAAAGAATTAACTTTACTACTTTCTAGTGCCAGGCTAGACTTGCCTTGGTGGTTATACGTATTGTAGGCTTTTAATTTTGGGAGGCGAAAATATGGAAACCCAGTATCATCTGATACCTCTTGGCGCCGACTGCCCAAAAGTCTAGAGCGGGTCTCTCTATATGCGGACTTCAGAAAATTCAATTCATCAATGAGAGAGTGTCCAATAAAATAAGAATCGTCGCTCAGTCCTCAATCTCTCTGGAAATATGCCACAAGCAGCTACCTGCAGCTTCAAATCAGCAACCTATCGGAGGAGTTCCGAATCCTAGAGGACAGTCAAACGTATAGGTATGGAAAGTGCACTTTTCTATCTATCGTCTTCTACAGATACAAGGGAGAAACTGACATAAAAGAGCAGCACTGACCAACCTCCGGCGTGCGGACAAGTTCAACTTGGCGACACTATGAGTCGACTTGTCAGTCAGGTCCTCCCTGTAGTTGTCTTGGCCTTAATTGCTTGGGCAGGTCGATGGAAATTCCGCAAGCAATTCTTTTCTGGTAAATCAGGCCGAGGTGCTTTTGCGCTCGCCGCTTTGCCAGGTCGCATTAGGATACTAGCACGGAATCGAAGACAGTCTGAGTCCAGTTGGATCGCATCGTTTCAGTATTGGTCGTCTCTACTATTGTTGGCAATCTTTGGAATCATTTGTCAGAGGGATGAAATCAGTCTTTCACTTCCTGCATACTCTATTGACAGTCTGGCAAATGGATCCAAGAGATTATTGAAGTCTACTTGCGAAAGCTTAAAGACTGTGCCAAAGGACGGCTTGTTCAAATACCACTTTTTCTTGGTTGGAGGGGAGGAGGCACCGCAGCTCGCAGCTTATGATGGTGGCTGGGTTCCTACAAAGACGGCAGATACTCACGTGAACACCGAACCGTGGAGTCAAAGCAATGAAAGCCCTGGCCTGGAGTTGGATAATAACAAGGTTTTGCTCCAACTTTGTCGGGTTGATTACCGAGGAAGAGAGCATCAAGACACTTGGATAGTGCATTTGCCGGAACACAAGGAGGTACGCAATCATAGCCAAGCACTTAGCCGACTCGTTCAAGCAGAAATTTGGGAGACAGCCATTTTTACCATTATTATGGCACTCGTTATTATCTACCTCTTGAAATCCCCCACAGTACGTTTTATAGTTATCCTTGTCTTGGTCCTACTACTCCTTGGTCATGGAAAGCTTTGGTGGGAAATTCAACGCCTTGTCGTTCGTCTCCATGGTGACTACCAAAACTATGCTACGCTACATTTGATTCTATGTAGCAAGGCATCAAAATTCCTTTACCCAGACAGAAACCCCGAAGAGTCTCAGTCGATTCCGGACTTCCTTTGGGTGACAATGGTTAAAAGCAAAGAAGCATCTACTCAGGAAGGTGTGAGGGGATATACAGTCTGTGCAACAAGCATAGTTGAAGTGAAAAACTACCGAGATCGACTGTATGAACGACACTTTCGCGTAGCCACGATACCCTATACCGGTGGCTTTGTCTGTTTTCTCTCTATATTACACGGCATAGAGTGGTGCCTCACAACGACATTAGTACCAACATATGACTTCTCCCAGCAACATTTCGTTTTTATCAGCGTGTGTGGTACATTCATGAGGGGCTTCATTTCTAAGGATCTATACCCATTTTTTGCTATCACCTGCATTCTCCTTGACTGTTTCCTGGATTACACCGAGTTCAGACATAACGAAGCTGTCTACGACACGTTTGGTAGGTTTCGAGATATGTTTTATATAATATCAGCCGTCGCAGTGTACGGGTGTTTGGTTGACTATATAGGAGTGGTATTTTAGTCATCCTTTGCATTGTTCCCAGTATCTAATACGGGAAAGATTTCATTTCCTGAAGAGTACATGAGAGGGAAGAAAAAGATATCATGCCTATCTAAAAGACCGGGTAATCCGGTTGCATTAGCGCTGGATCCAGTGTGGCTTGTGCCCAGTCTGGACCACGTAATCGCTGGACGCAGGCATAAGCAGCCCGGATGTCGACCGGAGATAAGAATTGCTGCGCCTCTTCTGCACCAGACAGTGGATATACCATGCTATGATGCCCCGCAGTGGCAGATCATTGTCCCAGAATTGGGTTGTGAGAGACGCTATCATGGTGAAGTCATGGCCCGCTGTACCGAACCATAGATCCCGTCGGAGTATAGAGCCACCCGACCATAGTATGCGTATGCTCAGTCTGATTCAGTCTGATCTCACAGTCTGACGAGATGAATTCCACATCTGCTATTTCTGGGCCCCATTTCTCAACTCTCAGCCTTGCAAAACGATTCAAACCAATAGCCACAACCCTCGGTCGCAGGCCTTGAGAGTTCGACAAGTCATCGAGGCTGTGCACAGCTTGGTCTGCCTCTCCCATTGAACCCACCCAGAGCCGAGTACACCGGACCAATCCGTCAGCATTGGCAGTATCACCGATGACGAGTCGGGCTTGGCCGGCATCATCCCTCAACCGCTAGCCGTGGTTTATTCTGATGCCTAAAGCTTGGCAGTGCGGGTTTCTGGAAGCTCAGTCGAGGCTGTGGGGTGTCTGCTTTGTCGGTGATGCAGTAAGCGATTCCCTGGGCGGTCGTGATGTGGCTGTAGTCTGGTTATATACAACGGGGGGTCGTTGGTGGTGAGCTGGAGTGACAGGTTTGCAGCCATGAGGGTTCCTAGGTTTACTCTCTTTTTTTGTATTTGGTTCTTATTCGCTCTGACAGTGAATGGTATGTATATTTCTGATGGTAGAATTTAATACTGATGTCAATAGCACACTCAACTCGCTCTCTGGCCTTGTACAACACCACTACCCTGCAGAATGTCGCCATCCACACGGCGTCACACAAGGTCAAACCCTCCACGGAATTCAACATTACATTCACAATAGACGACGAAGAGACACCCGTCAAGTTAGTACTGACACCCAACCGCGACCTGTTCGTCCAGGAGCCACATATCCAGTTCATCGGCGGGAATGGAGCCCGCCGGACAGAGAGTATGAAACGCAGCAAGCACCGCGTCTTCCGGGGTACTGTATTTCTGCAATCACCTTCTTTCCAATGGATTCAGGTTGGATGGGCTAGGATCACTGTTGTTAGAGATGGAGTCGACCCTCTCTTCGACGGCGCGTTCAGTATCTCGGGCGTACAGTACGATATCAAACTCGAATCTAACAAGGAAAATGGCACTCGACAACAGCGAATGACCGTACAACGGGGCTACCAGGACCAGATATTAGCAGCAGCAGCTCCAGCATGGTCCGGGTCCTTGGAGGTCCTCAAACGGCAGTATACGCTCACCAGCGACGACTTCGTCGACTCCATCGGCAGCACGGATGGATGTCCCAGCGATCGCGAGATTGCACTCATCGGAATCGCCACGGACTGCACATACACTGGCTACTTCGAGTCGTCCGAGGACCTGGTCCAGTCCCTCGTGACGATGGTCAACACGGCATCCGAGGTCTTCGAGTCCGCGTTCAATATCGCCCTCAGCTTCCACAACCTCACCATCCAGGAAGAAGAGTGTCCAAGCTCCCCAACCCGTGAAGAGCCCTGGAACGTAAACTGCGCAGCTGGTGGGTTGGACTTCCGCCTGCAGCAGTTCACGGAGTGGAGGGGGACATTGAGGAACGATGAGAATGCCTACTGGACGCTGATGACGGGGTGTCCGACTGAGTCGGAGGTTGGGGTTTCGTGGGTTGGACAGCTGTGTGATAGCGAGCGGAGCACGAATATTGTGGCGAGAGCTTCGAATCAGTGGCAGGTCTTTGCGTATGTTCGTCCCTTTTCTTTTCTATCTTTTATTTTCTTATATCTCACCTTACTTAAGGCATGAATCTGCGCATACGTTCGGCGCATACCACGACTGTGATAGAAACACCTGCGCCCGCGGTCGACAGTGCTGTCCGCTGTCTGGCTCGACGTGTAGCGCTGGTGGCGAATATCTCATGAACCCAGTCTCGACGTCTCCTCAAAGCGAGTTCTCGCCGTGTACGATTGGGAATGTCTGCGCGGCCATGGGATCACGGATGGTGAACACGCGCTGTCTGACGACAAATACAAACACACCCACCGTTTCAGCTGGGGAATGCGGGAATGGAATTCTCGAAGTCGGAGAAGAGTGTGACTGCGGCGACGAGTGTGATGGGAATCCCTGCTGTGATGGATCGACGTGCAGGTTGATTGGGGACTCGGTCTGCGATGACTCTACGGACTCTTGCTGTTCTGAGTGCCAGTATGCGTCGGCGGGGACGGTTTGTCGCGCTGCTATTAGTGAGTGTGATATCGAAGAGACCTGCTCTGGGAATTCTCGAGATTGTCCAGAGGACGAGCATGAAGAGGATGGAGGCTCCTGTGGGACTGGTGATGATTTATTCTGCGCCACTGGGCAGTGCACGAATCGCGACTTGCAATGTCAGCAGCAGCTTACTGGCGATAATTCTACTATATCGTCGTGCGGGAACAATACGTGTATTCTGGAGTGTTCGTCGTCCTGGGGACAGGCTGGGTCTTGTTCGAGTGCTGGGAATGTCCTGGATGGCACACCCTGCGATGGCGGTCTATGCCGCAGTGGAGAATGCAGGAGTAGACGGGACAATAGCGGAAGCTCATGGGTGGACCGACATCGGTCTCTGGTTATTGGTCTATCGGCTGGAATAGGAGGTGCCTTGGTTCTTGCTGGTCTGTTCTGTATTATCTGCTGCTGCTGCCGACGACGCCCTAAGAAGGCCACCCCTGTGTCTCAGCCACCGCTACCACAGCGTCTTCCTGTCGGGGCATATATTCCTCCTCCGCCTGCTTACTCGCCTCGGCCTCCAATGGCGTCATATAGATATGCTTGATCAATGAATATCTTAGTTCAACCTTAGCCTACTCCATAGCCCATTTAGAAGATAACATGTCTAATCAAATTTCCACACCAAAGGCCTCTCACCCCGACGCCTCCTCCAATAATTCGTTGAAACCACCAATCCTGGACTCCCCCTGAGTAACCACCCCCATTTACGGAGAAAGCCCTCCGTAACCTCCCAATTCCGCGGCTCCCACGAGTCCCCCCAAACAACCAATGTAGCCTGTGTATTGCGCGTATCCCAAAACGCCATCAGATCATGACACAGCTCATCATCATCAAACAGATGCTCCGCTGCAATCAGAATGTCACGCATCTGCGGAAAAGGGAAGAAATCCAGCCATGGGTGGTGCGGGATACTCCGCTGGATGTCTGTAGGACGCAGACTGACTGGGATTGTTTCCAGATTAAAGGTGGGAGTTACCGGGGAATATAAATTGAAGATGGAAATTGTATCGTCACAGCACGTCCAGTCTGCAGTCATGCCTATGGCCCGGATGTTGGTCTCTATGGCTCTGTGTACGTTCAACCGCGTCAGACTGACTAGGTGGTCGATCTGTGGCGAGCCAGTCAGGTAACTCTTCTCTGCTGTGGCTTCGAACCAGCGCAGGTATTCCAGTGCATTTGGAGGAGCATGGGCGCAGGCTAATTCTTTTCCTTTCGCTGTACTTTCGCTGGAGGGAGAACTTGATGAAACCGAGCTCAACTCCGACCCTGAGCTCTCGGCTGTCTTTGCCGCTTTCGATCGCAGTCGGGCTGGTCTCCGTTTCTCGCCTACGCCATGTTAGCACATAATATCCCTGTGGCTCGAGTATCGACATACGCCACTTCCTTTGATTCTGGCGGTTCTGCAGCCTCCTCCTCTCCTTCGGGTCCATGACGCCGGTCCAGTCATCGTCGGGTTTCCAGACGTGGGCCTGCTGTGGCATGTGTGCCACGTGAATTAAAGCCCCGTCACTGGTTGTAGAGTCTGTGTCATGCTGTGCTTGTGCCATTATAGTCCTGATCGGTGTTGAGGAACTTGTAGGAGGGCCTGTGGCGCGTTTTATGCGAGTTGCTGATCTGCCGCAAAAGGGCCCAGACTTTTATTTCCGAGGGCCTCCTGCTATTGGGCAATATTATAGCGCTAATGCAGGTTGCTTACGGGTTCCACTTGTCTTGGCATCCAGAGTCATTACTCCACTGGTCTTGGTAAGGGCATGGCATGAACAAGATATATTTAACCTACACGCAATGATAGTCCACTCCATCAGAGAAGCCCCAATCCTGAACTCCTGCGCTAAAGTCAAGGCCCACAAACCCAGGCGTGCTACAATCTGCAATCCCGGGCATAAACGATCCGAGCAGGTATCCCTCGATAGAAGAAAAGGCGTTTCCATCGTCCTCAGGCAAGGAGTCGAGGAGCCGCGACGGCGTAAGACGGTCAGTGTCAGCTGTTCTACCGTCGTTGTCGTTGGTTCGAGATGTGTGCTGTGGATAATTGTCTCTGGATCGTGGGGGGCGATTGAAGTCGGCACGGAGATGTTCAGGCGCGGATTCCGGACCTCTATCTCGCTCTCGAGAACTCCAGAGTTGCTTCAACATTCGGCTGTAGCCATGACAGATGTGTGAGTCGGTCGATGGCGCCTTTTCGAGACATGAGACGAATTCGCGCGCAAGGCTGGTTACCTCTTCGCGGTGGTCGGGTGTTGGAAATGCGTCTGCGCAGTCGGCTTTGCGGAGGAAAACGGCGGCGTAGACACCATATCTACCGTTTCATTAGTGCTGGTAGTCGAACAGAGTGCTGGGGACGATTTCGTACAAGTAGTAACGCGAGGGGAGATAGCATATCACTTGGTGTGGGTCGAGACTGTTCATCAGGGCGAGGAGGTTCATAGCGGCGCGGATTGCATCGAAGATGAACCGGCCGTCGGGGGATGCCATGATTCCATCTGAGAGTAGCTGTTTACTGTGTTGATCGTGTGCCGACGCCCGCATGAGGACAGCCTGGAATGAAAACGCATTTGTATAGAGGGAAATGTATTCGTACATTATAAGCAGCGTGCTCTTTACTCTTGGAGATGCCGGTAGATCAGACCATTTAGAATGCCAGCTTTTCGCGGCGGTGTGGAAGTCATCGAGGTATCGTGCGTAATAACCTTCATAGACCATGGAGCGTGTCCTGTCCTTCGAGGAATAGAGGATTGCGTGGGCGTTATGCAGGAGCTGCACCAGGCCCATGGAGGCTTCTAGGGCTGATGCATAGTCTTCATTCTCGTTCTCTGGGTGTGGCTGGAGGGTTGGGAAATCCTTAGCTGTGAATTTGGCTGCCAGCGAGGGGCCTCGGGCCCAGAAGGATTGGCCTAGTCGGACGGATATCTGTCTGTCTGCCAAGAATATATCTAGAAGATTAGTAACTGCCGGACATTGCTTACGTATTTACTTACAGGCCCATACGAGTCTACTTTGATCTGCGAGGTCTTTCGCCTCCCTGTGGCTATTAATTGGAAGGGCACCCTGGTCAAGACGTTGAAGATAGCCGTGTCGCACCGCTAGGCCAACAAGAGACCACGCCGTTCTGTCTTCACTGAACAGGTTCTTGGATGTCTCGGACCTTCCTTGGATCTGGATATGGGGTAGCCATTCGGCCAAAAGCAATAAACCTTCTACGGTTCTCGGAGTCTGGGTCCAGTGGTCGGCCAGGAGAACGTCAACCATGAGCCGTCGTGTATGTTCCCAGCACTCACGGTGAGTATCAGAATGGGACGGATCGTCTCTGGAGGCTATGGTAAGGATAGAAGTGAGCAGAAAATGGTCTGATTTCTGAATTGGCCTCCTGTTTGAAGTACGCAGAATATATGACGGGACAATTGGACAGTATGGGTGGTAGCAGCGGGAATATCTAATCCTTTAGTACATTATCACTCGGCGTAAGCAGGATGACAAACTTGAGTAGCAATTCAGACACCAGACCTGGCCGCAGAACCCCCTTTTGAACCAACTCGTAATCATCAAAGGCAGTAGATATTGACTCAGTACGAGCCGCGTCCATGCCTCGCAGGACAGTGTCCGCTGCAGTGCCCGGACTTGTATTTCGCTCCTCTTCAGCATGATCGCCCGAGAGGGCCAGAATCTGCAGGGCGTCAGAGGGATTCCTCAACTCCATGCTCAAGACGTTGCCGGAACGATCTATGCAGGCACGGCCGTCATCGTCAGAGGGTTCTGCGCTGGATGGATCGCGTCCATCACCGTCCGCTGGTGACAGGCGCCGATAGTGCCGGAAGTTTCCTCCGCGTCGGGAGCTTGCGAGAATGCACTCGCTCCCCGACTCATAACATGCCACGCATGGCGGCTTTTTCGGCTCTCCAACTCCGACCCTGACAGTCTGTGAGCGGAGGCGGGGTCGGAGGGGTAGTGGTAGTGGGTCTTACATATTGCATCTTCTTTTCCGCTGGCGGCATCGCAGGCATGCACGATATGATCTTTTCCCTGTGGGCGGCGTCATGATTGAATGCTGCTACTGGGAGACGGCGGCAATAGACAGGCGGGTGTTCCTTAAATTCACATCGTCGGCTGTAGACGGCTACACCTACTGGATAGGGAATGGCGTATTTATAGAGTGGATCTACATGAACTACGGTATTTTGGAGAAGATGCTAAAACGGGGTTGAACGTGATTCAAGTGTAACTAAATATACACCCGTACGGCTAGGGCAAACCCATGCGCTTATCGCTCTTCTCGTTGAAGCCCCATGCCAAACTGCTATCGTCATGCACAGTAGCTCGCCTCATGTCCCGCCTGTACTTGGTGAGGAACTCGCCGCCGACGGCCCGGTGCATTGTGCATGTATTATCCCACACAATCATATCACCTGGGTCGTGCCACTCCACGTTGACCACGTATTTATCCTGGGTCGCGTGCTCAAAAAGCCTGTCCAGGATAGCCTGAGACTCCTCCGGTGAGACCCCTTCGAGAGAATGGATGTGCTTTGCGAGGTAGATTGTGTGGATTCCGGTACGCTCGTGTATTTGAAGCAGCGAGTGGCGGCTCATAAAGTGGTCTGTGGGCTCTATATCCTTGAAGGACTCGGGAGCAGCCAATTTCTTTGAATGAAGAAGAGAGTGCCGGGCAATGAACCCTTTATCGTGCAGAAACTTCTTAAATTCAGGATCAAGGTCACGGTACGCAGCCCTCATATCGGCAAAAGCAGTGGAACCACCAGTGCCAGGAGGAGGGAGTTCATGAGCAAGAAGGAGGGAGTACCCAGCTCGCCGAGGGTTAAAGCTGGAGTCAGTGTGAAAGAGGGAATTCCCCTGGGCCGGTCAGTTCATCCATCCGTTCTGGACGTATTTTGGAGCTGTCGCGCACCTTGTTGGCTTCACCACGCGGGCTACTCAGGTCGACTATCGAGCCATCGTCGTCAATATTCCCAACGTCGAACAGCTCGTTATATTTCAAACGGTGGATGCGGCCGGCTGTATTATAAGGAGTCACATCATCGAGGTCACCGAATTTGCGAGCCAACTCAAGATGGGCCTCGTCGACCAGTTTTGTCTGTCGTACAACAGCAAATCCATGCTATTGATTTCAGCACTGCTTGACTTTTCCCACAGCATCAAGCTTACCTTCTTTACTGCATCCTCGATAAAGTAATATCCGTCATCGCTTACGCCGTTGGCAAACTCCAAGCCGAAGATTTCGGCTCCGAAGCCGTTCTTGATTAACCTCATAGACGGGGCAGGTCTGGGTGTAGTCACGGTGTCGGTGATAGTAGCAGACATTTCGAAGTGAACGTTGAAGAAATCAGATAGTTGAGGTTGCTTCAGAGAGATATTCTGTAGACCCTACGCATCCTTGTACCCTGCTGACGGTCGCTGAAGCCGTCATGATACTGTCGAGATGAGTCCGCCCACAGCCGACCCCGTCGCCGCCGGCATTGCCTTCTTACGAAATAGCGCCATTTACAAGCCTCCCTATAGGGAGGCCCGCTTAGACTATGAGCATTGCTTCCCCGCAATATCGGCCTGCCATGGTGGAGATCTACGGCGGCTATAGACGGACACTTGGCGGCAAGGGAAGGAAGCGCTGAACAAGGCAATATCATATGCCTGCTTGAGACAGACACCCATGTCAAGTAGAACTGGTATAGATGTGCAAGTACCCATCGAAGCTCTTTATCTCCATAGCGAATAAACATAGCGTCTCTAGCCAACAAAAAAAATGGTGTTTCCTGGAAGACCTCGTCACTACTCAAGTAGTACCTAGCACGAAAATGCTAACATGCTGCAATGACCTTCCCTTCTAGCCCCTGTCATAAATCTGCGTTTCTACTATACTCGTATTAATCTGCAAATCACGTTAGCCAAACAGCGGCCTGTTCGAAGGGATACTTACATGGTGCATCCCCAGGTCTGCAACTCTTCGCACGCCCAATAATTGCATACAGCTCCTGGTTTCCTCAGCCAGAACTATATAGAACCATCAGCAGTGCTACGAGATCAGAAAAAAGTAAGAGAAACATACTCTGAAATACCCTCTCTACTCCAGCAACACCACCAGCACCAAGGCCCCAGAGCACCGGCCGTCCAATCCCAACTGCCTTCGCACCCAGACACAGGGCCTTTACAACATCCGTTCCTCGTCGAACTCCCCCGTCGACCATAATATCGAGTTTCTGTTGAACGTCGGGGCAGTACCTGCGGATCTCCAGCAGGGTGTGAACAGCCGGCGGAGCGGTGTCAACAACACGACCTCCGTGGTTCGATAGGATTATCGCTTTGACGAGGGGAGCGTAGTTCGCAGCTATCTGGGCGTCTTCGTGTGTTTGAACGCCTTTGATTATGATAGGCAGTGAGGTATGGCGCGCGAGCCACTGTAGCGTATCGCTCCAGTCCAGATCCGATGCTGGTCCTGAGACCGATGGGATCGCAACACTTACTCCTGAAGTTGGTGTAGATACTTCCTGTACTGGACTTGGATGTCCTTTATGCACTTCATCATACGGCTCGAACCCTCTGTCGCCCAGCTCATGCTTACCCGGAACGGGCTCGTCGACAGTCAGAACAATGCACTTTATCGCAGGGATCTTATTAACCCTGGCTAGAACCGCCTCGCTCTCGCTGCGATCGTTCTGGACATACAACTGGAATCCGAAAATTTGCTCAGGTGCTGCTCCTGCGACAGTCTCCTCCGGGGTCATGGATGCATTGTTCGAAATGATATGCATAGCGCCGAGGCCAGCACATGCGGTGGAAATTCCGGCTTCACCAGCCGGGTGTGCCAGGCGAACCATTGCCATGGGTGACACAAATAAGGGGAGTCCGACTGTATTGCCGATGATTGTAGTGGTCAAATCGCATTCTTTGACGCTGGCGAGGATTCGCGGCCGGAGGAGGATTGAACGGTAGACTTCTTGGTCCAGGTGTTTTGAGATCAAGTCGCCTGCGGCTGCGTAATTGAAGCGCCATGTTCGTCTGTCTAGCTGTGCTGTGGCAAGCTTTTCCATGTCATTCAGGTTGTGAACCGTTTCCATCAGGGGTGGCCCGTCACGGTAGTCTCGTGTCGAGGGTTGAATTCCGTTCTTTATTCCGGTCATCGTTGATTAGTGCGAGAGGAGGTTAGCTGTGATAATGTTAAAAATTAAAACGGGCATGACAAGGATAGAAATACCTTGGTGACTCCCTGCACATCGCATATCGGCTGTAGTCGGCATCCTGGATCCAGTCGGCATTGGACCATTTAGCAGGGGCGGCTTTTGATCAAGCTTTAATTTGAACGCTATAATATGGAGCCGGACTCATGGCCAGTGTGGATATATTTTGGTGTGTTGGACATAAACAATTGCCATTCAGCAGAGATTAGCTAGTACTCCATGTACATTATATAGTCTACTCTGCCGAGACTAACGCCTTGACACGTCGGATGTCCCAGGACTCTGCTCAGACCGCGTCTTCAGAAGATAACTGTCTACATTCGCCTCCTCATCCCTCGACTGCGATCGACAACTCTCCCCAGCATCCGGAACTGTGCCATTCTTCATGACATACGTCTCAAAATCATAATATTCCTTCCCCTTCTTCAAAAACTCCACAACCGCAATCCCAAGAAGAACAACCGCCGTGGTCTGCCCAAAGTCCCACTCATTCTCGTGCTTCATTTCGCCCTCGAATTTACCCTCGTTTGCTATCCGCAGCGCAATCGTCATATACAGGTGTAGCGGGAACTGGAGGTACGACAGAATCAGGATCCCACGTCTTAGCCTGACGCCGCCGAAGATACTGAATAGGAGAACGACGACGAGCCAGCTGGCGGTTGTGCCGACGTAGGTCTCGTCTGCACCGGGGTGGGAGGCTGTGACGCTGGTAACCAGATGTGTGTAGTAGCATCTACCAGGCGCGGTGTCAGGAGCCCATTCATGGAGACGGATACAAAGGAGAATAGTAAGGGCGATGTAGAGTGCTGTAAAGAGGAATGCAGCTCGCGAGCGGTCATTCCAATAGAAACTCCGCAGGGAGTCCCGTTTCGACTTTGAAGGAGGACTTATACTTGTATCAGAGGGATCAAGCTTCGCGCGGCAGTATTTCCAGCAGACGAGGGCTGCTGTGTTGGATACGCCGACGAAGCTGACAATGTCGAAGACGACGTGCAGGTGGTATGTATCCATGATCTGGGCCTGGCTGAAGACGGTGACCATGTATGCTATGCCGAGTGTTGTTTGAATATCGGACCCGATCATGAGGATGTTCGATACGAAGTCGAGCCGTTTGTGCTCGATCTCGCGCTTGGGCGTGCCTTCTGGGTGTGTGAGGTCGATGTTGCCGTGGGTCGTTAGGAAGAACACCCATGCTGAGAGGCCGAGAGATAACGCTGCTTGACCGACGAATCCTATAAGAATCTACTATTATTAGCATTGGATGGAGTAGTGGGAAGGTATACAAACCCCATTGCCGACCAATGGACTCATCGCCTCGCCCACCAGCTCACACTCAGCATATTCTCTTTTCCAGAAGTCCATTGTCAGATCGAGCACAGTTGTAAGATGGAAGAAAAACTTCACCTGGAGGGAAGCTTGGTTGCCGTCTTATACATGGCCGATCGCATCCAAGCCCCTCGAGAATGCCTTGTCAGAGCTTTACATCGAGTGTTCCTATTGGTCCTGCATCTGGACTACCCTAACAGGTTTAGTTCTAGCCCTACAATGACGCTTAATTCCAATGTTGTTCAGCTCAGCCGCAGGCGTTTCCCCCCTATTTCGTTCAGCCCCCACATAAAGACGTGTCTCGCTTTCAGCTCTGAACGATCTTATCTGTTTAAGCCTTTAATATACTCAAATCTTACTCCACTGGAACTAGAGGTCGGGCTTGAAGAATTCAAGCTCTCCTTCACCGACACTGCGGCTTGGCTGTGGCAGTTCATCCTGACTCCACAATGCAGTTTTTGGTCTTTAATCATTTAATATACTGTATCGCTAGGCCACAGCAAAGGCATCGTCCACCCGCAGGCGAGCTACAGATATATAGAAATCCTACTAATGAAACCTTGTCACTTGCTATTCAAAGTATGTATAAAGGTAGTATGTACTCTACGCAAATTGAATAAAGTCTATGCATGACGACATGCGGAAAGCATATCCCATATCTCTCGCACAAAGAACCTTTCTCTTCATTCAACCTCGCCGAGAGAATAATTTCAGTACGGTAGACTAACAAATTGAAACACGATGTGGTGATTTACACAGCTTGCTAGTTATCTCATCCGATGGATATGGTTTTCAAACGAGGACAAAACCTCTGTGCCTGAAGAGTCCGCTGACAGCGAGAGGGAAGCGATGGACGATAGCAGCAGTGATACTCCCAGGCCAACGTATGAAGACTACGAGCCCACTCTGTCAGAGGTCTGCGAGATGTTCAACCTGAAGCATCAGGAGACGCCCACGCTCAAGTGCCCGGCTAAGCACCACATATCCGTTCCACCAGAACTCGGTAACACTTCCCCTCCGAACTGGAAACAATGGATTGTCAACTTATCAGCCCAACAGATAATGTGATTGTATCCGCGGGAATACGGCGGAGGCAAAAAGGCGGGTATTGCAACAGTGTGTGGACCGGGAAGTGGAACAGTTCGGAAGAGCCTTGTATAAGCGTCGCGGGCGAATGGAGATCTCAGAGGGTCACATGCGAAGCTCAGCAAAGGCGTGCACTATGCGTTCCACAATATGGCAGGCGAGACACTGCAAGAAGCTTAGTTCAAATTTCTACATGACTAGTTTGGCACGGCAAGTTCAGTGACGGTGTTGGGGTATGGAACGGCTCGATATTAACTAGGCTATAATGATGGAAGCAAATACAAGATCACTGTGTCGGATTATTCCAGATATTGTTACTCAATCATCAACATCGCGAGGTTCATGATCCTTCCAGTACTTCTGGTACTCCTCCATAGTCTGGCTGGGAATGATTTGATAGCGAGTGAGCGGGGCCACTGGAATGCCCAGATGGTCCATCTTCTCGAGTCGATCCCGAGTAACAGGATGACTCCTGTTAATACTGTAGACACTGATTCTATGCGCTGAATGCGTAACATGCAGCCCCCAGTTCCAAGCCGCGCGGACATCCAACGGCTGCGTGTTGATCGCATTGTCCCAGCATCGGCAGACAATCTCGATCCAACCTTCGACATCACAAGGCAGGTCGAATTCCCATGTGCGCCAGACCCAGCGGCCCTTCTTGGACAGCTGCTCTGGGGGCACGTCGTACCAGCTAAAACCGCCGTCTGCGGAGAGCTCCACGCGTTCTGGCCACCGACCACCGCCAGAGTATGCCCAGCCTTTGCATTTGATCTTGCCGCTGTGGATGATAGCTTGCTTGTTCCAGGGCGACATGATGGCCGAGCTGACGGGCATCTCCTGGATCTGGATTCCGTCCGTTGGGCGTTGGTTGTACTTTCCCACCTGCTGGTTGAAGTACAGGTACTCCTTGCTCTGGACAGGAGCAAGAGATGGGTTCTCAATTGCTTTTATGCGATACAGCCACTTCACGCTGCGAGCTCCGATATAGCCCAGAACTACCACACGGAGAGGATAGCCGTGGATCTTGGGCAGAGGCTCGCCGTTCATCTCCCAGGCTAGGATCACCTCGTTGGCCTTGACCTTGGACCAGGGCACGCTGACGAGGTAGTTCATCACCTCTAGGTCTTTAACATAGGTCTCGGCACCGTACAGCTCGAGGTGCTTCGCGGGAGCAATAAGACCTCCGCAATCCTTGATGAGCTTTTTCAAACTGATGCCTTTGTATCGTGCAGTGCCAATTGCCCCTTCAGCCCATGGTGCCTGAGGAACTTCATCGCCCTGTCCACCGTACCGGCTGATCTGTTCGATCCGTCGAGTTCCCGAGCACTGGATCGTGACGGTCTTCTCCATCTGCGGGAACCGACTCTCGTCCTGGATATCGTCCAATGTATAGCTCTGTGGATGACGGACCAGGCCATCTAGTGAGAGACTCCATTTATCTTTCTCGATCAGTGGGATGCCGCCGTGGTTACGCACAAAGTGCAGCGGGTTCGGGGTGATGGCCTTGGACGTGACCAGGCGTTTGGGCGGCTCGCCATTATATGGGAACTGGAGTAGATGCAACATATCAGGGTGTTTCTCGCGGAGGACAGTATTCCATGAATCCTCTGCTACACTTGCCAGCTCGCCTCCGAGGGCTTCGTGCCATGCTTTGAAGTCGTCGCCCGGAAGAACTGGGTTCGAGTCTGGGATGGGTCCGAACATGAAATCGGGGCTGGGGTCGAAGGTCTGGCTTGTAAGGATCTTGTGGGCCTGTTCCTTTTTCTCGGGGTACTTTTCCCACTCGACGTATCTATACCATGTCATGGTTAGCGGTTGAGGATCCAGTTGGGGGATGCTGGCTTACCCTCTCCAGCCCGGCAATTCCCTTTTGAACAGCTCATCACGATTCCCCACGGCATCGATGGCATGCTGATCTTTCACCGGATGGCGATACTTGGGAGGGTAGATGTTGACTAGCTCTTTGCCGCTCACGTCGAGGATGGGCAGTTTGTGGCCGGAGAGGCCCTGCTCAATCTTCCACTCATCGGGTCGGTTTGTAGTGTCCAGCTGCAGAGGAAGGACTGACATTGTCAAGCAAGTTTGAGAATCAATAGACAATGCAATTTTATGATATGAAGCACAAAACAAAGGAATATTCTGAAGCCGATATATCCGGGTAACTTATACCAACAACCTGGCCGGAAGCGGAAACAATAACATGGACGATCGGCGGGGACTGATCTGAGTTTCAAACATTCCAACCCCGCAATGTATTGGACGTCATTGTCCGGAGTCTGTCTTGATACGAAGTGTGGAATGTGACGACTGCCCAGCCCTCGCGAATACTAGATGCGTCGTCCTGCTACCAATGTTATCGAGAATTGAGTTTTATGAAGCCTGTCACCAAAAGCGTAACACTAGGGAACGAATAGAAGTGCCCCGATTTGATTCGATTCGATCCTCGATTCTGGACCGTCTCGCAGGATGGCGTACCCAGGTCCATCACAAAGTCTAATGGAGTCCCTGCTGTGCTGAAGATACACCAGCGACAGCTGGATGTCGGAACCAGGTGGGAGTTCTTTTTTTTACATACAGCTAGGTGATTGCTATATTTAAATGCTGTGTGCCCAACTAAATCCGAAGCTTGGCCAAGATTGAATTGTAGTTAATCGTGAAGACACTGACCATGGGAGAAAGTGCCGAGCAAAAGTACTACACTCTGGCTGAAGGTATTTTTAGACACCTGAATTGAATTCAACTCCCAGCCACAGATAGCTCACCTCTTCAAGGATGCCCCTTCGCCAGCAATGCCACGGCATTGGAGTTACGCAGCGGCAACGCCGCTCTCGGTCTGCTGCAGGACACGCAGCTCATCGAGACACTTGCCCATTTCTCTCGGGAACGAATTCCGGAACGGTACGTGGAATTGCGTTGTCAGAGGTACTGGCCGAGCCTTTGAGTCTAATAAACCGTGTTGTTTCCAGGGTTGTGCATGCCAAAGCCGCAGGGTCAGGGCCCTTGTATCCCTTGATGCACAGAGCAGGGTTAACAGTGCGATAGAGCATATGGCGAATTCACTGTGACCCGCGATTGCACGGACATTACGTCTGCAAGCTTTCTTAACCGCGTTGGCAAGACAACCCCAGTTCTGTGGCGGGTGTCGACTGTTGGCCCTGAAGCTGGGTCTGCGGACACGACGCGCGATGTCCACGGCTGGGCGATGAAGCTGTATACAGATGAGGGGAACTTGGACTGGGTGTTTAATAATACTGTATTTCAATATCAAATTTCCAAAAAGCCTGTTCTAACGCCGATGGCAGCCTGTGTTTTTCATCCGGGACCCGATCAAGTTTCCCTCTGTGAACAGATCGCACAAGCGGCATCCGCAGACTCATCTTCCTGATTCTGACATGGTATGCCAAATTCCATTCCTAGACTAGTATCTGGAAGGGCGGAATGGCTAATCGTCTCAGTTCTGGGAGTAGGTGTCAGCACCCTATACTTTGGCAGCATTCTCACTGTGATAGCTTCCATTCTGGAAATCCAGAAGGATTCCACCAGCTCATGCATTTATTCAGTGACAGGGGAACACCCGCGTCTCTGCGCCACATGAATGCCTACAGTGGTCACACTTACAAGTTCACAACCGCAGATGGAGGGTTCAAGTATATCAAAGTCCATGTTAAGACAAATCAGGGAGTGAAGAACTTCACAGCCGAAGAATCCCAGCGCATTGCCGGCGAGAACCCTGACTTCTTGATCCAGGATATGTTTGAAGCTATTGAGCGAGGGGACTATCCCACTTGGACTGTATATGTGCAAGTCATGGATCCTAGCGAGGCCGACAACTATCGGTGGAATATATTTGATATGACCAAGGTCTGGCCGCATCAGGACTTTCCGCTTCGTGAGATCGGGAAGTTGACCCTGAATCGCAATGTATGTCGTCTGCCCGTCTATAGAAAGGCATCGAAGCTGATATTATATACAGCCCAACAACTACTTTGCGGATATTGAGCAAGCAGCCTTTTCTCCGTCCACTATGGTACCAGGATGGGCGCCCTCCGCTGACCTAGGTATGTCTCCTCCTCCCTTTACCTCTTGCATAAACAGGTACTCTAACATTTTTATAGTCCTGCAAGCTAGACTATTTGCGTACTCTGACGCAGCTCGATACCGCTTGGGCGTGAATTACCAGATGCTCCCTACAAATGCAGCCAAGTCGCCGGTGTACTGCCCCTTCCAGCGCGACGGCAAGATGAACTTCTCCAGCAATTACGGGGGTGACCCTAACTACGTTGGCTCTTCGCTGAAGCCAACGTGCTTCTATCAAGATGTCAAGGGCACGGGTCCGAAAGCCCACAGTCTGCACACTGAGCATGAGAAGTGGGTTGGCGAGGTTGTGACTTTTACAAGTCATATAACAGATGATGACTTTGAACAGCCTGCTGCATTGTGGGAGGTAATTAAAAAGGAGCCGGGTCATGAGCAACGGTTCTATAATAATATCGCTGGTCATTTGAGTAAGGTTAAGAATGATCGGCTGCGAATGGAGGTATACCGTGGGTTTATCCATTCCTTCTTCGTAACGATCGAGAAGCTGACTACAAGTATAGACTGGTTTGGTCGAATTCATCCAGAGCTTGCGGACGGTATCAGGAAGGCTACCATGGCAGCTATGGAATCGTAATTCAGATGTCACTAAAATGCTAGGTTCCGTTATGTTATTGCTTGTCGTGGTATTAGTATTCATAATGGAACTACTGTTCAATAACCGCGTCGGAACTTCAATATTCAATTGCAATAACCAGTCTGGAGTATAGTAATTGACAATAACTCAGACAACAACCAGAGGGTCAGCACGCGCTGGCTTCACAACATCAATACGCATGCCTGGCCGAATCGAACCCCCCTGCTTTACTGTAGCCATAACACCAGCCAACCGTCTAACAAAGTGATTCTTCAGGCCAGGTCGCACCTTATCAATCCCGGGGCCAGGGTCACGCAGACCCGTCAATACAATAACTGCATTATTCGTCGCATCCCCCGGCCCAACGAAATGGACCTCAGTCCCGCGCGATAGCGTGGCCAAATCGATCCCCTCGGTCGTTATGTTCTCGCCGATGTCTCCAGGTGAGAGAGCCTTCCCGCCGACTTTGGCTGAGACCTGTCGCAGACTCTCGACTGGGATAACATGGACCTGGCGGAGGTTGGGGGCGTCTGGGTTACTCTGGCGAAGGGCTTGGTGCTGGACGCTTCTTCCGGCGTGGCAGTCGCCTTGTACGCCTAGTCCGGGGACGAGGGTGATTGATGGGACTGGGAATTTGGAGTTGCTGTGCGAGGAGGATTTTCCGACCGATAGCACGCGTGGCTGGTTGGGTTGGGTGGTGGATAGAGTTGTCTTGGTGGAGGTGACTGTAGTTGTCGCCATGTTAACTATGCGGGAGCCGTTTTATGAAGGGCCATATGATGGGAAAGTATAGAAACATGCGGTTGAATATTAAGGGAAGGAGACAGGTTTCAGGAGTAAAACCAGGGCAGCAGGACGTTAATAAATATCCCACTCGTCTCATGAAAGCCCAGCCCGCAATGTGGCAATCCTAGTGGTTGGTATCAAGCCAGGCCAGCTCAGACACAAAGGCATTGCGCTATAGGAAAAGTCAATTGTCCAAAGGCACCACTCAGAGACATTCATTAGAACGGCCACCCCCCTACTGGACGCATGTCCCCTCATTGTTGGTATACCCCGCTCCATATGCCAATCATTCAATATACTAATTCCAGGGTCTTGATATGACAGATCGCATAGTTCAGAACAGTGACGTGCACGGATCTTATGGCGTGGTTTGTGCAGGCAAGCCTGGTGTTGGGCCTCAATGCATGACTGGGTGCGAGAAAGCCAAGCGCAAGAGTAGACTTAGTTACAGTTCAGCTTTCTCTTTAGCAAGCAGCCGCCATTCAGTAAATACAATGTCTAGCCAAGAGCATGGACCAGGAGATAGGGCAACACCATCAAGAGCCGGCCCCACCTACGCCGGAGATGGTTCAGTATAACAATCATAATATGGTGTACTAGCCCGTAAGTAGTTGTGCAATTCGTCAATAGGGCTATTTTATATCCACTGGAAAGCAAACAATCTAGGACCCGGCCATCTCAGTCCACGATATCTGACTCAGACGTAATCCTCCTGGGATTTTGGTCCCAAATAGCGCCGCCTCCAACAAAAGATTTAAAGGATTGTGGATGCCTTTGGAGGCAGCTTGATCGAATATTTTACCCTTGTGCAATAAAGCCCAGCAACAGCCCAGCCGGTGCGAGGGTCGTTTAAATATAGACTAAGCCTGATTAATTTGCAGTAATTAGTACGAAGCTCCTTCAACACTTGAATAAATTCCATCGCCCCGGCATGAACCAATAAGAATACTCCTAAACTTTGTTATCAATTCGGGAACGAATTCCGGAACGGTACGTGGAATTGCGTTGTCCGAGGTACTGGCCGAGCCATTGAGTCTAATAAACCGTGTTGTTTCCATATCCCCTAATTTTTGATAGATGAGATCTTTACACCATTAATAAACAGGCCCTTCCTAATTAGGAAATGTTGCAAGGCTTGGTTATCAAAACATGATGACACAAGAGTTAAGGGAACTCAGACTTCTTGTTTAATTTGCAGACGGAAATGTACATGGGGGTCATTGCATATTATTGGGAAATAAAGACGAGTAAAACACGAACTGCAAAACAGAATGTGAGGCATTTAAAAACAGCATTCGCGGTGTTTGTTCTATACCACTCACCTGGATATTTCCCCGGATTTGTGGGTCCGATTGGATCGAGAAACTCCGGGGATTGGGGGCCCGTGCAAGCGAGTTTGGGGGCCAATTCAAGCACGGATTCTTTGCAACGCTAGTATTCGTGAAAAGTGTCCGAGCAAGTAAGCGAAGCCGGATCTTTTCGTCCTAAGGTACCGATCTCGCTCAAGGATTACTTTTCATTAAGTGAAGGGGGCCAAATGTACCACTCAAGGACTGTGTTCCTTCTCAATTGCCTCATTATACAGATATCCTTTTGCCAATCCATTGTTCCCTAGCAATCAATACCTCCAACCATGAGAGTCATGAAGATTTAAATATTCGACTGCGAAATGAAGTGTCGTGACTAGGGGCACAGTTTAATTTGCTATGATTCTATTTACCAGTCCCGACGCTAATTATGCACTAAGTAGTGGGATACCTTGCCCTTCCCTACATAATATACGGGATGAGATGCCTTTTCGGGTTCCTTTCAGGCAATGGGCGGGCCTGGGGCAATGACGAACATATGCTTCGGAATAGCCTGCCTCTCCAGATAGGGACTGGCGAGGAGGATGGACAAATATGGGGCCCCAGAATGTCGCTGCAAGCATTATATAAACCCATGGATACCTCCCAAAATACAGCCAACAGTATCAAGTTAGATACGGAGTTTACAGAGAGTAGGGACCTACAACATGCTCGCCTTCACTGCTTTCTTTATCACTGCGTGGGCAACAGCCCATGCAGCTCCAGCCTCGAATGTCCCTCCGACTGCAACAGTTCGAAACGGTACCTATGTCGGAGTACACAACAGTGCTTATGAGCAGGACTTCTTCTTGGGTATGCCCTATGCTCAACAACCCGTGGGGAATCTACGCTTCACCGTGCCGCAGCCATTGACTGAGAGTTGGGATGGCACACGCGATGCGAAGGCGTACTCCGATATTTGTGTTGGATATGGCGTGAGTTATTCAACCACACTTTCCCCTAAGTTCCTACACTAATGATTCGGAAGGTGGACTCTATTTTCTATCCCCAATCCGAAGCATGTCTGACTATCAACGTGATCCGTGGCTCGTCGGCCCACGAACATTCAAAGCTGCCTGTGGGAGTTTGGATCTATGGCGGTGGCTTTAACCAGGCATCGGGGGCAGACGAGCGCTATAACATGTCTGCTATGGTAGAAAACTCTTACAACATTGGTATGCCTATGGAAAATGAGACTTCCTGGTGCACAGCTCTCTCTAACTTTGCCGCCCAATAAGGAAAACCCTTCATCGCGGTCACATTTAACTACAGACTCTCGGCTTGGGGGTTCATCAGTTCCAGCGAGGTCTGGGGCAGCGGGAACACAAACCTTGGATTAAGAGACCAGAGACTGGCCCTCCAATGGGTCCAGGAGAATATTGCAGCATTTGGTGGAGACCCTGAAAAGGTTACTATTTGGGGTGAATCAGCCGGTGCAATCTCGGTAGGTTACCATCTAACAGCATATGGAGGTCGAGACGACAAATTATTCAGAGCTGCAATAATGGAGTCTGGGGGTTCTATCAGCCCATCTCCTGGCAACTACACGGCCTTTCAGTCTATTTATAATGATCTGCTCTCCAAAGTGAATTGCCAGAATGTGGTCGATTCTCTCCAATGCCTGCGTGAAGTGCCGTTTGAGAAACTTAATTCTGTTCTGAATGGGACAGATGGTTTGTCTAAGTATAACTTCAAGCCAGTTGTTGACGGTGACTTGCTTCAGAACTGGGGAAGTATTCACCTGGACAATCATGAATTCGTCAAGGTGCCTATTATCGCCGGAACTAATACTGACGAGGGAACCGAATTTGGACCATCTGGAATTAATACCACGGATCAGTGGTATGATTTTCTTACTGGTAAGAACATCACAGCCATACACATATTTTATCCAAGGCTTACCTTTCTAGATGGGGGATTTGATTTCCAAACTCCACCCTCCGTGGCTAAGCAGATCCTCCGACTCTACCCTGACGATCCATCGCAGGGGATCCCGGCATTCCTGGGAGATAAGAGAGTCCCCTCGATGGGAAGCCAATGGCGACGCACAACAGCTTTCGCAGGTGATTTTGCAATGCACGCGTGTCGTCGACGACAGTGCGAGGCCTGGGCGGAAGCCTCCACACCTGCATACTGCTACCGATTCAACGTGCATACTCCTGACGTGCCGCTTCTCATGGGTGCAGGCCATTTTGAAGAAGTGGCTTTTGTCTTCCACAATATCGCTGGACTTGGCTACAATATTGGATACCCATACACTGGAAAGCCATTTGCTGGCGTGCCGCAGTCTTATATTGACCTGAGTTCTATGATGACCAGCATGTGGGCTTCGTTCATTCATGATCTTGATCCCAATTCCGGCGTGGTGAATAAGTCTGTTCATTGGGAGGCTTATGCGAATGACAACCCGAGGGATCTCTTCTTGGATGCAAATACAACTAGTCATATGGAGCCAGATACCTGGCGCAGTGAGGCAATTGATTATATCAACTCGGTAGCCCGCGCGTTCTGGAGATAGGCTGCACGACCCTTTCTATGTTGTGGAACACGCTCCACACAGCTTCGCTCTTTACCAACCAGCTGTACGTATGAGACAGTTAGTCTAGCACAAGTTAATTGTCTCCTAACTGCGTGTGAACTGCAGTGGTATCATTAAAATCTTAAGGCAAATCTATCTAATTCGCTTGGTACGGTGAAAGGATGTGTTATCCATGATAATTATGGAATTTGGCTCCAGCTATCTGTTACAGTGCTGAAGAAGTTACTTAATATAATCCTTAAAAATGCGAGTGTCAGTTGATCCCTGAAATACTCGGGACAGGAGGACACCCTCTTGAGTATAGGCAGGTAATATTTGATAGTATTAGCTGCAGTAGAACTTGGAAACCTGGACCAGCATTATACCAAGAAGGGACCAGCCAGTTCAGTAAAAGCCTGCCCTCTTATCACAGCCCGACTTATTCATATAGACCAGCTGATATGATGAATAAGATAGGCCGTACAGGTAGTAGTCTTGTAAGTCTGGTAAGTCTGTATTTTATTTCTTGGTAATTTGTCGAGCTGCCTTCTTCAACCATCTAATAGCCGGTGCGAGGGTCGTTTAAATGTAAACTAAACCTGTAAATATCCCTGAATCGTCGATTTATTTGGATTTTTCGAATTGAAGACATCGTCTGGATGTAAAGTCCGTCCACCAGCTTGAGCTCGCTGCCCACATCGACCAAATCCACAACGCACTGATTAGACTGATTAATTGGTAGTAATTATTACGAAGCTCCCTTCAACACTTGAATAAATTCCATCGCCCCGGCATCAACCAATAAGAATACTTCTAAATTTCGTTATCAATACGGTTGCCCTAACTGGGGACCTTGGGATAGTCAAACCAGGTACCTTGGAGATCTTGCCGACGAATCACATCAAGGTAAATGTCATTTCCCATGCTCCATAAACACCTCCATACTACATTCGATGCATGAATGCCAGGAATACAGTGTTGGGATACGTTGGCGAGATACCTTGGGGGAATACTAAGGGTTTCAACAGTGTGAGGTGGTATATAAGCTGAGAAGCGCACAATTTAATTAATTTTGAATCTTTTCTCTACTCTACTTTTTCTAGATATTGAATTCATTCAGCTTCTTGCAAAGAGAGCAGAATGATTGCTAAAGACGAAGAGGCTCGCCAGCTCCCTGTTACCCTTCTCTCGGGGTTCCTGGTATGCCTACCACCTTCCATAGGTAATATGAGACATTCTAACAGACAAAGGGGAGTGGTAAAACCACACTCCTAGAACATATCCTCAAGTCACCTTCTCATGGCCTCCGCATTGCAGTCATCGTAAACGACATGAGCTCGTACGTCACCACCTCCTACATAATGCAATGCCCGGCTAACCATTCATCCAAAGACTGAACATCGACGCCGCCCTGATCACCCACCACAAAGTCTCCCAAACAAAAGAAAAACTCATCCAGCTCCAGAACGGGTGTATCTGCTGTACACTCCGGGGCGATCTCCTCGCCGAACTGGCCCGACTGACCAAGAAGCAAGAGGTCGACTATGTCGTTATTGAGAGTACGGGTATCAGTGAGCCAATGCAGGTTGCTGAGACCTTCACTGCCGAGTTTAGCACGGCGATGCTAGAAGCCGAGGGCCAGATGGAGGGGATGGACGTGGACAAGGAGAACGGTGTAGAGATGCAGATGGATGAGGATGATAAGAAAGTTCTTGAGGAGATGTATGCCCCTTTACCCACCAACACGTCCACATTAAGTCTGTATATATACTGATCTGTGTAGAGCAAAAATGGGCGGCCTGCACACCATCGCCAAACTCGACACTACCGTCACCGTCATCGACACGTTCAACCTGTTATCGAACTTCGACACGGCCGAATTCCTCTCGGACCGGTACGGCAGCGACGCCATAATCCCCGAAGATGAGCGAACCATCTCCGACCTCATGGTCGACCAGATCGAGTTCGCAGACGTGCTGATCATGAATAAGATCGAGGCGGTGGATGAAGCCACCAAGGCTAAGATCAGACGGCTTATTGGACTCTTAAACCCCGATGCTAAACTCATTGAGACATCATATAGTCGCGTCGATGTGACTGAAATTATTGGCACGGGCAGGTTTAATTTCCTCAAGGCTGCTAGTGGTGCTGGCTGGTTGAGGAGTCTGCATGAGATGACGGTCATGACGACGGGGGTTGGGAATAGGGTTGCTCCTCGGCCGGAGACATTGGAGTATGCTCTTTCTACCTAAGTATTGGGAATTATTACTGACGACGCAGGTATGGGATTAACAACTTTGTCTACTCGGCCAGAAGACCGTTTCATCCCCGTCGGCTGTTCTCGATGATCCACGACAAGTTCATCCTGCTGCAGTCGACGAATGCGCATGATCACGGAAATGGGGACGACGACGAAGATGATGAAGAAGATGAGGAGGAGGAAGGGGAAGAAGAAGAAGAGAGCGACGCCGAAATAGACGACTTCGACCAACCAGATCAAGACTTGATTCTATCCAACAAACGCAACAGCGAAGCCTTCGGCCCCATCCTACGCTCAAAAGGCTTCTTCTGGCTCGCAACCCGCCCCATGCATTTCGGCGAGTGGAGCCAAGCTGGCGGTATGCTCACCGTTGGACCTGGTGGGCCGTGGTTCGCAGAGGTGCCGGACGAGGCCTGGCCTGAGGATAAAGATGTGAGGGAGTCTATTGAGAGGGACTTCCAGGGGAAGTGGGGAGACAGACGCCAGGAACTGGTGTTTATTGGGGAGGGGCTGAACCCGGAGGCCATTACGAAGTTGTTTGATGAATGTTTGCTTGATGACAAGGATATGAAGCGGTGGGAGCAGGTTATGGGGAGTAAGAAGTTGAGTAGGGCTCAGAAATGCGACAAGCTGGGGGGTATGTGGGAGGATGGATGGGAGGACTGGCCTGATGGTGAGGACTTGGAGATATAATATCTGGAGTAGATGAATGAATTCAAGTATTAATCGCATTACTATGACTCTATTCACAATTGCAACTAGCTATACAGGGTAATCAGTAAAGAGTGGAGTGCAGCCTCAGCATGCACATATAGTTTAGTGGACGTCTACAGGGGCATTCCCCAGCGAGGCGCATTGATGATAATCCCAACCAGGCAACCGGAGATAATACCAGTAACAGGCAGGGTAATGATCCAGCCCATATAGATCCAGGCAACCATACGCCAGTTGATCGTCCTCCAAGTACCGTTGCAGAGACCAACACCGACAGTGGCACCGGTGATACATTGGGTGGTGGAGACAGGCAGCTTGAGCTTGGTGGCCATGATGATGGTAATTGCAGAGCCCAGTTCCATGGTGAAACCACGCGAGGGTGAGTGCAGAGTGATACGGTTACCCAAGTTGCGCATGATGTTGTAGCCGTACGTCCATAGACCGATGACGAGGGACGCGCCACCAAAGGCACTGTTTTATTAGCATAAGCACAAGCAATTCAGAGCAGGGGACGTACAGAATCCAGTAGGGAACATCAGCTTCCGAACCATCTCCACTAAGACCGCCGGAGTTCCAGACGGCGTAGATGGTGGCATAGGGGCCGACGGCGCTAGTTCTATTAGCATCCTAATCATATCATAGAGGACAAACGTACTTGGACAGATCATTGGCACCGTGGGCGAAAGAGGCAGTACAAGCAGTGAGGACCTGGAGGAAAGAGAACATGTACTCGGCGCGGTTCTCGTAGTGTTCGGCGTGAGCGTGGGTCATTTCGATATCGCCAGTGAGGAGGTTGCGCTTGTTCTGCATAGCGACAACGTCCTGCTCGATACCGCGGAACAACGCTCGCTTGATGTACCAGAAGATGACCAGCGGGTGGAAGTTGCTTCCCTCAGGACGGGGTCCAGTGATCACAATCGCATCGCTCTCTTGGTTGGCAGTGGCAGAGCTGGAGCTGGAGATGACATTGGGCTCTGGCTTGGGCTCGTCTGATGCACCATCACCAGTGGTCTTGGGGGCACCCTCCTCGTCATTGCCTGCAGCACGCTCGGCCTGAATCTCCTCCAACGTCTTGTGGCCGCGGTAGTAGTTCTGCACGGTCTTGACACCGTCAGGGCGAGGCGGTACTTCACCGCGGCGGAAGAGAAGGGGTCCCTGGAGTAGATGCCAGGGCTTCAACTGCCAGTCGTCGCAGATGACACGACGGTACAGCCAGGGGCAGAGGAAGATCGCTGAAAGGACTGCCATGACAGCGCCAGTTCCAACGACAGTTCCAGCAATCTCTCCTCCGTTGAGGTCGATTCTGCTGGAGCCTCCCTTCCACACGATGAGCACTAGAACTGTTAGCACCGTTCGATATTGGCATTGCTAACACTTACTAGCAAGAAGTGTACAGGTGATGAAGAAGTACACTGGAACAGTATACCAGGCCTTCATGGCAGGGTTACTCCGAAGAAGGACCGCATATTTGGTGGTGAGGAAGATGATGGACGCAAATGCAGCAGACAGAAAAGGCGCAATGATCCAGGCCAGGAAGACCTGGACAACCCCCGAGTTGATGTTTCCTCCCCACCAGGTCACATCGTCAGCGCCAACCAGAGCAACTCCCATGCCGATAACACCGCCCATGATGGAGTGGGTAGTGGAAACGGGGAGACCGATCCGGGTCGCGAAGGTGAGGTACAGTGAGGAGCCGACGAGAGCGCAGGCCATACCCAGCATGAGCAATGGTGCATTATCACCTTCAAAAAGTTTGGGATCGACGACCTTGGTCCGGATGGTATCAGCGACGGTGGCACCTACACCGATACTACTACAGTTAGCAGGGCCAGCTAAAACATGGGTCAAGCATACCCTCCGGCGAACTCCATGATGGAGGCCAGGATCATGGCCTGCCAGTACTTGACGGAGCGCGAGGACACCGAGGTGGCCCACGAGTTGGCGACATCGTTGGCACCGATGTTCCAGGCGTCAAGGAAGGCAAAGATGGTGCCAATGGCGAAGATGTAGTCGTACTGATGGAGCGGCATGGCGGTAGCCCTAACCAGGATATGCAAGGTGTGGACTAATCGGTATGAGGACTGAAGATCGACCGGTGCAGGGGCAACAGAATGTTATATACGGCATCACCGGGCACACTGTTAATTTCTGGGCATCTCCTGTTCGAGACAGGCTGAATCCAAGCGACAGCATGCGGCGATGCCCAGCACTGCCCAGACTCGCCAAGTCCCTCCGTCCCTCCTCTTGACCAGGGCGAAGCTCATTTGCGATGCTTAAATGGCCAATCGCAGGAACAGACTGGGGAACGTGTCCAGACTGCAGCCAACTCTGTGGTCTCGCTTTGGTCTGCTGTTCTGGTATAACTGCCCCTTCTCCTCGTATGTGAGTGTTGAGCCACCACGCCCGTCGTCTCTTGGCTGTCGGGCTTGCCAGGAGTTTTTCTACTGCAGACCAATCCGTGACGCTGTCTAAAGCATGCCCTCGCCAAAACGACTCGTCTGTCTCTCCTCTCGCTCGCTTCTGCCTTGTGGGCTGTCATCTGCCCTGGCGTTAGAAAGGTCTCGAAGCCGCCCACCATACTCGGGAATGTCACAGTTCAAGGACTTCATTGGATGGAAATATCAATTACTCCTTATTACTCCGTAAACTATGTAGGATTATCCTGTCGCGTGTCGAGCGCCCAGTGCAACCCTCAGCTGCGCGATCTCCCCCTGCAGGCTCTGGATGTATTCCACTGCTGCCTCCACCAGCTCGGCCTAATTCTCCGTCAGTTCAAGAACGTGGCTGTATACAGAGACGGGATTGGCCGTGCACTGCTGTCATACCTTCGTCCCACTGGTCCCTGCATGCACACGCCCTTCCAGGACATGAGCCATCCGGTCCAAGGCAGCCTTCAGCCGGTCCCGCTGTTGTTTCTGCGCCTGGGCGTGTTGTTTGCGCTTGAACTCTGTCGGGCTGGCCGAAGCCACGACCACGACCGTCCCTATCCTGTCAGCCTGAGGTCTTTCATGAGAATGGTCTGTAGTCATACCCTTCGGGCGCAGCTCAATGAGCCTTCCATCTGTAGATATAGACGATCGCTTTCTTGCTCCACGGCTAAGCATTGCAGATCGCTGTTGCTCGTTCGACATGATCAACGATGCTTGTTGTGCGCGCCAAGTTGTCCACTTCTTGGTCTTTCTTGGTCTTGATGATCTCAATGTCGAAGCTTAATCGAGAGGAAGTGTGGAGTTTATCTACTGTCAGCTCAAGGTGCTCGGGTCTCTTGCATGCCGCTCTTCACCATCAGACTCCTAATTACTCCGTGCTTATTGTGTTTATCTCTCCCGATCAAAGGCATAAAAACACGACTTCCACTGCATCTAGGCTCTACAATGTTTAGCCGCTTTACCTACAGGCAGTCCTCCATCTAGTATAACCTCGCCAGTGTTCCCCACTGCGAATACCACCCTGAGCCTTGAACCAGATTCTACCCATAATTAATTTCTCTCAGTCCCCCCATATACACAATTTACTGCAAGCACACGCGCTCTCTTGGCAGAGCTCTTGGCAGGCAATGTAACAATTGCTTCCACCTTGAGAGAGCTCATTTCCGCTCTAGTGGGCTCTCATAGCAGCAAAGTTCTATCGTGTCCACCATATCCTGGTCATGGTTGGTTCGAATGACTGGCTGATTAGACCGTTCAGCAGGGATAATCCCACGTGCGCAATATGAAGCTTCTATTGGAAAGCCAACGCACAATTTGCCGCGTTTTGTTTTGATATCTGTCTCCTATTATTGACCTCTTCACTTCAGTTCATTTCCGCCGTATCATTAAGGGGAGAAGCAGCTGGCAACACTTCTAGGCCGATCCTCCGTCCACGGTAAAGGCTTTCTTACAACAGCATTCGATTCATGTCTACAGTATCAGACACAACTAATAAGCATCTATACGCAATTTATTCTATCTTCATATCACATCTTACGGAAACTCTCCGTTTACTAGATAATTAATCAACATCATTACTATCCTATTGGCATTTGCTAATCAATAACAACTGCTCGCCCAAATTCCTCCCGTTCAGGGTCAGCAACCAATTCCTCCACATAGTCACGGTGGTCCCTAAAAAACCACAGCCTTGCAAAGCTCGTACACTGGCCTTCGGTCGGGATCTTCACCTTCCAGTCTCTGACATTGAGCCTTATACCGCTGAACAGCCCGTCCATGGTTCGCTGGTCAACGATTCCCTTTATCGGGAAATCAACCATGTACCAGAACGTGACGTACCCGTCCAGGGTCCTCGGACTGATGGCCCGATGCACCTTTATTTCTCGCCCCAGTGTCGGGTGGAAATCTGCCTCTACTTCTTCAGCAGGATCCTGGGCGGTGCGTGGGTCAAGCGGGTTCATTCGGGTGTGGAAGTAGAATATGACCGGGTAGACGGCTGGGTCGTCGCGGATGAGATACTCTTCCGGAATCCTGTCAGCTCTGTTGTTGTTGATGGAGTGGAGTAGTTGGCTGCATTGTGGGCAGAGGTTGTTGGTGGATGTGCAGGTTGCCATGTTGTTCTTCGTCTTGCTTGGTGTTCATACATCCTGGCCTGGTTTATATATATGTAAGAAATTGGCGGTTATACGTCTAGTTTATGCTCTTTGTTTCATACACTTTAAGACAAAGACCCAATGTAGCTTTGTACTCAATAATGCCCTATCTTACTCGTGAGACATTCATTCATATACAATCTATTATTCTTCATTCATATAATACTGGACTACTGGCGGATCCGACGGCGGCTCCGATCGCGGAACCGCCACCCAATTCATCTTCAGCAGCAAAGAATCAAGCCTCAATTCTATCCTGCCAACTATTGTCAAAATGTCTACACCAACCCTAATATTCATCCCCGGCTCCTGGCACAAACCCACCTGCTACAATAAAATTATAACCCCCCTCCAAAACCAGCACCACCTAAAATGCATCGCCATCACCCTCCCCTCAACAACAGGAACCCCAGCCGCGACATTCAAAGACGACATTGACGCCGCCCGCGATGCCATATCAACTGAGACAACAGCCGGCCGCAACGTCGTCGTGATTGCGCATTCCTACGGCGGTATGGTCGGGAATAGCGCAATCAAGGGGTTCACCCGTCCCAAAGAGACAGACGCCTCAAACCCAACCCAGGGATCCGTCATCGGCCTTATCCTTATAGCGTCCGGCTTCACATTCACAGGGCTAGCATTCATGGACCCCTTCTTCGGTCGTCCACCGCCCTTCTGGCGTGTCAATGCCGAAACGGGCTTTGCGGAGATCACAGCGGACCCGCGCGAACTCTTCTACCATGACCTCCCGCCTGAAGAGGGGGAGTACTGGGTCTCGCAGCTTACGTCGCAGAGTCTAAAGTCTTTATTCGAGGGCGGGGAGTATTCGTATTCCGGCTGGTTGGATGTGCCGGTGTGGTATATCGGGTCCATCGAGGACAGGGGGTTGCCGGTTGTGGTGCAGCGGATGCAGATGGGGATGGGGAGGGCGATGGGTGCTGATGCTGTGCATAGGGAGTTGAGGACGAGTCATTCGCCGTTTTTGAGCCAGCCTGAGGAGACGGTGGGGATTGTTTTGCAGGCTGTTGAAGCGTTTTGTGTCAAGGCTGGGGGGGTTGAGTTGGTGGTGGGTGGGCGTGATGCGAGTGATGCGGTTACGGCTGTAGAGGCCTCGCTTTGGAAGCCTGGGACGTGGGTTAAGTATGGTATACCCTTGGCTTTTGGGAATGTTATAGGGAAGTGTGTTCTCCTGTTTACCTGGGGGAGGAGGCTATGGAGAGGTCGTGGTTGATAGACAGAACTACGCTGCGGGTTCGGGTCATCCTAGCTGTAATCAATACAATCCTGACTCCCTGCCGTTTATAGTTCGTATTGATATCCTAGACCATCAGGGAGATGCACCTGATATCCTTAGTTGTGTATAACTCACTATGCAATGCAAATTCAATGTATAAACTGTGTCTGTGTCAGCACAACGGGTCTCTTGATTGGCAGCAAATAATAAACCTGCTTGAGGCAGCCAGACATCTACGCAGCTATAGCAAGCCTGAGTGTCAAGTATCCAATTGCTTGGGTGTTACTTCATTTAGTGTGTCATCTAATTTATTTTATCTTTCGTGATTCCACAACGAACATATGACGTTGAAGAGTGTCATCGGCAATACATATATCCCACTAGACTCCATAATTTACTACTCATGAGTCTACAACATAATATGTTAAAGAAATGAATCAAGAAATAAGTAAGTAATAAATCCATAGCTCATATTATTAAACAATTCTAATATCTTCGACGCTAGCCAAGCTAAACACGAACACGACTAATCCACAGCTGCTCAACAGGCACAGCTAAGAGAAGAGAGAAGACGAAGATACGTTTGTGTACCAGTACGATATAATAGGGATGTCAGTTCCACAAGCATACCAGACAAGTCAGGTAAGGTACTAGGCGACGTTTACGCATCGTCCTCGGTGATCTTCTCAGTAACGTGCCCATCCTGCTGCACAACAACCTTGTCGCGGCGCTTAGATGCCTTAACGGGGTTTGGCTGCTGGTAGAGGTACTCGAGTTCCTCAAGTGTCCGACCTTGGGACTCGACACTGGTATCATTAGCAAACCCAAGTTATCTAGGAATATGTAGTATATGTGGATGGGGACATACGCGAAGAAATACCAACACACGGACTCGATAACATCCCAGCCCACGAAGATCCAGAAGTAGTTTGTGCTGATATTCTCGAGCGCAATAGGCGAGGCGAACTGCGAGATGAAGCTGGTGCCGCTGACGAGGAAGCCGGATAGGGCGAGACCCTTGGCACGCGTGGTGGTTTCCAATGCTTCTGCGGGAACGACACCTTGCAGGGGAGTGTAGGTGAAGGAGAAGACGACCTGGAAGAGATAATAGAAGGTGAGAGCTGTTCGGCCGAGAGTTGGGTCGACGGCGCCGGCCTCGCGCTGGGGGATCATGGGCTGGGAGACACCGGCGTTGACTGCCATGCAGAGGGCACAGGCTATATATAGTTAGCATTAGATTTACATTGTATTAACGGGAACGTACCAAGTGTTCCCCAAACAAGAACTGTTCGACGGGGCATCCTGTCACAGAAGTAGACCGCCGTGAGGGCGGCAATGGCGCCCACGATGGAGTTGACCAGATTAAGCAGGAGCTGCATTGAGCTGGATGTGTATCCGAGGGTCTCGTAGATAGCCGGGTTGAAGTATCCAAGACCGTTTCCTGACCATTGACCGAAGATGGAGATCATGATTACCTGCGCGAACCGCCAGCGGCCACTGTGCGACATGATAAAGGGTCGGTCTGTCACAGTTAGTACTCCGTAGATATTAGTATAGGATGGAGAACATACAGTCCCACCAGGTCTTGTCGATGCCATCTACACGAATACCCTCCTTCATCTCCTCGACTTCCAGACGCACCAGGCGTGCACTCGGGTCACCGTTGCCGTGGTACTTGGCCAGGATGGCAATGGCCTCCTCGTCGCGGCCCTGGGACATGAGCCAACGGGGAGATTCAGGAATGAACCAGACGGAGACGATCACGATGCAGGAAGCAAAGCACTGCAGGATGAAGGGCACACGCCACTGCCAGTTGCTGTCAATGAAGTTGCACCCGTAGGTGACGACTGCTGCTGGGATGGAGCCGCCGAACCAGCCGCAGTTGTAGAAGCCTACAAGATCAGAAATTACTCGTAGAGGATGTGAAGGAGCATACCAACTGCACGCCCACGCCAGTGGGGAGGCGAGATCTCAGCTGCGTAGGCCGGCGCAGACACGACCATGATCTGGATACCGAAACCAAGCACGAAGCGACCGACGATGAAGTGTGCCAGGGTGCTCGCAGTGGCAATCACGATAGATCCGATGATAATGACCCAGCCTCCGGCAAACATACACTTGCGACGGCCGAATCTGTCGGAGATGACGGCGGAGATGGGGGTTGCAACCATAGAGCCACTGACTTGTTAACGGTGATACTATCCAAACTTGAGCAGCACATACACTGTATACAGAGAGGTGACGACGGAGACCTTCTCGCCGGTCTTTCCAGTGTGGAAGGTGGCCTGGTAGTGGTCCATAGCGAAGACAGAGCCCATCAGGGAGCCTGCACTGTTAGTATACACTGATAAACTGGCAAGTAGACATACCATCGTATCCATTGGCACAGGCACAGCAGAATGCGACAAAAATACAGACTGTCTTGTTAGTAAATCATTTAACAGCCAGAGACTGGACCCACAGTATAGATGGATGGATGTCGCGCTCCACTTCTCGATCTGGGTCTCGTTGATGGCAGCATACAAGTCGGCCTATACATGTTAGGGTTGAGACAATTGTGCTAATAGTCAAGTACTCACGTTGTAGACGATCTTGGTGGTCGCCCCCGGCTTGTCGGCAGTCATCCTTGAGAGGACGGCAGCATTGACATCCTCCGTGATGGAGACTCCATGCTTCTCTTCAGATGTACCCTTCTCCATGTTGCTAATGGCCTTGAACTCCAGAAAGTATTGGTCGAGTCGGATGATTCGAGCAGCAGGGGTCGAAGGTGGGACGAGCCCGCTTCTTATATCCCGATAATCTGGTGTTTCACATCCTTGCACACCTGGTCCCGTCTGTGCACCTTATGAACAGATGCTGCTTGGCAAGCAGCTAATATTCTTAAAGTAGCTTGGTGTACGCACTGCACATCGAGAATGGGGGGACTTGCGGGGGGCGATTTCCCCAGACTCTGGGCCCAGCAAATCGCAACGCGGTCAGAGATGGATTAATTACGCGCATGACAGCAGGGGGTACGCGGTACCGAGTGGCGATTTGTCCTTGGAGGGATTTTGTCCATTCCTGTAAGGGCGTTTCGTGCTTGGCTGGTCTGTCTAGCTGTCTAGGGCTCGGGGTGTCGTAGCGTCGGGTCGCCGTCTTGTTTTGGGCTTAGCAGTGCAGTTCTTTTCCGTTTCCTGCCGTTTCGATTGAGGCTAGGCTGTCGGTTCTGCTACCGACATCTGGGGTGTTCTCTGCTCATGACTTGGTCCAGGTTGGTTCGTTGTAGTCGAGATCGTGCTTGCCCCGGCCATCCCTGGCTCCAGCTGTGTTCTAGAATCGACACAAGCATCGCCTATCCTGGCCATGCGGTATCCCGACCGATATCCAGTCCAGACGATCATCGAGGGTCTCTGGGCATGGTTGCACAGCACAGCCTCATGCTTGCAGCGTCGCATTTCCTCCCAACAATCCTTGCTAACTACCTTCTGGCTGCCTGATTTCAATACCGTTTGACTCGCTTCCCACCTGGACAGTCTGCCGGCAAGTCGGCTCGAGATCCGGGCGTTATGTCGACACAATCTGACAACAGCGTCGCAGGAGCACCAATATTAAATCCAGCCACCGTTGGGACCACGAATCGGCCGTCATGATAGGTCCCGCCAGATCATTGAAAGCCAGAGTACGCGCAGATGTTGGCTGTCACGCAAGGTCTTCCATGCCAGAGGCGAGGTGCAGGCGGTCCCTGCGCGGCCTCATCTCCGGGGCGAAACGGGATTAGTGTGCTCAATATTCTGCTTCTGCTGTCAAAAGGCCCGAGTTCTTGACAGTCGCGTGTCTATTCTGTCTAAATATATTAACTGTTGGATATAATATTGCCCGCATTGGATCGCGATGCTAACTCCGTAAAGGCCACCCACCTATACTCATCGTATGACCAGGATTCCCTTTAGCGGCCCTTGATGATCCAAAATTTCTACTCGAGATTTACGAGTCCTGCGATCGACTACTTGGCATCTCTAATGAGAGGGTTGGATCGGCAGCACTGGTGTTTGAGGTGGACATCCTGTTCTACTCCATGCATACCCTGTCGCACAATCTTGTTCTAAAAGAATGAATTGACAATAGTTAACAAACTAGACTATTCTGCTGATAAGCTTCACCGTGTCCTAAAGCGTACTTGGGTTTCATAGCCTACTTCTTCCTCAGCTTGTTCTTCAAGCGTAGCCACACTCCCTTCTTCTCTGTCTCCTGCCCCGGCTCAGATTCATCAACGAGCTGGCCATATTGAGAGTCTTGATCTGTTCTTGGACCTGGATATGGCGGCGGCGCCGGGAACTCATTCGCCAGCTGCCCAGTGCCATACCCCTCTGCCTTCTCCGACTGCGAGGGCTCTCCATTCATGTCCATAATGCTTCTCACCGGAGCAGTCCGAGTCGACGTCTTCGGTGTCGTGGGCCAGAACTCGATGTCTGCTTCCCATATGGCATCCGGTGCAGTCTTCTCCCAGTTGCTGGGCCCAGCTGCAGGCACGAAGGTGCGGCCTAGCTTGGCCGCTGTGCCCGGCGACATGGCTCTCTTCTTCATGACCAGTGGTTTACCAGTCTGCTGCTGGAAGTCTCGCCCTCGCCAGTACTTGCTGTGTCTGATGCGATAGGGCCGCTCGCGGAAGTTTGCCTCGTATGCGCTCGCCACGACCTGAGCCAGATCCTTGAGCATCTGCCCATAGTGCGGCAGGTTATACAGACTTTGCACGAGCTGCGCAACGCCAGCTTCATTTAGAGGTGCGTACGCCTGTGCCTTGGGACCGGCCTTGTCTTTCTGCTCCATCGCGTCGACGAACTTCTTGTAATTGTCGAGATCCTTCTCCAACGCGTCTAGTCTCTGCCTGCTATCCCCCGTCCGCACCTTGGTCTTCTCATCCTTGATCAGATGCTCCAGGTACTCGACCGTCGCGTCGTTATAGTGCGTGATCGAGTTGTGCTTAAGATACAGGCTGAACCGTGCTGCCGCCGTCTGAACAGCAGCATGCTCGGTCTTCAGCTCGGCAATGTTCCTCTCGATCGCAGCGATGGCGCTCTTCTTCGCTTTTACCAGGCTACCTGTCGTATTCAGTTCTCGTTGTACGTTAGCGTCTATCACGGTCTCTTCGCTCTTTGCGTACTCGACGAGGATGTGCTCGTGCTCGTCCCACTTGTGGAAACAGACAGTGCAGTATTCACCGTTGAATGCAGTGCAGTTCTGCAGCTGGGGGGTGCCGACTTGTCCGACGGGGACGTTTACTAAACAGCATGGATTGTGGCCTGTAACCGTTAGTTGTCAATCTTCTAATATGCTGTTATAGGATAGGGCAGGACATACAGAGCTTCTTCCTCAACAACACCTTCTCCTTCTTCTCCTCATCAAACACCGCTTCAACGCATTTCGGATTCGCGCAGACCGTCTTGGGCTTCTCCAGCTGCTTTGCCGAAACATTCGTCTTATGAATCTGCAACTTCCCCTGCAAGCCAGCCATCGTCCCCTCAGCATCGCGCAACTCCGCCACCTGCTTCACATTCTTCATAATAGTATCACTGATGGCGACCGAAATCTGCTGCATCGGCGCAGTCAGCTGCGCAATCAAATGCCTCGTCTCATTCAGCGACAGCGTCTCCTGCGTATGATGCGGTCTCAGACTCTGGAAGTGCGCCAGCAATCTATCAGCCTCTGCCGCGCTATGCTCCCAGCTGCGCCTATAATCATCTTCATGTCCCATCTCGATCCCCTGCTTGCGCGCAGCCAAGTACCGGAACGACTCGCTGTCGAAGCAGTACACGTTATCCCTGGATAACTGCGGAATCACTTCCTGGTAGCTGGACAGTAGGCTCTCGAGCGGCTTGAACGTATCCCCCGGTGTATAATTCGAGCCCCGGGTGTTGGTGAACCCAAAGACCATATTCTGCGCTGCGCTGGTATGCAGATGCGTGAGCAGCTCTTTAACGCAGAACCGGAACATGACGCCCAGCCGTGCATTATTCGGTTTCAGCAGGATCAGGATCCCGTGCAGGGATGGGTAGTTCCGCAGTATGGATAGCATGTTCGCCATATTCTGTTTATCCTGGTCTAGTCCGCGCGTGTCCCCGATTCCAGGTGTGTCTATCAGTCGGACGAGCGTGTCTTTGAAATATAATGGATACACGGTGGCCTTTTGGGTTGCTGAAGAGCCCCTGGATCCGTCGGCTTCGTCTTTGTCTTTTCCTACCACGACGTCCTGGCTGGTCATCCGGCCGGTTTGGCCGTCGACGACCTGTGTTGTGAATGAGCATGGGATTATGCAGTTCAGTTTTGGGTCTTTGAGTCCGTCGTCGAGCGAGTTGAAGGTGAGATAGTTCACGAAGGCGTTGACGAAGGTTGATTTCCCCACGCCTGTCTCGCCGAGGATTAGGATGTTGACTTCGCGCGGTTCAGGGAGGGAAAGGAGGAGGTCGCGCAGGGCTGTGCGGTCGAAGTGGTAGAAGTCTGATGCTGACTTGCCACGCTCTTTGTCCTTGTGGTACGGTCCCTGGCAGTTGAACGAGGATTTATGGAATGGGACGCGTCCGCACTCGCAGTAGAAGAAGCCATCTCTGCTCCCGAACTCGACGGGTTCGAGGCAGTCGGCGCACGACCAGAGGTAGAGGTTTTGCTCGTCGCAGTGTGGGCCTGGGCAGGGGATTCGGAGGGACTTGCGGTAGCTAGGTACGTCGGTGGTTGTTTCGAGGTAGGACCTGTCGTATTTGACGAGGTGTTTGTCTGCGAGGTCCTTGTGCTGGTCGAGGAGGTTCTCGACGACGATGGACCCGTTGGCGTGCTCGGTGATGTAGGGCTGTGTTAGGTTTGGGCGTTGCTTGTCCCAGTCGATGAGTAAGACGTGAGGTTTGGGGTTCTGCGTGAGGAGGTCTTTGAGGAGCTGCTGGTTCTCGTTCCATGAGTCGCTAGATGTGTCGACGGCGTCGCTGAAGTGGAAGACGTAGAAGGAGTGGGAGGAAATGGCCGCCCTGTCGATGACTTCCTGCCGCTTGGACTTTGCGTCTTCAGGGAAGATGGCGCCCATTTTGACCATTCGCGACAGAAATCCGAGTTTCTTGTCGTATGTGCATGTGAGGTCGTTCAGCTCGTTAGAGCCCAGTATATCGGACTTGGCTTCGTTGACGATATCAAGCACGGCCTGACTTGTTGCTGTCCCATCACGGATGGTAGGAAGTGCTGCAGTGTATGCCGTTCGGAATTGCTCTTCAGCTTTTGTCGCTTTCCTGGCCTCTTCCTTGACTCTGGCAAAGTGGCTGTCGGCAACGAGACCCCGGTGCTGAACAAGCCGATGGTGGTGTGCATTCAATGCCCGCTGCAGAAAAGCAAGATGGTCAACCAGACCAACAACCTGATCATAGGATTCCTTGCTCAGCTGCCCAGAGACCACATTATCAGGTAGAGCAGCACCAAGCATAGACAGATATGTCACCGGAAGCAGGGTATACATCAACGGCACACCCCCAGTCCGCTGAACATGCCCCTGCAACTGACTGAAATGTTCCGCAGCATCGGAGATATTGTCTGTCTGGCCGGTAAAGATCTCCCTGGCATCAGTATATATCCTGACGCGAAGCATATCATCCACCACCGGCTGCTTCTGGTCATATCCACTTTCACCTTCACCAACAAACCCTTTAACAGCATCCTCAACAATCCTTTCAACATCCCCCCACTCCTCCACAGACATAACCCTCCTCTGCGCCGAAACCACAGCCCTAGCCCCCCAAACCACCCCAATAACAACATGCGTGGCCTGGCTCCCTTCCAACACCTTCAAATCCAGCACCTCCCGCACGCCCCCATTCATAAAACTCAATTCCTCAGCCCTGCTCTCAACGGTATAAACCACTGCCCGATGTGCAGCGGGGACCGTATCGCCCTGCTGCGCTAGGTACTGCGCGGATCCACGGGGGTGAACAAGTCCTGCGAGCAGACATGCGGCGAGATCAGGGCCTGCATTTAGGGCATTGAAGCGTTCTGCGATGGAGGTGGATTTCACGACGGTTGTGGTGGATTTGGTTATGGGGTTTGAGGTTATGGCATCTGCTGGGATGGGTTTAGGTTGTGTTTCTGTTTCTGCCGAGGGTGAGGGTATTAGGAGGGAGGCGTCGAGGAAGGATTCTGTGCGGGCGTCGTAGAGGGTGCCGAGCTGGATAGACTGCCCTAGTGATGGTCGGGTTATGGTGTTCATTTTGAATATCAAGGTAAACCTCAGGTTCGTATTTGATCTATATTTGTAGATATAGAAGACGTAAGAAATTTAAGTTCTTAATAGGAAATATCCATCAGTCTGGAATATGTCATGTTTTATATACATCCATCCTCGTCATCGATGTTGTAGTGAATGTGAATAACCTTCATAAACCTTCACCCTCACAGCCGGGCACTCTTTATGCGCCCGACAAAGCTACGATATTAAGTGTCACTGTGAAATGCCTTGGGTACGAACAGGACAAATAGCAAAGGACAAATAACAGAGCGCTGTGAGGCTCTAATGCAAGGGGCCAAATGCCAGAACGGCAAGGCAGACTCGGGTCTTTCTCTGGAAACTCTACGAGAAGCTTATCATGCGTTACATGAGCATTTGGAAGGCGCACTACTAGTGATGGTGTACTGAAAGTGCATCGCGAGGATTGATATGTTGGAGGGACGAGGGCTGTGGGTAAGCAATACACAGGGCTTGTGGTTTACTTTCGCGCTATGGAAGATCAACAAGATCCTTTGAACAGCCTTTAGTGGCTACTGTCAGTTCGCATTGACTAGTCGGTGTGGTTCTCTGGTTGGTACACCCGTGGTTGAGTCTCACAAGGCGTCTTCCAGAAGGCAGATCGAACGAGCCAGGAAGAATGGAACATGTTGCGCCTGGCGAACTAACGGTAAGTCAGTAATCTTCCATTGGGCAGGTTGGTTAATACGAGATGATATCTGCCATGCCACACAATCAGGCGCCTTGATAAGAGTCAGCAACAGTCAACCAGCGAGGCCGACCAACAGGTAACAGTAGAGATAACAGTCGCAAAAAAAGAGAAAAAAAAGATATACGATATATTAAATATTCCAGTCCAACGGTGCCATTTGAGGCTCACCCGCGCCACCCGCGCAATCCCTGCTGATATATAAGCCCCGCCGTACTGAAGCCGAGAGTGAGGACCCTTGTCGGGCGCCTTTGAAACCGCCCAGGTGCCAATCTCAGGCGAACTACTTGGATTAGTGACTCCACAGCCTGGGCGAACAGGCATATTCCAGATTCAGGTCAGATTCAGGTCTACTAAGTACCTTGGCATACGCCCCGTGCCCGACGAAGTTGCCAAAATAGGAATGTTGTATAGCACTTTGCAGTGGGAGTGTTTGCAGTGCGTATGTTGAACCCTTTCCGGTAGCAATTGAGATCTTCACTCCGCTTCCATGGCCTGCATTGCGGGGGTAGGATCTTCACCGGTCGGTGGTGGTCGGGCTGGTCGGCGTCCCGGTGAGCTGTTCAGGGAGCTGTAGGAGAGCATCGGGATGGGCCGCGGGAGTCACGCGCAAAGACATTACTTGAAAACAACAATTGAGTTGGAGATGGTGGATAGAACCAGGCTATCACGCAGTCGTTCGCCGAATGTAGTGGGCATTGCTTGGGCGTTGTGGAGGACATTTTGTGGGTCAGATCTGGTGTGGATTTCAGTCGGAGCGCAGCCCCCCGACAAAAGAACTGCATAACTTGCCTTGCATAAAACGTTAGTCAGCTGTGCTCAGGGGCTAGACCACAGAAAGGGGCAGATCACGCGGCGCGGGAGGGTCAAGTGACCGCCACCAATAATTATGTGGCGTTCATCCTTGCAGGGGGCCGCATGCATCGGGCCGTCTATTTTTGACATCGAATGGTGAAAGCAATTGATTGAGACTGAGAGACTGAGAGACTGAGATGGAGATGTTGGGAACTGAATACTGAATGATTAAATGCTGAGATACAATCAATTGATCAATTGCATCGAGTTGTGTTGTGCTGATTAATCGGACCGAGAATATGCAACGCCGACCGAGACCCTCACCCCGGCATCCCCAGCTAGCTGCCCCGGTTTCTGCTGAAGGATGAGGAGAGCTTCGAGTTTTCATCTGTTATTTCATTTTTTTCATGGCAAGCGCGTTCGAGATTTTTCTCCTCCTCAGCTGACGCAAACTCCAGCCTGTCAGAGCTGCCCGAGTCCCCAGGAGGCAAAAAGTCTCTGAATTTTCACTCTCCACCGCATGATGTAATGATGAATTGCAATTATTGTTTTTTGCGATCAGCAGATTCCGTCCTAAACCGGCGGTGAACTGGACTTTTCTTTTATCTGTTCTTTCTCTCTCGTCTCTCATCTTTTTCTCTCCTTCCTTCTCTTCTCCTCTCTCTCCTCCATCTCACTCACAACCGCCGCAATGCCTCCCCTCAAGCTCAACACAAAGAACCTCCCCCAGATCCTGTCCGCCAGCAAGGCCGGCATCAAGGCCCCCAACTATGCCCGCGGTCGCGGCGTCAAGGAGGGCATCGTCCACGTCGGTGTCGGTGGCTTCCACCGCGCCCATCTGGCTGTCTACATCGACCAGCTGATGCAGAAGCACGGAATGACGGACTATGCCATTGCTGGTGTTGGCCTCACTCCCTTTGACTCCAGAATGCGCGACGTCCTCCGCTCGCAGGACCACCTCTACACCGTCATCGAGCGCTCCGCCAAGGGCAGCTTCGCCAACATTGTCGGCAGCATCAATTCCTTCCTCCTTGCTGCTGACGACCGCGAGGCCGTCGTCGCCAAGATGGCGCACCCCGACACCCGCATTGTCTCGCTGACCATCACCGAGAGCGGCTACTACTACAACGAAAACACCCACGAGCTGCAGGCCGAGCACCCGGACATCCAGTTCGATCTCGACCCGGCCAACGAAAAGACCCCCCGTACCACCTTCGGCTTCCTCTACGCCGCTCTCGCCCGCCGCCACGCCTCCGGCCTCAACCCCTTCACCGTCATGTCCTGCGACAACATGCAGAAGAACGGCTCCATCACCCGCCACATGCTCGAGTCCTTCGCTCGTCTGCGTAACCCCGAGGTTGCCCGCTGGATTTCCGAGAAGGGTGCTTTCCCCAACGCCATGGTTGACCGCATCACCCCCCAGACCGCCCAGGCCGACAAGGACGTTCTCGCCGAGACCTTCTCCATCGAGGACGACTGGCCCGTCGTGACCGAGCCCTTCATGGACTGGGTTATCGAAGATCACTTCTCCGACGGCCGTCCGGCCTTCGAGAAGGTCGGCGTCAAGGTCGTCAAGAACGTCCACGACGTCGAGCAGTACGAGAAGCACAAGCTCCGCCTGCTCAACGGCTCCCACTCTGCCATTGGCTACGCCGGTCAGCTCGCTGGTTTCAAATACGTCCACGAGGTCCTCGAAAACCCCACTTACCGCAAGTTCCTTGTCCAGATGATGCAGGAAGAAGTCAAGCCCCTGCTCCCTGAGATCCCCGGCGTCAACATTGACGAATACTGCGAGACCCTCATTGAGCGCTTCTCAAACCCCACAATCATGGACCAGCTCCCCCGTATCTGCCTCAACGCCTCTGGCAAGATCCCTCAGTTCATCATGCCCTCGATCGCCGAAGCCATCTGGGTCACTGGGCCCTTCCGCCGCCTCTGCTTCGTTGCTGCCGCTTGGTTCCGCTACATCAACGGTATCGACGACGCCGGCAACAAGTTCGAGGTTGAAGACCCCATGCGCGAGCAGCTGCAGGCTCTTGCCCGCGAGGGCGGCACCAAGCCCCAAGCTCTCTTGAGCATCAAGAACTTGTTCGGTGACGATCTCCGTGGTGACGAGCGCTTCATCCAGGAGATCACGCGGGCGATGGAGGACATTGCTCGGGACGGCGTCATGAAGACGATGCCCAAGTATGTCGACTAAACTAATTATTTGGATTCGTTTTCGTTTTTTTTCTGAATTACCCTACTGAGCGACGGGGATGGGATTTTCTTCTTGCATAGAGATAGATTATGATAGACAAAAGTCGTTATTTTCTCGCTTTATGGCACGGTCTTGCTCTTGGTCTTGTATTATGGGTTTCGTGGACACGGATACAAAATGTGGGTTTAGGGATGATTTTCAAGGACATGGATTTCAGGATTCGTTCGGGTTCAACGTTACGGTGGTCTTCTAGGCGGTTTCAGCACTAATCATTCCATTAGCAATTAGCACTTGAGTTTCTTTAGTTTATTTGAGAATGGATCTGTCACCATGGTGGCGTTCAAGCACATATATTCAGTCTAGTAATCAGTAATCAATATATATACAGCAGCCATCAGTCTATCGTCCCCAGTCGACAATCTAGATCTATCCAGTCCCTTCTCCCTTCTCACTTCTCAGTTATCACGATCAAAGATCAAGATCAGAGAAAATCTAGCAATCCGCAGGCAAAGCCTCAGTCTTCGAGCTAGTCTGGAAAAGCTTCACCTCAGCGTTACGCCTGTTCAAGAGACCCTGCGAAACCTGGCCGTTGGCGTACTTCCACTTAGGCAGCTCCTCCTCGGCCACGGTATTGGGGCTGTCGCCCGCATTCAAGCGCTCGACGAGGTTACTGCTTTGCACGGCGCCGGCGCCCACGTTGAAGCACCAGGACACGAGCGCGCCGTATTGGTTGTCGTTGAGCTTGACGGAGCTCTTGAGGGCCTGTGCGACGCTGTCTTGGTAGGACTGTTTACATGTATGTATTAGCATTTCTCTCGGGGGGTACATGGAGTTGTGGTTGGAAGGGCAGCGTGGGGGCATACAGTAATGTCATCCGCAAAGAGCTTGAGGCCATCGCTCTTGCTCAGGGGGATGTCGTATTTGACCTCGGAGCACTTGGAGTCTCCGCAGAGGTGTCCGTATCCGACGGTAGGGTTTCCGTAGCCGTCGTCGTAGATATCAGCGCCCCAGCCTTCGTAGGACTTCATCAGGTCCAGGGTGTCGTCGTTGACGTCGGGGCCGGAGCAGGCGGCCAGGGCCAGAGAGGGGATGGTCGCGGCGAGGGCGAGGAGCTTGGTGGTTGAGAGGACCATTTTGAAGTGAATTTAAATTGAATTCAAGGTTGAATTGGAGAGTGAGTTGGTGGTTGGTTTGTTGTTGATGCTGTTGTTCTTGTGCTTGCTTGATGCTGTATCTCAACGGGATGGACGGGGTTTATATGTCTGTTCCAAGACCCTAGATGTCCTTTCATCCGAAGCTGATTGCGCTCTGTTCCTTGTTTGTCCAAACAGATCTGCATCTCGTCGTGATGGAGAGGCTGTATACGAGGTCGTAAACCCGTATCTGGAGATATCCCAGTGAGCCCACGAGCAATCGCAACACAGTTCGACCGCACGGGGACTCAGCAGTAAACGAGCATCTCGTCGAATCCTTCTATATCGATCAAAATATGCGCTGATCATGCAAGAAAGCGATGATCAGTACGACCCTGTCCTAGGAGCTCATCAAACTCGTGCAGACGAAACTCCCCAGCACCAAATCACGACGTCCTAAACTGGGTCCGAATCTCGGAAATCGCGACGATCTCATCGGTTAGATAGATGGAATGTTACCATTGCTGATTGTTCCTGGAATGCTTTCTGGGGCCGCCCTAGTGATGCTATTTTTATGTCGAATCGTGTCGCGACTGAATACGAACCCCCCACTTCCAAGGCTGGGCTGTGGATATGGGGTTTACGAGGAGCAGAGCAAGAACCGAGGCATTGTCGAGAGATTGTATTTAATTGGACTGTAGACTGACGATGATTGGGGAAAAGAGCTGCAAAGTGGTGATGCTCTTGTTTGAGAATCATAGTCCGAGCCCTACAGGGTCGGTTGGGCTATTTTTATCAACTGCCACCAGCCAAAATTAGTCACTTTTACACGAGAGAACGGATATCTGAGAAGTACGAACCAATCAATGGGAATTCTAGGTCGAACTCGGGACTCTGCCCTCGGGAAATTCTTGAAGGCTGGGCTTGCGAGCGACCTTAGTGGACACAGACGGTCCCCATGCTGTTTCGATCCTACATAGCTTCTCAACCCCTTCTGATGCTTGTCTGCGCTGTCGTCTCACTGTACATACTGTACTGTCTCAAGGTTGTGGTGTCGGTTGTCTCTGGCTCGACGTACATTCCTGGAAGCCACATTCCGCAACCGTTGCTGTCCGACGGTAGGGAGCAATTACGGTCGGGAAATATGCATGCAGTGTGAAATCATAACAATCGAAGCTGAAATTCAAGATGCGTGGGAATTGCACGGCGGAGTGGGAGGTAACCTTGGTTAGTGGTACACTGATTACTGGACACCGGTTACTGGGACACCTCCGGGCGACGGGAGAAAGATATGCTTAGCTCCTCATGAGGGGAACGAGATCTCTCCGCACGAGCTCTACTCTTACTGTCGAACCACGGTACTCGCTGTTATTCTATCCGGCGCAATCTCGGGGATGGCTCGGCGCCCTTCCATAGATCTGCGCTGCATCCCATAGCAGTTTGGAGCTTCAGCCCTTATTACACAGGTGAATCCGACATTAAGTAGGTTATTTGGTCTGCCGATTGGGGTTATTAGGTTGCAAAAGTGCCCTGTGAGTAGAGCGACTGGTTTGCTCCACGCGGTGCTTGATTCCGAATATCGTAAAGCTATCCCCTCAGACACCCAGGTCAACTGGATAATATCGATTGTAATTCCGGATGTACGGCGAAATTGGACGAGCGGAGGTTCAGGTTGGTCTGTGTAGTATGGTCATGATGTATATCAATTCAGGTCTTCGCCGTTGTCAATATGGCCCTGATGTGATTGGTACTGTACTGCTTCCTTAATGGGGTAGAAACGTCACAGTTAGGGTTAAGTCTCTGGACCATTCCCACCCATGGCTGAACAAATGGCTGAGAGCCAGTAATCCAGTTCAATACTCTAGGATCTACAGGGTCCACCTCTGGCCTGATATACTGGAAATATAGCCTTCCAATAGCTCAAGCTGATTCTGCATGCCGCTCTGTATCCATATCAGTGCCCGGAGGACCGGAAATACGGCACCAGCAAATTCAACTTGATAATATCTACAATCTCAGTGTGCGGGGAGTCCTTTTCCCCGGATACTCTGGTGGGCTTAAATACCAGTACTCCCTCGAAGTCCAGTTAGCAGGTCTTCTCGATATTTGCGACCCAGACGAGCGGCTATATATTAGACTGTCACCTTTCGCATTTCCTTTCCATACAGACTATATCCTTATTTCAGCCATCATGTCGGAGCACGAGAACGCAAAGCTCGCTGCCCACGGGCTAGATAGTGGCTGGGACCACATCACTCAGGGCAGGGCAAGGAATGCACATCAACACGGAACATTACACGATGTCAACCAGGCCACCGTATCGCAAGTGGCCCGTCCAGAGTTTATGAAACTTGGCAACCCTGGTCCACTTGGATTGCTCGCTTTTGCAATCACGACGTTTGTAGTTGGACTCTATGAATGCGGTGCTGGGTATAGTGGCCCAAAAGATCCATCATGCTGTGCCTGTATTTCTAACCTCTGGCAGACTCCCCAACTCGAACCCAGAGGGCAACGTTGGGCCGAACCAAGCTGCCTTCGGCATTGTGATGTTTATGGGTGGTACGGCCCAAGTGCTCGCCGGACTGATGGAATTCCGTGTGGGAAATACGTTTGGAACAACTGTCCACTGTGCTTACGGTGCATTCTGGCTGAGCTACGGAATGTTCCTACTACCGTATCTCGGTATTGAAGACGCCTATAAAGGTGACAAGAGAGCCTACACATTTGCCATCGGGATCTACTTGATCTTGTGGTGCTTTCTCACATTCTTGTTCTTCCTTGCTGCTCTCCGGACGAACATTGCTATTCTATCTGTCTTTGTCACCCTAATCCTGGCGTATTTGTTTCTCAGTCTCGCCAACTTCACTGCTACAGAGCATGCCACTGCCAGTATGAATCTGAATAAAACCGGCGGTGCTCTTGCGGTTGTTTGTGCTGCCTGTGCTTTTTATGCAGGCGCGTCCGGCCTTATGGTGCCTGAAACTACCTGGGTCCGTTTTCCGCTCGGCGAGATCGAGGGCCCATGATGGTGGATGTTGCTTTAGGATGATTGAATCTCAATTGATGCCTAGAAGCAGATCCAGCTCCCTTCCTACTTAACTCCGAAACTATAGCTTTCAGTTTGATCAACGCCGGTGCCGCAGTGCCGGATCACTCCAATGACGGGATATTCTACACTAAAAGCGGAGTCTAAACCTGAGTATGTCTAGTTTATTTATTGTGGGTACTGAGATGGCCCACAGCTACCAACAAAAACTGCACCTAGGCAATTGTTCTATACCAGGGGTACGTAGTAGATGTCCACCAAGCACGCGTAGGTTCTTGGGGTATTTAATGGTTCATGTACCTGCAGTAGTCTAAACAGCTCTTCCCATTCTGTACTGAATTGAAAGCTCAGCACAACATGAAAGGCCTCGTTATTACCCTTCTGGGCCTCCTTGCTCCTGTCACCGCGTATGCGCCAGGCCTGGAGGTGGTCTATTCCCTGGACGCAGCAACCCAGGGCATCAGCTTCAGCGCAAACGGGCGCAAGTTCCTGTCCCAGCGGTACTCCCTGACTCTTCCGCCTCGCATTGTCGAACTCCTGGACGACAACACCACTGCGCTCTACCCAAACAAGGCTTGGAACTCGTACAACTCCAGTGACCCAGCCTCCGACCCTCGCAAGACCTTTGTCAATATCGACGGTGCACGCATCGGTCCCGATGATCGCTACTGGGTAGTCGACGGCGGTTCAACTGGCGTCAACGGTTCTACCAAGCTTGTAGGCGTGAACCTGACCACAAATGCCGTCGACCGGTCCTATTCTCTAGACAGCGTCATAGCCAGCAAAAGCGGCATTGACGACGTCCGCTTCAGCGCTTCCGGAGAAGTCGCATACCTCAGCGATACCGCCGGTGCTCTTGTCGTGCTCAATCTCACCTCCAGCCATGCCGTCCGCGTCCTCGCCAACTCCGACTCTGCCACGGCCTGGTTCCCCATGATGTACAACGGTACCCTGGTTCCTGGCTACGGCGGTAGCACACTTGCCGTGGGCCTTGACCAAATCGAAGTCTCCCCTGACGGTGTTTACCTCTACTACCAACCCTGCAACGGCGGTCTCTACCGCATCAAGACATCCTACGTCGACGCCGCCCTGACAAACTCCACGATGGCCTCTACCCTCGGCGACTACGCCGAGCCGTTTGCCCTAACTCCAAGTACAGGCGGGACGACTATTGACGGCGATGGGAATATCTACATCAGCGACACCAACCTGCTCGCTATCTGGAAGGTCACGCCGGAGGGCAGGACTACCATCCTCGTCCAGGACGATGCTCTTCTTTGGACCGACCTGATGTGGGTATCGGCTGATAAGAAGCTTTGGCTGCCGGCTTCCCAGATGCGTCCTGGTGGTGATGGTCTTATGGCTGAAGGGCCTAACTATATCTTTACCTACCCTATTGATGCGGGGCCGTCTCTTATTGACCATGCTTAGATGGTGGCCACGCGATCGACAGCCTGCATCGAGTGTTTAGCCGTCGGTCATGCCGTTGCATAGGCTATATAGAAAATATACACTGGTGCTCATGCTGGTGGAATATATGCTTCTTGGCTTTTTTTGAAAGTGCATGTCAGAATGAAAATGTTGCAGTTGTGAAGTTTCTGTTCGTGCTTGGTTCGATATATGTACTGTGTGCTGTGAAGGAAACAGAAGCCAAGAAACCATGTTTACGAAAAATTGCTGGTTGAGCGTCTTCATTGAATGGAAACAGAGGTAGTTATATTGTTCCAGCTTTCATAATACCCCGAGGCTCAATCCCGGACAATAACTTAGGCTGCTCAGGTATTCGGATTCACTCCACCGACAGTAACCAGGTTGACGGCTAAATGGATGATCCAAGTATGGGGTATCGGGAAAAACAATTGGTGGAGCCCAAAGCCCCACCAACCGGAGCGTGAGAAATGTCCAGCCCGATTGGCTAAATTTAGCCGTAGCGGGAAAAATGTCCACACAGTTGCAACAAATGCCCGTTTTGGTTACACCTTCAGTCGGGCCGGGTGTCTGCAACTGACTGGGAAGCAGGCTGAGATATGCAGGGCAACTTTTAAGAGCCTGATCTGCCGCACAAGACGCATCTTCTGTCGCTGTCACCTCCACCTCCTGCAACGGGCGCAGCATGGCCGCGACGTCAACACCACTGACCCAGGTGCTCCCGCCCCTCATCCTGGGCGGCGCCGGGTTTAGTTATCAACTAACACCAAACCCGAATCCAGAGCGGACAAGAGAAGTCCTGACGCGGGCTTTTGAGCTTGGAATCCGCGCCATCGACACCTCGTCGTACTACGAACCATCCGAGGAGCTTCTCGGGGAAGCGTTGTCACATCCGGAGTTCAGCTCTCGCTACAGCCGGGATGATTATATCCTGATGACTAAAGTTGGTCGCGTCAATGCTACAAAGTCCGACTACTCCCCAGAATGGATTAGATACTCGGTTGCTCGTTCTCTACAGCGGTTACGGACGAGCTACCTGGACGTCGTGTTCTGTCACGATATCGAACTGGTTGCTGAGGACAGTGTGCTGGAGGCAGTTGGAGTGTTGCTGGAGATGGTCGCGGCGGGGACAGTTCGCTATGTTGGGATATCAGGCTATCCAATCAACACTTTAGCCAGGGTCGCTCGTCGCGTACGGGAGATATATGGCCGGCCGCTGGATGTAATACAGAACTGGGCGCAGATGACGCTGCAGAATGATCGATTAGAGCGGCAAGGCTTACAGGCATTCAAAGAAGCCGGGGTGTTGTGTGTGTGCAGTTCTAGCCCCCTTGCAAGTGGTCTTCTGCGCGACGAAGGTGTACCGATTGCTGCGCTAGGAGACTGGCATCCAGCGCCAGAAGGGCTGCGTAGAGCTGCGCATGCCGCGGCGGGCCATGTTGCATCGCAGGGTGACTCATTAGCGCGGCTGGCACTGCGGTACGCACTGCGTCGGGCGCAGTATTCTTCAACAGCAGAATCACGCGTTGGCACGATTATGGGAGGGACATCGGTGGCTGAGATCGAGGAAAACATCACAACGGCGCTGTGGGTACTGCGACGGGATGGAGGGATATGGAAATGGGACTGTAATGACAAGCAGGCATTGGGATCACCTGGTAGCAACACGGATTTAGACTCAGATCTGCGCTTGTTCGCAGCTGTCCAAGAAATTCTGGGCGAGTGGAGGAATTACAGCTTCTCAGATGGAAACGCGGAGGGGGAAGAGGCAGCCGTTCAGACGAAGCTGTGAGAATTCTAGAATCAATTAGACGTGTTTTCAATAAAGCAATAAACTTCAAGTTTCACATGAAGAGCCCAACTCACCGGAAAGCCGTGATGGATTGAGGAAGGAGGAAGAAAGCCCGAAGAGGAACGGAGAGTCAAGATTAGCCGGTGTTACTGGCCTCAGGCTTCAGGCTGCCAAGCTGCTAACCCGCCAATCTCCCCACATCTCCAGTCCCCAGTCTTCTTAAGTCCAGCCATCCCCAGGCAAGGCTCGCGAATCTGTCGAGCATGAATTTGCACGCTCATGGATTGCAGTCCGACCATGCTGGATGGCGGGGACAACCGGCTGCGCGTCCTGCGGGCCTGTGACCGCTGCTCCCAGTCCAAACAGCGCTGCGATGGAGAGCATCCTTGGTACGTCGTAGTGCCTGGAGCTAGTTTTAGCTATTCCTCCCTGTTTTGCATCTAGATAAACTGACAAAAACCAGTCAGCGATGTGCCGGTTAGTGGATTGACCTGTCCAGGGCCCTCTTTAGCCGGCTAATTGATCCAGAACGAAATACTTCATGTCATTACGAGAAGCTAGTGCGCAAGCGTGGCCGTCGTCGACGAACGAAGCCAACCTCCACTGGCCACAGGGTGCTGGCGCCCGGCCCTTCAAGCTTGAACGGTCTCATAAATCCGACTGAGCTGGATACTTCAATGGACGATGGAGACAACATGCCGGAGAGCTTGCGAAGGAATACGAACCCGTTGAGCACGCCGTCATACACAGATGACTCTACCAGGATAACGGCCGAGACAAGAGCGACGGGAGGAAGCAATGAACAAGAGGGGAGAAATGGTCAATTTGGCCTCGAGCCTGATGCGCCTCCGGTCACTGGCCACCGCGATTCATACTCCCAGCCCCTGAATCCTTTTATTTTCCAAGATGTGTTTTTCGGAACGCCAGGCCGTCCGAGTAGCCAGACTGCGTTTACGCCCGGTCGCGTTGAACACTGGCTTGACAAGACCGCGCCAATTCCACGCAGTGGCTCTCGCGGCCTGTACTCTACAGTTTCGCACAAGACCCTGCAGGAAAATCTTGGAAATGGAGCAGCCCAAGGCCAGCGCTCATACCCTTGCTTGGAACCTCTGCTTCCCTATTTACAAGGAATACTCTCCCCTGCGGATGCATCCGAAATGCTTGAGATTTACTTTAATGAGCAGAGGAATCCTATATTCAAGGCGGCCTCACCATATACAATCACCCATGTCATACAGCCATCCTCTGTTCTGCATCCGACGGCCCCGCGGCCCACCTCCTCTATCCTCCTTATTGTGATGTTGCTTTGCGTTGCACAGACGGCGGACATCAAGATATTCGACCCACCCGGAGCGCGACAGCGCATTGTCCTCGATCTCTATCGTTTGGCGCTTGACTTGATGGAGCCAGTCGACTGGGATAATTATTTCAGGACCTCAGGTATGTCGCAGAAACAGCCATATTTGGCACAGCTAATTTCATTAGATGGATGGCAGTTTCACCCGCGCGGCGGATTCACCGATAAAGACGGGCGCTCGTCCGTGTCGCATGCGGCGGGGGGTGGACTGATACCCGATTTCCTGGGCTCGACCGACGCCATTCTTGCAGTTGTGATCCTCACCCTAGTGATATCTGGCGGCCATTTCAAGGCAGACAGCCTGAAATGGTGGTCCAAGGCTATTCGACTAGCTCGCGCCAGTGGACTGAGTATGGAGGATCAAGGAATCCAGCCAGCAAACTGTCAGGGACACACAACCCGCGAATGGTTGATTGTCAAAGAGGAGCGTCGAAGATTGTTTTGGCTCATTTACTGTCTCGACCGTCATCTAGGGCTTTCGTTCAATGCGCCCGTGAATTTCCCGGAGGGCACATTCCGCGTCGCAGCGCCGTTACCCGAGGCCATTTGGCAGAACCTCGAGACGATAGACCTCAATGCTATTCCAGCTCCACGCCTCGGCCCTCCGGCTAGGATATCTGGATACGGATTCTTCGAATATTTCCTCCCATTAGCGACCGTCCTCGGGCATATTATCGACTTCCACCACATGCAGAACCACCCTCTGCTCGGCGACACCCTTGGCCATGCAGCGGTCCATAAGATCGAGAACCTTATATCTCAGCGGGAGCAAGACCTAGCTGAACTGAGAGATAAACTCGAGAACCCGCTGCCAACCCAACATTCTGTTGACCCGTTTAGCCACCCGCTGGGCTACGGCCACACCCCAGCATCGACGATCGATTCGAAGAAGCCTTTAGTTCTTGCCTACAGCACGCATATGCTGCACGTCTGCTATATCCTGCTGCACGGAAAGTGGGACCCAATTTCCATGATTGAAGACAAAGACGACTGGATCACATCGGACAGTTTCCAAGCATGCGCGTCGCACGCGCTCAGCGCAACTGCCGCCGTGCACCAGATCCTATCACTCGACCCGGAACTCACCTTCATGCCATACCTCTTCGGCATCTATTTGCTACAGGGGAGTTTCATACTCCTCCTCTTTGTCGACCGGATGCCCGAGCTAGGCTTCAATAAATCCGTCGAGGAAGTTTGCGAGACTATCATCCGGGCGCATGAAGTGAGTGTCGTGACACTGGACACCACGTTTCAGGTACTACGCCTTACTCCTACTTTATGATAAAGAGTATATATCTAACGAGAACAGAAAAACATCCGCAAGGTTTTCCGGTCAATGCTGCATGATGCGCAGCGCGCAGATCCACATTTTCGAGAAACGCACAAGGCCCGAAGGAGGGAGATTTTGTCGTTGTACCGCTGGACGCGTACTTCGCATGGTCTAGCTTATTGATGTATGACGAAACATTTTGATTTCCATCGCCAGCGCGCGGCCGGCCTATGCGTGAAGCCTTTGATACCCCTTGAAGACCAGGAAGCAATTCTTGAAGCAATTTCTCCTTTCTAGCTGTGTCGCTCTGTATATTAGATAACAACTGTTTTATACATATCTACTTAACCCCAACCAGGCCCTCTAACTAAAGCATACTCAAAGACGCCCTTCCAACACCTGCCTCCCTCGCCAGCACAGCCTCGATCATCTCCTCCCTGGGTGGCTCCAGACCAGTCCACAGTTTAAACTGATCAAACGCCTGCGCGAGCAAAACCTCCACCCCGGTAACGGTTGCCCACCCTGAGTGCCTCTGCGCGACAGTTAACAGCGGTGTCTGCCTTGGCTTATACGACATGTCAATACAAAGCCCCTCACTCCGATCCTTGAACAAAGAGCCGAACTGCTCCTCGCTTGTTGTTTCAGCAGGAACAGTCGCGATAATGATGTCCGGCGACTCAGGACGAGATGATTCCGAGAGATCAGGAATCACGGTTATATTGAACGAACACCTGAAATCGTCCCGGACATTTTCGGCGATGGATTGTGTCCTGTTGACAAGGTAGATGTGTTGCACGCCCGCTTTGAACATTGCGTATAGTGCTGCCCTCGATGCACCGCCCGCGCCGATGACAAGGCCAGCCTTTAACGATTTCCCCTGTCCTTCTCCGTCGGGTGAAGTTTTCGTATACTTCATGATAATCGCATATAGCCCGGACCAGTCCGTATTATCTCCGATAATACTACTATTGCCATGTTCATGACCTGTGGGGATAAGCGTGTTAATCGCGCCAATGGCCTTCGCTGTTTCAGACACCTCGGTGCAGAATTTATGCACCTGCAGCTTATGAGGCATTGTGACGCTTGCGCCGCCAAAGGATTGTGCGTGGATTAAACGTCCGACTTCATCTATACTGGCCGATTCGCGGATTGTGTATGTGTGGGGGAGGGCGTGGTGGGTGAACCCTGTGTTGTGGATTGTGGGAGAGATGCTGAAAGAGATTCCGCTGCCGAAGATGTAGAAGTCTTTGGGTTCGGTCATTGTGATTGTTCGATTCTATTGAGGATGACTTAGTCGGTTGGCTTCTGGTTGATAGACTTTGGGTGGAAGATGGATAGAGTGATAGAGTCGGTGTGTTTAACCTGCAGGGTATATTGATGAACGTTGAAGAACGATTACCCACGGTTATTCGAATACCGTTGTATATTCGCCAGTAAATAGAACACTGTCCCCAAAATGTTGAGGTTATCCACATAGGCAAAGAATATAACCGATGCCGGGCACTACGCAGATACATCTACCAACAGCACCCACTCCGCAGAAATAATCATATACCATACCCGTGTTTAACATCACGGAGAAATCTAAAACATAATTGCGATGACCTCGGAAAAGAAAACCCTCCACCTTGTCGGCGTGGGCGTGACACACTCCATTGCCCCTGGGATGCACAACCACATCGCGCAGTCCCTCGATCTCCCCTGGACCTTCTATGCCACAGAATGTCCCACCATCGAAGATGTTCTAAGCCTCGCAAGAAAGCCGACGACGGCTGGGCTTGTCGTGACAATGCCGTATAAAAACTCCGTGATGGCGCAACTCGACCAGCTCGACGATCTGGCAAGCATGATCGGCGCCTGTAACAATATCTACTATACGAATGACGAGCCGAGGCAATTACGAGGGACCAATACCGACTGGAGGGGAATTAGGGGCTGCTTATTGGAAAGAGGCGAGGAAATTCAACGCCCGTCCAGTGGAAATCCTGGGGCAGCATTGATTGTGGGTGCTGGAGGGGCGAGTCGGGCAGCTGTGTATGCCCTGAGCGAGCATCTTCACTGCCAGACAATCTATATTCTGAACCGCGACGAGGGAGAGGTTCGAGATCTTATTCGCGATGCGCAGAAATTGTCCAGAGTGCCGGAGATCATCCACATCACGACAGCAGAGCAGGCACAGGGACTGCAGACTTCACCATATTACATTGTCGGTACAGTGCCGGATTTTGAGCCGCAGACAGAATCCGAGAAGAATGTTGCGTCGATATTAGGCTGGTTTCTTTCCCAGCAAACTAAAGGGGTGCTGTTGGATATGTGCTTCAAGCCGCGGCGGACACGGATGATCAAGTTGGCAGAGTCACTGGGGTGGCCCTGTGTTGAAGGCACGCATGTTATCGGATATCAGATCGAGGAGCAATGGCGACTATGGGCTGGGGAGGAGAAAGTGGCCTCATTAGACTGGGAGGGAGCTTGGAAGGTGCTGTTGCAGGCTGCGGAGGAGAGCACTGCAATTAACTAATTCAAACTGGGAACGCGTTTGTGTAGTAAGAGAAACTCATAGATTATTGGAACAATAGCCAGACAATAAAACCATGCAACCATCTGAAGGGTTTAAAAGAGAGACGGGATAACGGCCGAAGCACTCTTAGGGCACACCACCAGCGCGTGGACAGCAGAACTGGCACTTTGATACTGGACAGTAATCCTCAATGTTCTAAACCTTCATCGGTGTTTCCTTTACCTGATCCTACAGTCTGGATGACCCCACCGGACCCAGACCCATTCCATCCCCGCAACGCCATCGGCAATGACATTAACCGATCTGACTGAGCACCGGAACGACATTTATATTTACAAAAGAAGTTATATTCAGCAGCAGAACCACCGACAGACTAATCAAACACAAGACAAAATGCCAGACCTCCATACCTTGCCAGAGGGCACCCGCCCTGAACACGCCATTCGCAACAACGGCCCCGATAACCTCGTTCTCGAGCGGGCGAAATTGCGTGAACTGGCTGAGGGATGGCCTTGTTACCGGTGAGAAAGCCTGTCCGTATGTTTATTCTTTAAATACTGATAGTTAATATGCAGTGACGCCTCCGAGTGGGAAAACTTCGAATCAATCTTCCACCCCAACGCCTTCGTCTACACCACCTGGTCTGGTCGGGTCAGTTACAAGGACTTCATTGCCGCATCCAAGGCCGGGATGGATAAAGGCGCGTTCATCATGCACAGATGCCACGGGGTTACGAGCGATATCACACCCGATGCCACCCGTGCTGTGACGAAGATGAAGGCGACCATTACGCAGCGGTTCAACATTGACGGGGCCGAGGTCGATGCAGAGGCAGACTGCCGCTTCTGTTTCTTCTTTGAGAAGGCAGATGGCAAATGGGGAGCACGGTTTGTGAGGCATTGGTATGAGAAGGACAAGTTGATTCCCGTTGTCCCGGGGCGGTTTCCCAGTATCGATGTTGAGAAGTTGAATTCATATCCTGAGGGGTATAAGTGTCTGGCGTATTGCCAGGAGGCGACTATGGGCGTCAAGGTTCTACGAGATATGCCTGGACATAGAAGGCATGTTGGGACGGTGAATGGGGAGAAGCATGATCTGTTGTATAGGCTGGCAAAAGACTGGCTGGACGGGAAAGAGATTGATGTCTAATCTGCTTTAACTGCATGAATAAAGAACTACTGTAACTGCAACCGCTCCTGTAACCTCTTCCAAGCTGTAATTCCTCGTCGCGCATGCTCAGCGGGAACTCCCTCCCCTTCCTCACTCATGGTCCGGGAGAACAGCTCCATCGAGACAAACCCCTTGTACCCTAACCCTTCAATGAATGCCCTGGCCACATCCTCAACAGGCAAATAAGCGCCTCTATCTTGTTCATACATAAACGTCCTCGCATTCCTCGACCAACTCATCCTCGCCGGCTGTCCTTCGACATAAAACTCATGGCCTTCAACCAGCGGACTGCTCATCCTCTCCGCATCGACAACCTGGATATAAAAGACCTTGTCCACATCGACCTCTTTCACAATAAACTCAATTACCTTCGCCAATTCCGCATCTGCATCGACAGCTTTACCATCAGCAGCGGCCGGATCTCCCCAAACCCGTCCAGCAATGTTGAATGTATCCAAACACATCCCAAAATTAGACCTATCGACCCGCTTTACCACATCCCATAGCTTCTGCACTGTATCGACATGTGTGCTCCAGCAGAGATTCTCATACGCGAATCTCACGACGGGAGTCTGTGTAAGACCCATACCAGCCACTTCGCGGAGATCAGACACAATCACGTTGATATCATCAACGAGTTCATTTGCCGGTAAGAAATTCGCCGGAATCTGGATCGTGTCTGTACCCAGACTTTTCGCTATCTGTAGCCATAGCTTCATCTTCTCAATCAGTCGTTTATGTTGTTCTCGGTCCTTAAGTCCCTCGTAGAATAGGAATGGCTGTAGACCGATGATATCCAGACCCGCCGAGTCGCAGAGAGAGCGGATTTTGTCTGCGGCGTTGAGGAGAGCATCCGGGGATGGTGTTTCAGAGTGTGATATTCCTCGCGCGAAATAGTCTAGGTCTTCGTAGAAGATTTCGATTCCCTTGAAGCCAGCGGTGGCGGCTTGGGTGATTTTGTTGGGGAGGGCGTGGACCCAGGCCCGGCCTAGGGAGGCGCTCATTATGGCTGGTTGGTAGGTCATATTTCTGCAGGTGCTATTTGGCAGGGGAATATTGTCTACTGTCTTCAAGTAGCGAGTTGGTGATGTTATGGAGATACTAAATAGAAGTGCTATGACGTTGGCGGTATTACTCTTAGCCGCGGATGTAGGAATGTCCGATCATGATTATCATTGCATTTCAAGTTATTGGATGGATTATTTCTATTGATGGAAGTATCCATGCTTAGCAGCTTCCTCCTGAATAACCTTCCGCATTACATGCACTGGCGCTGGCCGTTTCGTAAAGAGTTCATACTGCGCAATGCCCTGTTCAACTAGCAAGTTGAGGCCATCCACCACCACCCAGCCTGTTGATGTATGCTCCAGCATCTGCTCCAGTAACGGGGTTTTACACGGTCCGTAGGCAACCTATCTTCCGTCAGCTTTGTGGTCCTGAAATGAAAGTTCAAGGGGTATGTACCTCAAGAAACACACCACCAGTCGTACTTTGCAACCACTTCTCCGACACGCGAATGTCGATCAGAGACTCGCTTCCAATCTTCTGAGCAGGAAGACAGGAAATAACGATAGTTGGAAGACGCATATACACAGGCCAGGGGTCATCAACTGATCGAATAACCTCCAGTTGGAACTCTGTGCCGAATTTAGCCTTGGCCCACTGGTGATAATACGCAGCGAGTTTCTGTGCATTGTTAACCGTCCTGTTATCGATGCAGATCTGACGAATGCCGAGCTGGTAGCAGGCATAGATGGCAGCACGGGCCATGCCGCCGGCTCCTATTATTAGGGCTGTTGTGCCCTCTCGGATGGTGTTTGCTGGTGAGAGATGATTATAGATGCAGTTTCTGATTCCAATGTAGTCAGTGTTGTAGCCTTTGCGGATTGACTTTCCACTGCCGTCCGGTTGGTGTTGTCTTTCTAGGACGACGGTGTTGACGGCGTTGATGTCTCGTGCGTCTGGGTTGATTTCGTCGAGGTATTCGAGGACTGCTGTTTTATAGGGTAGTGAGACTGCAATGCCGCCATAGGTTTCGTCATCGAGGATTGGCCGAATGTCTGACAGGGTATTTGCTTGTAGGGCATCGTAAACATGGGGAAGTCCGCAGGATGAATACGCTGCATTGTGCATCGCTGGTGAAAGGCTGTGCTGGACGGCTTGACCAACTATGGTGAAATGCTTTTTAGGGTTGAGGAAGCAAGCTGTAAGTGCCTTTTGCGCTTCAGATAGAGTGACTCCAAGTCCGTCGTAGCCAGGGATCATGACTGGGGACAAGATAGGGTTCAAGCAGACGGACGTCCGACCCAGTATTCCGGTATTGTACATTATAACTGAGATGCTGGAGTTCTGCAGTACGGCCTGCCTCAGAGCAATGCAGGAAAGGTTGTCTGCTGACAGGGCAGATTCACCGGTTATGCGGATGCACTCGAAGCCTAGCTCCTGGGCCATTCTAGGGAGGGTGTCGATTTCGGGAAGTTCACCTTTCCATCCCAAGGTGATTGCTTGGTGGTAGGTTGCTATTTTTTTGGTATGGCCCTTTATATTATTCAACGTTTGAATGGCGCTAGAGTTATGGTTGATGGAGCAGGTTATAGCATCTGGCGCCAGACGGAGAACCATTTGCAGGAGGTCTGTATATAAGTCTAGGTGCTGGTCTGTGGTACGTATATCCATGACGATAGGAATGCGAGAGCTCATTCGAAGAATCGCGACATACCGCGCGAGATGATGTATCGGCCCAGTTTTGTCAACTGTGTCGAGGTCGACTACCAGACTGATGGCGTCCGCCCCTGCATCTAGGGCTTCTAGATCGGGGTCGGAGTCCAGCCATGGCGCGGGAATCTGCAGTGCAAAAGTATGCGACGGGGAAAAGGCGTCTGATGAGAACAGAGGACTGTCATTATGTCCAAAAATGCGGTTTAGGAAGCGTACAAAGACCCGTTCGGTGTCTTTCAGCTTCAGGCTTGAGGGTACTCGGGTAGATGGCCGGGATTCCTCCAGATTAAAGAATTCAAAGTTTGAACAGGCTTCGAAGAATGCCTTTCCGACTTGCCGGTAGCGTTCAAATTTGTCCTCACTGGTTGTGACCAGCTGCCGTAATGCAGAGTCTGCTCGTCTGATGTATATCACCGGATGGTCCTGGGCGAATTGTTGCAATAAAGTTTGTTGCTGCTGGCTGGCAACGCCCCCAAGTCCGACAATAACGCACCCCTTTCCACATTTTGATAGTAGCTCCTGTGATAGTTGGCCCTCGACCGTGCGGTACTGCGCCATCCCATTGGCAGCAATATACTCCTGCGGCGACAAGTCGAAATGCTCCTTGAACACAGCGTCAAAGTCGACGAATCTGCGACGTAGGCTGACAGACGCAATGATACCGAGTGTTCTCTTTCCCGCTCTGGGGAATCCTATCAGAACTATCGTCGCATCAGGGCTGTACTGTCGGGTATAGCTGCGGAATCCGCCTTGGGAAAGATTCCCAGAGTCAGCCCCCTCTGTCGTGCAAGCACCAAACATGGTCTCTGGGGCCACATATTCTCGCGGCTTCCTCATATCCTAGCTCGAGAGGAAGTTATATTCTTCATGCTTCGGCAATCCTGGAACCACAATTGCCCAATCCATCGGCTAAACGCATAGCCTGTCACATGACCTGCTACTCCAGATCCTGCACATATGTCTCTACTTCCATGCGGAGATTCCACGCGGAGATATCTACGGGGTAATTAATTCCCATGTTCATCCATGTCGAGTCCTCGGCCTTGCAAGCGGCAGCGCATCTGCCGGGCCTGCGATCAGTGCCGCCGGCGCAAGTCAAAGTGTGATGGCGAACAGCCCGTGTGCCGTATATGCCAGGCGGCGGGTCGCAATTGTTCCTATGAGAACGGCGGTGGGCGACGGGGCTTACCTACGGGGTATGTGAGAGGACTTGAGACTGCGCTGGGATTGATGTTCCAGAAGAATCCAAGCTGTGAGAAAGATCTTCTCGTCCTGTTACGTGAACGTCGGACTGCGGCGTCTAGGAATCGGGCTGTGGATCGCTGGCGAAATTCCAAGGCTGCGACCATTCTATCACAGTCATCACCGGCTGGACCGGGAGATTTATCCACTGAAGAAAATGTCGATGATGATGGGGAGTGGGTGGTGGACGAGAAACACAATGCTCCTAGTGAACAAGAATCCGCAGCACCTCGCCCTAACGAAGCAGGCATCATTCAAAAAACGCCAAGTGCACAAACGGAGTGCAACGAAGCGATCGATATGCCCTTACCGAGTAATACATCGGAGCTGCTTGATGTCTATTTTGTTTATACACATTCGTGGTTTCCGATTCTCGAACGCCGTGTTCTGCTGCGAGCCATGTACACCTATCCAGGAGAACAGCCATTCCACAGCTCATGTCACTTCGTTCTCTGGGCTGTCATCGCCTATGCGAGCTTGATAAAAGGAGACAGTACATTGACTGTCACACCAACAGAAATTTCGCTCTGCATTCGGAAGAGAATCCTGTCTAACTCCATGACATTAGACTTGGATGTCGTTCGCGCCCTTATAATCCTTGTCCTAGTGCACCTTGACATTGGAGATATCCAGTTGGCCTGGGTATTAATAGGTCAGGCCGCCAGAATGCTATATCTTCTACCGAAATCGTCTCAAACTGGCCGATTCCGTAATGCATTCCATGGCTGCATGTTCTTGGACACCGTCATATCAGCGTTTCTGGGACGTGCACCCTCATTATCTACTGAGGAGCAGTTGAGCTGTGGCCCGGTAGAAGAAGACGATATGGAAGAATGGGATAGTTGGAGCATATCAGGCAATGTGGCAGGAAGAGGACCTCTCCAATCGTTAAGCATATTCAACCGACTAAGACAACTCACGCAGGTCCTTTCCAGCATCCTGTATCACTCGGACCATGGACCTGCGCATTCCTCTCTGGGAAATATCATCGAGAAGACCAAGGCTGTCCTGGAAAGACATCCATATACCGGCCGAGACTCAGCAACACCGCCACTGCTCACACTACATCTAACAACTGCGTTTGTGATTATGACAGCAATTCATCGCTTCGAAATATCAGACCCCTCTGCATTAGCGGAGACCTCGCATTGTTTAATGGGTTTATTGGGCGATTATACAGAAGTTATGAAGTCCTCAAGAGCATCCCCTCTGCTCCGTTACTTTGCGCTGCAGTGCCAGTATTGTCTCGAAGTCCAGCCCCAAAGCTATGAAATTGTCGTCTTGAGGAACCGCATTTCATCATACCTGGAAGAAATACCTGGAAGCCAGATTACCAACAACAAGGCCGCTGGGGATTCAAGCTTACTCGCCTCCGTTACCGATATAAACAGCGACCGATCTCATATTATTGGAAAACTGAATGCCAGAGAAATGCCATTCCTTGAACTGGAAAGCTATCCCCAATCAGCTACCGCGAATACCATGCAAATGCCATATGCAACTCCAGTCTCCAACATCGAGAACCTAACCACGGACAAGCCGTATGTGCCGCCCTCCCTGGGAGAAGCGGATGCATTTGATGAATTGTTCGAAGAGTTGGTGACTTCAATACCAAGTGCGAGGTATCCACTCCCTATCTACCTTGCGACATGCCTTGTTGCTAACTGTTATAGGCTCGAGCCGGAGTTTGCACACAATCTGGGCTTCTACGCCGGCGACCTCGACACCGACTTTATGACCCAGCTGCAGCGGTCACCGAATGGATGACCTGCCATTTCTACCATCATTGATATTAATTCATTAACCTATTGGCCTTAAGGACGTACAACGCCTTTCAGCCACCCCATACAGCCGAGATATCCGACGGCTAAAGCCTTTCCCGGGCTAGTGGCCTCGGCGACAGTTGACTAGGGCACTAAGATAAAACATCAACCTCCCTGATTCAGATGGATAGAGGCGAGTGGGCCTCTTAGAAGACTGAGCCGAGGATTCTCTCACCGGCAAGCGTCGCTGGAGGGATGGGATACAGGTGTAACAGATATTGTGTGGAGAAATATAGATAGTTCTCCATAAGAGATATACAACCTACTATACATAACCATATACCCTATAACAACTTTTATATACCTTCACAGCCTAATACTGACCATTCGGAATAAGCAAGGGCATCGAATCCTCCCAAATGGAGTCCGTCAAAACCTGCTTATTCCCCCCATCCGCATCCATAATGACAATCTGCCCATACGGCTGAAACGTATCATCATAAAGCGCACATTCATACTGGAACCCAAACATGCCCGTCGAATACATGATCCTACCATCATAACTCCAAACCGCATGCGCATCATTGCCACCGCTACTCGTCAACACCCGCAAATCACTCCCATCCGGCCGAATCGTACAGACATCATAGTTGTAAACCCCCGTCTTGCGTGTAAACACAATCCTCTCCCCATCCGGCGAGAAATAAGGCAGGTTGTCCCAGTCATTCGTCAGGACTGTAATATTCCTCGTCTCCAGATCCAAAACACGCAGTCCAAGCTGGCTCCGATCCCCCTTGGATGAATTCGCGCCCCACACTCTATACACGATCTTCTTTCCGTCGTGCGAGTAGGTCGGGAATCCAGAGTTGACCGCCGACGTATTCGTAAGCGTCTGGTTACTTTCCGTCAGTGTCTCGTGGTGAGATCCGTTTACTGTCGCTCGGACAAGCCACCCTCCCATCTCGCCGCGGGTCGTGAACCAGGCACCCTCGCCAAAGACGAGCCACTCGCTGTCTGGACTCCACGAGGGCTGGAATGCCCCTGCCAGACCCTGCCCGACAAGGGAGGACTCTACGAGATCAGTCTTGGAGTTATCGTACGCAACATGCTCATCCGATCCATCGGGGTTTAGGGTCACGACGGAGGAGTTCCCGAGCTGCTTCTCTGTCATGGCGAGGCGGTTCTGGCGGGACATTTGGGGGAAGACGTCGACGAAGCGGTAGTCCCAGGTTGTATCCCAGGCGTAGAGTTCCTTGTTGAGGGGGCGGACGTCCCACGCTGTTTTCTCGTATACGATGGATTTTCCATCTGGTGACCAGGATGGGGAGCGGATTGTCGTGTTGAGATATGTACCGGATGTGGTGTAGATTCCTTCTCTGGATGTTCCTTTCAGATGGTATCCGATTGTGCTGTTTGTGATGTATTGTGGGAATGCCTTGACGCCGGATCCCGAGACTTCCACGCGTCTATCTTTCCCTGTTGCGAAGTCGACGGAGACAAGGATCGAGCTAGTGGAATCGATTGATTCAGGTCTGTGTGCACCCCATGTTCCTTCACGGGTTATCTCGTAGTATACAATGCGCTTTCCGTCAGGGGACCATTTCGGCGAACCGAGTGAGTATCCAGGTTTCGTTGCGATCTGGCGAAACCCAGAGCCATCAGGACGAATGGCGTAGATGGAGAGTTCCTGCGTATGTTCCCACCCAGAGAGACCCTGGAACGTCTGATCACCGTGTCCAGCCCAGTTCGTATTCCGGTCCGACGAGAACGCAAGCCACCGTCCGTCTGGAGACCACGATGGACGGAAATACCCATTCATGAGGGTGTCGTTTGCGGCTGTCGCGGGGGTATCAGTTACATTCCACCGCCTGCCTGTCTTCAGATCCGTCACCCAGATATTCGCCCTGTATCCATTCGCTGTGGACACGTAGGCTGCTAAACTCCCATTCGGGGAGAGAACGACAGAATCCTCCATAGACGGTGTAGCGAGTAGCTCTTCCAAGCCCGACCCATCCGGGCGAACGCGGTAGATATCAGAGTTCCCATCTCCATTCCGCTCGCCCGTGAATGTAATCCATTGTCCATCTGGTGAGAACTCGGCGTGGTACTCGAAGATCGGGTCGGAGAGGAGAGGGCGTTCGTTTGTGCCGTCGGCGTTGGCGATGTACAGTTCTGATGTACCCGGTGCGATGCGGTTCATTAGGAAGACGCCTTTCTTGTTGGGTGCCGGGGGGGCCGCAGTGCGAGGAGTGTGAGCGTGCGACTTGGAACTGTCGCCGTCAAGACCGAGCTGGCTGGCATAGGGACAGGCACCCAATGCAGGGCCAGCGAGAAGACCGACGAGAGGCACGAAGGAGCCTGCGAGCAGCCGCATGGTCAGGGCAATCAGATAAGATGTCGGATCAGATTCTAGAAGCCCTAACGCAGGACCGGCAGGGAATTTCGCATTTTATATTCAAGGATCTGCATTGTATACTACGTTTGAAGAAATCATGTCCGAGGGCCGACTGTCGGGCTCTGCTGGTGCAACGTGGAGATTTGTTTCTAATTGATTAAAGGGCTGCTCTTTTATGGCTTGCAGTGGACTCTTCAGACCTGCCTACTGACCTGGTTCAGGCCAGCAGATACTATATCGTAACTATAGTGGCTGTAGTTTGTACGTAACCGGTTCATAGGGGCCGACTTCGGGGGAAACTCGGTGGTCCAACTTTTAAATCCCGGTGAAGACGCACGTATAGTAGATGTGGGGAACCAGCAGGATTATCAGATCTAGGCGTCAGCGTTGCATTATATCTGCCTGGAATTGTCCACTCGGGCTGCTGCTGTGCCTGCACACTGCAATGTGTATGCTGGAATTGTGCAGCCTATGCAGTGGGAGGTCTCCACACCCCACAATGGCACAGTGGTTTAAAATTCTGATCGGCACACTGCCAAAGAGACTGCGGAGTCTAAACTGCATCGAGGCTGCAAGTCTCAGATTCAGGAACAGCGCGCGGTAAAGTCCGAGGGCAGTGAAACCTGCATATGGAAAGCCCGGACACCTCAGGGTGCAGGGAAGCTTGATATAGAACCAACAACGCAACATTCTGCCTTATATCAATTCAACGTGTTTAGATCCTGAATCACGGATACAGATGACGAACCACGCAGATCCCACGTAAACACTGTGTCGGGTCATCCCGACGCTGAACTCTGGAGCCTACTATACGCTGAACTCTGGAGCCTACTATACGCTGAACTCTGGAGCCTACTATACGCTGCTTAAATTCTCATGGGCTACGCAACGAACACTTAACCATTGAACAGCTTCAAGTCAAAATGCCTTCTGATAAATACACCATCAGACAATTCGAGGCGAGTGATGTCGCTGCGACCGGGGAACTGCTCTTCACCCAGAAGCTGGGACTCACTATCAACCGCCTCCTATTCAAGAACTGGCCTAATGAAGAAGCCCAGCGGAAGAACTACACCAGTACCCTGGCGAACCTCGACCCTGCCACCATGGAAGCCCTGACCGTGGTTGAGAATGCCTCTGGGGAGATTGTTGGACATCTCATCATGACCAGGAAGAGGCCTGCACCGAAAACGGAGAACGCTGGTAATGGCAAAGAAGGAGAGGTCCCAGATCACTTCAATGCCGATGTCCTATCTGCTGTTATGAGGGTCGCCAGTGAGCTCGATGTCGTCATGAAGGACACAGATCACATTGGTACGTTATACCAACATTGCTCTATATACTATACTAACATTCAGTAGAGCTAACGTATATGATCGTGAAACCCGAGCACCGTGGACAGGGCCTCGGACAGTCCCTGTTATCCCATGTGGCCAACAAGGCAAAGATAGAAGGGGTGCCTGTGGCTCTGGTATCGGAACCGCAGGCTTACGGCTACTGGGAGAAAAAGGGCTTCACGGAGACGGAGTATCGAGATATCGACCTGGCGCAGTGGGCACCTCCTCATTCGGGCTTTGGGACTTTCCGGCTGTCTGGGATGGTTTTGAACCCTAGTTCCTGATCATCGAATGCCAGGAGATCCAAGGAATTTTTGAAAGCCTCGCCTAACCTACTGGAATCAAACACAAGCAGCTCATTATTCCCCTTGAATCTAACAAGGATTGTGCACAAATAGTTGAATGGTATTCACAATAGCATTGGTTTCCTAAGAAAGGCTGAGTAGGTATAAACAAGCATATTCTTTGAAAGGTTTCCAACTTCATACATAGACTCCTAGAACGCCACCCATTCACTATATCTACTTGAACTATCCCAGAGACAACTTAGGCCAGCAAAATTCCCACACGCTAATACCAAGATGGCAATGACAGACATGAATGGTTCAACTCTGACTTACTGCAAGTGCTGCAATCGCCTGATGACTGATATGTGCTTCCGGCTCCTACAGGCAGGGGTCCCCCAACGAGGCCTAATAATCCCAGAGAGCACAACAGCCGCTGCATTCCAATTCCAGAGTTATACACCACTATTCCAGGAGATCCCCAACGAGGCGTTCGGGCTCGCAATCCACGCCGCAATCCAGGGTTTCATTACTACAGCGACCGGAATGCAAACACCCATCTATGTGAGCATTGCGCGACGGCCTGTAGGGTTGGAATATACTACTGGTCTCACACTGGTGATCGGGGTGCTGGTGGACATCCCCGCCGGCGTCGTTGTGTCACCGGAACTGTTGAGCCATATCGCCGTGAATCTCCCCATCTTTGGTGGAGGGGAGTGGAGATGGGCCGTGACGCCCGAGGATGTCTTCCCTGTGATGTGGCGGTTGCAGTGGTTTGAGGAGATTATTAAACATCCCTGGGCTCCGTGTATATGGACTACGCTTATTATGACGGGGCCGGGGACACAGTCGGCTTTGGATTTGGCTCCGAATGTTTAGCTTGTGTCCTCTAGTTTGCAGTTTCTGGTTATCTTGTTAGTTATATAAAATAAATGATGAGCCAAATTGCACCACGACATAACAACACTAACGTTCAGGACGGCTGTGCATCGAGTGTGGGAGTGGTCAATGAAACAATGAAAATATATCGAAACACGTCAGCATGATCAGCAGCATCGTTCTCCAGTAATGACCCTCTTGGCCATAGTGATCTCTTTATCCTTTGTATAACCTCTTGCGACGACAATTATCGGACACAACGGGCTTTGATATTGTTATACAAGGGCAGCGTCAAACGAGCCTGGAATATCCGAAAGTTCAACAACGATATAAATAAAGCTATTCCGTGTGTCGAATATACTTGTGTTGCCAAGCCTCTGCTATACTAATCATTGAGTTATCTTTAACATCTGAAAGTGTAGCACTGTTTGAAACACCGATATGGATTCCCAGCGAACCAAGCTGTGCCGCAAGGGTCAAAAGCTCTCAGATATTATCTCTACTAAAGGATCACTGGGAAGTCAATTTATCAGACGCCCAAAGGCCACTCGTCCACTGATCCTCGAAACGAAAGGGGCGGTCCAAACCGCTAACCTAGGTAGAAGCACCTCAAAGCTAAGCAGCCAGCTAGACGAGGTAATCACCAGACACGTCTTGCTGGACAAGCAGTATCCCGGGCCAGCGTACTTCACGGTTCTGCGGAGGCGGCACCTTTGGGAAAACGATGGAGCCCCAGTGTCGGTGATGTTGGATATTCCGGATTACATCGCGGAGCGCATTACGCACAATCCTGCCGCCATGGACGGTGCATTAATGAATTTGCCCAAGCTTGTTGGGTGTGTCTGGAAGTTTAGATTGTGCAGCTCTAAGAAAGCAGATCTGCTCCGCTTGCAGTGGTTTTATGATCACCTGGTGGATGCTAAAGAGGCCCCTCGAGCTGGGACATTTGGTGCCATATGTGAGGGGAAGAGTGGTAGTGATAGCAGCAGTTGATTAGGAAAGGCCTCTAGTCTTAGCAAATTTTAGATATACATATGCGGTATTATTCGAAATGAACAGAGTATTCTCATAGCATAGCTTTTTGTTGGAATCACAAAGATGTGATCCTCCAGGTGGTACAGGCGTTATAAAGTGGCATAGTCGCACTCCATTAAGCAACGGGGTATGCCTTGCATATAGTGAGTCCCAATAGAATATACAAGGCAATCTCTTTTATAATCACAGAACCCAGAATCCGGGTTTGATAGATGACAAAGTCTCCTATAAGGGTTCATCCATAACAGATACACAGCTTTGTAGACCCTGCCTTTCAACCACTTACAAAGAATAACCGGGGCCATGCTCAGTTGGTTGAAATATAAATACTGCCAAATATTCAATTCTATCAGATGTCTAGTAAGCAATCGAAGATCTGGTACTTTCTCTGCATTGACACCGCATCACGATAATGGCTTCTGAATCAACGTCCAACCTGCGCGAGGAGGCTGTGTATAGGCCACCATCACCCTCCAGCTCATGCCGGGAGTGCCTGAAAATACACAAGTCTCAACTGCCGGTGGAGTTCCACTGCTCGAAAGACTACGTTCCGCCTAAGACAGTCCCCCTCTTCTTCTGGATCGAGAAGGTCAATCCACCGTCTCGCATGAATGATGAAGGATCGTGGCTGCCGGGTCAACAGTTTGAAGAAGCAATTCACAAGCATATTGGCAAAAGGTCGTCCTGCGACGGAAGCTCCTTTCCTAGCGTTAGGGATGAAAGTGTGCCCCAGCCGAATATATGGAGAGAGCCATTTTCGTACAAGATAGACATCCCCCACGGGCTAGCCGACGACTTCAAAAAGAACCCCGACAAGATGGAGGCCTTTTTATCAGACCTGCCGCAGCAATTGGGATGTAAATGGGCCTATAACTTACCTTCAAACGGCAGCCACGCTCGTTCCCAATCGTTGTCGGAGGCCTGACTCCTTGAAATGAGTCCAGGCCGACGGAGTATCAGGGATAAAGGACTCATGATGCAGTACGTGCAGGTGATATATTCTTGATTGCTCTGACAGCATGAGCTTATATCAACGGTGCTTATCAGTATTAGTCTTGACTGTTCCTGCCCATCCAGGATGTGTTTGCTGCGCGCATCATATAGTGGTAGTTATGTTTTTAAAGTGTGTATAAATTTGCGAATTCTATCTTTCAATGCTCGTCCAACACGTATACGTCACGTTATGCAACTCAAGGTTCCCTAAATTAGACTGGATGCAATGTTTCTAACTGTCATAGGACTTATTTCCCGTAGAGGAGGATGGTGTCAACTCAAGCCACGAGGTCGTCCTAAGCCATTGTTCATCGTAGCCGCCTACAATGCACGCTGTCAGCTTTTTCTAGATATACTAAGACGCCTGATTCTTTGTTGTCCTGTTACTACAGGGGCACTCAGGGTCTCCCTGTGTTTGATGATAATGCAACTCGCATGAAAGAGGCTTCAATGACAGCCTCTTTACCAATATGACAATGGCTGAAACAACGCCTAATCAACTGAAAAGAATATATATGATGTTTATTATCCTTTGCGCGAGGGTTGTTATCAGCCAGCGTACCATAGTGCACTCACTGGCTTCGAATATCCTATATTCCAAAAACCAGTACAAATGGCTTGCGAGTCACTGCACAACCTATGCGCTAAGTGCAATGCCCACTTGGACTCTATTAGATATGTGATACCAGAGCCGTTCCATAAGCATCCAAAGAGAACCACACCAGTTATCTTCTATACAAGAGGCAACAGCCAACCTGGGAAAGTGGTAACCAGCTATGTGAAATTATTGACAGACATAGGGACAGCCGTTATCAACCATATTTGGGCTGACAGTGATGAACCTGGCTCAATCCATGTTAGACTAACAGAGACAAATGGCAGAGTGGCCGCAGAGCCAATTGATGTCATGATAGATGTGCCGACGCATCTCGCTGCGGAGTTGGAGCGAAACCCTGATAGAATAACAGCGATTCTGAGTGAGCTACCCAGATTGGATGGATTTGAATGGAATTATGAACCGCCCAAGTCCCATGCCAATCTCTCGCGCTTACACTGGTTCGATGCCAAAGTCAAACAGCGCGGTCGGTGGCAGTTGTGTGAAATCGACATCGATGCTCACAAGAGGTATATTGGGCCTGGGATTCTTCGCTTCTTGAGACGGAACTTCCACCTCTTGGGGTTCCGACTCAGAGTTCTTGGGGCTAGGATATTGTACTTCTATACCTTCACCATTCGCCAGTTTTCGCACTTTGCGAGATATGTTTCTGCGTTGCGTTCCTACCTGTGTCACTGGGCTGTTCATTTCAAGTGCTAGCTGTTGCGGACAATATTTGTGACTCACGTATCCTAGTATGCCTTGGGCTGCAGTGGGGTACTAAAAGTTGTTTTATTTTGTGTTTAGCGTCCTTCAACATCCTGTCAGCGGATAAATGATAATATGGAAAAGTGATACTTGCTTGCTAGATTTTCGCAGGTTGATAATATGAATTGGTTATAGTTAACCGTGGGAAACCTCACCTTGAGGTGTAAATAGGCATCGTCGGCACTAGAAAAAGATATCCTGTGAAATGCAGCCTAGCTGTGCATATAGATGGCGATGTAGTGAGGGCTTTTATTGTATTCTCAACAGGTAATCATTATTAGTGCATCGATATATGGATGCATTATAGAATGTCTCCGCTGGGAGTTGTATTTGTGATTTATTAGTATGGTAGATGGCATATTGGACAAAGGCAACTAAAGGGGAAACAAAGCAAGGAATTCATAGGGCTATTGTCACAAATCCGCCTTTATGCTTTCTGGCGCGTTTAGGGATTTATATAAAGGCAGGAAACCCCCGGGTGCAGTAGGAATATACATAATTGGTACACAACAAATACTTTGTTGCTAATATATATACCCGAGAGATTATTGACAGAAGCCTACCGACAGAAACACCGTTTACGAAATAATATGAATTCTGCACCAGGGAATCCGTGGACAAATACCGAAACTCCAGATGACGCCCCATTCAGCGAGAGGGGCTTTGGAAATCTCGGAAATGCAAAGCCCGCTGCGCCTAACAGCACGGCATCTATGAAAGGCTCTGATAACGAGGATAGTGTTGATAAAGGCGGAAGGGGGTTCCTCTTCACTGAGAAGAACGATGACAAGCCTCCAGAGAATCCAGTTGCTGGTGCTACTGAAGACAGTAAAGGGAGTACGGGGAAAGACCTAAAGAGTCCTGCCTCTGTTGAGAAGGACATCGAAGTTCCTCCCGCGGGCAACACGGAATCCGCGAAAGGGCCAAACGGCAAGAAGAACTCTAAGAAAGGCAAGGGAAATAATGGGAAAGGCCGGAAGAGTCCTGTATCTACCGACAAGGACAATGACGACTCGCAAGAGCAGCCAACTCCTGATGCTACCGACGAACGCATGCCCAAGATTGCTGCCATTCCGTCAAAGGACTCACCGTCCGGTATACCGCCGGGGCCTCCATCCTTCGCCGGTGGTAAGCTGCCATCATCTAATCTAGGTAGTGTTGCCTCCAGGGTGAAGGCGCTGGATGATACCGTACCAGCCCATCCCAGCCGTCCAAGTATAAACTCGACGAAAGACTCAGCACCGAGTCCACTTCCAGCCCCGTTGTCACCTGGATCTCGGAAGAGTCCCGAATCCACACTCAAGGACAGCCTGCCATCAAGCACAAACTGGATGGTGCCATCCGCCCCCTCATCAGTGACCTCCGTGGGCATCCCTGACTTGTCTCAAAGCCCACAAGAACCGTTATCGAGGAAGCCATCTCCTTTGCCGTTCGGACGAGGATCCATAAAACCCGATACGGATCTCAACCAGTCGCCCAATTCCGTGGAATCGAGCGTATCCAGTGACAGAGATTCTGCAATCGAAGGCAGGGCTCCGAGCCCCGAAGAAACACTTTCGAGGAAGACATCTGATATGTGCCTTCGAGGCGGATATATACAATCCGGCTCCGATAGCGGGGTACCTAGTCAGCCACGCAGGTCTATGCAATGGGACTCACCTAGAGAGGATGATAATGGGATGGAGTTCCCCAGTGCCTCGCATGAGGTGGACAATCCGCCGTTGGAACCGGCTTCTTATGACGACTTGTACGACGCATCTCCTCGATCATCACAGTCTCGTCTATCTCCGGCCATAGATACATCGGGCTCCAGGTCTCCCCAGGACTCTGGCTCGAATATACAGCCAACGTGGGATACATCTACTCATGAGGGCCAGGGCGAATTCAAGAAGACCAACAGGCTATGCGACGAGTGCTCCAGAATTCTACGTTATATCTCATCTTCGGTTCCGAGCAAATACCTTCATTGCCGACGAAATATACACCCCGTGACGCTCAGATGCACAATATGGGGAACCGTTGATTATGCCAGTGAGGTCGCTTCCTCTGTCTCATGGCATCTACATAGGACCGTTTCTCAAGATATCCGCGTCCATGCCGCCGTTAGACGCGCAGCCAGTGCATCGCACAGGGAGGGACGGTGGTACGATGTAACAAGTCCAGACCTCCCAGGGCCAGTAAATCGGCAACCATCCCACCAGGTAAAGAGTGTCAAGCTGCATCCTTCTCTACTGGAATTTATCTTCTGGCCGAGTTCTTGGTCGTCGTCTTCATCTTCGACTAAGCCCCTGGGGAAGGAATGCGATAGACGGCCGCGGGATTTCACAATCTTGATTGACTTCCCTATGCCTGTCGATGCGTCGGTTGAGAGGTATATCACTTCTGCGCTTCCAAATACATGCACAAGACCGAAAATGAGGATAATCAAGTCCCATCGCTCTTTCCACCGACTGAGGTGGTGGGCGAGGACACACCCTGCTCAAAGCAGCAGCCACACGTCTGGTGAGGAGCCAAGCAGCCGTAGACATAGGCGTCATTTGTCTTATCGACACTAAAAAGAAAGCTTTGTGTATTTGAAAACATCCATAACGTTCGTTGTTCTTTTATATACAGTTGAACCACTCCCAAAAAATAAATAAACAAAGCACATATAAAATGAAAGTCAAGTCACTGTGACGAGTCTAACAATCCTCTTTGAGCCATACTCCCAGTCCATGGAGTCTTATTAGTTTACTGAGTACCTATGTGGGAGCAATATGTTGGTTTGAGACACAAAGACCGTCAGGTCGCAACAATATTACAAACAAAGAGTCTGGTGAGGATGAAAACCATCTTCCCTTTATTCAGACCGATATATAATAAAAGACTATCAGTTTCTTCAATCGGTATTGCCAGTTCTTCATCTTTATGCATCCCACCTTCACCAGCTATCGAGAGCTTCATATCAAAATTGGTATACATCAAAAGTTCCAAAATGCGCTGCACAACTCTAGTTAACATGTGCGCTGAGTGCAGCAAGCAGTACGCTGGTATCCGGCAGAGAACCCTCGATCACACAATTGGAATGAAGCCAAACATCTATCCAGTTGCATTTCGAGCCCAGCTGTCAAAATATGAAGTACCATTTGACTATGTGCTGTCAATAACAGAGCGCACCCAGGAGACTTTATATCAGATATTCGGCCGTGATATCCCTGTTATCGGATGCAGCAGCCTTCCCGACGGTTACTACGATAGCAGGGTATGGGTGTCTATCCTGATTGAATTTCCGGAGGATGATAAAGATATCATAGCGAAGATGTTTGGTGGGGATACGGGGCTTGCTGAAGGTTGGGAGTGTTTGATGCCAAAGGGGTGTCCAAGTGCATTCTATTTAGAATGGCATAAGGATCCGGTGACGTTGGGTATTAAGGTCTGATCGATGTATAGAGAGCTGCACTTCACATTGTTGATATGCAGCTGTCAATTCTAATGCTGACGTGTGCATTTGAAAGCAATGAGGGTAAACATCCCCTGGCTTTCCCTGACTATCCTCTCACCTGCGGGCGTGTCACATATGGCTAATGACTGTTTCTAGTTCTCTATACTCTATAGGTAACTCTTTCTAGGCCCTATGTTAGTGATGGTCTGGATGGCTGGCCACGTTTTACCGTGAAACTGCATTTACCATTTTCTTTTGTTTTATATGAAAGAGTCTTTATATACAGGACAATGGTCACATAGAAATAAATGAACAGCAGAAGTTGATATATGAAATTGAAACTCAACAACAATAGCCATTGAAGTAGTGCATCTGCCTTTATGTACAGCGACATATAACAGCAGTAACCGGCCCAGTATCGTAAGCAGTACGGAGTATAGATCCAGACCTGACTGACTTGCAACATTGAGACAAAATGCCCAACTACAAATCCAAGTTCACCGAAATGTTCGACAACAAAACCGCATGCAAACACACCACTCCTTCCAAAGAAGGCACCAAAATGTGCGATCCCTGCTGGACTAAATGGGAAACCCAACACCGCCAAATGGGCATCACGGATCCACGTTCACTCAGGTCAGTACCTCAGAGACCCCTCGACACCGTAGCCGAGGAGCCCGAGCCTGGATGCTCAAATTTAAAACTATGCACTGACTTCAGCAAGATGTGCGAGTACTGCCTGGAGCGATTCGAAGCCGGAGATGCACAGGGGGCAGCGGTCCACCCCTGCATAGACCAGGCAACAAGGTGCGACTACTGCTGGACGGCCTACGAAGTCCCCGTCGCTGACTACCAGAAGGTTGCAGAAGCGACAGACCCGTGTTTAAGCCCCGTCACGATGTGTGATTACTGTCGGGCTGCGTTCAAGGTTTATAGCAAGCATAACCCGGTAGAGGCACTGCTGCAGAAACCGGGGACGTACCCGGTGAAGTTCCGTCGTTTGCTTGATCAACAGTCTGTTGGACCTGACTTTGCCAAGGAGGTCAGCCGGGCTTTGGCGCAGAGATTGGAGAGACGGTATAAGAAGAGGGTGCGTGTGCATGTTTCGAATCATGTCCCTGAGAAAGATGGCAGCTTTGAGACAGGAGCTTGGGTGTTGGTGGACTTTCCTGAAGTGGTCAGACCTGATAGGGAGATGTGCAGGGATCTCTTTGGTGGACTTCCATGTGGCAGTCGAGGGTGGTCTGTCATTCTTCCTTCGGCGAAAGGGTGTGTTGGTGAGTTTCGTATGCACTGGTTTGATAGTCCCAGGGTTGAATGGAATAGTATCTTTTAGTAGCTGTATCTATATATGGACATGATTAAACAGATTCTATTTTAATTGTCAAAAGCTGGCCCATTCTACTATAAGACGTATGTCATGGCATATTCCATGATACTGCAACAAAAAGGTGTACCCTATAGAACTCCTTCGTGTGAATACACAGCCAGTGGTATGGCCTTTGTACAACTCTCCTTCACTCGGCTCTTCACTCAAGGAATTTAACAGGACCTACAAAGAATATAATAATAATTGCCGAACGTGAATCATAACAAAGAACAAAGTCCTCTATATTTGATTCCAATATAAAATATCTATCCTGGGTAACAGAATCCCCGTCACACCTCCACTATAACATTCAGAATGGAGATTCAGCATTTAACGTCACGATTGAAAGACATCTTAATAGATCCAGAGAATGCCAACATGGAAACATTTCCAATCGAGACCACGTATACCTGCAAAATTCCAGCCACAAACGAGAACCCCCTCTGCCTCCAATGCCAGACCCTCTACACACAACTCGAGCCGTATATCGAAGACAAGACCATTCCTCAAGCCAACCCTCCACATCGAAGAGGCAGCATCAAGCTTACGAAACTCAAAGGTACCATTCATCCCGACGAGCTTAACCAAACCTCATACCCATTCACCTGGTACATGTCGACCGATTTCCGCCGAATCCCTAATGATACCTTAGTCGACGAAATGGGAGAACATCTGCTGCAGGTCCTGCCGTACGTGCTCATAGGGAATGTCCGCATCCACGCAGCCTTAGTGGAAAACGATGGTCGTGTTACTGCGCATTTCATGATTGATGCCGACAATGGGCGTATACCGGAGAAGAAGTGGTTTCGTGGAATGTGGACGCGGTATGCGGCGGACTATGACTCTTTGGAGATTTACGATGGGGGGAGTGATCCTCTACGAAGGCGACTGTTGTTTTTTAAGGCGGCGCTGGATGTGGATGAGTTGAATTTGGAATATGATGTTCATTAATTTAGGACGGTTACTGGCATTAATTGGTTATGCTTGACCAAATAATCGATTTAATGAAGTACATGTATCGTCTCGCTATGCTCATATACACCCGATGCAGACACCAATATAACGCCGCCATGCTGTATCTGACTCAACTAGTACCAACAAGTATATAAATCATTCCAAATCCTGCGCCGCCCTCTCCAGATCCGGAATCCTATGCTGTCCAAACCGCGTTCTCTTCCTCGCATTCCTCTCCTTCAGCAAGAACGCCCTCTTCCTGCGTCGAGGCGGATAATTAATCGGGCTCTCACCCCCGGTAAAGATAATCAAATCGTAAAGAAATCCTCCAAACAAGCCGCCAAATATATCAGCAATCCAAGTCCCCCAAACCCACCATGCATTGCGCTCGCGGAACAAATGTCCTCCCCAGCCCGCCATAACAGCGACAAGTCTTCCCCCGAAATCACGAGCTGGGTTGAAGCATCCTCCTGTAGTGAAGCCAAGTGCGAGTATAAGAACGGTAATAAGAAGGCCGATGATGAATGCCTGCATACCGGCCCCAGGCGGCGCATTGGTATCGTCACCCAGAGCCAGGATTACACCGACGAGAATCGCACAGCCGACAAACTCGCTGAAGAAGGCTGCAGCGGGGTGTACGAATTCCTTGGGCATCGTGACCATAGCCTGCTTCGCGAGGGACTGTGACTGTGGGACATTGCTGATCGCTGCAATCTGGACGATTGAATCATGGTAGATGGCGTATGCAATCCCACTGGCAGTAATAGCCCCGATGATCTGAGCAGCGGTGTATGTTAAACATCGCCGTGCCGGGAATCCACGCCAGACAGCAAGAGAGATCGTGATAGCCGGATTAAGATGTCCACCAGAAATCCCACCGGCGACATAGATGGCAATCATAAAGGCGAATCCCCAAGCTGCAGCAAGAGAAGGGAACGAACCCGCCTGGTTCTGCGATGTGAATGTGGATAGACCCGCGCAGAGACCGAGCGTCATTGCAACAGTCACGCCCAGCCATTCTGCTAATTCCTGGCGGAGAAAGTGTCGGCATTTGCCCCAGGCGTTGAAGAAGTCTCGGTTATCCTTTGTGGACTGCTGCGCTTCGAGCTTACCCTGTTCTTCCTCCTTGTCTGCGGGCGTCGCGGCGGGTGGTTCAGTCGAGGCAGGTTGGTTGTCGGCGTTTACATTCGGTCTGGAGACGCTTTCCTGTCCGTGGTCGTCTTCGCCAGTTTCCTTGTCCTCCGATCGCATCCCGCTGCGCACGACATGGGGCAGTGGTTGTGCAAGACTCCATACTGGCTTGTCCTGGTGTTTCTGGCTATACTGCGGGTTGAGGCTGATGTAGTCTGGGTGTAGGTATGCGATGCCCTGGTTTGAGGTTTGGGGAGGGCCGGCTAGTGACATGAAGCCGGGGTTTTGGTTGGTATGGGTTTCATTATGGGATATTGTTCGCGTTGAGCTGAGGGATGTTTCTATCGCCATTAGCTGGATGCTCGAGTAGTGGTATAGGGGCGCATACCGTTGTTGTCGCCGACAGGCCCATTGTTGCTCCTCATTGTGTCTGAGTATATGGTCAATATGAAAAAATATTTTAAGTCATTTCGCGGGATCTTTTATATTTCGGGCTGTCAGAGATTTTTGCAGTTGGTGGTGATGGCGAGATTACATCACAGACTGTCCATTGTTCCATTGTTGGAATTTGCCATCAACAGTTGACTCAATCTTACCAAAGATAAAGGGCGATTACGTCAATATGATTGCTCAGATTTTCAGATGCGCGTAGTTCCCCAGCAAAGGACTGACTGTTACCATGAGCCATGCTGCATACAAAGCCTGGCTAGCCCTGCAATGGCTGATCAGACCCCGGTAGATATGACACAATCCCGTCAATATCCACAATTCTGACTGGCATCTGGTCCGATTGGCGGGTCTTCAAACCAGCGGTGAATTCGCCGTCTGTCACCCAAGTCTCGGCTTCGGTTCATACCTTGGTTGGCACTGCTAAGCTGGTTCAGGGTCTGCTATCAGTCTGACTGTTCCACCGGAGGCCATATGGCTGGTTAGCAGTGTGCCACTTTCATAATCGACGTGCACTACATGAGATGCTCTTTGACTGTTAAAGTGGCGTTGTACTGCTGCTCAGACTATAGCGAAGGCAAAATATACTCATTGCATAAAATCAAATAATACAACAAAGGTGACAGTGAATAACTACAACTCCCCAGCCAGCCAGCCCTCCACCATCTCCCCAAAGTCAGGGCCATACAGCCACCCCAGCTCAAAAGATTCATGCTCCTCCTGATCAAGCGAATCCCTGGGCATCCTCCTCTTATCAATCTGAGCATTCAACGCCAAAACCCTGTCGACTCTCTCCTGCCGTCCCTTTTGCCAAATCTTCAACCCCCGCTGGAAATCCTCCTTTACACGGCCAATGATCAAAGCAAAGGTAAACACATCTTCAAACGCCTGATTAATCCCCTGGCCCGCAGTAGGCGGAATCGCATGCGCCGCATCCCCAAGGATAATCACCCTCGCATGACGCGAACTCCACCTCTCAAGCTTAGGGACAACATAAAACGGCCATAGATTGATTGTCTCGGTCTTAATCTCCGAGACCGCATTCTGTGCCACAGCTGGGAAGGAGGCGATATCCTTGCGCAGATACTCAATGCACCACTCCTTATCATTAAGCAGCGCATTCCACCCATCCCGATCCAGTTCCGGAGCACGTTTTTGCCGTCCAATAAACACCTCCGACCCATCGGCCTTTTGCGGCGCAATTACGAAAGCCCCGTGCGTTCTGTTCATAATCGTCGTGGGCAGGTTATACCCTGACGGAAGGTTCAGCTGCGCCGTCGGCACCGCGGCCGAAACACCCATGGCCTTGGTGAACACCGGCTCTAAATCTGGATAGAGGTATTTCCTCACTTTGGAATGAATCCCGTCGGCGCCGACGAGGACTGCCGCAGTCACTGTGCTTCCGTCGTCAAACGACCAAGTCACAGTAGAGGATGTTTCCTCGGTAACAGCGGAGAACTTTTTATTGTAGAGAATGGGCACACCGGCATCCTGAACACGGGTTGAAAGTTCACGGATGAAAATATTCCTGTAGATGCGCAGCGCCCTGTACCCGTATTTCTCCTCTGAGCCGAACTCGTAGCTGTCGAGGGGAGAGTCGTCTTCTGTGCGGAAATGGAGGTCGTTGAATTCGTGGCCTTGGGTGCGTATGCTTTGGTAGACGTCGAGACTGTCGAGGATGCGCAGGGCGTTGGGGGAGAGCATTACTGCCCCGCCGATGTCGAGGGGGGCTGAGCGCGCTTCGTAGAGAGTGCAGGGGATGGATTGTTGATGCAGGGCTAGAGCGAGGGTTAGGCCTGAGAGGCCGGCGCCGATGATGGCGACGTGGGTGGACATGTTATCCTGTTAATGCAGAGTGTTGTTGTTGATGGATGTTAGATGGGTAGTCCGTCTTATATATAGACCGTTGATGCTGACAGTGGGGATGAATAGTCCATCTCATATATAGACCGTTGCGGCTGAGAGTGGGACATCCGGATCCGAGCTCGGATCCGGGACATGTCCGACAGTCTGGAGATAATCCACCATCCAGTTCCACCTGCCAGGTGGCTTATAGGCTTATGCTGTAGTGCTGAAGAACCGTTGATCTACGCTCCAGGCTGGCCTAGTTAGTGTGAAATCATGCAGGTAATTCCGTGTCTAATGGACTATATTGCTCTACGCCCGGACCACATTTAGTACTCCGTACCCCGTACAATCCAACTCATCACTCATTTCATTTCTCATATATATTTTGTATACTGAACATATTCAACGACTAGGCATTTCCGAAATATGCCCCAACGGTCCCGTCGTCGAACCCGAACGGGTTCACCATGAAGTTGTTAAACTCCGCGGCCAGCACGGGGTCGTCGCCTAGGAAGTCCGGTATTTCAGCCATAGACGCAGACGGGTAGGCCGGGCCTTGCGGCGTGAATATAGGCTGGGATGGGTGCATCTAGAACTATCATTAACATTTATCACTGTTGAAATTTGTAGAGCATACCTGTGGAGCCGACTGAGGCATCTGCGTATGAACCTGAGCCGGAACCTGACTCTGAGCTGGAACGTGGATCTGATTCTGTACTCCATCTTGCACATACTGCTGCTGCTGCGGTTTCTCTATCGTCGAAGCCAGATGTGCCCGACAAGTCATCATCGCCTTCAACACGCCCTGTTTAACAATCTCCCTCTGGTTCTCCTCGGATCCACGCGCACGGATCAGATTCAGAACCACAGACAGAAGCAGTATATCTTTCAACTCGCTGCCTGGTCGATCCGTCGTGCGCGCCATACCGTCAATAGCACTTTCAACAGCACGGATGAGATTCGCTTTACTATGTGGTGCGCGCCAGGGACTAGGCGCTAGCCTCATGTATGCGCAGACGCTTAGCGCCGCCTGCAGGATGTCGTTGCGGCAAAAAGCCTGGAAGAGCTGCCAATAGCCCGGGAGGTTCTGGTAGTCGATGTCAGAGACAGTGGGGTCGAAGTAGTCCTGGTAGGAGAGGACGGAGAGGGAGGAGTTGAGCAGGATGTCCCACACCTCTGGCGGTGTTTCGGCGGCGCCGCATTTTTTGATGATGGAGCGGTAAAGACTTATTAACGGCCGGCGGATGTATAGGTTTAGACGGACGCGGTTGAAGAGTTGTAGGGCTGGTGCGTCGGGGATGGCTGGGGGGTCGAGGCGAAGCGGAGGTGGGATCTGGTCGAGGCATTCGGCTATCCGGCGGCCTTGCGCCATTGCGTCGTCGAGGTCGAGGTTTGGGCCGGGGGTTTGTACCATGGCCATTGCGCGGATGCGTGCTGAGAGGGACATGGCCAGGGTGATGTGGGTGAGGGTGTCTGTCCATTCGGTGAATGGCTTTGCAGGGGGCAGCTCGGTCATGTCTGGGTGGTAGTCGACGTCGCAGATATTTAGTGGCATCAGCGGAGTGAAGTCAATGTCGGGGATGGTTATTGGCATGCCGGACAAGATGGATGATTGCAAGTCAAGCTCGACGACTGTAATCCACAGTCGACGCCGCAGTTCCTTCTGGAAGACTGACAGGTCGGTGCATGCACTCAGGTCCAGATGCAGACCCATTACCATCGCCGACCGCACGAGAGCCCCTGTGTTCCGCCAGACCTCCTCTGGGGTCTCAAAGTGCATATGGCGCGCTGAGAGTGCCAGGGTTTCTGTCTGGAGGTTGGTGAGCTCTGTCCGCTGCTTCCGGGAGAGCTTCGACAGCCATGACCGGACGAGATTGATTGCAGGTTTCTGCAGGTATTCAACAACGGCTGGATACGCCTGGTGGAAATCCTCATCTACCAGAGCCACAGTCGCAGCCATAATAACCGTCAGCTGCGGTACGAACATGTTGTACTGCTCGCTTCCCCGGTCAGGATTGCTCCAGAACTCGGTGTACTGCCGGTACAGCGTCGGGATGTGGAAGACGCGCATGGCGTCTTCAAAGTTGGTCGTATACGTCCCCATCAGTTTGTCACAGACCTCCATGGGCGGCATGTTCTGTTCCATCTGCTGTAACTCTATAGAGGCGTCCAGGTCTGGCTGTGAGTCTGGGGTATCAACCGGCAACGTGGACCTACGCTGCAAGAACTGGACCTCCTTCGCGACTCTGAAGATCGCATCGTCCTGCGTACACGCGCCGACCAAGTCCTTTGCGCCCTCGAACTCTTGAATCAACGCCATCCGGTCGTTCTGGCCGCGGTACCGCGTCCTCGTCCCCTTGACGACCAGCGTACCAGGATACCTCCGGCCAGTATCAGCAACCTGCCTCTTCCCCACCGTGCCAGGCCGAACCGGCAATCCGGTGGAAGAAACCGCCTTCTCGGAGCCGATACTCAGCATCTCCTCGACCCTCTTCAACCGCTGCTGCAGATCCTCAATCAGCCCAACCCCTGCGCCCGTCCCACCAGTGCCAGTGGCATTGTGGTCAGGAGTAACAGCAGACCCGGACCTTGCGCGCTTAGACTCGCTCGCAGTCGGGGCTCCGTGCAGGAAGACGCAGTTCGGCGCACAGCCGGCCCTGGTGCAGTTCTCGCAGGGGCTGACGCGGTCGCACTTGAGCTTCTTCTCGCGACAGCGGAGGCACGAGATGACCGGCCGCGGCCGCTTCCGAGGGCCTACATCGGATGACATTCTGACTCGAGTGCAAAGGCGTGATTGGTATGATCTAGCGACGGGGATAAGTCATGGCGTGAGGGGGAATAATTGATTAATTCCTTCAGGGGGTCCACTAATTCCACTCACTTTGTAAGCTGCAGATCGGGGAGATGGGGGGCCATCTCTCTCTACGATCAAGGGTCCATGACTCCGTATTGCGGATTATCACGGAGAATATGTATAGAGAAGGATCTGACGATTGGCCAGGATATATTTTCCCTGCCTATGCTAAAGTCTTGGATACGATTTAAGTTCCAAAATGCAATCCTGTCGACATCACTGATCGGTTATATACACCGCAACCCTTTAGCCTTTTAGCAGCAATATATAGAGCAGTCGCAGGTAATAGAGAATAGAGCAAAAAATAAAACAGATAAAAAAATACCCCCTTCCTATTCTTCTGTAGAAAACTATGTATAACCTCAATATTTAGGAATGTTCCGAACGTCAAAACTTGACGGCAATCTTTACTATTCTGCCCGCTAGTTTGTTCAAGCACGGCCCTTCATTCCATTTTATTCGGTGACATTAGGTTATATAAATATCCTCTACACCTGTTCCTCTACATAAGCTAGTTGTCGTCGAGGGCTGGTCATTCCTAAACCCATTATTTAATGCAACCGACGAGAAGCAGGGCTGGACTCCAGCTCCACTAGAGTGTTGGCAATGAACTCCTCCTGTGTCATATTCCCACTGTTTACCAGAAACTTTTTATCCTCCAGCTTCTCCAAGGCTTCACCATACCTATCCAAGTCTCTCACCTTTCGCGCCGCGAATGGCTCAAGCTCTTCTGCGTTGTCGAATTCCTTCTCTCGTCTCGCCCACTCAGAAGCCCCCAAATGTCGACGTAGCTGTGTAAAAGGAAAGCTGCGGTGGTCATTAAAGCCAGATAAGAGGAGCATGTGCAGCCACATGGCCCCGGATGCTTGAGACCGTTTAACAAGATCGAGAGCTCTCTCTCTTCGTGCTCGGGCATCTTTTCCTCTTCCTCCTCCCAGACACGTATAAAGATATCTAGGTATTCGAAATACCGGCAGGCAATTTTGGGCGGCTTGTCATCGTTGCAGTACTAGGACGTCAAGGAAGGAAAGTCGGGGTGATTAACTAAGCCATAGATGCCCAAAGATACCATTTTGTATAGCTAAACAAGAGTAGTCAGGACATCGGTACAACGTTGGAGGCAATCTCGGTGAGCACTTACATCTAGAGCTGCCAACAGATAACTGGGGGTCGAATCACCAGCGGCAGCCAATGAGCCCTGCGCAACTCCTGGACCTTCGCTGACACCAACCCAGAGGGAGGCAGTACCATTTGTAAAGGTGAACATGATCCCTGTCAGCCCTTGTGAGGAGAAAGCCACATGGATATGGTCTATAGCCGCGGAAGTTGGCATGCGAATCCATGTTGCAGCAAAAGGATCATGAAACCCAACTATAACGGCGTCATACTCATCCCTAGAGGATGGGAATATGCCGATCCCTGATACAAAAGTCATTGCTCCAATCTGGCGCGTTGAGATTGCTATCTTCCCGCGATAGTATTGGCTGGGATATGGAAGTCGCTGTGCTCTACAATGAAGAACACGACATCCCTTCCAATGTGGCTTTCCCGTCGTACAATATGAGAGATCACCGGTCAAATTATTAGTAGGTTCCAATAGTAGAGGTGCATTGTTGGCACCCTGGCTGCACGGCAGTTGAACTCGGTCCAGTTCCCTTGGTACTCCGCGGACTGCAGTGCCATATAGGCTAGGTCGTGAAGCAGAATCCTGTTCCGCAATCAGAGCAATGGGTTCGATAAGTTTGCGGACCCTTTTTCGGTTGACCAAGCAGAGGTTTCGTCCATCTTGTAGCATGGCTGTTACGGCGAAAAAAAGCCCACGCCAGTCCCGCCTATCGCTGAGGTTTGCGAATAAGAAGTCCGCTTCGCCGCCTCGCTGGAATCGAGATCGCCAGTATGACTGAGGCAGTCTATTCCAGGCCGCAGTTACAGCAAGGTTCCGATTGACGAGCCTCAATATCGCAACCTCTTTACAAGAGAGGTACCGCAAGATCTCATATATCAGCTCAGGGGACAGGGAATTGAAGCTGTGACGGCTTGTACTCTGAAAATATTGGGAGACGGTGCAGGCAGCAGGTGCTACTATCTCAAAGGCATCCAGTGGTGGAGAGCTGCAGGGATCAGCGTACAGAGGTGAAGTCTCATCCACCGGTAGCGGTCGCGGGCGCTGCTTGTTTAGCCCGCGCAACTTGTGTGTTCGGGCGGCGCCATCATAGTCATGTCCCCAGTCAAAGCTAGATCCTTCGATGCAAGGGACGCAGAATAGCTGGCGATAAACCGCTGGGACAATTTCTCTTAGATCCAAGTGGCTGAGTCGAAGGAGAAGTATCTGCCAGCAGGCCTCATGAACACCAAATGCCCAGGCATTCCCACGATAGTTGGATAGATCCCAACGGCCCCACGACGGAACCTCGATCTCGGCATAAGACAGATTGCTATCAGCTGGGGCGTCAAGAACATCAAAGTTGTAAATCAACCCGACCCCGGTGACAGTAGCGCGATCAGGGTAAAGCAGAGTGGTCAATCCACGGACCTTCCGGTACCATGGGCGGGGGTTGCGCTGGTCCCAAGTATCAGGATTGATTGGATCCCGTTCCAGGATGACTCCACAAAAGGCACAGTAGACGTTGTTGTGCATGGTGGGGGAACTGGAGGTGTGGAAGATGCAAGGAATGGCTGATTTATACGGGAAGTGGTCAGGCAGTGCTGTGCTGTCTCTTGGGCCTTGCTTAGGACATAAGGGAAAAGATTTAGGTATTATATGCCGTTGTCATTTTGACTTCTGAGTCACTAGTTGTCAGCCTCTAGGCCGGCTGCTGGCGCTTATAAAACCGGTCTCCGATCATCGTGACTCATTCCTGGTTGCCCCATCTCGGCAGACAACGAGCAGGAGACCGCATAATGCAACAAAACAGTCGAAAATAAAATAAATAAAATAATCAATGACTGGTAGTGATAACAGCAGCAGACCGATCCCACATATCGCTTTCAACAGCCTGAACCAAGAACTGCGCAACTCCAATTCTGCTCGTCGTTGCCATCAGCGGCACCCCCTTCCCATTCTTTGGCCACACCTTGACATCTTTTTCCGTCGTTTCAACAAGTCGTGATGGCCAGACAAAGACATAGTCAAGTCCACTCTCTCTAACCACCTTCGCCGTGGCATTGTGGTCATCATACTGGTAGCTCATGTTGGTCTTGCCCATGAGCAGCTGCAGCACGCAGCTCATGTTATCCCAGGATTCGCCGACTCCAAATGCTTGGAGAATGACGATCTTGCGGACCCCGTACTCTTTCATTGCGGTTATGACGTTGGTGTTGCAATCTGTCAGTAACCTTGGTGGAGATATGGGGGCTGCGAAGGGACTGTCGCTGGCCCGGGGTGCACTCAGAGTAACAATCACGGCGTCTGGAGGCATAGGTTGGAATGCTGCCCTGACGTCTGACAGTTCTGTCGGTGTTCCTGGTATATGTTAGGTTTGGTATAGGAATGTTGATGAAGGGTTTACCTTTGAGGACCGTTAATCCGGGTCGGGCTTCTCCCAGTGCAGAAGGGTTTCGAGCCAGTGCAACCACTTGATGCCCTTTATTGAGTAGTTCATCTATAGCGATTTTGCCGCATCGTCCGGTGCCGCCGATTACAAGGACCCGCATTGTGGGATGGTGATGTTTGGTTTCTGAAGTTGAGTATGGTGGAATTCGATATGGGGAGTAGAGGATTTGAGTGAAGAATGTTCGTCTGACTGAAATGAAGACTATCGATACTTGCTATACTTATATACTTGCATACTTATACTTGTATACCTGATCAATATCCGGAGAAGAGCTCGGATCCGACCGGACTTGGCCAGCACCTCCGGACTTCGGCTGTATCCAACAGATCTGACTGTGCCTGGATGATCTATGGTCTATTTCTATAAACATTGCACTATTAATTCATCTTTGATTGGTAATGTTAAGATTTGCGATTTTCACAAGGCAGCAAGCTGGTCCAGGTCGAGCTAACGCCTCGCACAATACTATGAGATCTATACCCAGCTGCCAACCTTGACACTATCCATCATCTGAGGAAACATCATCTAAAACAACTCCAATTTCCCTCAGCTTCATGGCTTCGTCGGGATCAATATCGTGCCCTTGAAGAACCTCGCCCATACGAGTGTGCCAATAGCCCTCCAGAAATTTTCTAATGCCGACGCCAAGTTCATCGTATTTTTGGTCAAACTCCACCATCAGCTCATCGAGTTGCACTATCATCGTGGATTCTTCCTCGCGGATCTCGCGACATTCTTCTGGATCTGGATGTCTCACTCCAAATACAGACGCAGAATGACACGTATGGGTGATTTCCAGAGCCTCAAAGGTAAGATAACGAACAATGGCGGAAACTGTGGTATTCCAGGAGTGCGTGTTTGATGTGCTGTATACTATTTCTTGAAGGTGACCAATCACCCATAAGCGATTTGGACGGTAATATGCTTTAAGTAATTGGGTCAATGGTGAGCACCCACGCCCTGAGCATGCGCAGAGACAGTCGTCCCTGGTATCATCTGAGAGCATCGTGGAAAGAAGCCTCGCCCCAGCAACATGTGTTGATAAAATGGTCTCTAGCTCACACGACGACGTCAGATCATGGCGACAGGCTTTACTGTGGCATTTACGGCTGGCCCTATAAAGCTGAGTTCCCAATTCGCTGGCAACGTAAAATATTGCAAGATACCCATGTCGCGAGGGGATGTAAAGGTCTGCACCTCTGCAGATCATCCAGTCGGCCATGGTTATGAATGAGATCAACGACTCACAATACGAGCTCATGTCTGTAATCGCGGTATTTCCGACCTCACCACGTTGGTTCAGATCAGTGAACCCAGCTGTGTACAGGAGCTCGGCTGCAGCCAGGTCTTCTCCGATGGCACTATATACAGAACTCTGACCTGGGCACCCACAGGGTAACATCTTAATTTCATATTGTACAAGGGCGTGATGAACAGCGAAAGCCGTGGTGTCTGGTAGGCCACCTTTTGGTAGTTCCAATGTCCTAATATGTTCAGCTGGCAGCTGGTGGAGTGCCATCTCCTGGAGCTCGAGGCGTTGCGCGGCCAAAATGGAAATTGCGGTCTTCAGAACAGCCGTATCACCGCAGAAAACGGCACACTGTAATGCGCCCAGTGTTATATCCGGGTTATGTCCAAGTAATAACAATGCGCAGTCAACGTCACCACGTACACACGCGATAGCAAAACAATGCGATATTGACTGGGCGTCTGGAGCCAGAGATTCGAAAACAAGTAGCATGCCGGGAATCCATCCTAAGCACAAAGCTAAAAGTGTACCAAACTCTGGAATGTACGGCGTTGAAGTAGAAATCCTAATGTTTGTTCGCGGCAGACACTCTCGAAGACTTGCCTCTGACTTTGTTACAATCGCCATCTCAAGTGGAGAAAGTTCGATATCTAAAGTAGAAATGACATCAGTTTGGCATCAGGTATAATGGCAGTTTTTCACGTACCCCCGAGCATATTCTGGAGACACAGACTTCGTACAATGGTTGCTTTACTGTACCAAAACGCAGTAAGACCACTAACAGGGATATAATGATAATAATGATTAGGTACCTCGGTGAGTGATCTTAGTTCACTCCCAGACATGAACAGCCTCTGTAGCAACTGGCCGGCAGGATTTGGCATCCATCCCTTCGGACGCAGAAGGGATATCTTTGAGAGAATTTCATCAGCTGCTGAGTCGCCGTTGAGTGTTTTTTCTGCCACAGGCACCCCGGCCTCAATTAGTGAATATCCAAAGTCCCGCAGCACATAAAGGTAGTCTGAATCTGGCAGACATGAACCGGAACGTAGCAATACCTGGAGGAAAGGTTAGTCTCGAATCCCATAGGCACGCAGGGTACAAACATGTAGTAGCGTACTGCCGTCAGCGAGGCGATCAGTTGGTGCTGCTTTGCGGTTATGAAACATCTCCAGAATATTCCATTGTATAGACTCTAGTATCCGGAGGGAATCCGGACAACTCTTAGCGCTGTCCAAATTACGCAGCAAGCTGAATGCCGGGGAGTCGTCGGGAACGACAGAATGGAACTGAAGCGCTGGGCTGATTGCTAAAGCTCCTGCGCCCCTAGTCAAAGTCATCATGACATGAACCGACATGCCTATCAGTCGATTGCAAAATGTATATCTTGCTGAAATGCCAATTGTTTGATGGCCATTCACATATAGCGGACAGCTTGCTTTATGTCCGGCGGATACGGAAAAATAAGAGGTTGGGAAATATCTAGGCTTTCTGTTGCAGGTGCAATACTTCTCGGTTAACTTTGAAGAGCTGATTTGTAGGGAGCGCGGTCCCCTCCATGAATTATTTATGAGGGTTTGTTGGTTACAAAGATGACTCAGTGTTCGAGGTTCTACCAGCATTGGGCGTATACCAGATTCCCCTTGAGCAGTCCTCTACATAAGGTCAGAATCAAAAGCCACTGGATTCTAATAGTAGCATACCTGATGCACCATAGCCTGTGACGAGGGAGACATAGTATTGTTCTGCTCAACAACCGTTAATATCCTGGTTGTCTGCACACCAATAGCAGTTGCTGTCGATGCCAGATTTTGAATCTGTTTCTGTTGTTGTGTAATAAGAGCGCTGGTACAAGTCAGCAAGGCCATCTATCAACATAAGATATACGAACCCACTGAGAAGTTGGAGAGAGAAATTCAAATTGTCTTGGAGGCCCGACACGTATTGGGAAATGGTGACGAGGGTTTCTTTCTTGAACGGGTACAACGCTCTCTTCAAGCGCAGCCAGTCATGTTTTCTAACAAATGGCGATGTATCGGTTGATTTGCACTTGTCGAGCATGTCTTCCAGTTTCTGACATGCATCTTCGCATGACTTTAACTGCAAAGAGACAATCTTCTTATACTGGTCGGACGGAAGGTCAAGCTCCTGTTGAGGGGAGATAAACTCGTGAAGCACCTGTAACGAGTGTTGCAGGCCCTCCAGCTTTGTGGTAAAACCTGAAATCTCATCATCGTAGCTTTTCCAGGGTCCATAATAAGCAATGAGTCCCTGGCAGACCGTGAGCCCGAGGGAGACAACTCCGACCATCCCACCACTGATAGAGATGGGGTCCGTCATGGTTAGTATGAATGTTAAAGACTAGATATCAAGATGAAGGGTAATTCAAGGGCGGATCAGGGGTGAAATAGGATCAGTCAATTTACCGGGGCCTGAGCTGCTGAAAGTCAGCCTTGTCGTGGGCGCCTTGCTGCAGGTATTGATTGGACCACGTCGATGAGGCTGTGGCTGAGACGAGGCTACATATATCCTCACTGTCGTCCGAATGACAAGTCTTGTGCAGAGAATGGTTTTGAATTCAAAGCCGTGGGATTTAGCATCAGGGGTTATGCGATCTTTCTCCATGGATCAGTTGATATATTTCGATAGTCTATCTGTTCTAAGTACAGAATAGTTATTTACGCAGTCTATATGATATGCAATGCCCAGCTCCTAACACCAAAACAAAATATGCCCAGCAAAAAAGGCGTCAGCAATGCAAACACAGCGCCGGATCCGTCTATATGCAACCGCCACCCTATATACAAGACAATATCAAATAAAAAGATTGCCTCCCCAACCCAAATAATTGTTATAATTACTCTGCCTTCTTCGATGCCTTGGTTCTCAGCTTCATCAACGCAAACACCAAGGCATACCCACTAATGGCAAAGATGACACTAATTCCTGCATCTCTCCAGCCATGGTAATAGTGTTTGATATTGAGGGTCGTTAAGAAGTCACTGCCATCACTGAACTGACACACTCGGCAATCGGAAGTTGCATCTGGATTCGCAATATTAATCGCCCAGCCAGGACCAGCCACATAATCCTTCAGATACTCGGCGCAAGTCCCATTCAACGGATCAAAGCGTGCGTATTCATCCGGATTACAGATGACGTTGTTGTCCCAGATACCGAATGTCAACATTCCCGAAACCACGTAGTTAAACGGGTTCAGATAGTATAGCCAGTACTTCCAGAAGACATTCATCTGGGTGTATGGGACGAAGACGCCGCAGAAGAGTACAAGAATGGAGATGACCATTGGGTTCACCAGCGCCGCGAATGTTGCATTAGGCGCGATTGCTGCAATCGTCTGGCCAATACCAGTGTATATGAACTCGTAAACCAACATGATGAAGAAGGTCGAGCCAGCCCTGTTAGACTCATATGGAAGCTTGACGCAGTAATACCAGCAGAGGAAGTACAGCACTGCGCAGACACAAAGGTAGGGGAACTCGCTAACAATCAGGCCAATAACGAAACTGATCCAAGAGTACATCTTTGACTTCTTCTCTCGAGTATCGTAGATGTTCCTGCGCTGGATGAAGAGTGGCTGCAGCTGGTTGATCACACCGGGTGCCACGAAGACAAAGTTGAAGATGGAAAACATTTTCAGATTGAGGTCGCTGACTCCTGTCTTCGGACCGGCTCTCCAGAATGAAAAGCCATTTAGCAGGGCAGATATGATGTGCAGACTGAATTTGTTGTTGACGTAGTTGGTGTTCCGGTAGAGGGCCACATTCATTCGTTGGGTGACAATCTTGATCTGATCCCACAGGGGCATGGAGAACTCGTATCCGTCGTCGTGCGTTCCTGGTGGTTTGGACGCAGCGTCGGTGATCATATTCTCGAGGTCTTTAGTGACGCTGGCGTTTTCCGGGGACTCGAGCCAGATATGGTGCCAGTCGTTGTCCTTGACCTCCGGGATTGCGCCGGTAACGACGTCAATCATGAACTCTGCTGGGTTTGCCTCTACGGGACAGTGTGCTCCATACTTTCCAAAGTACTGCTTGATTGTGTTTCCGTTGTCACCGATATCGCCAAAGTAGACAGTCTTACCTCCCCTTGCCAGTAGGAGCAGAGTGTCGAACTCGGCAAAGAGCTGGGCAGAGGGTTGGTGGATAGTGACCAGAACAGCCTGCCCAACATCCGCCAGTTTCCTCAGGAAACGTACTGTGTTGTAGGCAGACTGGCCATCGAGTCCAGAGGTTGGTTCGTCCAAAAAGATCAAGATACTAGGCTTAGCAACAAGCTCAACACCGATAGTGACGCGCTTCCGTTGCTCAATACTGAGTCCACTTCCAACAGCTCCGATCAGAGTATCGGCCAGATCATGGAGTTCAAGAAGGTTGATAATAGTATCTACATACTTCAACTTCTCTTCTCTGGGTGTCGTCCTAGGCTGGCGAAGGAGAGCCGAAAACTCCAATGCCTCTCGCACAGTCGCATACTCCTCGTGTACGTCCAGCTGCTCGCAGTATCCTGCTGACCTCTGGAACGAAACTGGGAGAGGTCGCCCATCTACCATAATAGACCCGTTGATGGTCCCGTCCGTCTTGCGCTGGGCCAGGACATCAAGCAAGGTCGTCTTTCCTGCACCCGACGAGCCCATCAAGGCACCAAGCATACCCGGCTTGACATAACCGTTCACTTTATCAAGAAGAACACGATCTCCCGTCGGAGTGCTCACAGTATATGTCAGATTCTGCCAGGTGAAGATAGACGAGTTACGGGAGATATTCCCTTCATCGAGCGAGTTATCACCGGGAGCGTCGCGAGCGCTGGCTGCCTTTTCCTGCTGTGCTTCCTCGTCTTTATGTCTTGCATGCTGCTTAAGTTTCTCACGGGGAACGAGAAGTGTAGAACCACTACCAGCCCCGGCATTCCAGAAACAAGTAAAAATGATTGTCAGACCAGCGAAGAATGCCCACCAGCCCCAAACAACGCCGTAGTTTCGCCACAGTTGCGTGAACTTGTAATGCAGGGATCCGAGATACTGGTCACCGGTCACGTATGAGGCACCTGGTAGTGCACCACCAACTCCAGCGCAGGCCTGGTGCCCTGCACCTACGTCTTCGTATCCTGCGCCGCTGGGGATGAGGTTCTCGCCGACGCAGGGGATATGCTGGTCATGGAACTCGTTGGAGAGGGCGGCTTGGAAGGCGTAGGCGAAGGGGTTGGTGTAGTATAACTCAACGAACCAGTTTCTGATGTCAGGCTTGGGGATCATGTAGCCGGCGTACATGACGATTCCTTTGACGGCCGTGCCGGAGATCTTGGATGCGGCTTCGAATGTTTTGAAGGCGGCGCCGATGCATCGGAAGAGGGCAGTGAGACACTAAGAAAGTCAGCTGGATCTGTCTATCATGCATTGGATGTTGGTGCTCACCAAGGTCGTCGTAAACAGAATAGCCCAGAAGGTGAAGAAAGCAGCAGCGGTATGCTTCAGCCCAATCATCCAGTAGATAACCACACTAAATATCGTGCATTGGAATAGAAGCACAGGGAAATCAGCAGTGATCTGAGCCAAGCAGAACGCCGCCGGGTGGTACATGGCAAATGATTTGTGCTTCACCAGGACGGGCCGGCCCTTGAACGACTCGGTAACTTCAGACATTGCAACAATGTTGTTGTACAAAATAGCGAAGAACACGCCGCCACCCTTGATGAACAGCCCAGAAGAGTCGTCTGGGGCGTCGTAAAAGCATGAACCTGCAATGAGAGCCATGACTAACGACAGGACTTGTTTGATGAGGAAGGTCGACTTTTCGCCCCAGAGGATCTGATATTGCCGGACAGTGCATGCAACGAGTTGAGACCAGAAACTAGTCGTCATAGAACTCGTCTTGGGAAGGTGTTTTGATTGCTCCCAAGCAACAGATTCCTTGAAGGACTCGGTCCTCTCGCGAGCTAATGGGTCTTGGGGGTAGTCGTACTCTGAGATCATCTGGCTGTAGGTTGGCGATTTTTCATACTGAATTTTGATCTCATCTGCGTTTCTGGGAAATCTGTTCTCGTATCCTGATTTTATTTTCCTTTCAGTAGGGACAGTGACACCAGTTAAAAAGTCACCTGCCTTTTGTTAGACATACTTCAGAACGTGGTATAAGATAACTCACCAATATTCCCGCCCTCGGTATAGACAAACCCTAACTCTTCCATAAAGGGCTTTGCCTCTTGTGCAGGACCATAGTAGATCTGCTTTCCTTCGTCCAGGACAAGAACCTTGTCAAACAGATTGTAGATACCATTTCCTGCTTGGTATAACGTCACAATGGTGGACAGTCCGTTCACATCTGTCATGGCTCGTAATGCTTTGGCCCACTCCAGCGATGTGCTTGCATCGAGACCACGCGTGCTGTTATCCCAACAGAACACGGACCCTCTTGTTGCCAGACATTCAATAATCGAAACACCTGGTCAGGGTTAGTATATGAGAGGAAGAAGTTAGAACGATAACTCACGCTTTCGCTCTCCGCCAGAAACACCACGCACAAACTCATTCCCAACTTTAGTATGTGCCGTATGTGAGATCCCCATGGACTCCAAAAGAAAGTCCTTTTTCTCCTTGACATACCCATTCACGGAGCCACTACCCTCAGGAAGATGCGCTGGAACCTTGAGCTTAGTCGCAAAGTCCATGGTAGCCCCGACCTGGAGGTTTGGATAGAAGAGCTCCTCTTCTGTATTCATCACAATCTGTCCCCTATACTTCTCTGCTTCTGTGTGGTCCATCGTTCCAAATTTCACATCCCCATTTATTGTTCGATATCCCTTCCGTCGATTTGAAAGCAGTTTTAACAGCGTCGTACAACCAGACCCCGGCCGTCCCAGCACAAGCAACATCTCACCAGGCTTCACACAGCCGTGCGAATCTGATAGAATTGACTGCATCGGTGGTTTCCGGAAGTAGTCCTTTGCGACCTGGGGCAGGTTGAACTGGGAGAAAAGGTTTTCATTGACGGAGGCGTCTGCCGTTGGAACCTCCACTGAGAGCCCTTTCCATGTCACGCCTAGTTCGCGGGGTTTGTATCCTGCTGCTCTGTCGCGGTCTCGGTTTTGGATGACTTTGTCTGTTAACCGCCATGCTGTGCTTTTGGGTGGTGGCGGCGCGGCTGTTGGTGTGGGGTGTGGAAGGGCGAGGGTTTCTGTGCTGGTTTCTCCGTGGGCAGTGGTGGTCTGGGGGACAACAAGGGTATCGTGGCTATCGGCTACATGTTTCTCTTGACTGTATACCTGGTGCAGGTTTGTGTTGGAGGGTTCAGACTTTTCAGAGTCATTCTCCATTATTAACGACAGGATGAAGTTGAATAGAACTAGAAAACTAAAGAAAATGAAACTTTTAAAGAGAGGAGAGATCTGTAAAATACAAAAGAAAGATCTTCTGGGAGATACTACTATCAACCCAGGGGGGCTTCTGAATATATACTACATGGACTCTGGATAGTTCGGATGGTTCATCCAGGCACGTATACCGTTCCACAAGGCATATCCAAGGCTCACGGCACGAAGCCGATCTTCCATGGGCGGGTTCCAGGGGAGGCCTGGAACTGTCAAAGCCCCTCACTGTCATCTTACTCCTTTTGGAGCAGAAGGAGCAATCATACATCCGATAAGGGAGCGAAAGTACAGGTGGCCAGGGCACCCGGGCCGATCACCCTAAAACTTCGGCAGCGCCTCGGGTTCGGCAGTTGGCAGCTGGTCTGTGCCAGCGTTCTGAACGACAAACTTCAGTCTTTGCCACGCTCTGGGTTGGCAGTATAGACATTCCATTGGGTACCAAACGGTATTGTGGGTATAGAACCCGATATGGAAGTATGGCGCCGATAGCAGAACGGTTCCTGCCGGTCTATCCGGCAGTGGGATCCAAGACCGTGCTACTTAAAATAGCGGGTAGCGGTATTAATATTAACCTTGTTATGAAGCTCGAACAGGGCATAACAATTTTTCGAACTGCACAGCAATAGGCAGCCTAGGTATGACACGCATTATTAACTATGTACAGTACATAAGGCTTGCCGAGCTGATCCATCATGATTTGCGCCACGTCATTCCAGGACTTCAAGCTATGAAACTACAATATATATTTCTCATGGAGAAGTAATAAGACGCCGGAAGATCTGCCGGGTACCAAACTAGACCAGGCTATCTTCAATCGACAGCCTTGGACGTGGCAATCAATTTAGGCCGAACTAGTCAACTTACTACTTTGATAAGCCTGGTTACTATTCTGCGGATTGAGATTAAAACTTGTCCATGGTATATCTCGATTTATGCATTGTCTTGGATGTGAGCAGACGAACCCACTCAACAGGAGTACAAGCATTCATCATCCCTGTGGACTCCATAATAAAGTCGGGGCTTCGGCACCCTATCATCCAGATTATGCATTGCATATTCTTCTAGAATTTGTGCAAATAACTGCATAATTCAATTTCATAATGAGAGCGATGTGCGGAGAAGTCCCACGCGAGTTCCCTCCGCTGAGAGAATGATGGCACATGAAGCTCATATTGCCAATCGGCTATCCAGTTATGCATCCTAGGATGAATGCGGTGTCGTGGTTGAACGTCTCGCGTGGAATAAGCGGGAACAAGGAAACGTGCTTCTCGATGTATATGAACCCCTCACCACAGCTTGATTGTGAGATGGATCGCGAGCAGAAAATCCTGGTAAGGTTATCGTATACAAATGCCCATCTCCAATATGCCAAGCATCCTTGGAGCATTGTCTCAAGGGAATATATTGTATTAGAAATCCAATGTCAGGATACTTGGAGTGATGTGCATATCCTGGCCTGCTAGAGCAAAGCTCGGGCAAATCGGTGCACATTTGGAGGTCCTCAGGGTCGAGGTAGATCCCATGGCCTATACAGTTGGGTACATTTGGAACAACCAGGTATACGTGGTATGCATCACTCTATCCTTTCCTATACCTCTATAGGTCTGTTAGGGCTGCCCCTTCCCTTGTTGCACTTCTTCAACGCCCTCTAAACCTGTCTTGTCATGTCGTTCCAACTCCGTTAACCTCCTCCCAGCACCAGTCGTCTGAAAGTCCTTAAACTGCCACGCATGCAATCCGGCCTCAAACATCTGATCAACCTCCTCCAACGACCGCCCCTTCAGCTCAGGGGTAAAGAAGAACCCGAAAAATCCAGAAAGGTATCCTGCCGCCGCAAATATCCACCCAATCTTCGGTCCCAGATTTGGACCGGGGTTTGCAAGCAGGTAAGGTGTAACGAAGGTTACAAGAAAAGCAGCGAGAACATCGTTGGCCGTTCCAAAGGCCATGATCTTCTTGCGCATCTTCACACCGCCAATTTCGGCACCGATCAGGAAGGCATTGTTGCTGGCGGATATTTTGGTGAAGATCCCTAGGAGGAGAAATGTAGCTATCACAGTGCGCTTTTCAGCTTGGTTCGGAGGTTCATGCGAGCCCAGAGCTGCTCCTATAGAGAGCAGGACGCCGCACATCAGACCACCCCAGATCATTAACGGTCGTCGACCGGTATAATCCGTGACGAGGATCCCGAAGAGAGAGCCCACAATGGTCATTGCCTGTCCTACCGTGGCATATGTAAACGAGGCGCCCCCGTACCCGCTCTGCTTGTAGAATGTAGGGCCATAGCTATTCACAAACTAATTTCCGTTGGTCTGCTGGAAAATGAAAAGCGATGCAACAATCCACGCTCTACGGCCGTAGTTCGTCGGATCGCTGAAAATCTTCCACCAACTGTTGCTGGTTTGGCCTTGGGAGTAGCCTGCTGCAATAGCTTCACTGATGGCATCAATCTCGGCGGCCACGTAACCATTATCCACCTCGTCCCTGTTTCGCAGTTTCTCGAGGTTCCGCATCGCGAGGTCCTTATTGCCTTTGAGGAGGAGCCACCGCGGAGACTCAGGGGTGAATCCGATGAGACCGAGGATGATTACGGCCGGGATAAGCTGCATGGCGCAAGGAATCAGCCAGCCCCTTGCCGACGTCTCGTCAACGTAGGCCCGAGACATACCGCTGCCCCAGAGGTTTCCAAGGGCGACAACAAAGGTGATGGAGCCAGCGAGGAGGCCTCGGAGTGCGCTTGGGGCGATCTCAGCGCAGTACGCTGGGACCAGGTTTTCCACCTTCACCATATTAATACATAGCCACATTAACCGAGAGTCATAGAGACTTACCAAACCAACAGCCAAATACGCAAAATTCCGTCCAATAGTAAACTGCTGCCAACTTTTCGCTGTCATCTCAATAATGAGTGCAACTATCTGAACGACTGATGTCACAATGATCGATTTGCGATATCCAACACGCTCTATTAGGGGCTCAACGAGGAAGCAGCCAACGAATTTCCCAATCCAGGGGATTGAATTCATCAGCGACTTGCGCTGTGTTGGAAGCTCGTATTCACCCGCTTCATTCTGCGTGCCAAATTGTAGAAGGAATGAGGGAAGCGCTTGGAGGGAGCCGAAGGACCCTGTATCTCTGTATACAGCCTCAGTAATCTGATATCTCAAGTTGTATGGCATTTTGTATCTTACATGCCAAATAGAAGTGCACCGAAGAGATATACCACAATACAGAAGAGGAGATACGGGTTCAGGCCTCTGAAGCTGGACAGATGCGATTTAAGCATCGTTGCATTTGCAGCTGTCTCTGCTGAGCTGTGTAGCTCCGTATACGCCTATTGCGGGCGTGTTTCCGTTTAATCAGGAACAGGTTCTAGGTGATGGTGTTTGCGGGGTGAGGTATGGCGTAATCGGAGCGGCCGAGTGGCCGAAAGATGTTGGAGTTATATGTCCGATTTATTGGGCGAGTGACGATAATGGCTACGCGGGGTCCTAGGATCAATTTACAATCCTGCATGGCGATGAAACCATGGATGGATAAGTTCATTTTAGATGGAAGCGGCAATCTTGCATATTCAGTACAGTGCCGGGTATAACAAGAGGATAACGCTTATATCTCTATCTATTTCATGGCCTCATTATCCCCTATCGTCATCCAAATCTTCGTCTGCGCAATGGGATCCCCCCCTACACTGTCCTTGGGCAGGTCTCCCCATGCAATCTCGCGGACACCGGTTCTCCCCATACCGTCCCAGTCTCGAGGACATACTGGTGCCATGCCTGAAAAAGCTCACGCAGTTTATGGGGGCGAGATCCAGCTAGGTCATTGGTCTCCCCAGGGTCGACAGACAGGTCAAACAACTCCCATTTGTTCTTCCCAAAGGAATCCATCCTCCGGCATGTTGACCATCTTCCACGCCCCTTTACGCAGCGCTGCACGGCCGAACAGCTCCCATCCCATGAACTCCTCGTCGCCGTGGATCCCTTTCCTGCCGTTAGATGCAGGGTGTTACACTCGTCATACACACCACGATATCGCTCGCGATCTTCTTTGCTGCATTGTAAAGGCCAGTGCGGTGCGGAGAAGGGCAGGAAAGCGAAAAACGGCTGCTCCTTTTGCTCCACCGTCCGCTCCTTGAAGTAATTTATCAAATTCGATGCATAGTACTCCGATGAAAAGAAACCGGTATCATACTCATTCCCCTTATTAGCCTCGATAACCTTCCGCTTCCCATCCTCGGCGCAGAGCACCGGAATGCGAACGAAGAAATCCATCGGGTTCTCGAATTGAGGCTCGAACCCGAAGTGATTCGTGCGCCCCGGCAGAAGGGCAAACGAGCGATCGAAACCTCGTTGCGAGGGACCATTCTCAGGCTTTAAACCTAGATGCCATTTTCCAGACATGAGGGTATAGTAGCCGGCGTATCATCCTGCTGTGCGGAAGAATATGGGGAATATTGCGCATGCTTCAGCTGTGATACACGGAGACGAATGCTTTGATACTTCCCAGTGTATGTCGAGGGCAAACGTGAGCGCATCCTCGCTTCACACAATTGGCGCAAGGGACTGCTCTGTCAGCCAGTAACCAGGGAGAACAGCAGTCACCAACACACCTTGACGATCGCACCTTATCTTCAACCTCCGGCATTCTACAATAATTAAACAAGCCGCGATTATAAGGTAGAGGGCGTCAAAACAACCGACGCACCCGCAAAATTCAAGATGGGCCTGGGCCGTTTAATCGGCCTGCTTCTGGTGCCCGCTGCTGCGCGTGTTGGACTCGACGTTGACATACTCAATCCATCCCTTATTTCATCTCCTATCATCTGTTATCTATTAGAAGGCCAATTGAAGATATCCAGGAACTGATTTAACAGCTTTTCCGGTCCAATTGAAGAAGACCACGCGGAGAACGACTGAAAAGAAGGCAGAGGGGACCAGGACTCGGCCACACCCTATTCATGTCGCAATACACCACGAGTTGCCGCAATCAGGCCAGTGGGTTGGGCATCTTGAATAATTCTGAGAGATCTTTTAAGAGAAATGGAAGATAACACATAGTTAAAAAATAGCTAGCCGCGCGTTGGTGGCTGTATGGATGAGATATATATTGGATCTGGATCTCGATCAACCACATGGGTTTCCACGGAACCAAACCCAACACAACCAAATTATTAACCCAAATCTCCCGCCGAAAACGAAATGGTCTGGACTTTAGGTAGACCTAAGTAAGCGTCACGACTTTAGCATGACGGAACCCAAACATATATAGTTCGATCCCGCTCGGGCCTCAGCATATTTCAGCTGAAACGAAGGCTCCGTGCCCAGAATGGCCGAGATGGCATCTTCATATATTCAGGCCCATGTCAGGCTATCTAACTGGAATGATGAATTGGAGTTTTTAGGGTTCATCCTTGCAGAGCTTACTGACCCTCCAGGCCTGGAAGCACACAGGTTTCCATGGCATCAAGCTGCAGATCTTCCTGCCCTCGTCGACATACTCGAGCACCAGTGTACGCAGCCAGATGGAATACTGGAAGGACTGCTGTTGGCGAAACAGCGGAAAAGGCTACGCAACTGGCTTCTAAAGTCGAAGCAAATTCGAAATGCTGTAGCCCACCACCAGAGGCCGAGTAGGGCTGAGATGCGAGCCATGCAGACAGTGAGAGATGAGCTAGGGAAGCTGCTTGAAACTACGATCAGAACTGTAGCTGCATCTCGTGGTGTCCGCGAGGTATGTATAACAAACAAGCGTTATCGAACGGAGGACGCTGAGCAGTCCAGATTCGGTGGTGTCCTTATCCCCCTGCCTCGAGTGTATGGAATGAAAACCTGTCATATACTACAGAGGGCATTATTCTTTCCTGCGGAAGTGCACCGTTACTATCTCAGCGGGAGAGGATATTGGACTCTCTTTACCATCCTTCGTCGCAGGCTCACTCTAAGCACAAGCACAAGCACAAGCACAAGCACAAGCACAAGCACAGGGCAACGGCCAAAGACCGCGAAGAGCACTCCGTAATATTTATTGGGGCTGTGAATCGCAAGGTCGAGAGAAGACGGCAGATCAAAGAGAAGGAAAAAGAGGCCAGGCTTCGACAGCTACATAGGCTGGACCAGAACTATCGCCAAATGCGGCAGCTCAGACTGAGGCAGCTTAATCGGCTCTACAGTCTCATGAAGTATGAAGAGAGGGAGTGGAGAGTGCAGCGAGCAGCTCTACTAGAAGATGCCTCTATTCCATTTCCAGCAGTGGATAATGCAGTATTCGTGATTATTGTCCTCAGCTCCCCCTTGTGGTTGTTATATTCGATGGTTCGCACGGTTTATAACAGATGGAGAATGCGTAGCTCGTGAGAATCCAGAATTTTGGTATGTCTGATCTTTCACTTACATATTTTGGAGATAGCCAAAGCCAGGGGGTAAAGTATTGTGGAGTGGTAGGTAGTAATGTCTTGAATGAGCAGGCTAGTATAGTCAAAATATGTTCCTACGATTCTCCAGTCCGGGAAATGCTGAAACCACAGAATCCCTTATTGTACATTCTGCCCGTCGACGCTCCTGCAAAACAACTACAAGATCATAAAAACACATGACAATCGCATTTTAATGGCCCATCAAACCCAAATCTCCTGACACGGCAAGTTCATGGCAGCCACAGACTGGGAAATAATATACCCAAGCTGCATTGGAATCTCCCCATCCTCCGTAATATCGGTCTTGGGCTGCATCTCGGCCGGCGAGTTTACAGCACCAGGTTGCGCAACAGCATCGCATAATCGTTGGTATAACGGAGTAATAACGTCTACAAGACGCATTGCCGCAATATCATAGTCTTCACAGAACTGTAGTGCGTCAAGACACCCCTTTACGTGGGATAAATCCTCCAAAACCAGGTCTTGGTAATGACCTGCTCCGAGGACGAGATGCTGCGCGGCGCTTAGAAGCAGTGTTATGCTGGAGTGATAGCACGCGCTACTATGGGACTTGTCAGCATTTTATAGCTTTCGATGATGAATCTGGCAGTGCTTACATTGTCATCCAGCATCGCGCCAGGACACAGTGATCTTCGTATAAGAGTCGCACGATGCGAGCTAGCTGCTGGGCAAAAGACTCGTATACCTGCTTCGTCGCCGGTGGTATCTGGAGCACTTCACGTACAAGCACGTCGTCTGGTAGGTTCGTTGATCGTTTCAGAACGACCCGCATGACGCGCTCATATATGATGATTTGTAAGTTGATATGGAGCATGTGTAGAAAGAGAAGCGGTCTCCATGCCGAGTCAGGGGCGGGTGAGATTCCAAGTGTGAGTGATGCTAAACTCATGCACGGAGGGAGCTCCCAGAGCCAGGTGGATAGACTATCCGATAGCTGTTGCAGGTCTGTTATGGAAATATTAGAGGTGGATCGAATGTATTCAAATGTTTGGGCAGAGAGCAGCGACAACTTGAAGCTTTCTGCCTGGATGAAACTAGTATTCAGTTCTTTTTCAGGGTTTTTCGCCAACTCGGAAGCAGCAAGATCATGGACCTGCCAATTAGTATGTTATGGGTATTGGATCAGACTGGAATGTTTACTTACAACATCCACTTCCTGTTTCCCCAGGTCGGAATTGTAGTCGAGTGTTGAGGATAGCCAGCTATAATACCTTAGCATCACCCTTTACACATCCAGAGATTGGCTTACCACTCGGTAAAGGCCAGTGTTCGCAGCACCTTCGCCCACTCCACCCAGACTGCAAGGTTAGCCTTTGGGGTATACTTTTTCAAATTGTGCCGTGCTATATTTATACCAGAGCCTGATCTTATTAGCGGCAGATGGAAAAAGCCGATCGCTCGAATCGCTTACTTGTCATAGCTCTCGCACTCGTACCCTTCAGTAAAATCAAGTACACTGAAAGACAAGCAAAAGCACGCATGATTCCCAGATCATCCTCTACCGCAACAGTTTGCAACAAAGACGAGGCCTGTTGATAATACCGTTCCATGGCAGCAGCTGGGATCTCATCAGTACAGTAATAGCTCCCAACCGCTGCTAGCGCGCAGAGTTGACAGACCATGCTCTTCGTGACATCTGGTCTTCTCTCATAGACGGCTTTCAATAGACCAGTAGAATCCGCCTGTGGCATGATATAAAACAATGTTGAGCCACAGGTGAAGAATGCCGCCACCGCATGGCGAGTAATGTCTTCCGGCGGCAGATCCAAATCGTCTACACTAAACAGTGCCGCACTGCCATCAGTGCGTGGAGTCAGATCGGATCTTTCTCCAGTAGGAGCTCTGACTGCAGAAGAGCCCGTAGACGACTGCACGGAGCTCGGGGTACAGCCCGCGGTGTGGCTACTGGTTTCGTCGACACCAGAAAAGCCAGTGTGCGGATGCTGATTATCACGCAGATTCCGAAGCTGGTCAATAGCATCATCCAGGGACTCGCATTTTAATGACTCGACGATGGCTTCGAGCCGTTTGTTCTTCACCTCGAGATCATTGATGGCTGATTTCCAGGTCTCTTTCTTCCGCTTATCGGAGTCTTGGTATATGCATCGCCTGCGAAACCTGATGCATTCCGAGCAGAAAGGCTTTTGCCCATCGCACTGTGTGCATATTAACTTACCTGCGAGAAAGCTGCGCTGGGAGGTTGGCATGCCATACCCTGGACTTCTTAGCGCGGCAACTATTGCATGCGGCGCTGGCTTTCCTTCTTGGGGGCACTGCGGCGCCGCCTTGAGTCGGACTGGGCTCGTCAAGGTGCCTTGGCCGAATAAAGGGCAGCGGATCCATGATGCGGAGAGGTGGGGGAGTTGGAATGTGACAGCTGGTGGCAGGTGGCGATCTGCCAGTAAAGCAGAGATGGGCTGTGACGTCATCCACGTTAAACATGTGACTGTCTATTTTTGGTGTACTGCATACTTCGCATGATTTACTACTGGTGCGAGTTACACTTATCCTGGGCTGGCCGAGTTGTGATAATTTGATGTTGGTAGATGCTCTCTCGTGGTGGAGTGCAGCAATTCTTGTCGCCGGGACAGTGTTCTGTGAAAATATATATATCTAGCGCACCCTGAATGCCATAGATAGGCGATGATTGTTGAAAGGTGTTTACAGAGAGAAGATCCGATCTTTTGCTCGAAACTATAGGGCCTATGGAAAATTAAATGTCTCCTTTTAGCGTCGAGGCAGTTTACGCAGTTGAGCTGCTATGCCCGGGATTCCCCACAATGCTCACCATGCAAACAGAGCCGGTATAATGTATATTTTGGGCCAGGTACGTACTGCTCAGTATAATGTAAATCTACTGACGGCCTGAGCCGACGATGTAGGATTAGGAATGCGTATATTCGCAACACCGAATGGTGTTTTAGAAAGGGATATAACTCGCTTTGCTGGGAGGATGGCAGTATTTGACCAAAAATCAGGATCTGACCACCACTTCAACCCCTGCGGTCAAGAACAGCAAGACAACAGAGAGCTGTCACTCCCTCGGCTTCTATATATGCCGTCGGCTGCAGATTCTGCCGAACTGGGGCTGGTGGAATGCTGCAATCCGGTTTCCGGGGCCGAAAAGCCTTCGAGAAAACAAGGGTGGGCTCCATGCTCCGTAACTGATTGGTGGATTGTGTCCGATAGTCGGTCCGATTGGTCCATTTTTAAGGTTGTCTTGGCTTTCCTTGGCACTATGATCAAAATGTTTTATGCAACACAAACCAACATACCCTATACATATTCTGCTTTTATCACCGCTACGGAAATAAATCGGGTGGTCTGAATCACCAATTCTCCACCTTGAAAATTCATCACGAGTCATGGCGCTTACAGCGTCCTCCTGAGCCTCACGTCAAATTTCAACCCGGGAGGCTCTTCCTCATTTCCTTCACCACCAAATATCCTCACCATGGACAAACACCCACACCATGATGTCGACGCGATGCGATCAGACATTGAGGCCGCTAGACTACGCCCCGTCGCAGCGGATAGTCGGCTCGCCAATCCGGTAGGGAGTGATCTTGACGTGAACACCTCAACGCAAAGACTTGAGCTAATGCAGCAATGATGCTGGCAGAATCCATTGGGCTTCGGGGCATTTGCGACGACTTTGATGACACTCTCGCTCTCAAATATGGGATTTCGGGGTGTTGATAACCAGACGGTGTTCATCGCCGATCTCTGTCTTTTGGCGGGTTTTGGCTTGTTGATTTCGGCTCAGTGGGAGATGGTGAGGGGGAGTACGTTTGGGTATACAGTGCTTGCTGCTTTTGGTGGGCTTTCCTTACTATATGGACAGGAGTTCCTGGAGATCAAAGTCTGACTAGCCTTGTCATAGGATTATATTACGCTGGATATGGTGTGCTGCTAATGCCATCAATGGGCATCGTGGGCGCTTACGGTGGAAAGTCGCCTGAGTTTTATAATGCTTTTGGGTTCTATCTTCTCGGTATGCTTATGTCCCCTGGAATATATTGAGATGATGTCTAACATGTACCAAGTCTGGTCCATCTTGAACTTCTTTTTCTTTCTAGCCTCCCTAGCAACGTGAGTACCACCCCGATATCAACAAGTACAAAGCTCACCAAGAATCAATATGCAGAAACATCCCAAACATAATAATCTACGGCGCTCTCGAACTCTCATATATATTCAACTGCGCCTCGCATTTTGCACTCGCCGACGGGAACGCGAGTATGGGGACAAATTTGACCAAAGCATCCGGTGCCTTTGGCTTCGTCTCGGCGCTGGCTGGGTATTACATGCTGTGTCATGGCCTTTGTCAAGGGGCGCTACCATTCAAAATGCCATTATGTGAGACAGAAAGGTTTTTCCGCGGGCGGAGACCTGTTGGGAAGGAGATGTAGATATCCTAATAGTGGATGGGCTTTGTATTATATATAATAGTATGCCGAGAAACCCAGCCCTTCTCAGATGTCGCCCGAGACATCGGGGTTAGGTACATTGTCTGAAGAACAGATCCAATAAGCAGCTGCCTCTAAAGCAAGAAGAGCACTCACCAAGGTCCCTCATCTCAGCGTCGCCGCGGTCGTACGGCAAGTCCGGAATCCGCTCGTATGCTTCTTGTGCATACCACCCTGCACCAGCGACATCCTTTTCCAGGTCCACTCGACCAAACGGCATAACGCAGCAGGGGTAATCGAGCACATTATAGCTAGCCACGCGGGCTGAGGTGATGTACTGAATGTACTGCCATGCAGTGGTGCAAAGTGAGGCAAGGGCGCGCTAATTATCGCGTCCAGGCTCATTTTGCGCATCGCTGCACGATATCTCAATCCTACCGCTCTGAATTAGCCGAGTGGTCAAAGAAGCATATATTCACTCCGGGCAGACCAGAAAGCCAGGACCCAAACTGTGAGCCAACGCAACGGGGAAGTTACGTGCGATTAATCTAACCTGTATTTCAGCGTATGCTGTTATATTTGCATTCTACGCAGCACAAGTTTCCATTCAGCGGGGCCTGTCGGCTCGACAGACAGACTTGAGGTCCACTAGTGCTCTGGCGGATAAGATACATCTGGAGACACTGGTTGAAGTCCTCGTGGATGGATGGACGTGTGTGCAATAGACTTTGGCTGAGTTGTGAGTTGTTCCCCCAATCCACCTTGCACCCACCGGGTGATTACGATTCTCACCGTCTATAGACTACAAGGGAAACATTGCCATTATTGGCACCTTTATAATCCCTGCTTCTGGCCAGTATCGACGACGGAACGCTTCACTTCCGCCGCAATTAGAACCACCAGTTTTCGTCAGTCAAAAATTAGGAAACAAAAACATACAACAGCTGGGATTCGCATGTGGTCACCCACCATACTACTAACCAGCCGGCGTGTGGCTTAAGTACGGCTGAGCGGACGGGAAGCCCTGTTTTCCACACCCTGTGGTCGTATGTACTGACTGTAAATAAAGAATGAAGTATGTAGGGGCCATATAGTGTGTTCCCGCGCCTTCTGAATGATTTAAGCGGCAAGTTTGAATTTGCTGCCTTGCCGGGTCTACAACTGAATCTAATACTGCAGAATCTATTCGAGCCGCCAGATCAGGCCGGAGATACAGATGCCAGAAAATAAAAATAACTGAGACGTAGACAGTAGCGTAAATGGAGTGAAGATACATTCCAGTCTTGGAGTGGTTTATGATGGACGAGATAGTAGGACTCATAAATCGATCTTTTCTCAAGTTCCTGCTGTGCACGTCCGGATAGTGATTCTCGTACACGTTAAAGTACGCCAGGCATAAGGCTGCCCAATAGCTGACCCGCCTTGAATCCTTCGGCCGGCTCCGAAGGTGGCGATCAGGCGCCAGCAAAGCCTTTAAAACGAGCTGACCCCCCGTTCCAAGCTGAGAAAATACTCTTTGCCAGTATTTCCGATATTATGGCCTTTGAAGAAACCGACCCCGAGCTCATCCAGGCCCTGGAGAAAGCGTGGCATGTGGAAACACTCGCCCAGGTGCGAACCGGCAAAGTCAAGACAACGTTTTCCACTCGAGAGCCATCGGCTATCTACAAACAGATCCGAGCAGGCCCTGTAGCCGTGACGAATCTGGGGTGCGAGGGCGACGAACACGCCTTTGAGCTGCACGGCGGGCCTGAAAAGGCCTTGCTGCAGTACAGTGCACTCCACTACAAGCGATGGAAGCTGGAGCTGCCCCAAAGCGACGCATTGTTTGCCCCGGGGGCCTTTGGCGAGAACCTGGTGGCAAGCTCTGCAAACGAACGCAACGTGTGTATCGGCGACGTGGTGCGCATTGGACAAGTTATCGCTCAAGTCTGTGGCCCGCGGCAGCCGTGCTACAAACTGAACCATCGCTTTCAAATTAAGGACATGTCGAAGCGGTCGCAGGATCTGTGTCGCACGGGCTGGTTCTATCGCGTGCTAAAAGAAGGGACGATTCATGCTGGCGACGAGATTGCTCTGCTGGAGCGGCCGAATCCGCAGTGGACAGTCGCTAGACTTCAATTCTACCTCTATCATGACATGCGTAACGAGGAGCTGATGAGAGAGATCTTGGATCTAAAGGAACTCAGTTCCGAGATGCGCGGCATCTTCACCAACAGGCTCAGGAAGCAGTTCGAAAATCAAGCTGGCCGATTGCTAGGCACACCCGAGAAGGCCTTGACCATCTGGAACGAATACAAGGTTGTCAACAAGGCCAGAGAAACGCCACGAATCTGTTCGCTCGTTCTTGAAGCATTGGCTCCCTCGGAAGTGTCTACTGCGGTGGCACCAGGATGCCATGTCCGAGTGCGTCTTGGTGGAAAGCTCGTGCGCACGTACTCTGTTGTCACAGGAGACTCGAACCGCTTCCAACTTGCGATTGCATCCAGTGAAACCAGCAGAGGAGGGTCGAAATACGTTCATGACGAGCTCCAGCCTGGCGATGTTCTTCAAATGGGCCCGATCACTCCCAGCTTTCCGCTGGCAGTGACCGCGGACCATCACGTCTTCATTGCTGGGGGCATTGGAATTACGGCATTTATTGCGTCAGCCCAGCACTGCCAGCGCCTAGGGACTTCATACCACCTGCATTACCTAGTGAGAAGCTCAGACGATATTGCTCTAGGCCTGCTCTTGGCCGAGTTCGGCTCAAATGTAACCATCTACGACAAGTCCAGCGGTAACATCTTCGACACAAGAAGCGTCCTAAGCAAGATCAACCACCAGACCCATGTCTACTGCTGTGGGCCCCAGCGACTACAGAATGCCGTCTCAACAGAAGCAAGCGATCTCGGAATCAACCCGGGAACTCTCCATTTCGAAGCGTTCGAGGCTGCCACATCGGGAGACCCGTTCACGGTGCGTCTAGCCGAGTCCAATATATCGTTAGACGTAGAGGAGAACCAGACTTTACTTGACGTCCTGCGCGAGGCCGGTCTGGACATCCCATCTTCGTGCGAGGCAGGCAATTGTGGGACCTGTCGAGTAGGAGTCAAACAGGGGCGAATCGACCATCGAGGGACGGGGCTGCCGGAGGCTGAGAAGTGCTCTGCGATGTTGAGTTGTGTCTCGCGCGGTGTTGGGGACATTGAATTGCAGATGTAGCAAGTAGCAGCACGGATCAAGATCTGTCCCAGTTCAGTCCATGGCGTCGTTGTCTTGCCTTCCGTATACTTGCACCTCTTACCAGTGCAGCTTCAGAAGACCAAAGTAGTACTGGGTGAAACAGGACGAAACAGTGTACCAAGAGGGTGTAGGATTCGTTCTCGGGTTCGGCTCGTGAGCCAGATTAGTTCTCACCACATATTGAGGAAGATGAAGATATTTCCAACGTTTGGACATGCCCCTGCGTCTAGGATATAATTTATTAATACTATATTGATCGTACTATTATATAAGATAGAGTGGCTTTTCAGAAGATAGACCTGTTAGGAAGGGTATAGACGAGGGGGTAGAGATTAGCTTCCCCATTATATTTTACACTATTCTTACACGGACTCTAAGCATATACCTGGTTAATGAATGGCATAACATTGGAATTAACAACTAACTAGCTGAAACATCGTCACGGCCGCAATGCCCGCCCATTCCCGTAGCCCTCTAAACCAGGGACTGGCGCACCACCCAGCCAGTCCCAAGCAGAAACCCTCCCCGGACCAAGACCTGCCTTGCACCCCCCATGTAGCAAGGTCCTCACAGTCATTTCCTGTCTCAGCCGTACCCCAAGCATAACAGGCGTGTCCCCTTTGCCCGTCCTGCTCTCCCCATCGGCTCCACCTGCCAGCAATACAGCCAAAGCGTCAACATATCCACACTGCACCGCAACATGCAGCGGCGTCCAATCCTCATCTTCCGTTATATTTGGATCTGCCCCAAACTCCAACAACACTGAAACAGATTCAACATCACTATTCCACACCGCAAGGTGTAACGCAGACCAATACGTCTCCGATTCGAAACAATTCGGACTGACCCCAGCACGGAGAAGAACTCTGATTACCTCCGCAGTAGTCCCATTCACACCAGCAGCCGCTAGAAGTGGGTGTGCATGTGCATACTCATCCTGAAAACGACTATGTCTACCAGAGGGCACGCCCAGCGCAACCAAAATAATACTCTGCGCCTTGATATCCGTCGACTTCCACGCCAACGGGTCCGCCCCGGCGCGCTGGATGAGGTGTTCGAGGATATCTGCCCGAAGTGTACATACAGCCGTGTATAGCGCGCTATCTAGTACGGCTGGTGGAATGTCAATACCGCTGCTAATCCACGACTCCACTAATCGCGGGGATCCGTGGTGCACGGCGTGCAGGAAGCCGCGCGAGATGGGATCGTGGGCGGGGTCTGCAGCGCCGGACCAGAAACGTTTGGGGAATGGATAGCACAGTTCGCAGGCGGATTTATGATGCGTGTTATCCTGGGATCTGGAGCAAGGCATCGAGGCGGTTTTCTGTTGGATGTACGTGCGAAAAGCTGATTCGGTTTCGGTGGGCGATCGTCCCATGCCGGTGAGGTAAGCCGTATTTTCAAGGTTTTCCTTGCATGTTATTGTGCGCCAGAAAGTGCCTTTTCCGATGATTGTGTTTGACTCGTGGGCGTGGACGAGAACATCGAATTCGAGGGTGTTGCTGTCGGTGCTGTCAGTGCCTTTGAACTGAGCTGTTGCCCGCAGCGTTGTTCCTGATCCCACAGGACGCAGGTGGTTAATTGACATGCGCGCTGGCACTGAGATTAAGCAATTGGTGTCTTTGAGCGTGTCCGTCAGCGCCTCCGCGCTGGCGGTTTCCATTAGTGAGACGAGTCCCGTTGTTGAGAGGACGGCTGGGTTGGCAGGGGTTTCATTGCTGGAAAGGTGCTGGGGGAGCACGGATTCGATAATACTAGTGTGGGGCTTAATGTGATTCCAGGACTTCCTTTCGTTTGAAGGCATTTTCAGCTTTGTGATGAGGATATGGGGGATTGTTCGTATTTTTATGTATTTCTACGAGGTGGCTGAGTCTCGTATTCGGCAGACCATGACAGCGCCCCCAGAGAAGTCGATTAACCAGGGAATACATCGATAGACTGTTAAGTACTTCCATTCGGGCGTTCTCATTTAGCTATACTAAACATAAACTAAATGGACAAATAAAAAAACCTAAGCCTGGAAAATCTCCAGACAAGGCCCATGGTAGTGGTGTCTCGCATGAATAACCCAGTTGATCCCGCCTAAAACACATGACTCCGAGGACGGCGCAGGTATAGTCTTGAGGCTTATTAGAAATCTAGTAAATAGATACGGTGTCGAAAGAGGCATACTCATGTTGGACGCTGATAGCGGAAACGCTGTCGGGAGGCAGAAGAAAATGGTAATTACAGTGACCCAGACGACAGCGACAGTATTACAGAAAGGCCCCAGCAGACGGGGTACTCTGAAGAACCGGGCTGATGGCAATATTTCTGGGTCGCGCCGCCGAAGCAGTAGAAGGTCAATTGGAATTGTGACAGAAATAACGGAGAGGATGCTGCAGGAGCCGATAAGGGCGTTGAAGGCTTCGCGGGGTGTTAGTGGATAGGAGTCTTGGATCTGATAACAGGCTTAGATTTGATTACCTGAGGATGAGGCCAGATATAAATGCCCCAGGATGAAGCAGCAGATTCCGTAGTTGAGTAGTAAAGCGTTAAGGGGGGTTTGAAACGTCGCGTTCACGGTCTTAAAGAAGCGAGAAAAGACGATTGCCTCGTCGCAAGCAAAGGACCGCGTCAGTCGACATGCGGTCTGGTGCATCCCATTCAAGGCGAGCACGGATATTGCAATGAGGCTGACCATGAAGACTGTGGCACATTGGTGACTCCTCCGCGAGATGTAGCGTCGAGTCTAGCCCAACAAGCATGAACGAAGGTGTAGATAGGCCGGCTATAAAACACACGCCGTCAGGCCACCTTCCCGAGCTGTTGATGGAATCCGTCCATATTGAGACGGTGCTGAGGTGTACTGTCGCGCGGGAAGGGCAGGTAATTGAAACGACAAGGAACACCGATAGCGAGAGATATACTATGATGGCAATGAGCGGTTTGAAGAAGCTCTGTGAACATATACTTACGCCCGAAGGTGTATTGTTCAGACGTGGAGTATAATGTCCCCACATGAGCTCAATCCACAGTGATTATGTTTTCATGCATTGGAAGAAGGCAAGTCGCCCGACCCCCGGCACCAATGCTTTCCGCTGTAAGTATACTCAACCCACATTAATATTCAGGCTATGATGAGCCAATGTATGCTACAGCCTCTCTGGATGTCTACTCGTTCGTCATGACACTGCGGTGCTTGGGATTTGTCACATGAGTGTCTTGAGACTTTGTTGAAGAGTGAACTAATGGTTACGGTCCTTGTTGACTGCACTTGAAGTTTAATAGAACGGACATCAAGCTGATGTCCAGGTGTTGTAGCTAGCGCACACAGCCCATTACCTCCGGTAATGCTGCCTGAAGTCATATTGCAGAGCGTTCAAACCCTCACTCATCTTCGCCGCAACCTTGGGGCCGGTCTCGGCCTGTTTGCACGTTTTCAAAAACGCACTATCCTCAACGGCCGTTTCTGAATTGCTCAAATAAGAGACAGATGTTACCTGAAGACACCGGATTCACGATGTCGTTGTACTTTGACCGTCGAACTTGGTCATAGATGTCAAGGATGCTCTCATCCGCTTCGCCAGGGAATATCCCCGATAGGCAGTCGTAGAGTCCGCCAACATCGACAATCCCGCCTGTTAGGCCCAACCCACCGAATGGATTGCATACTGCAAAGGAATTTGTCCAGTGAGCCTACACGAGAGATCTGACGGTGGAATAGACGAGTCAGGGTGGAGTTTACAGTGTGCCGCGTCAGCAGCCAACAAAAACCTCCCAGCTCTCATTCTGTGCGCCAGCCGCTGGTGGACCTTGTAAGAACTAAACTTGACGATCTTGTATCCCCTGTTTTGCTCGTATACTCTAGTGTGAATCCTTATTCCAGTGCCGGGTCCACCGATCCTTCGGACCCCACGAAATCCGGCGGCAGGGTCTAACTTGAGCTTAATGTCCATTGGCTATACCGTCGCTCGTGAGAAAATAGTAAGAAGTTCGTACAATATAGTAAGAAAATAGCAAGAAAGCTTCGCCCCAGTCCTGGCTACGGTACTCCGAAAGATGGGCTGCATCGCCACGAACAACTTCGGTGCCTGCATAGCAAGAGCGGTATATTAATCCCTGCACCAACCCTCCAATGTGAGGTAGGACTCATTCTCATAATCCTTGCAACCTCCGTACACAATGAAGGGTTTCTTCTTGGTAGCAGCTACTGTCTGCAGGCTGGCCACTGCGCTTTCTCCTCGATCCTCTCCGAATATCACCGTCGATGACTGGAGCTCTGTAAGCACCTTTCCTCCGGCTACACGAATGAAGCTAATCAAACCCTCAAGCTCCCACCATCGCCAGATCTCAAATGGACCCCATGTTTACAGAACTACACCTGCGCCAAGCTCCAAGTCCCCCTCGACTACGGAGATCCATCGCGAGGCACGACAGGAATCGCCTTCTTAAAGCTCCCAGCTAAAAACGCCACCAACGACACGCAGAGCATATTAATTAACCCGGGCGGACCGGGCGGCTCAGGAATCGAGACACTTCTCACCGATGGAAGTACTCTAGCAGAAATCGTGCAAGGCCGTCATGATATCGTCGGCTTCGACACGAGAGGTGTCGGACAAAGTGGCCCAGTTGTAGACTGCTGGCCTGGTAATCCCGCGGCGCGGGCGCAGTTTGAGAGCCTGTACTATCCTGATAGTTCAGATACATCGTCTACCTCTATCGGGCGACAATATGCGGCGGCAGATATCTTTGGGAGGGCCTGTACTGATACTGTTGGGGGTAGTAATGGTACAGCAGCGTTTGTGAGTACGCCGGCTGTGGCGAGGGATATGCTTTCGTTTGTTAAGGCAGAGCATGCGGGCGGCAAGAGGGATGGGAAGCTCTGGTATATCGGGGTTAGTTATGGGACGGTTCTAGGCGCCACGTTTGCGCATCTGTTTCCGGATCATGTTGGCAGGATGGTTCTCGATGGCGTTGACGATGCGGAGGACTACTACAGGCTTGGATGGAAAGCAAACCTGTATGACACTGACAAGGCGCTCGACTCATTCATCGATGAATGCTTCGAAGCCGGTCCAAAGAACTGTTCATTCTGGAGCAACGGTGCACAGAATATCAGAGAAAGACTGGATACGTTGTTGCAGGACCTGCACGACCAGCCTATTCCTATTCCCACCTCAGATGCCTGTCCACTGCCGATACTGGCGACATACTCCGATCTGAAACAGCTTATCCTGCAGTCGATGTATGCACCGCTGCAACAATTCACAACCCTCGCGGATGTTCTTTCATCCTTGGAGCAAGGTAATACCTCAGCTTATGCAGCTGCTGTTACCAGCGGCTCAATCTCCGCGAATCCATGCAACTACAACTACACAGAAACAGGTACAGAGGACATCAACACATTAATCGCGTGTACCGATGGGGTAGCGGGCCATGGCGATCAACAGTCCTTCCAGGATCTATCCCAGTTCAAGACCTATGTCGACGACTTAACCAAACAGAGCAGCTTCTTTGGCGAGGTTTGGCCGAAGACCGCCAACGCGATCCTGTGTAGGTCTTTGGATGTATCTCCGCCAGAGACTGGTAGACTTGCAGAGTCTATTCTCGAAACTAGACACACGGCGAACCCGATACTATTTGCCACTTCGGAAATTGACCCTGTCACACCTAAGAGAGGGTACGCATCCCAACTTGACAATGTCTCCTATGTTTTATGTTAACTAATATGTTGTAGGGCTCATAAAATGTCCTCCGTCTTCCCGGGCTCTACGGTCCTGACGCAGAATTCAACCGGGCATGCTGCGATTGTCAGTGCTACGACATGTCTGGTGGAACATCTTCAGGAATATTTCCAACACGGGCAGCTCCCTCCGGCTAATACCACTTGTCAGCCGGATGTGAAGCCTTTCCAAGAGAGCCCTTGATTGATTTTGGTTATCTAGTTAGAGTCGCGTAGGGGATGTACACTAAGGGCAGGATGTTGCACAGTCAGTTCGAGATAGATCTTTGGACACATGAAGATAGATAGTCCCCTCATTCGTTTAATCAAATACCAGACTAATAGGTAACCTACCCTATAATGGCCTAGAACATGACTGACCCTGCATTCTCCTGACACCGTATGTGCAGGGATGGAAGTAGACTGACCGTGTTTGTATCGTTGACAAGCACTCGCCCAGTACGGTGGCTAATATATTAAACCCATTAATGGATTGTTCAAATTTCTGTCTATACGGTGAGCTTGTACATTGAGCTGGTGATAGTCTTCGTCACTGCGGATTGTACAGTGGTTTGTTCCCGACATATCATTACGCACGCAATTAGACGAGTTTCGAGATTGGGATAGTTACACGCAATCATTTCTTCTTCCTATTATGCCATAGTACAATAAGGAGGTTGTTATATTGTTGCAGGAAATAAAGCCAAGTTCCAAAGCTAGTTCTGCTTAGCCCAATGGTCACAGCCTAACAGCCATTGCATTTGTACGTGTACCCAGCATTGCAATCAGGAGTTCGGGTCGCGTACGAATATGCATTCAGGCATTGGCAGCCCTTGGATTCCCAGCCTGCGTGATGAGGGCAATCGGCTGCGACGGTGAAATCATGTTGCTCATCAACACAGAAGCCCCTTCCGGTGGTGCATAGGCCGTTACCCTGGTCAGAGCCGGAGCTGTACGCCTGTGTGGAGATTTCGGTTTCGGTGACGGGGGGAGGCGTGATAGTAACGGTATCAGTGGTAATGGGCAGAGTCACTGTCTTTATCGTAGTGGTTGGATCTGGCTGTGGACAGTTGATGTGGAGAGTGTACTCGTGGTCCTGGGAATCGGCGAAGTGTAAGTCCTGGCGCCCGTTGGATCCCTCCGAGGCGCCATACAACTTGGCCGCGAAGCTTCCTTGGTTGCATGTTCCTTGTGCACCAGATGCGATGACACCGTCATCTCGAAGACACACGTACAAAGGATCGCCCAGGCTGAATTCGTCGAGGTTGGACATGCCCTCAACGAGTTCGGGAGCAAGAACGACACCTAGACCAAGTGCAAGGATTTTCTGGAAAAACATCATGATGTAAAGATTGGAATACTAAGAGAAGCAACAAATGTCGATGGAAGCTGGTGGGTTGTCAAGAGAGAGTTCGTTACTGACGGCAATATATAGGATAAGAGACAGTCCATTGCTGTTTATACCTTCATGCATGCATTATGAATGGAATGATAGTAGGAATTCCCGCGGCCCGACAACTAACAAGGGCAGAATGGGACAATTCTCCTCCTGTAAGCACTCCTGCTGCGATACCTTCCCTGCACGGATTCTGTGATAGTCCCGCTCCACTTACATTGCTGGCTATTGGGATCCGTCACAGACCCACACACATTCCCAAGGCTGACCGGAAGAGCCGTAGAAAGATATCCGTATTACCATATCCAGATATCCAGGCTTGTACTACATGATGACTTCGTCAGAGAGAAGTGGAGACCACGCAACCGTCCCCTTGGAATGGGGCTCGGTCTCCCGGCACGGGTCATGTACTTCGGTCGATCATTGACAGAATATTGACGCAGAGCGCAATCAACGACGCACATTCCCAGTCATGGTGGGCCCATGGCATGTATGCTTGTGTTACAACAAGCACTGAATACGTCTGCGAGAGCATCTACCGCGCCGCTGGGGGGGTCGAGTACCTCATCAAGCTGTTGCACAAACTGAGGACCTCGCAGCAGCTAGTCCATGAGTGGATAGAACCACGACTGCAACACTTGCAAGCTGTAGTACCATTCCAATGAGTCGAGCCCAATGCAACCCAAGTCGCGCTTGGTAAGGCAAATGCTCGTTTGCGTTGAGTGTTCAGGCTATATAAGGGTCGATGTTGACCAGCAAAATCAGACAGATTCAAAGTCATTCAGTCACCCAACCTACTTTATCAATAATCCAATCTACCCTATCAATCATGTCTATGAAGTCTATTGCCCTCAAATCTCTGCTCGCTCTCCCCCTGGCCCTCTTCGGATCGGCGGAGCAGGCAGACGAGCAAAACACCGACGCCCTCGTCCGCAGCCTGCCCATCAGCTATGGCCACTGCTACCATGTCGTCAATGCAAACAACGAGTACCTTGGCCATGACGCTACTGGGTACCACTTCCTCCAATTTGGCTCACAGGCCAGCGCGGCAGGATTTAAAATCTGCTCCCAACCCGGTTTCACCTGTGGTTTGAACCAACCGGACGCGGTTGTTGATGCAGGCCAGCCGTTCTATCTCTACGACTTCGTGGGAAATATTCTCACCGCGTCCGGAAATACTATCGTCTCTAACACGGCGGGTCAACTGCTCGCCGGAGGTGGTGCCTGGAATCAGTACGTCGAGTTTACCGCCACCAACGAGCGCTCGGACACCAGGACCATCAGAGTCCATGCTCGGGACCATTGGGCTGCGCCTCACGATGGCCTCTCCGTGAACGGGTTGAACTACCTTATTACGGACTATAATCACGGCTCGTCTCTTCTCAACTTTGTGGAGACGGACTGTAGGGCCGTGTAAGGCAGGGGATACCTGCTTTCAGATGCTAGAGTGGTTCAACTTATGTGACGGATAGGATAGGTGTGGAAGTGGGATGTATTGGTATAATCGCATAGTTGAATCCAGAAAATTTCTCTGAACGCGTGCACCCCTAGCGTAATAGATCTTTCGTACTTCTTGCCAGAGTTCGCCTGGATATCTTGGCCCACAACAAAATCTCAGGTACTACTTTGCCCTGCAGAAGGTAGAGCGCCACTACATTCCAGGTTTAGGTTGTTTCCGCACCGTGACACAAACATTCCGGCCGGAGCATTCCAAGACCGGGAATTGTGGGGTTATAGATGCCGTGAAGGCTTTCTGGAATGAGAGATTTTCACCATTCCCAACAGCTGGGTAGCCCATATCTTTCCCATTCGTACCTTGTTAATGAATCATAGAATTGGAAGAAGATTGGATTCGTAAACACAGGTCCTCTATTTCTCTACCAACACCCATGAGACCTGTAAAGAGACACATTCTCACTGCTGTGCACTGATGGGTTCAGTGAAAAAGGGAACAGTCATTCTTCCAAGCCCTTGCTCGGGATACCTTACATGCCTCGAGCAGTATCAACCCCTTCTGCAACCGGTAGGTTGCACCTTATAGATAAGAATGCATCATCCTCCTTACATTCTCCACACCATACTGGGACAATATCGTGGACTACTGGACTTCTATGACGACCCTCCCCTGCAATTGGACCTCCAGGTCGGAGGAACAGACGGGCTTTGTGATTGACACACAATCGAGACTGGCTCGTTTCAAGCATGCAACCGTAACTGTAGGTTTTCTAGCACTGCCTTAACCAACTAGCTTTAATGATATAATGACTGTAGGGTTACAGTACATCTATAGTACTGTGGACAAGTTGACTTCTATGACGACCTTTTCACTGCAATAAGAAACTCACTCGTTGCAAACATGTAACCGTGACTGCATATGATCGAACGTTTGCGTTAACTGAGCAGTCTCAATGATACAATGACTATAGGGCCACAGTACTTCTATCGACGTTGTAAAAACCCCCCAGTCGGCCGTCCATCAAATCCTCCCACATCACGCTTCTCCAAAATCAGTTGCCTTCATTAGACATCCTACCTTAATATGCGCTTCAATCTCGGCGGGCTGGCGCTTCTGGCGGCAGTCACCTTCTGCGCAGCTGATGCGAGTACCTCTCCGTCATGTCAAGACCGCACCAAGTACACACTCGATCGCGTCGTTCCCTCCAAGGACCAGACGAGCGGCACCATTAAGTGTTGTCCTGAAGGAACCGAGTTCGACGGCAAGACATGCTCCATAGCTGTGGCCAAATGCCCAGATGGTACCAGACGCGACGGCGACAGATGCATTTCCCATGAGCCTCCTACCTGCAAGGGCCCCTACAAACCGGTCGACGGGGAGTGTGTGACAGAGGCGAATCCGACATGCGAGCCTCCCACGGAGTACCACAATGGACACTGTGTCATCCAGAACGCCTCGTGTCCGTTCGGATTCCACCAAGAGGGCAAGGTCTGCGTGTCTCGCAAGACTCCGCGCTGTGGGCCCAACGAGCATTTCAACGACCATGCGTGTGCCAGCGATGACGGTCCGACGTGTGAGAATGGCGCCAAACATGTCAATGGCAAATGTGTGGACTACGAAAAGCCTTATTGTGAAGGTGATGCCACCTTTGACGAGACTCTGCGCAAGTGCTTGTCGAACATCAAGCCTACCTGTCCAGAGGGCTTCACCCCGAAGAACGGCCAGTGTGTGTCGAAGCACGAGCCCTACTGCAATGTCGGCACCTACAATCGCAAAACACAGACCTGCGACAATGTCAAGGAGGAGCCCGAGTGCCCGGATGGAACGAGACCCCAAGGCAAGCACTGCGTGCAGCGCGATCCGCCCACCTGTCCCCAGGAAGGCTTTGTTCTTTCTACCAACTCTTATGATGGGAGTACACGCTGCTGCCCCCGCGGCATGGGCTGGACTGGCAGTGTATGCAGCACGAAGCCTATTGACGGTAAATGTCCAGACGGCTCCGCGCCCATCAAGGGCTGGTGCCACTCCTCAGTCCACCCCCATCCGACATGCCCAGATCAATACACGCTTGACAAGTCCCGCACGCATTGTGTGTGGAAGTCCGTTCCCAAGTGCCCCGGGAACTCTATTCCCGAGCACGGAAAATGTGTGGTCAAGACAGGCCGCGAGTGTCCTGATGGTTCTGTCCCGGACGGCGACGAGTGCGTCTTCCCTGATCCCCCGGTTTGCAAGGGAGACCACACAAGGCTTGTCGACAACGTTTGCTACGATACCAGGGAGCCTAAGTGCGGTGAAAACGCGAGCTGGGATAACGAGCACTGTGTGTCAGACAAAGACATAGCCTACTGTAAGGAAGGGGTGCTGCAGTACGGGGACTGCGTGACGCGCGGTCGACCAACCTGTCACGAAGGCACACACATCCACGGCAAGCACTGTATCAGCGATGAGATCCCCCAGTGCAAAGAAGGTGTCCTCAACGACGACGGAACCTGCACGACTTCTGTCACGCCTACTTGCCCCGATGGCAGCAGGCTGCACGGTGGCAAGTGTGTCGGCGGCAGACCTTCTTGCTCAACTGGCTTCCACCTCAACAACGAGCACTGCGAGTCGAACGAGGGCCCCGACTGTAACAACGGCTTCAGATACGTCAACGGCAAGTGTCGGCGCATTTCAGAAGAGGACTGCGGGGACGGATATAACCTGGTCAACGGCGACTGTATCTCAGTGGAGGAGCCCAAGTGCGGTGAACTACGGTTCAACGGCACCGCGTGCGTTGGTGAGCAGGCCCGATGCCCCCAGGGGACGTATCCCGACGGCAACGACTGCGTGTCCCTGTCGGAGCCCTCGTGCCCTACCGGGTTCAAGCCGCACAACGGCCGCTGTGTCTCTGTCACGGTCACGCCGAAGTGCCCTGATGGGACCAGGCCAGACCCGGACACCCAGGATTGTGTCTCAATCACGAAGCCCGTCTGTGCCTCCGACCTCGAGGTGTACTCCAATGGGCACTGTATCCTGGGCAGTGGCGGCTGTGTTGACTTTCAGTATTGCTCTACCGTGCGCGAAGGAACCACTCACCACGATAGGCACGGCGGTTCCTCCTCGGGAACCATTAACTTTGGTAACAACCACGGTGGCTCGTCTGGGGGGGCAATCAACGGGGATCGGAAGCATGGTGGCTCATCTGAGGGGACCATTAACACGGACAAAAAGCACGGTGGCTCGTCTGAAGGGACACTTAACCTCTAATAGAACCATGCAATCCCCAGGTAAGGGGCCAAGCGGAAGCTTTCGCTCAGACTGTCTACTTGCAATCCTGCCAATGACCTTCGTGATCATCCTCTATGTATCCAAGTAGACTAGATGAATATATATTTTCCGACTGGTATAGCAGGGATTTTGTAGTGGACTGCAAATTACTTGCTGAGCCACATATATCCATCCTTTATGGCAAATTAATGGCGACGATCTGGGCGATACACTCAGGATTCATCGCCCCTGGAGCGTGACATGGATAAATCTTAAACCCAATGATGGCCGGTGCGGTGGCACTCAGCTGCCGCGTTAGTTTCAGGTAAATAGACCGTCTTGTCTCAGTGGGTCTGCCTGTCTCTCTCCTGCCATTCCTTTGTAGCTTGTCGTCAGCATCTCCATCGAAGTGCCGTGGTCTAAAACGTCATCTGGATCTGACCTGGCTCTGAAACACGCGGGCCAGGATAGTGCAAACTCTCAATAGCCCGATCGCATGATATTTCGGTACAGGTTAAGCTCATTGGAGTACCGACGCCAGGCTGGGTGAGTTCAGAAAGAATATTCTCGGCCCGCATTTATATTCGGGAGTCTTGATCGCAAGCTGGGCCAACAGCAGGATCGCTTTGATACGCGACATATTTGCCGGTACTTCTGCACGCGACCATTATAGTTTCGCAATTGCCGGTCGCTCTCTAAATAGGATAAGCGGGGGAAAATATACTTGCGCCTTTTCAGGAACCATACATTAAGTTCAAGGTTTCGTTGGCAGTAGTCTATAGCGGGATTTAATGCAATGGTCTAGGCCTACTTGTAGAAACAAGACCCCTGGCCCAGGCCCGTTCGCCGACATGACAAGGCGGAGATATTCCCGTCAGACCTGAAGCTGTTCAAGTCCAGAACACAGTGTTCCATGTTCAGTACTGTGTAGGGGCTATGGGGACTCCCCACATTTACCTTCAACGGTCTGCGCGACTCCACGGGAGTCTGACGTGACGGCAACCGTTGCAGTGACTATTCAGAGTGACCAAGCCCCGGTGATCGAAAAAGGATAGTAACCTGCCAGGTACCTTCTGATGGTTGCCAGTTGGGAAGGCCCCTATGCGGAATTCGACAAGGAGCAGAATGGCCTTGATGTTGTTCTCGTAGATGTTTTATATGGATTTATACGATACTCACATCCTCAAAGGTACGTCGAATATTCAATACTTATGCATAGCCATGCTTTGACGGCCATTCCCCACGATATCACTAGTAAAAAGAGCCAGTAATACCCTCCATCGCCAAGACAGACAGGCCGGCAAGAGGCTGCGTTTACTGTGCAAGTATCTGCCGTTTAGGCTGAGATTACCCAAAGTCCTGGGGTGGAGGATAATTATGTGACAGAAATATTCTACATGATTCGTGTATCTGGGGCACTGAGACATTAGCCTATAGTATAAGAAACTGGCAGTAATTATATGCAGGGGTCGGATGGGGAAGCAAGACAAGTGCCGCAAATACTCTTCCTACTGTGTGGGGTCCTTGAAACGGAGGCCTCGAGTTCAGACGTTGATCTGCCTTGTTCCTACTGTTTTCGACGCGGGCATATCCAAGGTTATGAGGTTACAATTCTACATCCATTTTGGAGATCATCGGTTTCTGTGCCCCGTGTTGATCCACAGGCTGAATACCATCGGAGATGCCTCCTACGTCACGGAATGGGCTGGTGCATCGCAGGAATATAAAGTCAGACACAAATCTGTCTTCCTAGCTCACTCCTACCAACCCATCAACCCATTGCTCAAAACATTGTTCAACCGCGACAGAAAGCCTCGACGATGAAACCTATTCATCTTCTCCTTCCCGTTACTGCAGCTCTTGCTCAGGAGCTGTGCGAGCAGTATGGCGTTGTAACGGGCGGCGGGTATATTGTCAACAACAACTTATGGGGACAGGACAGCGGCACCGGCAGCCAGTGTACAACAGTTGACAGCATCTCCGGCTCTGGTGTCCAATGGCACACCACCTGGAACTGGTCTGGTGGCGAGAATGAGGTCAAAAGTTACGCAAACTCCGGTCTGCAATTTGACCCCGTTCTCGTCAGCGACACTTCGAGCATTCAGTCCACGGCGGAATGGAGCTATGATAATACAGACATCACCGCTAATGTGGCGTACGATCTCTTTACCGCCGCGGATCAGAACCACGAGCTTAGTGGTGGTGACTACGAGCTTATGATCTGGTGGGTGATTTCCTCTTGACGTGCGACAACTTTGCTGATCAGTTCTGCCTTATCAGGCTCGGCCATTACGGAGGAGCCACGCCCATTGGCGAACAAGTGGCCAGCGCTGAGCTGGCGGGCACTCACTGGGAAATCTGGAATGGCATGAACGGGGACATGGAAGTGTATAGCTTTGTTGCCTCGGACCCGGTTACCTCCTTCAGCGCAGACATCAAGGACTTCTGGGACTATCTGACCGACAACAACTCTTTCCCTGCGGACAGCCAGTATCTGCTTAGTGAGTGCCTCCCCGGTTGACGTCCAAAATACAGTTTTCTAACTGATTCTAGCGGCCCAATTTGGCACTGAACCATTTTCTGGTGAGGGTACCTTGACTGTTTCTCAGTTCTCGGTGAGCGTGCAGTAAATAGCATCAAACTCCATAGGAGACTATTCTGCTTCATAAGACGGGATAAAGTATCCTTCATCATTGCTTTTCTCCATCTTCCTCGTAGACTGAGTATCTTACTCTATATCCCGCGCAGTTCCGTCCCACCGATGCAACTTGACCTCCCTGCACATAATTATTCATCGTAACTCCGTCGTTCAAGAGAAGGCATATCCCTGCCCCGCGATCTATACTCTTGGATAGCGTTTATCGTTATGATACTTTCGGCTGGATTACCCCAATTAAAACCTGAGCAGCTGGACAGCCAGGCTAGATAACACCGCGGTCATTTGGACCAAGCTACCTGGCTGGAGCACTTTTTGAAGCACAGAAATTCTATTTTCGGCATGCCATAGGTGATCAAAGCCTCAAACGGAACCCTTGATTGCACATCTAGCGCACTGTTAGCATCTATACCAACCAGGGTAGATACGCCAGTGTGCAGACCCTGATTTGCAGGCATTATTGAAACGCGTATTCTTTGACTCGGCTGTTTGTTTCATAGCAATTAATTCCTACTCGGCTTCGCTTTAACTATTCGGTTAATATGGACACTGCTCGGCCCTATGAAGAGGAGTGTGCAATGCCATCTGCGCCGGAATTTGGGTTCCCTGATCCCATTATCTGATATGTTAACATCGCAGCTTGAACTATATAAGCTTCAACTAGTGGAATAAATAATGAGCTGCAATATGTGGAACGCTCTACAAAATCAACATATATTCTCATTAAAGACGACTCTGGAGACCCTATTAATGCCATTCCATTGCAACACTAGTCGAAAGTGAGATTTCCTTGTGAATTTATTGAATACTTGTTTACTTGCAAACAGTGAATGTCGACTTTGCCACTTGACATTGATGTCGGTGAAGAGCCGCTCTTCATTTTGATTGTCAATGTGGTCACAATCGTTCGAACCTATGTGCTTTGACGGTAAAGGCTCATGAGTACCGACAATGCAGATCTCCCTGGATTATGCGAGGTAAGCAGACAGAATCAGCTAATAAATCATCGGAGCCGAAAGACCGTAAGCCAGATCATCTCCGGGACAGCAACGCATCTCCCATTCGCACACGTCTGAAACCCATGTGGATCGTGAACATACTAAGAGTATTCCAAGCAACGATCGGCCAGGCACCAACTATTCAGGCCCCATCATTTTCACTCGGCAAGGTTAGTGAAATGCCCCAAGACATATCGAGCTTGTGCTGACATCTCACTTACCTCATGAAGCCTAGTGTTCACTGACAGTTGGGAAATGCGATGAACTCATTGGCCCTGAGCCTGAGGCTGTGTCCAGAATGTAATCTACGGATGCTTCGCCTCGCTTATTTCCGGGCTGACTTTATCAAGGCTGCAACGGCATCCTTGGCTAAAACGAACTTCGTCCGCAGTTACTCCCAGCAGCTACGGCCATACGAGCGCAATGAGGTTCCGAGGTGGTGCTCATTTGGCGATAGCCTTGCACATTCTACAGCTTAGCCATGTCTTCGCGCTGGACTTGGATCTTAACAGTCAGGGTAAGGCTGGTCACCAACATATGTCCTATTTCCTTATCCAGATGGCTAATTACATGGTTATGAGCAGAGTCGATCAAAGATGCCGGGGACACTGCTGCCTACAACATGATGACATGGTACAAATCGAACGAGACAGACAACCCTGGTTTTATTAAACGATCCTGGTGGACAGGCGCTGCGTTATATCTGGCGTGTCTCAACTATTGGCATGCTACCAACGACACAACGTATAACGAAGATGTCAGCGTCGGGTTGGAACATCAGGCAGGTGAGGATGGAAACTACAACCCCTCGTGGGTGCAGGGAGTCGTAAGTGCCCATTGAAGTTAATATAGTGACTCTTCCAACCGTTCTACAGGGAAACGATGACCAAATGTTCTGGGGCCTTGCGGCGATCACTGCAGCGGAATATAACTTCCCGAATCGACCAAACGCCGACACCTGGCTCACCCTTGCCATACGTGTTTTCAACGATCAGAAGGATACTGGACACGGTGGGTGGGAAGAGACGATATGCGGGGGAGGCGTTCGCTGGCAGAAGGATGTCTGGCAAGGTGGATATACGATGAAAAACTCGGTGTCGAACGGTGGTTTCTTTATGCTCGCGGCGCGTATCGCCTGGTTTACCCAACAGGACAAGTACGCCGAGTGGGCGGAGAAGGTGTGGGACTGGGCTACCGATGTCAACCTGGTCAATAATAAAACCTGGGCAGTGGGAGATAGTGTCAGTCAGGGCAAAGATGGTGGCTGCAGCGGTCCGGACAACATGCGGTGGACATACAACTATGGCACGTTTCTGTCCGGTGCTGCTTATATGTATGCCTATGTGAGTATTAAAGTCCGCCTTCTGCTGCTGCTGCAAGCTGATGACAGTAGACAAACGAGAGTAAATGGCTTGATCGCACCAGTAACCTAGTGGACTCGTTGTTTACTACGTTCGTCCAACCTAAACACGGAGGAGTCATCGCAGACCCCTGCGAGGCCACAGGCGTATGCGAACAAGACGCGAACCGACCACTGTTCAAGGGCCTTACGGTGTCGTGGCTTTCCGATACTGCACTGATCATCCCCTCGCTCAAAGACAAGATACTGCCCAAACTCGAGGCCTCTGCACAGGGTGCCGCAAAGTCATGCACCGGCGACGGCAAAAGCCTCTGTGGAAACCGCTGGTACGGCGGGAATGACGGCCAGAATTCAATGGAGAATGCAATCACCGGCAGCCAGATGATGAGTGCTGTGATGGTGAAATATATGGGCAATTCGTCGAAACCAGTCTCGGTAGCAACAGGAGGGAACGGCACCAGCGATCCGGATGCTGTCACTGGGCAAGACTCGGGGCCAAAATTCCGGCCCATCACAATGGGAGATCGAGCAGGATCTGGAATCCTGACGGTGCTCTGCGTGGCTGCTATGATAAGCGCGGTGGTCTTTCTGTTTAGTGACCCTGCACCTTAATAACATCCCACCGCGGGGAGATGGGGTAGATAATGCTCTGTACGAATTTCTTTAGAAAGGCTGGACCGAATTTATAATGTGTAAAGTCCTGGTATTGGAGATAGAAATATAATTTGCTCCGGGATTGTACCCCTACAACCGCTGATTTAAACACCGTTGAAGCGCCTTCCGATAAATCATTCGATACATACTCCCAAGTCTGGGCATATTTCATTGTCTATCTACTGCCTGTACTCAGAAGGTATATTTGATCATTAACATTATACTAGATAACTATTCATAACTGCATGCAAGAGCACCGCTAACCCAGACCACCGGGCGCATAGCTCAACTATATAAAAGATTCATAACTATGACGCATCGAACGTCCGAACAAGCGAGTCTATGATCGCATCGCCATGATCCGGGTGGTCCTGGTCCAAGACATCTCGAATATGGATATTTCTCTTCAAATTGTCCGCGAGATTCGCTAAACCACCACCACCGCTGCCACTATCCTCGCTCTTGGCCGTGCTCTCGGCACCGTCAATCAGAGCCTTTGCGTCAGAGTTATTACTGACGCCGTTGAGAATACTCCCCAAATCCATATTCTGGATCGTATTCTTCAGCAAAGCCCCAATCGCGACTTCCGTGGTCAGAGTCAGCTGGCTCAAGACATCGGTATAATACTCGACAAAGTTGTTCTCGAAAGTAATCGACTTGGTCACGGCGCTGAGGCTGAGATTGCCGTGTTTAAGCGCCGGCCCTTGCGTCGAGAGCACGTCGCCTAGGTTGTCGATGACGGTGCCGAGATCGAGCACGCCGCTGAGGGGGAAGGTGTTGCTTCCTGGGACGAGGCGGACATCCGTCAGGGTTGCGTTACCGATCAGGAGGTCGCCGCTCTTGACGTCGAGGACGAGGGTGCCGACGTCGAGGACGATGACGGTGGGATTGGGTAGGGTTACGTCGCCGATGAGGTTTGAGCCGTCTGGGCGTGCTTTGACGAGGGCGGCGTTTGTGATGCTGAAGCCGTTGAACTTGTTGAGGCCTAACACGTGTAAGTATATATCAAGTATATATCCAAGATAGGGTGTTATGGTGGGAATACCAGGACTCGTGATATCCTTGTCGATTTTGACAGGACACTTCAGCACGCCGAGATATCCATTCGTCCCGCCACTGACGGAGAGAGTCGACTCCTCCATGAAGACGACCTCGTGCACGAACTTCCTCCAGGCCGTCATGTTCTGGATTGGCGTTAGCTGTTCTTCGACTCCCAGCGAGTAATTGCCACTGATTGTTTGGCCGGCGATGTTTGCTGCTGCATAGGGGTAGTCCTTCCCGAGGGTGCGGTCGAACAGGTTCAAGGTGACGGGCTCGATGCGGACTGGGATGGCGACTCCCAGGTCAATCTTGGATTCGATTGTTAAGATGGTTGAGGTGTCCTTTGGCTGGGAGACGACGGCGTGGACCAGGACGAGATCTGACTTGTTCATGACGAGCTGCGCGACTGCTGGGATGACGACGAGGAAGCTGGACGGGTTAGATGCGCAATGAAAGTCTGAATTGGGGGCAATCTTACAAGACAGGCAAAAAGATGATCGAGAAGATGAGCAGCCCAAGGTAATAGTACCAAAAGCGCCGCATATGACGCTTGAACTTCTGACCACGCGTCAGGATAACCACCTCCTCAGCCTCGTGCTCCGTCTTGCCATTCTCGTCGACGTCCTTTAACGGGGGAGTCTCATTGTGCGAGTGCGGGCCGGCCTTATCCTCTTCTTTACCCATGGTGGTGCCAGGTGAGATGCTTGTCTGTCCGGTGTAAGTGACGAAGGGCCGGGGGGTAATTAAGCAGCTCGCGAGCCCCAGAATGCGCCATGCAGGCTACTTAAACAACTACCGAGGAGGATTCCCCAGATCTGCAGATCGCATTGTCGATTTGGACCACAGACCGAGGACTCGGGACACTGGATGGGCAATCTTGGATGGGTCAGTTCGCAGTAGCTGAACCTAATCAGGGGTAAGAACTGTTGGGATTGAGGATCTTGGTCCCAAACAATAGTTGATAAAGCAATTGTCTGTCCTTATATACGCTATCAATAGGGAAGTGAGCTGGTAAGCAAGATACAAGCTCAGAAGCAGAGTTCTCCTGTGTCGCAGGAGGAACCCCTGATTCAGCTACTGGGCATTGGCACACTGCATGACTTGGAGGTACGACTCGACAACTGCTGCAGGGTCGCGTCACAGTGGATTCAGCGGCAGCTCGAGATTGGGTGGCAATTATTGCGCGACAGGCTATTTGATTATCCTTCCAATCACATCTTTCTAAATGAGGATTTGTTGGCCAAGGCCGGCGTCGATGTTTACTGGGAGGCGTGATCGACCACAACTGCCGAATTATGACGACGGCAATAGCAGAGCCAATACCTCGTGTTGGTGTACGGTGACATGTCCTCGAGTTAGAACAGCAGTGTGCTCGAAGTGGAGATGGCAGGATGTTAAAGTTTGTCACAGGCACAGCGTACAGCGCCCCCTCTCTGGCGACAGCGGCCGAGGAGAAAGCTGGGGGAATCCAGATCGACAGCCGTCAGTGGAGCACCGTGAGGGGTTGAGTTCACACTGGAACAAGACTGGAGCAGACATGCTGGGGTGTGGGTCGTCTACCCCGGATTGCAGCCTATATCGAGCCCGGTATGCCCCTTTTCAGCACGACGTTGGCTTTGCCTCTGTACAGTCAGCGAATATGGTTCAGTGAGACACTTGTCTTACACATTGTAAACCACCGAGTGACTGCCTTCTTATCTATGCCGAACACCGCGGTTGATTCAAAAGCAACTGTTGGAGATCAGCCCGCGCGACCTTCCCCGCTCCGTCGTGCTGGGCGATGTGACGATGTCTGTGTGGCTGCAGATCGCTGAATCATGCGCGGAATCGCCTCCGCCACCACTGTGGTTACTCTTGAAGAGAGCTTCATGAATGTGACAATGACCTCACAGATATGTCCTGTTGCATCGTTTTGACTGCTGATGCTAGATGGCCTGCGTTGAAAATCCGGGACTGGGCCAATCAACAGCGGTGTATTTCCAGTGCTGAAGAGGAGACCTATCTGACTTGCTTGAATCTGTTGCTTATCTCGCACGGTCGCTCATTTTCTTATTCTCGTTTATTCTATTTCTTAGGCCTGTTTTTCGTGGCCGTAGTTGAGATGCCAACTATTCCTGTGCTGTCGCTATGTATAACCATATATATCCTCACGCACAAGGAGCACTATAACAAATCTCCCAAAAAGTATTTGACCGTTCAACCCTACAAACATATTACTATTTGACCGTCCCCCTCATCCCATTAAACCTTCTATTAATATGTAAATTCGTGTTCCTGGTGATTGATAATTAAGTCTGAAACCGCGTCCTATCTCGATATAACCGGCAGCCTCACTGAAGGATCAACGCCCCTGAATATCAAACCTAAGTGAAATCTCGCTACGAATGAAATTATATCGACGGCGATCTTGCTCGAGCCAGAATCTCGCTTTATCCGTCCGGTGAAAATATGTATCTCTGTAAGGCCCGTACAGAAGGTATGACTTCGGTGATAAAACATCAAGGCAGATAGTTGTATCTTTTAACTACTACACGAAAGAGGGAGGACTCCTTCGGAGAGGAAAAGGGGGATATTTCTCCTGCTACAAATAACATGCCAGGAGTAGGAAAAGCAAATCAACTAAAACACGAGGTTTCTGACCAGTTTCAGCTAGCAACAGGTTAATCAAGGACTAAGAGAGGCTAGACCTCGTACCAAGGCTCCTGAAGATGAAAAGCAATAACATGCAGGGACCACAGGAGATAGGGGTTTTCCCAAGATTGGAGAAATAGACTGGATGGCTACCAGCCTAACAGAGTGGCAGCATTATTATAGATTACGATACACTTTCACGCTTTAGTTACTATTTATATCTGATTTAATGTTTATATCGGGTGATTGTAGATTCCACGCATATTTCTACTTGCTTATAACAGATTTGTATGGCAAAATAGAAACTACGAATTAACCAGATAGGTTTGTATTCACGGCTGGGATCCCCACGATCTCGGAGCCTTCGACAGAGTTGCCAATATTCTTGTCTCACCATCGGAGAGTTCTATCGCCGGTATCCCAGCTTAATTATATATAGACCTTAGAGAACGACGACGCCGGAGGTCAGCATTCGGGCTGTACTTCGGCATTTCGACGGCTTCGATATGTACCGAACTCGGGATACTATCACAGGTTGGACTTAATTCCGGCACGAGGGCTATCTCGTTAAAAGAAGGATCTTGCGGCGGGTTTTACTGTAATTAGAGTACCGACCAGCCCGTTTAAATAGTTGAAACAGATGGAGATATTTACTGCATCCAGCACTGATGCCCCAGGCACCCAGCCTGCCCTAAGGAGTTTGGTCTCCGCACGAAAGCGGATCAGACACGCAAGCATTAAGTATTTAACAGTGCATACTTAACCCCGAAGTATGGGCTCGGAGTACATTACTGTGAAAGGACTGTGGGCAGTCTAAGAGATCCAGTATGCAGGAGTCTGCAGGAACAGCCGGATGCTGCTACAAGCCTATATAAGCCATCTGTCCCGTGGCTATGAGAAGAATATACTTCAAGTAACCACTTCAATATGAGGTGCTTCAATATGAAGTGTTTCAACCGAGCAATCCTCGCCGTCGTAGGCTTCACCATCCCAGGCAGCGCCAGCCAACTCCCAACCCAGAACACCCACACCTCCCTAGGCAATGTGAGCCTCCCAATCCCATCCCTGGTGACATTCGGCACCGGCGTCATCGGCGGCCTATTCCACCCCATTGCCAGCGCGAACCCGGCAAAATCCAAGATCGGAGTTCTAGTCATGCACGCGGAGCAAGACTATACGACCTTCTACCCCTGCACCGAACTGCCCGTCCGCGGATACACCACCCTCTGCCTGAACAACGCCCAGAGCAAGACCGGCGAGATGAACGACCTCGACTTCGAGACCATGATGAGCAACGTCGGAACAGGCGTGTCCTATCTCCGAAATAGGCCCGATATCGAGCAGGTCATTATCTGGGGCCACTCAGGCGGCGGCGCCATGATGGCAGCATACCAGGACGTCGCCGAGAACGGAGCCACCGCTTGTAACGGGACAGAGAAGCTCTACCCCTGTTCCAGTGCAATGGACAACCTGCCCCCGGCCGACGGTGTCCTCCTCATCGATGCAAATTACGGCCTGTCCACAATGACCCTCCTCTCCATTAACCCGGCTATAACAAACGAATCCACCGGCGCAGATATCAACCAGAATCTGAACATCTACAGCCCCTCCAACGGCTGGACCGAGAACGGGGGGAACTACACATCCATATTCAAGAATGAATTCTGGACTGCCGTCGCCGCACGCTGGAACCGCATCCAGACACACGCAATACAGCGTAATACCCTCATCAACACCGGAAAGGGCGAGTACACCGACGACGGGGGCCTGGTGATTCCAGACGCCAATTATATCGGCTTTAATAATAAGCTTATTACCCAGGATACACGCCTTCTGGCACATACGACCTATAAATGGCCTCTACTGCATAAGAATGGGCGGAATAGCACACAGATTGTGCCTAGTGTGCGTGTTGCTTCGGGCGGTATCCCCAGTGTGGTTGATTCGTTCTATACCGGGGCTTTGAAGACTACCATAGCTAGATTCCTTTCTACATTTGCCATTCGCGTTGGTGCGGCTAATTTCGGCGTTACCGCGGACAATATCACAGGCGTGGACTGGTCCTCGTCACAGACGGCCCCGATTGCAAGTGTGCAGGGTATCACGAAGCCATTACTGACGATGGGGAATACGGGACACTACGAGTATCTGAACGCCGAGAAGATGTATCTCTCGGCCAAGTCTGAGGATAAATCGATTGCGTTTGTGGAGGGGGCGCAGCATACCATTGAGACTTGTACGGAGTGTGAGAAGTATCCTGGGGAGTTTGGGGATACGGTCAAGACGGCGTTTGATTTTATGGATCTGTGGTTGGGGGAGGAAGGGAGGTTTATTTAGATGTGAAGGATTTCAAGGACTGCGTCGAAGCAGGAATAACGACGGAGCCACTACGCATGATAGACGGGGATAGTACAGAGTAAATACAGGCGAATGGCCAACACTATTTACTGTCATTTCATCCTTCATAGCTAATGACGGATATATTCCTCTCCGGCCCATAGTAGTTGATTGATTAGATCCCAGCAACAATGATCGTCTCTGTACACCACTGAAGGGCCATCCGGATCAATATCTATGAATGGAGAATTGCTTCAATAGTTTCAACGTAATGGCAAAACAGGTATCACTTAAAATCTCCATATACACGGCATGGGTAAAGTTAGGACTTCGACGTGGTAGTCCCAGGCGAAAGAAGCGGACTAGCTCTCGTCCTGTGAAGAGGATACTCGAATCTCGTCCTGGAGCAGACCATCCATGCTCTCCTTCAGTGCCGATATACTTTCCCGGACTTCCTCGGCCTCCCCGATCCTATTCCAACGCAGCAGCCATCGCCTCAGTTGGCCAAGGAGCATAGCAGCTCGGATTTGACACTCCCTGTCGGGTCCCTGTAATCGTTGCACTCCTACATAAATGTATGGCCTCCCCAATTCTTCATTATTCTGTAGAAACCAGTACTCAGCCAGTATTTGCGAAGCGAAAGCAAAGTATTGGGTTTCATTGCTCCAGATGCAAGGTTGACTCAATTTGCTCAATGCACGGTTGTAGAGCCGCATACCCAGATCCGATATCTCCATGCTGCACTTTTTATCGGTGGTATAATAGATGAAATATGTGTAGTCATGGAGGATTGATATTGCTGTATGGGAGGCTGGGCCCGTGAGCCTATCGGCGGTTTCCAAGGCACTTTGATAGTACTGTGTGATCATTCCATGGTTTACATTTCCAATATTCCACTGCTTCATGTAGTACACCCACATTGAAAGCACGACGGGGTGACCAGGGCCAACGAAGTTCTGGAAGCTTTGGAGTGTCCGCAAATGCCCGATACGAAGGGCCCATACAAGACAGTCCATATCCATTTCCGCCAGAGCGTCGAAAACCCTGGAAACAGGATCGTGGTCCCCCTTGGTGGCAGCACGGACATCGCGCAGATAAACCAAGAAGCGGGCCTTCAAATGAGCGTCGTCTTTGGTGGACACACATATCCCGTACAAGTACCGGCAAATTCGCCAGAGCCGCCACATCAACTGCGGGCTGTCATCCATCACGGCAGCGCTGATCGCCCGTTGGGCCTGTCCCAGCTTTATCATACCTGCGTCTGAATTGCCCTCGCGGAATAGGGACCCTGCACCCCAGACCTGGTCGCTCAGCTGCTTCCAGCCTGTCCCTGCGGAGGTATAACCAGCCGGGTCTAGCATCTCGGTTGAGTTGAATTTCCATTTTTGACTTTCGAACAAGTAGAATATGTAGTCATTGACACTGGCCAACATTCTTTCCTGTAATTGGTACCCGCGTGGGTCGCTAATTGTAGGGACGGTTCTTGCATATTCGTTGTCTTCTAGCGCCTTTCGAAAATCTGCAGTCCACTTCTTGTTTGCTAGTATCGCAGTCCAGGCCCCGATTAGATGTGCTTCAGGATTCCTTTTCCGTTTGCGTGGTTTTGAAGGTTCTCCGACACTGTTTCCCTCTTGCGTCTCATCCGCTGTACCTTTGTTCACCTGTAAGTTAAACCTCGTTATGGCTTTATCAAGGCTCCCCGGCCTATAGTACCATATCAGCATGGGATTGCACGTAGGGTAGAAGGGTTGGGGAACTTACGTGACTCGGAAACTGTAAACCAACGCTAGTATAGCTAACAAGTCGGGCCGGGACTGGGCCAGGTCATGGGAAATTCGCTTAATGGGATCCGTTAAGCTCTCCCATGCTCGGTGCTGACGCCCTGGTGGCATATCTTCCGCCTGTAGTCGTGTCCACCCGTCCCGGGGTGGTGCCAACGGGATTGATCTATAAACTTGCAGTGCGCGCCTTCCCCATCCATGCTGATCAGCTTCAGTGGGGATGAAGTTGCAGAACCCTACTGTATGACACCCTCCGTCTGGTTTCAAAAGGTAATTAGCCCAGCCCGTGGTTTCGTAGCCTTGTGGATTGACTACGTAACGTGGGAAACCTACTTTCAATCGAGAAAGCTTTATGTAACGGACGAGGTCCCGCTGGAATAATCTCAAAGGCCACACCCTCCGCAGCTATCTGTTGTAGATTCATGGTAGGACTGGAATATCGAAATCACCAGAGAAGGGGGCTATAGCAATGTAGCGTCTTTCTTCCGAGAAACCGACAATCCGGCTCGCGATTTGGATGCGTCTTATCTCAGTGACCGCCCGTGGACGCCGGGAACTTGATGAGCAGTTCGCCAAGGGAGTGACGTGGAGCCTGGCCGTCAGCTGAGGAGTTCGTGCTGCGTTCTTCATTGTGGTTGGTTTAGTTAAGATCTCCCTGCAGGTGGAACTTACAAGGGTCCTGCATGGTAAGGCAGATGCTATTGGATACGACCTGCGGTCATCCAAAACAGATGGCACAGAGGCAGCACATGTCTATATTTATCGGGAGAGGACAATAGAAAGCCATGCCAGAATATACCATGACACCAAGAAGATATTACATGGTTAGTTGTTAGCATACGAGTGAGATCTGATGCATAAATATCACCTTCGAGCCCAGCTTCTGATCGAGGCTTTCTGTTATCCAAAGCTCCCATCCACCTATTCAGTGGCTATTAATTGCCTTGATACTATTTCAATACTATCGTGTTACATATTCCCTCCCACTACGGCCCACTCACAGAGGTGTCACAATGGAGAACAATACTGCTGGTGAAGTCCCCCTAGAGCAGCTGACTCCCAGGGAGACACGAGCAGAGCTTGTGAAAGGGCTGCAAGACACCGCCGCAGTTGCAATCGACCAACTGCAGCGGTCGTCCGAAATGACCCAGGCCTGGACCTTGCCGGCCAGGGTATTCCCGCAGTCCATCCTCACAATGGCTGCTTGTCTTGCTTCGGGATCGGATGTCGAAGTGCGAAGTACTCAGCTTGATATCAAGATTCCAGGACTTGATGACCCGTATGTTAATGTCCCGCTCCCAATATCGCACTGCGACGGACTCATGATATTCATAGCCAATCTTCCCTGAATGCCTTACTTAACTACTGCTCCGCCCTGGGGAGGGAGGCCTTTGAACAATCCGAGAAGGGCATGCTGAGTCTCGACTCTGTTGCAGCTTCTGCTCATCAAAAGGTATGCTAGAGTGCTCTTCGCAATAAATAGAGCTAAACAACGTTAGATCGAGCATATAATGCAGCTAGTTGGTCGTCCCGAGCGAGACGCCATACTGCAAGCAGAACTCACCAGTTTCCAGGCCCTGGGCACAAGGCTAGGTGCAAAGATAGGTGAAATGGACGAGGCATTTGCGGTGTGGACTACATTTACCAACGACCTAATCCGGAAGCTCGACAAGAAGCTGGGGCCTGTCCCCGAAGCAGAAACATCCGAGGTACAGCTTAGCGTGCTGCAGGATGCGTATGTCAGGTCAGAGGAACGGCTAAAGCAAATCCAGGCCGAGTCCGATCAGCAGAACTCATATCTGGTCGATCTGCTGCGCCGTGAAGTCCCCAAGGCATGTTCGCAGGAAGAGATGATGGTGAAGCTTCGGGAAATAGTTTCGCAGGAGGATGATGGTAGGCTCTACCTCGGTATACCTAGGTTTCTATTTACTAATGACTATGCAGCATGGCCCGGTTTGGTGAATATCTGGCGAGTGGTCTGGAAGGGCGAGAAGCGCAGGCAGAAGACTAAGGAGGAAAGGTCAAAGCTCAGATGGACAAGTTCACCGACGCGTTGAAGGTAACCGCTGCTGATGCTGAACGCGAGCAAGCAGCCGTGTCAGAGCAGATTCAAGCCTTGGGTAAAAGTCTCCAGAGCATCGAACGGGACCTCGAAGCCGCGAAGCAAGATCGCGAGTATGCGTCCGAGCGGCTGATAATGGCATCACGCAGTAGCTCAAAGAGGAATCTGGAGTTGCTGGCAGATAGCAAGCTTGACCTGGTAAGTACTTTTGCTATTATGCCAACAGTACATGCCGCAGATGCTGAATGCTGCAGAAAACCATCTCCCAGATCCTTACAAGTTCAGCGCAGGAGCTCAAATGCCTTCGACATCACATTTCCAATCTGAAAACATTCTTCACTGATCTTTCGAAAGTGGTGGAAAACACTGTTGACAGCTACGAGAGCTTTCACCTCAGTGCTCGATTGGAGCTGCCGAATCATCCCAACGAGGCCGCGAAATTCACCAAAGAGGACAAGACCGTATATGGACCAATTCAAAACTAACCAACGCCAGCTTCAGGACTGGTGCGCCCAGGCGACTGATGAGATCGAAGAGCTGGCTCGTAAGGTATGTTTGCCTTCCATGTTCTGGTACAAAGAGCTAAACTTGACGTCTCAACAGGGTGCTGAAAATGTACCTCTTGATATTGAGAACAGTCTCAAGGAGTCCCTGAATACTGCCATGAACAGATATCAGTTTTGGGCTGGAGAGTAAGGGATTGCAAGGGCACCCTTGACTTCCGTTACGTCATTCTGGGCTTTTTTTTATCAATCTATTATTGATTCAACATCTAGCTGGGGCAGGAAATTCTGGTTTACTGATACTTTTCACCCGATCCAACCTCGGGACAGAATACAGCTCGTGGTGCGTTTTGACTTATTCCTACATAGTACATGGACTTAACAGCAGATAAATTGAAATTGTACACCGGGACACAATGTGACAATTGAGTGGTACAGCTTCCTTGTCATTAAATGTATCAAAGAGTTACTACAGGTAACATGATTGACCAACCTATATGTTTAAAAGCGTCCCACTATAGCTATCATGAATGCTCTATTGATAAGGCCCTTCAGGCGCCCCACTCTTGACCGTTCGCTATCCAAATATATTTGAATCAAATATAGTCGAGTCCAAGGAAGGAAGGAATGTCAGGAATAGTTAAACGAGTGTATTAAGACGTCTTGAAAGTTGTGCACAACAAAGAAATAAACGAAAGGCAAAGTACAATGTAAAGAAAATTCTGCTCATCTATCAACCCCATCCAGAACCCTTCTCTTCGTGTCTGATACTAACATATCAGACCAGATTGTAGTTAAGCAAGCTCAGAGTCCAGACATTTCCAAAAGTCCACCTCTGATCTGATTTAAACAACGGTAGGAGCAGGAGAGAGCTCGCCGTCGGTAGGCTTAGGGGGAGGAGGCACATCTCCACGCTTGCCATTGCCATCTCCCTTAGGGGGAGGAACCTCGCCATCAGTGGGCTTGGGGGGAGGCGGGATATCTCCACGCTTTCCGTTGCCGTCGCCCTTGGGGGGAGGGACATCGTCGGTGGGCTTAGGAGGGGGCGGGACGTCGCCGCGCTTTCCGTTGTCATTAGGAGGGGGAGGAACCTCTCCGTCGGTAGGCTTGGGGGGAGGAGGGACCTGGTCACGCTTGCCATCGCCCTTCGGGGGGTGGTGGTCGTCGGTAGGCTTGGGAGGGGGAGGGATATCTCCACGCTTTCCGTTGCCATCTCCCTTGGGGGGAGGGAGCTCGCCATCAGTGGGCTTGGGGGGAGGAGGGACCTGGTCACGCTTGCCGTCGCCCTTGTGGTGGTGGTCGTCGTCTGTGGGCTTAGGAGGAGGTGGGACATCTCCACGCTTGCCGTTGTCGTTGCCGTCGTGGGGAGGAGGAGGCAGAGTGGTGTCGGTAGGCTTAGGAGGAGGGATCTCGTCACGCTTGCCGTTACCATCAACAGCAACGTGAGGGCCATTGGGAGGAGGCACGTTGGAGAGATCAGTAGGGCCTGGAGCATTGTTAGCATTCGAAAAGCTTATATTGGACGGTATGACATACGAGGCGCAGGAGGAGCACCGGCAACTAGGCCAGCGGCCATCAAGGCGGACATAACAGCTGCAATCTTCATGATGGCGGTTGATAGATGAGTATTGGATAGGTAAAAGAGAGTGTAGTTGAGAGTTGTTGCTTGAGATGGTTGATGAGAATGATGACCTGAATACCGGTGTTGCTTGCCCTCTTTATATCCTTCAAAGCTCATATCAATGTAAAGGACCTTGCGCGCACTGTCACGTCATTCGAATCATTCATGATGCCTGGAGTGATTGATCGCAATAGTCCATGTTGTCGTCACCCAGATGTCCGGATGAGGCAACCAGCACGTATATCGCAGCTATATCCGCAGGGCGAATCTGGATGTACATCACGGTTAATTCCGAGATATTGCGACGATTATGCTCATCCAATCTTACGTCAAATCTTAATTCATCCTTCATGTGCTTCCGGCCCGTTGCACCCGTCACACAGTACCTGCCAGCTTACTTTCCGCTCCATGACTGTCTACTATAGAGCGCAATACTGCTGTCACCACTAACATACTTCATGCTGTACTCATCCAATCTATCTAATCTGATACAGTTAAAGAACAATATTGCAGCCTGTCAGGCTCTTCCGCGTCATCGGCAGTCTCCACCGTGGCCGGCGTGTTCATTGCAGAGGATCGACTGGCGCCGCGTAACAACCCACTTTGTGAACAGGTAATCTAAAATTAGAGATTTAGCCCGATATTTGACATTATTGAGTGCTTAGCTGTGGCATAGACGAGTCTAAATGGTTTAAGATTAAAGCTTGGTTTAACGGAGCTTGGTGTCTGCCCTACTGCACTTTATTTTTGGTGATCGTGGCTGTACTAGACCCACTGCAATTTTTAAAATCTTTTACTCAACGGTCATATTCAAATCAAATGTACCTACAGAGGCGGTAGTTATGATATAGTAAGCTCGCTGTCGAGGAACCACGTACTATCGAATTTGCATGTGGAATACTCGATAATTCGATTTTCTTTAGCACCGAGTTAAGGAAATGAAGTATTCTAGAACGACATTCGACATTCATTAGCAGATATTTAATTCCGATTAATCCGGGGAAGCTTCGTCATCTTCAGCTCCTCCACCGACATTCCCCCGAGAAGCTCAATAGACAAAGTCAAAGTCCGAATAGACTCGGAAAAGCATACCCGCTTAGTATTTAGTTTAGGCCTCCCGCCTGCTTGGGGCAATGATGTTCACGACGCGAATTCCCGAGGTAGCTCCTTGCTGATCGTTGTCAACATCCAGATCCAGACTGAACGGCTGCTGAGGCTTTGTCGAATAAGATATCTCAGCGATGAGCTGAATCTGGATTCAGCTACGAATCCTCATGTAGCCGTGGGCGAGGACGATTGCGCGATATACCTGCCTCGGATCGTGGAAGCCCGTATGAGGAGATTTCCACGTGTATGAGCATGCTCTTCCTACATTTACGAGTTCATACCGCAGCATGCAGGATCAGTCGCTGAATTACGTGGAAGCTTGTGACAACGGTGACATATGATCCATCACTTGTTGACGGCAACTGCTGGAAATCGATGTGATGTTGTCAAGCAGTGACAGGTCAGACTTTCTCCGAAATACGTGGATTGAATTGCTATATCTCATTCCAGGCTAGGTATACCACGACGGCGTCGGATACTCCTTTAGCAGTACATACCTCCCCAGCTCCCGGTTCTTATACGCCACCGGATCATGCAATGTATGCGTCCTGATATCCCTCCAGAACCGATCCAACCCGACCTTCAACGCCGTCGCCCTCGCCCCCGTAACCTCAAACACCCCGGACGTGACGCGCAGTCCAACATCCGTCGTGACGACCTTGACACTGGCCACCCATTCGGCTACCTCTCCTCGCTCTTCGGCGGTTAGACCGGGCCGGTTACTGCTGTGCTTCTGGTAGAGTGAGGAGAGCTGCTCTCCCGCACGGTTGGCTAGTGCCTCTGTGGCTCGCAGGTGTGCAAAGAAGTTGCCGTATCGCTCAAGGATGTAGAATTCATCTGTTGCAGCATCCTTGTTGTCCCCTCCGAATGGCCAGGCGCGGGTATTGCCTGTGGTGTACTTGGCTGCAAACTCCAAGGCCCCGATGGCGATTCCGAGGTAGAAGTTGCTGAAGACGAGTTGGATACTGGAAAGGTCAGTAATGCCAGGCTTTCATGGTTTGGAACGTAGTTACGTACGTGGGAAGAAGTAAGGCCGCAAACGAGGTCAACAGGATATCCTCACGCGGCTTCTTGCTCGACGCATCCCAGCCCAATGCATCGGTCCAGGGGACTCGCACGTTATCGATCTTTACACCTCCTGACTCCGTCAAGCGGAGACCGATATTGTGCCAGTTGTGCGCGAACTGGATTCCTGCCTGCCGGGTCTCGACTAGAGCGAAGATGTGGCCTTCTGTGCCTTCCAGTACACCTTCCAGTACGGTCAGGTCAGAGACAACGCCGCCGGTGTTAAAGTGCTTCGCTCCGTTGAAAACAATGTGGTCGCCGTCGGATGTGATCTTGAGATCACTATCGCGAGGATTCACAGCACCGCCAACGAAGTAGTTGTTAGTAATGATGAGCTCGTGGGTCCGCTCGATCTGCTCTGGTGTCCCGACGACGTTTGCTGTGGTGGACCATAGAAGGTGGTATCCTAGCAGCATTCCAATGGACCTGTAAACTATTAGTATTCGTAGTATTAGGAGAGAGGGGTCCCTACCCATCTGCCTTTGCAACCTCCCGAATGGCCTGGTATCCAACACTCCACGGCTGCTCTCCACCGCCATACTTCTTAGGCCCAAGTAGTTTCAACAGACCGGAATGTTTCAGAAGTGCAACTTCTGCACGCGGAGACTTATTCTCCTGGTCTCTCTGTGCTGCATCCTGGGCAAGGACTCCAGCTACCTCACGAGCTCTAGCCAGCCATGCCTCCGCGGTATCAGGGAGGGTAGACCATTTGCCCTGGTATGAATCGTACACTGCGGGGTCTGTGGCGGGGACGCTTTCTGCCATGGTGTGCTATGGTATTCTTCAAGTTATTGATAAATCGAGGTTCGTTTGGCAGGGCGGGCCGTATATCTACCCATGCGGAACACATTGTTCATCGATGGCACGATGTTCATAGAATATGACACCATGCAGTGATATACATTGCATGTCATGTCTTTCGTACTCTTTAGAGTTTGTGTAACTCGGCCGATAAGTTTGTTGCTATGCACGATATCCAGATGATGTGATTACCGAAGTTGATCACCCCAGAATCCAATTTATTGCACTATCTCCAAGGGTCTTGGACAGCAATGTCATTATTATAAGCAATATACTTTTGGTGTATAGAAAAATGGTGCTCTCGTTGATAATTTGCATGAGAATTTAACGATAGTTTGGTCAGCTAAAGAAGGACCCAATATATATATAATTACTATTGCTCTGACAGAATGAACTGCCATCATCATCAGATTGAAACATATTTACTCCCATTTCAACAGAAGAAAATTCTAAAATACCAACAGAACATTCTCCAGTGTGATACGAGCGCACGGGCCGAAATTGTTCGATATTTGGTTGTCGGCCGAGTAAAGAATGCGGCATAACGCAGATCGAGACGAGCACATCATCCTAGGGCTGATTATGCCACCGAACACCACAGATATCCCAATTAAATCAGATAAACTCAAAAATTGGACTACACTACAAACCTAGCACTCAGTCGTGGTTTATGGAGTAATGATATCTAAAGAAGCTCTGCACGCCATACCCTCTTCCAAATGATGCAATATCGAATTCGATATAAGAGGCCTTTGGCTGGATACCGACCGACACCATGATCCTTTCTTTGTTCGACAATGGCATCTCCTATACCCCATGAAGATATCAACCAAAAGAATGCAGCTGAATCCGTGGATGTTGAGCGACAAGGCAGCTCAGCTCCTGTGGAACCACCTCCAAAGTCCCTCGGGGCCGGGGTAAGTTTTATCAACATAGAAACGTATAAATACTGATTGCAGCAGTCCGCACTAGCATTAGGAGCCTTCGGTACAACACTGACGACTCTCTCGCTAAGTTTAATGGAATGGCGAGGAGTCACCACTACGAATGCCTTTGTCGCCAATTTCTTCTTCATTGCGGCCTTTGGGCTGGTTGTGACCGCGCAGTGGGAGCTTTCCATCGGTAATGGGTTTGCGTATACGGTGTTCAGTGCTTTTGGTATGTTTCACCTACTGGATTTTGCGGGCTATTTAGAGAAACTAACTGGATAGGCCTGTTCTACGCTGGCTATGGCGCTCTCCTAACACCCGCATTCGGGGTCGCCCAGGCATACGGCGGAATAGACACAGCAGAGTACAACAACGCGGTCGGGTTCTTCATGATATTGTGGACCGTCTTTGTGTTTACATTCCTTATAGCTTCACTTCCGAGCAACATCGCATATATCCTGGTGTTCCTGTTTGTGGATCTGGGGTTCTTGACTGTTGCCGCGAGCTACTTCGCCAAGGCAGATGGCCATGCTGCGTCGGCGGTGGCGCTACAGAAATCCGGCGGCGTGTTTTGCTTCCTTGCTGGGCTGGTTGGGTGGTATATTGTGTTTCATTTGCTGTTGCAGGATTCGTTGCTGGATTTGCCGTTGGGTGATACGGCCCGGTTCTTTGGGAAGAAGAAGGGGAAGAACCAGTAGGAAGATATCTAGATATGTAAAAGAGTGTATGAAAGACATCATCAACTTTAATATAATGTGATTAATATAAAGACCCGGTCTGGGCGCGTGTGATTATGCAATATAAACCCCTCATTACGTTTCCAAGCATTTAAACACGACCTCGCAACGAATCCCTCGATACTCAACAGACTCACATCAGAGTACAAAATGCCAACCCTCTACAGTTACAAAGAATCCGGCAACAGCTACAAAGTCCGGCTCCTCGCCGCCCTGCTGAACATCAATCTAGAAATCGTCGAAGTCGACTTCCTCGGCGACGAGCAGCACGGCGAGAAGTTCCTCTCCATAAACCCCAAAGGCGAAGTCCCTGCCCTCGTCGACAACGATGTCGTCCTCACAGACTCCGCCGCAATCCTGGTCTACCTGGCCGGGAAACACGCCCGCCCGGATGAGAAGGGGTGGTGGTCGGCCGATATCACGGAGCAAGCACATATCACGGAGTGGTTAGCGTTCGCTGCGAGCTGGGTGCAGTATGGCGTCTTTACTGCTCGTGCGATACTATCATTCGGGGGTCCGTATAACGGGCTAGGAACTGCGAGTACAGAGCAGACATTGAAAGAGGCCCAGACGCGCGGTGTCAAATCGCTGCAAATCCTTGATAAGGTTCTGGGGGAATCGCCATGGTTGGCACTGGGCCGGCCGACTATTGCTGATATTGCGGTGTTCGTTTATGTTGCTCTGGCGCCGATGGGAGATGTTTCTCTCGAGCCGTTTGAGAATGTCAGGGGCTGGATTGATCGGATTAAGGGGCTGCCAGGGTTTATCCCGATTGATGGGCTGAGTGATCCTCTATATAGGCGACGAAATGCGTGAAGTATTCGGAGCGGTGTCACGGAGGATGATCGATTTATAAGTGTATATAGGTTGTACCACGAACCAGGTCGGCAAACCGAGAGATCGGAATTATCCAAGTCGGATTTAGTTATGATTAAGTTATATCGTTTCAAGGCTGAGTGGAGACCAATTCTTCACAGCCCCTGAATTGCCAGAGAATGAAGCTCTGATTTGCATACCAGACCCACTGCGAGACAATCTGCCCACGCGTCGTTCCAAATAGCTGGCCCGATGTTCTTCTGAAGATTTTCTTTTCTCAACTGCATACATGAACATACTGCAAAGATGAATGTTGAGATCTGTGTTTGGCTTATACCGCCTGTGTTGTGTAAAGAAGCCATGATCAAGAACGCCATCATGGCCGCTTCCCTTGTATATCGACAGCCCTAGCTGACGTATCCTGGTATCACAATGGATCTGACTCCGCTGGAATGGCTCGGAAAACCCGAGTTGAGAGTGGCTCTTGCACCGATGCCGCAGCCAGTGCTTCAGTATAAAGCAGCTGCCCCAAGTCAGACTTTCCCCTGCGTCGTATTTGTCTATACGCTCACCATTTTGACCAATATTCTGTTAAATCGGCACCATGAGGCTCCTCAATGTAGCCCTCCTGGCTGCGGCCTTTACCACCGGAATAGAAGCAGCAGGGAATGCCTCAAGCTCCTCATCTCTCCTCTCATCCGGCAACCTAAACCTAGGCGCATACCAATCTGCCTACAAAAAGGCCAAAACTCTCGTGTCCAGCCTCAACACCACTGAAAAGATCACCGTCATAACCGGCGGCTCCATCGATGGCGTCTGGACAGCCCTGGAAAGCAAAGACGGCATGAGCTCCGTCAACCAGCAATACTACGTCTCCAGCTTCCCGCTCGGCAATGCATTGGCCATGACATGGAACAGCAGCCTGGCCTACGACCAGTTTCTGGCTACTGGAAAGGAGTTCTACGGGGTTGGTTATAACCTCGTTAATGGTCCTGTGTCTGGGCCCCTTGGTCGCACGCCTTGGGGTGGTAGAGGTGTTGAGTCTTTCTCCCCGGATCCGTACTTGTCTGGTATCTTTACCGGCGAGGCGATTTCAGGACAGAATGACGCGGGTGTTGTTTCCACAGGGCGACACTTCCTCTTGAATGAACAGGAGACCAACCGGATGGGGATGGGCGAGAGCGAATCCTACTCGGCGAATGCAGGTGACAAGGCCATACACGAGCTGTATCTGTGGCCGTTTGCCGACGCAGTCAGAGCCGGGATGGGAGCGCTCATGTGCGGCATGAACCGGGTGAACGGGACGTATTCATGCGAGAGCAGCGCCATCCTCGACCGCATGCTGAAGACCGAGTTGGGCTTTCCGGGTCTCGTGCTTGGGGATGTCGGTGGTCAGAAAACAGCTTACAACTCTGCCAATGCCGGCTTGGATTACGGATCGAGTCAGTACTGGTCTGACGAGGTGATCACGGCCGGACTGCGCAATGGATCCCTGACTGAGGCTCGTCTGGATGATATGGTTATGCGCAACGTCATCGGATACTTCTATGTAGGGCTCGATGATGGAAAGCAGCCCTCTGTCGCTGATACTACCGAGGACCGACGCGTCCGGGGGGATCACTCTAAGCTCATCAGGAAAGTCGGTGCTGAATCTCTGGCACTCTTGAAAAACACCCCCGACGCCAATAGCGGTCTCCCACTGAGCGAAGGTGGCTCGGTATCCATCTTCGGCGCGCACGCAGGCTCAGCTCTCGCTGGTCCAAACCACGCATTCAGCATCATGGGCTCCGATGCGGATACCTACCAGGGGCATCTGACCAACCCAACCGGCTCAGGTGCAGGATCAGCAGCCTACATCATCTCACCCCAGATGGCTCTGACCATGCGCCAGCGCGAGAGCGGCGGGATGCTGTGGTGGATCACAAACGACACATACTCCGCCAGCACCAGCTCAGGCATGGGTGGAGCTGGGCCCGTTGGCGGCGCTGGCTCAGGGACATCAGAGAGCTACTCATATGCCAACTACGCCAGTAGTTCCGACGCATGCCTCGTATTCTTAAATGCATTCTCCGGAGAGGGTGCAGACCGCGGGGAGCTGTCCAACTCCGAGCAGGATGCGATGGTCCTCGAAGTCGCAGCAAACTGCAACAATACCATCGTGGTGATCAACACCGTCGGGCCCCGACTGATGGAGAAATGGATCGACAACGACAATGTAACAGCGGTGCTCTACGGTGGACTACTCGGACAAGAATCTGGCTTCGCCATCACGGATGTGCTATACGGCGACGTCAACCCGAGTGGAAAGCTCACGCATACAATCGGCAAGAACGCGAGTGACTACCCGGCTTCGATATGCGAGACTACAAACTGCAATTTCACTGAGGGTGTGTATATCGATTACCGCTGGTTCGACGCGAGGAATACCACGCCGAGATATCCCTTTGGACATGGACTTTCGTATACAACATTCAGCTATGGTGCTGTGCACGCGAGGAAAACGGATGCAGCTGCTCTCTCTTCTAAGTATCCGACGGGGTCTCTGGGCCTAGGTGGGTATGAGGATCTCTTTGACGAGGTGGTAGAGGTCACCACTACGCTCTCGAATACCGGGGGCGTGGTCGGTGCTGAGGTCGCGCAGCTGTATGTCACTTTTCCCGTTGAGGCGGCGCAGCCCGTTCGTGTTTTGCGTGGGTTTGAGAAGGTGCAGATTCCTGTTGGTCAGGACGTCAAGGTATCGTTCTCTCTGCGACGGAGGGATCTCAGTTATTGGGATGTGAGAGCGCAGCAATGGGCGGTTGCGCGGGGGGTGTATAAGTTTTCGGTCGGTGCGAGTTCAGTGGATATTCGAGGCACAGCGACAGTTAAAATTTGATCTGGATGTTAGATCTATAGACTACTGAGATATTGAGGTTAACCATGTATAACATTGTGAATGCTGTATATTGAACCACAATTTGTGCTGAAAAGAAAGCTATATACACTTTTGATGCCCTACTCATCAACCGTGAACCTGAGCTGCTTGTGATGCCCGCCACGACCACCGTCCCACTCCTTGAGTTTAATAGAACCACCCTTGCCATCGGCCTCCCAGTTCGGACCATAGTTAGGCGCCTGCGGAGCCGTTTTCTTCACGCCAAACACGGAAAGGAGACCCGTTGTCGCTGGCTAGACCATACCTCTAGTTAACGTCCTTCTTGGAGCAATAGATATCAAAGTAGTCTTACCGAAATAGATTTAATCCCCTTCCAGTGTCCAACAGGGGCATCGCCGGACACAAGCTCTAAAGCTTCCGTATCGTCGTTAACGTGCAGCCACCGCTTCGAGTCGCCAGATCCGGTGGAAATGCGGCCGTCGTCATCAACTTCAAAGGTTGCACAGGTGCTCCTGCGAAGTCGAGCCCTATTGTCCAGACACGATTTGTCACTGTGGTCGGATGAAATTGTGCCGGGCTGGTTACTGGGAAGGTCGATCCATTTGCCCTGCGCAATGACGGGCGTGGCCAGGGCGAGGGAAAGGGCGGCGTAGATGCTAAGGCAGCGCATGGTGATTGATGTATATCATGGCATTCATGAACACCTTACTACTGGGGAAGGTTGATTTATTCGGAAGAGAGTATTAAATGAGGGGCTTACGTTGGGTGAGATCATGTTCGCAGTAGGGTTAGCTGGCCGAGATCTCAGACCCATGGTTACAGACCTGACAAACAAGCACATTATAGTTAGGATGGCCGTTTGCGGGTATCTGTAGATTGAAGCTCTCTCTATATTCCGGAACACGCGGGTTTCTATTGGGTATATGTTTTCTTAGTTGAAGATGTCACAGAACTGTCATCCTGGCCTGGCTACGTCGACTAGCAGTAGGTGAAATCTTTGCAGAGTGCTAGCCGTACGGAAATGCGCGCTATCCGGTCGAACCTTAATACAATACATTCGATCAGACGATTGTTGGTTATTTCGGAGGGCGTCTTGGTTGTGGCGGATTCTGGATTAGAGTTACCTGGGACGTCACGACTTGATATTGTTGAATATCACAATGATCTCTCGGTTGATATCTGATTGGCCTCTGAATTTGGCTTCGTCCTAGCATATAGTAGAGACTACAGCCTTACATTGCCTAATTATATGCAGATTAGGAAATGAGTCGCAGTACCGACACGCAAGGGGGTGTGTTGATGGCCTCCGATCTGAGAGCCCGAACCAGCAATAACCACAAATAGAGTGAAACCCGATAGATCGTCCACGATCTGGACAAGCGATTGGGATCTGCACATGTGGAGGGCGAAGGGAGACCCCACGCACAGTGCATGAACTATCAATGCAGCCAGAGTTGAGAGTGGTGGGGAACGGGCTACTAGTATAAGAGTATAGATGTTGTCTTAATTCAAGTATGATAGTAGCCCATTGTATAATAACAAGGTCTATGGATAAATAACTTTTTATTCTCACTGTGCCTTTAGTTTCTTAGACTCACTGCCTTCTAGAAGCCCTCTCCAGTTGCTTTAATGTTAACATCTAAAGTCCCTCGAAAGCGAGCGGGAACGTTGAATTTGAACTCCCTTGATAGATGTCCTCCCCCCACCGGCGTATCCCTAGGCAGACATGTAGCGAGGAAACCGAGATCATGGCTAGTGCGGGCAAATGTCAGGGACCGGATGGTGCCGCTTGTCCCCAAAGGTTAGGACGATGGAAGTTGGGAGACGAGAAACAAAAAGGGTAAGAAGCTTGATGTTAATATCCACCTGCATACAACCCTTGCTTTGGTTTTCATGAGGCAGAGAATGCAAGCTTAGGAATGCTGCGCCAGGAACCCCAGGGAGCTGCAAGGACCCAGTTCAAACTGCGGGGACTGGACAACCCCAAGAGAGGGTCGAGTGGGAAGGCACCGAGTCAACTCCTTGTGCAGAAGATATCGATTCAGTCTACGGAGACCTGATGGATGCAGCCCTGGGAAATTATGATCGAGTTCAGCTCGCCGACTTGCGCAGCATCCTGCAGAATCACTCTGTAATCAACTACAGCCCTGTAGGGAGCCCCAAGCCATGCCACCTGTGGCAGAACATTAAACAGCTGTCTTTTGCCTTGACTGTGCTTCGAGTTGGAGCTAGGTCATTTATGTAGACAATATAATCCACTACCTCTGTTCATGGTAGCTGCCTGGCTCTATAGCCTCCAATCTACTCGTCACTCTGCCTTAATTAATATTCAGTGACAGTGACGAGATGCCTGGATATTAGCCATTGGCTGCGCTGCGTTTCCTGGCCAATGGTGTGCTATCAAAGAGGCACACGTTGTCAAATATCAACATGTCAAGTTGATGGGATATCAACGAGTGCAGAGCCGGGGAGACATCTCACCTTCATATCTCCGAGGTTTCAGAACTCTCCCAGCCACGCCCATGAGGCCAAACTAGACAGGATCCATGCTGACACGAGCAATCGACAAGATATGCACCAGTCAGGGTTTCCTCGCCGCTTCAATCGACCTTGGAGAACCAGCCACCGCAGTCCCAATTATTTCCCCTTCACCCCAATCGAGAACCCCAGACAGGCCACCATGTCAAACCCCCATCACCAGCATTAACGTGGCCAAGACTCCTGGCATGATTCGCTCTGGCACAAGTTCGGATCTTTGTAGAGAAGGATGGTGAGAAGCTAGCCACTGACTGTGGAGGCTTGGTATAGAGACCCTGCGTTTGGCCATGCCAGGAATGTCAACCAGGGAGAATCCAGCTGGGAACGCAGTGCATGCATTTACCATGAAGATTCGTGCAAGGAGCCATTCCTGAGAAATCCTGGGGAAGTTCTCCTTCCCACTCAGGAGATATCTGGAGTAAATAGTCCTCCAAATCCCATCTCGCACGGACAACTTACCTGGCCCATGCCATTGCCATGGAACAAGACATCCCTTGATAGGGCCCATTTTGCTTTCTTGTGTCGAATTGGCATCTCATTCATAACAACTTTTCCAGCTCTACAAAGTATACCTCGCCCTGGATGTTTGCCGGATATCTAATTTAGCTTCGCCTTAAAACTTATCAAGCTCCGCAGTGAACTCTAACATAGATAGGCTTGTTGAGTAATTGGGGGTCATGTTCGACAAGTTCATCCTCCCAGACTCGTCCACTAGGTGTGTTGTTACAACGCGAGGACACAGGAAGGAAATGCAACTGCGCGGTTCCCAAATTACTTCCAGCAGCCGCGTGAACACTCGCTCAGCACTGCTGGGCTGCATATCCCATTCCCATCCTCTGTCACACAGAAATTCCCACCGTTCATCCCTGTGGTGGAGCCGGAATCCTGTTCCCCTTGCGGCTGTGATGTCGATGGAATGTCCGACCCACCCCTTGATATGTTATATGATCTCCACTCAGTGACATTGTTTGGAGCGTTCCCTCTTTACGGGTAATGGTTGAGCTAATGTGGATCAGTTCTTCTGAAAGGCTAGGAACCTGTTGCAATGGCCAGCGGCATGCTAGGATGGACACCTCGCCGTCATGGTCCAAGACACCAGATATGTGCCATGACTCGTATATGGATAGGAACCCTTTATCTATCTACCTCTTCCTCGAACATGTTATACCACTATGACTGTTCCTTATTACCCGAAACCCGTGTTAAGCCTTAAGCGAACAACCATGAGACCAACAACTGTCCTGCTCGGTTCCGCTCTCGGTGCCCTTGGGGCCCAGGCGCAGGAGACGTGCGAGCGAACCAAGGTCGCCGTTCTGTTAGTCTCTGGTTAACTACTTCTCGATATCCTGCTAACATTCTCCAGAGGTGCCGGTGTTGCTGGAGTCCAGGCAGCGGTAAGTGATGGTGACATTTTCAACCAAGCGCTTTCTAAATGTTGTGCAGCATTCACTCGCAAACAACGGCGTCGATGACTTTGTTATACTCGAGTACCAAGACCGCATTGGAGGCCGCATGCACGATGTCAAATTCGGAGAAGGACCCGATGGGAAGCCCTATACCGTCGAGGCAGGGGCCAACTGGGTTCAAGGTACCGTCAACGGAGACGGCCCTGAGAACCCTATATACACTCTGGTAGGTCACCTCCATCTTCTTATGTGAACCATCTAACCAGTGAACAGGCCAAGAAGAGCAACATTACATGGCTGTAGGTAGTCAATATCCCTTTTGGTGGATTCAGCTAATTTCCCAGCGTAACCGACCAAGGCTCTCTCGCAACGTTCGACGAGAATGGCCCTGCGGATTACGGATGGGCCATCGAAGAATTCGAAGATGCCATGGAAAAGGTCGGCATCGATGCCGGTACTCTCCTGGTCAACAACCTCCAAGACCGCACATACCGGTCAGGATTCCGCTACGTGGGCTGGAACCCAAAGAAGGACGACGCCTACCGCCAGGCCGTGGAGTGGTGGCTCTTTGATGGCGAGTTCGCGTTCAGCCCCGAGGAGAGCTCGGAGATCTTCACCTCTGTTGCAGAGAACGCAACCTTCAACTACTTCTCGGAGGAAAATCTGTTCGTGTACGACCAGCGCGGGTTCGGCACTATCATCCGTGACCAGGCGAAGACATTCCTGTCCGAGGACGACTCTCGCCTGCGTCTCAACACCGAGGTCACCGGCGTAGACTACAACAAGGACTCGGTCACAGTCCACAACAAGGACGGCTCCTGCGTCGACGCCGACTACGCCATCATGACCTTCTCTGTCGGTGTGCTCCAGCGCGGCGGACTCAAATTCAATCCACCTCTCCCGGACTGGAAATCCGCCGCAATCAACAGCTTCGAGCTTGGTACATACACCAAGATCTTCCTGCAGTGGGACGAGCCTTTCTGGAACCAAACACAGTACCTCCTCTACGCTGACACAGAGACCCGCGGGTACTACCCCGAATGGCAGCCCTTGAACCTCGAGGGTGTCCTCGAGGACTCGGGCATCATCGTCGCAACTGTTGTCAACGACCAGTCATTCCGAGTCGAGGCCCAATCCAACGAGGAAACCCAGGCTGAGCTCATGGAAGTTCTCCGCAAAATGTACGGCGACGATATCCCCGAGCCAAAGAACATCTGGTACAAGCGCTGGGGCCAGACACCTTGGTACGTCCCCTAACCTTTATCATCTGAATCCCACATCTAACTGCAACAGGGCATATGGGTCTTACTCCAACTGGCCCCCGGCCACCAGTCTACAGTCCCACCAGAACCTCCGTTCTAACGTTGGCAACCTCTTCTTCGCCGGCGAGGCCACCAGCCAGGAGTTCTTCGGGTATCTGCAGGGTGCTTACTTTGAGGGCACGCATACCGGCGCCTTCATTGCCGATTGCATTGCTGGCTCGGGTAACTGCACTGTTTCGGATGAGCAGAAGAAGTATCCTGTGTTGAGCGGTGTTACCCCGTACAACTTGTATAACTGGGATAATGGATGGTTTGCCGATGCTGTTAAATAAGAAGCACGTCTACCGAATTGATCTTTTAGTGTGAAAGAGGACTACTGTTATGTGGGATTGGTGGCAAAGTTCTAAACCTGTCTTGTTATGTATTTGTGTATGATTTGCAATTCATTTTGGCAGTGACCATGTGGACGCTGTCGAAGTGAACAGAATATGATTTGTTGTTGAAGGTATTTCATGTTTTCAGTATCTCAATCTGGTTCTATATGGAGACTTTGTAGTGTTACTAGTCTTCTTGAAACGCATGATTAATGTGTCTTATTATTGTTTAATAGTATCTCGGCAGCAAATCCTTATTGATGACGAAAATATAGAAATAATAGTCTCAGATTACAAGGCCATAATAGCACTATATCACGCTCCGTCCCATTATACCTTCACTACCTGGTTCCTTTCAGACTAGATATAACCACTTAATACTACCTCACCAACACCACCCTCCAGAGACCTCTCCTTGCTCTCAGCACTCCTCCACTCACCCACATGAACCGTATGCGAATGTAATCAGTATTAATCAGCAATTAGCACTAAGAGTAACAGTCGACTGCCCGAAACCACAGTCCTCAGGCGTAGACGTCTCAGTCACCGTATCAGTACGGAAATTCGTCCTCGTCTCCGTCTTATACTGAGTTGTAGCCGTGGTCGTAGTCATGGTGACGGTATAGAACACAGTGGAGGCTGCGCATCTCGCTGGCGTGCTGCTTGGAGCCACTAAGTGTGATGGGCTGGAGCTTGGGGTTATTCCTGTGCTTAAGCCTGTGGCTGTGGGGAGGAGGGTGGATGTTGGTGTGAAGAGGGGTTTGCTAGAGCTTGTGACTGGGGTGGTTGTAGTTGTAGATGTGGAAATGGCTGTGCTGGGGGTTGAAACTAGAGTGGTGGTAGACGTACTGGATGGGCTAGAAGAAGAACTAGTGGAGGAGCTGGTGGGGGCAGTAGAATCATCACCCGCCGCGAAAAGCTTCGGCCCTGGAATCTCATAGCTCGGCACAGCCTTCGTATCCCAAATATTAAAATTCAAGCCAGGCTCATCCCCCTGATATAGCTCGGTCCCAGGCACACCAGCAGGCTCCGAACTACCTCCACCAGTAACCTTAAGGTTAACGCACTGCGGATACGGCTGCGGCCCATTCGTAGTACTATGCAAGGCAATAATCTCATGACGCAGGACATAGTTCCCCGCCTTCAAGTCGCTGGGGACGGTAATATCCCAGCTCTTACCCTGCTGGAGCAGTTGATCGGTTGCCCACTGTGTCCCGTCATACCCGCCTTCGTCTATCTTGAAGAATTTAAGGGTCGTCTTGTCAACATTCGTGCAATCACCATTACAATTCGCGAGGTAGTCCAGCACTGGCCCTTTATGCTCTTGAGGCCATGAGCTCCAGGTGACGGTGACTGTGCCACCGGCTGGGACTTCAGCAGAGATATCGCCCGGAACTGCACCTCGGTGGCAGATGATGTCGGGGGAATGCAGATCCTGGACGAAGCCCTGGTCAGTGGCCTCGGTGGACCAGGCGATGAGGCCTCCGGATGATTCCCCGATATCCGGGTGGTATCCGGGATATTCTTCGCCGGCGACTTCGATTTTCTGAACGTACCCGTGGGCTGCCGCTGTACTGGCTGTCGCTAGCAGGGCTGCGAGGATGGAGTTTGGCTTCATGGTGGAATGTTGGTGCAACAGTGGCGGTAAGCGACGTCCGGCGTCGTAGGTAGAATGTGAAGAATGGAAGTCGAATCGACAAGTAGTGATGAAATTCTGGTTGTGTTCAAGAAGGCTGGTCAATCAAGGCTATATTTATACGGCTGATCAGCTCTTTGTATAGGGCCTATTGTTATCCGATACCAACAAAGGAGGATCTCACACTGTGATGAAACTCGAGATGAACCGTACAATGCTCTCAGTCTAGTCTATTCACTGGTATAACTGTTAGGATATGAATAATTTTTTATACCTGGCCAGCTCCGTGAATACTCGGATATCTAACCCGAATATTGAAATTCTCGACCGGGGCTGGTGAGTCAAGGGGTCCGTCATGGAGGCTGGTGAGAATCAGTCGTCTTTGAGAATGCATGTCTGCTTCTGACGTATACAAGAAGTGTCCAAAGAGAAATCTCATTATACCAATGCTTGTATTATCATCAAACACGCTGGACAAAGAGCCGCGACTTGCCAAGATACACGATGACCCGTCATTAACAGCATATATCTCAACATGTTAATTTACTATCAATGGAGTAGGATAGTATCGAACATTACTATCAGTAGAGTAGACACAACAGGATTTCCTCTCAGGAATGTCACTGTGGAACCAGTAGTTAACCACCACCAGACATTTATTAATCTATACCAAGGCAGTAATGTTAGATATGCGGGGGATCTGCATGTCCAAATAGTAAGACACCGACAGTCTCAGCCCCCACAAAGCGCCATTTGGTCCAGCTCACAGAGCATCAGCTGATGGTTTGCATGCAGAATAAGAAAATGGCGCAGTTCCCCACACCAAAAATCGCGCATCGGTTAGACCCCGCATCAACTTACTGAGTCTGAGTCTGTACTCTCGACTCTGTATTGTTCTGAGAATTCAGAATTGGATTGGAGCCTGAGTGAGAAAACTGCGAGAAATCTGAGAAATCTGTGAACTCGGTGCGAACAGTTAGAAAGTGCAGTACTAATTACGTCATCATCATCACCACCACCACAAGAGTTTTATTGGTATCACTAGCTAGAGAGAAGGAAGTCCCCAGCAATCAAACTATTTAAAAAGGATAATGCGCCTCAACCTCAATCTCGACCTGCATCCCATCCAGCGCCAGCTTGCCAATCTGCATACACGTCCAGATCGGCCGGTGGTTCATGCGCTGCTTGAACTGCTCCGTGACCAGGTGGAAGGCATGGTCGATGTCGACGTGGTAGCTGCGCACCGCGTAGACGTTATCCCAGGAGAGCCGCTCGTCGACGTTCTTGAGCGCCTTCTCGACGTTGTCGAAGGCCTGGGCGATTTGTTGCGAGAGGTAGCCGGAGATGTTGCCGTCCTTGTCCCATCCGCCTTGTCCGCAGGTCTTGATTGTGTTGCCGATTTTGACTGTTTGGCTGTAGTGGAAGCTCTTTGGGTCTGACTCGGCGCCGGGGTAGTTGTAGTATTGAGGAGCTGACATGGTGACTGAGGGAGGATATAGATAGATAGATAGAAGTTGAGGATAGGTATAGAGTAGATCAGAAGGAAGATAGAGATAGATAGATAAGATGTAGATTATCTTGCTCTGTAAGCTAGTTGATCATTGAATCAGAGGGAGGACAGGGCTATATATAAGGAGGTTCAACAAATTGAGTGATCAGCTACGTCACAACTGGGGACAGCTGGGCCGGGCCTGGCCACAATCAAGTGACTGCGCGCTCTGGGTCTGGGTCTGACTGTTTCTCTTGTCTTGTCTCTGGCTATCTTCAGCTACTGGCTCTTTCCCCGCAGGACCGTGCGGAACTGCTTCCCCAAGAGGCTCTAGCTCTGCGCATCGCTATCCAGGAACCACAGAGAATTACTCGTTACATGGAGTCCGTTGCGTTGTTTGGGAGAATGATGCGGAAGCGCACGGATGATGGCATCATCATGGCAAATGCAGTGGAGAGCACGACAGTTTGTCGATTCCTGAGTCAACAGGTCAGTCTTGGCCCTGGAGATGATCTTCGCAGAACATTCGAGAGCGTGCTAAAATAGCAGAGTTTGCCTGATGATCAACGCTTCTCGGCAGGAACTCGCCTTCTGGCGTGGCAATAACAACGTAACAAATGTTGTCTCCCGTTGCCACAATAACTTCTGACAGCTGTCCATGATTATTGCCACGATTATTGCCACGGCGGCCCACCGGTTAAATTCACAGCCAGTCCAGACTGCGCCAAGTCTGTTCCAGACAGTCACAGGATCCTTCTTGTTAATTAACTCGTTCACTAACTGAGGATGGAGTTTTTGTTACGAAATTGCTGGTCTCAGCTCGAAAACCTGATGGGAAGGTCCTCCCGGACTTTTGCCGGTCTGGATTCATGAATGCCGATCGGAATTATACAGTTAATCCATACTCTTACACTCTGAGTGTTGAGTATGCACCAATAGACATCATGTTGCCGGCGTGTGACCCTTCCACCATTCAACCATGATGTCCCAGCAACTCGGCAAATAACTACCAATCCACTGCTAAGGCCTGAAACTGAAACATTCTGAGGCATTCCGGGCATCCGCCCTCAAACAGTAGGGGGTCGCAAGGGGTATCTCACGCAAGGGTCGAGAGAAACACCGTGGTATGACGAAGGAGTTCAGCTCCGGAAATTACTAATTGACTGTTTAAAGTCGATATATCACGATAAGGTGGGCCTGGTCTCACTCTGACGGGATGAACAGGGGTTCAAATTGGGTAGAATTAAGCAGTAAGCCATACTCCGCGGAACAAGCCAGGGACTGAGTAGTGAGCACCAGGGGTAGAACTCATGTTCATAAGGCTGGATAGGACTAATACAGTCATTCCATCGAATACTGTTCGATTGGAAACAACCACTAGCGGTGGTCTTTCAATATGCGTTATATGCCAACACAGTTGGATGTCAGGTCTATTGCTCATGTTGGCCTCAACGGCATGGGTTCATGACCTCCAGTAGAATATGATGTTTAAACATTAAAAACGAATGACAGCAATTCTTCAGTTTTAAGATCTTTTAAACTCCAAACACCTAAATCTCTAGCGCGTTTCACACTGACGCCGTCGCCGGTCTATCTCAAACTCTTGGCAGCTCTGATATTGACCTCCTCAACGCAGTAATATGGCCGTCTTGGCTAAATTTCTCTTATATATGCCCATCTGCCCGGTGCTATCTCATCCTCACCCTCAACCATATCCAGATTAACATCATGTCGCACAAATACGCAACCGCGGCCCTCTTCGCCGCCGGGGCCTTCGCAGCCCCAGCTCCCCAAGCATCAGGATCAGGCACAGCCAACGAGCCGTCCGAATTCACCGCAAACCCTAACGTCGGCGCCGGCGGGGACACATTCACCGACTCCCCCCGGTTCCGCGTCTACGGCGCCACCGGCGAGTCCGCAGAGACAACCCTGCAGATGCTCGAATCCGCATACACCTGCTTCGTGACGGATCTCGGCTGGCGCTCGTCGGGGCTGTCATACAACTCCGACTCCAACACCGCAGAGACATGGTACAAGGAGAATATCTACGCCGTGGATTCCCTGGATAGTGCTGCTGGGGTTATGGGTTCGGATCCCGAGACTGGCCTGTCCTTTGTTCAGGTCGTGAATACGTACCTTACTGACCCCTCGGTTACGGTGCACGAGTATGGACACGCATTGACGTATCACGCGCAGAACTGGGTAGACCAGACGGCGACAGGGGCATGGTGGGAGCCGCTAGCGAACTGGTTCGCGGATACATTCATGACCTCTGATCTGTGCGCGAGTGCGCGCGAAAAGTACTCCCAGGAGGCAGGGAACAGCGTTATCGAGCTGCAGAAGGTCATTGGGGATAGTTACCAGGTTATTGTTGATGGGAGCGTCGATAGCGGCAACTATTACCAGTCGTGGCCGGTTCTGACGTATCTCACGAATAACCCGGATAACTATACGGGGCTTGGCAGTGATGCTGTGCTGCAGTTGAATCTCAAGTATGAGGTTGGGAGTAATGAGACGCCGCTGCATACGCTGCAGAGACTACTTGGGGATGGGGCGAGTGTTGCGCAGGTTGTTGGGCGGTACTGGGCGCATATGGCGTATGTGGATATTGGGAGTGAAGCTGCGAACCGTGCGTTCCTGGAGCAGAGGGAGACGCTGAGTTATGAGAATCTGGAGGGGAGTGGGGAGAGCTATACTGTTGTATCTGGCAGACAGCCGCAGTACTTTGGCGCCAATATCAACCCGATCACGGTGTCTGGGGGCAGTGTCAGCGTTACTGTCCAGTCGGACAAGGCGTTTACGGCGACCCTTGCGGTGAGAGATACTGATGCTGGGTCGGTGAGGTATGTGGATCTGGAGAATGGTAGTGGCGAGGTTACTGTTGGAAGCAGCGAGGAGGCCAGTCTTGTTGTCGTCAACACTCCTGAAGAGTTGATCCAGTATGATCCGTTTGAGCTGTCTAGTGAGGTCAAGGCTGGCTTGGACTATACTGTGCAGATCACTGGAGGGAGCTTTTAGGTATCGCTGGCGATTCCTCAGTTTTGACCTCTGGTTGTCGGTCTGTAAATAGGAAGTTGATACTGTATATATGATCTTGTTGATATATTTCTACTACCTTGGTTCGTAATATAAGCAAGTCTATTAGACAAGAAACAACTTCCTCTGCATAGACTCCGCAAGCATCTACTAACGTTAACAACATCAAGGAAAGGAGAGAGCACATACCATGTAATAATCCTCATGACTGACCCCCTCAATATAATCAACCGAATGCCTCCCCGGAAACCATCCAGGGAGATCATTCAACATCTTCTCAAAATTCCGTCCACGCTCTATCCTCGTCGCCCCCTGCCACTGCGCCTCACAGTGCGTATCCCCCGCACCATGGTCCGCAGTTCCAAACCCGTAGAAGATATTCCGCGAAATATACCGCTGCAGAACGGCGGACCGGTTATTAAGGGCTTCCTCGCGGACATACCTTGGAAATGCCTTTGGCTTGCCGGGCCCGATTCCGTATGGCCAGGCGTCGTAGGAGTCTGTGCATTCTTCAGCCTGGGAAGGCCGCTCAGGGACAGGCCAGGCAACGGAGCCGGGGTTCATGACCCCATAGGAGAGTAAGGGGTCTTCGGATTGAGACGGGCGGAGCATGGCGTCTTTTCATTAGTTAATGTTCTATGTCTGGATGGGTGGCTCACAGCGTTGGGTCATTTGGGCGCCGAGGGCTGGATCAGAGATTAATACACGATGTTCACAACTACAGGCTAAGGGCATACAGTGGCTTGCTATCACGATACTCTCGAGCGAAGGATAAACATCCTTGTTCCAGAAGGTCTTGACAAGCTTGTCCATGCTGTAATCGAATCGTCAGTACGGCAACGACAGCTAGGCAGACGTACACTTCATAGGACGAGACCTCAACATCGCCAGGGCCAATCGCTGCATGGCCTCTCTGGTATGTACTCCCGTGGTAGAAAATATCACTTGGCTGGGCAGCTCCAGCGTCGACGTCTTCTTTGCTGAGCCAGTGCGGAGCAGCAATCAGGACGCTGTCTATATCGGCGTTGACGGTATCTCTTCCAGCGGCGCAGATTAAAGAGTTTCGCATGCCTGGTTTTGTCAGTTAGATTCAGTCAGTATTCTGGACGATGACATACTGTTCGCGTACTTCCATGAACTATACAGTTAGCATAGTCAATATGCCTCGGGGAACGCACTTTCTCAACAACCCAGCCATGGTAATAACAACACGTTTTATGCTAGCCAGGTCCTTGGTGCTTTCGACATAATACGGCTAATCCATCAGCATTTATCAAGATCTGGGGAGTCTACCCACCAGAGTAGCATTCGTCTCGTCCACAACCAGCCTCTTCAGGTCAAACCCTGCTACCCTTGGACTAGATGGCGTTAGATTAAGACGATTCAAGAGTACCCGGTTACAGTACATCTCTTTCCACCCATTAATCCTATCCCCAGCTGGATTCGCACTGCCAACCATGATCGTGGGGCAGTTATCCGGCTGGACGTCGCCGACAGCATCCGCCTCACCGCTCAAGTAGACGGTCTGGACATCGTCGACAGCTCCGAATGGCGGCGGATCCCCGGTCGCGTGGTTTTTCTGGAGGTATTCCGGTCCGATCATGGTGTTGTTGTCGAAGTCTTGGAGGTAGTGGGTCGTGGTTCGGTCGCAAGGAGTGCCATCTTAAACTGTGTGCAGTTATACGCGGACCCACGTCAGCTCTGCTTTCATATCTATTTGAAGGCATCTGGTGTCTTCATCGATTAGCTCAAATTCATAATTATGTACGAGCAAAGGGGTTTAGGTCAGATAAATGACACCATTCGTATCTTCGATAATCCTTGTCTCGTATACGAGTAACGCAATCAGGAGTACGTCCTCGCCTGCAGCCTAAACCCATACTTCAAAACCCCCACAGCGCAGTCTTCTTCCTGCTCTCTTAACACATTCAACATCATACTTCTTTGATATAATGGCGCTCGAGTTCCGCAACTGGTTTGCTGAACCACCACAATACGACACAGACCATCCACCCCCATCACTCGACGCCAACACCCGCGCCCTCGTATTAGAAAACATCGAGCACGCAATCCAGCAATTCTACCTCGATCCTCGTACCGGGGCCAGATTAATCCGCGAATTGCGCCAGCACATCTCGACTGGTGCATACGCAGACATCACGGACGGCAAGGCCCTCGCGGCGGCTATAACATCCGATCTGCAACGCCTTAGCGGCGATAGGCATTTCAGATGTCTTTACGGTATTAAGCCGGATGAACCGTCGAGTGAGGAGCAGAGTCGACGATTGCAGAAGCTCAATTCGGGCTTTGGCGAGGTGGAGCTGTTAGATGGGAATATCGCTGTACTGGAAATTCGAGGATTTGTGCCGGTGCATTGGGAGGGTGTTCGCAGCAAAATAGATCAGATCATGTCTTCGTTTGCAGCAGTTGATGCCCTTATTCTTGATCTACGACGTAATCGGGGGGGCGATCCGAAAACAGTCGCTCTGGTGGCCAGTTATCTCTTAGATGGGCCGAGTGTTTGGTTGCGAATGGTGAAGCCTGATGGATCAGTCGAGGATTTTGCTACAGATCTGCCCGGTAAATCGAAACGGCTTGGTCGCGATAAACCCGTTTACATCCTTACCAGTTCAGAAACGATATCTGGAGGTGAGGATCTTGCATACGGTCTGCAGGCGCTGAAGCGGGCAACCGTGATCGGGGAGAAGACAGCTGGTGCGGCGAACCTCCCGCACGCATGTGTACTGAATGACCTGTTTGTTCTTTTTACTCCTCATATGTATCCTTCTCATCCTGTAACTGGGGGAAACTGGGAAGGGGAGGGCGCTATACCGGATATCGTCGCTGAAGATGCGTTGGACACGGTATACAATCTTGCCAGGAAAATATAGTCTTGCCTTCTACATAGTCAATTAGTAAGATTAAGCAGTTATAATCCAACCTTCCCCCGCGGCCACGAACTCGCAATTCCAAAATCAACACCTCCCCTATCCAGAATCCCCAGCGCATCAGACACAAGCGCCCTCCCAGACTTCGACGCCCACCACACCTCCCCATCCAGCTCCGCCAGTAAAACACCCCAATGCACCATCACCAGAATCGGCAGCGGCTCCTCCTGGTGCAGATAGTCCACAAACTCCTTATCGACGATGGCAAGCCACGTAACGACCGACGCGGGATCCCTGAAGCTGAAATACCGCTGGAAGCACTGCCGCAGCCGCGAGATCGCCAATTCAATCTGGCCGTGTCGCTGGGGATGCTCTATATTCTCCTGCCGGTTTAATTCTCGTAGCCGGGTAAGCGCCTGTTCGATTTCAGTGTCAAGGATGCTGTCGCTAGTTGAACCCCAGAAGTCTCCCGGGATAAGAGACGATTTCTTCAGCCACGGGCCGGTGAGTTTACTGATCTCCGCAGTTCCCTGGACGAGATTGAACAAGGTGAAGATGTTCTCGAGCACACTGGAGCTGGCGAACTCGGTGATTTCCGCTGCGATTTGCGGGAAGACGATGCCATTGACGATGGTGATGATCGAGTGCACGAACACGGCGTCGCAGTTCTCAGGCGAGATATTCTGGATGGCATTTTGAAATGGCTTTAACCCGCGGCTCTGGAAGTCCATTGCTGCGTCTAGGTAGGGTCGTGCTGTCTGGCGGCCGCTTGATGATGCCGTGTGCAGGGCCGCGACTGAGAGGAGTCCATCGAGGAGGAAGTCGTGGTCCAGAGCCCGGCGGGGGATGACGGACTGCCAGACGTGCCGGTCTGCAGGGAGCACGAAGAAGGATTTGTATGTTTCGGTGGAGAATTTGTGCATCAATTCCAGCAGGAGTTTGTTTGAGGGGTCGAGCGTGGCGAGGTGAGTGCCTGGTCTATCTTGAGCCTGCTGGCCATCTTGGACAGGACTCGGCTGTATATCTGGTGATACAGTACGGCTTGCATAGGTGCATTCAACGTTGCGGAATGCGCAGTTGCCGCATGGATGGCCGCTCTCGTCGCACTGCGCTCTTAGCAGGTGAAATACGCTGGAGACGTAGACTCACCTTGACTCGCCTCTTCCTGCACTGCAGACAGCCAGTCCGCGACTTCCGGTGCGGCCGTAAAGGGGGCATTCTGGCTACACTGACACTATCACACTGGTTATATGTTAACTGTCGTCACTGAATCGTTTCTATTTTTAATTTGGTCGCTTGGCATTACTGACCAATCAGCGTTGACGAGCAGGATTGTCGATGGCAGAGATACCCTTTCAGCATTGCCAAATGACCTTTTCTGTCTGGAGGTGGATTTGAGGTTCATTCAATATACTGTTTACATTCATTCAGTTTTCTGTTTGGGTTATGTTGTGCTGTTATTGATTGTGCAGACCATACTAGATATATACATATATATATCCATACACAGCACGACACCCAACCAGCAAGTGGAGATAAACTGATCAATATAAAATTGACAAATGAACGATATGCTATTTATTCCCATCATTACAATGCTATACAACCGAATCCATATCCAAACAGGCTACATACAAAATTACCATACCCATCAAGCCCTTCAATGCAATCCCAACTCCAAAGCCAATCCATCCCATAACCTAATATATCCAATAAGACCTTTTTATATCTTGCGATCCTCATAATAAACACTCGCCCCGCGACTCCTTCCATCAATCTCATTGACCATCCGCGTCGAACTCAACTCCTGCAACTCACTCCCGCCATCCAACTCAGCAGCAAAATGCCTCCCTTGACTCTGCGGTGCATGCTGATGCTGATGCTGATGCTGTATATACCCAGGCAGCGCCCCTGCAACAGAATCAGGACCATACAGCGGCGATTTCCCTGCCCACCCACCCTGTCCACCGGGATGGGCCGATTCAAGCGGCGAATACGCGAGAGGCTGCTGGTTGTAGGCGTCAATGACAGTCGGCGAGTACGGTTCGTGGTTATTCTGTACGTAGGGTGCAGCGACCATATTAGAGCCGGTCGTGGGCGTGCGCGTTGGCGGTTGGGGAGCGGGAGCGGGAGCGGGGGCTGGACCAGGACCAGGACCAGGGCGAGCCTGCGAGGTAGAGACAGAGTTGTATCCAGACGGAGAGGACTCTTTTCGTCTCTGCCGCGCGAGATATATGATTGCCCCGATGACACCGGCGCCGACAACAATACCGGCGACGATCCCGCCTATTGCACCGGGCGATATGGACTCGGAGTCGTCTTCCGAACCTGAACTTGATCCCTCATCGGGTGTGGGTGTAGGCGTCGTTGTAGTAGTAGTAGTAGTAGTAGCAGACGGCGTTTCTGTACTACTCGTACTCGTACTGGTCGAGGTGGTGCTTGACGAACTCGCCGCCTCATCGATAACCTCGTATGAGCGCAGCGGCACAGACGAGTTCCCCTCCTTCAGGTTCGTGGCGTACCCCTGCGCCGAGCCGGAACAGTCCTTGGACGAGTACAAGTAGATTGTGATATCTCGGTCGTCTTCGGCGTCGAACTCGTACCAGGCGCCCTTGGGGTGGTCGATTTCCTTGCATGGGTGTCCGACCTGGTCCCACCTTGCGGGGGGCTCGATTGTGGTGGAGCCTTTGCTGTCTGTCCAGAGGAAGGTCCAGGCCTGAGATGTGGGGAGGAGGAGGGGGAGGAGGAGGAGAGACGTTTTTGACCGTTTTGGTGGCATTTTGGTTGTGTTCGTCGTGGGAGTGGGAGGATGGGGGATGGGAGCAGGTTCAGGGTTATATTGAGAGGATGAAGGAAGGAATCGCATCCTTCCAGGCACGGATTGGTCCCTCAACAACCCAAGAGGCTGAGAGCCTGAGAGCCCAATGGATGGGAAATTTACGAGCCAACACTGGACCATTTTCCGAGCAAGCCTTTGCCCCTGCAGCCCGTGTCCTGTGGTGGAGGGCGGAAAAAGGGTCTAAACAGACAGCCAAGGCCAGCCAAGAAATGAGATGCAATGAGGGCGCATTCTCGAGGTGATCAACGGGCAAACACGAGAATTGGAGCCCGTCATCGTCGAATACAACCTGATCGAAGTTAGGGCTGAATATCATTACTTGGGAAGGCCAAGAGAAGGACCCAGATCGACATGACGGTTCAACCTGATTTGCTGCTTATTTGATCTTCACTGCACGTTTCGTATTCAAAGTCACATCAGAATAGCTGAGTCTGTGCTTGAATTCAATGAGTCTGGATCAGTCCAGTCGATCTGATACAGCTAACCCTATAAACAGTATATTATTGCCTTCGCCCCCAACCCAATGTCAATCCTCAATACGACCACTTCCTATTTCGATACGAGACTTTATATGAGACAGCCATACGAGACTCATCTTGAACAAAAATAACAACATTACACATTATCATGGAGATCTAAAATACAACCAACTCTATCATCTACAACTTCGCCTCAACATCAACCTCCCTCCCCCTAAGCCCCTGCACACTCTCCAACGCGCGATTCAAATCATAACTCTGCGTCCCCAAACTCAACACCAGCGCCACCCCACAAACCGCACAGCAAACCGCATACACTATCCTCAAACTATCCGTATACGCCGTCTGCAGCGCCAGTTTCTCCGCACCATCATGCATCGTCTTGATCACTTCCACCAACCCGGCCGCGTCCTGCGAATACACACCCGCCATGGGCGCCAGGGACTCATAGCGCAGTAAATAGTGATACATCCTATTCTGGAAGACGACGCCGCCAATGGCAACGCCGACGGCCTGGCCCATCGCGCGGAAGAAACTGAACATCCCGACTGCGATGGCGAGAGTCTCATTCGTTGCGGAGGCTTGGATGGCGAATCCGATAGACGGGAATAACAGACCGAGACCGATCCCGGGGATGATATTGATGAAGATAAAGGCCGGGATGCTGGTGTCTACATCCATATAGCAGAGCAGACCGAGGCCGAATGTCGAGAGAGTCCAGCCCGTCCAGATGGCCCAGCGGTAGTGGCCGAATTTGGTGACGAGGATGCCCACGACGGCGGCGGAGGGGGCGACGGTGAATGTTGCGGGGAAGAGGGCCACGCCGGCCATTATGGGCGAGTAGCCCTTGACCGCTTCGTAGTAGAGGGGTTGGTAGTAGAGGATGCACCAGAGGACGAGGCCTTGGAGGAACGAGCCGGCGAAGGAGACGGACGCGGTGCGGTTTTGGAAGATGGCCGGGGGGATGATAGGGTCTGTTGCGAAGCGGTATTCATAGACGGAGAAGACGGCCAGTCCCACGACGCCGATGATCAAGGGGACCAGGGTGCGCCAGGAGGACCAGGAGTAGAGGATGCCGCCCCAGGTCAAGGGGATCAGGAAGGAGGACAGGCTGCCGACGAAGATGACGGTGCCGATGTAGTCGATCTGGCGCAGCTTCTGGGCCAGGGAGCTTGGGATGATGTTGAGCTTGAGGAAGAGGACGATAGACACAAGTCCGATGCCGATGAAGGGGAAGTTGATGTAGAAGATCCATCGCTGTCTCATTAGCACTTGGACTGTATAGGCAGTAAGGGACATACCCAAGTAACATCCTGCGCAAAGCCACCACCGAGGATAGGCCCGGTAACAGAGCCAACACTCCACATGGCAGACAAGATCCCAAAGTACTGTCCTCGAAGGCGCAGAGGAACCAGGTCAGTGACAATAACCTCGCTGAGGGCAATCAAGCCTCCACCGCCGACACCTTGGATAGAGCGTCCAATAAGCATATGCGTGAAGTCGTTGGCCACGGAGCAGATCACCGTGCCGACGAAGAAGAGCGTCAGGGCAGTCAGCACCAGCGGCCGTCGACCAAAGATGCCAGACAGCGAGGCAAAGTTGGGCTGGAAGACTGTCGAGGAGAGAAGAAACGAGGTTCCGCTCCAGAAGGCCTCGATTGCTGTTCCTTTGAGGTCTCGCGTGATGATCTACCCGTGTTAGCGTAATGTAGGCCTGTATACTTGTTAGGGCTACATACAGGCAGAGCAACAGAGATACTCGTCCCATCAAGGGCAACCATGAGTGTCAACACCGATAGGGTGAAGAAGGCCAGAATCCCGCGCTTGCCCAGGACAAAGTCCATCTCTGGTTTCTCGCTGGAGCCAGAGGGAGAGCCACTTGCTTCATGGTCCGCAACTTCTTTAGTCATGTCGTCTGCTGTTTAATATACCAAGCAATGGAATGATTGATTTAATCCATCCGGATACAAGACTCAATAAATACTCCCACATCTCAGGCATAACGCAGTTGACCGACTCCGTCCGGATGAACAGCAGCCCGTATAGGGTGCGGGACGGAGACGGCGTGACAGTGATCCTTCAGGCAGCTGGCATAACGAGAGGCTCGAGAAGCCAGAGATAAAGCCAGCTAGCCTATTCAGACTAGACTTATTCCTGCGTGCGGCTGAATCGTATCGTGGCTTGTGTTCAGTCGGGACAATTCGAGTCCGACTCACTCCGATCGGTCGGGACTGGTTCTGTGCGCCGGATGGTTTCTTGCCCGATTACAAGAATCAATTGACCCATAACTATTAATTAGTTAAGTTAATTAGTGAAGGAAAGCAGTTACTAAATACAGTTAGCCTTCCGAGGAAGCAATTTCCAGAATTTCATTCAATCTGCCGATAACGCCAATAAGCCAATAACGCCAGTACCCATAACGCTATTAGTCTATCACTCTATAAGGTATTAATGTATCTATCATATCGCATCATTACTCCCCGATCACATCGCCAAGAGAGTGTTTGACTCTGGACTATACAGTCGATCCAGCTCATGGCTCCCATACGCCGGTGGCGCCTCGTCGCTCGGACTGAGTGCTCCCTGCGGTGGAGGCGTCGCAAGGCCAGCAATCGACGACCCCTCCCAGATGCGATAATACGGCGACAGGTATATTGACACCGGGATGGCCAGGCGGAGCTCGCTGACGTGTCCGTCTGGATTGTGCATGCGCACGTTGATCTTGAGCTTGTGCTTGATCCGGATTCCTTTTGTGTCGATGTCCTGCATGCACTGGCCCAGAATCTTCGGCAGATGGAGTGATCGCGCGAACTGGAACCCGGAGGTGTCTTTGACGGCGACGTCTGGGGGGTTGTTGTCGAGAAGATACCGGTCGCTTGACAGGATGGTCGTGGAGGAGGTATTATTCTTTCCAGTATCCATGTCGGCCTCGTTCAACGCAAAGTCGCGGATTTCCAGCAGCTGCGACTCGACGTATTCAATTTTCAGACCCCTCATCGCAGGGACGAACGCGTGATTCACATCGAGCGACGTTCCAAACGCGACAATCTTGTTAGGGACGTGGATCTGATACGCGATCTTCTCAGCCCATACTTCGTCAAGAGTCTACACAGTCGGTCAGTTAGTTTCCCATAAAACAATAAAAAAAGGTAAACGTACAATATCCTGAGCACAGTTCTCCGGTACACGGACAACACGCAACGGCTTCTGGAATTTCACATCCCTGCCGTGCTTGCGACCGATCTCGACCGTGAACATGTACGCGATAGAGGCATCCTTGACTCCCTCCGCGCTCTCCGGCAGCGACCCCTCAAGGACAACATTGAATGGGAACTTGTACTCCCCCGCCGGCAAGACCTGCGGCGTTGTTCGGTATGAGTCGTGGAACTCCCACGTGTGCTTGTAGAATTCTTCTTCGCTTGCTTGTCGCTTCCAGGCGGTGCGGAGTGGGAGACTGCACCTGTTAGTGCCTTTTTTCTTTCAATGAAAGGAGGTAAAAACTTACGATACACGCCGTACTCCGGTCAGATGTAGTCGGATGTGTTTAATAGTGAGAGGGTCTTTGCATCGGAAGGTGAGGTTGCCGCTGAGGTATACGGCGAGGGCTTCTTGGGGTGAGCCCTGGAAGACGACGTGGTCTTGGTCAAGGCTAACAGTCACTGTTAGAGCTGAACGTGGTAAGTAGGTGCTGGTACGTACTCGACATCGGCGTATTCAGAGTGAAGGGTCGGGCTCTTGAGCAGATGGAGTGCCATGACGGTGAGGGCTACTTGTGCGATTTTGCGTGGGAGGTAGTAGTCGGATAACCAGACGAGGACTGTAGCAATTGCGAGATCCAAGAGGTAAGATCTCGTCAGAAGGCCTTCCATTTGGCAAATGACTTAGGATATAGTAAACAGAGCATAACGGTAGCAGAGCAGGAGGCCAGGGTTTTAAGGAAGGGACGGCGGAGCAATCCATCCGTCCCACCTGCAGAAGATTATAAAATTATAAAATTATCTACGATAGACAGATGTCTGAATTGCCGAGGATATCTGGATAGACAGGCAGCCAGGGTGACGTGACGGCTCGCAAGATCGTCTGCTTCAGTATCGGGCCGATATCTCAAGCACATGCAAACCGATAGAACACGAGAAGGGAAAGGATCGGTAGCGGCGAGTTCCTCCGAGTGGGCTCATTTAAAGTATTGGGTAATGAGCCCCTTAAAAAGAGGGCTCTCGGCGAACCAGCGGCCTCCAGCAGGGCTGATGCTGGATGACAGCTCGCAACGTGGTTCCCTTTTCACACACGGGACGATCAGTAAAATCTGAACTGCCCGATCGGCTGGCCGATGTCCTTTCACATGCTTCTGCTGTCCAGTCTTGCTGTCCAGAGTCTGCCAGTTTCCCTCTCAGCTGTCTGCAGCTGAAGAGTGAAAACAGCTGAAGACGCTCATCATCAGGCCATTCTCACATCTGGGCCCATATTCTAGAGGATCAGTATACTTCATCAGTCATAACTCAGAATACGAGACGGGGCAGTTGTTCATCCGCGACATCCGTGCAGATCTTTGAGTCATCCTGAGGCATCAATTATGCATCTTATTTCATTGTGACTTAATCATGATTATCTCGCTCAACACCTTCCTTATTCCCTTCCCTGCTCCCGTGTCGCAGCATATTCTCTCCCAGCATCAGAATCCTTTAAATTTTATCACGCCCCTGGTCATAGACATGCAATGGGGGACCCGATTGCACCCAATAAACAACGCATCACCCGACAATGGCCGCAATCTCCCCTTCGTATCAACCTGCACCGCAACAAGCCCTTCATCCGCCTCCAGATACTCCCGCCTAGATAGTACTCACCGTATGACCCCTACTGTATAGGCATACTAAAGATAGACGATCGCGTGATCTCATCCTGGGTCGACGGCTGATTCTCGGGTTCTGCATCCGAGTTTCGACCCTCGGGTGCGATTTGCGATCCGAGACCCCAACAATAATAATTTACTATAAATCTGCTAGACTGAAGTATTCATCGTGTTATAATGCAGAAATAGAACTCAATTCAATTAAGCAAGTCTCGAAAACTGCATCACAAAATATATCATCATACACACATATATATATATATATATATCACAATGCGAGCAGTCTTCACCATCCGAAACATCCTCTCAATCGCACATCCATACGGATACAGTACTGCATCCTTAATACCCCGCGCATTCTCCGCCGCGGCGCTGTTCTCCGTCGTTGTCTTGCCTTTTGTTCCTCCGGCTGTTATGAGTGCGAAGAGCGGAGGGAAGAATACGTACGTCTCTTTATCTAATGTCGTGAGGATAGAGGTGCTAATAGGCCGATAGAATGGCGCCTGCACACCCTGCTGCTCGGTTTTATGGACAGAGGGGGATTCGGGTGGTGTAATTGTTATCATTGATGTCTCGATGAGCATTGTGGTGTTTGTTTAGGGCATTGTTTATTTATTATGTATGGGTTGCATCCGGGATGCGGGTTTAGCGATTTTGTATATGGCGTTACTGAGCACAAATGGTACGAACGAGGCATGTTGAATTGTTGCTGGAACTGGACATTTACAATATCGTCGTCTGGAATAATCTAACCACTGCGGAACAACCGTAGATGGTTTGGAAGGGGGCAGAGAAGAATACTGGTTAGTGTTGAACATTAAGTTGGCAAGGAATAGTCAGATTAAGAGAAAATACAGCGCAATTTGTTACACCTGTTGGTTAAGGCAAAATGTACATGATTGCTGGGCTAACATAATGTTGTGCAGGTTGCATATCGAAGCATAACCTGCAGCTGAGGTCGACATTTAAATACATGAGGATAAATACGAACTGTCACTTAAAACACATGAATATGTAGAAGAGATAAATTCAATGTAAGCTAATGCATAAAAAACAACAGGCTCAATTCGATACATCAAAAAGTCATAACATCTCATCATCCTACTCAACAACATACATCTCCCTCAGCATCGAGTCAATAAACTCCCGCTGCTCCTCCAACCACGCCCTCTTCGCATCAACATCAAACGGCTTCTTAGCCATCTCGCGCTCCTTCTCCACCTTGCGCTGATACCGGATCCGCTCCTCAAGAACCTCAGTCCGATAGTCAAAGTACTGCGGATACAGCTCAGTCAGGTTACTGATGCCACGGACACCAACGAGGATCGTCTCGTCACGGACAAGGGGGTTCTTGGGCCGGAATGGCGTGACCATTGAGATACGCTCGCGGCCTCCGACCGCTTTCAGGGCCTGGTGCTCGAGGTACCGGCCTTGCATGACGACTGCATAGCCCTGTAGAATTACGTTAGTATCGCAACGAGATGAGGGGCTGGAGTTGAGTGGGACGTACCATAGCAGGCCCGCGGACCTTCTTGATATCGCCAGAAGGCATCTTGATTGCCGTCTCGCCGCCGACCATCTCCGTGCAGTCCGAGAGCATGGTGACGCAGACGAAGGGGAAGCTATCGTAGTGCCAGGCGAAAGCAGGGGTGTCGTCGTCGGCGGCGGGCTTGATGGTGCTGGTGGAGTTACTGGCGACGCCCTCGACGGGGTCATCCTTGACGGCGACGTTGATGTTGGCAATCTCGTAGTCGTATGCGGGGACGAGGTCAATGCCTGCGATAGAGGAGATCTTGTCGAGGACCTCGGGGGACTTGAAGACGTCGTAGATGAATGGTGCTCGTCTGCAGGGATTAGTATTATACGGTAAAGAAGGCTTCAAACATACTCATGCCCCATCCCGCGGATCATGTTGGTGCAGAAGGTCGATGCATACTGGCAGTCGTTCAGCACGGGCTCGCTGAAGATCTCAGAGCGCATCTGCTTGATGGCGTCTTGGGTGAAGAGAGGGAAGGGCTCGGAGATGGCATTGGGGGAGATTCCGGCACCCTCCAGCCCAAGGTCGGCCATCTTGTGGATCTTCTGTGGGGGCTGGAAGTGGAGATGCTCGGCAGGGTCAAAGGTTCGCTTCTGAGGCACCTTTGCCCCCTCGATCAGGGACCGGGGGAGGATGCGGGTTGGGCGTGTGGCCTTTTTCGTCTTGGGGCCGATAACTGTGGGTGCCCTGGGGGCTGGGGAGGGTGAGGGCGTCGAGATGAGGGCTGCTGGGGCCATTGTGAAATTCAGATTAAGTTTAGGCTTGAAGGAAGATAGATGAGACTGCTGTTGTTGGTATTGGGATTGAGCGGCCGGGGTTCTTATAGATAGACCGCGGCTTCACTATCACCAGCACGACTCCGGGGTATTGACTCCGCCATCTGGGGCACCCGAGCACGAGAGTCATGGGACGCCCCTGTGAATGCACATCAACGGGTTTGTTTCCCTTGTCTCCATATAGACTGTGTTCATGACACATGCCGAACCGATCGCCAACCTAGAGGGTTCGACTAGGCGAGGTGCGTCGGATGGACATCACGATAAGCTTGTATGTGTCAACAACCACAAACCAGCCGTCGGGTTTGTCTCCCGATGCAGGTCTATAACGCTAGTGCGTGGAGGATCTCAGTCTAGACTCGGCCTGCTGCCAGTTGTTCGGGAGCGCGTGTCTTTGCCGGGATAGAGTATCCAAATTGAGCAAAAGGATGGTGCTTCCAGGCTTCACGGCGATATCAGGAACACTTGCTGATTGTGCTCCTTCTCAGCTTGATAGAGCTATACAATGTCACTGGGCAGCCAATCCTCCCTATCTGGGTCATACCGATGAGGGGTGTTGTGGGTATGGGATCCCGAGCCGAGATCACTCCGATGAGGAGTGACAGCGATGCTACCGTGGATTCACGCCTGGAACTTCCCCAAGATGACTTGGAGATAGGATCCATCAGGACCAGAACTTCACTTCCGAGATTGTTGTGCCCCACGTTGCCCTGCCCGACCTGGTGCCTGGCCACTGGCCAGCATTCATCTCGGTCCCGGCTGTGGATAGTTCTGGAAGTGATTCTCTTGTTTTCTTGTACCGCGCTCTCCGCATGCTTGATGTGGGATGGACCAGCCTGATACTGGCTCTGGAGAGCCCCTCATGGACATCGAGCGCCGTATTCACCTTCCGAGTGCCCTCCGTAGTGATCCGAAGATCTCTGACAGACCTGTCGGTTGCAGACTCGGACCAGGAGGCGATAACCTGTTTTGGTGGAACATGGCTTGCCTTGATTACGATTATGGATGGATACCCAGCGCTGTTGGTAAGGCATTTTCCTACCTATCCGGACACACTGGGCATGAAGCCCTGACTTTGTGGCATCTCCTTGCTCTATCAATTCAATGCAGTGCGAGAGTAGGTTCCATTGCTGACTTCTGATCCGGGATCGTTACATTTGGTCATACCAAACAGACACAGCGGCTAATTAACCAGCACTTTAACTAGGTTATTGACTGACTGGTGTATCCACAAGCCAACGTTGATATTCCTGACTGCCTCTTATCACCAACTGGAACGGCTTTTGGGGACTAATATGCTAAAATGAGTCCTGTTTGTCTACACCCATACACTGATTGGTACTGGTCAAACACCGGACGATAAGCGAATGCTGAAGATTTGCGTCGATTAACTACCCAGTCCATATAAGCGATCAATACCTCAGACAACATGTTCTTGTTTATAGCAGGCCTGAATCACCATGAAAGCACTTTGATCGACCCAGAATCAGCCCCCACGCAGGAACTCCACGCAGCTGACGATCCAATGAACTGCTGCCTAATGAAGACGCCACGGCACTGCAGCGAAGTTAACTCAACTTCTTCCAACGATCATGGCACAATTCAGTTTATTTCCACGCCTACCCCCAGAGGTTCGCCACCAGATATGGCTCGAAGCTCTCTCCAAACACTCCGAACCCGGCGAGGCCCCGCTCTTCTACTTCAAAAAGGGCTGCTGGCGCTTCCGATATCTTAAACCCGGAGAAGAGGGGTGGGAGCCCGGGGACAACAACTTGTACCTCGGGTTTGAACATGAACGTCTCGACCCCCTGAGATATGACCACCCCTTGTTCCACGTAAACTGGGAAGCCCGCAGCGCTGGTCGGCTCTGGGCCAGGTCTCGCGGAGTAAAGGAAGACGCCCCCCTTCTGATGACCCGGTCATTCGACATTGACCGCGATACGCTTTACGTATCAGGGGGAGAGCTCGGCGATCTCATTGCCGAGCCAATAGAAAAGCCCTGGGAAGAGGAAATATTTGAAATGTTCAGCACCAATGGCCCGTTCTGGCGCTCGCTGGCGCTTCCGTTTTGGTTGCTAAGGGATAATCCGACTGAGATGGCGGAGCTGTCTATGGGATATGACAAAATAAGCGTAATATATGTTATTTTCAAGGCTGAGCCGGAGGAGTTTTGGCACTTCCAGAGTACGGAGCACCGAGAACGGCAGTGGTGGGAGCTGCAGAGTTTGGAAGAGGCCCCGGATGCGAGCCTCTGCTGTGATGAGGATAACGAGCTCCATTGGCGCGGATATACTCCTGAGCTTGATCGGTATGGTCTAAATGAGGTATTGGGGCCTGCGGCGACGGAGATGATAAAGAGAGAGAACACGGTGTGGAAAGGCATTGAGATTCGACCGGTGCGCGTTGTTAAGAAGTCTATATAGACAATATGATTCCTGTATAATACTTAATTGAATTGATCGGTCTTCCATACTTTCCCGAGTATTATAACAACCTTAGACTATTATACACACCCACAATCCAAGGAGCTCTAACCCTAGAAGCACGACTCGTCTCTCCATCGTTACTCTGTCCCAATCCCATCCCAGGCAGTTCATCCTTGTCAACGCTCTCTGGCTCTCTAATCCACCCTCGCTTCTGCGCATCCAGCACAGCCTTGAACCACGCATCCGCCATCTTCCCATACCCCCGCTCGTTCGGATGCTTGCGATCCCACAGGTCTTCAAGGGTAATATTAACCGGCACAGACAGAACCTGCCTCCCCTCCATACCCTCCATAATATTCGCAAGCTTCTCATTAAACGCATCAGTATTCGCCTGTATGCGCGTATCATTCGCCCAAATCACCGGCGCCACAAGAACCGTCACACCCTGACTCGCCTCCAGCAGCCGGTCAATAATATCCTCCATAACACCCCCCGCAGAATCAAGATCAACCTCAAGGTCCATATTATTCGTGCCGGCATGGAGACAAACGATATTCGGCTGCGCCTGTATCGAAAGCTCCAGATACTGCCGTATATCAGACAGATATTTCCCGCTATGGCCCTCGTGGTCGTTATCGGCCATTTCGCCTTCCTGTAGACTGCCGATCATGTCGACTTCAAGGCCTGCTTGCTGGTTTTGCAGTGTGCTGCGGAGTTTGTGCCGGTATCCTGTTATATCTGGGGAGCTGGTTCCGCGTGTTATGGAGTCGCCTAGTGGCATTATGCGGAGGGGTGGAAGTGACCCTGTCACCAGGGGAAATGTGAATGCGAATGCGACTGCATAACTTATGGTTTGGAGGTAGAGCATGGCAGATATGATATAGACAACAGCGACACAAGGGATTGAAGTGTACAACAGAATTACAGCTGTAGAATTATGGAGTCCTTGAATACCCAAGTATCATATACAGCTTCCCAGACGTTGCGACTTGCGAGGGTTGCGAGATGGATATCGACGAAACACTGGAGCAGGACATCAGCCAGTAATGGTCCTCTTCTGCTGCGCCACTCGCAAAAAGGCCGTCATCATCGGAAATTCCGGCAAAAAGGCGGGCGCTGTGTCGATCGCTGGTGTAATTTCCAGTCCCTGGCATGCCGAGAAATGAGAATCTCTTATATCCACAGTCTGATTCCCCGGCTTTGGTGAGAATAAAGAAGTATGAGCTTCTATCATTTAAGGTACATAAATGGCCAAAAAGCACCGGGATCACCACACTCAAATGCAGCGTCATATCCCTCGACAGTCTTTTCAAGCAGGTTTCCTTCTAGTTTCAGTGCTATCCCCGTCCCGCTTAAACTGCTTAGAAGGTCCAGACACGCCTTGTCGAAAAGAATATCAGTCGCCCCTCGATGCGGTAACCCCAGCATTTGCCCAGGGTAGAACGTATCCGTATGCAGCGAGATACTAGCTAAGCGGGGCAGTTTGCTATCCAACGCGAGGCCCGCTATATACACCAGCAACGGCGCGATAGGGGACTGACAATTCTGAACCGCGAGGTGTTTCAGGTAGACTGGTAACTGCGGCGCTTTGCCCAGATATACCTGGTCCAGGGTGAGATATTCCAAACCGACAAAGTCCGTGAGCGAGCCGAATTCGGACTCTGCCATGGGAAGTGCAGCGGAGTCGGGGATTGAGTCATCGAGCGATGATAGCTGCAGAATTCGGAGGCTGTCCCTGTGGCTGGAGAGTAGGGAGTATAGCTGGCGAGGGCTGAGTTGGTTGCTTTGGAGATCTTCCTGGCCGCAGTAGAAGGACTCTAGATCTCGGCATGAGCAGAGGAGCATGCCGATGCCTGATTCTCCGATGTGGCTGCGGCTGAGTGAGACGGTTGACAGTGAAGGTAATCCTAGCGGCAGACTAACGGGGTATATTGTATTGCATTGTTGCTGTCCACGCAGCGAGTAGTCGTTGACCTGGATGCTTGTCAAGCGGAGGAGGGACAGGAGGCGGGCGATGCTGTTGATGTTTATATCGCCACCATGGCTATCTTGTCGGCAGTCCACAGAAAGGGACTCAAAGACGCCATCTCGACAGAATAGTGAAGTGGGCGTGCTGTTTCGGACCTGGGCTAAGCTGGTGAAGAGGCCAAGCCCTTGGGGGTCGAGTGTTATTGTCAGCTGCCTCAGATTGGGGCTCCGGGCAATGAGCAGCATGGGAAGAATTGCTTCTGTTTCAAATGCACTGGAATCGGGCATATTCATTCCCTTCACCAAGTTCTGGCTTTGCAGTTCCAGGGGCTGGATGTCTTTAGCTGGGAGTTCATATCGGCCGGTGTCCTGATCGAGGAACAGGTCGGTGTCGATATCGAGGCATCGCACTTGCTGTGCTATAAAGGGGCATGTAGTGACAGTACGACAGAGAAGCGGCAGCGACGATCGTATATCCTCAGGGCCTAGGACAATATCATGGTAGAGCTGTGGCTGAGCAAGGGCGCGGAATTTCTTTGACAAAAGACAAATGCCCAAAGTCTCAGTCACACCGATGCAGTCTAGAATAATCAGAATGATCTCTGGCGGCAATTCACCGAGTCCCATGTCAGTGTGTGTGAAGTGTAAGATGGGCTGAAGTTGTGGCGAGAGACGTCGAGGGGCGAACACGTCATCGTACACAAGCCGAATATCCTCAATGCTGGGATGTGATTGGCAACAGTCCAGAATACGAACAAAATATTGTCCGACCGATCCTCAATTGCATAAGTTTACGGGGAACGCTCTACAGGAAACCCGATCTTCTGTCTTGCTCTGAGTTTAAGTTATACATATATCAAGTTAGTTGGTCAACGCACAACTTTTACTGCGACACTGCTAGCAATTATTGGAATTGTGACTATTATTTGGATTTAGGATTAGTTACCTAGTAGTCTACAGTGCCATTCAAGACACGGCAAAAGCTTTTGCCTTTCTTTTGTTTCACATTTTGGCTAGCTTGCAGAAGTAAAGCTCATCGATCCAGATTGTCCTGTAGTAGAACTGGCATGCCGGGAATATTCACATTAAATATCAAGTGTGAAGCCAATTGAACTTTATACGAACAGAAAAGATATTCCTTAGTATAAAGTCAACGTGGGAGATTGAAGAGGATTACTAGTTTGGTAGTACATAATTTTCAAGGGTAAATTCCAGCAATATTCAAAGCCGAGTGAATCGAGTCCGTTTCTAGTTCATTGTACCTATGTGGGCCCTCCGCAGCCAGACATAGCTATGTCTTAGTGGTCCATATAGACGTTTCATTAGCTTACTTCCGCAAGGAGTTGCAATAGGTATCGACAGACGTTGAGCCAGATTGAACCGGCCTTTCGTGGGAGCTATTGTCAAGGCTTGTCTGAAGCTTTATCTCCGACCTTACACCAACTACATCACTTACCTCATTTTCGGCATGGAACACTCAATTATGTCAGTAGTTGCCTTACAGTGCATCAGAACCACAAGAATACCTTGTATCATGTGGACTTGTTCCAAAGTACAACGGGAATGCTGCGACTGTCAACGCGTTCCCTGTAGTTTCAGATGCCGCAGCAAGGATAACATAGACTTCATCTTCAAGCTCTTGGAGGGTGGGCACATTCCCATTCTTGGCTGTTTCGGATTGCAGGATTTGGTGGAAGATCGTTTGTCGGTCTTGTGTTTTCTGGTCCTTCATTCTTTCCTTCACCTCCAGAATCCGTCTTCGACTTTCCTGTCAATATTGTTAATCGTGATTTCTCACAGCTGTCTTGATTACTTGGATACCTGATGGTGTATCATCATCTTCGACAGAGACTGACTCGTCAACTTCGCTAAACAGAGCGGAATCGCCATAGATATCAACTGCACAATAGGAAACTGGTTGAAAACCCAAACACCAGGACCTAGCGACTGTATCATCCTGAAGAATTCTATCCCGTAGTCAGGCCGCTGCAGAAAGTCATAGCTCTGACCAAAGGCATAATCCGTCACGACATCAATCGCAAGAGCGCGAAAGGCCAGATGCAAGTTAACCTCTCCAGTCTCCGCCAGTGATTTCCTGCTGCGAGATATCAGCAAAGTGACCTTTTGCTGTATAAGCCCCTCCAGCTCAAAGACTCTCTTTTGTGAGAAGAATGGGTTCAAGACTGCTCTCTTGACGCGATGCAGACGCGGGTCGCATGTCGCAAACGTCGCCTGCGGAGTACCGAAACTGCCATAGAAAGATGGGTCTTTGCCATAGTTCGATCCAACGGAGTATACCTTGTCGCAGTATTCGGGTTCGGACAGGTGGATCTCGCTGGGGGTGATTCGAATTACTGGACCTAAGCACACGGATAACCTTAGTTACCAGTCTCTGAATTATGAAAGGAATGCTAACCGTATTTTGCATGCAGCTCGGGGATCTTCAAGTAGAATCGACCGCTGTTGATGTTGTACCAGAATGAATAGAAATGGAACATGCGTCCTAGGAGTGGTCCGGGAATATCTGCCAGTGGGTGGAAATAGATTCGATACAGTAGAGTCCATACACCCCAGACTGCGAATGCAAGGAGAATTCTTAATATGAGCTGCAGCATGATCGGAATCTTGTTTAACGGTGATAACAGTATGGGAAGGGCTAGCGATGATCCCGAGTTGGTTAATATTGGTTACTTTATTGCTCCTGTCGTCGTCATTCATTCCAACGGTAATTCTTGGCCAACTCAATTGTTCCAGTACGATGTCACTGGCGTCATTGACCAGTCTGTAGATATAGAAAAAAAGAAAAGAAAAACAAAAAAAAAGAAAAAAAAGACATCATGGTGTCATAACTGGCGCCATACACGAATGCGTGACGGCCAGATGTTGGCTCACCGGAAAAGCAATTCCACGATAATAGGTATAACCGCCGTCGTTCCGCAATGGCGAAGAGCGTTGCGGAGATATCTCCATAACTTTAATTTCCACCGTGGAAGAAGAACGTGGCTGGAAATGGCCCAACGCGAGATGCCAATTGAGCAAACGCTGCTTTCCAAGGAGGACATACATGCTATTTTCAAGCCCCTCAGTGACGGGGACATGGCCACTTTCTTCGATAATGTGGCAGACGATGTTGACTGGACTGTGAAAGGTATTGAAGCTCACAGAAGCCGTCTCACCGTTGTACTTATCACATTCCAGGCACTTTCTTCCAGATAGCAGGCCACTACACCTCCAAGGCTGAACTCGCTAGAGCAATGTCCGTTCTCAACACCGTCTGGGCCACCCCGCTCAAACTTGTGGTTACGCACATTTTATGGGACGGCTCCCGTGCAGCTGTGGAGCTCAAAGCAGAAGATACCTACTGCCGGAACGGACTTCCTTTCACAAACGAATACGCCTGGATCTGCCGTTTCAATGCGGAGAATAAGATCGTGGAGTTGAGAGCATACATGGATACGTAAGTTCCCAGGCAGACGTTACTCTATGGTCAACTAACCCTTGACAGTGATTTTGTCACGCAGGCCATAGCGCAAAACACGCAGGTGGATTAGTCGGTGGATCTACGATAATGTTACATTCCTCAAAGTTTAAGAAAATGACAGACAACTCTATTTATTTCACCTGCCCATGGAACCTGGATGTGGAGTTAAAGCTTCATCTGTGACAAGTTCTGCGCACTCTGTGTAACCAGGGTTTGTTGTATATCATTCACAGGGATTAATTAAATGTTACATCACAGCTTGAAGCTGACTTTAGTGTATGTTTTGCATCACCACTGCTTCGATATATCAGTTGCAAGTATAGATTGTGTCGGTATAATTGTATTCCATGACCCACAAGTTTCGTCTGCAGCAGGACCATAATTAGCAAACTTCTATTATCAAAACCATGTCATCTACCATTGACTCTCCCCGAAGCATAAAGATCAAATGGCCCCAACTGGATATCACAGTAACGGCAGTCATGAATGGCGAAGCCAACCCAGATCTAGTCAACTTGCTATATGAGCATCTCCCATATCGCTCTCTCCAAAACCACGCCCTTGTCTCTGGCGACCACCTGTACCATCTCGTGCCATCCGAGAGATTGATTGTACGTACATCCGCCTAGTTTGTTATGCAGGCTGACGCGTGTGCTACATAGTATACTAAAGTCAACCACGCCGTTCCCAACAGAGTAACCGAGCCAGACGGGACTGTTTTCCTCTCCGGCCTGCAGCATCTCGCCATAAAATATGGGCCGTTAACTGAATACCTTCCAGCCGCCCCTTGTGGGAACATTGTCGCCGAGGATATGGACAGCCTGGCCAGGGCGGGCAATGCCATCTGGAATGCATGCAACCATTCCAAGCAGGTTATCGAGGTTATTGTCTGGGATGCGGCCAGTTGTGAGCCTACAGGACATCTGCCACTTTCTTTAGAACGGACAGGCGTCAGTAGAGAGGTTAGGGATCTGGTAGACGCCATTCATAATGAGGTATGACTATGAAATCAGTCTATTCGGGCGGGGTCATGGTATTGACAACACAATTCCTCTAGACTGAAAAATCCTGGTCGGCAATATCCCCAGACCTAGAACTCGTCCATACCGGCTGTGCACAATCGCGCGCAGGATCCAAGAGCTGCTACTTTTCCACCATGGTCTTTATCAACGGCGAGATCAGACCGCTAGGGTACAACATTCTGAACAATATCCTCAAAGTCGCACAGACGGAGCCTGACTTCGAGCTGCACCATCTGGTGAAGATATTTCGCATTTTTGCGTCTGTTCCTGCTGAGTTTGTGGGCTACACCGGCGCAAACTCTCTCTGCCACATGTATCGGCAGATTGAACGCATGATAGAAGAGAATGTGTCAGGTAATGACAATCGGAAAGAGGCCAGGGAGGATTTCTTGGCTATGGTAAGTGCCTTTGCGAAGTATGTGAATCTCCTTAATGCGCAGAACCTGCATATTTTTCCCTGGGGACATGGAAAGGACTATCCTCTGTCACTGAACTAGGCACACAATGTACTATCCTGCGGGCAGCAAACAATTGATTTCAATATTACTATATATGTTGCGTATACTTTTATAACCAACCCAGGATTTTTTCAACAGCTAAACGCCCTCGTCCTGCCCGAACGTCATGGAATAAATCCTATGGCCATAACAACAGTAGTTCAGCAGGGTAGCTGATACAAGACCTAAGAATGAGGCTATCCACCAGCTGCACATCCACATCCACCTGGTCCAGCTGGAGCTTCAGCTGTCGCTCCACCCCCTGCTGTAGCTGTGGCCGCTGCCCCAGATCCAGTATTTATACAGCAACGATGAAGAGAGCCTATAAAGGATCAGAATCTCCCTCTTCAGCGTGATTTAGTGGACTATTCTGACTTACCAGGATGGCAATTTTCCTTGTCGAACCGGCCTGCCCATATATAGCAGTCTCTAGCAGGTAGGTACATCCAATTCCTTAGCCGAAAGTGGTAAGTCATAGTTATACTCACACAAGTACAGGCTGCTCTACTTACGCATTGTTTGCGATCTTCTCCCCTTCACCATCCTTACAACCGAGATTATATTCTCTTCCAGGTTTGTTGGTGAACTTGGCAACGCAAACAGAAGCAGGGCACGACCGGCAAGAAACAAGATTCTTCCCGCGGGTTTTGCAATTCTTCGCGCTAGACATGCCCGCGTAGGCAAGCAGAATACAGACAAGGGTCTTGAATAGAAGCATGTTGATTATAGTACTCATACCCATAAGTTCATCAAAGTGGACTTTCCCTGACGCTCACTACGTATTCTATATAACAATTGTCCTGAGGTCAGCATGTAGCTCCTGGTCTGAAGATATCGATCATGATCGCAGGGCTGCTCCCCGAGGAGAGCACATGAGGCACTTCTTCCATTATGATTGGCGCTGTCTCATCCCAATTCACCTATTCCCATGGAAACTAGGACCAGTGCTCTTGTGAGCACCCTGATGCGGCGTTAGAGGATGCTAGTTTATGCTTGGTGCATCCATGACAGCATCGAGTATTCCCGGATTCATACATGCAGCAGCGTGTCCTGATGGCCTGTTTTTCCATTCACTAGACGGGGAACAGGTTCCGAGGAAGTTGGAACTAACGAGCCGACGGGATTTGCGAGTACCACATTTCACACCCGCACACCACTTTTTTCCCAGCCGTGGTGGCGTTTCTCTGATCTAGGCCGACCTTCGAGATATTCGACCCAAATTTAGCCGTTTGAGGGTTGGCGCAGTCTACATGCAGCCTGCTCACCATGGTCGGGGTATAATCCAGTTCGCCCTCTAATGACCGACCTCTGCCATAGTAGAGATTCCCGAGATACCGTAGTTCAAGCCTACCGCTGAAGGGCTTCTTAGAGCCATGGATCCGATCTTCTTGGCGACCTAGGCAGGGCGATTGGCGCTCTTGTCGTCTTATATTGGGCATTTCCATGGAGACTCTGAGACATGTCCAATAGCTCGACTTTATTTAAGGCGAGAGTTTTAATTCCTATTAATACATGTCTGCAAACAATACGAACCTGTAACAATTCCATTGGTTCTGCCATCCACTGAAAGAAGACTGAAGGCTGAACCCTGGATTACAACACCCCAGAACCCTTTCCGAGGTCATCGGCCATCTCTATTGAATGTCATTGAATGTCGTGTCCTAGGCCAAGAAAGTTGATGAGCATGAGACCTTGGCTTCCAGGACCAGTCCAGATTCTAGGCTCGTTCGAAGCAGATCTTCTGATTAGAGTGTCTCAAATTTGATAGTCTTAGGGTTACGACTTTATCGCCTCTAGTCAACATAAAAGCCGCGAAGATCATCGTCCTCTGTCAATCACATTGCAAAAAGCAAGAGAATTATTCAATCATTGTCAATATGAAGTCCCCAATCTATATCCTCACTGTCCTGCTCCACATCGCTACACAGTTAGCCCTAGCAGCCCCTATCACAGACTCTGACTCCGACACCTCTTCTCTAGAAGAGAGAACCCCGGCCCCTCCCCCTAGTCCCAAGCTACCTGCCGCTGCAGCAGCAGCAGCAGCAGCCGCCGCCGCCGGCCGCTGCAGCTGCTGCCGCCTCAGGTGGTGGTAAGGGAGGAAACGCAGCTGCTGCCGCTGCCGCCGCCGCTGCCACAGCTGGAGGTGGAGGAAAGAATGTCGCCGCGGCTGCCGCCGCCGCCTCCGCCGTCGCCACTGGTGGGGGAGGAGCTGCCGCTGCTGCTGCCGCCGCTGCTGGTGGTGGAGGGAGTGCTGCTGCCTCAGCTGCCGCGGCCGCAGCGTCTGCCGGTGGGAGCGGAGGAGAGGTTGTAGCTGTATCCGTTGCTGTTTCCGTTGCTACCGCTGGTGGTAGTGGTCAGGATGTGGCAGCCGCCGCGGCTGCTGCTGCTGCTGCCGCTGGTGGTCAAGGAGGGAATGCAGCCTCTGCTGCTGCGGCAGCGGCGGCGGCAGAAGGTCGTGATGGCAAGGGCGTCGCCGCGGCGGCTTCTGCTGCTGCGGCCGGTGGCTCTGGGCCTGGAGGCGGCGGAGGGCAGAAGGACTCGTGTAAGATCGATCACAAATTCTGGTACTTCAGGCGCCCGAACCGCTTCAGTCGTCGAATTGGCCAAGCTCAGCCTGGCTCCGAGTTCAAGGCTTTCTGCAAAGAACGGTGAGTGCCATATTGTATGATTTGCAGTTATGAACTTGCACTGACTTGGAAAAAGCAACTGGTACAACACTCCCAAAGGATGGGTTAAAGAGCATAATAAGCCCGAAGGCTGCCGTAAGTTGTTCTACTGACCAGGCTCTGTCGTACCTTTCTTATGATTCTCCAGGCGTACCAAACAAGCGATGCTAATGGCTCTAATCATTCGTCGTGACTGCCATTATAGATCATCCTATAATGCTTGTTAATGACTTGATGACGGGATTGGGTTATCTAATCTCGGTCTGATTAAAAGTTATCCATTTCTTCTTTACTTTCGATACTGAATTAGGTTTATGTTACGAATTAAGCTTTTAACTTTGATTATCATATAATCCGTAGACCTATTGGAAAGGGTTCCTATACCCAACGTAAACCGCGCCACTTTATATTATATTACAATATATCCTAGTTATCTCTACCGTGCTATTGCTGGGCCATCCGAACCCATCGGCCTCAAGTCTAGTGGGTTCATTGGCGGTGGAATACGGAATAACTGGTGAAATAAGTATTAGGAATTAGCTCTATATACTAGATATAGAATTAACAGGCAGCCATACACTCTAAGCTAATGTTTACTAATCCCATCAAGTGTATGTAGATACTGTAGAGGCTCATTAACTAGCTTGCTATTTACTATAGGGTATATTAGGCTACTCAGGCCATATACCCGTGCTTCTAATTATAACATTACAGAGCCTGCCTTTCCCTGGGTACATAGAGAGGGCTATCCCCTATCTCTGAATTAAGCACACAAAGTGTATTACAAACTGAGTAAATAGCTTGGCAAAATCATGAGAGCAACTGATTCAGTTACACTTTTACATATACTTTATGTATACTTTAGATGCAGCCAAGATGATATAAGCAAACTATAGCTATATATACCACGTCATTGATACATTTCTCTCTCATTCACCAACATCCCAGCTCAAAGTCCATCTTCAGCCAAGTTAGACCATGGAGCAGCCAAAGACATTCAAAGACCTCGGGGTTATCGATCCACTATGCGAAGCCTGTGATACTCTCGGCTACGACGCCCCAACACCTATCCAGGAGCAAGCTATCTCTGCAGCCTTGCATGGAAGAGATTTGCTCTGCATGGCAGAACCCGACAGCGGCACGACTGTGGCGTTTGTGCTGCCGATTTTGCAAGCACTGATGATCAGCCCGCAGCCTCTCCATTCTCTCATCCTCGTTCCTACTTCCGAGCTTGTATTGGAGGTCTCGCAGGTTGTTGAGAACTTGGGCACTGCTATACTGGTCCGGTGTACCGTGCTGATAGAGGGGAGTGATATGGCTATGCAGCAGACGGCGCTGAGACAAGACCCCCATATCATAGTTTCCACCCCGCAGTGCATGCTTCAGCACCTTGAGCATACAAGCGGGTTTTCCTTGCGCATTTTAAAGTACCTGGTTCTTTATGGGGCAGATCAACTGGTGGACCTTGATTCCGGGCCGATATTAGACAGGATTCTGGCCATGTTACCACCGAAGGCAACGTACCTCTTTGCCGCGACGATATCTGATAAAGTCGACTCTCTACAGAGGAGTGTCCTGTCGAATCCAATCCGAGCCTCGGTGTCCACAGAACAGACAGCGTCGCAGTCATACATCTTCACCCCGGCGAACCAAAAGGATTTCTACCTCGTCTATCTACTTCAGCAACGACCAGGACAAACAGGGTTACTATATACACAGAAGAGAGCCACCGCGCAAAAAGTCATGCGTATGCTGCAGTACATCGGATTCCACGCAATATCCATCCACGGACAACTGTCCGACGGCGCACGACTGGCCGCCCTGAATGGGTTTTGGGCTGGGTCTTGGAATCTCCTTGTCCTTACTGGTGCTGCTGGGCAAGGTCTTCGGATTCCGTCTGTGGACTTTGTGGTTCATTATGACTTGCCGGATGGTGCTGGGGATTATAACCGTCGAGTTGGACGGGCCAGTGTGGGTGGGGGTGGGACGGTCATCTCCTTTGTCACGCAGTATGAAGTCGAAGCCTGGCTGCGCATAGAAAATGGTATAGGTACGCGGGTGGATGAGCTGGAGATTAACAGAGACGAGGTCATGTTGTTTGATGAGCAAGTGATGATGGCGCAGAGCGTTGCAGAGAGGGCTCTCAGTCCCTAACATTATCTCCTGCGATTAATGTACTTGAGACTCTACTCTTAGTTATAAGTAAAGGATGCTCAAGCATAACAATCTCATTCATTCAATCATAATCCTGTCAATAGAGGAGTCTAGTCTAGTTCTTAGGCTTGAACTTGGCCGCAGTCCTATTGCCAACCTTCTCCTCATCCCAGATGAAATTCACACTCTCCTGCGCAACAACAGCCTTTGCCCACTGCAAGAACTTGGGCACCCTCTTCTCCAAGAGCGCCGGCAGCTCCGGGGCAAATAGCCCATACTCAGGCTTATGGAGCGACAAAAGCCTCAGCAAAAACGACCCCGTCAGAACCTCGGCCTGGGTCAATTTCTCCGCGCCCTGGAAAAACGGACCAGAGCCCGATCCGGCCGGGTACAGCAGACCCTCGATGTTATTCTTCTCGATCGCCTCGACGATCGCCTCGGTTGCAGCGGGGAGGTCGGCGTCTGATGCCCTGTGGGCGCCGAAGACGAGCGGGAGGAGCTTGCTGGTGAAGGTATCAGCGAAGAAGGCGATTTGGGCGCGCTTGATGGCGCCGGCTTCGGTGTTGGAGGGGGGGAGGAGGTGCGAGGGGTGTGCGTCTGCGAGGAGCTGGGCGACGATGCCGGACTCGGGGATTATGGTGCCATTGTAGGAGATTGTCGGGACGAGCCCGCGCTGTTATCATTAGTATAAATCTCTTTGTGGCTGTCAGAGGGGATGAGTACCGGGTTCACTTCGAGGTACCAGGGCTCGCGCGGGGTGTCGAGGTCGATGATGACTTCTTCGTACTGCAGGCCCAGCTCCTTGAGGGCGATGTGGGCGCGGTGAGCCCAGGGGCAGATGTGGTTTGTGTAGAGGATGATCTTGGGAGCCATGTTGATGGTGAATGACAGCACGAGAGTCTCTGACAGAAAGACGGGAGGCTATATATGAAGTTATAAGTGATTTCTAATCGATCGTGTCAATTCCGCCAGCGATGATGACAATGGGGTGCTCTGCTTTGAAATCCAGCTGCAGCTCCCCACTTCCCCTCTTGTGGGGATCCCGGCTCTTATATCGGCTGCTAAGATAAAGCCACTGATAGGACATCAGCTGTCACTTGATGGATGACAGCAGTTGGCGTGCTAAGCCGTGGTTGTGATGCCATTGCTGGTATATAACTGCCTTGTCTTCTCTTCTCTGAATACCATCTAAGTGCAGAGGATATTCATGAAATGATCGAAACAATTGAACCACCCAAGTCAAAACACGATACTGGACGTCGAACTGTCGCTACACCATGATCTCAACTAGATTTCAATCTGCCTGCACCTTGGGAAGTGACTTCTTATGAGAACGTCTTCACTGCCACTGCAATGCGACCGAGGTTCTCAGTGAGAATCTCCACTGCGACCGTCAGGCCACCCGCGAACTCAACCAACGAATCCTACACCGTTCATATGGATTCACCCTGATCGTACAGATCTTGCAGACATCATACCTGTGATGCCATGTGAAGTTCAACTGTCCTTGCAGACATTCACAGAACACCGAACGCAGGTCCCGAATTCAACAGCGACATCGAACCAGCGCTCAGGCCTCAAAAACGATGACGATGACGAGTCCCGAAGATCGAAGCCGATCTCTTATCGACGCTGTAACATTCGACGTGCCATATCCGGGGAGAGCTGAGGCTAATTGTTTCGATCGAAAATTGGCACAGGGACAGACGCGGGGACAATCTGTGGATCGGTGTCGATCTGCGAGGTCGACCGTTTCAGTTCCAAAGAGCGGTGGCTTTTATCCTGTTATTCTGCGATTTCTTTCGATGGTTTCGCTGGTTGTGGAGGATGTGCTGATGATCCAAATTTCAGCGATGTAAAGCGTTGATGTTGACTTTCACATGGTCGAGGAATGGTATAAAGTCGTCAAGGACAGTCACTCAATTCCTCATCATCTTCAAATCAACTTCAATCATCAATCATCAATCACAATGAAGCTCTCTGCCATCTTCGCCATCGGCCTCGCCTCCCTCGCGGCCAGCCAGTCCATCAACGATGTCCCCAAGTGCGCCGTCCCCTGCCTCCAGGATGCTGTGAAGAGCGAGACCAGCTGCGGCGCCAGCGACTTCAAGTGCGCCTGCAAGGGTGACAACTACAAGAAGGTCCAGAGCGCTTCTACGGGCTGTGTTATCAAGGCTTGTGGTCAGGACGTTGCCATCGGTATGTACAATATCTCTAGCATTAGTTGATATGCTAATACCGTCCAGAGCAAGTCGTCCCTGCTGTCCAGAAGCTGTGTGGAAAATAGGTTTACTGGAGATCAGAACATGATGTATATACGAGCAAGCATGAATAACCTGCTATTTATCCTTCCATATACTCAGTCTCATATTACAACTTCCCCTTCTCACTAACCAACTCCAAATCCCTATGCGGGAGACCCAAATACTCCCACATAAAATGGAACCGATCACTGCCAAAGAACGGCTCTTTCCTCCCCTTTCCATCACTAACCCAGAACCACGGACACCCAAACGCACCGAGCTCTTTGACAACCCGTTCCGTAGTCGCCGTCAACTCCTGCTTGATTTCCGGCTTCGCTGCCCCGGCTAGGATATCAGCTACTTCAGTCTCAGAGAACACCCCCGCGTCACGCATTGCAATGGACAGATTCTCCGGCTTCGAGACGTCGATGTGGCCGTACCACATTGTCTTGAAGATGGAGTGGAAAGCGGCGAGATACTTGGCTTCGGCGTGGGTTGTTTTTATATATGTCAGTGCGCGTTGGGGCTGTCATCAATCAGTATTAAGATCCAGCCTTGCAAAGAATAAGAAGGTTATATCAAACATACCAGCAGCGACAGGATCGGAAACCAAGAAGGAATCTCAAAGTCGTGCCCGAAGTAGCGCTGCGCGCGCTTGCCGTCGTATTTCGAGTATGCGGCTTTTGCGGGGAGGGTCCAGGGGGGTTTATTCCCTATACCAGTTAATATACCTCTTAACAGGTACGGTACCTAGGTAGGTATTGTAGGTATTGCCAGGATGATAGTGACGAACCGCTACCGACGTTAATCCCGCCCAAGAAGACGGGGATGTATCTATTAATGTTAGTACCATCATTTCAGTATTGGTCTCATTGAGGCATACTCGATTTCTACATTCTGGGCGTTGAGAGCAGCGCGGTTTGCTTGGAGGTACGTGAAGGCGTAGAAGCTATATGGCGACACTGGTCTGCGTTAGTGGTGTTATGGTGACAGGTAAGGATACTGTTTCATACCGCAGTCGATATAGCACTCGATCTTTTTGCCGGCCATTTTGACTGAAAACAGAAAAGTAGACTGGAATGAAGGGTATAAAAGTTGATGTAATCTGGCCGAGCAGCAGCCGAGATGATCGGGCGGGGATGCCGAGGCTGCTTTAATGATTAGTCGTCGGCTGCCCATGTTAAACATTAAACACGATTTAGTTATTACTGTGCAGATTGATCGTCGCATCATATCTAATATTCTAGTTTAGAAATCTAGTATGTTAATTCCAAGTTCTTTGGATAACCCGCCCGAGTCTATGCTCTATACACGCTATGCAATCACTTCCATTTCATGCAGCAGTTCTCTGAACCCGTCCAGCGGTAATATCAGACGTAAATTTCGGCCTGGCCGGGAATCAATCCCATTCAAGATGGCGGGCGTTCTTAGGACGGTATGCCAATGCCGGCCGCCTGTTCATTTGGATTCCCTCTCAAGAGGATATGGGTCGATGACAACCATCCAAGCGGTGTATCGCGGATGTTGATATTTTCACGCAGTTCTTGCAGTCTGCAGTCTGCAGTCAATATACTGCTCAAGCAGCTACCCAATGCGCTGCTTCCTCCTCACCCAGACCTCTTTATCAGGAGATCCAGATTCACTTTCAGCCTCAGTCTCAGAAGCAGGCAAGTCACGCAACTGCACCTCCCAAATCTTCAACTTGAAATTCCCTCTATCCCCCGTCCCAGAAAAGAGATCAAACGACCAGCCGTGCTTGGGACACGTAATCCCCGCACTCAGCTTGATACCGAAATCCTCAATGTCGAAAATACTTCCCTGCGAGAGCGGGAATGCCGAGTGTGGACATTGCTGTAGCTGTTAGCATTCACCATAGATACCGTAGATACATAGAGTCTTGGAAGCCTTGGATAGGGATACGTACATGGTCAATCGCATGAACAGCACCTTTATACTTAAACACCATAACCTGGTCCTTCAACTCCCCCGGCATATTGATATCCGTCTCGGTCGGGACCTCGCCTTTTACGTTGGGGATCCGGAAGGCCTTGCAGGCTGTTGTGACCTGGCACGCCTCGTCTTGGGATACCTCTGGGAAGTCTGAGACGCGGCCCACGCGGTGCCAGGATGCGTCTGGTCTTGAGCGGAAGAAGGGGAGCATTGTAGCTGTCTTGTATGTTTATATGATAGAGAGAGGAGTGAAGGTATGCGAATACTGTGTGGATTTTGCCTGCCCCACTGATGGCACTAGCCGTTTTGGGATGTGATCAATGGAGGTGTAACGAAGACTTGTATTATATTTATGTTGATGATACTAGAGGTAGTAGGTGATATCATGGTCATTGTTGGGTCAAGTCTTCTTTCCCAAGGATGGTGGTTGGGAAATTGGGATAGCTGACTCCAGTGACCTCGCTCCGAATATATAGAATTGAAAGAGAAACTCAAGGGATTAATTCTACGCTCAGTTGACAATCACGTCATCGTGAGATCTCGTAATGTACATTATCCAACCAGCTCCAAGTCTAAATACACGACTTAACACAGAGCAAGTACGAATGTACGAGCGCTATGCGATGCAATATATATGCAATACAACCAAATCAAGGGCAAACAAATATCCACAGGAACAGAAGCAAAGACAAGAAGGCAAAAAAAGTCGCTCAGTAATTCTCCATATTATTCCAGTAAAGCGTCTGGCTGGTCATCTGCCCGCGCGGGTTGAGCTCCCACCCGAGCATCAAATTCGTCCATTGCAGCAGGTGGCTTGCAATCTTGATGTGGCCGACGTCTGTCGGGTGGTTCTTGGGGTTGATGTCGTTGTGGCTGAGGATTCCGTTGGCGTGGAAGAGGTAGACAAAGTTCCACCGGCGGTCTTTGAAGTGTTCGTAGACGCGCGTGATTTCTTCTTCGTAGACTGTTGTTTGAGTGTATTCGGCGCCCTCTTGCTCCCAGATGCCCCATTGAGTCTGTAACGTTAGTGATGATCAGGAATATAGCATGAGAACGGTCGTACCATGATGACAATTGAAGCGTCCGGCCAGTGTTTGTGGACGTCCTCGATGACCTCGATATACCCGTCGTAGAAGTTCTCTCCGGGGATCTCGTTCGGATGACGGTGGTCGTTGCCTCCCATTTGGATGATGACCAGGTCGGCCGGTTGTTCGGCCGTGACGTCCCACTCTTCAGGCTCGTGGCCGTACATACCGGCAGCGCGGGAGCCGGGGTCGGAGGCCTTGTGCCAGTACCAGATCTATAAAGTATTAGTTCAGGTTATTATTCCAGACGGACAAATCTGCCATACCGTTCCGTGGGTACCTCCGCCATAACACTGCAAGTCGGCTAGACATGCTCCGGGGTAGGCCTAGACTAGGTTAGTAAAGCGACGCATTATCCGGCAGGCAACCGACCGTAATCCCGAACTCGACATTTCCGAGACCCTGTGCGTAGAGGAAGGCCCAGGAAGAAAGGGTCTCGTAGGTAGCGTACTGTCCGCCCGTCAAACTCCCCCCGATAATCTCCACCTTTCTCTTAAACGTCGGCGGTTTCGAAAGATAGTGATCGACATCGACGGAGGCCCCGGCCATCTGAACTGTGCACGAGATGAGCGATGAACATGCACGATTGGTAAACGATTGACTTATCCTATGCCCCAGTTGGTAACTGCGATAGTTAGTACTGAATTTGTGCCCGGTCGAAATACGGGTGCCTACCTCTCATCTCAAAAATGTGCTCCCCATCCCCGGGGAGTTCTTCGTACTGGGTCCCCTCTCCAACAAACTGGTATGTAGAATCGGCGGTAACGTTCGAAAAGAGCCAGTCGAGGGTTCCGATCCTAGTGAAACAAGGTTAATCGAGCGAGACAACCAGGCGGGCGCGGGCAGGTACCGATAAGCGATCATGGTGCCCTCGTTTGTGTTTTCGCCGAAGCTGATAGCAAGCTAAACCGTTATTATCGTCGTTCCCAATATTTAGATCTGGCCAAAATACCTTGGGGCCTGAAAACCGTAGCTTTATCCCGGGCGCTCTGAAAGAAGTCAGCGGAGACGGTGAGGACTGAACGATGCGGAGACGTACGACCACCCTGCAAAAAGAAACGAACATCAGTCAGCCAGTTGAAACCACAATTGCAGGTCATAAAACGTACATGAGATGTGTTTACTGTCCCAGCGGCCCTTGTAGGCAATCTCGGGCGCATCAGCATCGTAGGTTCTCCAGGAGCTGTCGAGGCTGATGGCGTTGACCTGGCCGGGGTATGGATCGGCTCGGGGCTGCCCATTCTCCAGGATCGTGGCCGAGACGCTCAGCGACCAGGCGAGAAGGGTCGAGAGCAAGAGGCGGGCAAACCACATGGTGCAGCGGGCGACAGGCCAGGCGTCATGAAGCTGGCAGCAGCGAAGAGAACAGAATAACAAAAATCAGATCTGGGCGCGGTTCCTGGAGAGGCCGTCAGTGTCAGGGTCTTGGCCGGCGGGCGGGCAGATGGGCGCAATCCATTCTGGTGCGAGCGACGGCCAGTCGATGATGAGGAAACTGCACTAGCGATGACGCGATCCTTGGATAGGCTGGCCCTATGGGGCCCGCCCAACGAACACCATTCAGAGGCGGGTTTTCTGAGGAAAAGGGGCAGCGGTGGTGCTGCGGCCAATTTCTTTCAATGGCAGGTTTCATTCCCCAGGCCAACACGGTCACCTGATTGGCCTGCTGCTGCTCCGCTTTTAGTGCCACGTCGCTTCAGCCTTGAGTGCCATCGCCAGGCAGAAACGGTCTCATCTGACTTATCTCCTTATCTTGCTTATCTTGAGTACATTGAGCTCATAACTCTTGGCTTAACTACACCGTAACCACGATCAGATCTTCGAAAACATCTGCTCCTGCTGGCTCCGCACATCCAGCTCCTGCGTCCACGTACTGCGCGGCTGCGTGTACAAATACCAGTACACCCCCGCCAGATCCCGCGGCTGCATCAGATACAAGTCCTTGTCCTTGACCTTGTCGCTCTCGCCCGCCTTCTCCCACCGCCGCTTGACCACACTGCCCACAATATCGCTCTCGACCGGCCCATCAACCAGAACATGCGCCGCATGGATCCCTTTACCCTGAAACTCGCGCGTGATAATCTGCGATAGCGACCGCAGCCCAAATTTGCCCGGCGAGAACGAGCTCACACCCGCATTCCCACGGATCGACCCCGTCGCACCGGTAAACAGGATCGTCCCACGCCCCTTGGCCAGCATATCAGGGAGAACACATTTCGCCGCAAAGAACGCGCCGAAGAGGTTAATCCGGGTGAAGTTCTCGAATTCCTCGCTGGAGGTCTCGAGGATGGTGCGCGGGGTGAACCGGCGCGATCCGGCGTTGTAGATGAGCACGTCGACCGCGCCGAGCTCCGCTTTTATCGCGGCGAATGTAGACTGCAGAGATGACTCGGAGCGCGCGTCTGCGACGTAGTATTTTGACACGGGACGGCCGATGTCGTCGTTGATTGTCTTTTGGATCTTGGCTAGCTTTTCTTCTGTGCGTGCGATGAGCGCGACGGCGAAGCCTTTTGTGGCGAAGTGGTGAGAAACAGCTTCGCCGATGCCTGGGCCGACGCCGATGACGGCGAGGACGGGCTTAGATTCGCGATTTAAGGACATTGTTGTAGTGTAGAGTGGTCTGATGTAGTTGACACCGATAGTGTCGGGGGTGGAGTTGATATACCTGGTGGAACAGCCGAGGTTGACTGATTAGTATGGAAGTGATTACTGAGCAGTGGACAGTGAGCACCGAGGCCACCATCATAGTTCATGTACCTTTATAATCTATCGATTTGTCTGAACTCGATCCTCGGACGAAATAAATATTATCGTCGTTGGCTTGTTGGTTTCGACTTGTTTGGTTTTGCCGAAATATATATTTCACCGGAAGAGTATACACTACAAACAGGGTTAGCATCCCACACATTGTTAGTATTCGAATATGGAAGTGTCGAGTTCTTCCTGTCGAATGAGATTAAATCATAGTATATTCTGATTTAAATGATAGAATCCTCTTTGGTACCTGGCTTGCTACTCGTAGCTCATGAATTATTAAGTACTGCAGCCGTCCATTGCTATTAAACACCCAATGCAAGTCATACAGTCATAGAGCTACAGATTCGCCCGGCCATCCTTCTTCAACGCCCTCGCAACCTCTGCAGCCCCAATCTCGCCCGAACACAACGCACCCTCCATATACCCCCTCCACTCATTACTATACTCCGTGCCGACAAAATGCAGATTGCCCACGGGCTTGCCATACACATACGCAAACTTGGTCATATGGCCCAACGCCGTAATCGGCGCCAACGCCCCCCGACTAAACGTTTCATGCTGCCAGACCTGATCGAACACTTCAATAGGTTTGTAGGCTTCACCGTCAAGTCCCTGCTTAAAGATCTTGGCAATCTGCTTCAGAACCACAGCCCTGCGCTCATGAGGCCGCAGCTTCCCCCATTCCCGACCGGGCTTGCCATTGACAAAGCACGTAAGCGAGTAGTGTCTGCTCTCTTCAACGCTCGTGTCCCGGGCAAGGATAACAGGGCCCTCGTAGCTGGCGAAGTACCCGTTGAACCCGTCCTCGCGCCACCACGGCCGGTCGTAGCACACGATGGCCTTGTTGTAGTCGCCCAGCACGGTGGCGTTTGTGACTTCCTGTACGGGCTGTGGGAGTGAGGGCTGGATGTTGAGTTCCTTGTACATGCTGCTTGGGATGGAGAGGATGCACTTGCGCCCGGCGAAGACCTTGCCGGTTGTTGTGGTGACTGCGATGTGGTCGCCGTGGTCGACGATAGAGGCGACGGGGGAGGAGAGGTGGATGTTGCTTGCGCCGACGAGGCTGGCGATGTTGGTAGGGAGGGATTGGGCGCCTGTTTTCGTTAATCTTCATAACCCCTATCAATGGGGGAGTAAAGGAAGCCATACCATTCGCAAACCGCAAATGCTGGCCACCGCTGGCGTCGTCAGCGCGAATAGCCAGCAGTCCCTTGTTGCGTCTGCAGTAATCGATGAACCAAGCAGCAGAGTATTCTGTTGCTTCGAGACCGTGCATGACTTCGGCCCAGAGATTGACCATCTTCACGACGTTGGGCAGCGCACCCAGATTCCGCACATACTGGTCCAGCGTGATATTGTCGTCGGCGACCGTGGGAGAAGACCCAGGCTTCAGTGATTCAGCCTGGATGTGATCTCGGACAGCTTCTAAGCTCTTCTTCTCTTCTTCTGTGAACTGCGAGAGTCAGCATGATCATGCACCGGTTTAACAAGTCCAACTAGTTGAACCGGATATAGCTAGATAGCTGGTAGACTAACATCAGGCGTAACCCCAAACGGAAACTCGAATCTCTTGCCAGGCCCCTCCTGCATAACAGCTCGTCCCTCGAGTCTCTGCTGCACCGTCTTCAACCCGAATCGCTTGACGTACGCTCCCACGCGCGGCTGCAGAGTGGTATTGATCCAGGCACCACCCAGGTCAGCGAAGCCACGGCCAGACGCAAGAGGAACACTCCAGATCTTGCCGCCGGTGCGCTCGCGAGCTTCAATAACAGCGACCGAGAGACCGGCCTGCTGGGCGGATTGAGCAGCCTGCAGACCGCTGAGGCCTGCGCCGACCACGAGGACGTCGAACATGATGAAGAACGCTTTATTGGGGAGAAAGATATAAGAGATCGAAACGAGACAGAAGCAATAGCTTGCACTTGATTTACTGCAGCTCATTTATACGATAGTTGGAGCTCCCTCGGTTACAGCAGTATATCTCGGGTTCCCCACCATCTCGGGTTCAGAACCCGAGCAGCCAACCACCAGCTTGACGGCGTGGAAATCGAGTCCTAACTGGGGAACCTGGTCTGTGCGGAGACAGCTGGCCAGACTGCTGCTTCACGGGGCAGAGGAAGAGCAGCGTGCAGGTTGCAGGTTGCAGGATTAAGAGCCGTGAAGGAGATAGTAGTCCATTCACCCGTTTAAGCGTTATCTCGTCACCAGACAGTCACTGTCCAGTCACTGTCCAGCCAGTAACTGACTCTCAGTAACTGGACTTTATTGACTAAGGCCGGGCTTGTTGGACGAAACGGGGAACCAGATCCCCAACTGTCACACGGCGGGGTCGGACTCTCTCCGCGGATTCTCCTGGCATTCTCTTCCTTTTGAACAGCCTGTCAGTTCTTATATTCTTATTATTCTGCAACTGCCGCGATGACGACCGTCGCTCCCAAGCAGCGCAAGCTGAAGCGCACCTCCAACGCGTAAGTGCCTTGTCCACTGCTGCCTTCTGTTAGGTGGCGTACCCCGCATATAAACTCTGTAATCTGACCGAATTGCAGGTGCGTCGCCTGCCGCCAGAGCAAGATCAAATGCACCGGCGAGGAGCCCTGTGCGAACTGCCAGCGCCGTCGCGTTGAGTGCCGCTTCCTCGAAAGCGTCAGCAAAGTCATGGTCCCCGAGAGGTTTGTAGCATGCACCCGCGCTCGTACGCTTGCTGAATCGCGAAATTGAGGCATGTCTCTCCTAGGTATCTCCGGGAACTGCAGGGAAAGGCCAGCGACCGGCCGCGACAGCAAGGCCAGCAAGGCCAGCATCAACAGGTACAGCAGCAGCCAACGCCGCCGACGGTCAAGCGCACGTCGGCGTCGGCGTTCGGGTCAGAGGTGGACGTCGAGGGTACTCATTCCTCTGGGGGTGAGAATAGTCGTCTGGGGCTAATGGCAGATGTAGATTCTCTAGGGTCCCAGCCAGAGGAGATTCCCTTCCTGGTGGACTCGGCGAGGACGATCTGGACGAGTCCGTTTACTCTCCCGTCTCGCATTATCAAGAAGAACCACAAGTCGAAAAGGAACTGGAGTATGTATTATCCCCTGTACTGTGTTCTGGCGACATTCTAAGTTTCTGTAGCGTGGCTGGCTCCCACTTCGACCTGGTCGTTCACGGCCCGGCTGAAGCTCATGATCGCAGAAAAGCTGCACGTTCAGCCTCAGCATAGCGAGCCTGAGCTGTTCGACGGCGACCTCTATCCCATTCAATGGAGCCCTGTTCCAGCCGGCGAGCATCCTGATATCAGCAACCTCCCTTCCCTCGACCACGCCTTGTACCTCTTCAACACCGTCAAGTTCCACCTGGGCCACAACTTCCGTATAATCCACGAGGAGGAGTTCCTCCGTAACCTGGATAAGTTCTACTACGGCGATGCCGTGCAACAGGCCAGCCGGTGCCGCATCTGGTTCGTCCAGTTCCTCCTGGTGCTGGCGTTTGGGAATGCGTTCCTTATGCGGACACGGAACTCGGCAGACCCTCCTGGATGCAAGTTCTTTTTGCGTGCGATGGCGCTCATGCCTGACCATACGGCCCTCTCTCGTGGGGGGTTTGTTGCTATTGAAGTGCTTGCTCTGACGGGGCTGTATCTATACTCTATTGACCACCGCTCATCAGCGCACGTTTATGTCCGTTTCCTCCTTTTTTACTATGTACTCTGCTGATTATGATAGATCGGACACGCAATCCGCATCGCCCAGATGGACGGAATGCACACCCAGTTACCGGAAGATGAACTTGGCCCTGAGACTGTCGCCCGCAGCCGGAACCTGTGGTGGACTCTGTATGTCCTCGACCGGCAGATCTCGTCGTCTGTCGGAGCGTCTATGACGCCTCAGGATAGTGATATCACGACGCTACTGGATCCCCCGAATGCCGGCTCGCAGAGCGATGCGACACTGAGTCTGTCTGTTAGATTATCGCATCTACTATCGTACATTCTTTCTTGTAAGCCTACCAAGCCTACCAAATAACAATATGAGAAGAGTACTGACATAAGAAAGCCATTTACAAAGGAGACGAGACGCAACTAGGGACATTCCTAGAAACAACGCGGTCTATCCTGCATGTACTGGCCGGACACGCCCGCGAGATCGAGAGGATAATTCATCTGAAATTCCAGAACTCCGTGGATACAATGCCCAAGGGGACGCGGTATATCACGCTTTTATACCACCAGGTTCGTCCACGTCAACCTCCATTCCGTCTTCTCTAACCGTATCAGTGCGTGATCGTAGCAACAAGACCCCTCCTCCTATCGGTCCTCAAAGAACGACTCCAAAAGCTGGGCCACGGGGCCGAGGACTGGCATAGCATCGTAGCGCCCACAAACGCCCTCATATCAGCCGGGATCAAGTCCGCCGCAAAGACGCTGCAGATCCTTACGGACGAAGATAGCCTTCTCGGTACGTATACCCCATACCCAGGAGGAACTCCTTGCAAGACTAACTAAATGGGGATAGAGGTATTCCTCCCGTTCGACATGGAATTCACATACGGGGCCTCCATGCACGTCATCATGGCCGGGGCACTGTTCCCCAACGTCACCGAGGGCCAGGACTACATCAAAGACGCCTACGCGATCCTCGACCAGATGATCCAGCGCGGGAACAGGCTCGCCGCGGCTCGCAAATCCGAGCTCGTCCAGCTAGAGAAGCTGTTCCAGGAGCTGGCGCTGCGGATTGAGCGGCGCGGCCTGGAGACCCTAATTCTCCCGGGCCCTTCACACTCGGACCCCGGCGCTGACCATCTACTACGGTTTGACGGGAATGACGATGCTACGCTACCTGGTACAGACCCCATCCCCTTGTCGGTGGCGGGTGACCCGGCGTCGCCGTCTGTGCTTGCCCAAGCCCCGAACTTGGATTTCCTAGACAGCATCGGGATTTCGTCGTACGATTTCTTTACACTGGTGGATCAGATCGGGCATCCGGAGAGTATGAGCATGAACGTGCTGGATTCGGCGCATAATGATTGGGAGGGGTCGATATAGTGAGTGCGGTGGCTAAGGTATAGACTAGGTAGGGCGTTATGGTAGAGTGGCTACTTGGCTAGCACGTTGGGTATTAATTCTGTTCAGATTTGCCTCCAGCTTAGGTTAGTATAGATGATGCAAGATGTTCTGAAGGAGAACTCAGAACTGCTTATCGACTGGGATCCACGAGTCAACAAGGGTAGATATCTCGATGCCCACGACCATGCCCACGACCATGCCCGATGCCCACCGCAACCTAATGAAACGACCAATCCTGCCGATCGCATTTGTTGTCGACTCTGATATCCACAGCGCCTCGGGTTCCTAAACCGATGTTTTCCCCGGCCCACTGCGACTGCGACTGCGCTTCTCCGCGGCCTTGACCCACTGGGTCTCGGGCTATCCATGTCCCAAAGAAGGTAATCCAATCCGAATGCGCTTGCTCTGGAAACGCTGCGTTTGATGCACGGAGACTGTTGTCCTAGCCTGGCAGTCTTCCCGCGACATAAAAGCCCATTGCAGTCGTACCTGGATGTCGCTTGTGCTGTTTTACTTTATTAACTGACTTGCCTACCAGCAACAATGCTATATCAACACATTTGAGACCCAGATCGCAACGAAAGAAGAAACAGCTCCAGCGCGCCTAAGCTACTGCCATATATAGATCATGGCCATGGGGTTCGATCGGTACTGCCCGTTCATCAACGGCCCATTGGCACCTCCTCGCTTTCTTCTATCCTGTATCCTATCCTGCGTAAACTGCGCCGCCGAGATGACGGTCCACACCCAGCACGTGGAGACTCTATCTGTATGGCTGGTCAATACATTGATGACGCCTTTAGGCTCATGGCCAGGTGGAAATTTTCTATGAAACCCTGAGTGTCCCGCCCCGTCGTGAAGGTCCAGACTAAGTACTCGTCTCTAGTTGCTTGAGCACCTCGCTGTGAAGGTCTACGAAGCACCACAAAGTGCTTTCGATTATTATCTTATTCTTATTTACCTTTGTAGAGTATGCTACTCTGATTGTGTCGGAGTTGAGGCGTCCCGGTACGTATGTGAAGAAGGCTCTCCATACCATTTACTTCCGGTTCGGCCTTTTCTATTCTGGGTTCGATTGCTGTTGGTGTCATGGTGCCGTCAGGCCTTTTATGTCGTGGGAACTGCTCCACCGAACGGACTGGTCAAGCTGACAGAGGCGTTGGCGTGGAGCGCCCGATCGTAGATAGATATGGGCACTCGACGCTTCGTAGACGTAGGATTCTGGGAGATGTTTGACTGGATTGACTTGAAGAACCAAGAGGTTGAGGGGGCCTTTGGACTGAAAGGTGGGATATAGAATAGAATGGGAGCACGGGACGACATGGGATGGCATACTGGTAAGGGAAAGGGTGGCAGTTCAGGGAATAGATTAATACTGATTGTACAAAAGAAATTTAGAATATGTAATGCACGAGGAAGCACCTGAAGCAGCTTCCATTAACCAACATGTGTCGACAGATTAACCACCATCCGATCTATATCCAATTTTAACCGCCGCCAATCTACCAACTCACAACGGCTAAAACAGCCAAAACTTGGCAGGGCCGAGTCCGGAGATCCTCCTCGGAAGGTTAATTGTCATATTCGACATATCTCGGCTTCATGACGGATTATTTGGTTCAAAGGCTAAAAGTAAAAGGCACATAGGATACCTTCCCAATGCGGATATCTCTTCCACAACAGCAGTGGACATCAAGAAAGGACCACGATTCTTTAAGGACTATGTGGATTCCATTACATCCGGACTGCTGTGCATCAACAGTCTCATCAGCTTCCACTTCAATGACGCCCTCGGCTTCGATTCCCGACGATCGACACGGTGAATCTCCGACTTTGGCCCGTTCATGCATTCATTCGGATACTGAGACCCCCACGCTAGACTAAGGACACCCCGCGAGAATGGTGGGCCGGTTCGGACCAGTTTTGCGTCTTGCCTGTTCTCTTCGGGACCCGTGAGGCACTGCGGAGATACTCCGCATACTAAGGCTGGGGTTTCGCGGGGAGAATGTATGCGTATTCTAGAGAATTGCCATATCACGGCCATACGCCCGGAGGCGTAATACAGAAATTCTGGGGTGGCCTTTCAGTCAGGGGTTAAACTTACATAGTAAAGTCCTAGGCATCCCGTTCTATACTATACCTGGGCCACTGGTACTAGCCCATTAACTGCTAGCTGCTCCTGGACATTCTGCACTCCAGCCATGAGTTTCACACCTAGTAAATATTAGGACGTGGGTACGGTATCTATCCAGATTTTTGGCACTCCAGGGAATAATGAAATTCACAGCCGCTTGTTCCGGAGCTCGATGTTGTTAGCTCGCCCTTGTCAGAAGCCACTGCATTCTCTATTTGGGATGGAATTGTCTTAGCAGAGGGCGACAACATGGCGTAGTATGGATTCAGGTCAGCCCCGACACCTTTATACCCATACTAGAGCCATCTTCGTGAGGAAGGGTATTATACTTGGATAATTGCAGGCTTAGATCTAAAACTATCACTGGAGACTATATATCCAGATCTAGCAGTTCAGGAGCAAGGTAAAACGTACTTCTGAATACACCTTGATAGAGTCGTATGACAGCAGCATTCTATCCCTTCATTCTATATCTTCGCTCGACTGTCGGCTCGTGACAGTTCTTTCAAGCTGTTTATTGGCCGGCCTTAGTCGTCGTATTTTCGTTGAGCGTGTACCTATTGATTTACTTTTGACTCATTCTCTATAATGGTTAGTATTTTCCCTGGGGAAGCAAAACCAACAACACATTCACATCTCTCTGTGCTTCAGAGCCATTGTCAAGACAAGTAGCTATCAGACTGCCCTATCCAACTGTATAGCGGAACGCCAGTATGAGGTTCATACAAGAACACTCTCTTCAACCCCTGTTCCTTACCACATTCCTCCTACATCTTCTCATCAAAGACTCCACCGCAGTCCAATGCACATCAAACCAAATCTCCTCCCTAAACGTCGCAGGCTGTGACTGCCAGCAACACGGCGTCCCCCTAAAATGCCCCCTCTACGCACCACAATGCGATTCCCTCGTGGCCCCATCCACCGTCGTCCGCATAAACCCCAACAACGGCGGCCTAAACCTCTGGGGCGACGGCTGTATCGACAGCAATTTCGCCTGCAACGGCTGCTATCTCTGGTTCGGCAGTCTCTGTCGCTGCCTCAAACCAGCGGGGACATGCACCCTCACCACGCCAGCAGTCGCGGGCAACCCAATCTGGGCACTCCTTGAAGACCACAAGCTGATCACAACAACCCAGAAGCTACCGGGGATACTGGAGCTGCATCTAGCGCCTGAACCGAACAGAGGCTGGCAGCTGGGACAGGATACGCTGAGAAATCCCCCGCAGGGGGCTACATATAACAGAGCCACAGGGGCACTGGCTATGAACTCCGTGGCTACAAGGACGGAAGAGCAGATCCACATCCACGTGTGCGAGAACCAGAGTAGTTTTGTGAGGAGGGAACTGTCTATGCTGACGCGCTCGTCGTATACGACGTTGACGAACGTCCCTATTGCTGGGATCCCGGCGAATTCGCTCAAGTGCCAGGTGGCGCCGTTCTCGGGGATGAATGTGAATGTGGCGACGGCGATATTTGACGAGTTGAATGGTATCCCTAATTATGCGGCGAGTTGTGATAAGTTTCTTGTGGGGGCTGGGGTTATAACTGATATACGTGATTATACTTGGGTTTGTGTCACTACGAGTACGAGAGCTGCAGAGGAGCTTTTTTGTCATTTTCCTTGATAACATGGGAGGCTTAAAGAGAGAGACTAGAATGAATATATGGATAGTAAATAAAACGATGAGTTAACAAAGGAACAAGGAAATAGGCTAATAGATAACTACTTCCTCTCCTCATCTTCTAGCAAGCTATACAACAACCCCCGAAACCTCACCGGAATATCGCAATTCAGCAACTTCTTACACAGATCCCTCGACACATACTTATACTCCGCCGGAGACAAGAGATAAAGAAACCCAGACTGCTGCATCATCTCACACCCCGGATGGCCCGCGACACACTCCAGATAATGCGGCAGCAGAACGGCCACAACATCAAAAACCATCCCCCCCTGTGCAATCTTCAAACAATCAACGATATGCCTGGCCCGCTCAATTCTTAGCTCCAGCTCAACACGCTCATCAACGACCTCGAACCCGCACCGCTGCATGATGTACCGCGTCACCTGCGCCTTGTCACGCATGAGCTCTTGAACAAGCACCCCCGCCATATCAGCATCGTGCAGTCTCGTCGCAGCCTCAAGCGCCGTCCCAACCATATAGACAGGCAGCTCATCTATACCCAGAACCTTGCGAAGAGCAGGGATACTCCCGTACTCAACGGCAGCACAAAGCGCTAGACCGATAATATCGCACCGCCGGACTTCCTTCTCCGCAATCAACCCATCATCATCAACAGTATACAGCCAATCCTCATAATGCCCGGGATTGGGGAGGGCAGAGATGCGCGAGAAGAGGTCGTCGATGATATCGTCGCGGTTCTTGATTATGGCCTCCGCTGCGGCGTGGCGGATGGGGTCGTAGAATTTCTCGGAGCGGCTGAAGACTTCTGGTGCGAGCAGGTGGTATGTTTCTGTGTGTCCGTGGAGGACGCTTTCTTCGAGCATCCAGCCGATGTTTGACACGGTTTCTGGGGTGAGGATGTTGGGGAGGAGGCGTTTGATTTCTTCGGGTTTGGACAGGGCTTGTTCGAGTTGGGATTCGGTGAGGGAGGTGGATGATGCCATGTTGGATTTGTATGTATGTCATCGAATGGAAAGTAGTTTGCTAGATGCAGGTGTTGAGTTGTTGGTATTTATCTTGTGATATTCGATAAAGAGCATTGTTTGTGGATGCTATTGTTAACAGTACAAGAGGAAGGGACTGCATAATGCTTAATACCATGGAACATGGATAAAAAGAAAGCATCGTGCATCTACATTGGCCTTGTTAGAACAGCCGCTCAAATCCACAGGTGAATGGGGCAGTGATAAAGAACCGTTCACTAGCAATATTGAACCGATACTATAAATCAATCCACGGAGCATATCTGCTACACAAACACCCATATCCGTTTCCTTTGGAGACCATCTAGCAAAATGGCAAGCAGAGCCGCATTCGAGGTAAATATGCTCGCGCAAGGCCTACAGAAGGTGCACATCTCCAACATCCAAGCCAGATACCACGAGGAAGAGACAAGACGACACCAGATCCAATCCAGGAAGGAAGACGTAGAATCCGAAGTCCCACTCCCCCGAGGTGTGCTGCACGATTTCAAGCTCGAAGCGCCCAATGGATTCGACCGGTCCGAGGAAGTGCGGATGGTTCTCACCTTCTGCGAGAATCTGTGCATTGCTATAAAAGAAAGACAGCGGACTGTGGAGTGGGGTATTATGGAGAAAGTAGTCGAGCTCCGGTCTGCGGTGCATCGGCGGATTATCCTGAATGTGGCACTGGAAGCTGCGGCCGAGGACGATGATCTGGTGCTTGCGGCATGGATTCTGCAGAATGAGTGGAATACGATATTGGATTTCCTGGAGAAGCCGTTCTATGCTGCTGCGGTGGCGGGGAATGTTGAGGTTGTGCGTTGTCTGATGGATAGGCTAATGCGGGATGATGAGATGGATAGGAAGATCAATGCTGCGGTGCTGGGGATCAGAGACACGCACCCGGACGCTGAGGATCACCTCTGGATGTATCGGGTGAGTGTGATTGTTAGGGCACTTGATGTTGCCATTGATAAAGGGTTCGACGAGGTTGTCAACCTGCTGATGCCGCTATTCCAGCACGTTATCCGAGATGAGACCGGCTGGCCTGTGTTGCAGTCCTTCAGAGAGGTGACAATTGGCCGGTATATCGAGTTCAGTCGAAATCAGTGTATGCACTTGATCTCTGAACAACGTATGCCTCGGATTCTGAGAGACAGTATTCGGTGCCGTCTTGAGCATAGCGAGCCGTTTGATATTGTCGTTGAAGCCAGCGGTAAAGAATTCCCGGTGCACCGCGACATTCTGGTCTTCTGGTCTGGGCTGTTTGCTGCATGCTATCTGAATGGGTTCGCTCGAGCTCCGCTTGGAGAATATGTTGCTGCCGATACGATGCAGAGGGTGTATAACTTCATGTATTCCGGGATATACGACGATTGCGAGTCAGCAGACAGGGAGAAGGTGTTGAACGACCTTCTACAGGTAGCCACCTATATGATGATTCCCAAGTTGGCGGACAAAGTTAAAGACCTCCTGAATATTGGGCTTGACCTGAGGGATGAAGAGGACGATATCGAGGGGCTTTGTCGTGGTTTGGCCTTTTCGGTTATGAACGACGAAGACGAGGTTGATGGACTCTGTCGGGGGTTATCTTATTCGCGTATGTGAGATAATAGAACAACCTACACTTAATATTCCATTCTGTTACAAGGAACCATTACTCTTGCAGTTCGTGGCACTGATTGGTATCTCTGCCATTCGTCTCCATAGCAAGGTTAGGGGGTCTTTCACAAGCAATACATAGATATGTTGCAATGTAAACGTATTGAAGTGTTCCACCTGAATGAAACTTATTTCACTGTTTGAATTAGACAGTGGTATTAGTAGGCATTTGTGAATACCATGTTTTATTCACTGCTTTGTTAGACCTGAAAACTCTTTGTGCCGGGAAGAATAATGAATGTGCGTTAATAAATATCAGTCACTTCTGTACAGAACACAGTCCGGACACATAGACTGCACCTTAATACTACACCTCATCACACCAGATACTACAGTGTATCACAACCCAACAATGGAAGCCACAAACACCATCTGGGAAGGTCTCCCCCGCTACCCAGTCCCCGACGAGCTCGAGAAAGCCCTTGCATCAGAAAACACACACATTGAAGCCAACACTGCCCTTCTCAACGCCGCTCTGGCAGCCGATCGAGAGGCCTTCACCAACGCAGCAGACGAACTCAGCGAACCGAAAATCCACACCCTCGTGCCCGTAATGAAAACAATGACAATACTCCTCAGCGGCGTACGCAAAGAGGTCAACCACGACACCCGAGTGGACTGCCACATCCTAGGAAAAGACCTGCTGAGGCGAGTCATGGGTTGGCAACCCAGCAAGGAACGCGAGGTGGTGCTGCACTATGCCCTCACCGTTGCCGCACTCACAGGAAACGTGGACATTGCGCTGCCTATACTGGCGGAAGACCACGTTGTTGCATTCCACGAGTTCCCGATATACGCTGCCGTGAAAGCTGCCGCTGCCGCGGTTCCCGAGAGGAAGGACAATGCAGAGGTTGTTCTGGCTAGACTCGTTTCCAGTCTCTGCGAGAGGGAGCATAATGAGGACGTGGCATATGTAGCCTCCCTGCTTTTGCTGGACATTGTGGCGGCCAGTGGCCTCGGCGCTGCTCATGTCGAGGCGCATAAAGCGAGCATTATTACAGAGGCATTGGAGATTAATCGCCAGCTGGGAGGGAATGCAGAGGTTGCAGCGATTCTCATGCCGGCGTATCGACGGTTCGTTGGTGAGAGGGTCGAGGTCGATTCGGTCAGCCTGAGTGATGTGTTTGTGGAAAAGGCCGTCCAGGTGTACTCGCGGTGGTCGATTACGCAGTGCCGGATACTCCTTGACCACTGGATCTTTGCGATTGGCAATGGTGTGCCGAGTATTCTCAGATCAAGCGTCAAGAGGCGCATTAGGGCTGGCGTTGGCTTGCCTACTGAAGACGATGCTGACAGTGAGGTGGCATTGGGCGAGTATGAGACGGACAAATAGATAGACATGACTCAATGTACAGTTTTATATTGTTTAGTAGAATATCATCCAATTGCAGTCCCTTGCCAGTTGTAGACTACACCGTAACTTGATTCCAGCCTCCGATGGCGTAAGCATGCAACCAGCGACAGGTCAGTGCGTCTCGGGCAACAGAGTTTGGGAAAACAGGATAGTATTAATACAGGAAACCAGGAATACCAAAATACCGCTAGACAAGAAACAGAAACCAATCGGCCTGAAGCCGTGTGGCGACTGGCAACGCCACCGTGTCGGTTCCTGGCCGAAGTCTCGGCATGCGATCAAACATGTTTTCATCCATGATGTCTGCGATGGTGATACCGGTGTAGCAAAACGTGTAACTGTGAACCGCCAGGTGATTCCCGTGGAGACGATAAATGTCCGAGGAAATGCCGGTCGCAGCCTGCCGTCACAGTGCAGCGCCGCTGCCGGGAAGAGTAAGGGCCAGGCTATCATTACGTCGCCTCGCAGCGTGGGCCGTGGCCTCGTGCTCAATTGCGCCCGTGTAATCCGAAATCAGACAAGGCCGATAGGACACAGCCGGGTCTCGTCGGGTGGTAATTGTGCTGCAGTGTTGCAGTGGTGCAGTGCAGTCTCGTGGACCCGAGGGCTTGACCCACAGGTGGACCATCCCCAGACACGCAGTCCAGTCTCAATCTCCAGCCAGTCTGTTGAGAATGAAAGACTGTGGGGGACCCCAGATCCGAGTGGCTTTGACAGGACGGTCCCTTCATTGGCCTGGCATGCCCTGTCCCTAATATAAAAGGGGCCCCCTCCCCCCCCAGCCAGCTGCGGTCCGTCCAAGTTGTACAAATATTTACGCCAAAATGGAATCCCCTAAGCTCTCGCCCAAGGAGGCACCCAAAGAGGTGGAAGAGGCTTTCCACGCCGAGTACACGCACGACGACGTCTTTGGCGACATCACCGAAGAGGGTCCCAACTACCGCAATGTGCATTCATCTCTGCATTGAACGTTTCAGCATGGCTAAGATTACAGAACGCTAATACTGTGTCCCCAGGTCGGGTTCGTAGGAACTGTCATTTTAATGATGAAGACGCAGATCGGCATGGGCGTGCTCGCTATTCCGTCTGCCCTTAATGTACTGGGCATGGTTCCGGGCATCATCTGCTTGATTACCATGGCCTGCATCACCACCTGGTCTGCCTATATCATTGGCACTTTCAAGCTGAATCATCGTGAGGTGTACAGTATTGATGACGCGGGGGCTATCATGTTTGGTCTGCCAGGTCGGATTGTTCTGTCTACTGGGTTCTGTCTCTGTAAGTAATCAATAACCAAATGCATATGCATACGCTAATTTTGTAGACTTTATATTCAACAGTGGCTCCGCGATTCTCAGTCTGTCTATTGGTTTGAACGCGGTTTCTACACACGCCACATGCACTGCTGTGTATGTCGCTATTGCGGCGATAGTGGGCTTTGCCTTTTCCAGTGTGCGAACACTTGGGAAGATTACCTGGCTTGCCTGGGTCGGTCTGCCATGCATTCTCGTTGCAATCATAATGGTCACGATTGCAGTCGGCGTACAGGACCGTCCTGACGCTGCCCCCAAGACCGACGAGCCCTGGGTCTCTGACTGGAAGGTTGCTGGCAATCCTTCTTTTGCAGAGGCCATTGCGGCAGTCTCGAACCTGCTATACGCGTTCTCTGGAACACCTGGTAAGTCCTTACCAAATTGGAAATTAAGTGATGGCCCTATACTAACTGACTAGGCTTCTTCTCCATTGTGTCCGAGATGCGCGACCCGAACCAGTACCCAGGAGCTATGGCCATCTGTCAAGCCGGCGTCACCGTCGTCTACAGCGTCATCGGGTGTGTGGTGTACTACTACTGCGGTTCCTATGTCTCGTCTCCAGCCCTCAGCTCCGCCGGTCCTCTCATCAAAATCATCAGTTATGCATTCGCACTGCCAGGGCTTCTTGTTACAATGACCATTGTCTCCCATGTACGGCCAACCTTAAAACATACTTGTGGAAGTAAGCTAATAAACTGTTAAAACTCTAGATCCCAGCCAAATTCATCTTCGTGCACATCCTCCGCGGCTCTCGCCATCTAAACTCCAACTCCCTCGTACACTGGGGCACCTGGCTCGGGTGTACATTTGGCATCATCATCATCGCCTGGATCATCGCCAGTACAATCCCCGTCTTCGACTCGCTGGTCTCGCTGATCGGTGCACTTCTCGGACCCGTTATGTGTCTGCAGCCCTTCGGATGCATGTGGCTCTACGATAACTGGAGCAAAGGAAAGGAGAAGAAGACGGCGCGCTGGGGGTTTATGGTGTTCTGGAGTGTGATGATTGTGGTTGTAGGGAGTTTCCTCATGGTTGCGGGCACGTATGGCTCAGTCAAGGGGATTATTGACGTGTATAACGAGAGTGGAGGGTCGGCTGCTTTCTCGTGTGCGGATAACTCTGGGTCTGTTTAGATATGTGTGTGGTATGTCAAGTACGATTACGAGCATCGATACGGCTATTTAGAGCGAGTTATATACCATTGTGCAATAGATAACTTATATTATTAATTGGTTCAAGGTGAATACTCGACGTGCAGCTCAGGATGTGAAGGAAGAGGTCGTTGAAACAACCGGAACTGGAAGGATTCATTCCCTGTCAGCACTAGACACGCTAACCAACGAACCAACTAACTGTCCTCTCGGCTTGTTAATGATCTCGGCTGGGCCGAGCCGCACGAAGCCGTGGGATTTATTTTCCTCTTTGGTCATAGCTGGATAGCCAGCCATATGCTTATTCTGCCAGAGATGAGGCATTTTCCATAGTGCGGCCACTTAGTTGGACGGGACAAGAATGCTGCGGTATTTTTATGAAGTCGGGTTGTGATAATCCGGTTCGCAGTAGCATGGCTCAATGCAGAGATCTTGTACATGCCTGTGCATATCCTGTGCCTAATGCGATCCTCCAGTTGCAGTGCTTACAGGCGCTACCTTAATATTGCTGGCCATAGCACAACTACCTGCTATGTACGCTGTATAACTGTGGCTGGCAGTGGCCAAGTCGGATAACCTGCCCAATCCGCCATGACACGATAACCTGTTGATGCCCACCATATACCATATACGGTATACATTCTTCGCTCCAATGATATAATCGCCAATCCAGAGTAATCCCCAACTCCTATCCTCTGAGTGATATAATGACAGTAGAAGTGGGACGAGTTCGCAAGCAAGGAGGAACGTCACTGGCAACTTAACGCGCGATTCTCCACAGCACAGCAACTTCCCCGGATTTCTTTCCCCAGGAGGGAAAAGTCCACGTTTCCATCGTGCACCCCTGCATGCCACGGCTGAGATCCCGATCCCGAGCCGATCACGGGCCATGAGATCATTTAATGAATGAGTTCCCCTGGATTTAATACAATACGTTTCGTTCTCTGTTATGCCAAGGTTTGGTCTAGTCTGGGCGTAATCCGGAAAGAGAGGCCAGGTACCGAACCAAGACTGAGCATCTTGAATCACTGAGGTGAGTATTATATACGATGGTGATATCTAGTCTAACATATTTACAACCATCAACCCTCGGAATCACCCCCAGAATCAGCCTTCTCTTTAGGACTAGGACGATCCACTACCTGCCCACCAGCAGACTGCTGCACAGCCAACGCCTCCCTCTCCTCAATCGTCAACTCACTCTTCGCCTCCTTCACCCTGACAAACAAAACCACAATAACCAACCCCACAATCGCCAACGCCGCCTGATACCAAAACACCGCCTTATAGCTCTTCCACGTCCCCAGCCCCTCCGTCTCGGCATGCACGATATCCGCAAAGCCTAGCATCACCGCAATGCCCATGTGCAGGGTACAGTTGATCAGCGCGCCCGCGAGCCCCTGCCGCGCTTTGGGCATGTTCGTCGTGATGAAGATATTCGCTAGATTGAAGCTGATATCGATCCCGATCGTGCCGCAGACCATGGCGGGGAAAACAAAGGCCCAGTAGTTGCCGCCGAGGGGGACGACGGCGAAGAAGATCCCCGACCCGATGTAGCCCAGGCATGAGATTATGAGTAGGATTGTGCCGGAGATGCGGTGGAAGATGAGCCCGCCGACGCAGGAGAGGATGAGCCCGCCGGCGGCCATGGGGACCGTCCACGCGACCATTTGGAAGGGTGTTGCGCCCATGAATTCGGCCATACTGGGGTTGTTAGTACGCTACGCATAGGTGAGGGATGAGGTGGGGGTGCTTACTAGAGAACGGAGTAGAGGAGGTAGACGCCTAAGCTGCCGTAGAGGAAAAGAAGAGATATGGCGAGTGGTGTCATGTACTTGACGCGGAACATATCGCCTGGGAGGAGAGGGTTTTTCACAACCCAGCCTTCGACATATGTCAAGACGCCGAGGCATAGAACGCCGAGGATTAAGCAAACTGGGATATATGCGGTGCGCCATTTCTCTGGCGCGTAGGAACTGTACGCGATCGCAAAGACGAATAGAACTGATCCAGCCACGGAGAGAGCACAGCCGGGCCAATCCATCGTGGACCTATTCCCTCTCGTCTCCTTGTAGTCGCGCGGTACGTAAAATATCGAAGACAGCGTCGTGATGGCGGAAAGTATCGCGCCGATGAAGAAATACCATCTCCAAGTGAGATACTGACTGCAAAGGCCTGAGAAGAAGATCCCGACAAAGAATCCCAGCGCCGCGCATGCGCCATACAGACTAAACACAAAGTTCTTCCGCGGTCCGGGTCGATATGTCTTGCCTAAGATCATCACACCGGATGGCAGAAACGCGGCGAGGCCGAGGCCTTGCAGGGCCCGAAAGATGATCAGCATCAGCCAGGACTGCGATATGCCGCATAGAATCGATGAGATGGTCAACCACCCTGCCCCGGCAATATAAATCGCGTATCCACCGAACATATCCGTTAATCGCCCGAAGATGAGGAGGGTCGAGGTCACGGCGAGAGACAGCGACGTGGACGGCCATATCGTGGCGTCAGGAGGGAAGTCGAGTTCTTCAATCAGAGTCGGCAGGAGGACGTTCGAACCTGAAATGTAGTATTCCTGAACAAATCAGTATTATCCCGCGAAACGAGTAAACAAAGCCAACCTACCGCGAGGATTTGCGACATCACAATCGAGAAGCAGAATGCGATTTCTGACCAGGCGCCAGAGAATGTCGCGGGTCTTTCGCGTCCAAGCCGTTCGAGCGAAGCCTCGTCGAAGCCATCGTCATTTCCCCTGGATCGTGGAGCATCATGCTCTGTTACCTTCGACGTCATCGTCGGGGGATTCCAGGAATGGCGTGCAATATTCCATGCTATCACGCGCCAACCAGGTCAAACTCCCATGGGCGTCGGCCGTATAAATAGGCGACGGCGGCGAATGTGGTGGTGACAGGATTTGCATTTGTAAGAATCTCTGCAGAACTTCTCGATGGGGGAGTTGAGCGGAGAACTGGAAGCATCAGGAGTCCCAAGGCTGAGTGGGGAAGCCTGTCCGCTTTAGGAAGCTCGTTGGAGTGGAGTAAACCGACTATATGAGCAGCCAATCGTGGCTGAGGCGCCCCATGTCAAAGATCCAGTGATTGGTTGCTGCTCCGATTTTCTGGTCCGTGCTCCGCCAATAGTCTTGCAATATCTTGGCGGCGTTGGTGACATTCAAGCATTTGGTGTCTTGCCAGAACTTTTCCAGCGCCTGAGTCAGGATCTCTCGCTGTGCTGGCGCTCGGCACTCCAGGCCGGCTATGATAATTGGCCATAGCGCGCACTTGAGCAGGCTGGACCCCTGCTGCAGCGAGTCGATGACCTCAAGCAGCTCCGACGCGATGCCTTCTTGGTTTGTCTGCACCGCCTGCAGTGCGTCGAGAACACGTCGTCCATAGACCATCGCGCCGAGTTTGTAGGCCTGCGCCAGTTTGCACAAATCGTCCATGTCCCGCGTTGCAGATTCCACTGGCAGTGGCAACGCCGAGGCCCACAGGTAGCAGTCGAATCCTATGACTGCGTCGAGGACCGAGGCGATCTCGTCCAGTCCAGCCTGGTCCGACTTATTGTCGCTTGAGAAAATGTCTCGCTGCAGGGAGAAGAATTGAACAGCCGTTAGAATGTACTCCGGACATCCGAGAAATGACTCCTCCACAGAATCCTGCAGCAGGCTGGCGGACTCATCGATCGAAGTAGACCCAGAGAGAAGAGCCGGTCGCACAAACGTTGCTCCAAGCGATTCGATCCTAGACAGAATTAGCATTTTCAATTATCTGGGGACGTCGCATCATACAGATGGATTTGCTTGATTATGAATTTCCGGATCTTCTCCACAGTTCGGCCAGAATCATGAGCCGGTGTCAGCGCCATCAAGGTTTTGGCACCTTCAAGGTGGTAATTCCACCGATCACAACCGGACTCAAGTAAGTCAAGGAACACCAGTAGGAAAACACTAGCGACTGTAGCATCCCGATTGGGAGTCCCAGCATTCACTGACCGCGCCAGCCCTTGAATGGCACGGAATTTGAAACGAAGGGCCTCGCGATCCACATCCACCGGGGTGGACGCGCTACGAGAACCATCGGTGGAAAAGGGCTGCTCGAAGTTCGCCCGGTGGCGAGCGGCCAGCGCAAGAACGGCATCAAGAAGAACCGAGTCATTCAAGGCCAGAGGTATCAGACTCCGAAACGGGTTATTCCCGCTGTCGTAGACGATGAAAAGCCGACATATGCGGTCATTATCTGCAGGTTGTCAGATCGAGCACATCAACTCAGAACAATTCATACAGTAGTCCAAATAATACCGAGATGTAGCATCTACTCCAGAAAGTATCGGGGGGGGTAACGATGATCTAGGCGATGTGGGAACTAGGCTCTGTCCATTTGGATCTTGTGGCAGACCAGCGGCCGAAAGACGCGTCTCAATCTCACCAACAGGCGATGATGAAACAGCTGCATTATTCTCATACGATCGGCCTCTCATGGTTCCACGTATGGCAACGCCCTGCACCCATCGAACGGGCCTCTTGTCGAGGCATTGCAGGCCCGCCTTCTGGCATTTCAGGCAGGGGGATTGGGTGCGGTCGCATTGGATATGCCGCCGGCGGCATGTATAGCACGGCTCTGTCAGTGGGATAGCGCTCATTTCATCGTCAGGTAGGCATTTCTGATGGAATAGTCACCGTTGTCTGGTGATTGATTCAATAATGCAGTTGATTCTACTGGCTCATTTGTCAGCCGCGCTAGCCGTTTATGGATCACCGCCTGAGGCCGCAACTGATGTTTTTCTGGGGTTGTACTTCAATTTAACCCTGATTCACTATGGGTGCGCTGTGGTAACTACTTGGTTTCTATTCACTAAGAATCGGTGTGTTGGTGGTGACTGTTTGGTGGGCATTTTGGTATTCACTGTTCACTCAACTGGTATATATTTTTGCCTCTAGCAGTCAGGATGTTCACCGCTGCACGTTCAAAGGCTACTCTTTGCAGTGGACCTGTATTAGTTCAACTGAGGGAGGCCCATAGTGGCTTCTTTGCTTTCATTAAGACGGTACAAGAGCTTTTGTTGGATGATAGGAACTCCATACATTGATATTTGTTCATCCACACAGCAACAAAGGGAGAGGAGTGAACCCGGCCTCATTAGCTGTCATCCTTGGTTATATAAACCCCTACTAGCTGGATATCCTGATTTATTATACTATCCTTTCCAGTACCCAAACTTCTGGCAGCTGGAATCCATCATGAGAGTCACAACCATCGTCCGAGACCGTAACGTGAGTTGTTCCTGCCAGCTTTTCCACTGCGAAATAGGAACCATACTAATAACAAACAGTCTAAGCATGGAGAGATGGCAGTTGACTTCCGAATAACTGCTATATATGCAGAGGATCTGGAAGAATGGTACCGCAAAGTCCGCGAAGTCACCGATTCGGTTTCGCAGCACGCAGTGGCCAAATATGGCGATGATGAGCATAAGGAGCTCGAATTTGAATACAACCGGCAGAGCTTCCGGGTTGAGGAGTCTCTTGACCATGAGGGTCTTGAACATATCAAGGGGAATGTCTGGTTCACCAGGATTTCGCCACGGTCAGAGGAGGGTGAAAACGCATCTTGCTGCCGTCAGGATGAAACCACCAGGGGTAAACTGTGGATATTGATTGCAGTACTTGGTGTCGTCCCTACTATTATTGTTCTGAATACCCTTATTGTTATCATCTTACTTCGTTCGGCTCTCGGTATTACCAATTGTTCCTACATGAAATTGCTCTGCGCCGGCGTAACTGCTGGCAAGCACGCTGTCGTACAAAACAACTGATACCAAAAGCCTCAATCGTCCAAAATAGATGGGATTGGTCAACATAAATAATATGAATTGAAACTATAATTCCACCTTCCAATTATCCGTAGACCCAGTAAGGACTACCACTCCAGGAGTCTATGAAGGACAGTCAAAGAGTTGTCTTCCAGCATCGCGAGCTATCAGACTACAAGATTTACAACAAACTCTCCAGTAATGATAGCCTCACAAAAGCCCGTCTTCCTACTGGAACCAAAGCAAGGTAGCCTTGTGGGCGCTCATTCGCAACAGCAGCGCCAGCTGAATTCCGCTGCTAGGGTTGAATAAGACGTAGCCTACCTGAAATCCAGGCAAGATGAGAATTTGCTACACTCCGTTTGACTGCTCGAGCACTTCGGCTGGCGGCCTCCACTCGTTTACAAAAACGTTTCTTGGACCACGAAGCATGCTAGACTTCCGCTTTAGGTAATTCCCATCCCCCCTCTTCCCTCTTCCCTACATAACCACCATTATCCCTATCTCAAACGACCTTGCCTCGCAGGATTGTATAGCGCGGCCAGTTATAAAACGTCATGCCCTCGAAGGGACTATAGTCTATGTTATGGTGCAGCATAGCATTCGTGAGTTGGAGTGGCTGCATTTCGCCCTTGGGGTACCAAATGCACAAATCGGCGTCCTTCCCGGGGAAAATAACGCCCTTACTGGGAAGACCGTAGAGCTGGTCAGGATTTGTGCAGCTGACTCGGACAAAGTCCTGGATGGTGATTTTACCTTCCAGGACGCCCTTAAATAGCAGCCGTTGACGGGTCTCTAGGCCTGGCAGACCATTTGGGATCTTGCCGAATTTCGGAATGCCATTAACCAGGCCGAGGCGTTTTCCGCCAGAGGCATTGAATCTGCACCGACAGGAGATATAAATACTGGGGACAGGTCTCACCGTACACGGGGAGCAACTGGGACTGGGCGTGGCGGATGTGGGATGCAGTTGTCTCACTCGATACATGAACTAATAGAATCGGGGCGTCCATCAATTTTGAAAGCGCAATGGCGCGATACTGTGGTTCCCAATGTGTTAGCTCTCTTTAGATGGCCAGTTATCAGTATTCTATGTATATCACGCACGGAAGCTTCATCCTCAGCTATTTTCGGCCGGGAAACGGCGTGGAAGTAGGGATCGGTCTGCCCGTCCCGCTCCAGCGTCTCAGTTATCCTTCGCTCTGTCAGACCGTAAATTCCCACTAGAAGAGGTTATATCATTTGCCGTAGACCGGGATCTTACAGTGACACCATGTCATGGTTTTCAGCATGGATCATGGTCGTGATCCCAAGCTTTCGAGTTGCAATCAGGACATCCAGAATGCCGCGGTCGTCTACCTTCATAGCTTCGTAAGTCATATAAAGCTTGACGCTCGTAATGCCCAGTTCCTTGACAATTGTTGGAAGTTCGGTGTCCAGGATGTGCTAGGTCGGATTTGACAAAATGATGTGAAACCCATAGTCACAGGCAGCGTTACCCCCGGCTCGGGTGGAATAATCGTTCACGAGAGAGACGATACTCTTGTCAGCTTTCTGTTGGACCGCAAACGCAAGCACGGTAGTGGTCCTGCCGCAGACAGCACTGCGTGTCCCTGTCTCCCAGGTGTCACTGTCTTGCCTTAGGTCTGGTTGTTCGAGGTGCACATGGGAGTCAACCCCCCCCAGGCGTAATGTAGCCGCCTTTGGCGTCGATGACCGTAGTGGAGGGCGAAGAAGGCAGATTGCTCCCAATGCAGGCAATCACTCCATCTTTGACTCTTATCTCCTGGCCAAAAACAACATCGTTCGTATTGGCATGTGGACGTGGGCGAGTTAGCGGGCCGTATCTCATGCAACTGTGCACGATGCTAGGACACATACGATGATGCCATGCCTCACAATCATATCAAACTGCATGGTGGATAATAGGTACCAAATAATTATTTCTGTCGCCAGAACGAAGAAGAGGGGGAATGTTCTTCAATAAATATGGAGCATCGCGGGGGTGGAGTGCATGTGCCAACTGGCGCTGTTATGGGCCAATTTCCAGGGCATGTTAGCTGTAGGCCCGGTGTAGGGCAAGCCACCAGATGGGACTCCTTATTACTCCGCATGCTCCGATCCGATCTTGCTCCATTCCGCTACGCAGAGACGGAATGTCGGAGATAGGGAAAGTATGGGGCCAATACCTCGACTGCCATATCTTAGGAGGGTAAGGTAGAAAGCCAAGTTACGACTGCAGTGTTCAGAATACAGTTGATTAAATATTATCTCACGGGTGAGTGTCACACTCCGATATATACACATGGTAGCAAAGAGCAAGCCCTGCATTTTCAGGAGAATAACTGGCCTCGGGCCTGTCTTCTGATGGCCGCACTGCTGTACACCCCAGACTTCGCTGTTTTGCAACCCATCCTGACTATCCCAATGAGATGCTGTACACCCGGAACAACTCCATCAATGACTTGTATATTCTCGCCGACAGCATTCTGGATCGTGGGCTGCAGGTTGATCATACCAGCACATCCCAAGGTCAGTGTATCCGCGCCCCTGGCTACCAATGATCACCGCCATTATTGCCGAGGCAGCTGGTGGCACATTGTTCTCTATTTACTTCACTGGAGCATGATTGGAGTTGGCTTTTTATTTCTGGTGGGTTCAACATATGGAGTGGTACTTCAAATTAACACCGCATACCATATGTCAGAGAGGATTGTTGTGAGCCAGACGAGGTGGGAGAAATGACCAAAGGCGGACCCAGCGTCACCGGATCGAGGGCTCTGCACACTCGAAATTTCCCCTGCGTCCGAGACAAAATCGGCGGCCGTTAATGTGAGCCCGTCAAAGTCTTCATCCTTAATATGGCTGGCTATTCCCGACGTCAAAAGCGTCCATTTATCCAAGACATATGTGGCCCACCACAAGCGGCGCCTTAGCCTTTTCTCCCAGGGGCGGATGCCCCTCCAGGTTGAGCAATCGGTCGACAAACCGAGCGATTGTGCCAGTGACACTGTTCACGCTACCAGGTTTAGTTGGAATGGGGGCCATTGGACAAACTGATCCGCGTTGTCCCTTTGCAAGAGGAGCAAGCATGCTTGGAGCGTCGACAGATGTGGCGTATGTATTTCATACGTGATTGCCGTCCATGCCATGCGGTACAGGCCTTGCGTTGACAGCGGATCAACATCCAACATTGTAGACAGAAAATCATCGTAAATCATAAAGGGCACCGCAGAGGCGTACAGAGCTGCCCTTAGAGCGAGCGGTAAAGATGACACACCTGTTGTAAGTTCGCCAGCTGGTGAAACCATCTGAGAGCGAGACAACACTGGGAAGTATGGGTATATGTGCTTGAAGTACAGTAACACTAACCGCATCCCGACATCGTCGCTTATTTGATCAAGGCTCTCACGCACTTTATCAAGCACGGTACCATCTAGCCGAGGTACATACTGATCATACAGGCTGTGTTGGCCTACCATGAAGACAATTGGGCGATTTATATCGAGTGCCTGTTCGCCCGAAACATCTGCGGTGCTTATATCTCGGTGGATTTGACGGAATGCAATGTTCCCCGCATGCGCAGCCAGCGAGGGGTGCCGCAGAAGATATGGATCGGCCTCACCTGTGTCCCCCAGGAGAAAGACCGTCGCAGTCGGTTGTCGATCCAGCGATTCATCGGGATCGTCGTGCTCAGCATCCCGCCTCGGACAGTCCCTGAGCAGGTGGGTGTGGTTACGAGATTCAGCATCTTCGGCCGCCGGCTCTGATATCAACCGGTGATTATCAAGGTGAGGTACGGTTCCCAGCAGGGGAGACGCAGTGGATTGCGAATGCCCCGGGGCGGCGCGCGAGAGAGCCCGGGTTTGATCAGCCTGCGACAGTGACGCTGCTGCCACGAGTTAGATTGAGCTGGAAAGCAACGCCATGCAACAAACCTACTTACGACAGTGTAGTTGGGGGTCCAATTCCGTATCGCTCACCTGGGTTTGCCTTCTCTTCCGCCGACGCTCGGTGAAGACGCACTCCTTTCCCCTCGAGCTGCATGTTGTACAGGGAGGAGCTGAGCGGACGATGCAGGCCGTTTTCCGGTGACGACAGAAATCGCACGAGCGCGGGTTCCGCGGCCTCTGTCTAGTGACTTCTGGGGGCTGGCTGGGTGGTCGAAGGGGGCCGGATGCATCGAGGGCGGGAAGCGAGAGGTTATGGTCCAGATCAAAGAAGCGGTAGCAATCAAAGAAGTCCTCGTCGGGGGATTGCATTTCGATGGACAGAAATGCAGGTGTGAGGGGAGGCGAAGTTGGACAAGGACGAAGATTTACGTTCAAGCTAGTATAAAGTAGTAAGACTATACCGTCGTAGGAGGAGAAAGTCCGCCAAGACAAGGCCATCTCCAACAGCTTTGGTGATACTCAAGTTTCCCTCTTGACCTTTGCTGATCATTCTACCGGGGGATGGAATGCAGGAAACCGACTGTCCGCAATGTCGAAATGTTGACAGGGGCAGGTGTTGTATGAGCTTAACAGGCGCTCTTGGACCGCTCGTGTGTACGTTTCTAGAAGGGCTCGACGGTTTAACAAACAGTGTCTGGCACCGTGATGATTTCTTTGGAACTAGTACATTGTTTTAAGTTGCATTCCGGATCCGCACCTCGTTATTATTAAGGACGGATGCTTTCAACCCTAAGTGGTGGCGTTTTGGCTGAAGAGGGACATGTACCAGGAATGTGGAAAATGACCACTTCCAAAGGCGGATTTGGCCCATCTCTCCGCAAAGAGGGTATATTAGATTGCTGTCTTATACTGTATAGACAGGAAAATTTCTCTGTCTTGGAACTGACTTGCGAACTACTCTAACTCGTTTCCAAGATGTTTACTCTGGTTCGGAGGCCCTGGCTGCGCTGGCTGGGCTATCTTACCTGCGCGCTCACGGTTACCTCATATCTATCAATCTACCTAGAGGAGAATCCGCTTTGCGCGACTTATACCTCTGATCGGTCATTGATCCTTAGGCCGGGCCAGTTCCAACAGGTTGTTCGTGTTGCTCCTGTGGTGGACGAAATCGAATATGAAGGCGCGGTTGAGGCAGATGAGATGGGCATGGCCCATGACATAAGGTGTGTGACCATTCTGAATGTCTGGTGGATGTCTGGATATGAAGACTATACTGAAATTACCGTTATTCTTATAGAAACAAACAATTCTATCGTGGTGGGACCCTAACCCTAACCAATAGCGAATTGGGCCGCGCCTCGCACCCTGTCCCATATATCTACGACCCGTACCCAGCGTATAACAGTTGGGAGTGGAAAAGGGAGTTCCGTGGGAAGTTTTAGCCGTGTCTAGGCCCCAGCGGCCATCCTCTCGATCGTAGATCTGCAGCAGATATGATCCAGGTCTACAGGGGTCAGCAGGACGGGTTCCCAGCGCCGGCATTTGGATCGTATGAAGCATTAGGCCTGGACAAAGATGTTTGCACTGATCGTTACTCCCGGTTTGGAGCATATGGATATGACGAGGATAGCGAGGACGAGGTGCCTGGCTTCACACGCCCTCCGCCAGTGCTGTGGTGGGAGGTTGATTGGAACAGACTACAGTCTCTCTGCCTGGAAAGAAATGCCAACAGGTACAATTCAATTGACACCGTGAGCCCTTCATCCCAGGGTCCACTTGCCATCGGTCTCCCTCAGGCTTCCAACGAACCTAGAGGGGCAGAACCTGCAGGTACCTCGAACGTGAAGCAGTTCTATCCGCGGTCAGCAGTGCTGATTCGGGCATGGAGCGGGCTTGATTGGACGCCAAACCACCGGGAGTATCTCCGGGCCTTAATAATGGAGCTATCTTTACATTCTGGGGGCGAGTACGAAGTTTACCTTCTAATTCATGTCAAGGAAGACGAGATGCCAATTTTCTCCAATGCCGAGACTATCAATCGGCTCAGGAATCACATCCCTAAGGAGTTTCGGAATATGGCGCTTTTCTTCAACACAAAGTTACTGGAAGCTTGGTATCCTAAGATAAAGGAACACAGGTATATCAGCCCCTTCACGTTGAGTCGCTGTCAAAAAAAAAGACCTTCTTACTGACACGGGGCTCGCAGTCCTAAGCTGCAACATCATCAACCCCTGCAAATATTTTCACAGCTCTATCCCCATTTCGACTACTATTGGCAGCTCGAATTAGATAGCCGTCTCACAGGACATAGCTACCACTTCCTGGACCGTGCGGCCTCATTCGCGAGACAACAACCTCGCAAATATCTCTGGGAACGAAACGCCTACTTCTACACACCAGGAGTCCACGGCAATTGGAGCCAATTTACCCAAATGGTGCATGAAAGTCTATCAGGCAAGTCAGACAGCACAGTCTGGGGCCCAGTATCCGGCACAGGGATCAGGTCTTTGGGGCCCGACCCCCCAGTCCCCCACCCTGACAACGACAGCTACACCTGGGGTGTCGGCGAAGAAGCAGACTTCATCACCTTCCTGCCCATTTTCAACCCAAAGGACACACAATGGACGTTTCCCCACAAAATATGGAACTTTAAATACGGCGACGAGACCCCACGCCGCGCAGCAGTCATTACAATGGGCCGGTACTCCAAGCGTCTGCTCGACCTGATCCACGACTCACAGGCAGGAGAGGGCCTGGGCCTTGCGTCAGAGATGACGGGTGCCTCGTGGGCGCTGTTTCATGGTCTCAAGGCTGTGTATGTCCCCCACCCCATTTACGCGGATGGCCACTGGACGCCGCAGGAACTGGGGCGTATCTATAATCCTGGTCCGCCAGAAAATATAAATGGTGGTCCTGATAGTATTTGGAACTTTGACCATATATTTGACCACATCACCTACCGCCTCTCCTACATGTTTACCACGCATACCGCAGAGGACTTGTACAGGCGATGGCTGGGTTACGGGAGTCGGCTGTATAAGGATGTGATAATGGTGAGATCATTCTATCTATTGTCTTTCTTTTTGTCTGTTTCTGGGACCATCCTGGGCATGGTTGGCTAATATACTGCTCTGTTCTAGTCGTCTGACGACCGCTTTGGCCGGCATTGCTTTCCCTCTATGTTCCTTCACACTATCAAGAACACAGCCCAAGAGATGGGACCGGAAAAGCCAGTTCCATAATTTATTTCTATTTTTATTTTTATTTTTTCCTTGTTGGCTCAGATACCTTACTGTCAATCCTTCCTATTTTCCTTGGGTGGCGTTGGCGTGGTGGGAGGAAAACTTACGCTACATATCAATTTGCGTAAGCTTCGACTTGATGTGCACAACGCGCATGGGTTAAATAAAACAGTACAGCAAATTCTAAAACTATCAGACTAAAAGAAGGCACATCTCCAAGGCTAGAGCAAAGGTTCTCCCAGGAGAACGACAAGAGTGGCATACCCTTATTTTGGCGGATATAGATATGGCGTTTCTACGACAGGCTGGGGCGAAATTGAAGCCTCGCCCAGAATACAACACACCAAACACTAACCAGATGCGCAATTGAATCATGCTCTTTTCACCCAGTTAGGATTTACTTGTGCTTGGACGGGTCTATATGGACGCAGCAGTTGTAGGTATTCCTCGGTACAGTATCATGACACCGCCTGAACAATAGGGTGAATTAGGTGATATTTGCTCGCCCCTATGCTATGAGCATTACATCCCTTCCCCTGTTCTTGACACCATCGGAAAGAATGCCTAGTTCAACACCCATACGTGGTCAGAGCGCCTTGTGTATGTAGTTGGATGGTTTGCCAGCACCGACCTCAAAGCACTAGGACTTTATTGCTTTGTTCTGGTTATCATAACCATTTACCTGATGTATACTTTTACATTCTTGGAACCAATGTTGTTCACACACATAATCCCAATATGGACACCGTGGGTTCAGATGCCTTGCTGCTGTGACCAGGTTACTGAGTGATATGCATCCCCTAAGAAAAATAGAAATGGATCTGCAACAATCGTTACATCTCCTTTAGGGAAAACGTTGCGGTTAGCTCAGCATCATTATACATCGTTAGCCCCTGGAAGAATTGTTAGGCATGACCTGTTATGGCTGTCGATGTCACGGTGGAATTGCCTGGGTAGGAGAGAAAGACATTAATGTTGAGCCAGAGCGTGTCGGATTAAGGGCACACCAGTTCTCGTGCTTGATAGTTCGTAGTGGTGTGCAAAATATACTACGTCATGGGTGTAGTATCCGAAAAACCATCTATCCTAATACTATGCGACCCGCCGATTGGACCTAAAAGTCTTCTGATATTGCGGGTGACCTTTGAGACTTAGTCGTACGACTTTATTGTTCTTTTAAAAATTTTGGATACACTGTGATAAATGTGAACGCACCTACTCCGTGTATCTCCCTAATAAGTGCTTCTATGGACGCCAATAATCCTATAACCCACAAAATACTACAGAATATTCGTATTAATGGGCCAGATACCCTTGAATAACTGTTACATCTCGAAAGATGTCTCGGCTGAATCCACGGGTGACCCACGCCTGGATCATCGGAGCTGATATCTCGTCGCTGGCGGCTGCTGTATATCTCATCCATGATGGACACGTACCTGCCGCTCATATTCATATCATGGTCGACGATTCTCAGACAACTGATGAAGTCGGGTTCATCTCCTGCTCAATTGACAGGTGCACGGCACATCTTCTGTCCAGCATTAACAACCGTACTCTCCCACATAAAGATACCTCGGACGATATTGAGACGAAAGTAGCAAATGCAGGAGTAAAACCGCAGCCGAAGACATGTTATTTTGTAAAGCACAGTGGATGCAAAATTCGCCGAATCGAACAACCTGCCAGTCAGCTACGGCTTGCAGATCGAAAAGGTATCGTCAAAGTCATGCTCGGCGATGCGCGAAGCCTGGATTCTAAGACCATCGAAGATTGTTTCAGGGGATGTTTCTTCCACTCAGAGCTATGGCTATTGCTTTCAACGAGGTAAATGCTGTTAAGCCAGGGCAGAGGTAAAGTCCCACTATTGACTCTTGCTGTTTCAAAGATTCGCGATGCAGCCATGCCATAGCGCATTGGAGTTCCAGCGATGTCTGCGGAAGTACCTCGAAGAAGCTGAGTACTGCCGGATGGACTCACCTGTGGCTGCTCTACAAGTTACGGAATCGCTTCGAGAGATACTGCGGAATCATCTAGAAGAGGAGGGAGTCGACTTTTGGCATAACACCGCGGTACGGGACCTCAAGCTTCTGACCGAGAACTCCTGGACGCGCATATCAATGATCGAGGCCAAACGAGAGGGAAAGAGCCTCAAAATATCAATATCATCGGAGGACATCGTGCTCGTGGCCCTCGGCTCTGCGAGCTCGGGCTCACTCACTGGTAGTAATGGATCTCCCCCGCCTCCAATACCGGTGAGAGCAGACAGGATTATGAATGCTTCATGGTCATTGTGGTTCAGGCTTTGGCAGTATTCCCCGGAATTCGGAAATCCAACCGCGTTCTGTACCCATTTGTCAGAGTCGAAGGTGGAAGCTTTCACAATTACACTTCAGGATGGTGGAGAGAACTTGTATAGATATCTCACGGAGCAAATGGGAGAAAACTCTTCCCTGGCCATACCGGACAGCAACTGGTCGTTATCTATTTATCCCTGCCAGCGCCTAACACGGTCTGGAGAGCGAGCAAAGACCTATACAATCTGGGGCTATGGGCTCACACCGGAAAGGTATGGAAATTTCATCCAAAAGCCCATGTGCCGCTGCGCTGGACAAGAGATATTAAGTGAACTGATATCGCACCTGGGGTCGGGCTTCGATAGAGCCCTGTCTACGTCAGTAACTATACCTCGCTTGATACCTCTAGCGTCGGCATCTCTCGTGAGGCGAAGTCGAGTTGACAGACCGCAAACCATTCCCAAAGGGATGAAAAACATAGGACTCATCGGAATGTTCTCGGAAGTCGCAGATGAGACTGTCTGTGGTGTTGAATATGGTATTAGAACTGCCCAGACTGCTGTCTATGGGCTAATGGGCCTGCACCAGAGCTTACCAAAGGTTGGGATTAATGCTGTAGCGGAGAAACATGGGAACAGAGAATGATACCTGGCAAAAATTGCACATGTATTAAATCTAGCACTTGCATTAATTATCTCCAGGCTTTTAGTGATATCATGCATTCAAAGCGAGCTGGCTCGAGAGGCCTCGGCCGTGTTATCTGACCTAAATTATGGAATTCAATACCATGGCACCCGGCGATTTCTCCGCATGACAGCTACCTAACTGAGCTTTCGGCCGAAGATAGGCGAACCTATAATCATCCAGCTTGCTTGTGGGCTTTGCTCAACAGAGACAGCCCATGTGACAGAGTCCACGGTGAAATAAACGTGGGTTGACAAAAAGTCGAAGTGTGGTTGGGTACCATGAACTGGCGGTTCCGAGATTTTGACGCCCTTCATGGTTCAGCTGCCGTCTATTACCTGTATTAATTCAAGTTGAGCCGGTTGGTGAACTTCGAGTGGTTGAAATACAAGATGGGCAGTGGGATGACTTCTATAGTGATGTCATTCATGCTAATATAACAGAGTACTGCCCAGCATTCCAGTAATATAGTATCAGTCACAAACCCGCAAAGACAGCTGAATAACACTCATATTGCAAAGACAAAATGGAAACTCTACGAACTGATATCAACGAAGCACCTCCCAGGTTCTATCGTGTGCAAGCCGGTCTTTCTCGGGTGGCATGTGCCGAACTTGGATTTCAATCAAGCTCAAGGACAAGTGTAGATTCCGAGGACCAACTGATTGAAGCCATTCAACGACGGCTAGACTGGACAAATGAGAAAGAAAGCCCATTTATACCGGTATTCTCGGATTACCAGAAAGCTCACACCTGGGCGCTTGCCCTAACCACGCTGGGGGTCGCCGATGTTCGCATCGCCGAAATCGATTCAAGTGAACTAGCTGGTGCGATTATGTTTAGTATTAAGCGAGCACGGGACGTGCTGGGATCGAATATTCCCGCTGATGACCGGCACGACGGAGAATGGCTCATTAGGGACTGGATTCCCTCTACGGCCGTTGTGCGGTGGATAAATAGTGAAGAAATCCAACGAGACTTTAGACAAATATGGAGGTCTGGTGAGTTGGATTGTGAGCAGTAGCTAGAAGACGTACTTACTAAGATATCAATAGGTCAAACCAAGGACATCCCGTTGCACCAGGAGACTGATATACCTGGATGGATGCACACCAGGAAAGGCTTCTGCGCGCCGGAGGAGAAATGGCAGCGCGGCGACCGTTATGTCTCTGATGTTCAGCATTGATTATTGGATTATTTTTATAATCCCCTGCTTTCTGTTTAAATTACTTCACCTGGGTTACAGCATGTGTTGTACATGAAATTCTTCTTTCTCACGCAATCTTTGGCCGCATCAGCAGAAAGCTCTGGGAATGGCGAAAAGGCCCCAAAATGAAGCTTCTTCCTTGCTGTAGGAAATAATATTGCGCTCGATCTAACAGAATCGTACTGTATGAAGGACAATCTGGAACCCAACGCCTCCCGTTGACACGAGTGTGTAAATTCCAACCAGGGAAGCCGTATCCAGCTAGAAAAGCCAATACTTCAATCAACACAGCAAATCAAACACTTCCAATAATCTACTCCTCCTCACTGCCGGAGGGCCATGTCCTGAACCCATCAGAGTATGCACTGCCATCGCGGCGCCTCGAACGCTGTACTCGACACCAAACGTCGTATCACCAGGAATCTCCACATACTGTCCCACAAAAGCGATATTCGTAGTCCCATGAGGAACAACCCGGGGCCGATCGTTCTCCTTGCGGGAAACCAACATCGAAGTCCCCAGCGGCACAAGGCAAGGAATGGTCGTCGCCGAGGCAAGGATCTGCTCTGTGGGAAACCCTAAATGGGACAGAAGTTCCAGCAGAATTTCCCGGCCAGAGCATTGCCTCATTGGTTTCGGAACGTATTCGCCGGTCTGGTCTGGGTTCAGTGCATATCCCCAAACCACGTAGATGTCGTTTGGCTGTGTTCCAAAGACCGGCTGGTGGGGGACGCTGATGTTCAATCCCCAAGGGCTTTCGAGGACGGTGAGCAGAGCTCCTGTCCCTGGTTTGTCCTGTGTTAGACGGCAATAGTGCTTGAAGAAGTCCGCTTCGCGTAATGTTATGGTGAATGTCTCGATTGTGGACTCGGCTATGCGGGATGAAAAGACATCAGGATTGCCAAACTTGGGTGACTGTTCGTGAAGTCTCTGCCAGAGCGTCCATTCTGGACCCAGAAATAAGGGCGACGGTGATTGAGGGTGTTCATCGTTTGATCCGGTCTTCCAGCCTGTTGATAAAGATCCCAACGTCACAATCACAATGTCAGTTGGAGACACAGTGATGGCGGCATCCTGGCCATGCTCAGTTAGGACAATCTTCTCGACGGTCTTGGGATCCTTCGCGGGATACATCTTGATATCAGTGACTACAGTGTGGAAGTGGAAGTTCACTCCCTCGTCCCTAAGGTATGCCGTTATGGGGAAGATCAGCGACTCATAGAGGCTGAACTGCGTCCTTTCTAGCCGACGCACGTCGTTTTCAGTGTGCATATGGGGTAGATGCTTGACGAGAAGCCTGTGAAACTCAATTGCGCTGTGCCACGGTTGGAGCAGGAAACTAGAATCCAGTTAGGGCAAACCGGAAGATATGGCAAGCAATGAAAGATTGCCGAGTCTCACGTTGTTGACCACAAAGCCCAGAACTCCGACACGAAGAACGGGTCATCAAAGATATCATCGATCTGCTTTGCGTCCAGGCACCGCTCGCCATCAAACAAGAACCGGACCAGCTCGCCGCGTATCTTTGCGCCGACGCGCAGCTGATGCACGTCCACCCTATGCAACCCGTCGTCACCTCTCTTGATCGCCCTTGTGTGCGCCTTATTGATCGGCCGAATATAGCACTCATAAGATTTGACGTCCTGCAAGTAACTCATAGTCGGACTTGCAGCGCTAGGAACCATTGATAGCAGATCGGCCACGCACTGCCCGCGAAGGTAGGGCAGGGCGCCAGTATGTAGGACGTAGCCATCAACACAATTTCCAGAGCACTTCATCGAACCGCCGCTGCTATGGCGAATATCTAGGATGTGTATTTGGTCTGCTGGCAAGTTGGCCTTGTTGAGTAGGTGAACTGCTGCGGCGAGGGATGCGATGCCCCCTCCGACAAGCCATGCTTGTGTTTCTTCAGGGTTACGTTTTGGAGTCATTTCGAAGCGTCCGAACAACTGCAACTGACATTATATTCATTCAGGGGCACTCTATTCGTATTCAAAGCAGGTACACCGCTATTCCATTATATCTGACGAGGTTCGCCAACTCGTGCCGGATCCCGCTTGTTGGGATGGGTCAGACCACGCCTTACCCATGGGACGACCAGCCATTTTAAGCAACGGTTCGCTTTTTACACGCGGGGTCGGGGGTTAATATGTTGCCTAGATTCCACGCCGTAACCCATCGGTTCGAGAAAACGGCTTGCTGCTGTAACCCTACTGTTGGCTTAAAGGACCCAGGAAGTTATCAGTTTAAGGGGGGAGGTACAAATTATACTAATGTGAGACGTCAGTATACATATGCCCATCCTGTCAAATGTAAAAATAGCAACTTACGCGAGGCTGAGACTGTTGTATAAAGTTGAAAGGCGTGGATGGACACCGAATCCCATATAGAGTTACCACAATGATCAAGGATATGTTTTATATGAGATGCACCATCTGAATGCAAAAGGTACAGTTTAAAGGGCAAGTCCATGCACCGGTCTCCATATCTTCCCCTCTCACAGTATGACGCGGTGGCTACACTCCTCCATGGAATCGCCCTGTTGATCGCCAATCTGGACACTGCAGTGCGAATCAGATATCACACGACAGTTTACCAGTTTTTCGAATAGTACTAAAGCCAGCATTGCTTCCAGTTCAAAGACGCTGGATCTCATCAATCGCTTGATTCACCTACCTTGATACGACGCCCGTTCCATACACGATGATTTTCCTTACCCAGCAGCTCGCGCTGCAATTAAGGGAGGAACTAGAAGGAACTCGGGCACAGGTACTAGCCTATGAATCCGAAGGATACGCAAAGAGCATCCAGAGATGGAGCGACACATGCGAAAAGGAAGCTGTGCGTGCCGGTCTCCAAACGGACGGCGTGGAAGATTGCGTTAACCAGGTTTGTAGGGCGCCATCGTCCGAGTAACGTCTACATCTGAAGTATCAATCGTGATAAAATTCGCGAGAAAACACCATGTTAAGTTCGTTGTCGAGGCTGGAGGGCATTCTACTACAGGAGCTTCGGCTTCGCATGGCGGCATAGTTATTAGCATGACGACGATGCGAAACGTGATGACTGATCCGGCGTCGCATACCGTCTGTGTTCAAGGAGGTGCTACCTGGGAAGATGTCAATAACTCCACTGCAAATTACGGGCTGGCAGTCGTGGGACCGACTGCTAATCAGACTGGGGTCGGCGGGTCGACGTTGGGAGGCGGATATGGCTGGCTGACCGGCCAGTACGGGTTGATCATCGACCAGCTCCTCAGCGCGAAGATGGTCCTAGCAGACGGCAGTGTTGTCGAGGCCTCTGAAGAGAATAACCCCGACTTATTCTGGGCCGTCCGGGGAGCAGGACAGGCATTCGGCGTGGCTACGGAGTTTGTCTTTCGCGCGCACTCGATACGCCCCAGTATGTTTGGCGGAACTATCTATTTCACTATGGACAAGCTTCCCGATATCGTTCGCTTCGCCAATAAGTTCTATGAGAAACAGGATCCAAAGAGCGGGCTTTTCTTTGGCTTCAGAGCTCATCCTTCGGTCGACCGTACGGCGGTCGTGGCCCTTCTTTTCTACTACGGGACCCGTGCTGAGGGTGAATCCTTCTTCGCAGATCTCCTGTCCATTGATGCAGCGGCGACAAAAACCGATATGATGTCTTATGCAGATATCCAGGCTATGGGAAACATTGAGCCCATCTCGCATGGTCGCAAAAACATTGATGGTGCGGCCGTGACATTCCCGCTACCTATGGAGCGGTATCTCGCGGTCTATGACCATTTTGACCACATCCTACAGTCGTATCCTGAAGCGAAAAGTAGTGAAATAGTATTTGAATTGCTACCATACGCAAAAGCGGCTGAGGTCCCCCTCGACGCAACAGCAGCCACGAATCGGGGGCCGTACTGCAATATTGGCTTGATACTGTGCTGGAGCAACCCTGAGCTCGATAGGAGGATAGTCACCCTAAAGCACGCCATTCTAGAGATATTCACACCGGAGGCAAGTGCGAAGGATGAGAGCTATGCTGAAAAGTACCCGAATTATGCTGGTAAGTCTTCCCACAATTAGTACTAGTGTGTCTAACATAACCAGGACATGATGTCCATGCGAGTCAATTATTCCGTGACAATCTCGATCGACTCCGGGCCTTGAAGAAAAGGTATGATCTGGAAAACATATTTCGACATTGGCATGATCTACTTCGATAGTGATGTAGTCTTGACACTACATAATCAGCCCTGCCTATTGAGAATACCATCTAGAACCATCCCAGGAGTCTAGAAGTAATAGGTGACCGCTCGTAGGATGCAGATTTAATGTTGCGCTTCGTATATAATGGTGAGCCTGTAGGCCTTGGGACATGGCTCTATTGTGCTGGTTTATCTATATTAGGAAATCCCAACGATGAATCACATCGTTATGGTGATGATATCACTATAGGCGCAACTAAAATACATTGTCCTGCGCAATAGTACGTCCATAGTATATCGGAACTGTTGGCAGGAATTCCTCGGCTAGAATGGCAGAAAAGTCGACACTGTCACCGAGATCACACCACAGGGCACGCCCTAATCACAAGGGCTTTGAATAACAATATAAGGATCATTCAGCGATCAGCAGACCGTCTTTACCATCTAGAATAGGCGTGAGCAGCACATCTAGTACCGTGGATCGACCGGGGCTGCCAGCTATCAATTAGGCATAATAACAACCGGAAACCGTCAAAACATTTGGCTGACAACATTCCATTTCAGATTCTCTCTGGCTACATTCAAGATATACTCAACATATGACCTCCACTATGGATAACTCGAAACCATTTACTGGAAAGGTGGTGACTGTGACTGGAGCAGCACACGGCATCGGACTGGCAACAGTGAACTGGCTTGTCTCCCGAGGTGCTACGGTTTGCATGGCAGATATTGCAAAGAGTGCACTGGAAAAGGCAGCGGAGAAAGTCTCGCAGCAGTTCCCAGATGCAAAGCTCACTCATACGGCTGTCAACGTCAAGGACGCGAAGTCAGTCCAAACTTGGATCGAGGCGACCAAGGACTCCTTTGGTAGAATTGATGGTTGCGTGAACAATGCTGGCAAGTGATAGGCTTTTACTAATCTGCTTCATTATAGTCTGACCAGTATTGTAGGAGTGGTAGGCCACGAGTATAAGCCGATATCGGAGGTCTCGGAGGAGGATTGGAGCTACGTTCTGGATGTCAACTTGAAAGGCGTCTTTAACTGCCTCAAGGCAGAGCTACAGGTGATTGAGGATCATGGTAGTATTGTCGACGTTGCCGGTGTTGCTGGCCAGTTTGGCTTTGCAGACATGTCCCCATATGTCGCTTCCAAACATGGCATCATTGGCTTGACAAGATGCGCTGCTAAAGAAGTAGCTGGGAGAGGAGTCCGCGTTAATGCAGTCTGTCCGTAAGTAGTCCAGCTTGTAGATATCAAAACTGGCCATGGGCTTGTCCGAGCTAACGTCTGTAGGGCAAATATCAAAACCGCGCTCGTACACGAAGAGAACAGACAATCACATGGAGCATTTGCTCCGAAGCACTCGCCCCAGCTCTTCAAGAGATATGGTCAGGCCGATGAGGTCGCTGCAATGATCGGCTTCCTGCTTGGTGACGAGAGCAAGTTTACTACCAATTCGACCTACAATATCGATGGCGGATGGACTGCTTGATTATGTCTGTACTATTAAAAGCCACAACTTTCTGTCATTTCACTCATCCGCGCCGGAGGATATGCTTGTAGGTGAAGATATCAAATATAAAACATGGTTTTGCGCAGATCAGCATGAACCCGGATGGTTGTAAAATCCACTGCGCGGCCCATCTCCTTACTGTCGATCTTTTTCTTCTGGACAATGTATTCAGACGGCCTACCGCCACATCCGTTGTTATCATTCAAGGTCTCCGTCAGATAGCAGCGTGCACGCGCACAAAGCAAATCCGCGTAGTACGCAGGAGCACAGAGGCTGACTGCCTTATTAGTCCGGCCAAAGAGATAGCACAAATCATGCGTAAATCCCTCCAAGATATCAGCCGCATTGGCGAATGGCGGCTGTGACTTGCGAAACCGAAAGACCTCGTCCCAGATAACATAGTAATGTGCTGGACGTGCGGTACCATGTAAGGGTGTATGAGCTTGCAGGTAAAACTCCCACTCTCTGGCCTCGGTGACGCCGCGGTCGACGACGGTACCGTTTCGTGGATTTGATAATCTGTCGGCGTCGGCTTCCTGACTCGGATAGAAGCGCGTACGGTGTCGCTTGCTGACGATGATCACGGACAACTTAGGGAGGTCTTTCCTCTTCTCGCTTTCGGGATAGACTTTTGCGCAGGCGGACTTGAGGAGTGGAATCTCGTCTTCTAGTACGCGTGTGTATTCACCGTCTGAGATCCCACCACGGTAGACGACTATATTCTCGGGGAGCTGGTTCCTATTCACGGACGCCCATAGCTGCAGACGGGATTCCAGCATGGCGCCGAGAGCAGCAGCTGTTGTTCGCCGGGGCTGGGACTTTTCAATGCGTACTTCACCGGGCCACTGAGCCAGGTGTTTGTCGATAGAACCAACCATGCCTACAACGACAGGCTGCATGTCTGGTCCTGCTCCTGCTGTGGCGCGTGTGAGTGGATGTGTCGTGTCAATACCGACGACCATTGTCTTCCCATCAGACATAACCCCCGATTTGTCAGTGGCGAGTACGTGGTTTACGCCTCCCATTTTCAAATTGAGTTTCAGGCACAGGTTGGATAGGTATGCCTCGTCCTTCTTGGAGAGCTTTGGTGCCAGCGTACAGATATTCATGATGCCCATGTGCACGTCGCAAATGCGCTTTACGGAGTTGTAGACGTCGCCGTTTGTGGAGGGGAGAACCACAAGGACTAGTTCTGGTTTGCGTGCCCTTGTTAGGTGTTTCAAAGCAGTGTGTATGGTCTGGTCGAGTATCCCCACGTTGTACTTCCCATTCGAGGAGAGAGCTGGTGTTATATCAACACGATGTCCGTTGGTCATGGGCTGCGTGGTGACGCCGTAGTCACTCAACTTGGAGCGCAGTCCAGCAATGCAGGGCCTCAGATCAGCCGGCGAAGGGAAATAGTCTCTATCTTTGGCGCTGGAAAGGTAGAGAAAGTCCCAGGAGGATAGCCGGCAAGGCTTGCAGAATTTGGCGCTTCTCTGCTTCCACCCTCCGGACAGGATATCCGGCTTGCTTTTGTTTGCGTAGACGACGGAGGGAGACGGTAAAACCCGACCGGGTACAGTGATCAGGTCCGGGCTGATGTTGAATCCAAAGTTGCGCTGTGATACTCCATATTAGCAAAGTACATTGAGGGATGATTGATGGGCGTACCAATGTAGTGTTTGTATTCATCCCAGAGCTGATTCCCAGCAGCTCAGCGCCTTTGGAAGTAATAGAGCGTGCATTCGCCGCGGGCTTACGGATTGCAAAAGCGTTCATCTTCATCTTCTGAGCTTCTGTAATGCGAGACCGCGCCGGCTGGCAATCTCGAACAATACAAACATCTGCAGGGAGGTACGCAGGTTGCTTGTTGCGCGAAAGGATCTTGACCACCGGCATATGGGGATCAAGGCGTATACCATATTCTGCAAATGTTTAGCATTGAACATTACAGATTGAAGAAGAATACTTACTTTGAAAGAAGAATTCTGCCACTGTGATGTATTTCCCTTTCTCTTCAGGGGGGCTGTCGATGTCCATGCTTTCTGATTCATCTATCTGGCCTGCTTCTGGATTAGGATCACAACGCCAGAACTGTACATCCCTAGGCCCTGCACCATGACAAGCAACAATGGGCGGGTGAGGCAGATCCTGTCCATCCAACGGTGATGCCAGGCCGACGATGATTTTAAACCGAGCTTGCTGGTTTATATGCGTGACTTGGACCTGTAACCTCCTCAGAAATGATTCAAGCCTGAATACACTTGGCGAACCATCTTGCCGATATGCTGTAATAACCCTTGTGAGTTCGGCCTTCTGGAAGAATACTGTATAATCCACTTGGCAGTTGACCAGTAGTCGAGCTGTGGCAGCGCGGACACCGATTGCAAACCCCCTTAGAGCATCAAGGCCAGCGCCGAGGTTGAACCGCTCTGCCGACTTGTCACAGATGGGAAAGTGTATATTCCCTGGTGTAGAAGCGAGTCGCGGACTAGCTTGTGCTTCGTGTCCAACAATCAAATCGAGAGCCTGTAAAACCTCGGACTTCTCGCGGAACATTGCGCATATCTTTGTCGATGAGAGGTAGTCGACTAGCGAAGAGACGCTGACTTTACTGGCGAAAATGATCTTGACTTGAAATATAGGCGCGTCCTCTGGGTATTCAGTCTGGGCTTCTCCCTTGTAGCGAACATCATACAGCACCTCCGGCTCGGGGTTCGCATCAAGAAGATCGGCCGAGCTGATAATGGTCGACCTGAAGTCTGTGGCAATGCAGTATCGCTTGTCAGAGAGATGCTGGTCCAGTAGTAAATTGAATATCTGCCGTTGCTTCTGCTTGGGAACTCCGGGCTGGGTGATCTCGACATTGTACCGGAAGACCTCACAGCCAGCTGGTGTTGACAATTCAAAGTAATTCGCATACAAAGCAACCCGAGCACCTCGAGTGCCAAAGCCTGGTCTTCGTACTAAGTCTGAAGCGCTGTTATTGATATCCTGCACGGTTTGGATTGCATTTTCAGTCTCTTCCACAACGCTGCTTATTACAGCAGCTTTCCCAGGTCTAGAAGAAAACAAAATGATTAGTATTTAGTAGCACAGTTTATGTATAGGAACACACTGGAATATCTCTTTATCGTGTCGCCCATATTGTCGTCGTTGATCTCGCTTCCCTCCATAAGGACTAAATCCATAACTTCTGCCTCCGCGTCCAACTCTGGAAGCGCGGTCGCCAGAGGGACGGAAACCATTAGAATGGGGCATATCTATCAATGTCTTTCAATTATAATGATATGCCCGAATTTTGGTAAACAGCAGCGAGGCAGTAAGGTCGACGTCCGTGAGTGTCAGGACCCATACATGCATGCGTGGAGCCCAGCTGTTAGAACGTTCGTGCAGGCATGCTCAAGAAAATGTCCTATCAAGGGATGATTGGTCCAGAAATGAAGTGTAACTGACATAACTCTAATTACCTGCAGCTCTATGGCCATAGCAAAGGGGAATTGAAGGTGAGAATGCTTGTTCAGTCATAGCACAGGGCTGCAGAGACGGTCTTAGCAGAGGGTCTTAGCAAAGGGGTCTCTCCCTCATCATGATATCCAACATATAAATACACCACTGTCCCCATCTTCTACCTTTCTGATTCTTATTCCACAGATCATCGGGGGTTCTCCCCCTCCCCGCTGTCAAAATGATTGTCGTTTATCTCCACCTCAGAGTCTAATCCCTTGCCTCCCCCCCGGCCCATCGAGCGAAACCTCCACTGAAGGCGAATTCCTCCCTTGTTACGCCGCGAGGAATGTGACAGACAATGCACATCAGACCACGGCCGCTTGTTAGTTGATTGTTGCTGGCTGCCCGCTCGCACCGAGGAGGTAGGTCACTTAAACTATCAACCGCATAACATGTATATCGCTGACCTTCATTATGAGCAGCATACCACGATCGCACTTTGAAATCACCAAACTGTTCGGAAAAACCACCGGGTTACGATTGGGGCACAATTGTGGCCAATGGGTACGCTTGCACGGTGCAAGCAGGGCAGTAAGCGATAATGAGCTCGCAATGCGGCCTGTCTTGATGTTTTATTGGTAGTCATAGCCTTCAAAATTTGATTGTACATTCACTAAAGAGTTCTGTCCCATAAGTAATTCTGTCTTGGCCGTGGCTGGGCTTTACGAGGTCGTTGCCTTTTGCGGTTTAGCCCTAACCAGCTGAAGACAGTGAGATTGCTGAACCGTGGTCAGCAACTGGCGAATTAACTGATCCAACGCTCTCGAGCGCAGCTACTAAACGCTTTCCAAATCAGGAGATATTTCTGCACATGGAACCATGTATGTTGTCGTGGCGCAGTCGTTGGCCGATATCTGGGGTATATATCTGCAGTTCCTGTCTCCCGTCAATTGCGAATGAACTTCAGACAGGAATAACCAAGAAAACTCTTAGAAACAACGATACAATATGAAATCCACCATGAAATACCAGGGTGATACAGACACAAGCTATCAGACCGACCTCTCAATCCCTGAAGGTCCTCCACCTCCATACTCCCTAGCAGAGCCATCAATCTCACAAGCCTTCAAACCAGTCATAATTCCTCGTAAGTCTGTAACAAAAGGGCTACGAAGAGTGGACTCCACTAACAATCAGCAGAAGTAACCAAAGCCTTCGACAGCGAAATCGCCTCGCCCTTCATGCGGGCCTACAGTCCCGCCCTCTCACAATACCAAATCAGCCAAACCGACTTCCTTACCTTCCTCGACGGTCTGAATGAGGTCTTCATCGCCAATCCCGTCCTACAGGCAACTGGTATCGCTGGGGCCGTCATGGGAAATATCCACCCCATCGAGATTGTGGGTATGGCTGTTGAGACCGCGTCGGAGATTGGCAGCGAGACGACATCGTATTTCCGGACGAGGGCTTATTTGAAGAAGGTCAATACAGACCTATTTGGACCGAGAGGTCTGAAGGCTAAGATTATGGACTTTGAGAAGATGGCTAGGGCTGTTGATGTTCATCCGGACGGACTTAAGGATAGGATGGAGAGGGAGGCTGGGGTTTTGGAGGACCAGGACGTTGAGAGTGTTGAGGATATTTATATTGACCTGGTTCATCGTGTTATTGCCGATGGTGAGGGTGGTGGTGAAGGGGTCGATGCGCAAGGGAGGAATCCGAGGCTTCTGCTACTTGATGCGCTGCAGGGGCATGTTTCGCCGTTAGAGACGGAGGGTCTTCCTGTATCGCCAGAACAGAGGAATCTATTGAAAAGGTGGAATGCTTCCTTTGCTACGAGGGAGGGACAGAAGCAGCATGACCGGCTGGAGAAGAAGTTTCGCAAGGCAAAGCAGGAAAGGGCAGAGAAGTACAAGGAGGCCCTTGAAATTGGACAGGAAATGGAAAAGGATGTTGGAAAGATTGAAGCCAAGATTGGAAAGGTCCCAGAGAAGGAGAAACACGACGAGAGGAAGATCGAGAGGAAGACATCTCGTCTTGTTGCGGATATGGAGCAGATACGCAGGAAGAAGGTGAAAAAGATGAGGGACGTTATGAAGGATGGAGATGAGAAACTGAAAGACCTCCAGCGCAAAGACATGGAGAAGACGCTGAAGATCAAATGGGTCGTTATTTCTTCAGATACTAGTTCTACAGATGGAGAGAATTGAGGATAGGGTATACAACAACAAACTCTCCAGCAGGAGGTGGCTGGAACTGGACTGCGACCAAGTCATGATATCATGTCGCAATCGCACACATTGACTCACAATACGACAGCTGCCTTGTTCCGACTATTGATCAGAAGATGCTCGTATTCGTGTCAGCCTGGATCCTCTTGACTCTGACTGGGCCACATCCCGGGCTTCGAATACGAGGTGGTGAAACATTGCCTCTGTTCATCCACCATGGGTATAAATGTCCAGTTCTCTCCCTGAAATATCAATATCGCACCATCATAATATCCAAAATGCGCACAACAATCATCCTCTCCCTGTTCAGTGCAGCAACCGCCGTGCTAGGCGAGCAATATACCGCCAGAAAGCTCTACCAGCTAGACCCCGGAACATGGATCGAGAACTTCGCCCAGAAGGGCTCCTCCTGGTACACCCGTATGACTCGTCTCGACAGCCCAGAAGTGCTCGAGGTAGACCCGACGCACCAGCACGGGGGTCCTCGAACGATCTATACATTCCCAAATGCAACAAACGCCACCGGCATCACAGAACTCTCTACAGATAACTATGGTGTCCTGACGCTCAATGGACCTCCCGAAAACGCAGCCGTTTCAATATGGACCTTCAATACCACCGGCGAATCATCTGCAACACCTGTCATCGAGAATATCGAAGGCGCCCAGATATTAAACGGTCTCGCTGCATTCTCCCCCAGTATCGTCTTCGCAGCCGATAGTCCGACTGGTGCCATTTACAGGATCAATCTTGAATCCGGTACCGCGGAGAAGGTTCTTTCTGGGAATGGGATTACCCCTGGCGTTAATGGGCTCAGATACAAGCAGCCGTATCTGTACTATACGAACAGTCTGAATGGCGTCTTTGGAAGGATTGAGATTGACCCAACGAGTGGTGATCTAGTCGGCAGTACTGAGGTTGTAGTCAGAGGGGATATTCTGGTAGGCGCTGATGACTTCGCGCTTGCTGGCTGGACAGACGCAGCCTTTGTGGCGAATTTCCAGCAGAATACGCTTGTTCGTGTGCATATTGGAAATGGGACAGCAGAGGTTGTTGTTAGGGATATCCCTGCCCCGACCACGGCGACGTTTAGATTGGGCGTCTTGTACGTTGGGACCAGTGGAACTGAGAGCGATGGAGGAGCGAGCTTTTGGTCTGTTGTCGTTCCTGACCAGCAAACTGTTTGAGTTCTGTGAAGTAAACCAGGTTTATAGCATGGGGCATAACTGTGTACTGTCTTGTTTGGTAGATAGCTAGTCAATTTAGGGTTTGAAAGGAACCACCAGGTGATATATATTTGGGTGGATGTCTTTACTAAAAATGCTATCCCATAAGTCTATTCCTACAAGATGGGTGATTCCAGTTCGATGATAAGACTTAGCGTATGATGCAATCCGGCTGTATATCTGCAAGAAGAAACAGAAGATCCCAGACAACCAACTCGGTAGTTGACTCGACCTGGCCCCTGCATGAGCGACTACGAGGAGAGGATAATCACGCCGATCGTCATATTCTACGCTCTGAGATAGCGGAGTTACTGGTCAAAGCTGGTTCGAACCCCAGGCTGGGGTCGAATTGGCACGAGCAGGTCGATCCATAGCAATATTCCGCGGAGTAGTTGAAGAATGGGATACTGTCAAACCTGTCACTGCGCTATGACATGGGTCTTAATTCTAAGCACCAGTAATATGAGATACCGGGTTCCAATATTTATCGGGCTGACTGGTTGCCTTGAGCCAGCAGTGTGGAAATGCGGGGGGCTATTTCACTCCTCCTGTCGGTAATGATATTGTTCCTTAATGAAAAATGTGCGCATGTGTAACTACTACCTGTCTAAGGGGTAAAGTATCCGGTGTGATAGAGCCAATGTTAGTCCGGGGATTCACCGTGGCCCCTGTGCTAGGACCATATACAATCCTCGCCCTCGGAGAGAACGCAGCTTCAACCCTCGAGGCACGATATTGTACGCGTTTGACCGTGATTTCGGGAGAGATCGTCTGCGAGAGTTCTGGCGAAGGGGTTCGTTATGGAATTGGAGACGGATCATTTATCCTCAACAGGATGCCAGACGGCTTGATGACACAGGGTCCCCACAGGCGGCATTGCACCACAAGACGAAACTCCAAGTAAGTGCCGACATGATATTAGAACTTCTTCTTCAATTGTTACGATCTATCCTTCTTGGTGGGCAGTGAGCAGCCATGGACAACGGTGCTAACTTTACCAGGAGCCAGATACGAGACAACCGCGACGATGGTAGCCGTGCTCTTAGACGGGCCTTACCCGATATACAGCCATGTTCAATATCACGCTGTCCTTCTCTGGCACAGTGAGAGCGACGAATATGACAGATTCGAAATCCTTTTCAACCTCGGTGCGGTGACGCAGAACACTCAGAAAATATGTCACTCCGCTACCGGTGCAGAGACCAGCATTTGCAAGGACATGATTCACCGCGACGTGACATCAAAACCAGGCACTCAACGTACTGAGAAGAGAAGGCAGAGACGAAAGAAGTGTCAGATGTATACACCACCTCCAGTTCAGGAGATTGGGGATAAACAACATGTCTCGGTCGTGCCAGACAAGACTTCGTATCCGTCACCGCGGCTTCCACAGTCCATGCATGAGACGAGCACTTGCCCGTCGACAGTACGAGTACCGGATCAGTTTGACCCCTGGGCACACTGGGCAAGAGCATGGCCATCCACAGATACCCTCTATCAAACCCGAATCTGCATACAGGCCAAAGGCAATCCCGACGCGGGGGTCTTTGTTAACATGATTATGCCGGTGGCCTGTTCCAGTATACTGACGCCAATCAATATATCCTGCGACACTGAAACAGAATTCCGCTTATCATTTGCTGAAATGGGGAGCATCTGTCGCCCGGGTACGGAGCTCATGAACACAATGAGGCAAATCACTGCGCTATACGTGGGGTCTTCAAAGGGTCGCCATCAGGACAATAGACAAGACTTTCTTGTTTTGCTTGTCCCAGACCAACCTGATTGTACGCTCGACTGCTGGCTGAACGGAAATTCAGGATCAGAGTCGGCTATTCAAGTTCATGCCCGAGGAGTTGAACCCGCTAGCATTGGCATCGTGCATGATAGCTTGCGCTTCAACAAGCCACTCATTTTCAGCAAATGGGTGCCTTCGCCAACTGGCAGCACTCAGGGCCTTATGATGGAATGCGAGCAGCTGTCCAGCTTACGACGTCAGTTCTGCAGGAACCCTGATGAGGACCTGCTTCCACCTGTGGCTGCTAGGTCCACGGTAGTCTCTGCGCAGGCATGCACAGTTGACAGGCTCCCATTCGGACAGAGTATATTTGGCCTATCCATGCCGGCCCTTTTGGACACACTTGAAAGGCGTCTTATCGCGGCCCGACTATGCGACACTATTCTGGGTGGCATTCAATTTGAAACAATCGACCACGTTGTCACTGCCTTGACGACTCCATATGCCAGGCCGCGTTCCAACTACCAGCGATACGAATTCTTTGGGGACTCTGTTCTAAAGCATCTGATATCCTGCCAGGTCTTCTTTCAAAATAGTCACTGGCAGGAGCACGACCTCACTCGGGCTCGCGATAAGCTCGTCCAAAACGACCGTCTTACGAGGGCTGCGATGAGGATTGGTCTGGGTGCATATATTATTGATCGCAGGACGAGTCTTCGAAGATATGCTGTTCCATTTATATCCCAAAGGTCTCAGCGCGTTCCAAAGGAAAGAAGCATATCGTCAAAGGCGCTGGCCGACGTTATTGAGGCACTAATAGGAGCAGCATATGTCGACGGAGGCCTTTCACGAGCACATCAATGCATCCGGCGACTACTTCCTGAGATAGGCCTACAATCTACATCTCCATCCTCCTTTTTGCGGCCCAGACTTCATCCAATCCCCGAACACGGTGTTGACCATATCCTCAAAGGCAGCCTTGGATATACATTCCGAAATGAGACACTCCTAGAGGAAGCCCTTACCCATCCCTCATGCGGCCACCACTCTACCACCGCCAGCTACCAAAGACTAGAGTTCCTGGGAGATGCAGTGCTAGACATGGTCACCGTGGACCACTTCATTCGCCATTCGGCTGAGATACCGCAAGGCCAAATGACGCTCATCAAACATGCCGTATGCAACGGAAACCTCCTAGCGTTTTTCTGCCTGGAGAACGGATTGTGGCGGTTTATGCGCTTCAAAAACCCGATCGTGAAAATTTCTCAAGACACCATCTTCAATCGCTATCTAGGACTCCGTGACCAGGTCTGTCTGAGTCTCGAACGGGGCTCGCAGTACCCATGGCAGGATCTGGGCGAACTCAACCCAGATAAGCACTTTTCAGATGTGATAGAAAGCATCCTTGGCGCGATCTTCGTCGACTCGGGTGGCGACATACCTGCCTGTGGAATGTTCCTTGAACGGATTGGCTGGACGAGATATCTACAGCGTATTCTTGACGTCGGGGTTGATGTCATGCACCCAAAGAACGCATTACAGATGTTGTCCAAATCACTCGCAATTTGCCACATTACTCGTTCAAAGAATAAGGCTAGTGAAGCTACCTATGACTGTGCGGTAAGTATTCGTGATACTCAGATTGCCATTGTTAGTGGTTGCTCCTGTCGCACGGAGGCAGAGGTGAAAGCATCGAATGCGGCCCTGGAGATTTTGCAGCATACTACCCTAGACTCGCTCATATCCTAATATTCGTATATATAGTAGAGGTTGTACTTTCGAAGCGGTCTAATAGGCACTCAAGGGCGAGTGGCGAGCTTTGGTGATTTACTTAATATACCATAATATAATTTCCTATTGAACTAGCAGATCTTAACATTCAGCGATAAAAAGGTATAGTGGTATTCGGCTGTCTTTATATTGCAGTATATGCCACAATTTTATCATCTACTATAACCATATCGTATGAACATATTTTGCATGCAGGGTCTCGCGGCAGGACGCTGTCAATGCCCACGTTGACATCTTCCACGTTAGGATTTATGTAGAGAAAGGCAACTTATATAATTCGATAAATGATTTGAATGCTTTCAAGTAACTTTAATCTTTCATTAATCTCGGGAGTTCCGTAGTATGTTTCTGATCTTGCAATTTACATGGTTTCTCAGATTCGCCTACACAAGTTCGAAATATATATTGAATCGATGCACGCCTCACGAGACTCTCCACGCCTCTGTCTACCATGAAAATTAAAGTATTATATTACCGCATATAGGATGAAGATGATATCAAATAAAACCATATGTATACCACTAGGTTGGGATATCAGCTCTTGGTTGACATCTTGCCAGACCCATGGTAGCAACTATGACACCAAAAAGCATACACGAAACCGAGGTACTGCCTACAGGTGATCCACCCCAGCAGGATACTCAACAAATACGGTTACATAATTAGCACTCAACACTGCTAAGTCAAGTTCTGTCAGCGATGCGCCGTGTTCAACCGCAGGATACGGCTATGGTCCACCGAAGTTTACGTGCGGTCACATCAAAAAGAGGCAACCAGTTGCCCATATCTGTCGTCACAATTTGTTCATTTACATTATACCAAGACACCTTCCGAAAACAGAGGCTTGACATATCAAGTCGTCAAGGATCGGGGTCGTTGGCGTCAAAGGCGTCTAGTTGCCAACGAAAGCTCCCCTGTGGAAATCCTGCATAGAGTAACCATTACAGCAAAATAGACACGTTCATCCGGAGATGATGTTAATGGCTTCAGGGAGAATGTATTCTCCTTCGCCGAATAAAGTGCAGTACGTTCAACTCGCACTTCGAGATTCCCGAATCGTGACCCTGTGCTATGGCCACCCAAGGTCCTCGCCCCAAGACCCACGAGGTATGCCAGGAACGGGCGCAGAGGAGTTACCCTATGCTAAGACCACCTTGATGCGAATGTCTCAGTAATGTCCTGGGGTAACTATGATGTCCACATATCTACAGAATATTGAAGGATAGTCCACTTGTTATGTGGCGCATATGCCCACATATCCCAAGGCGCCCGATGGAGGTGCAAGGCGCGCCATGAATCGCCGATCTCAATTGAATCCGGCATGGGATTGTACGAATGGTGTACTACATTTCTTTAGACGACGGGAAGGTGCACGTACAGGCTGCACTACGCGCGTGGAGTGCCACATGCAAAATAGCGATATCCCGTTTGACTATGACACCACCACGAGTAGACCTATACAGACGGTTGAAGTTATACTCTAGCGTCTCTGCTACTCTAAGCTATCTGGTAGGGGATATACTAAACAGACTGAACAGCTCTACGAAAATATCTAGTCCTATGTTAAGACCATCTCCAGCTATCACAGGAGCCACTCCGTCCTGCCTCCTGAACGCATCAGGTGCTCCACTGGACCCTGTCCAGCAATACTGGGAATGAAAAGGGATCGGAGCTTGGGAGCCCATCGAACTGGAACGTGCGATCTGCGAATTCTGCTACAGAAGTAGAGCCCCAGGCATGGTAAGTACGCAGATCAGTGGTCTTAGCAAAGGGATTGCAAGGCTTCTGCAACGCCAGTCCCACAATCTTTGCCTGGACACGGTCCGTACCTGCAGAAGCAACGGGGCTCTCATGCTACTGAAGCTCTAGAATGCGGATTCCGGGCATCAGAGGAGCTACGAGGTTGGCAATGGGGGATACCTTAGGCAGCAGATTGGAAGATATAAAGGTCGACTGAAGTCTGCCAGAATTGCAATTAGTATCATCATCATCAGCTCGATCATCTGCATCTTCAAGTCTCTTCAAGCATCTTACATTCGTTCCGTCGAATTCCAAACTCCAAACTATCTTTCAAAATGAAGTTCACCGTCGCTACTTTCGTTGCCCTGGTTGCAGCTGCTACTGCCATGCCCTCTTACGAGCAGGCCCCCAAGATCTCCCAGGCAAGCCTGAAGAAGATCGAGGAGACTGAGAACAAGTGCGGTGATGCAAACGTCAACTGCTGTATCAGCGTCCCCAAGGACACCAACGCCCAGAAGTACGACGGCCTCGCTGGACTTATCTCTGACGTCCTGTCTCCGGACAGCAACGCCTACTGTGCCCAGGCTAGCAACCCGGGTGTGATCCCGCTTGACCTCCTCCCGGACCTTCTGGGTGGCAACAGTAAGTCGTGGCTATCAATATTGATGAGGTACATGAAACTAAAACACCTTATTAGAGGGCCACCTTTGCGACAACACGGACGTTACCTACGTTTGCTGCGCTGGCGGCGAGGTGAGTTATATTGCACCATGACGACGAAATACCAGTGGACTAACCGAATCAGTGCCACCTTCCCGAGGAGAAGAAGGACGGCAAGGAAGCGTTCTGGAGTCGAGTTTAAACCTCCTGTGCCTGGCATCAAAGTCCCCCGGCCGCCACTTAGTGGGACCATGGGCGTCCAGCACGACAGCCGCTTCGCAATATGGGGTGGAACAATTCTCCTTCTTTAAGCCGAATGTGATTCGGCCATTCACTCGTTGATTGTCTTTTTAGTGTAATAATTAGTTAGTTAGTTTAGATAGAGAAAATCCGAAAAAAATTGCTTTACCAGAACTGTGGCAGACTTTGAGTAGTATCAACAATGTGATAAAAGCCGCGGAGATATTTCCCTTCAAGACACAGCGTTTTCATTCATGAAACACCCCGATCAACCACTGGCCAATCGCAGGAGGACTCCGGATACCGAATGCGGTTCCGAACGTAATATCAAATACGAGAGGCCTCAGCGCAGGCGAACAGTGGCCGGCGACACCTTGGCAGATAACGCTGACCCCAATCTGTAAGGATGGCTGTTCCTTCCAGCCACTCAGACCTCTCAAGATTCTTGTGACACCAGACCCCGCTGGCGTTCGCTGGTCGCCTGCCTTGCATAAGGTTCTTGAGACTCCTCACAGGAATGCATGGATCGCCCAATGAGCCTCGTGGATCAAGTGTCCGTGCCTTGTTTCCTGGCTCCCCAACGGTCACTGCGTCTGGCCCGACATTTTGACCGGTCGATCCGGATCGATCAACTGCAGCGCACATATGTGGAGGAGAAGGGTAAGGGCCACGCTGGAATGTCTCTCACCTGTTCTCGATGGCTTTGGGGCCTGACTTGTGCACAGCCTCAGGTGCGTCCGCTGCTTTTGGCAGGATACCAATTCAGCTGGCAGCCTTCCCACTATTTCTTTCTCTAAATTAAAATTCTTATCCTGCTGCAACTGGTTGCCTGCGCCGGCTCAAGAACTCGGCTTCGCGGCTTTGGAATGTGGCTGTTGCAATTGGGTTGGGTGATGTTTCCGGTCTCTACAACGAAATACAATGCAACATTAATTCATTAAACCACACACCTTGGCTGATGTCGGTACTTTTCAAGCGTCAGAAAAGCGTTAACTTTGTGACTATGTGATTATTTGGCTCCTTGACTATTTCTCGAACATGAGAATAACCTCGTCGCTGAGCCGCCAAGGGTGAGGAAGACGTGTCCGTTCGCGCCACTAGGCAGCGGCGCCCAAAGAACCGGACCTGTCAGGACCTCTCCAGACCAGGACTCAACTCCGGTAGCGAAGTGCCAGTGCTGCTTTAGGCGAGGGAAGGGCTTCTGCAGTAATACAGAGCGCAGGTGAGAAAATGTAGCTGGGTGGTCTTAGCACAGGGTACCAACGCTCGAGGCGTGAGGCGTTGCAGCTATTCGGCAGGCGTCCATATATTAGGGCTCGACATACCCGGCTAATTTTTCCGGGGTGCTAATAAAATAACTTATCCATCGCGACAGATTACTTGATATATAGAGAAGAGATGCGTTACTTTCCATGCCCGTATGAATCTTGCAACAAGGTCTGCCCAATCCCCCAGAGCGGGGACTACCCCGGACTGACGTGACACAGGAATTCGTCCGAAAGGCTGATCTGGCTCGACACTACCAGATCCATTTAGACGACAGGCCGTTCGTTTGCACCGAGGAGGGATGCACGAAGCGGTTCCACCAGCGCTCATCACTCAAGATCCACCAGAGGGTCCACACCGGCGAGAAGCCCTATATCTGCGATATTGGCAATTGCAAGAAAGCTTTTAGTGATGTAAGTTACTTCCCCCACTTCATGCCTCTTGCCGATTGTTAATACCCTGCAGCCTTCGAGTTTCGCCCGACATCAAAAGTCCCACAAGAACGAAAGGCCCTATGTTTGCCCCGTCCCGTCTTGCCTTCAGAGGTACCATCCATTTCTAAGCCCTCAAAGCACCGCTAATATGTCTTTCCAATGTAGTTTCTCTCGAAAGATCGCATTGGAGCGGCACCAGTTGCGACAACATGGCCAAGAAACTAGAGTCCCCCGCAACCCCGAGCCCGGTCCACCAGTCTCCCCAGCGACTTGGCCGACGAGTATTCCACCAGCTTTCTCATTCCCACCAGCATCTCATCCAGAGGTTAGACGTCATCAGAACTCTTTAGATTGGTGTGCTTTGGACCTGAGTGTCGTGGACGACATTGTGCTTCGGACGATAATGGATAATACAGTTCCCCATCCGCCGTATATCGACCCGGGGCAGCAGCATCAGTATCCTGATTTACCACCACAATAACGACTGTGGGCTACTAATGGACGGATTAATAATTTAATTATAACTAATTTTGGCCTGGGGTTTTCATGATTTGCATTTTTGGTTTAGACTTCCCAACGCCGAGTTCCAATGAAATAGTATGATCGCTCTACCACTGCGTGCTCCTATTTATGCGAAAGAGCAGATTCCGATTCAGTCTTAAATCAAGACTCAGCGAGTTCACTATTGGAACATCGTCCTAAGGCTGTCGAAGTGGAAAGCGAGGAAATGGATCATGTGATGTCTTGAGACCTAACAAGGCTGGACGAGCCTCATCAAGACGGGCGTTCATTCGCATTACCCAGGAAGAGGCAGTGCGACTGCTATATACTTATTCCAGTATTGATTGTCGCTATCCCTCAGTCTCAGGTATCTCGCCAAGCCCAAACAAAGGATCCTGCCAGCATACATCCAATTAAACTCGTGTAACCACAGGGTTTCATGCATCGTGACTGCGCCGCAGACACGCGAAAGGCTAGGAGTTGGAAATGGGAAAAAGCAAACTCCAACTCAGGGGTATTTCTCTGATCATCCTGCGCTCTCTCGGCTGTTGGGAACTGGGAATTTCTTTGCGTTTTTGCCCTCGCACAATTGAAATTTTACCGCGCTATCGTGTACTGCATTTGCATTTGCAGACGCTATGAGGGCTGGGTCTGCCGTACTCTTGGTTCTGGCTGCTATGGCCAGAATCAGAACGACGTTTGCTGTTGCCGGTGAGACTACCCTCCTACCCTCCTATTCCACGAAGGCAGTGACTGACCTCGAGCTCGATTTGGCAGACGGCGATGACGGTAGCGATGATGACAGCCTGGGATACGATACGGAAGAGGACTCGATAGACGATGTGGGGATGGAAATGAGCCCAACATCAGGCCAGGCGAGGCCAACAGACAACTTATGGGTTGAATGGGAATACGACGGCCATCTCACTGGCGTGGCCACCATAGAGGTTTTATATTCCTGGCCGGACGAGGACGAGGAGGACTATGGAACATCTACCACATCGGTTGACTGGTCCGAAAGCAGTATATCACTTCCTCCACGCTTTCTGCCGCACGTCCACCCAGGGTCAACTTCTTCCATCTGGCTATGGGCCTATACGCTTACAGGCAGCGACACTAATTATTGGTCGGAGTATTTCACGTTACACCATGACATTGCGCTGTATGCGTCTGAGACTTCCACACCGCCGTTGACTGTTACCCATACCTTGACGCCTACTCAGACGGACCTTCCGGCCCCGACGTCTCCAACACCAGACCCTGAGAGTGACTCGGAGAGAGACTCAGAAAGTAGAGGCCTCTCAACCGGAGGAAAAGCAGGTATCGGTATTGGAGTCAGCGCTGGCGCTATCCTCATTGCCGCTGGGGCATTCCTTCTCGTCCGCCGTCGGAAACGTCAAGAACCGAAGACAATACGCGAGATTCCTGCTACCAGTGCTACAAACCTTCCTGGGCCAGCACCCTGACCGGGTCTGAGCTTTAGTCTGTGTGGAAGCCGGCGAATACGTCGTCGTCGGGGAGCTATGAATGAGGTGATGGGTCGCATACCACTTGACCATTGTGCTCTGGGCGACTTATGCAATGTAATACTGGTTACGTTTAGTGGATTTATTGGTGTGAGCGTTGGGATTTCGGGATGGAGTTCAATCTGCATTGAGGACTTTAGGGCTAGCATTGGATAATGAATAAACTGGCATTGGGAGAGAGTTCAAGAGCAAATATCACCAAACTGCATTTAACTAATCTATAAAATACCTTTTCTCAGTACACCGGAACCCAGAATTCAGGCCTCCGTCCAGACCTGCATTCTTTCCAGCATCCATGCTATACACCTAAATTGGTGACCCCGGTCGCCTTTTAGCGTCAGTGACAGTACCGAGGATATCCACTCTCTCACATCCAGGTACCCTTCACTCAACTCTAGGACTGCAGACTAGTACTTTCTATATTCCAGTCTCATGGAGGAAAAACAATCAGATCTCAGGCCCCCTAACAAGGTTTACGCTACCGCTGTCATATGCCCTTGACACAGTGACGCGTTCAACCTTGAATCGTGCGGGGTGCAGGTATTGACTGAAGCTTAATCTGGCGCGAGGATCTCGAGATGCTTCCGATCGCATACCAATTTGGAGTACGTGCGCCAGGCCATCTAACCTCCCGGCGCAAGCTGGACGATGAGGCGGCTGAAAAGCTTCATAAAGTGAGTTGGAGCTGAACAGCTTCAAGTGGATCACTTATCCCCAAAACCATCAGTAACTCGCGGCGTTGGTGGATCTGTGGTGGTTTCAATGCCCACACCTCGTATTGAAATAAGGAACGACATCTGCTTTACTGCAACGGGAACGGGCGAAGATGGATCGCCCATGGCACGAGATATTCGAGCCTTTTAACTAGCCCACCTGCCATCTGCTTTCTAAATTATATTTCCATTTTGTTAAATTAATTTTCAAAACAAAAAAATGTGGTGCTGCGGGAGCTCAAGAAAAAAAGCGTCTTCGACATCATCGCGACCTCCACAAGATGACCTCCCCGACGAAATGCCCGAAAACCCAACCCCAGAGCAATACAAAGCATGGGAGGAACAGCACATCACAGGGCTAAAGCAATGCTCCGACCAACTCGGCCCAGAGAGCGAGGAGAGTCTCACCATAATGGCCAGTCTGGGGTGCATCTACGCAGACCAAGGGAAATGGAACGAGGCAGCTGAAATCCGGCAGACGGTCGTTGAGAAACGGAAACGGGTCTTGGGGAAAGATCATCCTGATACACTTACGTGTATGGGTCAGCTTGCGTCTACGTACGTGAGTCTAGGACGATGGGCGGAGGCGGAGAGTCTGCAGAAGGAGATCATTGCGATCAGTGAAAGCGCGCTTGGGAAGGATCATCCGAATACATTCACTGCCATGGGAGATCTGGCGACGACGCATTTGGAGCAAGGGCGATTGGACGAGGCGGAGAAGTTGCAGGTTGAAGTTGTCGAGATATGCAAGCGGGTTCTGGGGCCAGATGATCTGAATACAATCACGGTTATGAGCAATCTAGCCTCGACGTATCGAGGACAGGGGCGACTAGGGGAGGGGGCGAAGATAGAGGAATCTGTGACCGAGGCGTTCCAGCGTACCCTTGAACCAGAGCATCCAGTGGCCTTGATGAATGTATCGAACCTGGCGACTACGCGGCTGCAGGAGGGAAGATATGAAGACGCGGAAGCGCTGGGAAGGAATGTCATGGAAACACGGAAAAGGACACTGGGGCCCGATCATCCTTCTACAATTACCTCTGTTGCGAACCTTGCGGCCATATACTCGGCGCAGGAACGCTACAAAGACGCAGAGCAGTTGGAGGTAGAGGTATTGGAAAGCCAGAAGAAAGGACTGGGGCTAGAGCATCCTTCGACTCTCCTGAGTATGAACAACCTTGCTCACACATGGAAAGCATTGGGTAAGGATGAACAGGCATTGTCGTTGATGTCTGAATGCGTCGAACTCAGGAAAACCCAATTAGGGCCAGAGCACCCGGATACACTCGCTTCCATCGATGCTGTTACATTATGGAGCAAATATATGCCATGAGTTTGCCATATACAATGACTTATATAGATGGCCCAAATAAGAGCTACTTACACATAACTCGTTGCCTTGTTGCTATATAAGATGCCCGTTCATGAGTACATATGCATGAATAGCAAGAGGCCTAGAACCAGCGAGAATCAGTACGCTCGAAGGGCTCGAGTCCCAGCGCAACTCGATTCCTATTAACAAACTCTCTCAGTCCATACAGTCCCTCATAGTCCTCGGAATCCATTGTCTCGAGCGGTTTGGGGTCATCCGGCTCTGGGAGGATCCCAACCAAATCTGCATTTGGACCGGTGGGCGGATACCCGCACGAGCCGATGGAAACGTCTATAAGATGCGGTAAATGGCGTAGATACGTTAGGACCGTGTACCAGGTGCCAGAATACAGCTGTACCAAGGATAGCTCGATGTGCTCGAGGTAGTCTTTGCATTGGTCTATTAGCGCGCTGAAGTGGTCAAACGTGATGAGAACTCGTTCGAGGCATAGAGAGGTGAGGCCCACCGCTGGGCTGAAGTGGATAGTGTAGAAAGGGAGAATGTCTGTACTGGTGATCCGGAGCACTTCTAGACGTAGGGCCAGCTCGACTAATCTGAGGAGATTGACCGCGTGCAAGTCATTTGGCAGGGCGGCGTGCGCAGGGAGTACGGAGGATCTCCAGTATCGCTGTCCCTGCTGTTTCGTAAACGCAGTGACATGCAAAGCTAGATATTTCAGGCGGCGCAGTATATTCTCCATGGGAATATGCAATGGAGTAGACTGGTTTGAGAAGAAGAAGCCAAAGTCATAGGCTACGGGGAAGAAAATCTCAAGCCCTTCCAAACGGGGTAGAGGCACATATCGCAGGGCAGTAACAATTGCTTTGATAGCAGTCCCTTCTTGGTCGCGTGTCAAAGACTTGCACGAGGCTCTGAATTTCAGAACACGTAGATCGGACAGTTGAGTAAGACAAGGCAATAACAGCCCGGCAAGATCCTGGATATCTTGGCCGCGCGATGGGCTTTGATAGTGCCCCCATCGGCCGTATCCAGTCTCTAAATGGCGGACATGTCCGGCCAATTCGCTTCTTGAAATTTCAACCAAGCGCAGTAGGGGGTTACGGCCGCGCACCGAGGATTCAGTGTCGGTCGGGGCTACAATGTGTTGGAACAGATGGCGCGAGGCCGCAGCACAGAAGTTCCGGCTCACCAGGCGTAAGCTCATGAGTGCTGCTCGAGCTATACGCTCAACCGCATGGGGAAAGATGTCGCGTAACGAGTACTCCTTTTCAGCTGCTGTTACATGATCAACAACCTCAGGATCGAGTTAGTACACAGCCTGATGTTGCGCGGGGATCATACCATGTCGCAGATCTCAACTGGAATAACCAGAGCCATATTGAGAGTCCTAGTGCTGTATGCGGTGACAGGATTTGTGGGGTGAGCTTTCTGATGGTTGTTCCTGTTCTCGTTGTGCTGCAGTGAGGGGTGAATGAGACACGTTGACCAATTGAAGGTGCAGCATTAGTCGCCATCTTATGGCTTATTAGTTAAGCTTATCAGTTCCAAATTATTCTGTAGCCCACCTATTCCAGTACCCGACGTTCAGAGTGAGTGTCTGATTACTATCCAATTCTGACCTAGGAACTACTGGTAACCCGGAGCTTGTGCTCTGTAGCGACCCACTCAGGCTGGTATACCCACATCCCAAAGCGGTAATTCTGTCGTACTCGTGTGGAATTTGCGGATCGAGATAAACGGTCTCCACAACTGAAGCCTTGGTTTAGCGGATCTATAAATGGTTCATGGCACATGTGGACAAAATTTTATTTATATATCGTTTTAGCCGCCAAATATTCCCCTGATGTAGTGTCCATACTCTTCTAACTGCCAACGGTTGTTGCTGTAGCTATGCCACTCACAATACATCTCGACGATTTCCGCCCATGCTACTTTGGCAATGAGACAATCCGTGGACGAGTTCTATTCGAGTCATCCACTGTCCTTGAAACTCGAGATATCCGGGTAACATTTTCCGGAATCTCCAAAGCCAAGATCCAAAAAGTCAAAGGTGCCGGAGCGCCTGCAGCAAACTACCGCAGCAGATGCGTGCTTTTTGAAAAGGAGAAAATTGTACTGCATCTGAACGGCGAAGCTCTAGCACCGGGATCCTATGAGTGGCCGTTCGAGTTCATCTTTCCGTCGGCCGTACAGGGGTCATCAAAGTGGGCGCAGGGTCCTCCTTTCCACAGCGATGCGAATCATCCGCTGCCCCCGACATTTGCGATAGAGACTGGGGATGAGTCGAGAAAGGTGAAATGTGGCATTGAGTATCTCCTTCAAGCAAAGGTTTCAAAGCCACAACATGGCATCATACCAAGCAACGCTGTGTTATTTCTTGAGGAACTGCGCCTGAAATTCATTCCCGACTGCGCTCTCTCTGACGGCCATGATAGCGGATATTCCGAGATATACAGACAGCAGAAAGAGCAGATATTCAATATCAGCACCATGCTTCTACTTCCGCAAAATCGAGGGAGGACATTAAGCATGCAAGAAAAACTCCAGAGTTGGTTCTTTCCCAGCCAACTACCGCGGTTCAGCTTTACAGCCTCGTTCTCCTATCCTACTCGAGTGATCCAGGGTTCGCCTCTACAGTGCTTGTTAGAGATCACACCGCATATCGAGAGCTCGTCTATTACATCTCCACCGGAGATTGTAATGAAATCAATATCAATTGAGGCAACAAGTCAAACTGCCGCGCGGGCTTCGCCGTCTTTGATCGGCGCAATGTCAGCAGAGATAAACGACAGAGTCGATATCCTCTCCAAGACTGGCCTCCATATTCCTGTGACTGGGACGGTAAACTTGGGTGAACTATTTGGTCTTCTCGTATTCAAACACGCCGATGTATCCTTCAGCACATTCAACATCAGCCGGAGCTATAGGCTGTCCGTGAGGATTGTATTCGAATGCGCCGGAACAACCAGCGACCTCAACTTTTCCAACCTGCTGTTTGATATTGTATCAGATTGCAAGGGGCCCGAGAAGAAGGATTTGGCGTTTGAGACCGTGGAGTCAGTGGGAGATGCTCCGCCGTTATATACAGATGAACCGCAGTATCAAGATACCCCGGGCATCTTGCGGGCAGGCGTTGGGAATATTTGACCGTCCAATCGGACATAAATGTATTGTCTATACTCGTCCAACGAGACTGTGTATTTATAGGTTGTTGTTTCAGCAGGATTGATGTAGTCGCTCGAGTTGTTCAGGGGCTATTACACTTAACCAGATATACATTGGTATCTTCTAATCAAGCGTTGCTCCTGAGGAAAAAAACGAAAGACCCTAGCCCATCTGCGTCACAAATGGAAGATCGATCATCCGCTCTGTTTTGGTCATCGCCGGCCCAGCACTTACAGAATTCCCCAGTTACAAGTTACAACCATGATATCGACACGGATTCACTCTCCGGGGTGTTCCTTCACTGGGAGACGGAGAAGAGCTTCTTGTTGGATTTGCTTGGTTATCGCCGGCATATATGCCAAAGTGCGTCATGGCCCAGGAGAAACCAGTCCATCAGTGGCCCCAAAGCCTATACTCTAACCGCTGGAAGTTCTGATATTTCAGGTGCTACTATCCGGGACCTATCCTGAGCAGGTGAAAAAGTCTCAAACAATGCAATTTTCAAGTCAGTAAGAATCATATACACATCGCATACACAGCCACCCATTTGGATATCTTTACTCACTCCTCCCTCGCCCCCTGCACAATAACCACAGGACCTGTATACTCCTTCCTCCCCTTGACCACATACATCCCCAAACTAATCACAAAAACCCCTCCAAAGATCACAACACTCCAATTAAAGTTCTCCGCCGTAACATGTCTACTGCCCGGCCACAGCGCCCAAAAGAGCGCAAAGCAACTGTACACCAACGCAATGATATTCACAGGTAGGCCCCACGAGCCCATATCCCAGCGGCACGAGGGTAGGGTCTGCGGGTGCCAGATCTTGCGGTAGGCGACGCACGAGATGGAGATGACGTAGGTGTACATGAGCGCGGCAACATTGAGGGATATGATTGCGTTGAAGGCCGTTTCGGAGCCGATGTTTATAAGCGATAGCAGGCAGGAGATCACACAGGATAGCGCGATGGCGTTGAGGGGGATTTTGCGGCGCGGGTGAACGTGTGCGATCCACCGCGCGAATGGAAGACCCTTGTCTCGTGCGAAAGCGAATGTCTGCCGCGAGGTTGAGGCGTTGAAGAAGATGTTGCTGAAGATCACGGGGATGAGGATTATAGCTGTCAGGCCGTTGACGCCGGGGGTTGAGACAGCGTTGCGGAAGACGTAGAGGAAGGGGAAGCCTGTTGGGTCGTTGATTGCGTCTTCGACGGAGGGGATTGAGAAGAGGTATGCGATTAGTAGGATTATGGCCATGATGCCGTTGGTGAAGTAGCCCCAGGAGATGGCGAGGGGGACGTTGCGGCCGGCGTTGCTGACTTCTTCGGACATGTGTGCTGTTGCGTCGGAGCCTACTCATATCAGTATTTGTCTATTGAATAGAGACGGAGAGTCATACTCAAAGAGCCGTAGATGGCGGAGATCTGCCCGATCATGACGCTGACGCCCATGGGCCAGCCGGTCTGGTTTGTCCACTCGGTGAAGACGGCTTTGGCGCTGCGATGGGGGGCCATGGCCCAGAGGACGATGAGGACGACGCACCAGGCGAGCAGGTGGAAGATCATGAGGAGGTTGTTCAGGACGGGCATTGCGTCGGCGGCGTAGACATTGAAGATGTAGATGATGAAGATCATGGCGAAGACGAACAGCGTGCCGTGCCAGTTCTCGGGTTCGTAGTCTGGATTGCGGATCGTGATGAGGCCCTGGATGATGGTGCCGGTGAGGAACGAGCCTGATGCTGCCCCGGCCTGCCATGCGAGGACGGACATCCAGCCTGGATAGTTAGTAGGGAATACATCATGGTGAAGGAGTATTACCTGTGATATAACTGAGGAACTTCTGATATCGCGGCGAGGAGAATTCAGAGACCCAGTGGTACTGCCCTCCCGACGTCGGAGCCCTAATGAATCAGTATAGCTGTATAATCCAACAGTGCGATCACCTACATCGAAGCCATCTCCGACAACGAGGCAATGATAAAGCCAAAGCCAACAAACGTCCAGATCATAGACCAACACATCCCAGCCAGGCCGCCATTCTCCAGTCCCTCCGTATTCGATCTTCGGTCATTAGCCACGCCACGTCAAGGAGAATTTAAACTCACATCAGAACAAACTCCCAAGTCGCCTGCAATACTGACGCAAAACTCAGAGCGGCCACCGGTCGCAGATTTCGCTATTCAAGACTGTGAGGTTCGAATCGGCGCAGCACAGGCACATCGGGACACTCACCTTGAGCTCTTGGACCTTTCCCATACGGTGCATGTCGCTGTCGTCGAGCACCGTCCCTGGCGGATTAACACGGACGGTAGCATCACCCTCGTCACTTGTAGGGCCCGACTCGATTCCCATCTCCCCCAGCGCTGGTGCTTTGTTGTTTGCCTGCATGGTGTCGTACCGTGTACGGAAGCTGTCGTCGGAGTTGATGGCGATCGATATCGGCAGCCCTCGATCAGATATCCTCCGAACACTGCAATGTGATTAACAGGGGAGAAGGAAAAGAAATAATTGGAAAGGAGGCGGAACTCACAAGTTCGTCGCGTGTCAGCCAGGCAGAGATTTCGACGCAAGGGGCAGCAGCAGCATGTTATGGGAGGTTAATGCGCCGCACCCACGCCCGATTTCTTTGTTTCGCAGCAGGCGAGATCGGCACGAGGAGGGAGGCGCCTGAACTCGTGAATTTGACTTTAATTGAGTCTTGCCTGGCGAACAGCTGGCTGCATTCACTGGCTCGGATTGGTTGCTGGGGCTGCTGATCATCGCCAAGCGGGCTGACGTCGCACGCGGTGTTTAATACATGAGCTTGGACTGGAATGTTGGTCTGGGCATCGAGGACGCTTCTCGGCTCTGCTTGAAAGAATAACTCGTGGTGGCTTGGGCCTTTAGTGGAAATTCTGGCTTGGAGTTAGGGTTTCACAACCGTCAACCATCAACTCCCAGTCGCAACCTCAACGGTTTCCTCATTTCATGTTTGTTCCAGTGTCAGGCAAGGGATCATTTCTCGCTGCAGTGCCGAGTCCACCCTTGCTCTGTACGACCGTCAGCAACGTCCCACTGGCCACTTCCACGCGTGCCGGCAAGTATGCTGCCATGGCTGCGCCCTCTGCGGGGGCCCAGGAATGTGCAACTGCAGTCGGTCTTTTTGCTGGTTTGCAGTTTGCTCGCCTGGTTTGCCCCTTCGCTCGGAGCTCGTCATTTGCGAGTCGAGCTTATCTGTCCGCGCCATGCCCTGCCATCGCACCCGCGATGATGTCGGTGTGCCTGTCTCCTCCCGGCATGAAGCACGGTGCAAAAAGCAAAGGAGCATAAGCCAAAATATCTGGCCTGCTCAGCTGCTGCTGACCCATTATAACCTGCACGGTCCCCGGCCATACATGTCTCTTGGCCGCTCCGCTCGCTGTCATGTCGTCTTCCTCGACATACCCCCCGGGCATCAGGTCCCCGCTGGCCACGGACAACGAGAACAACCACAGCGGATTAATCGTCGTCATTACCTCGTTCTATCTAGTGCTTACTCTGTTCTCGATTTCGGCGCGGCTATTTACCCTGCATCGCAAGCGGCTCGTGCAACTGGATGACTTCGTGTTCGCCTTCCTCGTGGTATGCTATCCGCGGTTCGCTCTTGGCTTCGGTGGCTGATACTTAGCTTTGCATAGATCATATCGTTCTGTCAGCTCTCGGTCGTTCTGCGCCAGGTTCACTATGGCTGGGGAACGAGAGGTGGACCTTCTACACTGGAAACTAGAGAATCAATGCTGAAAACGGGCTATGCCGCTGATATTCTCTCCATCGTTGCCCTCGGGTCATCCAAGATAGCAACCTGTCTGTTCTACGAAGCCCTCTTCTCCCAGCTCCAGCGCCGCATCATCCGAACTGTTCTTACAGCAGTCATTGTCTGGACACTCATGTCCATCTTCCTCGTCGCAATTCGCTGCAGCAGTCACCCATGGCGAGACATTACCGATCAATGCAGTAGTCTGGTACATCACGCACAACCCTTGAATTAATATACCTATCTAACAAGTACAGTACCCCCGCTGGCAAGCAATCACCGGCCTCGACATTACCACCGAGGTCCTGCTCGTCGCATACTCCGGCTGGGCAATCCACAACGTCCGCATCCCCCTGCGCAAGCAAATCATGGTCTTCCTCGCGCTGGGCTGTCGCATCGTGTACGTCAAGTTAAAACTCCCATCACCTTACCCAATTTCTGCTAACAATCCAATTATTACAGACTAGTCCCCCTCTCCGCGCTACGCCTGCACTACACAAAATCCCAACTCACCTCCTCAACCCCCATCCTCTCCGGCGCCTACACCACAACAACAACAGAGATATACCTCTCCCTCAGCATCGTATGCCTAGTCACCTCGTCAATGAAATTCATAATCGCCGTATACGAAGACCAAGACGGGATCTCCTACACGGACGGGTCCGCAAAGTGGACGTGGAAATCAAAAGAACCGGTCTCGACGGACTCGTCGAATCCGAAGAGTCCCAGTTATAGTCTGGGCGCTGGGGATCGTGCGAGGCTTGTTAAGGATTCGGCTGGGGATCCTGGGTCTTCCTCTGGAGGGTTGAAGATACTGAGATCTGTGCAGTGGAGTGTGGAGGATGAGGCGATTGAGCTGGATGAGAGGAGGGCTGGGGCGCCTGCGAGGCCGTTTTATGAGCAGTTAAGGTATTAATTTTTTTTATTTACTTAATTGATGTGGGATTGGGTGGTTAGACTACTTTTATTTAATATTGTTCAGTATGAATAGGACTGTTATCTGTGGAAGTGTTGTCCAGGGGTGTATTAGCACTGTGATATATATTTCTCTGAGACAGGGCGCCGTTACCACAGCACACCCACGAGCTCCATTTATTATTATCAAATTTCCCCCCTCAATGCAATGCAAGAGTTACACGTTCTCACTGTTAAATCATGTTTCAGCATAGGTTCATCACGAGCTCCGCCTTAGTGAGCACAGCCGGGAGAGTGACGGTGAACAGCCCCTTGCATACAGATCGACTCCTCCTGACTCAGTCTCCAGAACGTGACAATCTCCACTTGCAACATGTGAACACTCGTAGAGGTCCGGATTAAGTTTCGGTGTTTCTTCAACAGTGGGCTGCGCTGGGTGGGTTTCTTCAAGTACTGTCGGGGTATAGTGAACTAACGCAGCTGATATGGCCCGCATAGAACTGCTCCCCACGGGGTGGACGTGGCTCATGACGAGCAGGATCCTGCAGGTGAACGCAGTTTTAGCCATGCTTTGTGAGGTTGATAAGAGTAATTGAAAGTTATAATAATAGGGGAAATGTTTCTTATATCGGCTACTTCATTCACCAATATCCCATTCTTTAAAGCTGGTTTGGATAAAGGATAAGTCGACTATTGTGTATCGGCTTCATGAACGAGGTAGATCCATGGTAGGCATTGTAGCAAGGAATAAAGATGGCTTTACACAAAGAGTATATCCTTTGAATAGTCAATAATAGAAGGTATATTCACAGCCATAAGACATACCCGGCGCCTCCACGAGGAGAGCAATATCCTGATTTATTTTCACGGCAAGTTCACATATTCGCAGTCTACACAACGTGAATCCAAAATCATGTCAGGGTATGAGCATTTCAGAAGAATAGCCGAGGATCCCCAGTCAGTCGAGCAGCACCTCGAGGCTGCCGCTGAAGACAGCCGAAATAGCCACGACGACCCCGACCCCGACGCCAAAAGCCTGATGCGATTCCTAGTAGAAGCAGCAGCAGAGGGCTCAATAGAGAGATACCGACTCATCTGGCCAGATCTCATTAAAGACGCCGAGGCGAATTCAAATAGGGATTACAACGACCCCAAGCCCCGTAGAGGGGAACGAGCAATGCTGGTATGGGCGTGTCAGTGCGCGGTTGAGGCTTCCTTTGCTGTGGCGCTGGTCAGGGGGTTTGACAAAATTGTACAGCACGTCCTGTATCATTTCAAGAATCCGTTCTATGGGTGGAAGCCTGGAAAGACTGCGTCCGCACTCGGGGCAGAGGACTTTCGTTCCAAGACTCCGAGCATGCTCTTGCGCCATGCCGCTGCATATGCCGGGAAGGACCTGGTTGCGCACATCCTAAGGGATGAAGACTGCGTCAAACCCAAAGAGCTCGAGGCGGCGATCTGCGCTGCAGCCCGCGCGGATCGCTTGGATACAGTTGAGATGATTGTCGCACATCTCATGACCTTGGAGAGGGGGGAGCCGCGGTGCCTCTGGGGGTCGGTGAAGCTGGGTCGGTATGCCACATTGGACGAACAGCGTTTGGAAGTTGTGGGAATGTCCTTCAGCATGTGGCCGTCAAAGACGATGGTTCAGGGCCAACGGATTCTTCTGGGGCTGTTCTTCCAGTTGGTCCATGCGGTCTATATCGCGACGCCAGACTGTGAGGATGTAATAGCGATTAAACGTGCACTTGACGAGGAATGGGCCCTTTTACTTTCGAGGGACCAGTGCTTTAAGATTTTGGATATAGGCATGCCTCCTAAAATCAAGGCTTCTATCTTCAAGAATCTGAGAATCATTGACCGGGTGATGCCACCAGACTCAATCCTGATTAAGACGGACGGAGAGCCGTTTGTCGCCCAGAGGGATCTTCTTTGCTACTGGTCCAGGTACTTTGCTGGCTTGTCTCGACATGCCTGGGTTGATGGTGCGGCGGTGGACTTTGGATATCATATTCATCCGGTTGTCATGACATCAGTTCTTAACTTTATGGGGAGTATGTGGATGTGGAATGCGCTGACAAGCACGAATTCGTCACGCAACTCTGGGAGGCGGCGGATTACCTCCAAATTGACTTGCTTAAGGAGAAAGTTGGGCTCTTACTTGATCAGTTCGAGGAGGAGGAGGAGGAGGAGGAGGAGGAGGAGAAGGAGCTGTGAATACAGCCATGAATATAATTGTACAATTGCGTGTCTTCCCTAATGTGGATCTATATAGAATACTTAGGATTATAAGTTTCAAGCCACTGAATATACTTTTATTCCAATCTTCTACCATACTCTGCCAGCTACACTAGCCAATTACCAGGTTAATATATTCATATTATCCGTTACCGTTAGTGAATAAAATATCTGAACAGAGACGTCTAACTACCAAGTATCAGAAAGGTCTACCCTAGTTCTCCTTGCATGGACCAGGTACAATCCCAGACCTCGTAATATCATGCTAATCCTCAAGGATTCACTTCATCTACAACATCATCTTCCCTTCGTGAATCGTCCCTCGTCGAAGCCCTAGCAGCTCGTTTCTTCCTATGAAAGATCAGCGAGATTCGAAGACATGTCTCCGAACATACCTATCCCACTCGTCCAGCCACCCAAAAAGGTAAACACCAATAATGGCAAGGCCTCCAAACATAATCAAGATCTGGTAGCCGTATTTATAATGCGGCGCATCGTACGTTGGAAATGCCACGAGAGGGACCCACGCCATGAATGTATACGTGAAGATGTTCCCAGTTGCCACCAGCAGCTGCCGTAATTCCGCGTTGTCTTGGGTCACTTCCTGGCCCCAAGCCTGTATCACTCGTTAGCCTGAAGTAGCTCCAGTTGCAATATAAAAATGGAGAATGAAAATTGGCTCTCACAATAATCAGTGGCTGCGCGGCAGCAGAAACAAACGACAAGAAGAAGGCAAACAGCAGCGCTGGCCTGGGGATATCCCACACCGAAAGCATGATGTTCGCCACGATGACGATGATACAAACAACAGCAGAGGTCTGTTTCCGCGTTCCTGTGCGATCGGCTATTGTGCCGAAGAACAGAGATGCTATGACGCTGATTGCGTTACCAGCTGTGGGGATTGTGTTTACTTGTGCGGTCGAGTAGCCTTGGTCTTTTAGCCAGAGGTTGAAGAAGCCTGAGCCTTGGCCTGCCTGGGCGACCATTCTGGTGGTGTTAAATGGCAAACAGCCTATATAGTATGGGGGACATACAGGTAGGGGAAGATAAATGCCCACAGATGCCATCCGGTGTATATCTTGCGTAGTTTCTTCCACGTTAACTTGGCAGACGGAGCACGGCCCATGTTAGCTTCTCTCTGGACGCCGAATTCGCGGTCCTATTTAATCAGCAGGAGGTTCTTCAAACAGGATTCTGAGGGTTTTACCTGTTTCTTCAACCAGAACGCCCTCGTTGTACTTGGATGATCCGGAATAGCAAAATACCCCCAGACAGCAATCGGGATGGAGATGATCGCGTCGAAAATAAACAGCCACTGCCATCCTTTTAACCCGGACTTCCCATTCATGCCCGTATATAAAGCGGCTTGAAGGTATCCGCTGAACATGCTGGCTATTGCACTGGACTGCTCGAACAATGCCACCCGCTTGGCCAGCTGCGTTGGGCCGTACCAGCTCCCTAGCAGGGCTGCGTATCCGGGGAAACTGCATGACTCGAGCAGGCCCACAAAGAAGCGCAGTGCATATAACTGGAATAGTTAGATATATCCCGAGCTTGCTGGGGTTGGATGTACCGTTTGGGAGTTCTTCGCCCCAGCCATGGCCATCACAAGGAAGGACCAGGCCAACTCGCAACTAGGTATCCATATCGACGGTCGGACGTATTGGAGTTGAATCAGCTGCGAGGGAATAGTGCCCAGTATAATACCGATGTTGAAGTATGTGACCAACAAGTTTCGCTCGTTGCCGTACATTTCCAGCTGCGGGTGTTAATCCCATACTTCAATCAGCAGAGTATGCTTACATCTTCTTGCATTCCACTGACAAATGCATTTGCTGTTACATTAGTCAGGTAAGATAGTAACAGGAAGCTAAACGTACAGTAATTCTGCTGGTCCAGGTACTTGATGAAGTATCCCAGCATCACATAAGAACTGGATGGTCAGTAACCCTAACTAATATCAACACCACCGCAGACTTACAACAAAAAGTAATCCACTTTGCGAACAAACCGCCTTTCCTCGGGATCACCCTCGAATGTATCCCAAATCAGGCCAAGAAATCGCCTCCATAATGACTGTTTAACTGGGGTCTCACTCGGATTCGACGCGTCCGAGCTGCTCTCCTCGACAGGCGTCTCAACATGAGGAGCCTGTTTAACGTCCATACTTCTGGCCGGTAAGATGAAATGCTTTGCCTCTTAGACAGATACCGACTGACCTTGGAGACGGCAGATTTATAGTCCTCGTAATTGCATCCATCGCTATTCGTCACGCCATCGGCATCACGGCAAGTTGGAGGTGTAGCACGCCACCCGGCGATAGGCGCTATTCGCGCTGGAAATACCCCAGGTTAACGGTATATAACTGTCGTCGGGGTCGCAATTAAGCTGTATTTGAACCCGTAACTGACGAAATTGAAGTCATGGCTCCCGCGGCTATCGAAGAAAGCCAGAACCAGCAACGTCCTGCTGAGACGTCTATTGATTACAGCAAGACGGAGGTTAGTATGAGCCAGTGGCCATAAGTCTATAATCTGACGGAAGGTTATAGTACAAATATTCCCGTTATCTGCCCTACTTCACTCCTGGCCTACAACCGCCCCTAAAAGAATTCAAGCATGAGGACCCTGGACTGCGCGCCGATCCGTCCTACAAAGCGCTACTCGGCGAAGGTGTCAAAGCCGTTGAGATAACGCCGAATATCGGGACAGAGCTACAGGGTATCCAGCTGAGCTCCCTCAACTCTACTCAGCGGGATGAACTAGCCCTCCTCGCCGCAGAACGCGGCGTTGTACTCTTCCGCGACCAGGATTTCGCGGATATCGGGCCTGACAGGCAGCGGGAGTTTGGTGCGCATTTTGGGCCGCTCCACATTCATCAAATGGGTGGTCATATCAAGGATTTCCCAGAGATCCTTCCGGTTTATAGGGACTTTGTGTAGGCTGCCACTATTCATCAACTGGGGGTGTTACGTACTCACGCTGAACAGGAGCGGAGCGCGCGACAATGAGATCTCAAACAACGTCAGCAGCATTAAATGGCATTCTGATATGACTTACGAGATGTACGTACCCACCCACAGACCAGTGTCCAGGCCTGTCTAATGCTGTGCAGAAACGGAATGGGAACAACCATCTTCTACCCCCTGGAAGTACCAGCTTCTGGAGGTGACACCCTGTACTTATCCACCACTGCAGCGTACGAACACCTCTCCGCGGACTTTCGCGCACGTCTGGCTGGATTGCAGGCAACGCATTCTGGATTCTCGCAGGCCTCTGTGCATGACCATCGAGACCGGTATATTCGTGAACCGATTGAGACGGTCCATCCTATCGTCCGCACCCATCCGGTATACTCATCCGTATATCCAGTAGAGTGTTCGCTAACAGTCAATCCAGGTGACGAAAAAGAAGAGTCTCTATGTCAACCGTCTGTATACGCGGAAGATTGTCGGATGGAAGGAAGAAGAAAGCCGTATTTTCTTCCCATTCCTGACAAGAAATAAGCTGGATTGCTAACATATCCAGAAACAATCCTCAACTTCCTCTACGACCACATCGAAAAGGGCCAAGACTGGCATATTCGCATCCACTGGACGCCTGGGACGGTTATTGTTTACGATAACCGCGTTACGCAGCAGTAAGCTCTCCATCCCTACCTCTGCTTCCATTTTTTTGTCTGCAGGGTTTCTGCAGGATGGAGTTGGAGTACCCGGATATTATGCTAATTTAGGGTTCTTGCAATAATAGCTCGGCATTACGCGATTTCAGCGTGAAGGAGGCCAGCACGAGGAGGCACATGGTGAGGATTACCCCGCAGGCTGAACGGCCATATGAGGAGTGATTGGCGGGCTTGGTATTGCTGAAGAGTTGTTCTGGACTATCTGGGGTGGTGGTGGTGATTTGATTAGAGGTGGTTGTAGTCATTGATCCTTGTGGTTGCGCCATACCGTTGGCTGATAAGGAGCTTTTATATGCTGGAATTACTGTTTCTGTGACGGCTTCATGGGCGACATTCCTAAAATAGGACTATTGTTGGATTGGTTGGCATTATCGTGAAACGTCTATACTTCGTCTACAACCAGATATCAAACCTCCCACCACGCCTCATGATACCCCCGTAAATCAACACCATCACCTGTAGTCGCCTCCTGCTTCAGATAATACGTAAAGTCCACTTCCTTCGCAGGATCACCGCCATCCTTCGCCGCAACGTCCCTGCTCGTCCACCCGTTCCCGAAATACCCAAACCGGTTCCCTTGGCTATTATGATACGTATACTCAAAGTCCTCCCATCTCACATCCCTTCGAATGTAGTTCACATGGGCTCCACTCCCAGGCCAAACCGCCACAATGCGTCCCCCTTTCACCTGGTTATTATACCACGAACTGCATCCCTCACCAAGAACGGTTGTCGGAAAGAACGACTCGCAGTAGGCTCGGAAGTCTACCACTGCAGCCCGTGATGGAACAATCGTCCGAATCCGCTGAGACGACACCTTCCGCAGGATCTTTGCAATGTACGTCACCTGCGTCTCGATAGTATGCGGGACTGTCCCTGCAAACCCAGACGCGGAATTCGGTCCCCCGAGAAACAGCAGATTCGGGAAATCGGCGGCTGCCATGCCCAAGTATGTATCTGGGAATCCGGGGTCGCCTCCCTCTCGCCACAGTGATTGTAGGTTTGTGCCGTTGCTGTTGTATATGGGAAAGCCCGGTGTATCTGTGACGTCCACACCTGTGGCGCAGATTACGGCGTCAACGTTTCGCTCCTTTCCATCGACGGTCTTTATTCCCTTCTCTGTAAGCGTCTCTATTGGTGTTCTGATATACTCCACGTTCTGCTGCGCAACTGCCTCCAGATATCCAGGTCCTGGGGTAAGTCGTCGACACGTAGGTGGGAAATCAGGCACAACAAGGGAAAGAAGCTCATCCTTCTTGTCGCCCAATCTAATGGCCATGAGCTTTTCGAATTCCTCACGGGCGGCTCTATTCCTCTCGCTGCCCTTTTGAACCAGTCCGAAGCGTGTCCAGGACTGCGTCTCCAGCTCTTTCCTGTATGAATGGTACGCTGCGCTGTCATTTTCCCATGAGTCCTTTAGATCCGATGCAATTGGTACCGTCCGGCTGAGCTTCTCTCCACCCAGAGTGCCAGCAACCCATGTTGGATTGCGGGTGTAGTGGTCGACACGGTTCGCGACTTTCTGCAGCTCAGGCAGGATCTGAAGTCCCGATGCGCCGTTGCCGATGAGGGCTAGGTTCTTCCCTTCTGGTTCGAATGTAGGATCCCATTTGCCAGTATGGATTACTTTCCCCTGGTAATCATCCAGACCTGGGATATTCGGTAGACGGGGGTTACTGAACCGGCCGGCCCCTGTTATCAGGAACTCTGCCTCGTCTGTGATGGTGCTGCTTAGGCCAGTAAGAGGGTCTGTTTGTTTCACCGTGACCGTCCATTTTGCATTTGATTCAGACCATGATGTAGAAATGATTTGGGAGTTGGTTTGGATGTATTTCCAGACGGAGTACTTGGTTGCTACTGACTTCCAGTAGGATTTGATCTCTGCGCCGCGCGAGTAGTTCTCTGTCCAGCTTTTGGAGGGCGAGAATGTGGATTGATAGACCTGTCTTCACTTAGCTTCATCATCTTGTATATGCAATAGGTGCACTTACATGGGAGGGAACGTCACATTTCACGCCGGGATACTGGTTTGAATGCCATACTCCACCCTAAACAGTCAATATCATTCGCAACGGAGACGGGAAACGACGTACAATATCAGAGTGTCGCTCATAGATAGTCAAGTTGAGGCCAGGAACTTTAGCAGGAAGAAGAATGCCCGCCGTAATTCCTGTAATCCCAGCTCCCACGACAATTGCTTTTAGTGGGAGGCGCTCGTCAACGGGGTGGTTCTCTAGGATTAATGGCGGGTGTATCGTGCGTGGAAGAGTCTCATTGATCTCTTCATCGCTTGTTTCTGTTGCGCTAACAGCAGGAAGCTTCCCTTCGCCGTTGAAGTTTAGATCTTTGGTGAGCAGTGCTGGAGAATCCTGCGCAGGCGATGTTGCGATGGCTGTTGGTGGCATCGTGCCTATTGGTAGACTGCGTTCCTTCGCCCACAGTTATAGTCGAAGATCTTATTCCAAGAGCGGTTACTCTTTATTGACTATATTGCAAGTTGCTGAAGCATTGCGATGCTGATTTGTATCCAAGCTTCAGAGGTTGGAGGTGGGATATGTTTTGCTTCGACTGGTGGCACCATCGGGGTAGATATGGTGTGCGTGCGATGCGGACCGAATCGGACATTGGAGAAGACGACATCTAAACTGTGATTGCCTGAGTTTGTAATCAGCTCTTACTCATGGCATGGACCAGGCGATATAGCCTGGGTATATCGTTCGATAGTGTATCGACTTGGAGATGTTCGTTTGTTGGAGTTCTTCTTGCGACATCATGGCGTGATCGCTGCCGCTCATCGCAACTCCAAGGTGCTCAACTGTATATCCGATTTATCTTTAATCCAGCATGAACGTCCGTCCCACAACAGTCAGCTTGGGCCGTATACCAACGTAAATAAGTCAAAAATGGCAGAACAAACACCAACCCAAGCTCCACCGGCATCCACCACGCGCAAACGCATCCTCCTCAATGGCTTCGATATGTTCACAGTAGGCCATCTCTCCTTCGGACAATGGAAGCACCCCGCCGACCGCGCAGCGACGAAGCGGCGAGACCTGAACTACTGGACCGACCTGGCAAGGATCCTGGAAAAGGGCGACTTCAACGCACTGTTCCTGGCGGACTCGTTCGGGCTGCATGAAACATACCAGGGCGGACCAGATACCGCGATTCTGAATGCGACGCAGTTTCCGATGGGGGATCCCAGTATCGTACATTTCACTATGTCTCTTTAACTAGTTGAATATGGAGTGTGCTGATATACGTTGTAGCCGATTACGGCGATGGCCGCTGTGACGAAGAACCTAGGGTTCGCGATAACCACATCGACCTCGTACGAGGCGCCCTATGTAGTTGCGAAACGGTTCTCGACTCTGGATCATTTGACTGGCGGCCGGTTTGGGTGGAATATTGTTACCTCGTGGAAGGCTTCTGCGGCCAAGGCAGTATGTCTCTCTCGCTCTTTCATCCATTATATACTGATGCTGGTTAAGGTCGGGCTCCCTCTCGTCGAGCACGACAAGCGGTATGAGATTGCTGATGAGTACTTGCGTGTTTTATACAAGTAGGTCCCCTCATCCTCCATCCTCTAAGAGGTATTGTTAACAATCCAGATTATGGGAAGGAAGCTGGTCCGACTCAGCGCTCAAAGAAGACACCCAAACTGGCGTCTACACCGACCCCAGCAGTCTCAAATTCGTGCACCACCACGGGGAGAACTTCCACGTCGACGGCCCTCACATCCTCGATCCATCGCCGCAGCGCACGCCGTTCCTCTTCCAGGCCGGCACTTCGCCAGCAGGGATCGCATTCGGTTCAAAGCACGCAGAAGGCGTGTTTGTGTCCGCGCCATCTCCACATATCCTTGCGCCCCGGATTAAGATTATTCGTGAAGAGGCGAAGAAGGCTGGCCGTGATCCACAGTCAATTAAGGTTTTTGGGATATTCACGCCGATTCTGGGGCGTACGCAGGAAGAGGCTGAAGAGAGGTATCAGGAGGCGTTGAGCCTTGCGAGTCCTGAGGCTGGGTTGGCGTTTTATTCGTCGAATATTGGTATCCTCCCTAGCTACCGGGGTGTATTTGAGAAAATTCGCTAACGGTGATAGGTATCGACCTGAGTAAATTCGGTCTCGACGAGGAAATCAAGGCATCTGATGTTCATGTTGACGCTCGGGTACACTCGTCTATCAACACGCTGTCCTACCACGGTGCAGACGTACCCAAATGGACACCGCGGAATATTGGCAAGCTGATTTCCATCGGTGGTAATGGGCCTCTTGCTGTTGGGATGGCGGACAGAGTCGCTGATATCATGGAGGAGTGGATCCGTGTTGCGGATTTGGATGGGTTCAATATTGGGTACGTCTGGACACCTGGGACATTTGAGGATGTCGTTGAACTTTTGGTTCCTGAGCTGAGGAGGAGAGGTGTGTATGCTCCCAAGGGCGAGAGTGGAACGATGAGAGAGAGGGTTTATGGCGCTGGGCAGAGCAGGGTGAGGGATGATCATCCGGCGGCGCAGTATCGGTATGAGGTTTATGACGGGAATTAGATGGAAGAATGTAAGAATTACATGTAAACGCCAGCGGAGAAAATAAATAAGGTGATGGGGAGACTATTCGTCCCCCACATTCTGCTGTAAATTTTCTGTTTGCCTACTCTTTGTTCTCCAGTTCTGTTCAAGATTGATACTTGCAACCACAGTTTTATACAAGCTCAGACCAACCTTTCCATAATATACTTCTCACATCATACGTTCGATATCTTTATCATCCGTCAAGCCGACATGATAAGAGTATAATTCTGGTTTCTCTGCTCTCGTACTGGGGTACAGCGTCGCCTCCGCCTCGAGTCGCGCTTCTTCCACCCACATCCCTAATGTGGGCTTGATGTGCAGCACTCAGGAAGGCCACGGTCTTCAGCAGAAATGCCCATAGAATATAAATCCAGTCCTGAGGTATTCATTCCTTCAACAAAGAGTCCGTACTCTGCGTATTCCATATGGTGCCTCAACAATGTGTGCTTTTCATATGTCCTAGCCAAACTGGGACGTGAAGCCCTGTTATAACCCTGATTACCTAGTCACACAATCATGCTGGATATAAAAGGCCTTTATCTCTGATTTTTATTTTCCTTCCTTCCATCACCCAATCTGAAGTTCCAACGGCTACATCATACGTTCGATATCTCTAGCATCCGTAAAGCCGACATTATGACCACCGATAAAGAACCACGACCAATGCCCCTGATACTTCGCTTGCCAAATGAGCTCTTAATGATGATATTCGAGAGCCTCTCAGACAATGGAGTTGGCCAGCCTTCCGCCACTATCTCGTCAGAAGCCATCGACGCGAGCCCTAACAAGAACAATGCCATCACGGTCGTCGCCCGGACCTGCAAGCGATTCCGTGAATTGGCTACAACATACCTCTCTCACAGAGTGATACTGCGCCGCTCTAGAGACGCTCCGGTGCTATCAAGCCGGCTGAGGGCCTATCCACACTTGGCCCAACGGGTCAGGAAAGTTGTGGTGTACGAGTATAGTGATGTACTCGCCGCCACTCGACCAGGCTCGACTCTCTACCAGGTCGCCGCAGAGAAACCTTATTTAGACGAAGGGGTGAAGGATCTCTGGCTTGCAATGTTAAAGTCGCCGCTTTCTAAAGGTGAAGGCGTCCGTGCCTGGCTGGAGGTACTCCGAGATCGTATTTTGGATCTCATTGAGCTTCTTCTGCTCGTTCCCCGTGTAGAGCTCTTTCGCTTTGTTGGACGAGCGATCCAACACAGCTCCTATTGGCCGCCTCTCCGAGTTGATGTAAACCCCTTCCAGCATGCCTTGATTGTTGCAATATCCTGTCTTCAGGATGCAAACTTGTCAGCCCTCAGATCTCGTATCCTTCCCAACCTCAGAGATGTCCACGTATGTGGACGAGGTTCGGCTGTTTGGGAGTGTGCTATGGGAACAGTAATGCGTCTTCCTAAAATAGAGACTCTTCGTCTCGATCAATCGGCCGAACATGGCGGTATCTATTTCCCTGTCACCATGGGGACAGGAGCATCGTCCACGCTTCGTCACTTGGTTATCACAACACCATCACTGGACCTACACAACCTCTCCGCCATGATCCGATCAATTGGCCGTCTTGACACTTTTCACGCCATGTACCGATTCCCCTTTTTTCCATCTAATACCATGGATGAGTTTCTAGCGTCCCTCCACCGCCACCGCGGATCTCTGAGCGAGCTCAAACTCACTGACGAGGTTCCCTTTCCCTTCCAGTACAGCCCCGTCCGGTGGGATGGATATTGCAGCCTTGTGACTCTGCATGTACCCGACTACCTGCTATTCAGGCCCTGCAGCAGCGTATCCGATGTTCTTCATGTACTTCCTCCGCATCTTATCTCACTGGGAATTATCCCATGGACATTAGGAGACCCAAAGACAACTGAAATTGTCCGCGGCCTAGTCCCAAGTTCGCACAGGGTCATAACTCTGCGGAGTATCTTCATACACCCATCCCCTGGAGTTAGGAGGCGTAGCAGAATTCGAGGTCTAAGCGACAGATTCGAACGCCGGGGCATCGTCTGCAGATATGATCCAGACGCATTTGTGACCAAGTCCTAATGGGTTGTATTTTGCCTCTTTTAGTTGTCACTAGTGTTGCTGTCGTGTTTGCTGAGCCGCTCTGCACGGTGTTCTGCATTTATGTGTTCTCGTTCGTCTTTGATGTGCTTCTTGGTTTGTCTCGTCAGCCGTTTGGCAGTCCTCAAAGAGCAGCTCTCCCTGGTGCCGTTGGTCTTTGGGGAAAAGTTTTAGTTGGATACCCCCGTTTCTGAAGATTCTGTCCGTTGGTTAATACTCAATGTAAAGGTTCCTCCCCGTCCGGTCGGATATTTACATAGACTTCAAAATCATACAAATCTGTCCTCACTGAACCCCGCTCCTGCTTGGTTTGCGGTGATAGAAGCTCTTTGTATATTAAACAGTAGAAGGTGAGTAGTCTACAGAATTTACCTTTTATGCATGCTTTCGATGAATAAAGTAGTATATTTTTTGTTCGTGCATTCCCCCAGACCTCCTCATATGTAAGTTCGCCTGCTCGGTACGCCGGCTGATTACGCCGTGCGATCCAGGAAATGTCGAAATAGTTAACCATAACAGAATTAAAGGTGTAAAAGGACTTCTACTAGGATTATTGATATTCTTCTTCTTGCAGGGGGGCGTGTGCCCTCAAACACTGTTTATGGCGGGAGCACATGAGAATAGCCCTAACCTGGCCGCTCTCTTTCAACCACCAACACATCTGTGCATAGGCGACTCATCAAATGCGCAACTTCAGCGCAATTTTTATGCGTTTTTGGGCTATTAATAAGACTAAAAGTCTGACCTGCCACGTATGCTACACTGCAACTCTCCCTTTGATCTCTTTCGCTGTCGTCGAGATATATCGCCTCCCCGCTTTGCATCCGAACTATTCATGCAACCCATACGCGCACAGCGCTGTTGACTTCTTGATCTATAACTAATAAGTCATCCCATTTTCTCGTTTTACTCCTTTCTGTTGTCCAACATTATGTCGTTACCTCAAGGATCCCAACCCGTCCAGCCCTCCCGGATACCCTACGATCTTTATTGCGAGATCGTCAGGGTTCTGGGAGAGGCTGCAAACGCACGACGTGAGAACCCATCCAGGAGTTGGATCGATCCGCATCGTGCCAAGGGAATACTGGTAAATTTGGCACGTGTATCAAAAAACATGAAGGAGCTCGTGTACCCACACATCTACCCTCATATCGAGCTCACATCATCACAATCTCTCAACGGCCTCCTCTGGACGCTAACACAGAACCCGGAGATAGCACATCGCATCAACTCTCTCGATGTCTCTCATGGACTTTCCTGGACTCACCAGCATAGTTGGCCACATCCACCAGTCATCCATCAGATAAACGATCGCGAGGAACTCGCCCAGCTGCCCCTTCCAGGCATGCAATCTGATGTTAGAGTTCTGTGGAGGGGGGTGTGCAAGAAGGTACCCACACTTGCAAGGAGATGGAGTTATCACCCAGACGTGCGTAACGGTATGCTACACTTGGTTCTTCTGCTCCTGATGCTTCCGAATCTTCGGGTTTTTCGATCGCTGCCTTGGGATCGTCGTGGCAAGGCCGAGTATCTACTGAGCACGATCATTATGAATATGACGAAGACGCACGCGAAGCGTTTCTTGGGCAGTCTTGAGTCGTTGGAGATCGTAGACTTGAAATGCCGTAATAACGTTGGGTTTCTCCGGAAAATGGTGCTTCTCCCAAGACTACAGACCCTCGACCTACCCATTTCTGGGGGGATGCGTGTCTTCGCGCTCGATATAACCCACGCAAGGGAACACTCTTTACCATTACAGAATGTGCGGATTCAATCGTCGGCCTTCTCTCGTTCCTCTCTGTTCAACCTCCTCCGAAGCATCCAGCGGTTGGAAGTCCTGCATTATCCCATAACGGACTATATCCGGCCCCCAGTGAACGGAGGGGATGGTATCAAACGGGCCCTCGATAGGCACAGACAACATCTAAAGGAGCTTAATTTGGTCATCGATCACCATTGTCCCAATCGCCAAGAATCCCTGTTTCTAAGGTGGCCTTTGCCGCTTTATGGTCTCACCCCATCTTGGTCGTTTGCAGCCTACTCTACCCTGAGGGCCCTGCACATTCCCGATGTCTGTCTAGGCTTCGGCAATAGCGAGAGCCTTCGAAGAACAAATCTGAGGACTTGTCTTCCAGCGTGCATAGAGACCTTGGCATTGATGACTCGGGTTGCGGACATTGACCGCACCGATTATATCCGGCAGCTATTGCATAAATGCTTGGCTTTTCAGCGTTTGGAACGCATTACGTTGATTCAAGTTCAGAGGGATCTCCATAGTGTGTCTCCCAATCCCACAATCTGCCACCCAGCGCCAAAGTGGCGTGTTGCATTTGAATATGTCAGTTATGCTTGAGAACAGTGACGTCTTTAAGCTGATGATCTGGATTGTGGACTGACTCTTCCGGTTATGTCTGGGAGATATAGCAATAATTCTTTTTCTCTCGGCATAAGCAGCTGTGGTGTGTTTGTCACGTACGATGACGGACAAGATTCATGATATTCTGGGTGCGTTGTTAAGTCTGAGGTGATGACTTTCTGTATTGGCGTTTATCGTTTTTGGTGTGGTTTTCATTATCTCTCCGATGTGGGAAACACTTTTGTACCTAGTCAATTTGGAAGTTTCGTGTTTTCCTTTTTGTATGATGCAGTCAGTTCGATTATATTCAAAATCAATGTCTTGCAGTCACAACGTGCCTGGTCTTGTAGTTCGTAGTAGTACGCAGTAAAGCGGCACCAAATCTTCCCGATACGGACATCGCTTATCATCACGTGGTACCTCCCACCAATCAGGTCCACGCCCGATAAGAGAAAAAAAGATGCGAAATTGTTGACGGCAAGTCCAGACCAGCATTCCATCACCCCCCTCACTCCTCACCATGGGCAAAGCCGAGCGAAAGAAGGGCGCCAGGGCCTCTGCGTCACCATATCAAAAGCCCTCCAAGGGCGGCCAGGGCGCAGCAGGCAAAGCGGGCGCGGCCCTCTTCAAATTCAACACCGACATCGGTCAACACATTCTGAAAAATGGAGCGATCGCAGACAACATCGTGGACAAGGCGAACGTCCAGCCGACCCAGACCGTGCTAGAAGTCGGTCCTGGTCCGGGTATCCTGACGAGTCGGATCCTGGAGAAGGCGAAGAACGTCGTTGCGGTGGAATTGGATCCCCGCATGGCGGCGGAATTGACGAAGAAGGTGCAGGGGACGCCGCAGGAGAAGAAGCTGCAGATTGTGCTGGGCGATTTCATCAAGACCGATTTGACCAAGCTGCCACAGTTCCAGGTCGTCATCAGTAACACTCCTTACCAGGTTTGTACCATTTCCTCTCTTCCCTATGGCGCTGCTAACTGGCTTGTCTTTTGGTAGATCTCTTCACCCCTCATCTTCAAGCTCCTCGCCATGCCCAATCCCCCAAAAATGGCTGTTCTCATGGTTCAGCGCGAATTTGCCCTCCGCCTGATTGCTCGCCCCGGCGACGCCCTCTACTCCCGTCTCTCTGTCAACGTCCAGCTCTTCTCGCGCGTCTCGCACGTCATGAAAGTCGGCCGGAATAACTTCCGTCCCCCGCCCCAAGTCGAGTCCAGTGTCGTTCGCATAGAGCCCAAGCCCGGCCGTCCTGAGATCAGCTGGGACGAGTGGGATGGTATGCTTCGGATCTGCTTCGTACGCAAGAACAAAACTCTCCGCGCGGGGTTCATGGCAACCAAGATTCGTGCCATGATTGAGCGGAACTGGATAACGTGGGCTTCCATGAGTCCGGAAAAGGTTGCCCAGGGTGATATCGATCTGCTTACCGGGAAGACGCCATTCCCTGAGAAGTTCGCTGCGAAGGAGGGCGATGGGGATATGGATATGGATATGGATGGGGCTGAGGATGACGCCGCGGGACCGATTGTTGACGAGGACGACGTGGATATCTTTATGGGCGAGTCCGGGAACAGCAACAAGGGCGCATCGGTTGCGCAGACAGGGCCCATCATCACAGTTGCATCGCATCAAGTTCCTCGGACTATGGTTACCCGGTTGATTCAGACTAAAATCGAGCGGATTTTGGACCAGGCTGGGTTGGCCAATGCGCGTGCGAACAAGTGTGACGAGAACGATTTCCTCCGTCTTCTTGATTCTTGCAATTCCGAAGGCATTCACTTTTCATAATGGGTTTTCAAATTACGAGATGCCGTCCCATCAGCGCGCAGCCTTGCAAGCTCGCGAAATCTCCCCATGCCTCCGATTACCTCCGTCTGACCGAGTTCTGCCAGATACGGCTTTGTGAGTGGTGCTGGACGCTGCTCTACTCTACACGCCTACCGCCGGCAGCTCCGCTTCCGACTGGTTTGTATCCGGGGCCATCCTTTATAGAGAAATCACGACCAAAAGTGCTATTTATTTATACCATGTAGCGTCGAATAGTATTTGAGTATTAATGATACGAAGTCAAGAGTTATGTACGATTTATTGCGTAGTAGGCCCAAAACTGAGCAGTTGTAGTTGGTTCAAATCAGTATTTTACCGCTCGGTTATATATACTATGGTCAAGAGCCCTGGCAAGAAAAACCAATGATTGATGATCTAAACATTTTCCGATTTTTTTGTGACTATTTAAAGGTATTTTAGGATCTTTTTATTGGGCTTTTTGTTCCCTTCCTCGCTTTTACAGGCCAGAGACGATACATTGACGTGCATTGGACATCGAAGCCCAACGCGGTGGCCTGGATGGGCTGGATGGGCCGGGAAGTTTGTTTGTGTGAGACATTTTGGTGAAGTTCCATCCGTGTCGCTAATGAGCTGACGCTCGAGAAAAAGAGAGTTCTGAGGAAGGAATACGAATAAAATTTTGCCCTTTCCTCGTCAAGCGTGGATCGACTATGGATCAGGGGTGAGAAGTCAACAACTCAAGTTCGCGGAAGCCAAACGAGGGCCTGTATTGAGAGGTTGTGTAGGTCAAATGATAGTGGGCTTGCTTTCCCTCTAGTCAGATAAGTGCTCCTGGAGACGGGCTTTGAAGCGGAGAACAAAGACACAGTGTCGTTGCTTGACGTTCGACTGGGCTGATGGAAGAAAGGTACGATCTTGGTGCTTGGTGGTAGTTGTTTCTTCATGGTTGCCATCTTAGGGGATCAGTCAGATGCATGCCCCAGGCAGAAAGATTTTGAAATGATAAGACATAGTGTAAATATCTGATGTTTGAGCAGGGTGATCGAAACGAGAAGGAAGCAATCATTGCCAAACCGAATCAAAGGTTGACAATAGTGCTCTAGGACACCAGGGTTAGGTGGAAGAAGGCACCGCAATCCATTTTTGTTGGCCTTTTTGGCTTCCCCGTCGCAGGCGCGGACCCACAACAGGCACAACCAGGCATTGCCGCGGAGCAGATATCTTATTTCGGGCATTCGGTAATGGCAATGAGTGTTCGGACAGAAGAAGCCGCGATGGAGTATCGGCAAGGGAGACACAAGAGACACCATTCGACTCCTCACACTCCTCCCTAGCACAAAGAAACCAGCTTTGTCCGTCCATAAGTCGCCTAACCGATTGGATCGATCAACCATAGTAATAAGGCACACGTCATGCCTTCGCGGGTTCGACATTTCCCGGGGCACTGACGATCTCGTAATAAAGGTTGTAGGGTAACCAGGAAGACTGGATAAGCTCGGCAGGCTGAGTGAGACCACAACGCGGAAAAGCCCACCTTAGACACAGGGATTCTTGGCGATTGGGACGATGGTGATGGATGACCAGATTAATCTCCTTTAGATGTTGTCTGTGCCTATCGAGGGCCTGATAATAACATAATTTCGAGAGTAAGATGAGATAGGCCGAGAAAATTGGGATGAGATATTCTTTTACAGATCAAGAGCATTCCGCAATGATAGAGCGTATGATGAATAGGCCGGATGCAAACGGGTTCTTCGCCTGTTCACTCTTTGATGATATGATTTTGTTCCAATTAGTTACCACGTTTTGGACGACCGTGACAAAGCACCATCGGGTGGTCTCGTTGGCGGTAAGACGGGTTATGATAAAAGGCATATATTCTCGTTCAGCCGGTATCTTGAGGTGTCTCGTGTGATAATAGATCCAGACCCATCGCTGACATATCACAGGAGATTCATGTGGATAAGAAGCACCAGCCAAACGGGCCACATACTCCAGTCGACATGTTTGGTACAATTGATTGTGGTAGTTGTTTCTCCATTGTCGTTGTCTCGTGAGCTTTGAACGGATGCCAAAGATACCAAACGTAGGGAATAGTCGTTGGAACTTCAGACGGGGTCAGGGAAGAAGAAAGAATGGAAATGAGAGAGGCAGGTCTTTTATATCCAGCGTGTTGTGTGGCTGGTTCCCTGTAGTGCTTTATGTGTTCTTGTGTAGAATAAATGAGGAATATTGCCAGCGATTCGTCCGACGAACCGAAGGTGGTTGAGATTCGAGACCAGCAAGTGTAGCTCAATGAGGTCCAGAATAGGATCGCAAAGCATTCCTTTCCAGGAATAGAGCACCCCAAGGTTATTATTAAGTGGCGACTTTCTATGACAGCCCGGACGTGTTTCATTTCATCCGAACGAGGATCCCAGCATCGTTGAGCGAGATTTCACTCTTTGAGGTGGTTCACTTTGGACATAGAAACAACGCGAAACTCGTGTAGACTGCGTATCCACTCGTACGGGACCGCAGCTGGATAGATGTGTGTCAATGGCTGCCATGGTTGCATGACATACCCCCAGCCAACGCCATAAGTTCGTTATCGATTTGCTCCGAATCATGGAGTTTCACTCTGCGATGCAGAGTGATATTGCAGTCAGGAAGTCATTGCATGTGGATCATTCAACCTGGTTGGACAATCTCTATCCCCCTTGATGCCGGGTTTTCCCCCTTGTGATGCTTCTCCTGGTAATGCCCGATGGTGGATTGTTAGATCTTGGGGACCTACTAGTACATTCTCGCAGGCAAACAGAGAGCCCAACCCGGTTTCGATGAGTCGATGTAGTATGATGCCAGATACTATTTAGAAATGAGGCGGAACCTTTTAAGGGACAGGATAGAAACTGCCAGACCGTCGGCCCTACGCCAGGTTTTGTTGCTTGTTGCTGGAGATAGACTTCATATTTCGAGAACAGAAGAGTCTAGGACCATCCAGCATCACGGCAAAGCGGAAGCGCAGTCGTAGGAATTGAAGATCGTCAACCCTGATAGCTCGGATGGTCTTGCGGTGGAAATGAGTTCGATGCCGTCTTGTGAACCAGAAGAAGCAGACAATTGTCACTAGTAAGGTCGCAAAATCTCGGCGCTGGCGAGATGGTGCGAAAAGTCACCAATATTGATATCTTTTGTGTTGTTGAAAAAGATTAAACAAAACCGTCAGTCAGATTTCCGTGCAATTGTGGCTTTCCAGTTGATCGTAGCCCAATACCCGACAGGCCGGTGACCTACCATCGAAAGTCGTCGAGCACATGGTCCAAACTGGGTCGCCAACCCCAGTGGCCTGAACGGCAGAGGAACGGAGATATGCGCGTTATACCGGAAGCCATTGATATCAGGGGCCCGTTCTGCAGATGTTGCGTACGCCTTCATGTGCTTCCAAAAGGCTGCCGCGCAAGTCCTATCTGTGGAGCACCAGGACATCCCCTGTGAACTCGAGCCCGGGGATGCAGTGGAGGGCCGACATTGGTTGGTGTGACCGGTCATAGCTCAAGGCATCGGCAAGAAAACGCACCAGTGGATTCCATATTTCGTGTTTCCTGGGGGGGTTGTGCGTCAAGAGTACCCTCCGCTAGTGGCCTGGGGCCTGACATCTACAAAAAGTGTGCAAAACAATGAGTGGAGGGCAGGCGAGCATATCATTCATTCGTATCGTCGGTCAAACCTGATGGAGGCAGAAGCAGAAAACCATAGGCGACAAACGATGGAATGGCGTGCACATCGCCAGCCCATCATTTTTCGTAAAATCCGACGGGAGTCATGGTTTTGATCCTGAAATCTCTCTTCAAACAGTAACCAGATGGGTTTTCCGGATCTGTTTACCAGGCCTTGCTCTGCGTCCTAACTCCAATGTCCCAACCAGAATCAGTTGTGTGTCTCGTTCCAAAAAAGACGGTGTAAGCCCCTACGGAGGCCCACCGTGCCTATTCCCAGTATGATAACAGTTGCCTTGGTGAATGCACCATAAGCAAACCGAGAAGGTGTTCATCGTCAACGAACATGTAGATAGGACAGTTGACGGGTTTCAATGGATTCTGGTATTGTAAACAGTCGCTATGCCCACTTGAAGCAGCCGACAGGCACCGCATGGTCCGCGGTAAAGGGCTCGAAACGTTGTGGCCCCTAGCCATAGCGATCACGATAAGTAAGTTTCAGATTTGAATGGATACCACACCACCTTGTTGATCTGTTCTCTTAGAAAAAGAGCAAATACACATTGCGACAGTCTTAATGTGGTTTTTACGTATGCCTCAACGTCAAGATAAACAGAAACACGCAATGTCCCGACGTCAGCCTGCCTTTCCTGTACGGCGGCCTGGAAAAGCGAGACATTGCCCTGTGACCAGCATCGCAATGGCCAAATCATTCGCACAGCTTGAGGTATGTGGGGTTTCAATGCAGAATTCTGGTCCTAAAATGAAAATCAAACAGAAGGAGGCTCGTTAGGCAGGATACAGCAAAGCAGTCACATAACAGTAGGTGAGCTAGCAGCCTGGTCACCCAGCAGCAAATCTTGCATAGGCTGCACTTCATCCTTCTGCGAGAGGCCAGAGAAATGTACTGGAAGGTCAGTTGCTTGATGTGGACTGGGCTGCGAGTAGATAGAGCGCACCCATGACGTGCAACGCTTGTTCCCCCCTGCCACAAGGACAGTGGTATTCCAGGGTGAGCCTAGCGTTTGGACTAGCAGTTGAACCACCGCTCCGCCGCTTGATATTAGATTTGGCGAATAGTGTGTTGTCGGGGGTACTTCTTGGTTCTCTGAGTTCGTCATTCGAAAATGGGCCTTGGGTGTGTCCAAGGCGATGGCTCGAGACATGCTTCGTCAGAATGCGCGGGAGTACAGAAGAGGGTCAGGCTTGGGGGTCGCATCTGTAGGGAAGGCGAAGACGTAGAATCATTTCTGCTTCCCCATTTAGTAAAGCGAGTTGGTTTAATAATATAGTAGTGCCATATCGAATTGTTGGTCGGGGAAAGGCCATTCCAGTAACATTCCTCGGCGGCGTCAGTCGAAAACATTTTGGAACACCTGTTTTGATTCAACGAGATATCCTGCGGGAGCTATTGGAGACTGTGTCCGATAGCTATGTCGTAAATTTGTTTGTTTTTGTTGTTCTAAAAAAGAGAACTGGTTGAAAAAAATAACCAAGTGTTGTCCGAGGAGGCGAGGCCACCGTCGCCCCGGGAAAGCATCAGGTAGAAGCCATCGGTGGCTGTCATTCGATGATTTGCCAAAGTTTTGCTTCTGCTGCTTGCAGCGACAGGTTGCACGTATTGTGAAAATCGATGGTCGGCAGATTAGACATTGTATTTCAGCCTTCTTCGACAAGCTTGCATTTAGCAGTCATGGTCGAACTTCCTAGTCGTCGGTTAGGTAGCGGAATCAAGGTCCAGGAAATAGCTGCCAGCTTTTGCATGCGCGAAAGTTAATACAATGAATCCATGAAATTGGAAGTCTGTGCATCTCGATAACTGAAAGGACGGTTTCGTTGGGCATAATTCCATCGCAAGCCGCATATCTATATAGACTGCTTGGCCAAGTGTTCACTGCAGTCGGCAACATGGTGGCAGGAAGGAGCTCTCACGATCATGATTCGTCTGCGATTGTTCATCTTGAAATCGATAGCACGGTTCGGCTTGTCGGAACGCTCTGGACCGGATACGAAATATAGTCGGACCGAATAGCAAAAGGGATGGCTATGGAAGACGGAAGAAAGAGAATTGGAATATCAGTTCGTCGACAGGACAACACAGCAAATGCTCTGAGATATGAAGGCCACCATACGCCAGGAAAGTATTTTTCACAGGCGAGCGCGAAAAGGCCCCCGTAGTTGCTTCTGATTTCCCCCGAAGTCAGAGCGTGGGATTGAGCTGTTCCGCCGAGCTGCATGATGCACGAAACACAGTAGGTTCGAGAGGCTTCGCAAACAACACCAGATGGTTTCTGTCTGCACATAGAGATTTTCTCCCGGAAGTTATACTTCACCCACTGACCATTCAGGGTACCCTGGCTCTGGTTACTGGGCAGAATAGATATCTCGGATATAATGACGAGTACTAATTCCCAGAGCCCTAGCAAACGGGTTCGCCGTAGGTATGTCGAGCTGTATTCTGCTTCAAGTTTCCAGGCTGATTTGGCCCATGGTGTGGAACAATGGTGTTCGTAGGTACGCGTGGAATGACTTGATGTAGTCTGAGCTCTCCTAGCCGTGCTATGCTGGGAGGGCTTCTGATATGAATGTTTGACTATTGATTTATATTCTCGCTGATGATTCCATTTTGACTTCAGAGATATCCAAATAGTCGATGTTTGTCAAAGGCCACTACTTCGGTGCCGAACCACGCGGACCGCACCATGTAAGTCCAAAATCGCACTCTTTCGACTGCAGTGCTTCGACATATCGCAGTCTACCGCCACAGTAGTGCTCCAACTGCTCAGCAGCGATGCAATTTGCTGAACTGTCAGAAGGCTTTTCAAATAGTCGGAGTCGGCAAGCACGTCAAGCAGGACTTCCCCTATCAAATAGTCCACTACACGGACCGGGCTAGCACCCTTGTATTGTTATGACCATACCAACAAAATCGGAGTCGAGCGTCATTGTATAGGTATGTCCGCCTACTCGAATCATCGTCTGCGTGAGGCAGCCGAGCGGGCCATCCAGATACCTACCTCTCGAAAACGTCGGAGGGTCCTGAGTTTGGACGAGCACAACCAGGAGCCTCATTTCCTTCGCTCAAACGCATTTGATATAATGTGCCAAATAATATCGTCATACACCCATCAGGTGGCGAATGTGAAATCGGCACGTTGAGAAAGCAGGCTGAGTCGTTGAGCTCTAGGCCAAGACCAGCCCAGGGCCACGGTAAGAAATTTGACTCGACAGGCAGCAAGCGTGATGCGGTCCATCCAAATACCAGACCTAATTGCGTACCTGTATGGAATCTCGGTTCCAGCCGGGCATCCAAAGTAGCTGCGAGACCAATGAGGCAGTTCAAGGCATTGCAAAATCTCCAATCCGTTTTCGACATGCTCGGCCGGCATGGGTTTTGTGCAAGTGTGGTACTGGGCGAGAAGCAGTTGCACTCCTGATGATTATTGTAGGCAGGCCGAGCACATTCTGTGAAGCGAAAGATCCCCGGTATCAGATCAATTTCGGCCTTGATGTATCTCGCAGCAGGGTGATATTGTATTCTCGTCATTGATCGGCACGCCGTAAGCCGGAATCAACCTGGAACTTGTGATAAGATGAATAGGAATCTCAAGGATAGCGACATTCCACTACTTTCATGTCTCATCCAGTTTCCGGCAACAATATGGAGCAGCCTGAGGGGGAACACGTCAACACCGAACCGCCCAGGCGAAGCCCTAAAGGGGGAAGCCATAGTCACGGTCAATGCAACTGGTGCAGCGTCGTACTTGCCCAGAGCCTCGTCAGCATTGACCAAGAATCGAGCTCAGAGGAGCTGTAAAGAGTGTAGCACTGCAATGGCTATCGTACGTCAAATGTTGCAATATCATCGACTGAGGCCCAGAAGGCTGAGCAAACCTTGCGACAAAGCACGGTAGGAACTCATCGATTGATCCAGCCAATATTTGAAGGCAGGCAGTGTTGTTTCTTCCGTGAGCTACACACGCTGCAAACACATCCTCCAGGCAGTCATACTCCAAAGACGCATTCTGGATCTCGTCGTCAACTGAATTGTGCATTCCTCAAGTGTACCGTGAGACATCTTTTGATCGTCTGAGAGATAGCTGCTTGGTCCAATATTATCCCGATTTGGGCTTCCAGTGTACCTCTTGGAAGGGCAAACTAGCGCGCTTGCGCCATAGCACGTTTTCCTGAATCAGACGGCCGTTTCTCGATATCGAGCGGCGGTTTTGGCACGAGTAGTCGTGGTGTCCATGGATTGTAAGTCACGAAGCTCAATTTAAGGTCGCAGTCGATGTCAACACATCCAAATATTCTTCTCGTGTTGGACGTGTTCCCCCAAGGCGCATTCTGCATCTCGTCATCAACGCTTCCCAGTCGTCTTTCAGTGTCCAGCAGCTCCCAGCACAAGCACAGTCATGTCGCCCCATGCGCCTCCCTACTAATGAATACTTGGCCAGCGAAAGTCCCTGGCTCAGGATGTTCGTGCGTTTGGGCTTTGAAGAGCCGGTATGTTGCGGGTAACAGTTGCCGCCATCCCAAAAGCCAAACCTTGTGCCACGAGGAATGTTGGTGGGCGTATCCATACTCCTAGATTAGAAGCTTTATGACCCGCCGGAGCCCATTGAGCTGCTGTACACTGAGGCCATTGCTCATGATGTCGTCGTGGTAGATTTTATCCCCTGAGAGATGCTCGAAAATCATCACCAAGCTCTCATCCGGTAGGTGTGATATCTGGGAGCCTGACGAGGAGGCAGTGTCGTTTGAGAATCACTGTTGGGTGGCACACAGTTTTACCTTGTTGATGGCCCTCGGCTAAAGGCACAATCGCGCGGAGTATTGGTCATTGTAGGGCACCATTGGCTGCTGTTTGGTCCGTGTGGTAATATGCCTGGTGCGTTGCGATCTCAAGTAGCACCGAATAGCCGCACCTCGAATATTTCGTTGAAGTGCAACGTTGACTCATCAAACCAAGTGTCCATAACAGCGGGTGGACATGGGAACAAGGTTGCTTTGAACTTTCCGTGACCTTCTGCCAAAGTTTCATCGACAGATCCAGATAAGCGAGCATCTTGGTAGATTTTCGTAACGTCCAATAAACGCCGAACGAGCAACGTCATTGACAGTAAAACCGTGGACAGCCAAACTGGCTACAACGACGCCATTAGACGGTGTATCACGCTTGGGGTGGAACTGTATTGCACAGAGAATCGGAGATATTTGTTGTAATCCGTTCTAGAAAGTGTGGCCTTCATAGCAGTGTTTGCTGATGTTCTTTGAATACCAAGTGCACAAGAACGCTCCTGACTGTCGTCATCGCTGTCCATGTCCAGCGATATGTGAGATTGAGACACCAAATAGAACCCATGGTTCAATATCCAGTCCACAGATGCTCATGCGATTTGCTGATGATATCTCCCATCAGGGATCGCCCGCAACGGTGTTGTCAAGGAGAAGCCGTTAAGCATATGGTTGGCCAATGTCACCAGGGACTGACGGAACTGGGATTCTCTGTGAGACAGGCCGTCTGTGGCATCATGGTGGGCCAGGTTTCCAGAAGTTTAAGCTGCGGCAGACAACTGTTCAATGCCTCGTGTTCAACCTCGCCGTTTGGTAACTGTCGATAAGCCATCGAATGAGAGCCGCTACTGCAGATAGCTGCTTTTTGGGATACCATCTTGTAACCAAAGGCGATCCACCAGCCACATTCTGTACATAGAACCATGACGGAACAATCCCTTGAGGCCTACTCCGGATTTGAACACGTCAGGATTGGATGGGAGATGGAGGGAGGCTGGCTTGACAATAAGGGGAGACCGTCTTCGTCCTTGTACAGCTCGTCCAAGCTCACTGTACGATGAAAACGTGGGCAGCTCCATAATGGACGGCAGGTCTTGTTGGAGGACCATGACAGAATATAATCCGAAGGTTTGATCTGCTTCAATGCTTCGCCCCTGTCTTGGGGCGGGATGCAATTAGTCTAAACATAGATGTCTGCCTGGGACAGACTGCAGAGACCTTTCTTCCACAGTTTCAAATCCTGGTGGCTGTGACATGAATATCTTGCGGTCCTTGACAGCTGGACTCGCTGTGCACTCTCGCTCCGCATTGGAAGACTCATCTGGGAAAGACGGCCTGCTTCCAAATGTCTCGGTATAGCGAAGCCCTTCAACGGTGTCGAACATGATCCCTGATCTTTTGGAACCATACCTTGCCGGTATCTGCCAGGTTTCTCTGTTGCAAGCTGGAGTTGGGAAAGGAATTTGGGCATTGAATTCGGTACCATGGCTGATGCCTCCATTAAATCCCCCCCAGCGAGCGGGCAAACGACACATATCAAAGATGTTTCCTTCGCCGCATCGGCGAGCAGGTTGCGCTTCAACATTGATCGATCAAGGCCAGTAAAATGTAAAGCGAAAAAAAAAATCCACAATCCATAGAAAACGCAGAGATTGGAGATTGGTGACGTCGGGTGAAAAGTTTAGAATCATCTATCGATAAGTGGGCGGCGGTTGTTCTGTCAAAGACTGGGTTATGGTGCGGAATAAGTCAAACTGATGCACAGAATGTATCCATACAGCGCTCTCCACGGTAGATGCACAGCGTCGCCGCTTTCTGAACATACGACCACGGGCCATTTTGCGATAGCTGTGATCATATCAGGAACAGCATTTTTCGGTTTGGTGAAGGCAACGAAAACACTGCATAGCCAGTAGCACGTTATCTGGCAAGGACTGGTGAGTCGAGAAGGAGCACAAACCACAGTATCGGTATCATACAGCCGCAGGACCTGACTTCCAACTGCACCATGAGCGTAGCCTGCGTGCTTTTGATCCAATAATCTGACATATGACGATGTAGCAGCCTGGTATGTCGTAACAAGAGGACGAGCACAGGGCCAGCAGGGCGTGGGAGAAGGATGATCGGCGCCACTGCCGGATCCTGTATCATCACCTCAATTTCTCATCATTTGATGAGCCTATCACCGGGGTTATGGGCTAGTTCGGTTGGTGAACCCTCAATGGCTCTCAGCATAATAACGAGGCAATGTGGACACAAGATGATGGCCCAAACTGCGTAAAAGGTATCATGTTTCGCGAACTTGAGGCCCGTTTGCCATGATCGATATCATGAAAGGGTAGTAAGAAGCGGAAGCGTAATCAGCACCCTGAGCCTCACTTTGCCGTTTTGAAAGCGCTGAATATTCCCAGTTTATTCGTGGCAGAACGAGCAAGGGTGCATCGGTTTCCTCAAGGCGATTGGGATTGTTGTTGAATGGAAACCATCCGCATCACTCGCCAAAGATTTTGTTTGTTTGATTCTAAAATCAGGGTGCGTGGTCAGCGTCTTGTGTCTTCGTTTTCCCGGCAGTGCTAGGCAGTCATATGAAGCTGTAGTGATAACTCACCTGAAAATATCAAGATTGCGAGACTGTTCTCTGGATAAAGCTGTCCGGCACGAACACAAAACAAAAAGGCCAGTAAGGCAAGGGCACTGAATTATTGGCCAACGCTCTGCATCTGGGCTGGGTATAGGCTGGTTGGGCTTGAGGTTCATGGTCGGGTAGTCCAGCCCTGTCCACAGACAAGGTAGAGTGTAGACCAGGGGCTGTCCGAGAGGAGAGATAAAGAGAGGAAAGAAATGAAGGTGAAGTGAGTTTGTGTCAGTTGTTGCGTTGGGGACATGAGATTGAGTGTGAGAGGAACACAAAGAGCAGCGTTTGACAGGCTTAAATAAACAATGTGGGCAGAATGCCTCAGGCTTTGTTTACCTGCTGGCGAAGAACACAGTGACGAGCTGGAACAGTATCAAGCAATCAGCGTCTGTCCTATGCTTTGCTTCATCATATTCCGGTGGCAATGTCGCCTACACATCAATATTAACTCTGATGTAGAATGAGGGTATTCATTATCCAGAATCCTACAGAACAACCTTGTATTGTTTTGAATAGCTGGAAATCTCGGTATACTCCTTTTGGAATCGGTGAGACTATGGCACGTCTGGTGAATACCTTCATGTATTCACCATACCCTTGCCTTGCTTGCATCTTGAGCTCTAGACCTGTCTCTGGTGGCGAAGTTGCTGTTTCCATTACACTTCCTCCTTGTAAAAGTGAAGCTATCCTGTAACTGTAGTTGTCAATGCCGGAGTCTGCGATACACAAAGCCATCTAGCAAGCGCGGTTCTTTTTGTATCTGGTTTCCAATATCGTTGTCTTCATTATGGCGTCGTTTCCCACTCTTTGTGGTTCTTTGGCTCCACAAATTCCACAGCACAAGTTTTTTAAACATCGTACCAGTATCGCTTCGTCTTTCATTATGAGCCTTTCTAATGCCCCCGTAGCATCAAGACCTAGTTATATAGCCTTGCAGTAGACCAAATGAGTCCGGCCATAAATTACGGATCTGAATATACTGGCCACACATTGAAGACGCCCCGGAGATACAATCAATTCAGATCGTAAAGATGTACCGACTGATAAGCCTGCTTCTGCTGCCTCTGGCGCTCACATCACCATATGTGCTCACTATGTTTCAGTATCTTGCTCGAATAGCACAGCCATTGTTCTTCTTCATCGCAGGCGTTACCCAGAGGCATGTACAACACAGGGTGATCCTCATAAACCACTATCTCTCCAGATTCCACTGCTCCAAGAAGTGCCGGGCCTTTCTCATTGCCTCTATCAGAAAGCATCGCGTAGGAGTGACCCTGACGAACTGTCTTGTTGCGGTGTCCAAGATGCTCCCGGTTGATGTGCGCATTTTGCTGTGGAAGATGGTGGATTTCATATCCAACACCATTCCCGGCAGTGTCCATATTCTGAAGGACAAACTCTTTTCTGACCGTATGACAGCTTTCTTCGTCTATCTGTTCGTCTTCAGATACCTTCGTCTCGTCGTCCACCTGGTTTCGTTCTGGTGCTTCTACCAGCCAGCTCCTGTTCCCAAGAGACCGACCGTTCGTCCATCCGACTGCACAATCATTCTGCCAACCGTTGATCCAGAGAACAGAGATTTTGAAGAATGCCTCACTTCATGCCTGCTGAATTTCCCTGGTGAAATAATCATTGTCCCAGTTGGCAGTGCAATGACTGAAAGAACAAAGTCCATTGTTGGCCCTTACCAGCAGCGGTTCCCAGAGACAAAGATTCGTGTCAAAACCTCCTCTGTCGCTAACAAGCGGATCCAGGTCGCACACGGGCTCCAATACGTGAACACGAAGATCACTGTCCTCTTCGATGACCACGTCTTTTGGCCCTCTGCACGCTTTCTTCCCACGATCCTAGCCCCCTTCGAAGACCATCGCGTTGGTATTGTCGGCACCAACAAGCGCGTCCGCCGCACCGACACTGGCTTCAACATCAAGTCCTTCTGGAATATGCTCGGTGCTCTGTATCTCGAACGTCACAACTTTGAGATCCGAGCTACAAACGCAATGGATGGCGGCGTGTTTGTTGTCTCTGGACGTACCTCTGCCCATCGGTCTCAAATCCTCACTGACCCCAAGTTCATCCAGGGCTTCACCAACGAGCGCTTCTTCTTCGACCAGTTCGGGCCCCTTAACGCTGACGACGATAACTTCATCACCCGCTGGAACGTGCGACATGGATACAAAGTCAAGATCCAGTACTGCCGGGACGCCTGCATTGAGACTACACTAGGCACTTATCCCAAGTTCCTCTCTCAGTGTCTCCGCTGGGTCCGTACAACCTGGCGCAGCAACTCGGCTTCACTCTTTACAGACCGCACTGTCTGGAGTTCCCAGCCGTGGTGTGTTTATGCCGTGTACTTAACCTCGTTTGTGAACTTTGCCCTATTTTACGACGCTGCGTTGGTATACACTCTGGTCAACAGTAAGCTCGGCAGCGAAGTACCCGGTGCACTGTCATACCTTCTCCGCTGGATCTTTATATCCAAAATGGTCAAGCTGACACCTTACTTCCTTCGCGAGCCGCAGGATCTTATTATGCTCCCGGGGTACTTCTTGTTCGCCTACTTTCATAGTCTGATCAAGCTCTATGCGGGCCTTACCTTCTGGGAGACGAATTGGGGTGGGCGGAACCTCGACGCTATTAACAGCGGCGCTAATGCGCAGAATGCAAACGTTTCTGAGAAAAAGTATGTTTCCGAGCCTCGTGCTCACAAGGTGAAACATGCTGACCGCGTTCCTGTTCAAGAAACGCCCAGGTTTAAACCTGCTGTTCCGTCTCCGCGTTTCGACCGCAAACTACCCTTCAGTCCGGATACGCCCATTCCTAGTATTGAAAGCGATGCTGATACAATGACCACTCCAGTTGCTAGTAGGGCTTCAAAGAAAACCGTTGGAGCGGCAGGTGGTAGAAATGGGCCTTCTGGTGCTGCTCGCTCTACTACAGGTACGGCCCGTCGGGGACGTGGACGGCCTCGGAAGAGCTGATCAAATTTTGGCCAGATTTGGCGTAAGGATTCCTGGAAATTTCTTTTTTATTTATTTATGGAATACCCTCAAATCTATTCTATTCCATTACAAAGTTCGACCATTACATCGTAGCTTTTTGGTGCGGAATAATATGGCCTTCGCCATCGTCCAGGGTAGGTACTAATTTCATCGCTGCCTTAATACCTAGTGGCTTCTTACAATTTCCTCCTTCTGATATATCAGACATTCAGCTTTTTCACTCTGTAACGTCCACGTACTGGCTGCTTATATATCTCTCAATGCCCCCTTTCTGACATCAAATAGGTACAGAGAACATATACCCCAATATATTGGCGCCTTGGCATACGCAGTTCAGGAATATCAAGCCGCCATAATCTAGTTTTCTCCCCTCCTAATACTCCTTTGTGTCTGCATACAGCTTCAGCGAGCCCTATTCTCTAAAAGGCCCGATTGGCACATCAGCATTCACCCATGACTGCACACACAAAGATAACGCCCCCCAAACTAAATTCCTTCCTCCAACTTCCATCCTTTTGAGGCCAATTCATCAATTTCTTCCCTTGAAACGCCAGCTGATACCACTTCCATTTAGCTTCCAATCAGTGGGAATGATGAGTCAAGAATCTCCTCCTGACCGGTCCCAGCAACACCGCCGGGTAGAATGGAATCACCGTGAAGGCCCATCCCTTTTGGAGTCGACGACAGGATGAGTGTACCAACCACCAATGGCAATCTCGTTTTGAAAATGGAGGTCACCGACGGTGTAAGTCTCAAACCTTTGCCTGCACCGCGCCTGAGTAACCCCAGCAATACCCAGGGTACAAGAAGAGCCTAGTTGGGGAAGTGAAGTCTCGTTCAGTTTCGCTTGCGGCGTTGGCATTAAACAAAAGTATCACTTAATCAGCTGCATGACACTCTCGGTGCAGAGTATGGGAACCGTTCGGGGCAGGAATCACCTCTTACACCAGTGCATTGAGTGCTAGTGTCCCTTGGCTCATCCCGACCAATATCTCTTTGTCCAAACTCTCTGCTAATCTACTTCCGTATTAGATACGAGACCTGCCGCGATGATAATTATCATTTCCCCTTAGTCACTTATACTATGGATCTCTGGGACCTGCTGCGATTGGGCGCCCCTGGACCGGAAGCGAGCTCCGGAATATCTAGGTTTGAGGATATCTAGATTTGCGGCCTTGGCTGATCTTTTCGTCCATGGACGGGAGGGGACTGACTGGAAATATGAGTGCCGGAAGACTGATGTTGACGCAGGAGCATAGGTATGGGCATGGTGCTGAACTCGGAACTCTTAGTATGGCACAGGACGTCGGTGAAGGGTCATGCTGTACTTAGGAGTAAGTAATCAGAAATCATAATAACATAATTCAGATGCGAAACTTCAGGGTTCAAAATCGCATCAAAATTAGCCCTCCTCTGTTCTTTCCTGGATACCATTGCAACGGGACATGCATATATATCCTGGTGGTCTATTTGACGACAGTGGGTGGCTTTGGATGGTCGTCATCGGCAGCCCCGAGGAGTCACCGAAAAGAGCAGCGATGAGATTACCAAACCCTGAAAATGCGAGACCTGAACCTATTGCCGTTATTAAAATTGAACCATCCGCTAATTACCTTCTACAACAAGGCCGTTGTTATAACCAGTTTTGACTCCCAATTTTGCGCAAAGGCTACCCATCACCATCACATATTTCTTGCTCCACCCTAATTCGACCCTGGCAATTTCGAGACGTGGTATGATTTAAAGCCTGTAAAATCTAAAAGCTAATATACTTCATGGTCGAGCTCCGATACGTGGTGCCAAAGTCGGATGGCTGGGGAAGCGGCAAGTTAGGGTTTTGCTTCTCTCATGACTCCATGACAAGGTCTGCCAGCAACTTCTATTTCAAAAATGCTACATCCTGAAATGAACCTACGGACCACTCTTCCAAAGCATAATACGTCTCAAAAAGCCTTATATTCCCCCTTCGCAGCTCAAGTTCTGTCCGCATCACTTTCCCCCTACAACTACTTCTCGTCCATTATGCCGCTCATCAAAGACAGCAGCAACCAAGCAGCCAGCAAACCAAATCAACGAAATATTACAATTCCCTTCAACCGATGTGCTTTCGCTATATACGTGCGCACCTATCGCCCTATCCAGATTGAAAGACTCCGTCGCCAGCTATACAAGCTTCTTCTCGGCCGCACGACGCCGCCTGTGTCGCAGTACCTGGACGACGGTGGCCTGAACGATGATGTGCTAGACGATGATGACGGCATTTTCTACTGATCTATTATATCTCTCTTGCCTCTACATTGTACATTTACATCCCACTTATCCCCATGTCTCGTCGGCACAACAAAAGGCTGCAGCGACTCTTCATCGCCCACTATAACGCCAAACTCGCACATTTCCCGTATTCCGACCACCTTACATTGACATTTACCTCCATATAAAGAGATATCAGACCATGGTCTCAACGATGCTTCATCAATCAGCCGACACCGACTGACCTGCCAACCGCCTGTTCCTCGACCAGCATCATACAATATCAAAACGGCTATTCACCGAATATAACAAGCCAAAACCATTAGCCCACCAGGGCCTCCTCACATGACCCCCTTCGTTGAGAGCGTTCGCATTATAAGACCCTAGTGGCCATTTTATGTATCTCGTACTCATGTCCTGTTTGTTTTGTATCATACTCATGTACAATGCAACGCACGCTTCTCTCAACATCTTATCAGTTCATCCGTAGTATTTCTCCAGATGTAGTTCAAGGGTGGAAGTATATCATAACTGGGTATCAAGTCCAACGCCCACGCATAGGCCGCCTTAAAGGGACCATGGTCCAAATCCATCTTCCATTCCTCGTTCATACTTGCTACTTGGTACGCCCTTCACCCACTGCGCATTTCCTCAATTATATCCTATTCGGAATACTCCCACTGTCACCACCACTTGCCACCTTTACCTTACACTCCCCCTCTCCCTCCCTCTCAACAAAACAAGCAGTCCCATAAGCACACACCTGCACACAAGCCCCAAAGCTCGCTATATCAAAACGCATCGCCACCACCGCATTCCCACCACGACCCATACACTCGCCCACCAGCCTCTCAACAGCCTCATTGCGCGCTCTATACATAAGCGTCGTGAACGGACGCAGCTCGCCGCCAATCGCGGACCGAACGATCGCGCCGAGATCTGCGCCCCAGTTGCGCGCTCGGACGGTAAGCCCGTACACTGTTCCTAGTGGTTTTGTGATTATGTATCCGGGGACATCGTTGGTTGTGACGGTTATTACGCCGTGCGTGTCTGTGAAGCAGGACGGGATGTTGTTCTCGTCTGGTTGTGAGGTCATTGCCTAGGTGAATTGAAAAAATTTGAGTAGCGAGAATGATATCAATGGGCTCTATAGAAGTAAATAATCTGGAAATTATGCTTGCAAGGGTAGCTTTATAGTCCCATGCGGCATTTTGCTGACGAATTACGCATGAGCATTGGTCTCGTATTTGGGTCGGATAACGAGTTCAAGCGGGGATTCGGTACTCTATACATGAAATTGAGAAAGAAAAACGGGGTTTTGAAATAGCTCCGTGATAGGCTGATAATGATTAGGTAGTGATACTGGCATTGGATTCGACAATGGTTGTGGGTTGACGGTCGGCACCGAAAAAGAAGTGTGGACGTATGCCGGCATTATTTACAAATTTCCACCTAGTTCTCGCCCAAGGAAGGGGCCACCAAGCAAATCAATTGAGCTGCAAGGGTAAAAAAATAAAAAGCAAAAGAAAATAAATAGTCGCGCCCGGGCTCGAACCGGGGACCTCTCCGGAACCAATCCGGATAAACACTGTGAGCGGAGCGTCTTAACCAACTAGACCACGCGACTGGTGATTGTTAAACTCAGTGCAAGCTGGCTATTTTAGTACAATGAGGGCAATTCAGCAGTACATCTATTGTCGGCGGCATTCTTATGCTTCCGAAACATAACAAACCGGGCCATTAAAAATTAATCAGAGGTCTAATTCATTCAACCCCCTAAGTATCGTTTCTGCTTCCAAAATATGATCGGCCGTTGACTGTTCAGGTGAATTACACGGCAGTTGAAGGAAAGTAAACCCAGTTCGAGTATAAGACCCGGTCATGCTAGTTCGAGCAGCCGTTTTGAATCCAAGCATAACCTCACGACTGAAATTTGGATAGTCGTAGACGTTTTCGTAATTGTCATAACCTCATGTATCGAGTCGGCCTGTTCGTCGGAGTCTTCTTTCCGCGCCCCAAGGAAGCTCTGTTTGGTCTTTACTATCTATGTGGACTGGTCCACCCCCGGGGGGAATGGTCGCTGCTCGTGGACATGGCCGCAACGACAAACGCTGCGAATTCTGCATTAACCAGGTGAAAGGCCCTACTACATACCATCGACGGAGACAATACCAAGAAGAGCTAGCTGCTGAACAGAGTATGGGCTTTGGAGGGAACTACTTATTCAGGAGCATTGTGCATAATCTGAATATGAAAAGCATGTTCCTCCTGTTAGCAGATAATGCAAACGCAAACACGGCCGAATACCGCTAGTGGTCTCTTATCATCGAATAGTATGTCGATACGTACCTGCCTCCTGGAGAAACATCGGGGCCACGGGGAGAACGTGACGGGGATGTACCCTAACTCGGGAATTCCCCGAACCTCACATGTTTGTAGAGGAGAGGTTCTGTTAAGCCCCAACATGCCACAATTTACATAGCCATGGCTCTACGAAGTACCTGATGAAGGGAAATCAATAAATATGCTTGAATAGTCTAATGAAATTGGTATATCTCTATATGCAATACAGGATCAACCTCTAAACGCGCCCATCTCTATATACAACGGACACCGCGCAAAATGTACAAACAGAAGAAAGAGACCGCACCGGATCTATGCATTCTCGGCATGGTAGGACTTGGACTCTTTGCGTGCGCCACGGGCGTCATCGTGGTACGAGATGGTAGGAATCTCGTAGCTGGAGCTCTTCCAGGGCTTGACCTTGTTGATGTACATCCAGTCAAGCTCCTCAAGAGTACGGTCCTTACCCTCGATGACGAAGAAGTAGACAACACCTGTGGCGACGAGGAGACAGCCTGCAAAGACATATCCATACGCGAAGTCAATAGCACCCGTGATAAACGGTGTGAAGAACCCGATGAGGAAGTTCCAGAGCCAGTTGGAAGCCGTAGCAAGAGCCATACCCTTTGCACGGTATTTCGTCGGGTACAATTCTGCACAGATGGCCCATATCATAGGGCCCCAGGTAGTGGCATAGAAGAGGACGAAGAAGCAGGCGACGACTACCATGCCCTTTCCGGGGCCGGGGGTGTTCTCCGGGGTCTCGACGTCGAGCATGAAGTGGCCGAGGGAGGCGAAGATCATGAAGAGGATGAACATGCAGATGGCACCGGTGATAAGAGACTTGCGACGACCGAAGTGCTCAACGACGTACAGACCGCCGAAAGTGGTTCCGAAGTTGACGGCGCCGAGGATGACTTGGGTGATGAAGGAGTTGGAGATACCGGCACCTTGGAAGATAGTGGTACCCTGATTTGTCAGCAAACCTTCAAAGGTTCAAATTTTAGGGAACTTACGAAGTAGAAGAAGTAGTTGGCACCGGTAAGCTGCTGCAGGGCCTGGAGAACAATTCCGAGCACTATGCGGTAGAACATCCGGGGGGCGGTGATGAACTCGTGCCAAACTGGCGACTCCTGGGTCTCGGCGTCGAGCTGAGCCTGGATCTCAGCCAGCTCGCGGATGATGACATTGTGGTTCTCAGGCACTCCGTAGAGGCGCGCCATGGTGGTGCGGGCAGCGTCGATTTTTCCGTGGCGGTAGTTATATCGCGGACTCTCGGGGAACATGGCCATGCCACCACCGAGGACGAGGGCGAAAAGGAAGGTCAGACCGAGAGTGATACGCCATTGGGCAGTACCTTCGAGACCCTCGGTTCCCAAGTTAATGCAGTAAGCCAGGAAAATACCGAGGGTGACGAAAAGCTGGTAGGAACTGATCATGGCACCACGGACGTGCTTAGGGGCGCTCTCTCCCTGGTACATAGGCACAACAAGCGAGCAACCACCAACACCGAGACCAGTAACCCAACGACCTACGACCATCTGGGCCCAGTTGCCGTCTGGAGCAGAGATCTGAACAATCAGACCGACAATGAGGATGAGACACCACACGGTGATAGACCATTTACGGCCAAGTTTATCGGCGACGGGAGCACCACAGAGAGCACCAATGAGTGTTCCGACAGACAAGAGACCGACAATCAAACCAGAGCGGACGTTGCTGAAAGCATAGGAGCCGTCGCTCTGGAGTTCACCGTAGCGCTGGAGGTAGTTGGACATCTCTTGGAAACCAGAGATCTGACCGGTATCATAACCGAACAGAAGACCACCCATCGACACGAAGAGACCCATGACGATGGCACGCAGTGTAATCCGAGGAATAGGAGTATCGACACCAAGCTCAGCAGGCTTTTCGGCGCCGATGGACTCCTGGCTGGAATACTGTTGCGACTGGGGAGCAGGGGCGATGCCCTCCCCATGCTGGGCAGTAGACTCAGAACCCATTGTGATATCAGGAATTGGCTGTCACTACGGGTAGAGAGGAGATAGAGAAAAAAAAATAGATGAGAAAGAAAATAATGGGGGAATGCGGGACATCTGGGGATGTGCAGCAGGCCTTCCCCTTTTATAAGGCAAGCAGGCCGGAAAACATTCCAACGTAAGCAGGTCCACCGCATGGCAACGAGTGCAACCGTCATGGCCGTGTGGAGAATTCTGGAAAGGCATCGCTGGCTGTCATCCAGACATTTCGAAGACGTACGCTGGTTTGGTAGCGAAGGTCCACCGACTCCTGAGTCTCTTCCCCATACGGAGAACTCCGCGAGAACTCTCACCCGGGGAGGCAGCTTGAGCGCAGTGATAGTCTGGTGTTCTACGAATTTACGAGGCTTCTACGCAAGGGCGCGAGTGCAGCAGTCGCAGCAGTATGGCTGCAGCTGCGCAGACACGAGCTGGCGTGGCAGAGTGGCCGAGGGAGCCGGGAACATACGTGGGTGGCGCTGTCGGCTTCAGGCACGGCGCCGTGACGCTTTTAGCCGACAGAAACACGCTTTTGGAGGCCTTGGCCAGTGGTTCCGACCCGAGAATGCCGTGGAATCCTGCGGCCGGGATCAGAAAAAAACTCGGCATGCCTTGGAGGCGTTCGGGCTTGGCTGTGGCTGGCCTAGAAGATCAAAAAAGCTTCTCGCATTCTTGGATCGTCTCATGATGCTGTGCAGGTCAGACGACATTGTTGGCGATTGCCAGGCCTCGTGACAGAGAAAATGGCCCGATGACGGTCGCTGACAGTCTGATCGGGTCGCCCGGAAGGGACTGGAAGACTGGAGAAGGGCCATGCGGGACCGCGGAGCACAGCATGGAGAAGACAGCCTGGAGAGGCGATTGTTTCCTGAAAAGTTGACCGGTGAAGCCTCCCCGTGGCATCCCTTCGAGGGGATGAGGGGAACCCGGAGTATGGGGTGCGCTATCAGACACCATAACATCAACACAGCGTCATTGTGCGTCGTTGCCACTATCCTACGCGAACTGATGCAGGGTTTAGAGCCTGAAACTGAAACTGACTGTCAATCCCATCCTACTGCGACCGGACCGTGACGCGATCGGCTAAACGCAGAATCTGCTGCATTCCGAAGAAAAGCCGGAGTCGGCAACGAGATGAGGATTGCCACCCGACCCGACTCAACAGAAGTAAGCCGTGTGCAGATTCGGCCAGCCAAGCGACGAACCCACTCTAAGCTTTGTGGATTTCCTTGGCTCGATGGTGGCTCGTGGAAAATATCTGCCTCCAGGCTTGCGCTGTTTGCTCCCTCGTCATTGGCCAGTGTGGACATCATGTGACTGACCTCGGCAATCCTACTGCCTCAGGCATCACTATACCGGTAATAAGGCAACAATGACCATTGGACAGGTCTGGCCAGCCTGGCCAGCCTGTATCAAAGTCTGGTTCCATTCTGGACTGCTCAACGCCTCCTTCTGAACCAGAAAAAGTTGTTATGGCCGAAATCCCGACAATTGTCCATTGGTAGGCCGTGGGAGGCGCAAGCGACCACTGCCTCGCCGGCTACCAGGGTTTACGCGCGCTCTCACGGCAAAGCGCTGCCTCGTCGAAGGACGGGTGGTGATGTTATCTGGATTCGGCCTTCTAATTTTAAATCGACCATGTTTTTACGCGAACTTGCGTTGAGTGCAAATCATTTTTGCCGTTTGCCAGTTTCTCGCGCAGTCTGGGACTCAGAGCCCTTCAAACCATGCGGACCTCGGCAGTCAGCAATCAGCAGAGATTCATACAGGGGTCTGAGCTGCTTGGAGTTCATTATACTCGACCTTTAATTGTAGTTTATACCGTCCAATACATCTATACGATGAATACCCCAGATTCTCAATTCTCCACCACTCACCAAAGCACAGAGGCAAGATCGGCGCTGCGCTGCCCTATCCGACACGGATGAAACGCCTGCAGAGCCAAATATATTAAAGCCGCTTCATCTAGATCAGCCCACGCCAAATTTGCCCTTCCATCGCGTCTCGTTCCTGGAATAATTGGGCTGCAATATGCCGCGATCTTCCGTCAATTTAAACTAAACGGAGCTGGGCCCGGTTTCATGATTATAGCTTTGTTACGTAGACAGAAACGTAGACTATAAGACAGGGAACTCCCACTTCATTTCTAGCTAGTGCACTCAGTAATCTGGTCAATCTAATCATTCATTGTGAGAATGAAATTCTCCAACACTCTTTTCACCGCCGCCAGCCTGGCGCTGGCCAACGCCCTCCCCCAAGCATCCACCTCGACCCCGTCTTCCTCCGCAACGGCATCACCATCGCCATCCGCAACCCCAGGCGCCTCCTCCTTCGCGACAACATCCGGCCTGGAGTTTGTCATCGATGGCGAAACCGGCTACTTCCCCGGCTCCAACAGCTACTGGATCGGCTTCCTGACCAACAATGCCGATGTGGATACCGTCTTCGACCACATGGCCGAGTCAGGCCTACGCATTCTCCGCGTCTGGGGCTTCAACGACGTAAACACCGTCCCCGGCGAGGGAACAGTGTACTACCAGCTCCACCAGGACGGACAGTCCACGATCAACACGGGCGCCGATGGCCTGGAGAGACTCGACTATGTCGTCCAGAGTGCAGAGGAGCGAGGAATCAAGCTGATCATCAACTTTGTGAACTACTGGGACGACTATGGCGGCATGAACGCCTATGTGCAGGCTTATGGTGGATCCGACAATGCGGACTTCTATGCTAGTGAGGAGATGCAGACTGCGTACAAGGCTTATATCAAGGCTGTTGTGGAGCGCTATGTCGACTCGCCTGCGGTGTTTGCGTGGGAGCTTGCGAATGAGCCGAGATGCCAGGGGTGTGAGACCTCTGTTCTGCATCAATGGATCGAGACCACGAGTGCGTATATTAAGAGTCTTGATTCGGAGCATATGGTTTGCATCGGTGATGGTATTTTCCCCTCCTCCCCATATCAGCATGTTAATGATTAAGGCTGATGTGAACAGAGGGCTTCGGCCTCGAGACTGGTTCCGATGGAAGCTATCCGTTTGGATATTCCGAGGGATCCGACTTTGCGCAGGCCCTTACTATCGCTACTATTGACTTTGGGACATTCCATCTGTACCCGGATAGCTGTATGTCCTCCCGACCACGGTCGAACCCTAAGCACTGGCTAACAGAACAGGGGGCACGAACAACGACTGGGGCAACCTCTGGGTGACCTCTCACGGCGCAGCCTGCGAAGCCGCAGGAAAGCCATGCCTCTTTGAAGAATACGGCGTGACATCGGACCACTGCGCCATCGAGAAGCCGTGGCAGACGACAGCGCTGAACACGACGGGCGTGTCGGGCGACTTGTACTGGCAGTATGGCGATACTCTAAACACGGGGCAGTCGCCAGATGACGGGAACACGTTTTACTATGGAAGCGAGGAGTTTGAGTGTTTGGTGACGGAGCATATCGAGGCGATCAAAGCCAGTGGCAGGGGATGAGTCTAGGCGGGACTCCTTCGTACTATCCAGAAGTTCTGTTATCAGGGTTGTATTGCCAAGCCCTATATTCACGCGTTATCGGCAGGGGTGAGGTGATCCCCAACTTTTGTCGAGCGGTAGATAAAAAACACCTTTGGTAAACCAAATCCACTTTTGCAGGTAGAACTTTGTTTATCAACCAGATAAGAGGAAATAAGAAGAGACGTGGAAACCGTGGTAAACATATTCACCAAGCTTCAGGTGGCATGACATCCACGCCCTTCCCGCGACAACCAGCCCGGCTTATCAGTGGCGTTTTTGGCGCGGATTTGCAGCCACACCATGCGTTTTGTTTGGTCGAAATGCGGGGAAGCAGTGTTCGATGTGACTCTGCGATACGAGCTGTGACTCCTATAAGATAAGCGAGGGGACCCTGAAGCTTCTCCAGGGCAGCTCTTCCCGCAACACAACACCATGAGCGACAAGATCAAGCCCTCCGCCGCCCCCCATGGCGATCTCGAAACCGCCCCCGAGGTCAAGACCGGCGCGCTACAGGCCATGGTCGAGGCTGACCTGCTGGATGACCGATACCAGAACACCCAGCGTGGGCTCAAGAACCGACACGTCCAGCTAATGGCCCTGGGCGGCACCATTGGCACCGGCCTGTTCGTGGGTTCTGGACAAGCCCTCAATATCGGCGGCCCCCTCTCCCTGTTCCTAGGCTATGTCTTCATCTCAACCCTCGTCTACTGCGTCGTCACCGGCATTGCAGAGGTTGGCGCATACCTGCCCGTGCACGGCGGCACCATGAGCTACCACGGCTTCCGCTACGTCTCGCGCAGCATGGGCTTCGCCATGGGCTACCTCTACTGGTACTCGCTGGGCATCCTGGTCCCCTACGAGATTGTCGCCGCCTCGCTCGTCATCGAATACTGGCCCAACCCTGTGCACCTCGCTGTCTGGATCACCATCATGATCGTGGTCATCGTCGTGCTCAACTACTGCCCCGTGGGCGTCTACGGCGAGACCGAGTTTTGGTTCGCCAGCATCAAGATCATAACCCTAATCGGCCTGCTGCTGCTCTCCTTCATCCTCTTCTGGGGCGGCGGCCCTGATCGCCAACGCCTGGGCTTCCACTACTGGAAAGACCCTGGCGCCATGAATGCATATTTGGTCACCTCAAACAAAGACACCGGCCGCTTCATCGGCCTCCTGCAATGCATCGTCAAGTCCGCCATCGCCTTCATCTTCGCCCCCGAACTCATCATCGTCACCGCCGGCGAGATGGAATCCCCCCGCCGCAACGTCCCCAAGGCCGCAAGACGCTACATCTACCGCCTCGTCATCTTCTACCTCCTCGGCGCCCTCGCCATCGGCGTCATCTGCTCCTCCCAAGACCCCGCCCTCCTCACCGGCAACACAGACAACGCATCTGCCTCCCCTTTTGTCGCCGCCATCCAAAACTCCGGCATCCCCGTCCTGCGCCACATCGTCAACGCCGCAATCCTCACCTCCGCCTGGTCCGCCGGCAACTCCTTCCTATATATGTCCTCACGCTCTCTCTACGGCCTCGCCGTCTCCGGAAACGCCCCCTCAATCTTCAAAACATGCAACCGCTGGGGCGTGCCCTATATCGCCGTCACAGCATCCTCCCTCTTCTCCCTCCTTTCCTACCTCGCCGTCTCCTCCGGCTCCTACACCGTCTTCAACTGGCTGATCAACTTCACAAACACCTCCGGCTTCATCTCCTGGATCTGCTGCTGCATCGTGTACTTCCGGTTTAGCGCCGCCGTGAAGGTCCAGGGGATTGAGAAGCCGTATAAGAGCCGCCTGCAGCCTTACGGGATCTACATCGGTTTGTGTCTGGCCGTGTTGATGCTGCTGATTAATGGCTTCACTTGCTTTTTCCCGTCGAATTGGAGCGCGTCGAACTTTTTCACGGCGTATATTGGCATTCCGGCGTTTGTGCTGCTTTATGTCGGTCATCGCGTGGTGTTTTGGGGGGATCCGTGGGTGTGGAAGAGTAAGGATGTGGATTTGCATACGGGGTTGGAGGAGATTTTGGCGGCGGAAAGGCCGCCGAAGCCCAGGGATACGATTGGGAGGAAATTGATGGCTTTGGTTGAGTAGGCTTGCTTCAGTTTTTTTTTTTTTTTTTTTCTTCTTGTATTTATTTCGTGTTCTATGGTGAATGATGCAGTTATATTATGATTAGTGATTAGTATGGTGGTATATGGTGATATATGGCGGTATAGTACAATAAGATATTCAGTGACTAGTCGCGGACGATATAGTAGCCCCCCATGGATTCCTGCTCCACGCCGCTCCGCACCCCAACCCGCTCTGCCATCTTCTTTCCTTGTGTGATCAGATTCCCTGCACCGTCTCTGGTCCGGTCCAGCCATCCCCGGCGGTCTGCCGCGTCAGAGCCCCACAGTGGGTGATCTAGAAGAGCTTGCACGTATTCCGTGTCGTATTGATCAGCCAGTAGAGCTTCGTCTGCTGCTGCTTGGCGCGCTGCAGCCAGGTCGAGTTGTGTTCGTGCTGAAGGGGGCGGAACGTCCGGGCGGAGGAAGCCAAGGATGCGGAGGCGAATTGATGAAGGGGCTTGAGTAGGGGGTTCGTGGAGAAAGCGGAGAACCGCGATTTTGCGTGTCGTTTGCGAAAACGACACTGGTCCGGTAGCTTGGGAGGCATCCCATAAGCGAACGGATAGGATGACAACCTGCCAGGACTGGTCAGGGCCGGTTTGCACCCAGCCGAAGAAGTAACCCCGGAGCTTGTCTTGAATGTCGGATGGGATCTTGACAGGTATCCGCGTGGGATCAAGTGTTTGGGAAGCTCGTGCGGTGAAATCCAAGGGATAAGGTGCCTGAGGACCGTCCTCGACCGACGGCGGTGCAGCTGCATCTGGAGCAGGCCCCCGACCAGGTTGGATGGCTCCATATGCAGTTCCGTATGCCGTTTTGATGGCACTCTCCTTGACCCAACCTGGTCGGTAGCGATCCGAGGCAGCACCGGCTACCGCGGTAACCGGGGTCACTACCCTCGAAGCCGCTACCTGCGCGTACTTCCCAGCAACCATAGCGCCCAGTTCCAGCGGCATAGTTGTCAGACTCGCTCCACGTAGTGAGCTGGGGTCCATTGAAGTCGAAAGGATCCGGAAAACAGGGCTTCGGCACAGCACCTTCTTCTCCCCCTGACACAGGATGAGCTGGAAATACCCATCCTCAGCATCCGGAGGAATCCGCGCAATGACGGTCTCGCGGAGTCGGTGGGTGTCCCGCACCCGTTTGGAAGCTTTTTTGTAAAATTTGGCGATATCCCGCTGCCATGTGCGCTCTTTGTTTGGCTCGACTTGGTCAACACGAACAGCGAGCGGCGGGGTCACATTCACCCAGTCATCATGGAGCCCAAACAGCGCTTTCGCGCGCATTCCTGTCTTCCCGGACCATCCTTTGCATTGTAGCCAGAGCGAGCGATCGGCGGAGAGTGGGGTGTCGGCGAAGATCGAAACGGTTACGGAGGTTGTTGGGCCGCGGTAGAATACAATCCCATGGGAGTGGCGGAGAATAGAGTAGTGTTTCGTCGATTCAGAGGGATGATGGATGAGGCCACCGAGGAAATAGCGGGCGTCGGCGGAGAACGTGGGCTTTTCGGAGGTGGTCGCTGGGAGCGATGTTTCGGCGCGTGCAACGGCGGGACTGGGCTGGGGACTGGGAAGATCGCCGCCGCGGAGGTTTGGCTGGCTTCGATACCGTGGGAGGGAGTGAGGCGGTTGAAGGGACGACGGGTTGAGAGAAGGAGAAGGCGAGCGAGTGACAGGCCGCGGGGGAAGAGGGGGGAAGTACGACGGAGACTGAGGAGATAACGCGGACGCGGAATAGGGAGAGTAGGCCCGGTAGGGGGAGGGAGAATATGGAGGCGGCGGGTTCGGTGTCAGGGGCCGATGCACGACACCATAATCGACAGATGCGAGAGACGGGGCCGGCTTGCGCTTGATCTCCATTCGACCTAGATATGAATATTAAATGACAATGCTCAAATGTGGCGAGTTGAAGCTATTGCTGCCTTGGAGCTATATAGAGTCACGTGGGTCGTCCCCTGCCCAGACTCTTTGTTTTGAATTATGGGCCGGGTTATAAATAGACTGGATAACTCAGGGATCTTAGCAGATAGTAACTGATAATATATCAGAAGGATGTGAGGATAGAAGCTCGTTTCTGCGGGACTACTCTCAGAGTCTTCTTGTGGGCAAGGGGAAACGGCATATATATATTGGTTAACAGCATTGTTCATGTGGCTCATCTGTTGATATTCAGGGACTTTTGGGTAACTTCATAAATTGCCTTTCATTTAAAATGGACTCTTTCTATATTGCACTAACAAGATCAGTCAATGGGTGAGTCCTCACTTCCTGACTGAGAGAATGAGCAGGTGACTGCACGCTTCTTGCTTTCACTCACTCCCCCCATCACTTTCTTTCCAACTAACAAGCTCACCACGCATACAATTGTCGTGAAAACAATGGAAGGTGTTGCCGACTACCGAGGAAATTGGGAAGATTTTGCAAGTTGGAACAATAACAATCTATCTAGAATCAGGAGAGAAACCCACGCTCCTTCCAGCTGCACACAAACTTCCGCACTTGCTCTGCGCCCACTACTTCTTCCTTCTCCATCTCTCGCAATGTCCGGGAATGTTTTCTCGCCACGCATGTATCCAACGGCCCACGGCATGACATTCGCTCGAAGTTTTCCTCTAACCAGTCTGCCATGACGCCTGCTGGATTCTCTTTACTGCTCCCGTATTTTCTGACTCGTTCGATCCAGTCCTTGAACGGGACCTTGGTGACGCCTAGTTCGTTAGCCAACACATCCACCACACTCGCCCATTCCTGGCCAAGAGGGTTATCAACGTGATAAATTTCGGCAGGCATGTCTTCATCCAGCAATAGATCCGCTATGATACTTGCGGTAATATTCACCGGTGTCCAGCCCATCCGGCCCTGTAGAGCAGGGAACGCCCCAACGCTTTGCGAAGACTTCACTATGGCGGGGAAGTGCTCGGAAGTATTCCAGTGTCCTGTTCCTGTTGAACCAGCAATTTGCCCTGGGCGCACAATGGTTGCCTGGACTATCGCTGGGAATTTCTGCAGCATCTCCTGGACCACTCGTTCGCAGACAAACTTGGCCTCGTTGTATCCATTGCTCATGACTTTCTCTATCTCCGTGTGCTTTTCGAGCGCGCCGCCCCCGTTCACGGTCCCAATTGAGGAAATGAAGTGGAAACGGACAGGGGTAGACTGAATAGCCCCGATGTCTCTGGCCAAATCGATCAAATTTCGCAGCACACAGAACTGTCCTTCGAAGCTAGCAAGCGGTTTCATGCCATTCATCGGCCAGGCGTTATGGATCACATGAGTGACCTTTTCCTGCAGATACGCCCACTGCTCGATTGAAAGCCCCAGCCGCGCCTTTGTCGTGTCACTCTGCATGACAACTAACTTCGTCTTCTCCGTTGAGGTAAGAGATATCCCTCTGAAAGCGAATGATTCTGCTTGCCTCCCCTGCGGATCCATTTGGTCTTCCCGATTTAAGCATATAACTGAATGTACGTTAGGAAGCTTTGTGAGATGCGCGACAAGATGGCTTCCAAGACTGCCCGTAGCTCCGGTAATCAGAACGGATGTCCGCTTAACTGGAGGTGCAAACGAAGCTGATAACCTCGGTGCTGTGAACCCTGCGGTGCTTTCATAAATATACCTCTCGATAGCGTGCAACCTTTCCGTACGCCCAGGGGAGGCCTCCGAAAGATGGTCTGGCTGCTCTCTTGCAGTAGCAAATATCACACGCTGAACACCCACCTCATCCGACTTACCGTCTGTCCAATCGACATATCCGTATCCCGCCGCATGGAGGTCACTCTTCCACCGTTGCTCGCTCGTAATCGCGTGGGTCCGCCCGTCATTGAATACCCACCAACCACGGAATAACCCAAACACTAGATCTATCGCGAAAACGGGTTTGGTCATTTCTAGCATCATTAACACGCCGTCTGACCGCAATGCCTGACGCATATTGCTAGTCGACACCCGCAAATTCGATGTAGCATGCACTGCGTTGCTTGCAATAATAATATGATACGCCCCTTGTAATTCCTCTGCTGGCGCTTTTTCGATGTCATGAACACAATACTTGACAAACGAATAATCTCGGAACTTCCGTCGCGCCTGAGCGAGGAATGCTGGCGATATGTCACTGAAGGTGTACTCAACTGGCACTGCGAGCGACGACAGCAACGGAAGGAACCATTTTGTCCCACCTCCTGTGCCTGCTCCCATTTCGAGAATCTTCAAGGGCGCCCTTTCTTTTCTTGCGGACGGCGACAATCTCTCAACAAGTCGCCTGATAATTTCGCCCATCAATTTATATCCTGCCACATTGTGCGGCTCATCACCGTACATCCATGATACAAGCTGTTGGCCTTCAGGTGTACCGAAAATAAGCTGTAGCCCGTCCTGCTCTCCACGGAGTACGGAGGCCAGCCTGCTCCCGGTGTAGAAGGCAAGCTTACTGGCACCAGCATACTCGGGGTATTTGGACTCAATCTTGCTGAGAAGCGCACTGCCGGACTCGAGTGGCGCCGGAGTGTTGGTGCGGATGACCGCCATACCGTCGAGACTAACTAAATTCGCTTCTGCCAAGCGATGATAAAGGTAGTCGACGAGTGACTCATGCTGCGCATCGAAAGCAATACGCGAGAAAGTGTCTCCTGCACGGGCAGAACGAATATCAGTCCCAAGTTCCTCGAACGCCTCCAGTGTCAACACCAAGCACAATTTGACCAACAGCGGAGTGAAATCAAGAAGACGGCCACTGCATTTATTTTTGGCGAGGAATTCGTCTGTCAGTGCTTTGGTCTCGCGAAAGGCGCAAAGTACATCACTATAAGGCAAACTCAAGTCCATTGTGTCGGAAATGCTGGTAGCTGACTCGCTAGGGGTCATCAACCTTTCGGTGGTTACGACCTCGGAGCTGTTTGTAATGGTGTTACTAGATATACTGGCATCGTATTGCGTCTCTCCCAGGGCAGATTGCACCGCTTGCACAAGATCTTTGAACGTTTCTGCGTCAATGAGTGCCTCCACGGCCAAGCTGCAATTGAACGCAGCTTCCAACTCACGAGCGAGTTCCATCGCCATTAGCGAGTCAACACCGGCATCTGCTAAATGACTATTGTCCTGGACTTCGCTGGGGTTCATCGCGCAAAATTCCGCAACAACATCCCTGACTCGGCTGACCAGATCTTTCGTCGAGGGCTTGTCCTTTTTGATTATCCCCTCTGATTTATTTTCAGTTTGCCGTACCGAACCACCAAGTATCCGGATAAAGAGAGATTTTGCTATTCGCGAATATCTCAGCCCCAAGAACATTTCGACAAGGTCTCCATCGGGCGTGAATACAAAGACATCACTTGTATAACAACTTTCCGATCGTTGGTGGTGGGCCCAGACATGCCATACATTGGGTCTAGGAGTCTTGATATCTGCATACATGGGCGAGCGCATCCACTGCTCGATCCCACTGGCAATGTAAATTTCCTCATCAAGCTTATCAGTCATGCAGTTTACCCAGAAACCACCACATTGGCTAAAAGCGTCACACAAAAACGCGTCCGCCCAGGTTTCTCCGGAGAACGACTTGACAACCCGGCCGGCACTCTCGTTTCCCTTGCCAACTAGTTTTTGAACGCCTCGGTACGGTTCAGAATACTCCACTATTTCCGCAAATGAACGATATACATTGCGTCCTTGGAGTATATCATCAACTTCTGGATCTGAAAGAAGATCAAGGCACCGGACATGGCTAAGCAACCTTGCGTACCTTGCGAATTCTGCTTTTAGAATCGCATCATCAGCAGCATGCATAGAAATTCGCGCGGTGCAATGAAGAACCCGAGATGAAGATCCGGTCTGCCTGTCTTGACTACGGAACTTCAATTCCCAGGTGTCCCTACTATTCGTCTCAGTAGCCAACTCGATCCAAACTTCACGGCCCGAATCCAACAGCAGTGGCGAATCGCTATATACGTCAAAAACGCGAGGAATTTTGCCACGACTGTCCGAATGACCTCTTAGTACTTCGACAGCGTAATCGAGTAGTACAGATGCGGGTGCAATGGGCGCCGTTCTGGCGGCCACATGCCCTGACACAGCCGCCACATACCGGGGATTATCGGTATGAATAAGGTATTTTGCAACTTGATGGGCAGAGTCTTCGTATCCACTGAAGGTGAATAGAGGCTCTTCCTTCTTCACTGTTTTTCCATCTAGTGTATGGATATTCCGCACCGTAAGTGGCTTGTTTTCCATCCAATGCCGCGATTTTTCGAATTGGTATGGTGGTAACAAGATCGGAGTATACTCCCTGGTTTGGCTGCTATGATAGCCCCAGAATGCGCAGGGGATCTGATCATTCCAAAGTCCTATGGTGACATCCGTAAGACCCTTCATTGGAAATGTGGATGTGATATTCGCTCCATGGAACGTATGGCCCGATGTGTTGGAGTCCAATGCTTTTCGTACTATCGATGTTATTGTGGAGTTAAAACCCACCTCAAGCCAAGCAGACGGACCGTGGCGAGCAGCGAGACGTTGTACGGCATGTTGGAAATAAACAGGCTGGCGGAGGTGGTCTGCTACGATTGTGGAAGATGAAATCGGCTCGCCTTGGAGGATGGTAGCCCGCTCTATTGGAATGGTCGGATGGCTGAGAGACAGACCGTCAGTTACCCTTCTCAGAGCCGGAAGCAATGGGTCCACCAGACTGGAGTGAAAAGCATTCGTGACATCAAGGCGTTTTATTCGGAAAGCCAAGTCTCTTTCTAGATGACTTTGAAGGAGATCAATTCCCGAGGTAGGCCCTGAGATGGTAAAGCTTTGTGGACCATTAAAGCAGGCTACTGTCACCGGTGACCCTTCTAGGTAGCTATCCAAATGATCCTTATCCCCTTCAACAGCTAGCATGGCACCCGCGTCTGGGCCCCAGCTATCATGAATTAGTGCAGCGCGACGCACGACAACTGTTAACGCGTCTGGTAGAGAAAGCACACCAGATATACACCACGCTGTTAGCTCTCCAAAGCTGTGGCCGATAACCGCGGTGACATCCAAGCCGGAATCCTTCCAACTCTGCGCACAAGCGTACTGTAGGGCAAACAGTTGTGTCTGGAGGCTCACAGTATTTGAAATGGGTGAAGTTGAGAATATACCCGGGTAGATGCTTTCCTGACCAGCTTCTTTTAGAGTATTGTCACACAAATTGAGATGATGCCTGAGCAGTGGCAAGGAGTCAAATAAGCTGCGATTAAGTCCAACAGCTCTCCCTACCTGTCCACCAAAGCAGAGTATCACGGGGCGCGAGGACTTCCTTGCTCGCACTAGATATTGGTCTTCTCCCTTTTCTAACCTGGTGAGCATAGTGTCAAGTTCCAGAAGCGATTGTGCTTTGAATATGAACTGGTACTCCAAACCAGGGTTTGACTGCTTGGTAATGTTGAAAGCGAGATTTGCCAGGGTCTTCTGCTTCCCCGGGATAGACGAAAGGTGTTTGCGCAAACGTGCCGCATAGACCTGCAATCGGGACTTATCCACTGCGCACAGACGTAACGGCAATGATGTACCCTCCAAATGGATCCCTCCTGTTTCTGGACCGCTCTGCGGTGCCTGTGTGATAATCAATGATGCATTCGACCCACAAGCGCCATAGTTGTTGATGAGTGCTGCGCGAAATCCCGACTCCCAGGGTTTGGCACTGGTGTTTATTTCCAAATGGTCATCTGGCATATTTTTGATATGCTGATTCAGGGCGTGGAAACCAGGCTGTGGGGGTATATATCCGTTTTGTATCATTAATACAACCTTGCATAGGGAAACCATCCCTGACACACCCTCTGTATGTCCGACTAGACCTTTCACAGACCCTAGGGCAAGTTTCCCTGCTCTCCTCGGCCCACCAAGAACATCTCGTACACTTTGATATTCCGCTGGGTCACCAGCCTGAGTGCCTGTGCCATGGGCCTCGACGACAGTGATGTCCCTCGGGTGGAGATTTGCACGGCGAATTACCTTACTGAACAGGTGCGCCAACGAGGGCGTGTCCGGCACCACGATAGGTGTACAGTTGCTATTCTGTTCAACGGCCGTACCAGCAATTGTAGCAAAGACCTGGTCTCCCTGCTCAAGTGCATCCGATAGCCTCTTGATATAAATGGCTGCAAACCCTTCACCGCGGCAGTAGCCGTCAGCCTTGATGTCAAACGGCTTGCATGGTCCTGTGGGTGAGAGGAACGAAGCACCTGCAAGATTATCATAAGATAATGGGCTGGTAATAGCATTGGCACCACCAACCAGCGCTGCCCTGCAATCGCCGCTCAAAATCGCCCTGCAGGCATGATGTAATGCTACAGTCGATCCAGAACAGGCCGTGTCAACACAGAGCGACGGACCGCGCCATCCGAAATAGTGGGACAATTTCCCGGCTAGAAAACTGCGTAACAGTCCCGTCGCTGCATAGGCAGAAGCAGGGTGACAGTTCACATTGTGCTCATAATCAACTGTGCATGATGCAATATAACAGCCGATGTCTTTGGTCCTATCAGGGCGAGAAAAGTAGCCTGCTGACTCAAGGGCCTGGTACGCAACTTGAAGAATGAGCCGCTGTTGGGGGTCTTGCGACATCGCCTCACGCGGCGATTTCTTGAAGAACTTGTGGTCAAATGCGTCGATGTCACGCACAAAGTTTCCGAACCATGTCCGCTGAGTCGCATCAGGACGCCATGGAGTCTCATAATTCGCATAGCGCTCTCGAGGCATCTCGCGGTGTTGTGATTGGCCTGAACACAACAAATCCCAGAACTCGGACAGGTCGTCTGCGCCAGCGACACGACAGGCAATGCCCACAATAGCAATGTCGGTATCCGCTGGGGGACGACTGGCCAATTCGTGGTCACGGCTGATGGTAGCGGGAATTTCTACATCGGCGAAGTGGATCACTCGTTGTGGGAGGCGGCGGAGGAAGGTAGGCGGGATACATCGCTCTGGGCCGAACTCGACGACTATAGAGTTGGAATTGGAAAGATGACGTTCATATACAGCAGCGAATGTCTTGTGCCAAAAACAGGGCTGGGCCAGAACAGTGCGCAGGACAAGCTGGTGAAGAGGCCCTGAGCGAACGGGCTCTGCAGTTGTATTGGCCCGAGCAGGAAGGATCAAATCCGATGCATCGGGAAGCTGTAATCCTGGATGAGAATCGCAGAGTGCAAATAATGGTGCCAAATTCTTCTCATGGCCCAGCCAGTGATATCGACCGTTGAAGTCAACCGGGTTCGCAGAGAACCCAGCAGACTGCATAGCCCGTTGCAAGGCCGCAACATTCCGCCGCGGTGTCATGATGGTGGCCCGATTCTCGTCGTAGTGTACTGTTATATATGACTGTCCGGTCAGCCTCATTTTGGAAAGGGCCGGAGACTGATCCATACGCCAGGATATTCCTCAAGAAGTCCGCCTAACTCTCCTTCTAATTCTGGCCTCTTCCACCCGGCAGCTAAAGACGTATACTCCTCTTCCGCTTCTTGTGCCTCCCCCAATGCACCCAAAAGCATGGCTAAACGCATCGCAACGGAGCCCAATTCCTTCAGGTTCCCTGTCTTAGCTGCAGAAACGACAATCCCACTGAGAAATCCGATACAAAAGCCAACGATCTCAGCTACAGGGTTCAGCCTTGAACCAGACTCCTTTTGCCGCCGAGATGGCCTCGTCAGCTTCGAATACTCCACATATTGCACAAAATGCGTCATCATTAGCAACGGCGCCAGTTGCGTGTAGCTCAATGGAAACTTCGCCGTGGACAAGTCATCGCATCGAAACCATCTCTCTAATTCTTGGAGCTCCTCCTTCCCGCGAATCTTCTGCAACGATGGCAGATATTTCTCTTCCGCAGCGGCCTGATAGTAGCTCGCCAATTCACATAGCTCGTCGAGCATCCAATGATGTTCTGGGTTATCAAGCACTGCGGCTCGAAGTTGTCGAAAGTTGGTTGCCGTGAAGGTAAGCCATTGGCAGCCGAACACGAGAACGACGTTGCCTTTTTCTTCTGCAGGGCCTCGGTCATTAACGTTGGTGGTGCCCGGCTTAGTGGCGCCCCCTTCCAATGGAATTGCAGGGGGATTTCGATTTGCTGTCGGCATAGCAATCGCGGACAGCGTACGAGCAAGGCCGTTGGCTCCTTCAGAATGGCGTCGAGCTTCATGTTGGCGGATTGACATTGATATATTATCAGAAGTCCAGGCCGCCTGCTTGTTTGCTTTAAGCGCTACTTCCTATACGGAGCCCTATATAAACAGGGGGGTATCAGCTATGGACATTCCCATCAGCGTTCCACAACTGCCTTCGAAACAGTGGAACCTTCTGCCGTTCTCCTATAAACCCACCCATCAGTGATCCAAGGAACCCTTTGCTAACGGCCTGGACGTATTGCAGACCTGCACTTAATAATATAAGTTTTTGCTAACAACCCTTAGCATTAGCACTATGTCCTGGACTTTGTCCACCCGGAGTTTTTGTTTTCTCTTCGCGCCACATCGGCATATCTTTTCGGGCTGTCCAACCATCCTGTTCCACCACGCGCTCACCTGGTGCATAATAACGACTAGGTTTATACAACCCAAATCAACAGCGTGAGGTCAGATAGTATCGGGAAAAGAAATTGTCAAGTTAGCGAAGCAATGCCCGTGGTATACGTTGCTTTGTTTTATCCCTTTTACCAGCATGAGCTGGGGTATCTTGTCAAATGCCCGGAGTATTGATTTGACGATTATGACAGCTTATTCCAGTTATCGCTTGACCAACCATCTTGGGAGAGCTCTAAGATTGGGAGGTATGCTAACATATATATAGCCATGGGGTAAAAGCAATAGCAGCAGTATCTTCTGTGCAGAGTATGAGTTGATTATCTCTCTTAAAGATGATGCTTCCTTGGTAGCCCCTCCAGCATGCTACCAATTCTTATACAATCCGATATAAACGTCGATATATGAGTTATGTGGCAGAAATGGCCCTTGTCAAACATGCACCGTTGGCGCTTAATTAGATATCCCTTCGTTCAAAGCACCTACACACACAATGACCCTCGGGGGCTATGTGGCGCATTTTTCACTCGATCAAGGTCTCCAAGACATGCCAGTACCTCCTGCAGCATCTCATCGAAGCCTCCATCAAGGTAGCCATGCCCGGCAAAGAATTCAGTGCACATCATTAACGGGATCGGAGTTAATGGGTGGACCTAACTTTTTAGCCGGCACATCCAACTATAGGGGGGAGAACATCGGGGCTTACTTTAAAGTAACCAAGCTGTCCCTGCAACTTGACCAGATTGACTACCTCATGCGCAGCCATGACGGACAATCTCTCATACTCAATGATTCCCAAGAGCTGGTCACCTGTCTTCCAGGTAATAGATTCCAGCACGCTATGCAAGAACAGGACCATGGCTTGGGCAACGATACGAGCGAACATCAACATCGGATCAACCTGTGGGGAGACTGAGAGCATCTGGATGCGACAGCTCAACATCTCATGTAGCCATTGATGGCGTGTCCAGAAGCCCTCAAAGACGGCACCATCACTGATGCTGAGCTGCTCTACAGCTACCTCTTGCCTATGTGCCAGGGCCCTGCCGCAGATTGTGGCGAGGACGACGCACTCGCTGAATGAGGAGATGGGGTAGACAGAGTCGTTGCTGGCTTTGGCAATAACTTCGGGAAGATATTGCGTTACAACAGGCTGTCCGGCTTGAAATTCTTCTTCAGGCCCCGGGAGTCGGGTGGCAATCTGCCTTCGTTAGCTTTCGCGATTGTGACTCTGCAGGATATCGTACCAAATGCTCATTGAGGGTGAATGGTAAGCTGTTGTGGAAACTTATGAACCGATCGAGCGAGTATGCCATCCAAAATGTGCGCCGGCGCTCTTCTAGACCCGTCCAGTCAATCAGACTCGTCTCCTGGTCCTTTTCCACCATCACTGGGCTGTTGGGATCGTCCAACTCGTACAGACGCATTCCCAGCACAAGGCGACAGCATCTACCAGCGCTCATCCATGCCTGCAGCAACGAAACCTGCATATATTCATAAATGCAAATAAGAACCCAGGCCTGCGCCTGCTCAATGCCCGCACTTGCATCCGTACCAGGATTTTGGGAGTCCAATGTATCCAATATCCGTCTTGTCTCCTGGTATAGCGGGTCGCGTAGGGCGCGAAACTGAGCCGATAGCGAGGCTGCAATCGTCCACATGGCATATTGGAGACACATCTGTGCCTCGCTCTTAGTTCGCTGCTTGGACCACATATGATATCGCCATCGTTGGAGAATTGGTGCAAAAGGATGAACACGATCGAAGTATAGTTGGTCACTGTTCGTCAGCCTCGCCCGAACACATATTGGCTCCTTGAGACTTACAGATCAGCCCGCATCAGCTCAGTGACGAGCCCCAACCGCGGGACACCCGGCGACTGGGGTGATTCTGTACACTCCCTAGATCGGGGCTGGTCGCGATTGGCGTCCTCCTCTGACTCATACTCTAGATCCGTGCCCTCTAGGAAAGCATTCACTTGTCTATCAATTTCTGGATGCCGGTCGGCCAGGCAGCGTTCGAGGGCGGCTACTCGCTCAGCTAAAGTCTGGGAGGATTTCACGAGCAGTAACCTACCGATGCGGGTTCTCAAAGTGCGGAGCTGACCCTTCCGTGGCCCACGAGGGAGTCTTGTCGTGCTGATCTTGCATTCAAGACCACTTTCATAGCACACCTGACACTGCGGTCTTTGTCGGTCGCAACGAACCTTCCGTCGGCGACACTCTTCACAAGCGGACCCTGGACGTTGGCGAGAGCTGTGACCGTTTGGTGAGGTTGACGATGCTGTTCCGGATTTCATACCGACGTTGAGCAGCAAAACGTGTCTGCAACGTGATGCGAGGAGGGTTCGTTTCCTTACACCAACTTTATGTAAAGGACCCTGGTAGGTGCGCGTCCTGCCTCGTGCTTATTAAAACCCAAGATTCAAGTGAACGCAACTAGGGGACGACTGCAATAGTTCTTGGTTTCTTTTCCCCCAATCGTTGCTTTTCTCTGACTTGGGGCAGCTGGCAGTAAGAAAGAAGCGAGAGCCACGGTGGTGAACTGTTGCGGTTAAGCTTGGAGAGGATTGCTCATCCTTGCAGAACCCAGCCAATCCTCGCAGGTTGTCTGAAGTAGCATTCCGCAGGAAGGAAAAAGGAAAGAGATTTCCGGTTGGGATCGAAGCCCAGAGTTGTGTCATAACCCTTGGAACCGCGAGTTGAGGGGACAGACAGCAAAAGTGATAGTGGTTGGGGGGGTTGCATGCTGCAGGACGCACATTGAGTGGCAGCCCACAGTACACCGGCATCTTGTCCATGGGACGGGTTCCTGCTGGGTCCACGATTCGGATCAGTGGGAGCTAGGCATTAGCGTATGAGACAACGCTCCTGAATAGTGGCTCCAAAAGGTTCTGCAATGCGATAATGTCGCGGCCGATATCCGATGCTCGCCCCAGTGATGCCCGTGAGCGGGGCTGTTGAGATCGCAGCTGGCCCTCGCCCCGGCCCTCAGCATTATTGCAGGGTTCCTTTTGATTGATCAGAGACATGGAATACTAGTGGGGGGAGGGGCGAAGTATGATTGTTGGCTCATTTTTGCGAGGCTGAGAGCAAATCGTTCGGTGAGCCCCTCAGCCAGCCACCAAAGTTGGTGGGAACGGGGAAAGCCGCGCTCGCTGGCCATTGGAGCAGATGGGGATTTCTTTCTCAAGTGATAATCTGCTGGAGCGGGCCTGGCAATCGTATCGACAATCTTCTGCAGCAAAGGAAGTATAATGAGGTCTTTGGAGCCGTGATTGAGTCTGATGTTTGGAGTTTCGCCTCTTTGGCGATTTCAACTGGTGGGACAGCAGGAAAAGACCCCCGAGCAAACACGAAGTGCCACTTATTGACCCTCGTCCAGGGTTTATGGCCCCAATGCATGGGACTTTGGGAGCTTCCAGGCTGTGAGACGGTGCCTTTTCTCGGTCACACTCCATCACTGCCAAACACAATTCGATCAGAAATTCCGAACACGTGAATACATTAGGCACAGAAGGATAATGGGAGTACGACAGGCGGACAGTATGAGCTCACGATCGGCAGTCCAAGCTTGCACCCGCTTCCTCCAGGTCTGTGACAGGATCCTCACTGTGCAGGGCTTTGCGAGTGGAGAGCTGATTGTTGTTTGTGTGGGGAGAATCATGCTCGGCCCGTGGCGGCGACTGGACAGCGGACCCGATTGACCATGCAGCACCACACATGCATTGCTGATCTTGATCCCAGTTGTCGTTCGGACCTTGTGTGGTGGTCAAAGCCATGCTCACGGACGTTCCATCCAGATTGACCTTCGACCATGATTTGATAGTCTGTTAGGTGCTGATGCCCGGATTACTTGCATACCCTCAGTCCCCCCAGACGCTCGAGCTTCAGAATGCGCCAATGTAATAGCTCAGACCCATTCCATCAGGAGGGAGGCTCGGAATTGCTTTTTCCAATTTCCGGAAATGATTGCCGGGGTTTGTGTCGCAGGTGGGCTGGTTCTCGCGGCGCGTGCACTACTAGTCGCCCTACTATCGCAGCCCATGCCTGATCGACAAGCCACGAAAGATGCAACTTGCAGACTGGTTGCTGCCCCCGACAAGTTGGCGTGTATGGCCATGGCCATAAGACCAGCGGTTTGAGCTTACGCAATGCTTCACGGCCCTCCTTATCATCACAATGTATGAGTCTGTTGTAGCAGTTTTATGATGGCCTGCAGCACGTTCCAGTGACACCAATCCTCATGTCCCCAAGCGGATGGCCAACGTATATCGTATTGTTTCATATTATCGTGGTGCCTCACCTCGTACTCGTAGACCGCTATTTATTATATGAGCCTTCACAATACCGTTCGAAATGCGGGAAAAGCCAGAGCACCAGCAAGTATGTCGCTCCAAGACGTCTTAGGCCAGCTTCCTCTTCTCAAAAGCTACACCCATGTCCTGCTCTGTTTCCCTCTCGCTGATTCAGAACGGAAAGAGGTTCTGGAGTCTCTGCAATGCGCCACAAAACGCCTCCTCGCTGCGTTTCCATTTCTTGCTGGCAAAGTCGTGCACAAGGACGCCAGTCCCGGCAACTCCGGGTCATTCACCGTTGAAAGCTTCGATGCGGACAATGGCGACACCGAGAGAGAGAAAGTCCAGGAAATATTGCACATCAAGGACGTATCCGATAGCCTCCCTATGTATGCAAGTTTTCAAGCCGCACGAGCACCGCCATCAATGCTACCTGGCCCTCTGATAGCTCTTCCTCGCCCATCATTTCCGAATATCTATACGGACGAGACCGCGCCTGTCCTGGAGATCCAAGCATCACTGTTACGTGGTGGCCTCTTCCTCGACATTGCCGCACAGCACAATGTCATCGACGCAACTGGCATATTTTACATCGCCCACATCCTCTCGCGACTCATGGACAACCACCCGAACCCCATCCCTCATGCTGACCTCCTCCTGGGCAACTGTGACAGGCGTGACCTGATCCCTCTCCTTCCCCAGGATAGTCCACTCCCCCAGGAGATGTCGGTATTCACCAAGTCTCGCCCACCTACACTGAATAGGGAAGTCCTCGCCAGTTTCAAGTGGTACCTAGTCCACTTTTCCCCGGAGGCCATTACATCGATCCACGCCCAGGCTGCTAGTCATCCCGAGGACTTTGTCGAAAGCATAACTTCAGTATCAGTGAACGACGCAATAACCGCATTTTGCTGGCAGCATCTGATGAAAGTACGGGCCTCTCATATGCAACACAACTCAGACGACCGAACAACTCAAATAACGCGCGCCGCAGACCTCAGGCGCGCAATGAACCTTTCTCCGGCATATATGGGCCACATGGTCCGCACTGCAAACCTCCGTCTACCTCTATCCACCGTAACGTCTTCCTCTCTCTCTCATCTCGCCTCTCTTCTCCGACAAACAGTGTCAGTCCATACAACACCTCTGGCAATCCGCTCCTATGCGACGCTCATCTCCCGCACACCTGACAAGTCCACCTTCTTGTACGCAGGCGGTTTCAATCCGCTGACGGACTTTAGTTGCTCATCCGTGGCACATATGAGTTTGCCACGCTTTGGAGCGCTGGGCACGCCGGAATTTGTGCGGAGACCGACGTTTGGCCCACTCCCTAGTGGAATGTATGTTGGGCCGGCTGGAAAGAAGGAGGGCCTTGATGCGGCGCTTTGCTTGAGGGATTGGGAGGTTGATGGGTTGAAGGCGGATAAGGAATGGAGTAGCTTACTAGAGTTTGTTTCGTAGGTAGGTAAAGCAAAAGTTTAAGACAGGAAGTAGCTTTTCAAGCTTTGGATATCTATCTTCGTTAGGGTTGACAATGAAGAGGGAATTAGTTAACTGTGTGTTTGCAAAATTGAACCATGATTCTATACACTCGATATACGTAAAATGCCACTCCAAGTAAGGGGATGAACGTTGCCTATTTTACGCGGCCGTATATATAGCAACCACCTCCATAACCAGTTCTGTTCGACATCTCCTGTTATCTAGCCGAATGAAACAAATTCGAATCTACGACTTAACTCCCTGCTCTGTCTTCAGCGCCCGGTTTAAATCATACTTCTTCACAAACAAACTCAACGCCAGCCCAACCCCCGCAACTCCGGCCATGAACACCCAGATAACCCTTAAACTGTCCGTATAAGCCTGCTTCATATGATACTTAGGCCCGTCTACACCAGATGTATCATCCATTCCCTTGATAACGGTAACCAACGCCGCCGCATCCTGACTCAAAACCCCGGCTTCACTCCTCCACTCGGGATATTTAAGCAGTTCGTGACGCATCCGATTTTGAAAAACCACGCCCCCAATCGCAATGCCGACAGCCTGCCCAAAGGCGCGGAAAAAGACTACCATCGCCACGGCCACAGTCAAATTCTGGTTCGTCGCCGACGCCTGCACCGTGCACACAATGGCAGCCGTTAAGAACCCCACTCCCAGTCCGGACGGGATATTCAGCAGGATCCAGCCAGCCGTGCTCGTGGTCGGGCTGAGCAAAGTCAGAATCCCGATGCCTACAATTGAGAGACTCCAGCCGACCCACAGACCCCATCTATAGCGGCCTGTGATTGTGACGATGAACCCGCAGGCGATGGCCGAGGGCGCGACGGTGAATGTCTGCGGGAAAAGCGCGACGCCGGTTAAGATCGGCCCGAATTCGCGGACTGCTTGGTAGTATAACGGCAGATAATACAGGGCGCCCCAGAGGATCAGGCCCTGTAGGGAACTGGTTATGAATGCGATTGTTGCGCTGCGGTTACTGAAGACGGAGTGGGGGATCATAGGGTTGGGGGCCATAAGAGAGTATATTGTGAAGCCTGCAAGGCCTGCAAGCCCGAGGATTAGGGGGACTAGCGTGTGCCATGAACTCCATGGGAACATCACCCCGCCCCAGGTTAATGGTATCAGGAAGGAGGATGTGCTAGCGATGAAGAGGGCTGTACCAAAATAGTCGATGCGGCCGAGTTTGGATTTTAGAGTCCCTGAGGGTGTTTCAAGTTGAAAGAAGAAGATGATTAGCACCGCGGAGATTCCGATGAAGGGAAAGTTTATATAAAATATCCAGCGCTGTTGGACTGGGTTAGCTCAGTTATTCCGGGTTGGTAGAAGGTAGGAAAGTAATACCCAAGTGACGTTCTCGGAGAACCCTCCACCAAGGATAGGGCCCAGCACAGACCCGAGGCTGTACATTGCACTCAAGATGCCATAATAATTCCCCCTTAGACGGAGTGGCACAAGGTCAGTGACCACAACCTCCGCGAGCACAGCGATGCCGCCGCCGCCCACTCCCTGTATGCATCGCCCGATCAATATCTGGGAGAAACTATTCGCAACCCCAGCTACCACAGCACCGACAAAAAAGAAAACCAGCGAGACCAAAATCACTGGACGGCGCCCAAATATGTCAGAGAGCGTAGCTGTGCTAGGTTGAAAGACCGTGGAGCAGAGCAGGAACGAAGTCCCGCTCCAAAAGGCTTCCATAGCACTCCCACCCAGCTCACTGGCCATTTCCTAGCATTGTATATTAGTATAATTTGTACCATTCTATATCTGACGCTGGGAGTACCGGGAGGGCAACGGAAATGGAAGTCCCATCGAGGGACACCATTAGGGTTAGGACCGCAAGAGCGCAGAAGATTAGACGGCCGGTGTTGGTGAGCTTGAAGTCTTGATAGCTCGGAACTTCCTCCATCTCTGGCAATTTTTCTTCATCGTGTGCATCTCCATCTTTCAAGTCTATTATCCTTTCTGGACCTCCTAAAGTCTGGGGTCGGGCCGTGGTGAGTGAATCCTCTCTCGCATCCTCGGGGATGACAGTGATCTCAGACGAAGCCATAGTTCTATTTCTGTCAGCAACGATATAATGAGTAGCATTGAGGGTAAAAGTCGTGTCAAGAGGAGAGGATCGAAGTTGGTTCTGTTGGTTGCACATAATTCAACGTCCGTACTACACCGGAATAGAGAAACACAGATTGAAGACCCAGGCCCCAACATGGATGCTTAGATAGCACAAGCCAGATACTGTGAGACATACCTCACTGCAGGTCAAAATCCAAACACACCCAAGCATCGCAACACAGACACGAAATAAACCCCCGTCAGCCTCAAACATCATCCCGATATGTAGGGCAACATCCATCGGACAAGGGCTGAGTCTAAACCCGACGCCGCTTGAGTACAAAAAGACACAGCACGGCCATCAGCTGACACAGTACACCCAAGACAATCAATTTGCCCACAAGGGGCAAGCTCATCCAGACGCCAAAATGTCCGAAACCAACGAAGTCTCAGTCGCGATCATCGGTAGCGGCATAATCGGCAGCGTGCTAGCCCTAGGTCTCATCCGGCGCAACATCAAAGTCCAGGTCTACGAGCAAGCACGCTCCCTCCGCGAAATTGGTGCCGGGATCGCATTTACCGCGAATGCAAGACGATGTCTAGGTCTGATTGATCCACGGCTCGACGACTGTGTGACAGCCGTCGGAACGGTTAACGGAGACCCAGCCAGGCCGAATAATCACATGCAGTTCATCGATGGATACACCCATGACCCCGTTAAGCATCATCTTCCAGGTGAGGATCTTGCTGGCAAGACGTTGTACAAGCTCCATGCCGGGCCCAGGGGGTTTGAGGGGTGTCATCGGGCGCACTTTCTGGAGGAAGTCATGAAACTAATGCCTGAGGATGTTGTGCACTTGTCGAAGAGGCTGGATGTTTACCACCTTCCACCCGAGGACAGAGATGGTAGCGGTTCTGGGAATGAGAAGATCAAACTCGTCTTTTGCGACGGTTCCACCGCCGACGCAGATATCGGTAGGTTCACTGCCCCATCTACAAGGTCAACATGTACTAACAAACTCCAGTAATCGGCTGCGATGGGATCAAATCGCGCGTCCGCGGGCTCCTTTTCGGGACCGACAACCCAATCTCCCATCCGCACTATACGCACAAAGTTGCTTACAGGGGTCTCATCCCCATGCACCTGGCAATGGAACGTCTAGGCACCTACCGCGCTCTCAATCAGCACATGTATGGTGGGCCCAATGCACACTTGCTACATTTTCCAGTTGCTGGTCAGAAACTCCTTAATGTCGTTGCCTTTGTTAATGATCCTGAAGAGTGGCCTCTGGATCGGAATATGACGCAACCTGCGACGGCGGGCGGATTACAGAGTGCTTTTTCCGAATGGGGCCCGACAGTGCGTGCTATTGTTGATCTGCTTACAAAATCCCAGGGGATGGACAAGTGGGCGGTTTTTGATCATTTTGATCACCCTGCTCCAAGGTATGTTGGTGGCAAAGGCGAGGGAGGGATGGGAAGGGTTTGCATTGCCGGTGACGCGGCACATGCTAGTGCGCCGCATCATGGTGCTGGAGCTGGTATTGGCGTTGAGGATGCCCTGGCGTTGTCTATCCTACTTGAGAAGGCGGTTGGTGATATCAAGTCTGGGAGTCGATCCAAGGGAACCACGCTGGGGGCTGCCCTACAGGCATTTTCTAATGTCCGGCACGAGCGGTCTCAATGGCTTGTAAGGAGCAGTAGGGAGGTGTGCGAAACGTATGAGTGGATTAATCCTGAATGTGGGGGGGATATGGCCAAGGGCTTTGAGGATGTCAAGGAAAGGTCGCATAAGATCTGGTATTTTGATATTGAGGGAATGGTGGAAGAGTTGACAAGGGAGTATCACACTGAATTCCAGAACAGCTAGATTACACTCCAAAAGGTTAGTTAGATTTTTGAAGCTTGGGAATATGGACATGCTAACAATTGTTTACCGTCTCTCGTGTCCATTGGATAGAGCCCGAGGTGGGAAAAGCACCAGCTGGCAGCCTCCAACTTTTCCCGATTAGGATAATTGGCCTGCCAAGAGAAGGCAGAATATTAGGCCTGGCCCAGGCTAGTCTGATACTCCAATAATATCATCAAATTCTATAGCTCGCACTTCATCTATCACTAGGCCGAAAAGATTGAGAAAGGAAACATCTCACTCATGACTCCGAAAGAATTTCCGCAAGAATCGGACTTTGGGTCAGCTCGAATGCTTCCTGAATATACTCCCGCTCCAATGAAAATGGTCGCGCCATGAGATTTGGGATATACCTTCCTACAAGCTGCTCCACATCAACGTTGTCCACCAGGAAGCCTGGCCGCAGGAGGCACTGGCGGAATCGATCAACTGTATTCCGCAAATGACTCGAGTGAAACGGGACGTCGATTCCTTCTAGTGGAACCGTTGCCGTCCCGCGCTGAAGCTGGATGGGGCGTGGCAGGATTCTTGCATCGGCAAGAAGAGAGTCGATAACAGCTTCGAACTGACTCGGTGTTGGCTCAGCCTCGTCACAGCCGTCCGCTATATAATCGATCAATTTTCCCAACACGTACAGGTTCGCTACCTAAATGGACAATGAGTATAGTGCTGCATCTCAGTCATGAGCAACCTACTGTTCCAGAGCACACATATTGCTCTCCCTCAATATTGAAATTCACAATTTCGAGCAACTCTTGGCTCTGAGTCGCGATCTGGCGAACAAGGTAGCCGAGCGTGGACTGTGTAAAAGCTGCTATCTTTAGCATTGCAATGGTTATCGGAGCAACGAGGCGGCCTACCTTGTCCCACGCGTTTAGGGTTCATCGCCACCATCCCGTAAGTTGTCGCCCCTTGATCGTCGCGCGATACGGACGCTTGCATTACTGACCCTCGATAAAACGCGAGCTCGACAAGAGCACCCGTGGTTATGGAACGAGATAACGCAGATAAGGCTCCATATTCTCCAAGCGAGTGCCCTGCATACAAGGCTCCTTGTGACACGAATCCCTTGGCGCGTAATTCGGCAAACGCGGCGGCTTCAAATAAAAGAATTGCTGGTTGGGCAAACTGTGTAGAGTATAGAAGACCCCTCGGATGTGTAAATGTGTAAGAAGCGGAAGTAGAAGTGAGTCCGGCAAATACAGGTTTTTGAACCCGTTTACCATCTGCCAGAACAACTTCTGTCGTGATATCTAGGTACTTTTGCCTTATTCGTCGCCCGTTTCTACCTCCGAAGTGGATGGTAAGGACCTTGGGGTTGTTTCGAACCATGTCCAGAATGGACCATCCTATTCCACACATTAGACACTTCTCGGGCTAAGTTAGATATGCCGAGGACTTACCATAAGCATCAGACAGTTGCTCATCAATATCATCCCACACGGCCTTCGCAACTGGGCTTGTGTCATATAAATCCATGCCCATTCCTTTGCTTTGACTTCCTTGACCAGTAAATAAATAAGCAGTTCTAGGCTGCTCAGCCTCAGCTTCGGCTTCGAGAACTAGCTCCTCGCTATCCTTGCGGGAAGCAAGTACCATGAAGCGCATCCGCCCGTCAACCATCCCGACGTGTTGAACCTTCACGATGAGCCTCTCTCCGGGCATAACCATTTCAAAAAACCGAGTGTCAAACCGACGAAGCCTTTCTCGGTTTCCCTGCAGCCCTAAGTATTCTAATACCGTCTCCACGATGGCCGATGTGCACATTCCATGGCATAGTGTCCCAGGGAGCCCGGCTAGACCAGCAAATATCGGCGACGTATGAATGGGGTTAAAGTCTCTTGACAATTGCGCGTACGGCTGATTGCTTCGGGGCATTTGGATATCCATAGATGATTTCCCTGTCAAGCCTGGGTTGTCGAGCCTACAGTGTGCTTGTGCCAGCTTTCCTCTGCGCTCAAGGAAGTCAACGACGGGGTTTCCCGTATATTTGCCCTTGAAATGGACAACTCCAACTGGCTGTCTCTGTCCACCACTTGCTTCGATGGTAACTGCTCCTGTAACATGTAAATCCACCACGTCAGAATCTTTGTGTTTGTATGTACTTTCGAGGATAAAAATGGCAGACTTTCCTACAAGAGGCACGACAGGCGGATACTGCGTGAACCATCCCCTACTCAGGAGTATCGACTCTTCCATTTCCGAAACGATATCGTATCTCCAGGCCTTCTCCCTGACCCTCCGAAACAGAGACGCAGGATGCTCTTTGCATCCACGGAAAAGAAATGTCGACGTAACAAGCATGACTGGTGCACCGTCCCGCAGGACCCGACCTTCTATAATGACTACTCTTCCCGCGTCTTCGTCATAGATGCCGCAGACACTTGATTCAGAGGTCACTGTCTCGCCCAGTCGCAGGGGGGTTGCATCGGGGTAATAATCAAACGAGTTCGAGCGATGGACGAGGCGAAGCAGGTCGCCACCGACCTGAAACAGCGTTAATGGCTGAGATATAACATCCCATGTAATGATGATACCAAAGTTAATTGGTAGCACATCTGTACCCATGGCCATTTGTCGGCGGTCAATGAAGGCTAGGCCTATCGTCGCCGTGTGCTCGTCGAGCATATCTTGAGTTAAGGTAATTTGTGGCCCATAAAACGTGTCCTCTAAGGATTTATCGCACACAAGTTCATCTCCAAACCAAAGGTGGCTATAGAATAATTTGATGCGCTCATTCCGCTGTTCCATTACCTCTCTTATCCGGAATGAGGCATTTGTTTGATCAAACCCGTAAAATAACCTCAGTGGTTCGGACCCCTTTGGTGGATTTATTTCGATCATAATATCAGAACTATTGTGGCAGATAGCCTTCATTGACGAGACCACTTGGTGCGATTCTTGAGCTGTCAGCACTAACTCACAGGCATCTGGGTGGTATTCCATAGAAGCGCCGGGTATAGCTTTCATGGACCAATGGAACAGGTTTTTTTGTCGTACACCCCTTTGTAATATAACATTATTCTCGAGAAGGGCTCGAATCCAAAGGGGATAAGCAGGTTTTGGTGTGATATTAACACCTCCTGATGAGAAGGAAGCATCATCGGATGGGTCAGATAGTGAGGTTATTGATGTACTCAATGTTTCTTCACTGAACTCCCTTCCGTTTGATGACACGCTTGACCAGGAGGCCGGCGTAGCAAGCCCACTCTCCAGGTCTGGGACTAACTCCTCCGCCATGGAATTTTCATGTAGTCTGGTGACAACTCCCTCGGTGATAGAATCTAGGATATATCCGGCAGGCTCACTTGGATATCGAGAATACTGCGCTGCAACAGGGCCATGCAATATGCACACTCTCTGTGCGTCGCACCCTTCAACAGCATCAATATCCTCTGCCTGCCATAGCGAGTCTTTCTTAAAGTAAAACTCAAAATCCTCGTCCAGAGCTGGGATGAAATTTACTGGTTTTCTCCCTGGCTGCTTACACTGTTTCAGGAAAAATGAAACATCCTCAGGGTTTAGCAGGTCGTCTTCGGCCGTTGGACAGGCCCGAACAAACGATTCCAGAAATCTATCTGGAGATTGTCTCAGTATATCGGTACCAAGTTCTGAGGCATGTATCGGGATAAATCGCAACCTTTCCAACCACCGCCTGGCCACTGTCATTGTAAGATCGATGTAGGATTCATCAATCCACCTGGTTTGGGCGATGTACATTAGACCAACCAAGCGCGTTAGAACGTCAAGATATGTCATTTCTTCAAGATCGACAACTTGACCTTTAGAGTCACGGCCAAACCACTGCTTTGCAAAGTCGGCATTCAGTCTTTGGATAATTGAGTGACGATGTCGAACCAAGTATTCTAGGCGTCCCTTTTCAGAAAGACTAAATACAGTCCTATCCATTTCAGCCCAAAGACGAACTCCACGGGTGGCGATTTTATGGATAGGTTCACCCATCTCAGATCTGACAGTGACTAGTCCTCCGGCTGGCCCAGTATATGTCTTTTCCCATTCAGCATCAGGGACTCCTGGAGTTGCGGCAATGATCCTCCTGACTGCAAGTGAGGTATGAGCTTCCGTTGCCACCATCATGCGACTGCCCAGTAATATGCCATCAAACGGCATAGCAGGGTACCCCATTGCCATAGACCAACATCCGCTGAGGTAAGGATAAATACTATCGCTATCTCCAAAGCCACTTCCAGCAACGAGATAGATATTTGGCTGTTGTCGGATCAAGCCATACATCGCGATAATCGGGGCGTGGAAGTCTTCAAATGAATGATGACCTCCTCCTCGTCCCCCCGTCCATTGTAGGATAACCGGAAATGACGGGTGCTTCCTGGCAATTTCCACCACTTGTCGTATTGCATCAGCAGATCCTGGTTTAAAGCTGATATGACGTAACCCTAGCGACTCTATGTAGGAGCTTGCGATATCAAGTGAAGGAACACCCGCCCCTATTGTCAATCCATCTATGGGAACTTGGTTTTGTGAGAGGCGGCGCAAGAGGTTAATTTGCCATGACATCGATCGGGGGTTAGCGTAAATGAGGTTACAGGTAACTCCTCGCCCTTGCTCGATGTTGTTAACGAGCTTCTTAATAGCCGCCTCCATTTGAGGTGCAGTGTGGTAGCCCCCTCCAGCAAGTTCCGCATGGTATCCGGCATTCATTATTGCGGCAACGAAATCTGGATGCACCGTTGTAGGAGTCATCCCTGCAACCATGATAGGTGGCGCTTCAATTATCTGACTCAAGCGAGTCTCCAGCTGGCTCTTCTCTCCCGGCCTCAGTTGTGGTTGAAACTGCTGGCCCCAGCTTTTCAGCCTAGTCGACGAATCCAAAAGCCTTGGGGCGAACAAGTCCCGCATGGTTGCCATTTCAGGATCCCTCGCATCCAGCTCACTCGCCTGGACCACTCGAATGCCCCAGCCCTCCCGCACTCGCTTTATCAATGGTGCAAGACCACCTCGGTCGAATGTTAGAATGTGGGATGCAGGATAGCCTGCCAGTGCAGAGGGCCAATTGCATTGCTCAGACGCGATGGCTTCAATAGCCATGAATAGAACATTTCCCTCTAGTTGACGTAGGTCCAGACCAGTTCGAGTGTGGTAGACAGGGATTGCCAGTTGGTGTGAATTTATGGAACGATCCGAAAAATATTGCTTAACGCGTGTCGCCGCTCGAGCCAGGTAGGGGGTGTGAAATGGCGTGCTTACCGGAAGAAACCCATGTTGGACACATGGTTTCCGATCATTAAAAGGGATTCTGCTTTGGTCTTTGTCTTTGCTACTGATTTCCATCAGGTGTCTTTCCAGACAGAGCAAAGAGGCGACTGGCCCGGCTATGACAAATTGATCAAAGGCATTAACAAGGGCCAGGAAAAGGACCTGGTATGCTGGTAGGCCCACATTGATATGGTTGATTACTGCCTCGATCTCCTTTCTTCGGAGGCCGCGTACGTTTAGCATGTAAGATGGCGTATTTGCATTATCATCTTCGACGTGCTTTGCGGCTGGGACGAAGCTGTGAGGTGCAACATGGTGACACTCCCAGCCAAGCCGAAATAGGACTTCCACAATTAACTGGGCGTTTTGGTAGAAATTATCCCAGGAAGCTGACGCTGCGATACCAATAGCCGCTAGAAGACCCTGCGAATGGCCGGTGGCGGCGTGCAGCAGGTATCGCATTTCACCTGGATGATACCCCACAATATGGCATGTAACACAGTATCGAGCAAGACTGAGTGCCCCAATAATTGGGGCACTGACTGGAGCTGAAGATATAAAGGCAGTATCAGGAGCAGCTGCGGTGCCGCTAATCCAGGCTTCGAGATCCAGCCGCCGTCCTCCATAGTACGAACTGAACTCGTCCTGCGTGGAGAGGTCATAAAGACGGGAGCCAATGGCTCGGACGAATCGACGCAAAATTGGTCTGTACGAAATATAAAGTTCGCCGAATTCCCGAACACATGTTCGGCTTGACTCCCCTTGGCCTCCAAAAGCAGCCATTGTCTGGAACTCGTTGGCTTTGACATGTTGGAAAAAGGCACTCGGGGGCTGCCCTGAATTATCTCGATCGCTCGCCTCAACGAACCGATAGTATATTCCCAGCCAGTGTTGTCTGTCCTTTGATCTAGTGGTCAAGCCCGCTATGAGGGAGTGTATCTCGGTCACGTTTCTGAGGAATTCCGTTTCAAAGGCTCGTAACACCGTAGAGGCGACGTCCGGAGAGAAAGTTTGATATGTGAGCAGGAAATCCAGAAACTCCAACGCTAATTCAAGCCTACTAGGGCAGCCACTCTTGACTGGATAGGACGCAAGGAAAGCATTGCGGTGCGGTTCAACCAAGTGAAAATGTGCATCCGGGATCGACAGCTTGAAGTTGACGCCTCTGAAATAGAAGAAAAGACAAGTTTCCGAGGAGCAAGACGACGACGACGACGACGAAGAAGAAGAAGAAGAAGAAGAAGAAGAAGAAGAAGAAGAAGAAGATAATGAGGAAGGAAATGAGGGGGTAGAAGAATTGTTGATTGCACTCCGGGGCGTTGAGGGGCCAAGATCACGGGAGGCAGAAACCAACTCCTCTTCCAGAGCCATGTTGAAATGCTCTTTCTTCTCTCTTCCTGTCTCTATCTCTCACTTCTTCTTACCAGCTCAACAAAATAGAAAATGAAAAGTTGGCACAATCCACGGACCGGTTCTCGGGTTCATATCCCTTGTCAACGGCCGGTACCACATTCGCATCCCAACTGGTACACCTTTGCAGCTTCTTAATACCGGGAATATATTGAGCAGCGGCGTCCCTTACTTGAAGCAACCGTGACTGTACCAGTCTGACTTATCTTCGTGTGACTCCCTGATGATAGCCAGAGCCTACATCAAACCTCTGCTTCTTCCGTATTTCGGGTCTTTCATGGCTAGAGTCTCATATCTATATCGACTGTCTCACCTCGTTTAGGAGGGACTACGAATAAGACCTCTCGGAGTTTTCCTGAGGCAGTCCTACGTTGCACGACTCACATTAGAACCTGAAATGCAGCTAAAAGCCCCACCAGGATCGGCCCAGAACAATGGTCTAATGTCTATGCACCTGTACTGGACCTTTTTATGTCTGGGGCCACTCGGATGCGCATCCTGGCTCCATTCACAATGGCAAATTCGTATATTGAGACCTCCGGGTTTCGCCTTCAAGTTCGCTGCTTTTCTCATTGACCCGGAGTTGGCTTAATCCGTAAGTTTACCAATCTAGGATGACTTTTTTCCCTCCTGTGAATTCCACCTCTTCCCAGAGCGAATATGGACCAAAAGAAAAGGCATTGGCTTTGAAGATTATCATCGAAATTCTGTCGTGAGTATCTTCTTATAACAGAACTTGATGCCAATTATTCTGACTGTATAGATATCAATTAACGTCCCCAGTGCGATGGTAAATACACCCCCTTTCTTGGCAGTCACTCCTATTAACCCTAACAGGGTCGAGACACAGCAGCAATTGTTTCAAAGCGAAACATGCGTCCAACGGTTCATTGAAATTGGGCCCCGTACCATACTCTCAACTATGGCGAAAAGGTCAGCCAACGTCCACTCGAACTCCCATCTTTCAGGTAGATGGTCAAATCCAGAATTCCTTTCGTATCATGGCAATCGATCAGAGGTCTTGTATCAGTATACGCCCACTCAGATATCGGAGCCACGCCCTCAATGTCCCAATAGTCGCATTATTGAGAATTCCACGACTCCTAGTGCTCCGACACACCCTCTGTCTAGCTCCAACGGTCCGGAGATAAGTGCGGTTCCTACCGCAGATCTGTCTCTCCAAGCGAGTCATGTTATACTTTCTATTATTGCTCAGAAGCTTGGGCGCCGCTTCGATCAAGTTCGGGTAGAAAGCACCATTCGAGATCTCTCTAATGGTACGTTTTACTCTTTTCTCATGCGCTTGTTCCTAATTTAGTAGGGAAATCTACTCTGCAAAACGAATTGACTGGTGACCTCGTTGCTGAATTCGGTCGAGTACCGGAAGGCATCGAAGACAAGTCATTATCCACTCTGGGAGACTCACTGCAGGCAAATTTTAGTGGAGTCCCTGGTAAAATAATGTCTTTACTGATCTCCAGGCTGGTATCGAGCAAGATGCCGGCAGGGTTTAATCAGAGCACCATCCAGGATTATCTGAACTCACGTTGGGGTCTTACAAAGTCTCACGCCAATATCCCGCTCTGTTTTTCGACAACTATGGAGCCTGTGAGTCGATTAGGAAACGCCGATGAAGCGCGCAATTTTCTGGACGACTTGGTAAACCAGTATGCAACCTATCAAGGTATATCGCTCGTGCCGTCGAACCATTCTACCGACAGTCACGACTCCCTTGGTCCATCTATGGTGGATACAGCTAGTCTGAATATTCTCAACAAGCGGCATTCCAAACTCTATCGCGACCAGTTTGATTCGTTAGCAAAGTACCTTGATATCGAGCCGTTTGCCTCGGAGCAGGGTTCCGCGGACTCAGCGGCGCGAATCTCCGATCTGGAAGCGACAATAAACTTGCTGAATGCGGAATTTGATGACAATTTCATCAAAGGTATCCAGCCTATTTTTAATATAAAACAATTGCGCGAGTATGATTCCTGGTGGAACTGGTCTCGAGAGGAACTTGTCCGGCTATTGAGCGAAATTTCTCAAGACCCTTCCATCGCACATCACCCAGGGATCAAGAGTCGCATACAAGATCTGATGAGTAAGTGGGATCACAGTTGTTCGGATATTGTTCTCGCTCATCTAAATGGGCTGCAAAGTCGGTCCAACAGCCCATTCAATAAACTTCGACTTGCTCTAGAACAGGCCATTGCCTTAGGCAACCAGACTCTATCGATAGACCCTTTATTTGTCTATAATATTCCACCCATGGGTCCTCGAACGATTATCACGGAGTGCGGGCGTCTTGAATATCACGAGATCCCGCGGCTCATCAGCCATTATCCTGAAGCTGTGGCCTCAGGGCGAACTTGTGATGACGATGACGACGTAGCTCCTTTCGTTCACATCAAGACCAGGTCCGACGGAGGAGACTGGAAATATGACCCCAGAGCCACTAGTATTTACCATGCTGTGTTGGATGTGGGTGTCACAACCGGCTTCACCTTTGCTCACAAAACAGTCCTGGTAACGGGAGCTGGTCCCACCTCCATCGCAGCAAATATTATTCAAGGACTTTTGAGAGGTGGTTCTCGTATCATCGTCACCACGAGTCGGTCTATGTCGCAGAGCGCAGGATTCTACCAGCAGATGTATCGCCAGTATGGGGCAAAGGGATCCTCCTTGGTGGTTTTGCCCTTGAACCAGGCGAGCAAGCAAGATTGTGAAATGTTAATACAGCATATTTACGGGGCTGACTCTCCAACCGATGGCGACTTGGATTATGTACTTCCGTTTGCCGCTATCCCGCAATCTGGGGAGCCGGACGGTTTGGGGAGCCAGCAAGAACTTGCGCTTCGGGCAATGCTTGTCAATATTCTACGCATTATTGGTACTATCCGCCGAGAGAAAGAACGGCGGCGCATTGAGAATCGGCCAACCACCGTTATTTTGCCGATGTCCTGTAATGAGGGTACATTCGGCGGTGATGGGTTATATTCAGAGTCTAAAATAGGGTTGAAGACCTTATTCAATCGTTTCTTCTCTGAGAGCTGGTCAAAGTATTTGACAGTATGTGGAGCGGTTATTGGATGGACAAGAGGTACTGCTATAATGCAATCTTCAAATTTTGTCGCGGAAGAAGTAGAAAAGTTGGGGGTTATGACTTTTACTCAGCCCGAGATGGCTTTCAATATTCTGACCTTGATGACACCTGCACTGACTGCTTTAGCCGAGGATGCACCGATTTATGCCGATTTGACAGGAGGCTTGGATTCAATGTGGAACGTCAAAACACATATTTCGACGGCGCGAAAAGGAATATCTCACAGGCATCTGCTGCAAAAGGCAATAGCGGAGGAAAATGCTCGTGAAGAGACTATGTTAAGCAGCGCATCTGATACGAGACCAGAGCTGATGTTACCAACTAATACTCGACGGGCCAGACTTACCATACCCTTTCCACTATTAAGCGACTTGGGCGAGGGCTATCCCAGTCTTGAGGGCATGATTGACCTTAGCCGTGTTACAGTGGTGGTAGGATACTCTGAACTAGGACCATGGGGAAGTGCTCGAACGCGATGGGAGATTGAGCATCAGGGTGAATTTAGTCTTGAGGGCTATATTGAGATGGCGTGGATCATGGGTCTCATAAAGCACGTCGATGGGGAGGTTAAAGGCGAGCCCTATGTCGGGTGGGTGGATGCAGCGACAGGTTCGCCTATACCGGACGACCGAGTGCCGCAAAAGTACCACCAACATATCATGAGCCACTCCGGTTTGCGCCTAATCAAACAAACCAAGAAAGATAGCTATGATCCATCACGGAAGGAGTTTCTTCATGAAATTGCAGTAGAAGAAGACCTGGCCCCGTTCGAGGCTTCAAAGTCTACTGCTGAAGCGTTGAAGTTACGGCACGGCGATAATGCCACCTTACTTCCCATTGCGGACTCGGATAACTATCAAGTATGCATCAAGAAGGGTGCAGTTTTGATGGTACCCAAGGCTGTTCCATTTGATCAAGTCGTCGCAGGAAGAATTCCCGATGGGTGGGATCCTACTCGTTACGGGATCCCTGAGGACATTGTCCAGCAAGTAGATGTGATCACATTATATGCACTTTGCTGTGTCTCGGATGCATTCCTATCGGCTGGGATCCAGGACCCCTACGAGATATACAAACACATCCATGTGTCTGAACTCGCCAACTGTCTTGGTTCCGGAGGTGGTCCAATGAAGGTTATTCAAAACATGTATCGCGACCGATTTCTGGACCGCCAAATGAGAGGCGATATAATCCTTGAACATTTTATGAATAGCATGGGAGCTTGGGTGAATATGCTACTTCTATCAGCTACTGGCCCCCTGAAGACGCCGGTTGGTGCATGCGCTACAGCAATTGAATCTCTAGACATTGGATGCGAAGCTATACAGTCCGGGAGATGCAAGATGGCCGTAGTTGGCGGCTGCGACGACTACGGCGAGGAGTTGGCATTTGAGTTTTCCAATATCAATGCGACAGCCAACAGCACAGAAGAGTTGGCTAAAGGAAGAAACCCGTCTGATATATCTCGCCCGACATCCAGCTCACGGAGCGGGTTCGCGGAATCTGCAGGCTGCGGTGTACAGATTTTGATGAGTGCAGCACTTGCGATAGAGATAGGGCTGCCCATCTATGGGATTGTCGCCTATACTCATATGGCAAGCGACCAAACCGGCCGCTCTATTCCAGCACCGGGGAAAGGTATTTTGACCGCTGCGCGAGAGACCAGTCAGGCCAAACAATCACCTCTACTAGATCTCAAGCTCAGGCGCGCAGCTTTCGCCAGAGAAGTTTCTGATATCTACAGCTCTGCGAATGCGGAATCGAACCTCACTGGTCCAGGTGCGAGCAATGCTATCAAAAGTCGCGTCCGTGATATCCAAAACCGCTGGGGAAATAACATCCGTCAATCCGAGCCAGGAATTTCCCCAATTCGAGCTAGCCTGGCCACTTGGGGACTCACTATTGATGATATCAACATCGTTTCCATGCACGGAACCTCCACCAAAGCCAACGAAGTGAACGAGGGCGATGTCATCAACACCCAAATGGAGCACCTCGGTCGTCAAAAGGGAAATCCGCTTCTTTCAGTTTGCCAGAAGTCTCTAACGGGACACCCAAAGGCTGGCGCTGGCGCCTGGCAACTCAACGGCTGTCTTCAAATATTGCGAGACAATATTGTCCCTGGAAACCGCAACGCTGATAATATCGACAGCCAGCTACGGAAATTTGAACACTTAGTGTACCCAATGCAATCCATGAAGGTGGCAGAAGTCAAAGCAACTCTGCTCACATCATTTGGCTTTGGTCAAAAGGGAGCCATGAGTATCATAGTTTCACCGAGATACCTGTTTGCGGCACTTCCCGCATGTGAATACGACAGCTATCGCACCCTTGTCACCAAACGACAGCAATCAGCAATCCCAACATTCGTTTCTCGTATAATAAAGAATGATCTCGTACAGGTTAAGAGCCATCCGCCTTGGCATGACCCGGAAGCCATGCGAGATTTCTTCCTTGATCCCACCAGCCGCGTCGTGGACGGACAAATATCGCACAAACATGAAGCACCCTACATTGCCGAAAATGCCATGGATGCCCCTACGTCAGTATCAGGAACACTACAGGGAATACTCGAAACAATAAACAGGTCTTCTGCTTCGGCAACATCTGTCGGCGTCGACATGGAGGATATCAGCAATGTCAACATCCAAAACACTTTGTTCGTTGATCGCAATTTCACACAGGCAGAGCGTGAATACTGCTCCCAGGCAGCCAGCCCTCAAGCCTCCTTTGCTGGGCGTTGGAGCGCGAAGGAAGCTGTTTTCAAGAGCCTCCAAACCACGTCAGCTGGTCCTGGTGCTGCAATGAATGAAATCGAAATTCTTAATGAGCAAGGCATCCCGAAAGTCGTTGTACGTCGCTAAGCCCATCGCATTCTTCCGATTCTAGCTAACAAGCTGAACTAGCTCCATGGTCACGCCCAAGAAGTTGCGGACTCAAACGGGATCGCCAATATCGAGGTCACGATTAGCCACTGCGATAATACCGCGATCGCTGTCGCCTTAGCTAGCAAGAGGAACCACAGTACTGAGTAGATTAAGATTATTCCAGTCCTATCTACGTAATTAAAAATTAACGTTTCCGCCCAGAAAGGATACATCCAAGAGTACAACCATGACAGAAATTTTCATGTCCAACATTCATCTGACGTAAATGGTCAAATCACCGAGAAACTCGTCAGAGTCGTGCAAAGGCATGCTTGTGTAATGCTGGACCATCTTCCGCACCCGCTGCGAATCTGGATCAGTTGTAAAAGGCCTGCCTCTTGGTATTAGCCTCACTTCCACCTATGATAGAAAGGGAAAGATGAAGCACATACACAACCCAAAATTCCTCACCGTCGCGCATTTTCTTCTCCCACCGCGCCTCTTTCTCCTCCAGGCTGACTGTATTCCAAATCATCGCCCCAGGCCACTGTACATCTGCGACAACCTGCTTGACGGGCACATTGGGACTGACACTGAAAACGAGGGTGTCTTCATCGATTTCCAGAAACCCTTTCGGGTCATCAAGCGGCTCAATCCCAATATTCCGGAGTAGTGCTTGGTCGACATCATTGTAAGCTGGGTCCTGTGCGTAGCATTTAATGTCGCCATCCACATCCATCCCTTCACCCTTTCCGCTACCACCATCTAGATCTCCGTCTCTATTGCCGTTCGCATTTGTCGTAAATTCCGAACATTCATTGCCATTCCCATTCATCCCCCTCACTCCAAGACCCCTTGCTTTCAAAGCCTTAGCCATCGTCCGAATAGCCGCATGCTGTGCATGCGCTCTGGCACAATGATACTGATCCTCCAAAAAGCTCAGACTCCCCAGCCCAAATCCCACAATCTTCCTAATAGACTTACTCAGTGCGCCACTGGCCTTCAACTTCTCCAAACTTGCCACAAGCGTCCGGCACGTCTCACTCTCTTCCCATGTCTCCACGCTTTGCGCGTATTTGCGGTCAACTTCTTCGAGTGAAGCCCTGGGGTAAAAATCCGCCGACGAGGTATAGCAGATAGAAACAGGGCTGTTGTCGCGCAGGCTTATTTCGGGAAAAGACGGGTGAATGCATGTGAGATTTTGAATGCTGCTATAGCCAATACGGTAGGATGTGCTGTTCCGGGTGCCCCAGGCAGAGTTGGGTCTGGTGTTAGGTCAACTCATCTACACCAGAGTTTCAATGTGTTTCTCTTGTGTGTTCTGCTGGGGTAGTGTTTTCCTTTTTTTCTTTCCTTTGGTTTGAGAGGTTGGGAAGGGGCACAAAAAAAAAAGAAAATATAAATAATCGAATACCAGCAGCAATTTCAAAAAATAAATAATAAATAAATAACAAAAAGGCTTGAGTTCGTTTTGTTTGGCAGGGCACTCACGCAAAATCCGCACACCAAGCTGGGACCTTCAGGCTGTACGTATGGCTCACATCATCCAAGTCGTCAATGTGGACTTCCTCATTTCCCTGATCAATCTGCGTGTTTAAATCGGCAAGAAGATGGCGGGGAAATAGCGGTTTTCCTGAGTTGTAGATGCGCGCGAGGTGCTCGAGTTTTGTGTGGATTTTGGAGAGTGTGTCATCGTCGCTGAAGTCGTCAAGGATGGTGAGACCCATGCTATCTCTGTCTTTCTCTTGTGAAGTTGGCAGGTCTGCTGGTGGTGATGGAGGCAGTTTTGGTGGAGGAAGGCCCGGGGACGTTTGGAGTGGGAGACAGTCCATTGTTATGCGTGACAATGCTTGCTCCCGTCAGAAGGTGTGAATGACCCCAGGGAAAATATATCCGGATGGGATCAAATGTCTGAGCGTGGTAGGTCTGGGTGTGAATGTGATCTATCTCGGTATATATATATATTGGCAACGGAGGCTCTCAGACCATCCCACTGCCTCAGATAGGACTAATTTAGCTGAAAAGCAAACCATTGTGCTGGCAGCCTGACTATCCCGGCCCCCCCCTGTAATTTTTGCTTTTCCTTCGACCAAAAAAGAAAAAGAAAATCCCTCTTGTTTGTCATTGCTTCAGGGCACTCGCAGTGCTTGTCTGGCCTCACCGCTTGACAGATTGCTGGATTTCAGCATCTCCAATTCCAAGGCAAGAGGAGCGCTATAAGTGCGATCCAAGCAGCTGGGATTATTTCCCAGTCATGATTGGCGCACGAGTGAATATCAGACGGATTAAATGATTGAATAGGAAAAGACCGTGCGCGCAGCCCTTTTCCAGGTCTCAGGCGAGCCCTGACAGTTGGGTTCCTACGTCGGGAGAGGGATGGAGCTGGGACAGCAAAAATGGGCCCTGGCTGGCTTGGCCTAATGCCATGTAGGAAATTTGACTCGCATATCGCGGAGAATTGGATGGTCAGAAGAATCCAATTGTTTGGGGGCCCCATCCAGCATCGCCTCGTTCTGTTGGGCCGGAATGCGCTTGAGACCGTCTAGTCTATTTAGTGTGAGCGCTAACAGCCCGGGCAACCTTAAGAAGCATGTTCTTGCGGAAGGCTGGCTGTGCTTGAACTCAATGTTTGAAGATGGCTGTGTTGGTAAGCTCCATATTCCCTTTCAGGGTATGATTCGAATCACGATGTTGAGATAACGTTGACGATGGGCCATGGTTCATATGACCTCGGCAGATAGCAGACTCCACTATACTACACACGATCGCCGGAGCGCACCACAGAGGATGCAGGACGCCCGCCTGACGGTCAGAGCCGTCATCCGGGCTGTGACCCGTATCCTGCGGGCCTGCGACTGAAGTGTTGGGGGGATGTATCGTCTAAATGAAGGGAATTCGACTGCGCCGCTTTCCAAAGCAGTCGCTGCCGCTGATCATGCCAGACCGCTCCGACGGGCTCGCCACGAGTAAACGAAGGCCTAGTCAATTGGGAGTTTAATCGCGGTCATGTCTATCAGCCAGGCAGCATCTGTGGTTAGAGTCTCTGCAAAATCCGAAAATTTCGACTCAATTAAGACGAACATAAGCCGTCTTTCCGTTAGAATCTGTCAACCAGGACGATTTGATCGTCCATTCAGCGCATGGAATAGCTAGTGGACATCATGAGGGGAGGCCAAGATCTTGACAAGTGCGTATTCCAATGACCTGTGGTCCGTAGCTATGAATCGGTTATAGTTGATGACCGACCTCGTTCCCGGTCGGCCCTGTCGACGTTTCTGCGGTCTGGGGCGGGAGAGATGTATGTACCAAGTGAAACCGCACCGTTCATTGAACCATGCCTCGAAACCGAATTGGCGGGGATGATTAGGTGAATTCATGTCATCCTCGACGACAGGCCCGGTCTACTAAAGTCGGTGAGAATAATGTCAGTAACAATCATCAACGCTTGCCTGCGTCGCGTCAATTCTACAGCGCAACGCCACGATCTAAGCCGGTCCCGCGCTACAGCACTCTCCAACAATGATCCTCTCCCACCCGCCTTCTAGCTGAGCCTGTATAACGTCCCTGAAGCTTCCGTCCCAGGGCCGTTACACAGGTCCCGTTGTGCTTACCACCCATGTCCTGCTGGCAGGATCCTACTTCTCCCTTTCGTACCATTTGGATACAAGACCGGCCAAAGTTTACCCGACGAAAAGTCCCACTCGTCGACAAAGCCATCCTCTGTCCCCAAAAGATAATGTATCAGATCCCACATGATCGAAACAATCGTCGCAATATGATCGATTCGTGTAAAATCAAGACCGATTCCCCAAGGTTGGGGTAGCCCGGAGCATGACCCAACATCAGCACCAAGCCACTCACCGTCTGACGTCCGTTTCATCCACTTCCTCACCAGAAAAATCACCACATATCCACCATGAATTGTTCTGCGAGCCATGCAGCGCGTCAATCATAGCTCCACGCACAGAACGCACCTCGCCCATCCTTCGCAGTGGTTTCGTACGCGACATCGTCCACCTGGCCCCACGATTCACAATCATCGGCAAACATTCTGAGACTCTGCGCATGCCATTATTCCCTTTGGACGTCTTTTTGATCCATCCTAGCTGGATATAGACCCGTGTACTCCACCGCGATGGGGGAAATGGTCGCACCGTCGGGGCCCAGTGACAGCACAACGCGACACGAAGGTTGACGTTCCGCTGCAGGAGGCATCACGCTCCGAACCAGCGGAATGGCGGATAGCTTGTACCGTTTCGCACCGTTGACCGTGTGACTCGCATCAGTTCTTGCGAAACCCTCGATACTGGATTGGTAGGTTGCTGTTAGGAGGATGTCGGCTACAGCGTCGTAGATGGCGCGGTGGGCGGATTGTAGTGCGGCGGGGACGCAAGTGCGAGGACCTTAAGGGGTTCAGTACTGAATGTGATGTTGAATGGAGGGGATTCGAGGGTGGTCTTAAAACCGCCGTCTAGGATGAAGATTTGAATGTTGTCTTTGAAACTTTTGAGCTGATGTCTTTTGCAAGCTCTGATGCAACTGTTTGTTGTGGGAGAACACTGCTTATCGATAAGGCATTGACTGCGTACATACAACAACGATTACAGTTGACAAAGTACGGAGTATACAATAACTATCCATCACTGTGTGTTAAATAACTAAGACTGGGTACTTAAATTTATCCTCATGTCAGTATCGCCCCTCTTACCTGGGACATTGAACTGGCCTGTTGCTTCTTCCTTGGTGTCGATGTTGCGGCCTCAGGCCTCAGGTACGTGACTCCTCTTTCTCCTCCTGCATCAAGGTTGATTCCTCAACTTTCAAGGTTCAGCGCTACCAGTTGATTTGCTTCTGCCTCTGTCACTTGCATTAATCCTTCAGGAATTTTCTGCGTAAGGTTCACGCTCCGACAGGAGCCACATCCTCTCAGGTACTCGTCATCACTGTCCGCGCCCTTCCCGCCTTAAATGATGCTTCAACTAACGACTTTCCACCAGAGCCTGCCACGTAAGTATCCCCAATTCGAGGCCATCAAGTCTTTCTATTTGTCTTTTTTTCGGGGGATTAGGTTTAATGCCGTCCTGCAGGGCCCAGAAGTTTGCATGAGAATATGCTGCAGGCAAATCGACACCCCGGTCTATAATCGGGCATGAAAACAGCAAAACCCTTCCAGCCTTGCTTCAAAAGTCCTTCTCGGCGGCTCACACTCACGGTCCAACATCATACATCCCCCCGACTTGTCCCCACATAATTCCGGCGGGGTTTTGCTCCATCGCCCCGTTGATCCCTGTTGCTTCCCTGCACGCAGTGGTTTAATTGGTCCATGGCTCTATCACGATTGAAATGGTATGGATTCGCTGGAGAAAGTTACTCGTCGTTTCTGATTCATCCGATTGGTGTTATTTGTTTCAGAAAGGTCCTGAGTCTGGTCTTGTTTGAGGTGCATACAGCTTTTCTTTCAAGCAGGACATTCTATTTCAAAGGCTTGGAATCAACCTGGCACTTACCGAGAATGGATGTCCTCCGGAATAACTTCGGATTGGGGATATGGGAAAAATGAGCGGAGATACGGATGCAATACCCGCCCACATAATCAAACCTGCACGGAAGCCGATGCGCTGTCATTCATTATAGTACATCCTTGGCGCCTAAATTTGGGCATACTATTGACCAAGTTTCTTGGAACATGAGAATGTCTTCGTTGGCATCGGACGAATATGCCCTTCGACAGCGCAGGAACGGTGAGCATTGCAATCAAGAACCCATTAAACAATCTAGAGCAGCATCGGTGCCGCAATATTATAGATGCTGCCTATGATACCCTACCTCAAATATCTATATAACTATTGACTCGCCAGAAAGATCAAGAACATGCTTCTCAGAAGCTCATCACACTAGGGGAAATGAATGAAACGCAACGCCTCGACGCCCACTCCAACATGCTAGACATATATACAAGCCGGCCGCCTATCACAGCTTGCTCTTAACACTAAGAGTCTTCTCACCGTGCACTGTAACCTCCGTCTTGATCTTGCCATCCTGCTTCAACTCGATGATCTTGGCTCCGTTCAATCCAACCACATCCCCGTTTTGTGCTCGCGCCTCACATCCAGTAAAAGTTATCTCCCCAAAATCTGCAAACGGGACAACCGAATCCCCACTCTGAAAGTCTTCAACAATCCACTCCGCATTCTGCCCTCCAAGCGTCGCCTCCGGCTTGGGCGCCCCGATGTTCTGCGTGGCCTTCTGCCCCGTCGTCTGGTTCTCAATAATAACCACACCCTCGCTCGGGGAAAGTGACTCCACCTTGGCCACAACCACATCTCCTGTGTTTATTTTGATGTTGAAGTCGTACGCATAGTCGGGGAACCACTCGAACCAGGCATCATTTGAAATCTTCCCGTTGTCATAGTAGAAGTCCACGCCGGCTTGCAAGATCGCTGCGCTGTATGTGTCCCCGTCTATTCCTACCCACGCAGAGCCTGCCTGCATTGGTCCCGGTCCCCCTGTGGGTTTCGGTACCGTGAATGTTGCGCTGACGGCTGTGTAGGGTCCTCCTGGAGGCGGTTGATCGCGCGCTGCACCGGCCCAGTTGGTGCTGTAGACGACGGCAGCATTATCGCTAGTTCGGAATCCAGCCAGGGGGCCGGAGTGGCCGCCATCTATAGGGGCGATGGGGTGAGATTGGCGGTCGAGGCGACGTTGGATCCGTGTGGTCAGGTTTGAAGCCTGTTGTGGGAGGGAGAGGGCCGTTCCCAAAAGCGCAGTTGTTAGAAAGGCGAGTTCGAGCTTCATATTTATCAAACTAGCCTTGCAGGTTGCTGATTCAAGGGAGAGGGAGTAATAGAGGCCCAGACTACCAGGTATCGAGTTGGTCCAAGAAGAGGAAGAGGAGGAAAGAAGAGAAATAAAACGCTCGTGCTTGTTCTGTACACTTATAATGCTCACGATGCGACCTCGCTTTCTATAAAGGGATGATACGCGTGTACTATGCCTCCAACGAAGCCTCGAACATGACCCTAGGGTTGCCCCAACGCCCGTGCAACATGACGGATGGAGTGATCTCGCGGACGGGCCGAGTAAAAGATCGCCCATTAGGAATGTTACTTCCCGGCATATTCAAGCCCTACTGACCCCGGCTTCCAGGTCATCTCTATCACGTCGTGATATCGTATGTGATCGTAGAGCACCGGGAGATGAACGTTACGGTCACTTGTTCAAAATTTCGAAAAAAAAAAAAAAAAAAAAAAAAACCGGTTTCAGAAACTGTATACGACAGTTTGGGAAGTTATTTGGTTAATGCGGCATACGCTGCACGCTCCAAAGGCTATATCTATCCCAGGACTCTCATTCATGCCAAGATTATACAGATTAACTATCGGAGTCTCCCCACGCCGTAACCTGGGTTACCAGAACAATCAGCTTATCCCCCTCCTGTTACTCCAGGCTTCGAGAATCGAGAGTCATCTGCCGTGGCAACTGATGTGACTGGCTGGAATGGGGGGCTTGGTCGATGTACATTCCGACCCAGGACTATCATTCCTGAAGAAGGCATACCTGCGTTGCGCCGCAGCCACCCGATCTGAACCGGTATTATACGAACTGAGATGTCGCTCCAGTTGCCTATACTGGCTTTAAGGTTTGATTCAAACCTCACAAACTGGCGCACTCGCCATACTTGCGGAACCACAACCTGATCTGTGCGAGATTCGTCCTCAGATCACCACATCAGGATCCTCGTTCCGACGAGGTAATCAAAGGTTAATCCCGGCGTTATGCAAGGTCAGCCAGCCTCCGTCCACCTTCCAGGGACACTAATCAAACCCTACATCGTTTACCAAGACCCGTGGAATCCCTTGGCCTTCTTTTGTATGCAGTCTTCAATATGCCAACAGCAACAAGTTCATTCTCCGACCTGGTAAACCGAACTTATTGCGTTAATTCGTCTGAGAAGTCGAGACCGCTGCCTTGGGTGCTGAGCATACCGGGGCGTCTTGTCACAAGCTCCCAAATCTCTCCCGTCAACCGGTGTCAGCATCCCATTTCAATCATGTCAGGCCTTATTGCCACCTGCCTACAGAACTATCCACGTTATGATATGCCTCCTTCACTTCTGTGGGGAGTGACAAATCAAAACTGGTATCTGACTAGAATTCCGGTTCCAGGATAGATACTCTAACTATAGTAGTAGAGAAAAAGTCACCGGCTCGAGCACATTCCTTCAATGGACTTTGGGCGTCAAAAAACCCCCATGGGCACTTAGCTCATGACTGGGACGAACATTGGCCCATGTAGCCCTATGCCAATAAAGAATAAATGTCAACTCTAGCCAACTCTACCCCGAAAATTCAATTTCCCACATTTAGGTAGCCTATTTACATAGGAAATCTTCTCACCTCATCCAAACTCCAAAAGCGCCTCATATTCTCTCCACCCAAGACCGACACCTCCCCATCAAGGTGTTCCCAGAGCACCTGCTCAAAATCATCCATGAACTCCCTAACTTCACTCCTATCCAAGCCCTCCCCCTCCTCTCCCCTCTCGCACCTATTCAGATACCCGCGCAGCCTCACGAGCCCATCATGAATAAGTTCATGCTGCTCGGCGAGTATCCCCGAGGGCCCAAACTCAGGCATCCGCGCCGCAAGAAGCGGGAAGAAGAACCGCTCTTCGATCGAGTGGTGCATTGAGAGGCCTTCACAGAAGGAGAGGCCCAGCATGATGATTTCTTCGTCGGAGGCATCTTCATCGTCACCATCTGTTGCGGGATATGGGTTGGGTTCGGCCTGGGAATTTAGGGGGCAGGCTTGTTTGAGCTGGGTCCATGTGCGGCGGAATTCGCTGTGCTGAGTACAGCTGGTTAGCTGATAGTGTTCTTTTATCAAGTCTTGGTTGTTTTCGTCACCTGCACATTGGATGGAAGGGGGACAGACAATTTGCTCCATTTGCGACGCGAGGCGGTTGTAAATGCGGAAGTCGGCTGGTGAGAGGGCCGCGTCCATACCGCAGGCGATGATTGGATCCTGTTCAGGAAAGTATTATTAAAGTAGGGTATTGGTTAGTGGACTAGGCTGGCAATGGGCGGGATAGATAAAGGGATATTTTATGGAGTTACGGGGTCACCCAGTTTCTATAGATTTGGGGAGACACAGTTAGCCAATTGAGGCAAGCGGATTTAAATCATTTCTAATCGTTGGTAATCACTTGTACTGAACAGTGGCACCTGCCAACTATGTTAAACTTGCTAAGGAATGGAACAAATAGAGTAAATTGCAGAATATATTCATGTATGAAACTACTGGATATTTACGGTATGTTTCAGGTCTTCAATGGACGTGTGCCATCTCAGCATAAGCTGTGGGACACAAATCTAGTACATCGCTGGTTGGATAAAATCCGGTTGATATCAGCACTTCTTCGGCACAACCACAGTCATAGAAAGGCTGGATTGCAATTTGACATCCGTGCTAGCAAAATTTGCCCAATTGAGTTGGAGTTGCTCGATGAACGGCAAGCGACGATAAGGCGAAGTAGTATTAGTAATAGGTATATCTGCATACATATCATAAGACATCGAGGCATGAGCCACCGGAGAATGGGTATAATTAGCAATTAGATCAGCATCGTAAAAGTTGGTTAAAGCTCGCTGTGCTCCACGGAAGGTTTCGTGGCGGCAAAATTGCCGTTCCTCAGCTCCTGCCAGGCGAGGTCGAAGCGAGCACCAAGCATCCAAGCAGTGAAAATCTGTGAGAATTAGTATCGATCCATAATGCACAGAAGGAAGGTCCACATACCATAATAAGGGAGACTACTATACAGATAGCAAGCATCAGTCCCATCATGAACATGACGTCCTTGCGGGTCTCGGCATCCTGCCGAGCTTTCTCAGCCTCGGCCTCAGTTACCGTGCCTGCAACACGGCGCTGAGCAGCTTCCGCATCCTGTGAAGGGAAAATGGTCTCGATAAATTTCTCGATCTAAATCAGTTAGCGACTGTTTGGACCTAAATCACCGAATAAAGACATACCTGTCCGCAAACAATGCTTATTTTGAGGAAGTTGGGGTCCTTAGGAGTGTTCTTCTTGTGGATCTTACGAACATAGCGGCGGAAGACATCGCAGAGGACACGAAGATTTTGTGTTGACTCGGTCATGAGCTGACAAGCATCTCCCTTGGTAATCTTGATGTTCCGCTCCAACATGGCAGGGTTGCGGAAACAGAGTTCCAATGTAGCAATTGCCATAGACTGAGGAATAGCACAAAAGTTGAATACACTCTGCTCGCGCAGACCGGCAAGGTAGAAGAGGCATTCCTCAACATGTTCCAATGCGTTTAAAACCATCTCAGAGTTGCAGTTGAGAGCGGCTTCTCGGTGTTCAGGTTTGAAAAGATCCTCAAAGCTGTCAACGTGCTTAGACCAGATAGACTTGGGCCAAAACCGCCGACCATCAGTTTCATCTTCACGAACATCGCGGATAATGTTGGTCTTCTGGAGGAAGAGACCCATAGACTTGGGGAGACGGGTACGCTTCATCAAGGCAGGGTTGCCAAACTCTGCTTCCACAAAGAGGCGAGTCAGACCTTCTCCCACCAAGCCAGCTACATAATAGCAGTAAAGATCGTATTCCGCAACCGTCTTGACACTTGCGTCCTCCGTGGCAGCTTTGCGTGCATAATCAGCCATACCATTACCCATTTTTTCGGTGATGTCCTTGATGATAACTTGGTAGGCGGGCTTCATGTTCTTGAACTCGGTAATGACATTGTGAAACTGAACCAGCAGTTCACGGTCCTTCTCCTCAGGGCGGTTTCCATCAAAGGTCCAACCATCTTGTTCTAAGAAGTCTTTGAAGTTGCGCAGCAGAGGCTCCTTGGTTTCAAGCGGGATAGAGGTGTCATCCTCGATGGTATCCAGTCCACGGAGTGCCAGATAAAAGACGCAAACCGGCAGTAGCAGCTCTGGATGTAGTTCCTTGATCACAGCACTGAAACTCCGGCTTGTCAAGTCCAGGAACTTGAAGCACGCCTTTTGTGTCTCCGTCTCCTCCTTCTCGTTGCGTTCATGAACCGGGTTATGCCAGACTTTCCTATCCAACCCCGAGGGTGTTCGTCAGCTTGTGATATCAACGGGTTGAGACAAGGAGATTGACTAACCATTGAACGATTGACCTCAGTTCTGATGGGTGAAAGGTGAAATAAATGATGCTCCCAATACCCATGGTGCTTAGTAGGGATAGATTACACGTGAAGGTGGGTGCGAACAGGGACTGTACGAAGGGAAGGGAATAAGATGCGACGTGGTCTGAAAAAATTGACGGGAATAAGCAATTAGCAGCAAATTGGCGTACTAATACACGCTAGGAAAGTAATGTACATTGGCTCCGGTAGAGCAAAGTGATCAAGGAAGAAATGACAAAATGGCCAGGGTAGAGAAGGGCACAGTTGTCGTGAGTAGAAAAGGCAAGGCAGGACGGGGAGAAGAGGAGGGAAGTCAAGGAGAAAAGGACAAGTAGATGAGGAAGAGTGAGGAGAAAGAAAGGTTGAGGATTTTAGTGGTGGAAGAGAAGAGAAGAAATTGTCTGTTGGAGTTGGCTTTAGTCCCAATTAGTGATTTCTGGAGAGCCGGATCATCTCGGCGTCCGGAACGCCCCAATACCAGGGTCTGTCGCCCTGAGGGCCGTGCTGATGTGGGCCTTTATGAATACAATGACAATACGTGACGACGCATACCGGCCACCGTTCTCTCGGCCTCCCCGCCATGACGAAAGGTCGGTTGAAGCTTCACCAGGCAGAAAAAAATAATACAACTGGCCAAGCAATACCCCCTACTCTGCCAAATATTATTTACAAACACACCCTATTCAGTGCATCTTCAGTTCCTGCTCTGACCATTATAGATAACTACCTACATCACTCGCAGTCTCAGGAAATAGCCCACACATCGATTGGCGGTCGTGCCGCATCACAAAATGGTTGTTGATACCACCTACTACGACGCCCTGGGGGTACCCCCCACTGCCACGGAGCTTGAGATCAAGAAGGCATACCGAAAGCTTGCTATCGTCACTCACCCAGGTACGGCATCTAACCGGTGGATTAATATTAATCTCTCGTCTAACTATCCTCACAGATAAGAATCCCGGTGATGAAACCGCACATGAACGCTTCCAAGCGGTACGTTGTCAACGACCCCTCGCGCTCTATTACGCTCCATACTAATTTGGCTGTTCCCACCAGATCGGCGAAGCCTATCAAGTCCTCAGTAACTCCGATCTTCGCAAGCGTTATGATACCCACGGCAAAGAACAGGCTGTTCCTGACCAAGGCTTCGGTGCGTATCCATGAACTACACCACATCAACGCCACTAACACTGCACAGAGGACCCGAATGAGTTCTTTGGTATGATCTTCGGTGGTGACGCATTCTACGACCTTATCGGCGAAATATCCCTTCTGCAGGACCTTACTACTCGAATGGAAATCACGACGGAGGAGGCCGAAGAAGATCTCGCCGCATCCACAGAAGAAAAACTTAATATCAATGAGCAAGAAGGGAAGGCTGCAGGGGAACCTGTGAGTGGGTCTGCAGGTGAAAGTTCCGGTGCCGGGGCAGCTGGCAGCACCGCTGCTGCCGCTGCCGCTGCTGGTACCGCGCCGGCGGCTTCGTCCTCGCCCTCGCCCTCAGGTACAAGCACACCACGCCCTCGCTTAGGCCAACAGGCTCTTATGGATAAGTCAGACGAGGAGATCCGTATGCAGTCTGCTGGAGTGTCAGAGGAGGAGCGTGAACTACGGAAGAAGGAGAAGAAGAAAGGCGGGCTTACACGTGAGCAAGCGGAGAAGCTTCAAGCTTTCGAACTTGAACGACAGAAAGCTCGTGAAGAGCGAGTTGAGATGCTGGCCACGAAACTCATTGACAAGATTAGTGTGTGGACAGAAACCGACAAGGGCACCGATGTTACCCGCGCTTTTGAAGAGAAGATTCGCCTCGAGGTGGAGAATTTGAAGATCCAGTCCTTCGGTATCGAGATCCTCCACGCTATAGGTGCTACCTACGTTTCAAAGGCTACCTCTTTCCTGAAGTCTCAGAAGTTCCTTGGCATTTCCGGTTTTTTCTCCCGGCTGAAGGATAAGGGTACGCTTGCGAAGGAAGCCTGGACAACCATCTCCACTGTGATCGACGCCCAGTTGACAATGGAGGAGATGGCTAAGCTGGAAGAGAAGGGCGGGGAAACCTGGACAGACGAGATGCGGGCAGAATATTCGGTGAAGGTTACCGGGAAGCTGCTCGCAGCTGCCTGGCGCGGTAGCAAGCTTGAAATCCAAGGCGTTCTCCGCGATGTCTGCGATAAAGTCCTGGGCGATAAGCGGATCAAACTGGAGAAGCGTGTCGAGCGGGCTCAAGCTATGATCATTGCCGGCAATATCTATTCTAAGGTATGTACATCCCGTTTCTTAGGTCGCCACACACTATACTAATGCCCCCATCAGGCCGAGCGTGACCCAGAGGAGGAAGGAGACTACATGGCTTTCGAGCAGCTTATGACCGACGCCATGGCAAAGAAGGGTAAGGATGAGAAGAAGAAGAAGAAGAAGCACAGTCACGACCACGACGCTGAGGTATCTTCAACCACCAGCACGAAGGCCGAGGCGTAATTGCGCGTACCGGCTGTCTCCGGGGAGCCATTTCCGCACTTTATGACCCAGCTTTTCTCCTCTCGATTATTCCCTGTATGCCTTTGGATACAATATGCCTGATGTATTTCTTCTCGTAGCGAATTATTATTCCTTTTACCTAGAGCGCTCTATTCTGATTAGACTTCCATGGTACGCTTCCTGTATTTATAGACCGAAAAAGTATATACTATTGTCGCAATCCCATTCCACTCCAGCTCCCAAACACCAACTCAAGTTCCTTATGCCTATGTGCCGCCATATACATCAAGATGTGGAGTTTATATACTAAACACGTTACACACAGGTGCATTCGTAGAAAATAATATGACTTTCCTCCGCTCATACCATCCTTATCTTTCCTACCTCCTCCATAATTCGCGTCTGTCCATCCAAACCAGGTCGTGCTCCGCACAAAATCAGGAACCATGTCCACAAGGCTAATATTCTCTATGGCCGCGTGTACATGTGAGTATTACTTTGTCAAAGTCTTCAAGATATCTTGGTTAACTTCCGGACGATTTGTCCGGGCCCAGCCAACAATCATAAACAATATCATACCACAAACCCGTAAAAGCATAATGTCGAGTCACACATTAAGTTATTAGATGAAAAAAAATCATTGCGGCTTCTTGCATTTCATGTCTATCTACCATCAGATTCAAGCCAGCTCAAACCACTTCCTCTGCTTCAGGATGAATCCCCATCTTTCTCATTAGCATATATTCTCGCGTCTGCTCGCTGTGCCTCCTTTTATCAGAAATACTCACTTCTTCGCTTAAGCTGCGAAGATACCATCCAGCACTACAAACGAAGAATCAAACAGAACTACCACCATGTCCCAGATATCAAAACTCCTCCGCCACGCCGCCGATACAAGCCTCATCTCTAGCGACTCCATCAAACCCTCAGTCATAACTCGTCCCATAGTAAATCATAATTCTCCGAACCCATCAGCCAATATCAGCAGTGCCACCACGAACATACGTACCCAAAGAACCACCATGGCTGACGATGTTGAAAAGAATGGAAAGAAGCCAACTGCGCAGAGTGCCGGAACCCCAAAGCCAGTTACCCTCCGCAAGAAGCCATCCTGGATTGATCTCGAAAACTGCAAAACCGACAACTTGTTCCGACAGACCCTCGCAAGTCCAGAGCACAAAGAAATATTCGAAGGTAGCATGATCCCACTTCCCTCCCCCGATGATGGGGCGAAGCGTGGCCAGATATATAGCCCTACCCGGATGGATCAAAGGGCGAGCTCAACCTCCGACCAGAGTTCTGCAAGTCAGGAATCCACTACACCACACCGGTCTCGTGAGAGTGTGATTTCGGAGACGGGGAAGGAGGAGAAGGATGCGGAGTTGGATGAAACTGAATATGGGCTTTTGTCGGAACTTGGTACGAGGCCCAAATCACGTCAGAAAAAGTCGCACATTGGCCGTCTAGAGAACGATGCTATTGGAAGACTCCCCAAGAAGGACATTCAACAATGGATACGGAATGAGGCAAATGCACAGTTCGTATTAGGGATGCCTCTTGGAGAACTAGAGGAAAAGCTACGAGACGGTGTGCTCGAAAGCGAGATGGATAAGCATTCTGGGAAATGGATACGTGCGTACGGTTTGTCCGAGGACGAATGATCAACTAGCCTGGGAGTTTCGTGCTTTGGTTTATTTTCTGTGCGCTTCTCGACACAATGTACTTTGGTTTTTTGGGTTGGATGACCATTACATATTTTTTGGGAACTGGCTAACTTATTTAGCATAAGCTACACCATCGAGAATGATTTATCCCCATGTTTGGTCCTATTAGGAGTCTCAATGTATCTTATGCGAGTATTATATTTATCAGAATTTAACGAGCCGGGTTTTGGCAGTCGTAAGTGAACGTTACGTATATATCAAGTTAAGTACATCACAAATGATTCATTATTGCGCTTGGGTATCTAGCAAGGCACCAGATCGGCTGATCAGCCGGATACAAATCTATCGCTCGTATAAATGACACATTAGAAGTAAATGGGAAGGAAAGGAAGAAAAACAAAAGTTATAAACGGTGGCGGCACTGGCCGCGCAGGTATAAGAATGAAGTAAGCAACGCCGTGTTTGTGAAGCTATGATGGTCTGTTGTAGGGTATATAAATCTGAGGGGTATGCGTTGCAACTGTTATAGTGGTTTGGAAATTGGAAGCGCAGCTGGTGAGTGGACTGTGTTCGGCAATATAGGGTATCGATAACAAAAGAGAAGAAGGAAAAAAAAAAGAGGGGCATTTAATCATGTCGATGGCAACTCCTCGCTGGGAGGGTCCTGATTTGGATATTCTGATTCGGGTGAAACTGGTGCAAGTAGTCCTCGACGGGCTTCTCCATCCTCATGCAGTTCATCAGGGCTCAGCACCCGCCCGCCGAGTTGTATATCACTAACGTGCACGTTATATTCCAGTGCTTTTGTAGCCTCGCTAATCAGCTCTTCCGTCCACCCAAGGCATCGTTTCAGGCTTTGATTCATTTTCTGACTGTCCGCTAGAAGTTCCTGGTGTTTCGCTAGGTCGATAAGGAATCGTTTCTCATCCTTGTTTCTGTGCCTCGAATCGTCTTCAGCCAACGAGTCTGGTCCGAAGGAGCTTTCATCTTGCATGGATTCCCCGTCACTCAATTCAGACAGGTCCTCATGTGATTCATTGGACAAGTAATCGCTTTCCCCTTCGTCGACTTCACTGGGGATTGACAAAGTACTCGATACCGAGCGCGAAGGGGCCACAGATAGACGACCGGAGCGGCTAAGACGCCGAAATCTTCGTAATTCAGCATTCTGTTTCCGCATTTCACGCTCAAGCGTCCGGTTGATGGCTAGAAGGGACGAATTGCTGATTTCGAGATCCAGGATCTTCCGCTCAACACGCGCACTGAGAACAGGGCCACTACTTCCCGCGTGTTCAGACTTTACCGGGCTTTGCAGTCCGTCCCCTTGACTATCTGTATCAAAGGAATTTGTAGATCCATTGCTGAATATGCGTGGCCGAAGAGCAGGAATAGAATCGTTAACCTTTTTTTCGTCAACTTGGGAATCCAGGGTAGATACTATGATCGGGCTTGGTCGTAAGCCAAGGCCCTCCGTATGAGTCTCTCGACCAGGAGTGCCGCGCCCGGTATCAAGACTTGAGGTTTTGGTGTGACTTATTACCGGTACGGACCGGAGTGTGCTCAATGGCGGACTATGAACGGGTGAACATATCTCGGGTGAGCGTATTTCCGGCGAGTCGTCAAGATGCGGTACGCTCGGTGAAGAAATACCGTCCGAAAGTCGTGGGGAAGAAGTGTTGATGCTAGGTGAGGCGAGCCGAGGTGAAGCCGTAGGCCTCGACACAATCCCAGGACGAGACAACCCTGACGACCGCCGTCTGGAGGCGTCATCGACGTGAGCCTGGGCTTCTTCTTGACCGTTTGCATATACGAATGTGGCCGGTGACGGCTGTTTTGCAGACACCCTTGACCGGGAATCTGCATCAGAGGAGCCCGATACCGAACGTACATCACTGGCGTGGAAAAACATTGGAGACGGAGCCGGGAGTTCGGTGGAGTTCGGTCGAGAAGCAGTATTCGAATCGGCAGTCAAGGTCTTCGCCCTTGTGGCTCTCTGGGGTTCAAGCTTTCCGCCCATTCGAACTGGGCTGCGATCGGTTCGGTACACCTTCGTGTTTGGGGCAGTCGCTGGCGATGGTTGAACGAAGGACTGTGGGGAGTATACCCCATTCCCCGGTGTACTGCCAGGGGAGAGTATAGGGCCATCACGTCGGCTCACTCTGGAGCCAGATCGGGGCGTAACATTCGCGTTGAGATAGGAAGGCTCCGGCGTGTGTCTCGCCGGAGTCGCTGTGGGATAATCTGGAGGAGCAAGACGTCTGGGGGTGCGGACACTGGACGGATTCGCGAGCTTCGGGGTCAGGGGCGACTTGTTCGCTCTGTTAAACGCGGCACTCAGAGTTGGCGTGAAGGGTTTGGCGATGTGGCCATTGTTTTGTTTATCGAAGGTCATATCTTCTGGGTTCGAGGGGCAGATAGAAGGGCAACTTGTTATGGCATTGCGGCACTCCTCGAAGATCTGCAAGCATGGTGGCACCAGCCAGCTGATAGCGTAGGTCTAATGGCCGAGAATCACGGTGAGGCCACGCGAAAAATTGCTGGGATAAGATGGAATCGGCCAAGGCAGCGGTCAGGTGGTAAGGATGAAGATTTTATGACGAGAGAGTGCAGCGTGGAACTATTTTGCCGCCAAACACCAACGCCGACCGGGATGTTTATCTGCGCCAAATGCGGTCTAGTCGATTTTCACCGCAACAGCCGACCAACGGTCAACGGCATTCCAAGGGGCTCAAGGTCTCACCAGTTGCTCCCTAGAATTGACCACTCACCACTACGATTGAAAAAAACAGCCGGGAACCGAATCAATGCCGGATTTCTGGAGTCATCGGGAAAACTCGCTTTCGCCCAGCCTGCACTCCGATTGTTCGGTGATCGGTGTGCCCCGCCTATATGGGCTGATCAACGGCTGGAATCTTGACAGCGGTCTATTATTATTATCTTCGCATATATAGACTACGCATGACTTTGCATGCATAGACTTCCCGCATGGAAACCACCAGCAACTCAGTGTCTAATTTACATTGACCAATATCCAACTGATGCAGCAGTCCACCATCCGAGCAGACCCCTCAGTAAGGGGCTTGGGACCCAGGCTGATCCCGCCAGATTGTCTCAGGTTTGAGACACCTAAACGTCCTCAGTAAGCCGTGAACGGTTACTCAATTTTCATTCAGTATGCGTTGGCAGACTTTGGTAGAAGCAAGGAGCTTCCCTGTGACTCTGTCAATATGAGAGCGGATATGTCTCTTAAAAGTCAACGCGCGTTGCTAGGCGGAGGTCTTGATTGATATGCTTGAGGTGCCGACCCATTGTAGTATAGGGACGGCCACCTACTCCAAGTGTATATGCTAAAGTCGAAAATAGAAACGTTAGTGCCCTCCTGTTGCCGGCCAGTTGGAACTATAGGAACGGAAGACCTCCAGTCAGGACTCAGGTGAAGAACAGACGTCTCTGCCGTGGATCTACACTGTCCCGAGCAGCCGTCTTTCGTTTTCGCGTGGTATTGGGCGCCGGCTGCGGTTGAAGTTGGGGTGAATCGTCCTGTACCGCTTCTTTTATTGTTTGCTTCGATAAGCAGTAGTCCACGTGGTCATTGAATTTTCTATCATCAGCGATCTGAGGCATCGCGCAGATGGGACAATCCCAGTAGAGTTGTTGTTCGACCGTAGCTTCCGTGGCCACCGACGCAGGGCTTTTCTCACTTTGGTCATTTTCATCCTCGGGCATTTCTTGACTGAGCTTTTCAATGTCTTGCATGTCGTCCTGTAGCTCTTCGCGCGCCGCCTTCTCAAACGCTTCTTCTGCGCTTATCTCTTGCTCTCCAGTAACGTCAGTTGCAGCTTCAAGCGGTGGGGGTTTTCGCCGAGCAGCAGAACCAAAGAAACTGATGTCAAATTTCTTTGTGCTCACAAGGTTGGTACACCGAATGCCAAGCAGACGAAGCTTCATGTTCGGAATCTCCTTCTCAAGCTTCTCTAACATTGGAAGGGCGGATGTGAAAAGATCCTTTGCAGAAGACACGGCCCGAGCGGGCTGATGTTGCCGGGTTAAAACTTCAAAAGTTGCTAGCTTGACCTTAAGGACTAGCGTTCGTCCCTTGAACTGTGTTCGCGACAGATCTTTTTCTAGTTCTTGAGCGCAAGACCAAAGTTTTTCCCTGAATTCGTCTCTCGTGCTTATCTCGTGGAATGTCCTCTCGGTGCCTACGCTTTTGCGTTCGTAGGTTTCGACCGGCTGGATCTTCGTCCTACCTAGGCCGAGGTAGCACTGTGCAAGAAAATGAAGAGCCTTCTCGCCAAATAGTTTCGCTAAAAATGCACGCTGGGGATGTATGTCGCCGCAATTTTTGATACCGATGGCATCAAGCTCCCGCTCGAATACCCGGCCCACACCATTGACTTTGCGCATAGGGAGATCCTTCATGAATTCCATGATGGCATCCCTGTCATTTGGAACGCAGTACTGGCCATTTGGCTTATTGCGATTCGAGGATATCTTTGCAATCTTTGCGTTCGCAGCGATTCCGGCAGACACAGAGATTTTTGTTGTCTCGAGGATTTCTGCGCGCATACGATCAACAGCCTCCTCCGGATCGAGTTGGTTTTCGTCGCAATAGGCTGTGATGTTCAAGTACGCTTCGTCAATGCTTGCACTCTCAAACTGGGGATCGTATTGAGCAAGAATAGCACGAATTTCCTGTGCCTTGGCTGTATACTTTTCGTGGTTTTGTGGCAAGCAAATCAACTGAGGACAAAGCTTCATGGCCACAAAGGAAGCCATGCCACTCCGACAGCCAAATTTCCGAGCCTCATAGTTACACGTTGTCAGAACACCTTTTCCGACAGCCATTGGTACCGTTTTCAGCTCCGGTCTATCTAGCTCTTCAACCGCAGCAAAAAAGGCATCGCAGTCAACATGGACGACGTATTGAGAAAGGTCACGCGTCGATTCTAGTTCAGCAAAAAGCTGATCGGCTAGTCGTAAATCAATTGAAAGGTTCAAGCTCTCAAGACGCGCCTTCTCCTTCAGAAGCCGCGTGATTTTCTCAGTCAGGACGCCGTCTCGGGCTTGTTCATGGTTGAAGAACTTGGAGCCCTTAGAGGCATTGTAAATAATTTCTGAAACCTTTTGCTCTCAGTATACCGTGGCCATTAAAGCAGGCAGCTCTCTACTCACCTTTTGCTGGTCAACGGAATCCTGGCCCGCTTTGGTCAGAGAGGGGCCCAGAAGGTGATACTTCAGGGTTTGTTCACTGTCCGGAGATTGATCGCCATTCGCATTGCCTTTGGGCACTTCGCCCTTCTGTCCCCTTTCC